TTTTTTTTTTTTTTTTTTTTTTTTGGGAGGAAGCGGACAAAAAGTTTGACAGGCAGGTACCAATAATTATAGGTCAATCAGTATGAGTGTACTATGCTAACCACAGCTGTTGTTCTATCAACACTGTTTTCCCGCTTGGTCGAAGTTTCGGTAGTTTTGGTTTATTCTGTCGTCGCTCTTTTATCAAAAGTGTTACCCGGATATCCATTCTAGAAGAAATGTCAAGATTGAACAAGACCATATACAATCAAGGTCAATGAAATAAAGGAATTGGAACTTAAAGGAGGTCATAAAACATATAAAAGGTGGCCCAAGATGATGCGAGGTTTCAAGCAAAAGGTTTGTATCACTGTATTCAGATGTGATACTGCTAAAAAGCAGTTTTCCCGGCTTTTTTCCGGTGAAAAGCGGCTGAGTTTTGGATAATATACTAACATTTCTACGTTTTACCAAAGTTGATCAAGAAAACCACCGGATCCAGTTCTTCCGGAGGCAAAAAGAAGGATAAAGAAGACTCCAAGAAGTCGTCAAGCAATGGCACTGCGGGAGCTGTATCTAGCAAGACTTCGAGCGAGAAAAGTGGCTCAAACTCTACCGGTTTAAGCTCTAATGAGAAAAAGAATTCGGGTTCTAGCGCACCAACGGGAACTTCCAAGAATGGGAAGGTCAAGAGTGGTGTAAGTGGTAGCAGTAGAAGCTCCGTAAGTGGCGTGAACTCCACTGCGTCGTCGACTGGATCGCACGCAGAAGCTTCCACCAACACAACACCTTCGACGAGCCAGAAGAAACTGGAAGTCATGGGAAACATCAATCAGCCTTCAAAATCGTCCCAACCTACATTGATTGCAGCTGCATCTTTGCCATTGTCTCCAAGCTCGGCTACGATGTCCCTTGCCGTCCCAGGCACCACACCAAGTAGCCCCAAAGAAGGCGCAAACGGAGGTGTCTCTTTGAACGGCGTCGACATCCCGCGTTCATCGCATTCCTTTGAGCGACTACCAAACCCTTCCAAACTGAATCCAGAGGCTGATTTGGACCTGATAAAGAGCCCACAGAGACATTCCTCTTCGAGATTTGAGCCATCGCGCTACACACAGGTCACCAAACTGCCCCATTTTGACGATGTTTCACCAGAAGAGCAAATTCCACTTTTTTTGGCAAAAGTCGACCAATGTAACACAATTTTCGACTTTGGGGACCCTAGTTTCGATATCCAGGGCAAAGAGATTAAACGACTCACTATGCAGGAACTCATTGAGTTTGTTGTCACCAACAGATTTGCTTACACAGAGGAAATGTACGCTCATGTGGTCAACATGTTCAAAAATAACCTTTTCAGACCCATTCCTCCTCCTGTAAACCCCATTGGCGAGGTTTTCGATCCAGATGAAGACGAACCTGTGAACGAACTAGCGTGGCCACACATGCAATGTGTTTATGAATTTTTCTTAAGATTTGTTGAGAGTCCCGATTTCAATCACCAGATCGCTAAACAGTACATTGATCAAGACTTCATTCTGAGATTGCTCGAGCTATTCGACAGTGAAGATATCAGGGAAAGAGACTGTTTGAAGACTACACTGCATCGCATTTACGGAAAATTCTTGAGTCTCCGGAGCTTCGTTCGTCGGTCCATCAGTTACATTTTCCTGCAGTTTGTTTACGAAAGCGAACGATTCAACGGTATTGCAGAGTTGCTAGAAATATTAGGATCTATTATCAATGGGTTTGCGCTACCGTTGAAAGAAGAGCACAAAATCTTCTTGGTTCGTGTCTTGATTCCTATGCATAAGGTGCGGTGCTTGTCATTGTACCACCCACAACTCGCATACTGCGTGGTGCAATTTCTGGAGAAAGAACCGCTTCTAACCGAAGAAGTAGTCATGGGTCTGCTGAGGTACTGGCCCAAGGTAAACTCTACGAAGGAGATCATGTTTCTCAATGAGATTGAAGATATTTTCGAAGTAATCGAGCCATTGGAATTCATTAAGATTGAAGTGCCTTTATTTGTGCAACTTGCAAAATGCATTTCGTCTCCACATTTCCAGGTGTCTGAAAAAGTGCTCAGCTACTGGAACAACGAGTACTTTCTCAACCTGTGCATTGAGAACGCCGAAGTAATTCTTCCGATTATATTTCCGGCTCTGTACGAACTCACCTCACAATTGGACCTAGAGTCGCAAGGCGACGACCATGGAAACCGCACATCCGACCCTTACGTTTTGGTGGAGCAGGCCATTAGTTCTGGATCCTGGAACCGCGCCATTCACGCCATGGCATTCAAAGCTTTGAAAATTTTCCTGGAAACAAATCCGGTTCTTTACGACAATTGTAATTCTCTTTACTTGACCACGGTCAAGGAAACCCAAAGACGCAAACAAGAGCGTGAGGTCAACTGGAAAAAATTAGAGGGTTTCGTCAGAGACTTCAAGATAAGCAGCGGTGGTGGGACCGATGGAGTAAATGAAACGCATTGATGGTAAAAATGAAGAAGCTTCACATATCGCGTGTAGTGAAGCTAGGATCCGTGGCAAAATCACTCGCCAATGGAACACATAAAACATGAAAGGAAAGTTTGTTTTTGATACCCAACTAGACCGCTTCTTTCATCCTTCTCCTCCGCTAGCTGGTCACCGGAGGGGCAGGTTAAACTTCATTATAAACCAATGGTGTTTAAAAGTTCTGTTATTGAGCGATTGGAGACTACAACGTCTATAACGCTCGTGGTATTGCATCTTTGGAGACTTGAACTCCTCCAAAGTAGGTGGAATCTCTTGTTACCATACTCGTACGTAAGTATCGTTACTTATGGCTAATTAAAGGGAAGTTCTACCTGTTAAACATATCATCACCATTTCTATTCGAATTCAACAACTAAAGACACGATAACAACCTGTCAGAGGACTAGTTGCTTCGCTTTCGTAGATATATATATATATAGTTATAGCATTGAACTTCGAGAACCATGAATTTCATGAGACCCCTTTACGCCAGAAACTTTGCGGGTATGCAGTTGAAGAAGCTGGTGAACGTTCCTTTCCGTTTCAACTCAACCCACTCTTTTGTTCACAGACCGGCTAGAATTCCGATCTCCATTACACCTATTGTTGCTGGTCTTACAGGCTCCGTGTTTTTGGCGGCGGGTTTCTCGCATTATTCGGGCCAAAATGCCATCAAAAACGACACGATCCTCGATGTCAAACAAAGACATCAAACCCTTCCAGACGAGATTGGAAGCCCTGTGCACATAGTCGAAAATAAAGTTCGCAAGCTGAACTATCGCCAGTTGTGTTTAGGGTCCGTAATCGGTGTTGTGGCCGGCGTTCTAGTGGGCAAAATATCCACTGCCCTGGTGTTTATAACGGCGTGTGGCCTTTTGGGCATTCAATGGCTTGAGAATAGAGGACTCGTCGACAAAAGATCCACATGGATGCTATCAAAATACGTTTTAAGAACCGGGAAGGAGTCAGTGGACGTGAACACGTTAATTTGGGATAGACCTAGTTTTAAGATCCCTTTTCTGTTGACTTTTGTCTTGGCAGCAGTCAACATATGATGGGTATATTCCGAATGGACGGATTCTTGCCACGCAATCGAAACCACCCCGTAACCGAGAGACTCTCGATAAAAGGTGGGACCGGCACTCTTTCTCCATGTTCGAGCCTTGGCCCTTTTCTCCAAATGCATAAACAAGACCACATTAAGAGGGATACAAGTCGTTTTACGTCGCTCGTATCATTTCATTCTCAAAACCAATCCTTTTCAGTCTCTCTGACATTCAATCTCATACCACGAACTTAGTTTGGACTTCTAATGCCAGCCGCTAGTTAAACCAACCTTACAGTACATCATGGGCTACTCTTTACGGACGATTTTCCTCAAAGCCAGGGACCATTTCCCGAAGTGTCATAGGCATCAGTTGTGAGCAAGATGACCATCTCAAAATACATCAAACAAGCGAACTACCATTGATTGACACTATCAACAAGCTAAACTACCCATCACATCAAGTTCAAAATTCTGAAACCACTGAAAGGCCTCGTCCTTTCACACTTTACCGTCCAGGGTTCTTTTGTCCTCACGGCAGTTTTTAAAAGTACTCGCCATATATTAATAAGAAGTTATCGATATTTCAAGTCATCACCTATAACTTTCTTAAACTTTAAAAACTAGACAAATCAACACCAAACATGTCCAGAGTTCATCTAGATACATCAAACTATCCGTTCAGATTCGAACCATTTCTGCGACAGGAATACTCGTTTTCCCTGGATCCAGATCGTCCCGTTTGCGAATTTTATAACCCTAGAGAAGGTCCATCGTCCTGTCCAAACGGCACTTCATGTCCAAACAAACACGTTCTGCCCATTTTTCACAACAAAATAGTGTGCAAGCACTGGCTGCGAGGGCTCTGCAAGAAAAACGACCAATGTGAGTATCTACACGAATACAACTTGCGGAAAATGCCGGAATGCGTATTCTTTTCGAAAAATGGGTATTGCACACAGTCTCCGGAATGTCAATATCTACACTTAGATCCCAGCAGTAAGATCCAGGAGTGTGAAGAGTATAAGATGGGGTTTTGTCCTGCCGGACCCGGGTGCAAGAAAAGGCACGTCAAGAAAACGATATGCCCACGTTACGTTACAGGGTTTTGTCCGTTGGGTAGAGCCGATTGCGATTTGGAACATCCACCGTTTGTAATTCCAAATGAACTAAGCAAGCTACGCATCAAGAACGATGATGAAATAAACACCAAAAAGTTGGACGAGGAAAAGGAGCGTCGTTTGAACGCTATTATCAATGGTGAGATCCCAGCATAGGAAGGGGAATACGGCGAGTTGCTGAAAACTTGCGATCAGTTGCAGTATTCCCATGCTGTTACTTGCTAAGGCTTGTTGACAAAGAGATTGTACTTTGATGACGGTACCATTCAAGGACCCAACAGCGATAGAATACATCACACTAAGTATTACTTCCAAATAGAAAATTAATGACACGAATAACGGAAAATGAAGTTAGCAGCTTTTGACATTCAGAGCGGATTGATTATTAGTCCGCTGTAGCCACTTTATATAAAGTGTCGCAACTCATTGGTCCAGGTCCAAAAGGTTAGAGCAACGCCCTTGATTGCATGTTTTTTCGAGAACCTTATTTATATTTTGGCTGTGAAATAGGAGATATTGCCAGGACTCTATTGCTATGCGAGATGTTGATGTTCTAATCACCCCAGTTGGTTTATCAACGTGTTAGAGTATTCGACCGTGTAGTGACGCTGCACCATACTGTCGTTGCAAAGTCATGTATCTGATTATGTTTACTTAGGATTGGTCATAAATGTATCATGTATAATGTGTTAAGATAGAGCCAATTGGTATGATGCCAGTAGCCTTGTGCGTAATTAAACGCACCCCGCGACATCCAAGCCACATGCCGCTTGCAGCTCAGTTGCAAGAGCAACAAACTCGGGCATGTCGTGTTTAGAACTTGAAGTGATGGACGAAAGCTTGGACTCAAAGATATGACGGCAGTCGTCCCCATCGTAAAAGAAACCTGCCGAAAAATAAGTGTTTTTGTTAAATCCCATTAACTGGTTTAATGATTTTGCAACGTCGTCCCAGTTTGAGTTGTCCTCCCAAGGTTCAAGATCTTCCACTGTCTTTAAAAGCTGACCGACCTGTGTTACGGTGAGGCACTTGCCTCTCGTGAACCAACGAATAAGGACCGGTGGCAGTTGCATCACGATCAACAACAGCCTCGTGTAGCCTCTATAACCGAAGGAATATATAACCGCGCCGAAGCAGCCAAATAAAAATTGTTTTGCCAAGAATGCCAACGCCCAAGAGATTTTAGACCTGTAAACTTCAACAGGTAGTTTTTGTTCTTGAAGAGCAGCATTTGAGGCCTCAGTTTTTTCGCTGGAGATCTGTGGGATACGCACGGATTGTTCGTAGGACGCAGCGGCGTCTAAAAGCAAAGCCACGTCTGCGTCGTCATCGAACTTTCCCGCTTTCAAAGGCAAGTAAACCTTTTGTCTGTAGCTAGTGTACAGTGCAAATCCACTCCCAAAGCATGTAGCGGTGTGCCATAGCCCTTCTCTTTTCAGGTAGGCGTTCATAGAGACGGCAATGATATCCCAGCTGGACAATGTAAAGCCCGGCTGGTGTAACATTACAAGGCGACAAAGCTCGCCTCGATGTTTTTTAGCAACATTCTCACGCTTGAGATCGAGAGCTATAGTTAAAGCAATCAAAAGGAGCTCCAATGCAAGGACTGTGAAGCCAATTGCGATTACAACCAGTGGTAGTTCGACCCTTTTTACATGCAATAAAACCGTCTCCACTAGAGTCAATGATGCAAATACAGATCCTGCTATTTGAAAAGCTGGCCATGACCACAATTCTTTCATAGACCAAACAGCTTGTGACTTGACTTTAAAACCAGGAAGATTGATTTCACCTTCATTAGAATCAGCCAGAGATGTTTTCTCGTCCAAGGGAAACAGTTTTTCCCTCAAGTCTTCGCTCATAACTTATATATAGTCTATAGAAATCAAAAGCTATTTACTTAGAGTCAACTGGTCTGAGTAGTTGGCTATATATCGTGATGGGATGTGTTTGTTTGTTGAATGTAGTGGTAGCTCAAGATAGTTATATTTTTACAGATCTAATAAATCTCCTTACTTTTGATATTTGATGCCAAGATATTTCACGAATATAAAAGATGAAAGGACCATTGGTGTGAATAGGTTTGCTAGTGAAAAAATTGACGAGTGGAAGCTGTAAAGAAAGAGCTTTTTGATGGTTTTCCTAGCGTTAAAATAGCACTTCTGGGGCCTTAGAAATGGCGATTTTTGAATATTCCGGAATAATATCGTCAATGTTGGAATTCAAGATAGAAAGTTGAACGAATGAGTGCAAATCTGTAACGAAAAGATACGTGCCACTCTCCAAACGGAAATGATACGCTGTATGTGTTCAAAAGAAAACTCCGAACTGGTTGAAAAGTGACAGCGACGGAGTGGAAAAAAGTGATAAGAGGAACGTAACGGGTTGAAGAGGGAAAATAGCTGGGTTTTGGTTAGCTTAGAGGCCGGTATGTGCATCTAAAAAGGAACTGATTCCATTGCTGCTGTCAGGGGGTCTAGTAAGACCCTGAATGTCAGCCATTGATTACTCATCACGTGAGCTGCGAGAAAGAGTCTTGGCCCTATGTTACAGAAGGTCCACCGTCCTGTCCAAACGGTGCCTCATGTCCAAACGAACAGGTCCTGCCCATTTTCCACAACAAAATAGTGTGCAAGCACTGGCTGCGAGGACTCTGCAAGAAAACGTCCAATGTGAGTATCTACACGAATACAACCTGCGCAAAATGCCGGAATGCGTATTCTTTTCAAAAATGGGTATTGCACACAGTCTCCAGAATGCCAATATCTGCACTTGGATCCCAACAGCAAGATCCAGGAGTGTGAAGAATACAAGATGGGGTTTTGTCCTGCCGGACCTGGGTGCGTCAAGAAAACGATATACCCACGTTACGTTACAGGGTTTTGTCCGTTGGGTAGAGCCGATTGCGATCTGGAACATCCGCCGTTTGTGATACCGAATGAACTGAGCAAGCTTCGTTTCAAGAATGATGATGAAATAAACACCAAGAAATTGGACGAGGAAAAGGAGCGTCGTTTTAACGCTATTATGAATGGTGAGATCCCAGCATAGGATAGGGTATGTGCAGGAGTTGCTCAGAAGTTGCGATCGAATGCAGTATTCTCTCGCTGTCATCAATTGAGACTTATTGACAAGGCGGTGGCCGTTTCGATGGGACTTTGGTGAAGGTACCCCAAAGGACATAACAACATAGAGCACACTGCACTGACTAGTACCTTCAAATAGAAAATGAATGACACGAATATCGGAAAATGAAGTTAACAGCTTTAGACATACAGCGCGGATTGATTATTAGTTTCTTCAAGCCATCTGTATACATATATTACGCAACTCATCAGATCAGTTACAAAAGCTTGAAGTAAGGCCATGGTTGCCTGTTTCTTCGAAAGTAGTATTTCGCTTCCGGTTGCGAAATAGGAAATGACGCCATGAAACTATTGCTAGGCATCTAAGCATCACATTAGTGTTCAGATCGCCCCCACCGAATATCTAAATTGCTAGAGTATTCAACAGAGCAGTGGCGCTGTACCACGCTTCATCTATAAAGTCATATATCACACTTTGTTTACTTAGAGTTGGTCATAAATTTATCATGTATAATGTACCAAGCTTGAGCCAAGAACGGCATGATGCCTATAGCTTCGAAGCTGGAGTCTTAGGAAACTCCAATAAGGTCTTCTCATCCTTCCGTTTCTCCAAGATTTCAATTGCATCATCATCCAAAATGCTTTCCTCAGCCAACCACCAACTTTTGATCTGTGGCCATTGCATGTAAGCCGTGTAAGCGGCTCTCACGCCTACAACCAAAAAAAGACCTTGGAAAACAGCGCGAAGCTTCATCATACGAGCCATTCGATCGTTATGCCCTTCCTCCAAACGCACTCCGCGACATCCAAGCCACAGGCCGCTTGCAACTCAGTTGCAAGAGTAACAAACTCGGGCATGTATTGTTTACCAGTTACCAAGGAAACAACCTCGGGGATGTTTTGTATACGACTTGAAGTAATAGAGGAAAGGTTGGACTCGAAGATACGACGACAGTCGTCCCCGTCGTAAAATAAACCTGCCGATAAGTAAGTGTTTTTGTTAGATCCTAAAAACTGGTTTAATGCTTTTGCAACGTCGCCCCACTTTGAATTGTCCTCCCAAGGTTCAAGATCTTCGACTGTCTTCAAAAATTGACCGACCTGTGTCACGGATAAGCCCTTGCCTCTCGTGAACAAATGAATAGGGACTGGTGCCAGCTCGATTGCGACCCCCATCAACTTCGCGTAGCCTCTATAACTGAAGGAATAAATTAACGCGAAGAAGCAGCCAAATAAAAATTGTTTTGCCAAGAATGCCAACGCCCAAGAGGTTTTAGACCTGTAAACTTCAACTGGTAATTCTTGTTCTTTAAGAGCAGCACTCGAGGCCTCAGTTTTTTCATTGGGGATCTGTGGGACACGAAAAGACTTTTCATAGGAAGCAGCGGCGTCTGAAAGTAGAGCCACGTCTGCGTCGTTATCAAAATTTCCCTTTTTTAAAGGCAAGTAAACCCTTTGTCTGTAGCTATAGAATAAGGCAAGGCCGCTCTCAAAGCATGTAGCAGTGTGCCAGTGCCCTTCTCTTTTCAGAAAGGCGTTCATAGAGACGGCAATGACATCCCAGTTGGACGACGTTAAGCCTGGCTGGTGGAACATTACGAGGCGACAAAGCTCGTATCGTTGTTTTTTAGCAACGATCTCGCGCATGAAGCCAAAAATGACAGCCGCAGCAATCAAGAATAGTACGAATGCAGCGAGTGTGGAGGCTATGGCAATCAAAACCAGTGAGGGTTTGACACTTTTTACATGTAATACAACTGTTTCCACTAGAACCAATGATGCAAATACCGATCCTGCTATTCGAAAAGCTCGCGATGTCCATAATTCTTTCGTTAGCCAAGCAACTTGTGACTTGATTTTAGAATCAGGAAGACTGGATCCGCTATTGGAATTAGCTAGTACTGTTTTCTCGTCCAGGGGAAGCAGTTTTTCGCTGAAGTCTTCCTTCATGACCTGTAAAACTTCGATACAACTCGAAAGCTATCTATTAAGAGTCAACAGAGCTGAGAAGTTAGCGAAATGATCGTGATTGGTGGTGTATGTTTTTTGAATGCTGCGGTAGTTCAAGATAGTTAAATTTATATGGATTTAATACCATCATTACTTGGTTATTTTACGCCTCGTTATTTCAAGAACATCATTAAAAGATGAACGGACCATTGGTGTAATACGGTTCGCTAATCGAGAAATTTGCAAGTGGGAGCTGTTGGAAAAGAGCTTGCAAGCGGTCTTTTTGGCTATAGAATAGCACTTCCGGGGCCTGAGATAACACGTTTTTTAGTATTCTGGCAGAATGTCGTCAATGTTAGAATTCAAGGAGTGTAGTTGGATCAAATGAGCGCAAGTTGGTAACTAAATGATACGTGGCACATTTGAAACAGATACGGTCTGCTGTATATGTTCAAAATAAAACTCCGATATGGTTAGAAAGTGCCAGCGACGGAGTGGACAAAAGTGATGAGGAAGACCCGAGAGTTGGAGAAGGCGGCGAATAGCTGATTTTTGTTAGCACTGAAGGTAGTGTGCGCATCGTAAGGGAATCAATGTCTTCGCTGCTGTTGCGGGATCTATCATAAACCGTAATGTCACGCATGGGCGGATCGTCACGTTCTCTACAAGAAGCAGTCCTAGCTCTATGCTAGATGTGTCGTAGAACAAACGGCATCTCAAGGTTGAAACTTTAATTGAGGCATGATAGGTGGTAGCGGCTTTTGTCATCGACATTTAAGACCTGCCTTCTCCGAAGCTTCGTTACCTCATTGTTTTTGTCTCACATGTCGAGTTAGGAAACAGAGACAATGTGGCCACTATTATACATGAAAAAATCGACTCGATTGCTGGGTACTGAATCTGTCACTGTTGAATGCTGGGCCGTAATTTCGACCATAATTGACGGGTTAAAATCGTCCATTTTCTCGCAATCACGCGGGACTAATATCCTGGTGTTGAAGTGAAATGTACGCTCTACTGTATCGCTGACAGCAATTTTGTTACCGTTTTTGGGCTTTTTGATCTTTACACTATTCCAACGTGTGTGGTGCTACCAATTATTACAGATCGTGCAGAAATAATAATACAGCTGGTAGGATATGCGGCTCTTCAAACGTTTAATTGACAGGTTGATCGATGCGCTAAGTATACCGGCTGTGACGCAACCGGAGTTTTTCACGAGTACTGGCGAGTACCGAAAGCCTGGAAAGAGAATCAGTCTTCGAGCTGAGTTAGCGTGAAAGTCCGTGCAGTGTCAGGTCTCTCTCTGCAGGTATTATCCGAAGTCGTAGCATCAGATACTTTGTACTTCATCATGTTGCAAACGAGTCGTAAGATTTATTGTCTTCCTTATGGAGCACCTTCGTTGAGACTTTATTACTGCAAAGGTATGCGGTGTGGTGTATTCACGCATTTTATTTGGATAATCTCAATTGGAAGCGGGTCAAAGCCATTCGAATTCTTGACGATTTACGAACTCACGAGTCGTTCACTCGAGATTGCAGTGCAATTATATTGTGGAATAAATTCCTTTAACACAACGCTATTCTTGTCAACCTGATTGCAACGGTCATCCGATGACACACGCTGGACACTGATTCCAATAGGCAGACGCTATCCTCTGATATTTTGCCACAAAATTGAGAGTGGCAGAATTTCTAAGTACTCTACATGGATTTCGCAGTCTCCTGTGAGAAATCCCACGTCGAGAAAGTATCGTTTTTGATCTGCATTGTCCATTGTAAGTCTCGAAATGTGAAGGTCTCTCATTATCTCTACGGTTTTTCAGAACGCTATTCACAGGTAATCTCCCCCTTTAGTGTCTGTATGCATTCTTCATTCGATTCCAATTGATAATAATGGGGTGCAGTTACTTACCAGAAGATAAACTTTCCAAAAATGGTTTACACCCGCATTGAAGCTCTGTCGCCAGTGTCGTTGCAAGAGAGAAGTCTCAGAACTTGGGAGACTCTTTTGAATAATGCAAGATGTAAAAAAACTGTTTTAGTGAGTTTAGAGTTGCCTCTCTGGGCTGTATTTAGCGTTAATGAGATGAGCTTGTGGGTCGATAAACGTCTTTCTGACGCTAGACAGACAGAGATTCCAACAGCTCTTTCCATAACGATAAGCTACGAGCTATATTTCTATTGAGTTGAGAGTAACCTCTCTGTAGTTTATTTAGCATGAAAGAGATGAGCTTGTTGGCCGGATAGAACGTCGATGAGACATGCAAAGACATCCAAGTGCTTCGGGAGCAACGACATCAATTCATAAACCCGTAGATACTACCATCAATGGCAAATGGTGCCAGTCAACTTAGACCAGTAGTTACTCTAGGTTCTCGGTTTATTTCTGTCATTGTGTCACGTGCATGTGATCACTTTATCTGACCGAGAAGAGCTTGGTATTCAGTATTCTATTAACCCATCAGGACTTGAACCTACAGTTTCCAGACAAAAGACTAACTCGAAAGAGAACCTATTCATTGTAAGCCGTTTTTCTCACAATACTGATTCTCACTAATCCCCCTTCTATTCCCCACGATGAACTATCCATTTACCTCTTCTATTCCAAAACAGAAGTATGCGCTTTTATGTCTTTTCGGAAACCGGCACTTAGAGCACTCATGAATTTGTGTGTCGTGGTTTCCATGAGTGTGGAGTAATTGTTTCTGGGCCGTCATCATCATGAGTGTTCTGATACATTTGAATTTGTCGTTTGTATGCTTGGTTTTCGACCTTTATGACCGTCATCAATTCTTTCACTGTCATGTAATTATTTGTCTCTGACACCAGAAGAGAGTTCGTTGATAAGAGTAGGCTCTAGAAGAGACACCAGAAGAGACACCAGAAGAGACACCAGAACAGACACCAGAAAAGTGAGTCTGTTGACAAGGGTAGTCACTAAAAAAGATCGCGTTAACAAAAAAAATCACAAGAAGAGATCACGTTAACAAGAATAGACACTCTTCTAGTGTCTCATTTCCACCCGCACACTCTCAGTCAACTACTCCACCACCTCTGCGCGTTTCGCATCCCACCGAATGCATCAACCACGCTTTCCTTTCCATTGCTTGTAGCGCTACTTCCGGACTTTATCCTGTATGCTTCGTCGTCATTTTCTATCGTTCTTTGCCTCGAGAGCCCTCATTGCTCGCTTTCTTATGACGTCGAGACCTTTCTGCACAATTACGTAAGAGAATTCTGTGCATATACGTGTATAGTGATATAGAAATCGGGACACATCGTATTTTCGTACAACGCGACCAGGTTTTCCTTCACTTTACTCTTCTTGATCAAAAACATTCTAATCTCTACACACACACGCCCTTGCTTACCAGAAATCATCACCCATTCCATCTCCTCCTCTGCTCTCCCCCACCGCTCGTGATTGCTCCGTCTCTCCCATTACCTTCTCCCAACTATTAACCCTTTTTGGTATAGCAAAAAAAATTAATTGGAGACGCGTACTCATCACAATACACGCGGGATTCGTCTCCGACCCCTATTTTTTTTTTCTCGACTGCCCCTTTTTTTTTTCTCTCTTCTAAAAAGGACAAGTATATAAAGGGTCCAAAAAAAACCTAAAATACCTTAACCCCTGACCATACCTTTAAAGGGAAAAGGAAAAGAAGAAGGAGTTAGTAAAGGTTTTAGACTAAGTTTAGACAAGGTCCAGACAAGGTTCAGACAAGGTTCAGACAAAGTTTTAGACCAAGAATATACCTCTTAGATATTCGTATTCGTATTCGTCCCCCCCCACGCTAGAACATGCACAGAACATATTCGTTGAGAAACTCAAGAGCACCAACTGCTTCGCAGTTGCAAAATCCAGCCCCTCCTCCAGCCACCACCAAAAACCGGTTTTTCGGCCGTGGCGGATTGGCCAATTCGCTACGTAAAAACACCGCCGGTGCTTTTGGCCCAGAATTGGCCCGCAAATTGTCGCAATTGGTGAAAGTGGAAAAAAACGTGCTGCGGTCCATCGAAGTGGCCGCCAACGAGCGTCGTGACGCGGCCCGTCAACTCTCGGTTTGGGGTCTGGAAAACGACGACGACGTTTCCGATATCACCGATAAATTGGGTGTCCTTATCTACGAAATCAGTGAACTCGACGACCAGTTCATCGACCGTTACGACCAGTACCGTCTAACCATCAAGTCTATTCGTGATATCGAGGGCTCCGTGCAACCTTCCCGTGACCGCAAGGCCAAAATCACCGACAAAATCGCCTACCTCAAGTACAAAGACCCAGCCTCCACCAAGATTGAGGTTCTAGAACAAGAATTGGTGCGTGCCGAAGCCGAATCTTTGGTGGCCGAAGCCCAGCTCTCCAACATCACCCGTTCCAAGCTACGTGCTGCTTTCAACTATCAATTCGACTCCATTGTCGAGCACTCTGAAAAACTAGCGCTCATTGCCGGTTACGGTAAGGCTTTGCTCGAGCTTTTGGACGATTCTCCAGTCACCCCCGGTGAAACTCGTCCAGCTTACGACGGTTACGAAGCTTCCAAGCAAATTATTATTGATGCCGAAACTGCTTTGAACGAATGGACTTTGGATGCAGCCCAAGTGAAGCCAAGCTTGTCTCTCAGACACGGTGATTACGACTACGAGGAAGAAGAGGAGGAACACGATGGTCTAGCTGAAGTTCCAGAGGCAACTGAACATCACTGGGTCGATGAAGAACCTGCTCAGGCCACCGCCTAAATGAGGATCCACCCATAACCTCAAAAAAGACACTGACACGAAACAAAAATCACCCAACAGAAGGACCCAGAAATTTGACTTTCACTAAACTTCAAGAAAAATTGAGAAGAAACCTTTCCTTCCCTATCCCTCGAACCTTTTTTTATTTGTCACCAAACCCTCTCTACTCGTCCGGTCCCTGTCGAGAAACTTAATTTTCTATGCATAGTATCACGTCAAAGTACCGTTTCTTCTCAAGTGTAATTAATATCTTTCAAACTTATTCAACTTATAATACTTTGTAGTTACGTTGAATTGTGTGCTTGGAGTTCGCAATTGTAATCGACCGAGTCGGTTGTATAACCGCTTTTGTCTAGTATTGATGTTCAAATTCAATGTCAATTGTTTACACTCAAATTTGATGCTATTTCAGCTCCGATAGTTCCCAATCGCTCGGTAGAACACTTCTACAAGTTTCCACTCGTCAAATCTACTGTTTAAATACCATCACAGTAACGTTTATGGACCATACTGTCAAAACGTCAATTTCGCTTCTCACTTTCATGTTATATTAGATCTAATATCATGATAATCATTATGGCGATGTAAATGATTATCTTCAACAACATATCAAAATTGTATTTAAAAGCCAAAACAAGACACCAATTGAAACTTTGTGAAAGGTTTTTCTCCTTGTATCTTTTTAACCGCCTCCTGGACTACACTTGCATCTTTTTTTTTTTTGAGTTCTCGTTACATTTTGCCCTTTTTTTTGATACCATTTCGGCATCTCCATGTTCTCAGAAAATGCTGTAACTCTGGATACTCAGCTATCCAACAACTTGGCCAAATATCACACTGCTCTGTCAAAAATCTCGACTGTATCGCAGCTTGCCAAATTGCAAGCTGTCATAATCAATGACCACGCAGCTACGCAAAAATCACTAGACGATTATTTGCAAACGTCACACACCAAGCTAAACCAAAACGTGCGAAAACTAGAATTGCAAAGAACCAAACTGACCCAAACGCTGTCTAAGCTTCATCATGCTTTGGAGGATATTTATGTCTCTAAAGATCTGGCTTTGGCAATATCTGCACGCATAAAATCCGTGGATCGTGAACGTAAATTGGTGGTTCAAACACTTCAGTTCGTTCATCACATCCAGACCCTCAAACGCAATATTTTGACCGTACACGAGGCCATAGAAAGATCCGATAGTAAGCTCGCCGCTACAGGCATTGACACGATCCTCAACTTACCGCCAAACGTTATTGACTCTCGGTTTGCAGCCAAAGTCGTGCCCTCAGCGGAAATCCCAGAGAATCCAGCTATTCTTGTGAAGCAATGGACCGACGTTCTTGCCAAAAAGTTTCAAGAAAAATTTGAGAAAGCGGCTGAAATTCAAGACATAAAAGAGCTCACGTCGGTTTTTGAACTGTTTCCCTTGATTAGAAAATCTGAACTAGGACTCGATCTCTACTCCAGATATGTTTGTGACATAATTTCCACACAAAGTCGTAAAATAATGACCGGCGCAACCCCTACGAATACACCGTTTTATTCTAAAGCCTTGTTGCATCTCTTTAAGATTGTTTCAACGATAATCAATGAGCATTCGAAAATTATTGCAGAGTGTTACGGTAAAGAGCATATGGTTCATATCATGACCAAAGTTCAACGTGAGGCCGATATGCAAGCAGGTTTGATTTTGGATAGCTTTTTGGAAGCCAGAAATTTTGATGAGCTTCTAAAAGCCATCCGTGAATACGAAAGATCTCCCAATGTTCCAGATGAATCCAGAAGTGAACCTCCATCCATTGCGCGTGTTTCAAGCACTCTTGGTGAATACAGTACAATCTTGCAGAACTGGTCCATGTACTGCAGGTTTTTTGCGCTAAAGTGGAATGAATTCAGCAATATTCAAGTATCTGCTGGGACTTTAGAATTGCCGTTGCCTATACTACAGGGTAATTTTTACTCAAAAATCCACGGTGCTGGTTTCTTGGATGGATTCAAAAAACTTATGGAGTACTATTTGCACCACTCGTTTACTAGAATGGTTGCTTTGGAATCCTTACCATCGCTCAACCAATTCATCATCAAAAAACCATACAAACACGATGACTTTTCCAGTTATGCCTTCTCGTCCATCGTCGAAGATCTGACTCTTTTACTGAGAAACTGTCTTATCCTGAACGTGAACACAGGCCAGAACTCTCTGATGAATGACTTCTTGGGCACGTTAAAGCGTTTCTTGCAAAACGAATATCTCATGAAGTTTTTACAGCACAACTTGCGGCTTCTACAGCCTCGCTTGATGAGTGCGGTTGGTCTCAAACAATATATTCCTCACTCAGAGTCCAATAGTACGTCGCGAGCAGCATCACCTGGAGTTATGGACCCCTCGAAACTAGCGAATCTCAGATTCAATCTGAAAGGAGCAGCTTCCAGTGCATTTTCCAATATCCAATCCAACTTGCAAGCCGTTTATGCCGACGAGGACTCGGTGCTAAAGCTTCATCATTATCTTGTCTACGTCAACACCTTGGGAGTTGGTCGCGAATTTTTACAAAGGCTGCTCACGAAGGAGTTGTTACAGGACAATCCCAACCTCTTGCGCGACAATTTTCCGTTTGAACTCGAAGCGCAAAACTTGCAAGATGCAATGGAAACGGTGGAGTCAAACTTACTTGTCCAAAATGACAAATTACTGAATTGGGCTGTAAAGCAGCTTTTCGATAACATTTTGCAGCCCAAAGTCCGCAAAATGCTGGGGTCGCTTTTTGTACAAGGCCCAGACGACGAGTATCTCTCGAGCGCTGTAGACTTTGAAGACATGTCGCATTTGCAGCAGTTTGGAGCCGAGTGGAGTGATACCATGATTCCATACGCCAATGTTCTATACAAAAGATGTCAATTCCAGCTTCTTAGCTGCATCGTGGATTATTTGGTTGCTCAGATTGCCACCCGTTTGTGGGGTCTACAAGTCAACGAGCTGGGATCCATTAAGCTCGATCGTGAATTGAGCTCCCTGATAGCGATTGTGTGCGAAGACCGATACGCGCTGCGTGAAAAATTCACGAAACTCACCCAAATTGTACTGGTAATGGGGCTGGAAGACGACGACTTCGATCTTGCTACGCGAGATGTCAAACACGAGATTATCAGCGACATTAACTGGGCTATAACCCCAGCTGAACGCATTCGTGCACATGAACTTCGCGTTGACATTCGTCGTTAAAGCCAAAGGTAATCATAACCATATTTATACTCAAAAGAAAGAGGAAAAAGAGGGCCGACGTACAAACCTATCATATAATCTACAAAAAATCATCAACTAAACAACTCAACCCTATACATACTTCACTCGTTACTCTAAACTTCTAATCGTTAACTGGATTTTTGACGTTTTTTATAGTTGTACCGCTATTATCTTGTTGATTGATTGATGATCATATATATTTACCGCCCATCAATTCGTAGATAGTGATCTCGACCTTATTATGAAAAATATCAATCCAGAGATGAGATAAATAGAGCATGTACACACAACAAAACTTCAAGAATAATCGATCAGCAGGCAGTATTGCAGCTTCCTATCACATTGAGTTTAGTGGCCACTTGAGCGTGCTAGCTGGGAAAGTGCAGGGCTCCGACTTTCCGCATTAAATTTGGTGGTTTTCTGGTGATTTTTGTCATATTTTCGTGAAACGACACACTATCCGTAAGAGACTTTGGTCCACAAGGAGAGGAGGTTTTATCTCGAAGTAAAGAAGGTTTCACAGCACTAGCTCACTCGAGAAACTCGCGATGAGCTTTATGGCCATGGAATCTGCAGAAAACGATGCTATGGGAAGCTCAGTGCCCGAAAATAACTATGACCAGGAAAATAGGTCAGATAATGATTCACACGAAGAATCTCTGAGCCAGCTTCCGCCGGATTTGTCTGAAAATCTTGAACAGGCACTTAATGGAGAATCTATTAGCGGAAATGGTAACTCAGAAACGCGATTTGAACCAGATAAGGCACTCGAAAGCTCCAAAAATTTGATCGATAACCCGAACCTGAAAATAGATATGCCCGACGCTCTGGACCACGAAAACTTTTCCAAACTGTTAGAACTGGATTCTAAAAACGACGATGATCTGTTTTCGTCAGCAGACCTGTTGGATCAAGATATACCGGAAGACCTGGACAAACTGGTTGACGAAAGCACAAAGGGCTTGCAGCACGATGCTACTGCTACAAGTCCGAGAACCTCAAAGGAAGTAAGCGAAGAGCTTCAGCGTAGTGCCTCTGAACTGCAGCATTCACAGCCGCCTTTAGAACACGATGAGCAATCTTATCAAGACTCGTCCCACTCCTTGAACGGTCTCCATATAAACGCAGAACCTGACTTGTCGTCATTGCACGACGACTCATCGGCTCTTACAAAAGAACTATACAACTCGGGTACTCTATCGGCTGGTGCTGGAACACGAGAAGATACGCCCACTTCAATATTCGAAGCGAAGCACGAAGAAGACTTCGGTGAACACGAAAAACATGACCCTCTGTCGCCTTCCGAGTTTCAGGTTATGTCGCTGCCGCCTCCTCCACTACCAGAAAATGCAGTCAACAAACAAGTGCTTCCGGCCAACAATGAAAACTCTCAGCTTACAATGACTGAATTCCAAGATCCTACGACTACTGATTCCGAGCAGTCAAAGATCTCGGCTTACGCTAGGTTGGATTTCCAAAGCTTCACATTTTACGTACAGACTTTGCAAGTTATCATTGGGCGTCGTTCGGAAAATGATTTTTCCCACAAAGTCGATGTTAACTTGGGACCTTCCAAATCCATCTCAAGAAGACACGCACAAATTTTTTACAACTTCGGAACGGGACGCTTTGAACTTTCGATAATGGGTAAAAATGGGGCTTTTGTCGATGACGCTTTTGTCGAAAGAGGTATAACGGTGCAGCTAAAGAACAAGGCAAAAGTTCAGATAGGCCAAATCCCTTTTCAATTTGTGCTGCCGGATCAAGAAGGTAAGGAGAAAAAAGCTGTCGAACCTACCGATGGTTCAGCTTCTCTAAAAATGACACTCAACAATCATAAATTCCCCGATGTTTCGAGGGACTCAACTTCGAGTGCGCTACCTGCAGATGATAAGGAGATAGCCAAAAAGGAAGAGGGAGAAGTACCGGCACCAAAAAAAAAGCTGCCGCCGAAGAAAAAGGAAAAGAAAGAAGCGAAACCTCCCAAACCGCCCAAAAAGGTTTACACACTCGACGAGATTCCTGTGGAGTACAGGACGAAACCTGCGGGTTCTTATTCAAATCTTATAACAGCATGCTTGAGAAAGTACTCAAGTCCAAAGGGTATGTCACTGTCGGGGATTTACGCTGGTATCAGAGAGTTATTTCCTTACTACAAATATTGTCCTGATGGCTGGCAAAGTTCTGTCAGACACAACTTATCTCTCAATAAATCATTCAGAAAGGTATCAAAAGAGGGGAAAGGTTGGTTGTGGGGACTCAATGAAGAATATATTGCAGAAAGGGAAAAGCAGAAAAAAAAACAGGCAGAGGCAGCGGCTATTAAAGCCAAAGCAGCTCAATTGAAGCTTGAGCAACAACAACAGCAACAAAAGATCAAAAGGCCGTCAGGAGATTTGGCTGCTTCCTCCAGTGTCCAGATTATGAACAGGCCCAGGCAACCCAACATTTCCCAGACTTTAGCTGCTAATAGGGCTGATAGAAAGGCAACAGCCGACGGAAATCAACGAACTATGAAATATCTCCAAGAACAGCTCATGATTCTCACGAAAGATCGCAAAGGATTGGATAAACAAGTCATGGCAAGTATTTTAACTCAAGCGCTTGCAATGACAATAAATCAGGTTACGCAGGCTGCTAAATCAAAGGGAATTACTGGTAATCCCCTCACAGCTTTGATTGATAAGAATCCTCAGCACCTCAATTTAATTTTGGCTGCTGCAGTGAATGCTGCCACGATAAAGGTCACAAATGGATCTGTCAAGCAATTAGTGACAATGCCACCGCCCACTGCAAGTAACGTGAGCTCTGAAAACACCGCGACTAATGCACATGCTAATTCTCCAAGTGCAGCTGCCCCATCCAATCCTCCTGTGCCGCCCTCCCAAACAACTGGACAATCTTCTGATTCATTCGATCCTAGCTCTTTATCGAAATTTTTTCAACCCAAGCAGCCCTCGCGAGTGGCAACTCCAAATCCTCCGAGAAACGTTTTACCTCAGAAAAGGGCATCAAGCGAAACCGAATCAAGCTCTGGAGAAGAGTCTTCTAGCGACGATGATGGAAGTGATACTGAAGGGAGCGATGATAGCGATTCTTCAGAGAGCTCAGGCAATGAAAACAGTAGTAGTGGGAAAGATTCGTCGAGTGAGGAAGGGAGTGATGCAGAACAAACAAGTTGAGACATTTGCCCTGAACTTCATTTTGTAACAGTACGAAAATAGTTTTATTCGCATGTAGGGAAATTGATTATGTCGTTCCTACAGAAGATTATTTAGTTGCATGGCAACGCTAACCGATGACGTTGTTGAAGGAACCCTCTTTCTGTTTAATCTCCCAGAAAAGGGCGTCGACATTATGGTTTCCGTGATACACCCATCCTTGTTCCGTTACATGATACAGGTTGACAGATCCACCGGAATAAGCGTCTCTATGTGCCGCAGCAAGGATCGAACGTTTCCCTAGGTATAAGGCATCCTCCACAGTTAGGTCCCATTTGTAATTGGAATCCAGAACACCATACGCGAAAGTTTGACCCGATCCCACACAAAACACATCTCCCTTCATTCTAGTGCCATCGGAATCAACGTAGTAAATCGTGGGGCCCTCTTTCTTAGTATGTCCGCAAATCATCGTTCCCATGGATAAGCCCGCGCCTTTGTATTCGTATACCAAATTGCCCAGTATTTTAGACGCTGCTGCTACAGATATGCGTTCCTTTTCCTTGAGTTCGTGCAATCTGCATTGCGTGCCCAACCAGGTTTCCCAAAACTGACAATCTGCTGCACCACCAGCCATGGTTCCTAGTAGAAATGGGTTGATTTCGATCACTTTTTTCACGGTTTGAGACGCAATCCATTGCCCCGCCGTTGCACGAGAATCCACCGCTACGATGATCCCGCCTTGAAATCTGAACGCTAGCGTTGTTGTACCGTGTGCAATCTTTATTTTACAATCTGGGTTTTGAGAATCATCCGTGTGTGCTCTGAGAAACTCTTGCGGGGTAGAAATAGGTGGTACCGCGATTTGAGGTGCCAGTTGCCGAAAAAGTCCATTCCCAGTGATGAAATCGTTGTTTAAGTTCTCTTCTTTATCGTACTGTAATGCGGAGACCAGAGCACTTTTTGAGCTCAAACTGTCGGCAATCGCTTGCATATTGTAATGTGCTAGGAAATTGAGATGTAGGTAATAATTATGGCCTTAAGAGAGGCGTTTTTTGGCGTTTTTAGCGTCTATTGAAGGTTAAAGATGTGATATCCTTGAGGTTGTCAAAGGTGTAGAAATGGTTGATGGGTTCGCCACTTTCATTTAAAGGTTCAATTCGTGATTAATGATGATAATATCAAAAGTTTATGTCACGTGCTTTGAAATATAGAGTCCAGAGACCTAACATTCAAGTTTTCAGAAGTTGAAATGGGCGTATTTAAAATAGAAGCATTGTAATGACACAGGTTGGATTGCTGTTTGTGAAAAGGACACCTCGAAGCTCAAAGCGGGAGATCCATTCTTTTTATTATTCGTTCATAGTGATATGTGAACTTTGGCCTCCAAAATGTTCAGAAGAGATCGGATATCAAACGAGGAAGGATTTGATGTTTAATATGGATAGCAGTTATGTGGGTATGTTTCCTGGTGAGTATGAGGCAATGATTTTGTCAATTTTGATTAAGTGTCGTTTTCGTAACTTTACGCGATCAGAGTGCAACCGAGGTTTTCAAAGTTCTCCTTGGAAGCCGAATAGTATTGTTGCATCTACCCAAGCCAGGCAGCTTGAATAAATGTGAGATGCTCTTCCAAACTTGGAGCATAAAGATACCTTGAGGTTGTGAGCTGATGTTCATCACGTGACCCCGAGAGCGACAATCTTCAAAACTGAGCAACCATGACACGATCGTTAATCTGCCTTAGCGTCCTAGCTCCATTTTCTCATTAGTTGTAGAATTTAGTAGAGTCTCCAGTTTTTTGTTTCTAGAGGCTACCTTTCTTGGCTAACTGACGGGTCTAAAGATGTGTTGGTATAATACTGACCTTAAAGAGGCCTTTTATTTGTTCCACAAACTCCGCGACTTGAATTTCTAAATAAACTCTTCAAACTGTCTCGTTCTGAGTGGCAACTTCGGTGCGATCTGCAGAGCTACCTAATGTCATTTGCCGCAATTGCTCATTGAAATGCTCGATGTATTGATCTGCGGCAGCTTTGACAAAGGGACCGAGACTGGGGCAGCACGCTGCACTGTTATCCGGAGATGGCGCGACACATTTATTGACAAATCTAAACAAGCAATGTTTCCCGTCGTAGAAATAATACTTCGTGGCCCTTTCGTCATTTTCGTAAAGAATAGTATTCATTTTAGCAGCAATCAAATCCCACTTATTCAAGTCATCTCCAGGGTTGGTATTTATTATCTCCACCATCCAGATACGCACGGTTGTGTGGTTCCACATTATTTCAGATGATGAAGCGAAAGCGCAAAGTGGCACAAAGAAGAGAAAAATGCCGAAGACTGTAAATAGTACTCCTGCACGTTTATCTATCCCAAAGCAAACCACAACGAGCAAGCCATATACTATGATGGTCAACAAAAGAATTACATAGCTCCACTTCCGAAATTTCAGTTCCCACGATAGTTTACTTTTGAACGTGTCTCGTGGTAATGGTCCATAGTCTCCACTGTAGCTTTGAGATCCTTCTATAGTCTCTATCAAATGCTCTTCGGTATCCTTGTAGTCCATTATGGGCGTTCAGCGTCTGAAAGTGTTGTTAGGAGTTATTGTAGGAGGGGAATCAATATTTTTGACAGGCTTGAATAACTTTAACGGTCTTCACGAGTACGAGTACTCGACGGCAGTAGTTCAGCCACACTGCAACGATCGTCCAGAAATGTAACCAAGGTTGAACATAGTGTTTATCCGACTGCTCGGATGCTTGTGCAATAGCTTCATTTGTTCACCAAAAGAATGTAATAGTGCACCATTATTTAAGCTTTTTCCTGTGTATAATAATAGTTCCTCTTGGATAACGAACTATGAAGGGCCTTCAAGAAACGGTACCTCAGGTCCCCCGGTAACTGGCACGAACAATGTTTTGGAGTAAGGAATCGCCGCAGAGCATACAAAAAACATATTTCTAACATATTGGTGAGTCACTAGAATACCCGTTGTAAGATCATAGTTTGGTCTCTGGAGGTTTCTGGTACGCTAGCCGTTTAATAGTCTTAGGAAAACAATTGATATCTTAGACAAGAGTGTACGGAGTATGTTTTCAGGGAAACAATCGATGTTAGAGACAAGAGTGTACGGAGTATGGTCATATGCCCTTGTGTGATTCTTGATTGAAGCGCTAGGACTTGTTGCAACATATTTGTACTCAGTGAATATAATGACGTCCGAAGTGGAAACATCCTTTGTGTAATGAATTGCAGCTCGCTATGACCGGGAAAAAAGCAACAGCTATTAAAGGCCACAAATTGCTCGACTGTCTGATGATCTTCTTTTCTTTTCATAGACGTTCGCTGAAGCTCTGAATCGTTCAGCAATGCTCATAAGCCATTTTATTCCAATTGATCGCTGACGACCGCAGGTGTTTGGAAGGGCTGAACTGAAAACGTCTGCAAGGACGGAGCCACTGTAGAATGACAATTGTACAAGGCACGGGTCCGGCCATGTGGGGACATAACACTGGCGGTAATTATCCATTTGATGACTCAACATATCCCTCCACTTCAAATTCTCAGAAATCTCTTCAAACTGTCTCGTTCTGGGTGGCAACTTCGGTGCGATCAGCAGAGCTGCCTAATGTCATTTTCCGCAATTGCTCATTGAAATGCTCCATGTATTGATCCGCAGCAGTTTTGATAAAGGGCACGAGACAGGGAGGTGACTCTAAAGCGTTTTTCAGATGTAGTGTGACGAATCTATTGATAAATCTCGATAGGCATTGTTTCCCGTCGTAGAAAAAGTACCTTGTGGCTCTTTCGTCATTTTCATAAAGAATAGTGTTCATTTTAGCAGCAATCAAATCCCACTTGTCCATGTCATCCCCAGGGTTGACATTTATTATCTCTACCATCCAGCTACGCACGCTTTTGTCGTTCCACCCTTTGAAAGATGATGTAAGAAAAGATATCATTGGCACAATAAAGAGGAAAATACCCATGAATGCAATTGAGACTCCAAGAGCTATATCTTTCCAAAAGCAAAGCTGAACGAGCGAACCATATGCTATGATTGTCAGCAAAAGAATTACATAGCTCGATTTCCGAAATTTAAGTTCCCACGATAGTTTACTTCTGAAAGTGTCTCGTGGTAAGGGTCCATATTCTAGCTTGTAGCTTTGAGTTCCTTCGATTGTCTCGATCAATTGCTCTTCGCTATCCTTGTAGTCCATTTTGATCGCTTCACGTTTGAAAGTGTTGTTCGGAGTTGCTGGAGGGCTTCTCAATTCTTGGCAGGTTTAAATTACTTCCATTGTTTTTACGAGTATCTGCACGAGTACTCAGACACAGCCCTCCAGAGAAAGAAGTTAAGCTTCACTACACAGTGATCCAAAGTGTTACAGTGGTTGATCATAGTGTTACTGAAGTTGAGTATAGTGTTTCTTTGACTTTTCGTGCAACAGCTTTGTTGGTTCGCCAAACGAATGACCCCCAAACCTGGCACGAGCAATTACTAGAAGTGAAAGAAGCTGCAAAGAGCGCAAAAAACATGGAATTGACATAATGAGGTATTCGCGGGGAAGTCGCACTATTATTTTATACCCGTTTTAGATCATAGTCGTGTCTCTGGGGTTTTGGGGCGATAACCGATTCATGGTCTCGAGGATAACCTGATTTTCAGACGATGGTGTAAGAAGGATGGTCTTGTAGCTGGATTGAAGCATGGTTTTTGTGCCATTCTCAAACGACTTTCTTCATCGAACCGCGGATGATTGTTGCAACATATTTGGATCTAGTGCACCTTTTGACATCCAAGTAAGAAAGACTATTTGTACAATGGATCGCAGCTCTCGATGACTGAGAAAAAACCACAGCCCTCGGCGGTCCGACATCAAACTCTCTATCCCCACAAATTAACTTTATCGGTAGCCATCAGACGTATTTCTCTAACTTTCTTCGATTTTCCTTTCGTTACTAGGGTCTCGTGTTGAGAATCTGTCTCTGGAGTGTCGTTGCACGAAAAATGTCCCATATCTTGGGTGATTCTATTCAGTATTGTGGAATTTAAACGGTTGTTTGTTGAGTTAGAGTAATCTCTCCGTAATGTATTTAGCATAAATGGAATGAGCTTGTAGGTTGGAAAAGCGTCCCTTCTCATACAATTCCTTGGAAGTGTTCCGGGTGTGATTGTGTCAACTGGCTGCTTAGGAGTTATACAATCAGTTGCAAGTGGTACCAATTGGTGCAATCGATGTTGCTCATGTTAGATCAGTAGTAGTTCTACATTCTTTTGAATATCACGTATTCTGTCGCTGTCATCCTGTCACGTGTACGTGATAACTTCTTCATGGATCTGACGCTAGACACAGGTTCCGACAAACCTATCAGTTATCACAAATACGTGTCCCTGTCTCTAGACGAACACTGTTGGTTCATTCTCTAATATGTGCTTTAATTGCACGATTTTGCTTTCTTCAGCATAAAATTGTGCTGAACTGGTTGCTGTCGTTCGTTTGACAATACTTGAACTTTATCAGCTATTGACAATGTTGACGTGGCTGTGTTTTCTATTTGACGATCAGTTATTCAACTTGCTTGCAGCCTTATTCAATTTCGCGACTGATTGCTGAAGTTCTTTTGTTAAACTTTTCTACAGCCTTCTCTAATGTTCACAATTGATCGCTGACACTCACGGCTGTTCACTTATACTGATATTCAAAACTACTATTCCCAGTTGAACGCAGACACTCTCAAATGTTCAGCTATACTTTTAGGCATCTCTGTTCAGAACTAATCCCAGACCCTTTCTTTTATTCAAGTAGGGTCTTATTCACTACTACTGTTTTCAACTGATAAATGAGAACGCCAGTTGTTCAATCGTTTAATTGTGTTTATAACTATTCTAATAGTTATAACTACTATCAAGCGATCACTGGAGCTCTTAATTGCTCTAGTATACTAACAGCCATTGATTGTTCAACTATCTGATAACCATCTCTACTGTTCACAATTGATCGCTGGTGTACTCAATGGTCGTCCATGCCAATAGTCACCATTTTTATTTACAACTGATCCCTGATGCTCTCAATGATTCATCTATGCTAATAGCAACGTTGTTCACAGCTGATTTTGTTAATTGTTCCGCTATACTAATGATCATTTTATTCAAAATTGATCGCTGACACTTTTAATTGTTTAACTATACTAATAGCCATTTCACTACTAACAATTGATCGCTGATGCTCACAATTGCTCATCTATGCTAATAGCCACCACTTTTATCATAATTGATCGCTAACGCTTTCGATTGTTATACTATACCTGTAGTCTTTATTCACAATTGAAAGCTGATGCTCTCAATTTTCAGGTGTGCTACTAGCTACCTCTACAATTCACAATTGATCGCTAACGCCCTCAATTGTTCAATTGTACTTCTATCCATCACTGTCGTTCACAACTGATCGCTTTCGCTCGCAATTGTTCAACTGTGCTTGTAGCCTCCCTCGAGCGTGTCAGTTTCGGAAAAAGTGACATAAAATCAACCACCAGAAACGTTTTTCGAACAGCTTCATCTATAACACCGGCCATTGAGTACGCTAGTTTTACCAAGTATTTCATCACCGGCCATTCAAGACGCTAGTTTTACCAAATTTTTCATCACCGACTGTCGAAACAGCCATATCAAACTCGAACAACAAACTCAACCTACCTCTAACCTCAATTCCGTCATCTTTTGAGTCCATATTCCCAACTCACACACAACTGCCATCGCTATGAAACACAAGCTTCCATCATCCATACATCAATGGCTTTCTCTCTGACCCATCAACACTTCTTATCATTATCTGTGTCGCAGCTTCATTCAGAGCCTCATCGATCTCTCCCGTTCAAAACGATCGTCTCGTAAAGAACCTCAACAATAAATTTAAAATCCACTTAAAATAATCTTGATGCGTTTTTGTGTCACATTGAAACGTGTCATAATTACCCGATCGGGTAATTTAAGGGAGTCCGATATAACACAAACTTGGGCGGCTACAAATGACTATATAAGGAGGACAAAAGTGCGTCCAACAAGCCTCTCAACTACACAACACAAACCCAAACGGGCCTCAGTCTTGCTAGGCCAACACAAAGCTAGTATAGTCAGGAGCCAGTTGGGAGCCAGTTGGGAGCCAGTTGGGAGCCAGTTGGGAGCCATAAGGTCACCAACCAGTTACAACTCCATAGAGCTAGTGTCATTACATATATTTCAATTTAGTTGTTAAATAGAACGCGTTTTTTTGTACCTATCATATAGACTGAGTGGTGAATTATTCCACTTTTTACTGCTGACGGTGTACGGTATCGCTGTGACACAACATGGGCTACCTGGGCAGGAAATCTGTCAGGAACTCTGATTTTCATACACCACCAGATGTGGACAGTCCACCATTCTACATACCGGTCAAGCAGATTCACGGCAGATATACGCTGATGCAAGAATTGGGAAATGGCAGCTTCGGATCTGTGACTTTGGCAAAACAGATCTACAACACCGGTTGTCAAGGCTGTCAAAATTGCGGCATTTACAGCGATGAAATCGGGCCAGCAGCATCAGACTTGCAGATTTCACGCTTGGAGACTCAAGATGTGCAATCTGTAAGCTGTGAATCGCGTCCACACTACCGTAACACGCTAATGGAAGATTCCGTAATTCCTAACGTGGACCAGGAAAATTTCCACAACAAACAGCGCGGAGTTTTGGCAATCAAAACCATGATGACCCGACTTCCTACCCTTAACGACTACACCCGCGTGCGCGAGATCAAGTTTATTTTGTCGATGCCAGCACACAAAAATCTCGTTCAGATTTTTGAGCTTTTCATCGACGACATCAATTATCAGCTACACATCGTCATGGAGTGTATGGAACAAAATTTGTATCAGCAAATGAGGGCACGCAGACGGCGCATTTTTTCACTGCCATCACTAAAATCGATCCTTTCTCAACTACTGGCAGGAATACGGCATATTCATTCGCACAATTTCTTCCACCGAGACTTGAAACCGGAGAATATTTTGATCTCGCCAGCAAACCACTATTTCAACAAAAAATGGATAGTCGATGGCAATTACAAAGACAACTACGTGGTTAAAATTGCGGACTACGGTTTAGCGCGGCATGTTACCAATAAAAGTCCCTACACCGCATATGTGTCCACAAGATGGTACAGGTCTCCAGAAATTTTACTGCGAAAGGGATCATATTCTAGACCAATAGATGTGTGGGCTTTTGGATGCGTTATAGTAGAGGTGGCCACTTTTCGGCCACTTTTCCCGGGCTCTGATGAAATGGATCAAATATGGAAAATCCTAGAGGTTTTGGGTACTCCGCATAAAATGCCAGAGAGTAATATAAGCGGGTATCAACCACACGGTGGTTCTTGGGAAAAAGCTCAGCTACTGGCCTCTAGGATGCGTTTAAAATTTCCTTACGTCGAAGGTATAAACATCGAAAAGATCATCGATAATCCTAACCTGCAACCACTTTGTGACGTCGTCAAAGCGTGCCTTACATGGGATCCAAAAAAGAGAGCAAGTGTTACGGAGCTATGCCAAATGCCATACTTCCAAAATACTGTAGTGGGCATAGATGCTCACGCTATTCAAGAAGCATTCAATGACGAAAATATGAACAAAATCGCTTACAGCGACATTCGCAGCAACTGGGATTCCAAATTGCCAGTTAAAAAAGTCTTTGGTGCCCATCCAAACGCGCAAATACCGTCTATTGGTCCAAACGTAATCGACTTGAACGGCGGGAGAATGAATGAACCCGAAGAAGGACAAATGTCTTTTCAACAGTTTTTGCGAGAGTCAACAACGTCCGGTCATTTTACCAATTCCACTGTCAGCAGCAGTGTTCGAGAAGAGAACAAATTCAACTCACAGGATGAGCTTATTGGAAACATGATATCTTTGCCGCTTTCGCAGCAGTTAGATAATGACCTCCCTCTCTCGTCATCTGCGCCTGACGTCATTAATGAAAGTGACATTAAACCCCTAGATGTTGGCGAGAGTATAAATGAGTTCTACGCTACAAAATCAACCGATTACCAGAATCCTAATGTTGAAGGTAGTCTCGAAAGCTTCGGGCCCAATTACGTGCACTATGAAGACGCCAGTAATGCCCATCTTCATCCTCGTTGCAATGTGCTAGATGATATGTCTATTGACTCTAACACTTCGGTACAAATTCCTCGCACGCTTGCTGTTCCTCGAATCGTTGAAGATTGTAATGACACATCGTTAGAGGATCACACAAGTCACAGTTTCTCGCATACAAATAGCTTAACATTTTGAGCATTTTTTCGAGCCTGACGTGTGTCATAGTGCTTAAAGAGTTCTTTGCGGTGACTGATTTCAATTGTGTGATGCAGTGGGAAGGTTGTATGAGATTGAACCGCGCTTTTTCGTAGGGTCGTCAATCATAGTTTTCTATTGAAGGTGTAGAGTGCTAGCGCCCAAGTTTAAAAAAAAAAATATAGCCTATGCTGTACAATTACAACTTTACAGCCTCGAGGTGACAACTCACGGAAACAAGACTGGCTGATGTCTGACATTATTATCATTGGTGGAGGGGTTTTTGGCCTTTCTACTGCAGCTCATTATGCAAAATCAAACTCCGTAACGGTGATAGACAAATTTGAGATACCCTCGCCCTTATCTGCATCCACCGATTACAACAAGATCGTTAGGCTGGAATACACGGATCCCGTATATGCAGCAATGGCCGTCGAAGCTATGGACTATTGGCAAGGAAAGGGCGACGATGTGTACCCGGCTGGTTTGTTTCAAGATACCTATTCGCACTGCGGGCGCATTTCTGTTGTACCTCCGAAGAGTTCGCCCAGATACGATTTTGAAGTACAGAGCCTAAAACTGCTAAGAGAAGAGTTTGGTCGCTGTGATTCAATTGCTGAGCATATCAATGATTTGACTTGCGGCAACGTTTTCCCGGAGTTTGAAAAAAGTCGCGCGCAAGGTCTCTTTAGGTTCAATCCCGATTGTGGCATTGGGCTCGCTGCTCAATCGCTCACTGCTATCAAAAGCTATAGTAAGAGCCTGGGAGTAAATTTTATAGAGAATGACGGAGTAATGAGCATTGACAGTGGAAGCAAACGGGTGAAAGTCACTATGGAGTCCGGGCGGGAACTTTTGGCTGAAAGAGTGCTCGTAGCGTGCGGTGCAAACACTCCGTCCCTTCTGGATCTTGGCCAAAGTGTGAAATCTACGGGACTGTACGTGGGGCATATCCAGCTGAGTGTGGCAGAATATGAAAAATACAAGAACATGCCTGTGGTGTTCGATCCAACAATTGGATATTTCTTCCCGCCAGATCGAGCAACAAGGATCCTCAAGCTTTGTGCGAGCGCCAGCTCGACCTACGATAAATCTAGTGAAGCGCTTCTACCTCGCTATCAATGTCTCGAGCCCGATAAGGTCAAGAGCATACCTGTGCAGTCTGTGGCACAGATCCGGACTTTGATACGCAACTACCTGCCGGATCTCGAATTTGGCCCCAATGGGCAACTGCGAGATGTGATTGACTGCAAGGTATGCTGGATCAGCGACACGTCCGATTCAAATTTTATTATTGATGAGGTACCATCGAAACCCAATGTTTTTGTAAGTTGTGGGGACTCTGGTCACGGCTATAAGTTCTTGCCCAATATTGGTGGCTATATCAAGGCGCGAATGGATGGAAATCTATCCCCTCAACTTGCCCGCAAATGGTCTATACGTGATAGCGATTGGACTTCCCAGATAATTCCCTGGCGGGTAGAGCACAAGCGGAAACACATTGACGAGATAGAATGGCACTGATGAGAGAGGTGCAGATTGATATCGTGATAAAGGAGATCTGCTTTTTTTGTCTATACAGGGCCTAAGAGAGGTGCAAACTAACTTCACACCTACTTAGACTGACGTACCCCTTTGGTTGGACCCCCCTTCCCGGCAAGAATCATCAACTTCCATCTCTCGCACTGCATTACTCGATTACGGCGTAAAACAATCAATGATGTGCTATTTCAAAGTCTGGGACCCAGCCAGCTACATAAATGACGCAACGAAGACCAACAAGCGGAATTCTGGAGTAGTCAATGGACACCGCTTGTCTATCATGCGCTTTCAAGATCTAGTCGCATCTCATCTCATCGCATTGCATCTCGTGACTCGTGCCCAGTGATCCGGCTACTATGGCTGTTCAAGGCATAAACGATGTAAGTGATGATAAGTTGAGATGGATCATGGGAGGAATCATCACTACAGAAAGGCATTTCTGGAGACTTGATTCCTTCTTGAGCAATACAGACCTCTGGAATCAACAACTACGTCTCAGTGGGCTATTTTCTGCAGTTCCACCTACGTTTTTGGGCTCGAATTCGAACTCTTTCACGGTATTGAAACTTTATCGAACTTTTGAAGGACGTAAAAAGTGTCGTTTAAGGAAACGAAGCGTATACATACCCGTAAGTGCAACAAAGTGTGCGATTCAGGAGAACGTTGAGATTGGGTAAAGACGTCGTTTACACCCGTGTGCAATCAAGTTTTGGGGTTCTAAATATCTGGGATTTGCACATCTGCGTCCTAGCGTATAAAAGAAGAAGCTTGGATCGTCATTCTCGGTTTCTGCACTTGGATTTGGAAGCCTCTTTCATTTTGGTGTCCGATAAGCCCGGACTTTGAAGGAAAGTGTCATTCATCGGGTATGACGGAAAATTCACAGAAAAATACTTCGAGCCAGGATCACTCATCGCTTTACGAGGACGCCTCGGCGTTGCTGGTGCTTGCCAGGGGAAGAGACGAGCCTCGTGTTGGGGAGCCTCGCCATGAGGAGCCCAAACCTCGTAATGAAGTAGATCGAACACCAAAGACATCAAGACCAGAGTCATTTGCAAGTGCCTCAGAAGCACGATCACCGATTGGAAACCACCGAAGAACTTCAGAGATGCCATCGCCCGGGGCTATTAATGCAGTTCAGACCGAAAGACCAGAATTCACGTCTAGTCCAACTTCGTCTCGATCCGCTTCCAGCAAAGGCATAATCGCAGCTGCGGCTTTGGCAGCTGCAGCCACGGTGCCGTTGCCACTCAAGAAACAAGACCAAGATAAACAGGAGGTTGAAGTAGACACATCCAAAAAGTCTTCCAACAAGCGCAAGAACTCGTCCGAGTTGACAGAGCCGTCGAGTTACATCGTTGATCCTGATGCCGGTGTAATTACATGTATATGTGGCTTTGACGACGACGATGGATTCACAATTCAGTGCGACCTTTGTAATCGCTGGCAGCACGCCGTATGCTACGGGATCCGTGACATTGAAACAGCCCCAGACGACCATTTGTGCAGCACTTGTCATCCACGTAAAGTCGATGCTAAGAGAGCCAAGAGGAAGCAACAAGAAAGACTGGGTCCTAAGAATAAAAAGCGGAGGCAAAAGAGTAATCAGGACGATGACCAAATTCGCAAAACTTCTACTTCCAGCAGTGCTGCGCAATCAGCCAATATCACCGCAACTGGCCTCAATGAAGTTGAACCTGAAATTGCCCCCGAGCCAAAGCCCATAGAAAAATTACTTACCGCGGCAGAACACTTCCCGCTCGTTTACGCTCCTCTTTCTTCAAATTACTACAAAGACGCCTACGTCAAAAAGTTTCTAGACACCCACAGTAACGACGATTGGGTCTTACCTTACAATCATTCGACTTTGAAAGCTTTGCCGTTGGAAATAAGATCTTATGAAGAAAATGCACGCACCTTTTCAGGCCTCCCGAAATTGGGAGTTTACATCGCTTGCAATTGCTCTACTGGATCGTTTATAGAGGAAGTGTTAGGAGACGTCGATTTCAGTTCGCATTATTATAGAGACCCGAGAAATGATTACCGCGTTTATGGAACAACCAAATCCAAGGTGTTTATGCATCCGAATTGGCCTGTTTGCATCGATTCGAGACTTTCTGGAAATCTGACACGATTTCTGCGAAGAAGCTGTCAGCCGAACGTGGAGCTGGTATCCGTTCGAATGAAATCTGAGAAGCCCGATGTCAGGTTTGTGTTGCGTGCGCTGCGAGACCTAACAGACGGTGAAGAATTGCACATTGGGTGGCAATGGGATTTGCGACACCCTATTTGGCATCTCATCAAGGGCACTAGTAAAAATGTTGATTCGCTGGACGACCAGAATAAATTTACGTTGGTGCATTCTATCGACACGATTCTCGGAACTACGGATTGTGGCTGTGGCAAGAACAATAGAGATTGCTACCTACTGAAGGTCAAAAGATACAGTCAGTCGCTAATTAAGTCCACGAAGTCCAAGACGAATACGCTATTCAAGCTGGGAGAAATTCTGCAAAATGCTCAAGCCAGAATAAACAAAAAGCCTCAGACTTCGATTTTATCGCGACTGACGCACGAAGCAATGATCAGCGCGGAAAGGGCAAACGAGATGATTGTTGATTTCCATGCGGCCAAAATAAAGTATTCGAAGGACCAAAGGTCCACACCGGGTGGTCATGTTGAGGACGACGTTTCTCAGCCGACAATTGAATCTCAGCCTAAACCCTTTAAACTATTCCTTGTGGACAGACACTTCACCGTTAAACGGCCCCGGCCTGCTATGAAGCTTTCTCAAACCAGTAGCGACAGCACTTCTGCCGTGGTCAGTCCTTTGCAGTATGACGAATCGCATATAACCGACTTGAAAGCGCTACCTTTGCCGGTTGAATTACAAATTCCGTTGACCTCGTCTGTTTCCAACGCTGGAGAAAAGTCACCAGCCGCGACGCCAATAACCGGCACGTACGAGGTTGCGTCATCTTTCGGTGGAGGTGTAGCAGCTCCGGCTGCGGTAACTACTGGTCCTACTGAGATGCACAACACGTTGAAGAAGAAACTCAGCTTCGCCGATTACAAGAAGAAGATGAAGCCGGTCTAGTCTTGAAAACAGCGAGAGAGTCAATGGCCATTCGCCAGTGAAGATGATGATGATGATGGACGTTTTACCGAAAGTTCACACTACAAAAGTACTCGCGAGTACTTGGTTGAAAATTACCTCGTATTATTAAAATTTGAATGGATTTTATGGTTCGGTGTGTATAAGATGGTGGAACTTCCAACACCAGATTTGTGGATCTGGATAGTCTCAGTGCGAACTAAACCAGTTTATTCCAACTAGCTCGACTCTATAATGGCCCACAGAGCTTTGTTCCAGGTTATTTTCACGGGTGCTCAAGTGTTTGGGAGAGCGTTTTCCGAAGCTTACAAGCAAGCTGCTGTTCAAGCCAGTAAGCCTGGAGCTAGTGCTGCAAGAGCAGGAGCGGCCAAAGCCGAGTATGGGGGCATTACGCTTGACGAAAGTTGCAAGATTTTGAATATCGAAGACGAGGCCGATCGAGCCAACCCGCAGAAGATCGAAGAAAGATTCAAGTATCTGTTCGATGTCAACGACAAGGAAAAAGGCGGTAGTTTCTATCTGCAAAGTAAGATCTACAGAGCTGCTGAGAGACTGAAGTTCGAGTTGGCGGAGCGAGAAAAAGCAGAAGGTGAACGACAGTCAGAGAAGCCCGACAAGAGCGACAATGCTGGAAAACAACAATGAACCTGGTTTAGTTAGTTAATCTCTCTCCATTTTTCAGCTCCACTCACACTCCATTCAACAGCATATCCATACTTGTACATAGAAACCAGACTTGTAATAACAGACACTGTCTTCAATAACACACACATACACAGACGAGTGTGAAAATCAAACGCTGTAATAAGCTCGTATAGCGTCGTCCAGTCTATGGCATAATTCTACAAAACGACTACTAGCACATCATGCCATTAGAGACAAAGTACCTCCTACTACAAGAGTTTTTTTCTTTTACAATGTTCTGGCATGAGGAAGGGCACAACGGACAAAATTCCAAACTCTCAGAGCGCACTACACGCTCCTCTGGAAGACATGCTCTTACGCACAACAAATGTTGCACGCACCTCCTCATAGCAGTGAAAATTTAATCTAAGAAACCGGAAACGAAATGCGTTTTGTGGCCGACCTGTTTGGGGACGGTCAAAACTCATTCAGCTATGGGTTGTTGACTTGATTCGATAGATCCCGTACCAGTATCAACTTTAACAGAGCCCCAAACCTGCGGAAAAGGAAAATTTCCCAAACCACAGGCCACAAACTCCATTTTGAAATACACAGATCATCGAATCATTCGGTTCCTATAAAAATTTTGGTAATTAATATTATCTTGAGATAGTATTAACCACTACTGATGATTGGTTTCTTTAAAAGAAAGAGAAGGAGCGTATAAGAGAAACTCGTTAACTTTCATATTCTTGGTCTTTATATAGTCTTTTTTTTCGATTTGAGCCACAAAAACAAGCTGGCCGGGTAACAGAACAAGTTACCCGGCTGGTTTTAATGGCTCGAAATCTAGGGCCTTAAATGGCAATGACAGATTCAAGGGATAGTGATATGGATAAGTGTCATTCAACTATATGGCATTACAACTACAGGGCAAGACATCAATGAGGGTACTAGAAACGGGAAAGATGGAATTGTTGGTATCCAAGTGTAGACTAAATTGTGGGTATCTGTATGTTATAATCTGCAATTTCGAAGCTTGGAAAAATTCCCTTATTTGGAGTTCACAATTTGATAAAATCCGCATTCATGTCATCGCTGTCATCGCTGGAATATTGAGACGTTTCTGAGGTGTTCGAGGAGGAAGTGTGTCCATCTGCATCATCTTCAGAAGATTCAAGTGTCAGTCTCATATGGGATGGGTCCTCAGAACCATTTTTGAAAATTTCGTCACTTTTCAGAACACTGACGCCGGTCTGGATCTGGACACCTGCAGGTCGCAATCCATACCATGCAGGAGCGGTAGTCGAAGTGGTGCGAGGATCCTTTTTGCGGAGCGGTGGAAGAAGGTAATTTTCAAGCGGGATCTTGGTAAGGGCCAAGCAAGCCCGGTTTTGGCCGGAATGTGCATATTTGCAATGCGCTAGGAAACATCGCGAAGTATAAGATGCATCTGGACACTCCATGGCATGTGGAAAAGGACACGCCAAGCCCCGGTAGCAGAAACCAATGTGTGCAAATTGTCGGCATATTGGGTACCCATAAGAGCGGGCCTTTGTATGGATGTATTGACAGTGTGTGTGCTTGTCGTGTGACGACTGTTCCGCTCCGCTTTCAAACTTGCAATCACCAGCAGCAAATTCGGGACAGTCGGGAAGCACGTATTCGTTCCCAGTTCCATGCGTCAATCGGCAGTTGTCGCCGTAATTGCACCGGCCCGTTGTCAAAAAGTCTTTACAAATCGAGATGGTACGTGGATCGTGCACGAATCTGCAATTGGAGTTTGTACAAACCCCAAGTCTAGCGTAAAACTTGCAGTACACCGCGTAATTGTTAATGTTGCGAGGAATCACACTCAACCGATATGCGTTGCCAACCCATTGATATTTACAAGAATTCCACTCGATTTTGGGCAATTGTTCGAAAACATCGGACCAATCCCCGCACAGAGACCGCAGCCAGTTCATGTAATCCCGGTAAGACTCTTCTGACACATTCAACTCTTGTAGCGTCTTGGATTTGAACTCATTGAAATTCTGGTCTATTGCCTTTATTTCATTACGCGACAAACTGACGTTTTCCAACAAAACTCCCAGCTTTTGGACCTGGAAGATCCGCAAGTTCCCCAATGAATCCCGCACCGCGCACAAATCCAACTCCATATTATTCTGGAGGGCTTCCCAGATTTTACGAAATCTGGATTCTGCAATTCCATAGTTTGTCCTAAGTTTTTGTCTCCAATTGTCGATGGCCACCTTTTTTTCAGCGATTCTATCCACAACAACTAATTTCGTACCATAACGTACCAATTTAAACCGTTTCTTGGCCTTCTCAACGTTCAAATCGAAGTATTCAGTAATTTCATGATTCAAATTTTCTAGCTTTTCCAGCAGCTCTTTTTGAGTCAAATCGTCTCCCATAAAAGCCACAACTATAAGGTTTTTTTTTATCAAACCAAGTCAGTTTCCAGCAGCTGTTATCTCTCGACCTTTAGCCACCATTCGATGGAATCCCTTTGGTATTTATAGTCGAGTTTCTCGATTTTATTAATAGGCGATGAGCTAGTCTAAATTAGCTTAAATTTCGGTGAACTTGACTAAACTTTGTTCAACTCAGTTCAACTTTAAGAAAAAGAGTCGAGAAATAAGCCAGAAGATGGGTCGTGCTCAGGCTATAGAGTTTGGAACCAAGCAAATTCCACACATTATTCCTTTGGATGAAGAAAGCGCTCGCCAATTGTGCGAGCAAGTCCTGGAATCGCAGTCTAACGAACCGGACAAGATTGCTGAAAAACTCATGGAAATTCTGGGCTCTGAGGATATTTCACTCAACTTTGTGCTCCAATTCAATGAAAAACTGGGGTTGAAAGATTCACCATCAGTTGATGCCTCAACTCGACGGTCTGCTGAAAATGAGGTCAAAAAATCAACCTCATTTGCCAAGAATAAAGACATGTTAGAGCCTATAAAGTCAACTGGAACCCCAATTGCTCGTGTAGCTAGTCCTGATGCTAAAAAAGTGACTCTTTCAAAAACTAATGTTCCACAAGAAAAAACCCCTAAAGTTAACAGCAGGACTAGGAAATTGCAAAACCTTCAGGAGATCGACGACGTTCTCAAAGTTTTGGAGCTAGAGTCTTCAAATACAGACTCTACCAAAACCGCCTGCAACTGCAGGGGAACAAGACATCCGCTGTTTGAAATAGCCCCCAATTGTCTATCCTGCGGTAAGATCATATGCGTCTTGGAAGGACTCCATAGGAATAACTGCAGTTTCTGTGGTGCTGAGTTGATGACCCTGGGAGAGAGATCCAAGATTATAGACGCTCTAAATCAGGAAAAGCTCGAACTTACAACCGCAAATGTGCCAGTGGCACAGGCAAGGCCTAAAAAGTCCAAGGCTTACAAGATTACCTCGGGAACCGGTACTAACCTGTTTTCAGAGCAGGATCGACTGTTCCAAAGGATCGAGCGAGAAAAAGAACGTGAGGCAAAGCGTAAAGAGGTTTTGGAGGGCTTAGAACAAACCTCGACTGCAGGTAATAAAGAAGCATCCGATTTAGAAAACGAGGACCCAGAACTCAGGAATGCTCAGGAGCGCCTGGAAAAACTTTTACATTTTCAGGAAACGTCTGACCAACGAACTAAGATTATTGATAATGCTAGTGACTTCAGCATGAGTTGTGACTCGAACATATGGGGAAGCGCCCAAGATCGTGCACTCATGCTCAAAAAACAGCAAAGGAATATTAGACGATGGGAGAAACTCGAACAAGAACGTAGAGGCAAAAGGGATAAGGTTGTAATGGATTTGGTTATAGGCAAAAATGGCAAAGTTACGATGACAGAGGCTATAAGGCCTCAAAGAACGGCGAACGCTGGTGATGATGAAAGCAGGGAAGAAATAAGCGATGAAGAAGATTTAAAAGATCTAGAAGATATAGCACATCTGAAAGGCTCGCTGGCTCAGAGCTCAAAAGAAAGGGAACAAAAGCTATCGTCCAATGTCTGGGATCCAGAAAAGGATCGGAAACAGTTCAAAAAACCTGTATATACTCGCGATCGTGAAGCGCTGCCAGAACTCGATGAGACGGCGCATAAGGACCATGCGCTTGAGCAGTACCGGATTCAACGGGTACAAGTAAGTCAAAATGATGAAAATTCGCTCGAGCAGAATATCTTGGCTGTACTATGACGCATTTTTTTAGAGCTAGCATAGGAAAAGTTTCGATAGTGATCGTGCACCTCAGCGTTAAGAAGAAGTTGATGTGACATTTTCATTCAAATAATCGGTAGAACTTGATCAGTTAATCAATGAATTTTTATGTTGTGGACCTGAATTTTGACATTGGATGAAAAAAGATTTTAAGCAAATACATCGTTCTTACAGCTCAAGAGCAATGATGTTCCCGATGAATCTGGCACCGGTGCGGCCAACTCACCGTAGACACACATTCTGGAGTCGTAGAATGTTCTCCGGAACACCCGGCCTAAGGGCATCGGTTGTTAAAGTAATACTAATATACACACCTGTTCTTAATGCTTTAGTAGTTAAATTCCCTCTGGCTTTGGCGCATTGCGATGTCTGCCAAGCGAAGCATTTTCGTTCTCGTGTCCTCTTTGGGCTTCTTCGCTGTAGCTTCTCCGTTTTTATTATGAGAGCTTGCCGCTCCCATGGCTTTTGGTCTTTCTCTCAATGCAAAGCTCTTGGCCAAATGCCCTAAATGCAAGCATTTGACATTGAAATACTTCTTCTCTTGCGATAAATGTGTCGCGTATGCCCTTATGTGACTCATAAAGCCCTTTACAGCGAGCTCCTTAAAGGTTTGATCTTCCAGAACTCTTCTTTCTACGTTGAGATGCCAGGTTGTTGCGTTATTATCCCACTCGGTGGAAACGTCCTTCTCGGATCTTCTATCGCTTCTCAAAACGTTGGACTCCATGAAAGCAGGTTTGAGAATGTCTTGATCGAACTTCAACAATTTCCATCCTTTGGGATGGTAAGGCTTGATATGATCCATGTATGCCTCTTCTTCGCCCGGTAGTAAAAACAACAACGACTTACCACTCACACCAGCACGAGCAGTACGGCCGATACGATGTAGATGATCTTCTACAGCGAAAGGAGGGTCTAATTCCAATACGGAACTGACGCGCGGTAGATCCAGACCTCTACTGGCAACGTCAGTGCAGAACATTATCAGATGCTTTCCACGGGTAGCGTCAGTTTCGCCAGAAAAGCTTTGCAAGGTGGCAGTACGAGTCTGCTGTGATAAAGAACCGTGAAGTTTGTAGCATACCACCGATGGGGCTGTGACCTGCGACAGACAGGGCAGGGATGTAGAATTTCCAGATAACATTCTAGCAGAGTCACCAACCAAAGAGCGACTCTTACCATCATCATAGGAAAAGGCATCGTAGTGAAACTCCACGCTATCGGAACACGATAAGAACACGATTGTGCGGGTAGTTTCCTTGTTCTCAGCCGCGATATGCTCCGCGGTGATGTTGCTGAGTTGCGCTGCCAGGGTCACCAATCGCAGCTTTGGAGGAACCACAATGATGCTCTGCAGTAATTGATCTGGAACAGTGCTCACTTCTTGTTCTTTACGGCCGCTGCTGATCAACTTGTAATTCTTGAGTGTGACATTTCCAAGTTTAGTGACCCCACCTTTGAGCGTAGCACTACACAGCGTATGGGTGATACGATGCGGAAGCTGGGGAAACTTAAGGGTGTCTATAGGAACCTCGTGGAGAAAGCTGATGATCTTGGTGATGGTTTCTTCGAATCCAAGTTCCATTAGCTTGTCACCTTCATCCAGAACCAAATATCTCATTGTGGAGGCCATCTGTTCCTTGATAACCTGTGTGTTTTCTATGTGATCCAAAATACGTCCGGGTGTGCCAATGATGAAGTTACAGCCTTTGCGAAGTCTGGCTTTCTCGGATTTCTTGCGCTCTCCACCGATAAGCAGACATGGGACGATATAGTGACAGCACTGAGTCAGAGTCAACATCACAGAATAGATTTGCGAAGCCAGTTCACGCGTTGGCGTGATAACCATAGCAAAACAGCCAGATTGCCGGTCCACACGCTCCTCCAGTGCCAAGATTCGGGTCAGAATCGGTAGCAGAAACGCCAGAGTTTTACCGGAACCCGTTTGAGCATGAACGAAAACATCGTTTTGAGCTTCCAAAAGTGTAGGAATACTCAGCTTTTGGACCCTGGTGGGCTTACTGATGCGCATCTTGTTATTCAGAAGCTGCAATAACGGAGCTGCCACTCCAAGGGCTTCAAACGAGTCCTGCAAAAGCGGTGCGTTCGAAGGATCCACTTTGGAGTTCTCATCGTGAGCATTGCTATTTGCGGACGTGACCATATCCCTGTTGGAAGTGAACAGTGACGAAACGTACTGCTCACTATTGATATTACCACCGTTTCTGCCGTTTTTGGCACCTTTAGAATCAGCTTTTGGGGCTTTCTTCGCGGGAGTTCCGCGATCGGACGTCCTAGAACGCTTCAAAGGCAAGTTTCCCAAAGTTTCAGAACCCTGACCACCACGCTCTGCTGCTTTTTGTTGAATTTTTACCCTTCTGCGATCTTTCCATTTTCCGCCGTTTATCTTGGTTGTTTTTGGACCAAAATCGCCGCTGGAAGCGGTGTCGAGGTTCAAAAGCATCATACCATCATCGTCAGCCATTTTAATTGACCTAAAACCGTGTTATATGTATGGTTTTCAACGGTTTCCGGTCGCGATGAGCTAGGCGATGAGCTTGAACAAATATTGAAATTTTTCAGTGCAAGGTAAAGTGAAAAACATCGATGAGCTCTCGATGCCCATAGTAAGACAAGATCAGAAAAGCGACGATAAAACAATGTCTGAAACGCCCGAGAGGTCCGAAAGCCAGCTGTTTGTGACTGAGGACGATGAAGATGTGGCAATGGCAAGTGAAATGAGCGAAAACGGCGCTGATAACGACCCAGTGGTCACCGAGATACCGATCAACTTAACAAACGGCCCATTCCCGTTGCACATCTTGCAATATCTCAATAAACCGCGTAAGACAGCCCATGATGCAGTTCTGCATCCGCCTGTGAGCCAGGTACGATACAAGACGAAATCTGCGCTTTGGGAGCTGGAAGTACCGGTTAACACCGAGGTTTTTTACGATAGAAACAGGGCAGAAGACGGATGGGATTCCGTAGCACATCAGACTTTGAAAGGTGTCGGTGTGAAGAATGAGGGCCAGTACGTAGGTATGATGGTGGAGAAAGAGCTCTATTTGGCACCAGTAGAAGCCGTAGCACAGGTAAGACCATTTTTCAAGCATATAGATTTGGCAGCAGCGCGAGCCAAGCGGGAAGACGATAACTCCAACAACACACAACAGCAGCCGGCCAATGCACAGGCAAGAAAGGCCCAGATGGTGACGATGTCGGTCAAAAGTAGCAGCGAAGCGAACCAGCCGCGTCTGGGTGGAGCTTTGCTGGCACATAAGGTGGCAGACGAGGAAGCACCCGAACAACTGGAATGGATCGAGGGCACTTTCCCACAATTTCAGCAGAGTGTTGTGTCCGAAGAGGCTCGGGCCCGTCTGCAGCCGATCGGTGACAGCGACGACTATTTATCAAAGGCTATGTAAAAGAAAAGAATAAAATGAAAGATTTGGATATCGGGATACACCTCAATCGTACCACATCTTGATCAGTTCTTCTGAGACGGCACTGGGTGTGAGAACCCCGAGGTCTGTTATCAGCGCAGTGATATACTCGTGCGATGTGTAATCAATCCCCGGTTCGGCCATTGACTGCTCGACGGTTTCATCTCGAGTAAAATCCAGAGGCCCGGCCGTAGCAGGAAGATCGTCCGGAGACAATGGGAACATTCTTACAAACTTGTGCGATTCGGTGACAACGTACAACGGCTTGTTGGCATTTTTGGCTAAGACACCGATCGAATACGTGCCCACAAGGTTAATAACACCGCCGGATTCCGCAACGCCCTCGGCTCCTACCAGCACTTTGTCGACCTTATGTATCACGCTTCCCACTGCACTGTCGACGATTATTTTCGCAGGAATGCCCTTTTCCTGCAGATGTCTGAACAGCTGGGCACCTTGCTGCGTAGGTCTGGACTCCGTTACCACACAACGGAATCTCACGAATTTGTCTGCTGCATGGCTCAGTAAAGAATAGACAGCTCTAGAAAACCCATGAACCAAGATGATGTCGTCGTCGGAGATGAAATCCAGTCCAACTTGCGCAATACTGTCTCTGGAACGTTTGGCTCTTGAAACAAACAGCTCTCCGTTTTCAATCAAATGTTTTTTGCAACTTTCCCAGTCGCCGTAAAGGTGTGTATTTCTGAATACGAATCGGGTGAAAATATCACAACCGGCCCTTAGAGACATGGAGTTCGGGATCGAAGCCGTCAATGTTTCAGTTGCGCTTTTGATCGTGTTGATCATTTCCGCTGAAGTTCCTGGTTGCTTCACTCGCAGCATTGTCACCAATGACTCGATGGCAGCGATGGGCATGGTCATCTCGCTGTCCTGCTCCAGGAAGTTCAGATACGCCTGCGTAATATCAAACTCTTGGCTCATTTTTTGGTGCGGATTCGTTTGCAATACGTTTGATGGTCTCAAAGCTCTTGATAAGGCGCTTTACTAACGGTTTTGTTTCTCTGAAGTTTCGATTTTATAGTGTGTATTTCGATTATTTTTCAATCAACTGTCTTGAACTAGGCGATGAGCTCGAGACGAAAAGTTTCAAACGCGAAAAGAGTAGTTTTGAAAGGCACTAGGATCCATCAAATATGCTTCGACTGCGAAAGCCTGCTTTAGGCTTTACAACGCGCTTTTTTTCGTCCAAATACGATATCTCAGTGGTGAGAAACATTGGTATCATAGCTCACATCGATGCTGGGAAGACTACAACCACTGAGCGAATGCTTTTCGTCAGTGGGAAGACGAAACGAATGGGGAACGTAGACGAGGGAGACACTATAACGGATTTTCTGCCACAGGAGCGTTCACGAGGTATCACGATCCAGAGCGCTGCTATTTCTTTCAACTGGCAGAACAAGTATAAAATCAACCTGATAGACACACCTGGCCACGCAGACTTCACTTTCGAAGTGATACGTGCGTTAAAAGTACTTGATGGGTGTGTGACAATTTTGGACGCCGTTGCTGGCGTAGAATCCCAAACTGAGAAAGTGTGGAAGCAGGCTAAAGGAATCCCCAAGATCTGCTTCATCAACAAGATGGATCGGGCTGGAGCAGGGTTCAGCCGCACGGTAAAGGAACTTATGACCAAACTGAAGACCAGAGTGGTCTTGATCAACACACCTATCTTCGCAAGCGATGCTCAATCAGGAGAACTTGTCTTTGAAGGCGTCCTGGATGTGGTGAATCAAAAGACCTTGATTTGGGACACCCGAGATCCAGAAAAAGTGTCTATAAATAACGTTTTCGAGGGTTCAAATCGTTTTGAAGAGCTTTACAAGCTTAAGGAATCGCTCGTGGAAACACTCTCGGAATTTGATGAGCAACTGGTAGAATATTTTCTCGACAACGCGGATGGAGACTACATGAAAATACCTCCAGATGTGATCAACAAATCAATCAGAAAATGCGTGCTGAGCGGGCAAGTCTCACCTATACTATGCGGTGCATCATTCCGCAACATCGGGGTCCAGCCTCTACTCGATGCAGTCGCAAATTACCTTCCCTCACCGCTGGAAGCCAAACGTCCAGAGTTCAACAATGACGTTCCCATCACAGTGAGTGCAAAGGATGGCGCAATCATCAATAAAAATAAAAATTTCTGTGTTGCACAGGCTTTCAAAGTTATTACAGATCCTATAAGAGGAATTATGATCTATGTTAGAGTCTACTCCGGATGTTTGAACAGCGGTTTCTCAGTTTATAACTCTTCCACTGGTGCTAAATTCAAGATTGGAAAGCTAGTTGTGATGCACGCCAATGTTGCCGAAGAGGTCAAGCAGCTAAGATGCGGAGAGATTGGAGTGCTTACAGGATCAACGGTTTCAGAAAATGTAAGAACGGGCGACACCATAATCGCCCACAACATGAAAAAAGATGGACTTCGCTCTCTGGACAAAGTCAAAGAGCTTGGTCTTAAAATCAACCCAATCGACAGCCCACCTCCTGTTTTCAGTGCTGCAATAGAACCACGAACTCTAGGAAACAAAAAAGTCATGGAGGAATCTATCGCTGCTCTCATAAGGGAAGACCCTAGTTTACATGTGCGTATTGATGAAGAAACGGGACAAACGCTCTTGAGCGGTATGGGTCAATTGCATCTTGAAATAGCCAAAGATAGGTTGTTGAACGAACTCAACGCTGACGTTGAGGTCGGGAAAGTTATGGTATCCTTCAAAGAGACTTTGAGTTCCAGTACGATGCTGAAGAAAGTAGAAACAGAATCGGGATATCGTCTGTCGATTTTAGTAGAGCCTTTAGCAGATGCCGAGGACAACAGAAGCTCCAACGAAGACTGGCACTATCTTTCCACGGACAACAATTTCTTAGTGGTTGAAAAATCGCCTGTGTTCACTTCTCACAATTGGCCCTTGCAGATATCATATGCACAGTTTGTGAGTGCCATAATGTCCAGCAGCATTGTTGCTCTTCAAAAAAGCGGCAGAATCGGACAATTTCCCTTGCACTCGTGCGTCGTCAGAGTGAAAGGTGACTGGAATGTTCCAACAGATGCAACTTCCGTATCACAGGTGCTGACATTGTCGCGCTCACTAATATCCAACACACTGACAGAACTTAATGATTGTGCTTTCGCTATTTTGGAGCCGATCATGAATGTGAGCGTCAGCGTCAAGCAAGAGGATATCGGAGACGTTTTGCAAGATCTGACAGGTGCACGCAAGGCCAACGTCCTAGCTATAGACGACGAGCACACACTCAACAATGGCGAGGATACGGATATCGTTTTCCAGAAGCTAGCTGAGGAGCAATATCTCCCTGTGGACACTACTCTAGGTCAAGCCAACATTTCAAAAGGTGCCACCGTCAACAAAATTATCAGAGGCTTGGTGCCTTTGAAAGAAATGGTGATGTACACGAACAAGCTTAGAAGTTTGACACAGGGGAGAGGAACGTACCACATGGCTTACCATGGGATGGAAAAAGTCACCAATGATAGGATTTCCAGTATTCTAGAGGGATACTAATTGGGCCCGCACAGTTGCAAATTGTAAATATTTTCTGGATGCGGAGCCAGCATAGAAAATTTGTAAATATAAGCAAAGGACTATTGATGAAGCACCATCGTATGAAGTACGCGGCTAGGTTAAACCTAACGTAACGCCATTGCTCGTTCGTGCTGTCATCTGTCATCTGAAAAGCTTCAAAGAGTATAATGCCTGCGTTAGTTCTTCATCATCAACAAGTCTTATTCCTCGTGGCCCAATGGTCACGGCGTCTGGCTACGATTGTATCCACTTCTGAAACCAGGAGATTCCAGGTTCGAGTCCTGGCGGGGAAGACTTTTATTTTTTGTCTATCTTTTGACTACTCTAAATCGAGAATCAATTTTGAAGAGTGGTGTAGGAAGCTGCTGTTGTAATCGTCATGCCAGCGGCGAATCAATAATTGTTGAAGTATTCTAAGAACTAGATTTTAACAAATAACTCGCGATTTCCGAGCCAAAGAAATTGGACACTTCGTCTTTAGAATCATCCAAGTGTGTGACTCTGGAGGCCATCTTCAACATTTCGTAGTTTATTTCAGCCGTTAGCCGGGAGTCTTTCTTGTAGCTTGGGTGTGTGGTGATGTATTCACGCAAGAAATTGGCAGTAGTGGGTAAAACACCCGTGGCTCTATCATGTACCAATTTCAAATAGTAGAATAACCTCACCTGGGCAGGATCAGAAGAGTTCTTTAGCTCTGTCCAGGAAGACGAGACCCACTTTTTATCTTTCAGAATGCGATCTATAAATTGTGGGAAAATCCCAAAAGCCGGATGGTGGAATATCTCGGCGAATGTGTATTTTCCGGTGCCCTCTGCAGTGAAACTTGACTTCCAGTAGAAACGCTCACGCAATACTGCGTCGCGGTGATGGGCTAGCTCCATGTTCTGCCATACCTGTGACATGGGCACGTAGTTATCAATTTCGTTGCTGAACTTCAAGATACACTCGACGATAAGGTATATGAAGTTTGCGTAAGCGGCGTTTTCGAAATCAGTAAGGTGTATTTCCATGGGTCTGAACTCCACGCGCCACCCTGGAGCGGTCTTGTTGTCTGGCGTTGCAGCCTGAGTAGGGGGCTTGAAACGTAGAGTTTGCCAGTTCGTGCTCTGAATGTTTTCGAAATGGTCCGTGGAATGTTTGTTGTCTTGATCTATGAGTTCCTGGAATAGCACGAGCGGGTCTCTGATGAAAAGGTGCGAAAAATGACGGGCTAGATCGTAATCCATAGGGAAAAGTGAATTGGTTTGCAATTCTTGTAAAGCACCCTCATTGATTGGAACGTCTGCATCGTTAAATTTGCGATCAAAAAACGCATTGCCTCCCAAATACAAGTCTACAGCGCTGTATCTCGATTTGGGAATCCGCTGTGGAATTGGTTTGGTAGAATGACCATGTGCGTTGTTGTGTTCTGGCAATAGGGGAGCAACACTGCGCTCGTAAGGCGTACGGTCGTCCACAGCACTAGAAATGACGTTCCAACGCACGTCCTGGTCCGCCAGCCAGCCCTTGAAAGCAGGAGACGCCGCAGTGGCGGCCAGAAGTATGGGTGCAAAATTCACGAGCGCATCGTACAGATATCTGGCCTTATCAATGGTAGGGGCCTGGAAAGTCAATTGCAAGCAACTGCAGCCCATTCCAAACCCCATCGAGTCCATGTAAATGAAACCAGGTTTTGCAGCCAATGGGGCCTCCAGATCTTCGGGCGTGAACCAGTCACGCTGATAGACCGTGTCATCGCTTTTGGGCGTGTGCTCGTCCTGAAACATCGGTACATTAATGCACACTTTTTCGCCACGTCTAGTGCGGATATTAGCCGTCAACGTTGGGAACCGGGCATGCCGGTTGATAACCTGGTCGGGCAAGTAAAGCGATCTGGACGCAGAATTGTGGCTACTCCAAACTTGTCTCACGTCTGTAAAGCCCTCACACCCCATTCGAGGGAAAACCGCCAATGACAACAGCTCTATTCCTCTTGCACCTAGTTTCCGTTCTGCAACTTCTCTTCTACTTGCCATATTTTCTTCCACGTATTGGAGGTCAACCCCGGTGAATGGACGAGCTGGGGTAGCCTCGATCATGAACCGGCCATATTCCGGATGGAAAGATACGTTTTGCGCGTCGCACAGCCCTTTATCTTCTATGTTCAATTCCGTCAAAACGTCATCGTCATCGATTGCCAATACTGCTGTGTTTTGTCGGTCGTCGAATTTGCATGCCATGTATTCGATTTCATCGCCCCACAACAATGGATCGTCTTTTCTACCATGTGCAGCCCGGAAAATGTACAGTAACTGCTGTATCCCGTTTTGTCTAACATGTTCATTGTGCGGGCGAGATTCGTACCATTGCAATGGCGTACCTAGCGAAAGTAAGCCCATTGGAGAGCGAATCAGGAGCTGGAAGAAGAAATTACCCTAAGCTGGTTTATCTCTGTTTTTTTATACTCCCTCGGTTCTCCTTCGATGCTCTTAGCCACTGGACGAACAACTATTTCACTGACAAATCACAGGAAATTGCAATATACACCACCGGAAAAGTTTTACGACACTGGCAATGGGTGTGAGCGAGTTGTTGACGCTATGCAATTAACGCTGCAACAGTCCAGTTTTTATAGCTTCGAGAAACTTTGGCTTGGTTATAGATGGACTCTCAAGACGATAATTGAGTGGGCCGGAATAAATTGAGCTTTAAAAGAGGGTCTCTGTTAATATTGTGTCTTCAACCACAGACGCCTCGCTTTCCTTGGACCCAGCGATGGATAAGGAACCCTAGAGGAGCAGCTGGGGTGGGACACGAGGGAATGTCACATGGCGGGATGAAAGTGACAACAGGTGAAGGACTGGTGGACGGAACAATACAAGGTAAGCGGTGGTCGTAGAACACAAATAAGTAGATTTGTGAAGCAGTGGGAAGCAGACACAACGTTACAAGAATTGTAACACAGCCCGTGGATATCAATTGGTAGGTCCACTGGTCGTCTCAATGGTTGATGAATAACGGGCGAATCACGTGCCAGCGCGATTGCACGAGAAAGTCTTTGAATACATCCAGTTTTGGTAGCTGCAGGCGAGAGAAATCCAAAGGTCGCCAGATACTGAGATCTTAGTCAGAGGATAGCAGCGCCATAGTCTGTTGCTTTACAATTTACCGTGAACGGCACGACAAGACTGTCCATAGCGGAGCCCAACTTATCATTTATATCCCGCATGAGAGGCTTTCCGCATTCATCATCCTCGAGACTGATGTGTCGTAGAACCAGTAGGTAGCCGGTTGTGCCCGACAAACGTGCTTTGTTTCTCGAGACGTGTTGCTGGGACTTTTTGCAGTAGCATGGGCTCACAAATCGTAGTTTTTCATTCCAGTAGGTGTGTCCATTTTTGTCGTTCTAACACGGGGACTCTGTAGCATTTTCCAATGAGATTCCAACCGACACCTTTACGTAGCGAATGTTCGATCCTAGGATTTCTACGACCACTTTAGAAGCTGTCTGCCAATCGATTCCAATTGAGAAGACAGTTGCGGTGAATTCGAAGACCTCGTAGACCTCGAAGAAACAGCACAACAAAGTCGCACTCACAAACAATGCAGATGACAACGTCTGTCATGAAGGGACTGAATTGACACCAAAAGTGGATTTGCCAAGCGATTGTATGGCCAGATGGTAGGCTGCCAGTTTTTGCTAGCATCCCGATTCTCCGTGTTTGGTCTCGAAATGTTCTTTCAAAACCTGTTTTGGGAATTGAATATAGCGCCCATTGCACAACAAGAGAAAGTGGAATTGCAACTGACACATTCGGGCTCTGAGTCTGTACAAAAGTTCAACCACGTCTGAACATCCTTTTTCCAAGCTTATATCAAGGTTTTCGCCTGAACCACTTTGCAATATCGTTTCATATCGTATGAGAGCTGCCAGCATCCACCAACCGAGCTTTAAATACTAGTACTATTCGTTCATCCGTCACACTCCTTAGCAACATCCTGCAAACTGAAAACATTTGTCAGTTTTGTTTTGGCATCACTATTAAAGCACGCTAATCAAAAAAGACATTCTCCATTGATTCTTGATTCGGATCAACTCCACACCAGTTACTGAACCCCTTGGCATCAGCCACCTCCACTGTTTGTTGTACTTTCCATCTGTTTCGATCTTTCAATAGCCGCTGATGGGTGATTGAGATTATATTGGTATTATAAAGTCGTACGGAGTGATTTATATTATGGGTAGCGCTCGGGTTTTTTGATATCTAAAAACGGGTTGTATATGGATACTTACATATTCGATTAACAAACAACCCGTTTGTCGAGTTTCGGGTTGTTCTCATTCCGCGTGTCTGGGTCTTTCCTGCCGACGACAGGGAAGCAGAAAAGTGATAGTAACGAGTTCGGCGTGAACACCCGTGAGTTACGCTAAATCGGACCAGGAATATGTATGTTGTAAATCTAAATATTGGTTTTTTTGTATTTATTAACTTCATTCGAGGGGAAACCCGTTTCCAAATCTCGGATATCATTCACCAATTATAACGCCTCCATCAATCGCTCTTTGTGAAATAACTTAAGACCAGGTTTCCTGCTAACGGATGTTTCCAGTGCTTGTCTGTTTCTCTAGCGTCAGATTACATGATGAGTTTATAGATTCTTGACATCATGTGACCAAAACTCATTGCCGTAAAGTACAGTCGAATAGTGGTACAAGTCATCGTGAAGCATACAGCAACCATCAAGATCATTCTTTATAATGGGAAAAATTCTCAATCAAAACAATCTCGCTTGATAATAGTTCAGAACTTGACCAAAATGGAAACCAGCCTCAAATCGTGTAAAACCGTTAGTCCTGCAGAGACACTCCAAAGACCAGATTCCACGACTTTATTGAACAACTAGTAGCCTACTACTCCTAGATATTGTCTAGGCTTGTCTGTAAGCGAGGGTTACTGGCATTTGGTGCACCAACCTTGTTATCATCATCAACGAGGTGCAAAGCTCTGTATGATGTGGGACCGTTAATCACATCTCGTCTCATCGCGATGTTCAACGGTGTTCATGCAACACCATCTCTGAAGCCAAGAAGTAGACAAACAGTTAAAGTCAGCCTGTAAAACACATTCTAGAACCGTCTCAGGAAGCCAATCACTTGTCGAGTATGTTCACTCTAAAAATTCTTGGCTCGCTTTCCATAAAGTTGTCTAAATGCTCAACAATGGAATTTCAAAAAACTATTTAATGGGAACAATGGTGGGGCATTGATTCTTATTATAGTCTTAGCTATATTTCAATTGCACTGCTTATCTATCGCATCTTAGATCGCGGCTGTTTGAATGCTTAGTGCATGTCTTTCGACGCCTTTGTTTGCACACACACACGGCCCTTCTCACTGGCATTTCCGAAAGCCCCGCATAAACCATTCAAAAACGTAAAATCGCGTGTTTCAGGACACTGTGAACACCACAATCAATTACTTCTTACACTCTAGATGTCCCTTACCACCCCTCCGAAACCCGCTCAAGCCGCGGTATCCCAAATTCCCGATAAAGCCTTCCATATCACACACTTTCAATCACCTCCTCATCATCACTATACATCAAAAACCCTTGATACAACCCAAAAATCCACAAACTGAGTGATAATTCGCGTCAATGGCTCACCAGTCCGATCATTTGGCCAATGCTAACCAGACTGTAACCACCAATACCTACGACTGGCTTCAAAGCCGCGAAAACGAGGAAAGATTGAGCAGATCAGCTCAAAATTCAGCTGCTATAAGACATACCGTTGAAAGATGGACAAGTTTTGTTCGGTATGGTAACGAACTCGAGAATGCTTCTAGACCGGCCAATCAAGCTCGTTACGAAATACAGTATTCTGTGTTTGAACCGCTGTTTGGCTTTACCAAATGGCCGGAACTCCCCGATAGGAACGAGATTAAAGAGTCATTTCAACAACTGGTGCAAGATTGCACAGATGCTATAGCCAACCACGACATAGAACTGCAACTAATAAAGACCGGATCCAGTGGGTCGTACTTCGTGTATTCGGTAGCGAGTCCTGAGACCCCCGTGGGCGTTTTTAAGCCTAAAGATGAAGAACCGTACGGCCCACTGTCACCCAAATGGAGCAAGTGGGCGCATCGAACCTTCTTCCCCTGCTTTTTCGGTCGCAGCTGTTTGATTCCAAACCTAGGTTACGTTTGTGAGTCGGCTGCCAGCGTATTAGACGAACTATTGGGTACCAGGTTGGTCCCCCACACCGAAATTGTATCGTTGAGGTCCAAAAACTTCTACGACAAGAAAAGAGCCTGGTTCTCAACACAGCCGCGTGTCAAGACCAAGACAGGGTCTTTTCAGCGGTTTGTAGAAGGTTATGTTGGTGCTGGCGAGTTTCTGGATAAACACCCCTTCCCTGGCGTATACAAAGATAAAGATCAGCCGCCACAGCAGCAAGCTTCAGACCAGTTTCACTGGAATCGACAAACTTTGTCCGCGTTCCGGATCGAAATCGAAAAGCTGATTGTTCTGGACTATATTCTGCGCAACACAGATCGTGGACTGGACAATTGGATGATCAAGGTCACGCAATCGCCGGACAATTCGTGGGACGTCAAATTGGCTGCAATTGACAATGCCCTGACTTTTCCCTGGAAACATCCTGATGAGTGGCGATCCTTCCCATACGGATGGCTTTACCTTCCAGTAAATATCCTGGCGCAACCGTTTTCAGAAAGCACACGAAGACATTTTCTCCCACTCTTGACGAGCACTACATGGTGGGAACAATGTTTTACGGAGCTAAGTGCACAATTTGGCCGCGATCAGGAGTTCAAAGAACGCATGTGGAAAAAACAGTGGTGTGTTCTTAAAGGACAGGCTTTCAGCATTGTCGAGACGCTCAAAACTCCGACGCAGGGTCCTTTGGAATTAGTGCGCCGCACTCGTACTATGGTGATTGACGATTTTATGCAAGTTCCATCAACCACCCTGCCATTGAACATTCTTCACCACGCAATGGAAGAGCCTCTATCGCTCTCTGCTTCTTCTCCCATGGTTCTCTCGTCCGTACCGGAAGAACATACAGCCTCTACCAATCCAGCCGTGAGCGCGACAGGAAAAAATAATGCTGTCGATGTGACGGAAGAGCTCACATCGGCCTCAAAAGACTGCACCTACAAGAAAGTCGTCATCGAGAGACTAATGGTGGTTAACTCAAAACCGCCGGTCTTCACTTGGTGGTGATGGTGGAGTTCTACTAGCGATCTTCGAACTAAACGTGTGAAGCGATCGTGTTTGAGAAATGCTATTCACGGTGAACCTTTTGAAGATCCAAAAGAAGACGCACAGATCTCGACAAAAACATCACTAGGGATTAAATCTCCGCTGTTCGCAATTGCATTGCACTTGCTTGACATTAGTCTTTGCTATTTACAACTTTCCTAATGAACCTTTTATCATGGAGAAAGAAGAATGCTGGCAATAGCTCTACCACTACGTTGAACAACGAAAATCATAAGGACGCATTGTTCAAGGATAGTAACCTTCGATCCGTCGAAAACTTGACAGGGCATATGGATCAAAATCCTCGAATACTAGAAAGCCAATTTGGCGAGAGTTTCACGCTGCGAGGAAACCTACTACAAAGTTTAACAGGACCTAAACTTCTTGGAATTGGGCCTCCGGATATGGTACACGTTACGAAATACGACAAATTCCGGCAAATGGAAATCGGTGAATATCACTATTTGACAGGGCTCGATACATCTAGTGAAGCGGCACCAATTGCATATCTAAATGCATTAAAGTTAAGCGATGGACGGCAGACGGCACCTTCTAGTGCTTCGAGCTCTAAAAATGGACATAGAGTCATGACCTATTGCACTACTAATGTGTTCAGCAATGTCGATATCCGAATTAGGTATGAATCGCCTACGCATTTTCAGGTAATTGCAGTCGACGCTCTGTCAGGTTCTTCAAACATCCAGGTTTCGTCTAAACTTTGGGAAGAAACATTTGTGAGCAGTTTTGTACGTGCTGTGGTGATCAATACCGATCGAGAAAGGAAACTTCCGGGCCTTGTGGAGCTTTCAATTGCGCTAGAGAATGGAGGGTTTTATGCTGAAAAATGTACCGCGTTGCTTTGTGAGTTTTTGCCGCGTGGCCCAGAATTGGGTTGCGATTTGGCTCGACACAGCTATGTGTCTTACAAGAATAACTACTTAATTGAATCATTATTGACATTTTTGCAGATAGCAGGAAAACTCAACGGGCCGGTCATCGAAATGCTACAGAAACTAATCGAGACGGATGCACCAAATGAACAATGCTACAGGACAGCACTAACGTCAGTGCTGATCAACAGTGAAGCTCATGATTCCTTGGCCATCAGGACTTTGAATGAAAGCATGTCAAGTTTGTTCGCGACTGGCGCATCTAGATTAGAACAAGACCAACTTACCTATGTTTCCGATCTTTTAAATTTGCAAATTGAATTCCTTCTCTGTAAAGGTGACTTTCAACTAGCATTGCCATTGGCCAAGAGGTCTACTGCTGTATGTTCTGATAATTTCGAAGGATGGGTGAAACTGGCAAGATGCTACGTCTTGTCTGGAGACTTTAAAAATGCTCTTTTGGCAATCAATTCTCTGCCTATGCTGCCATCTTCAGACCCATCCCGAGAAGCCTTATGGCAGAAACTTTTCGAAAACAATTTCTATTATTACAAACCACTCGGTACGGGTCCGCGCTCTTATCTGCAATCGAGCGAGTACAATTTTCTGTCCAACACTCTAAAGGTTGTGAAGGACCATGACCTGAGTTCGATGATCTACGGGCGGATTGTAATGCCGCCTCAGATGAACCGCGGTTGTATCAATGAAATTTGGGATGGTCCCTGCTCAGCCCTGGGTCCTATTTATGGTCCACAGAGTAAAAACCTGATTAATTTCGTGTCCCCACAGGAGGTGGCCTCACTAGAGGATTCAGATCTGCTGAGAAGAAACACAATGGCCTCACAGCTCAGCTGGTCGCTGTCGTGCGCATATGAGGTTCTCATGAGCGTGGTGGCAGATATTGGGTGGAACAAACTGCTGGAGCTGCGTTCGGAGATCTTTGTTATGGAGCGAGAGCGCTCTGAAGAGTTCACTCCTACGCTCCGATCAGATTTCAAGACCAAACGTTTGTGTGAGAAGTGGTTAGATGACCTCTTCTTGGGTCTATATGAGGACCTTAAGATCACGTACAACGCTCAAGAACATCGCGAAGAAAAGTATAGCGGCTTAGAATGGGAACTGCTTGGACTTACACATCTTCGCACCTGGAACTGGACCGATGCTGTACCGTGTTTACGGACCAGCGTCATGGCCCGATTTGACGTTGTCAGTGCAGATGCTCTGCTCGATCTGTTTCTGAGCCGCAAGCATCCCGTTTCCGAAGTACTGGATCCAGATGTTTTGCTGGCTCTGGTTGTCGACAAGATCAGTTACGATAGTCGTTTCTACAACTACTTACAGTTGCCAGCCCTGCACGTATTGACCCAACTTTGCACGCTTTCCGGATTGGATAACGTGAGAAACCGAGTTTATGCACTTCCTAATACACAAAGAGGGATAGTTGCTTTAATGGATAAGCTACTGGACTACATCTCTGAATTGAATGGCTAACCGCTACTTACACAGCTACCATCAACGTTGACGTCTCATTTCGGATTCGAACCCAGGTCTATCAAATGTTTCACGTGACTAAACTATAACTTGTAATATGTTCATTACCCGACCCTAAAAATTTTTTTCCTGTTATGGCTGAACTACAATTCAAAATTCCACCTGTATGGAAAACTAGACACTCATTGACGTTGATGTTGAAACGGCCATAACTAGCCTTATTAGTGATCGAACAAGTGAATTTTGTGCGGTTGAGTGTTGATTACCGTTTTATGGGGATCTGGAGCTTTTCTCTGCAGTCCAAACGGCCAAACACAAGGGATTTAAGCGTGGATAGATTAAGGGCCCGACAGGACAGATATTTTAGAGAAGATTAAGGGCTGCTGGCAGTAAAAGCTTAGAGAAAAAGCGTATTTGAGCATGTCAGGGTCGTTTTGGAAGTTTGGACAAAACTATGCCAATGAATCGCCGTTGTCGAAACTCCTGAACCGGGCTTTTATCAAGGTGGGAGATGTGAAAAACAGTGAAGACAAAAGCAAGGCGGATCACGACAAGGTCGATAAGATACTTTCTCCACCTATTAGTCACAGTTCCGACGAGGAGAATAATGAGGTATTCACAAGAGGAGGAGCTACAGGAGATCAGAAAAAAATACCAAAAGAAGGGGGAAAAAGTGAAGATGGAGAAGATGAAGAAGAAGAAGATGATGATGAAAACTATGGCGAAGACGCCAAAGGCGAAGATCGGGAAAAGCTGCACGAGCATGGTGGTACCGAGAGCGATGATAACGAGGAGAATAACGAAAATAGGAATTCGTTTACCGATCAACCAGATAACGAATCGGATTATAAAGACTTTGAACCCAACATGGACGTTCTCGACGAGCTGCTGGATGATGAAGAGCTTTACACTGAGCTCATGTGCTCAAACTTCAAACTTTTGATCTATTTTAAATATCCACAGGTGCTGGCGCGACTCGTGGAATACGTCACCAACGAGCAGTTACTGAACGAGAATCCTGAGGACGACAGTGCAGAATCAGACACACATGAGAATACTAGCGATTCCAACAGTGTGTCGTCACAAGCCGATGATGATGCAGGCCAAAAGAAGAGTTCAGAGCCGAACGAGTCGAACGATACCTCAAAAACAGCAAGCAAGGATGTCAACAACTCCGAAACCGCTTCTGTGTCATCTGCTGAGACCAGCATAACCCTTCCGGCAGACTCTGAAGAGCAATCTGAATCCAGACGCGCACGCATGGCAGCCGAAATCCTCTCGGCTGATGTCTGGCCAATTTCTTCAGCATTCATGGACCATGACACACTTCTGACCCAACTATGGTCGATGCTAGATCATCCAGCTCCATTGTCAATCGTGCCCTCCACATATTTCATGAAAATTAATGAGAGGTTGCTGGACATGGACGTTACCGGCATCTTGCATTTCATTTTGGCCCAACCGGATTTGGTCAACAAATTCCTCACGCATATCGATAACCCACCTTTAATGGATTTTTTACTTAAAGTCATTTCAACTGATAAACCGGACTCGTCAACAGGTGTCATCGGACTTCTAGGGAGCCAAGACTTGATACCTAAGCTTCTGGATTGTTTGGAAAGTGAGCAAACAGCTTCCACGAAGTCTGCCGCAGGTGATTTTTTGAAGGCACTTATAACAATAAGTGCAAACTCTAATAACGAAATTGCATCCGCTATTGGACCAAATGGCCTTACAAGGAAACTGGTTTCGCCGCCAATGGTGGAAAAACTTATGGGCATAATGCTTTCTGGCGGCACTTCTCTCAGTAATGGTGTGGGTATTGTTATCGAACTAATCAGAAAAAACAATTCTGATTACGACTTCGTCCAAGTAATGTACACCACATTGGAAACTCACCCGCCTAATGATAGAGATCCCATTTATCTCGGATACTTAATTCAGTGCTCTGCAAAGCACTTGCCTGAATTTAATAAGATTCTGGTAGACACGGAATTGCCTCCTTTGGAGACCCCCTTTGGGTTTATTGAGCCGTTGGGCTTCGAGAGGTTCAAAATCTGTGAACTCGTGGCTGAACTTTTGCATTGCTCTAACATGACGCTACTCAATGAGCCAAGTGGAGAGCAGATGGTGATCGAAAGGGATATTCTGCGGGAGAAAATTCTCCGGCTCGAAAAGAGCGAGGATCTTCAAAGTAAAAGCGAAGGCGGCTCCGGAACTGACGATGTTGTAGACAAGATGGCTGATTTAAGGATAGCTACCACAGATGCCAGCAACAGCAGTGACGAAGAAGAACAAGATACCAATTCTAAAGACGCTCCACATACGGCTAACGAGGTATTATCCGACGATTCAACTGATAGCGAGGTATCTGAACAGGCATTGCGAGAGAACCCTATTGTTGGTGACCAACTCAAGATCGCTCTACAAGACAATCGCGTAATAACCACCATTTTAGAGATGTTCTTTTCGTTTCCATGGAATAACTTTTTGCATAACGTTGTGTTTGACATTGTTCAACAAATTTTTAATGGCCCGCTAAAGACGGGTTTCAACAGGTTTCTAATAGCCGACTTGTTCAGCGGAGCTAAACTTACGCTCATGATTATGGAAGGAGATAAAAAATGTGAAGACTACGAAAATGAAACGGGATTAAGACTCGGTTACATGGGCCATTTAACACTGATTGCCGAAGAGGTTGCGAAGTTTGCTGCTTACGTGAATGAAATGAAGATAGCGTTCGCTACACCAGCGATTTCTGAGAGCTTGAACGAATCTGGATGGAAGAAATACACCGAAACAGTGCTTGCTGACACTCGCGAAAATTATAGCTCTATTCTTGGGGACTTTGAAGAAGAGGAGGATGACAACGAAGACGATCGCGTCGGTGAAAACGCAAGAGCTGGAAGTTCTGAAGGTAACGCCAACGATGACCTTGATTACCGTAGTTATGGCCATAGTGGAGATGAAGAGGATGATTACGCTGAGTATAATGCCGTGGACAGCCCACGCTACTATCAATACGATGACGGACAAGGCAACAAAACCAACCTTCATCTGAATCCCGAGATAGATTACGACATCAATCCAGGAGCCTTCGAGAGCGACAAGTCTCATGATTTTGACGACGATCGGGATGAAGACGATCACGAGCGGAGCGAGGAATCCGAAAATCATGTGGCTGGTGCTGATGAAGGAAAGGGGAACAACAGCAAATTCAGCAACTACATGTCGCATCAGCTTTCAAAAGAGTTCAACACTTCCTTTTCCTCAGATGACGAAGAAGAAGAAGAAGAAGCTTGGACTAGCCCAATAGGAGGAGGCTCGGATTTTGATTCCAAAAACGACAGGTCTGGAGACGTTCGGCAAAACAGTGCATACCATCCATCGCAGTTCAGACTAGAAGACGACGAAGACGATTACATGGATCCTAACGATGACGGCCTGTCTTATGCAAAACCCAATCACCCTCTATACGACAACATGCTGTCACGAAAAAACTCTGGCAGCCATTTGTATTTCAACCAGGATCCTTCGAACCTCGAGGAGACTGACGAAGCCAGTGATGAAAGTGACAGAGACGATGGGGAGGACGAGGATGGTCAATACTCTCTATGTCGCACTTCCAGCAAAGATAACATGGCATGGGACAGTTCGGAGCAGAACCGCATAATCAGCACGGCCCAGTACAGACAGAATCTGCAAGGACCTGATAAGTAGATACGTTGTCCTCATAATGTCTGATTTCTGTCGTCTACATCTCATTTGTTTTTTTGTCTGGAGTATCGCAAATTGCAATGCCTTGGCAACCCAAAAATTCTTTCTGTTCTGTATTTTGAATTAATGCATTTGTAATTTTAGAAAGTGGTGGACACAGTCGTTGTTGATGGAAAGCGACTAACAGGCCAACTCATCTTAGCGAGCAGATACTTTATGACTATGGTGAATTGATTCTACAATGTCGTGCGACACATTCGGCCAAAGTGATATTTAATTTGAACTTGTCATGTTTGGGTCAATTTATACGCTTATAGTTTATAAAGCTCAGAGAAAGATGTGCCGAGCTTTTGGAAGCTAAAAGCAGCTTGATTTCAAGGCATCTGAGACCAAAAAAAGACTATCCTTGACGAGTCACGTGATACCTACTTAAATATTAAGATCACCACTATATATTCATATTGGCAGAATGAACCAACAGCTCATCTCTATTCATTTGATGATCAAAAATCTGAAAGAAAGAGCTCAATTCAGGCTTTTTAGGCCCTCAATACCAACGATTGAGAATCATAGCTCAAATAGTCAACGACAAGCTCACTGAAGCTTCTAAAGCCGCGTCTTTTTCAACTTTTGGAATAAAATTTGAACGAAATATAGTTACACTTTAATACCCAGATTAAAATGGCCGCTAAAGTTTCTCCTGTGAGTCCACTGGCGCTATATAACTTGGTTTCTGCCGGTCTATGGGGTTTTTTGCTGTTTCAGGCTGTGACTACGTACCCAAAAGTTGGGCAGCCGGCCTTTTTCTACGAAACCGAGGGTTATTTGACAGTAATTCAATGCGGTGCGTTGATTGAGATTTTGAATTCTGTGCTAGGAATTGTGCGTGCTCCGCTACTGACCACTGTAGCACAGGTAGCTTCTCGACTCCTGGTCACTGTAGGAATTTTCCATTATCTACCAGAGGCCTACAATGCCCATAACGCTATTTTTCTGTCACTTTTGACCGCTTGGTCTGTGACCGAAATTGTACGGTATCTGTTCTACTTCTTCAATTTGACAGTAGCCAGTGGTCCTCCTAAGGTTTTGGTTCTCTTGCGTTACAACCTGTTTTGGCTGCTGTATCCTATGGGAGTGGCCAGTGAGCTATTGATCATCTACTCTGCCCTGTCCATTGCCGAAGCCAAGTACTCCAGCAACATCAAATGGGCATTGGCCGCCAGCATGTTGATTTACATACCAGGCTTCCCAATGCTGTACTCACATATGGTGGTTCAAAGGAAGAAAGTGATGAAGTCATTGCGAAACGCGGGAAAAAAGCAAGCTTAGTGATGTGAAGCGAAGGAAATGTACAATATGATTCCTAAACTAGACACCAGAATTTTCACGACACGAAACACACATACGTTTGGTCATCAGGCTCATCAGGCTCATCAGGCTCGTGACAATCATAAAATCATTATCGACGAAGTAGTCTTCAGAACTGGCTTCATATATCATCTCATACGTATTTTGAAAAATTATTACAGCTATAATAGCACCTCTGGAGCGGGAAAACGATAAGTCGAATCTACTCACACGATCTCCAGTTCGTTTGTTCGTTCGTTTGCTTTGACTAAAGCGACTTCAGCTTGCATTTGACGACCAAATGAATGTACTAGGTCGTTTTTTCAAGCCTGTTTTACCCCGGATGGGAGGGTTTGCATCTAATAATTTCGGTCAACTGAATAGGACGTTTGCAACTACGAAAATTACCTTACAGAAGCCGCAGAAGTTCGATACCACCCGTTTGAAACTCTCCAACGAGCTCTACGCCATATTTCGCATCCACAACCGGCCTTACCTGGTAACAAAGGGTGACAAAGTCATATTACCGTTCAAAATGAAGCAGGCCGAAGTTGGCGATGTTTTGAACCTGAACGACGTCACTACCATCGGCAGTCGGAATTTCAAGATTGTCGATAACCCACTCGATCCCTCACTGTATCAGCTGAAGGCTACAGTGCTGGAAAAGACCAAACGTCCCATGCGGATCAGGGAAGTCACTAAGCGCAGAAACCGGAAGGTTCGCCATGCCATTAGCAAACCGGATCTCACGGTGCTTAGAGTTTCTGAGCTTCTAGTCACAGATACAGCTGCAAATGACAATTAGATCAATATCTTGGAGAGAAAGAACCTTGAGGTGCTAGCACCATGTATATAGACCACATCATCACGCCAGCTCACGAGAATTTGCAAGTCAAATTCACAAGCCCATAGCGGTCCAAGAATCGTTTTCTTTCTCAGCTCAAATTCCTGCCTGTTAAATACATTCTGGTTTTTTATCACTAGTTCGTACCACTGACGCTGACACGTCTATCTAATTATCTATTAGATACATATGATGAATATGCAGGTAAGATGACCAAAGTTTCGCTCTTGAACACCAAAGTTCACCCTTTAGCTCACTCGAATAGCGGTTTACAATCGCTTAAGTACTATTAGTGCAGGGCCAAAACTCGAGGGTCTTTGATGAGCTTGCTGGAACAGTAAAAGGATGGCTTTTTTGAAGAAGAAACTGTCCAATGTGAACTACTCATCGAATAGATCACGGTCTGGTTCAGCAGCATCTTCCAACAAAGTGTCATTGGGATCACCGTCTACGCCTAATAGCCCCGATATCAAGATCCCTGAACTGCCCCCAAAAATACCGCTCGAAAATAGCGGCGGTGTCAAGAATACTACTACTACTGCTGCTGCTTCTACTACCACTACGAATCCTTTTGGCGAAAACCTGCATCCTGGACAACAGCAGCCAGCAGGAAGTAATGGTGATTTCACTTTCGAAGACTTTTCAAATCATGAAAACCGTACCGTGGCTGGGGCAAGCACGGTGCATCACTCAGGAATACCAGAAACCGGGGTACAAACACCTTGGAATTCTCGAAAATCATCGTCTACTGACATTGGAAATGGTAACAGGAACGGAAATCACTCATCTGGTAAGTTACTGTACTCTTGGGATGTCACGAACCCTGAAGAATGGTCCATGCTTCGAGTTTTGTCGTGGCTCAAACTGAACGATTTCGATGCATCATGGATGGCGTACTTTAGGAAACGTCATCTGCATGGCCACAGATTTTTGAAATTGATGGCTTACGATAACTTTGCTCAGCATGAACCCAACCTTTCACAAACCAAATTTGCGTCTTACCAGCGATTTCAGTACATTTTGAAAAGAACTTTGGAGCAAAACGTGGTAAATGGTCATATTAGAACCCGAAGCGATAAATCTACAGGCTCTAGAAGTTCAAGCGAGTCTTTTAAGTTTCGAACCAAAAGAAAGGAGGACGATGCTACCAATAATAGAGCAATTTCGGAATCATCTGTCGCTGGTCACAAGAAAACATCTTCTGAACTTTCCGAAGAACGATCTTTACCTCCGCAATACCGAAATCACCAAAAAACTAATAGTGCAAGCTCCGTATACCGTCGCAGTTTGATCTCTTTGCGTGGAAGTAGTTCTAGCGGGTCCCAGAATAAAGTCGATACTGCTATCAACTTGAAAATTCCTTCACGTCCTTCTTCCTCTCTCGACAACCCAATCTCGTCAGAGCGGCAAGGCACACGTGTGTCGTCGTCCCCATTGTCTCCAACATACACAGGAAGGTTCCGCAAACAACATAAAAGTAGCTCCTCGGAATCATCTATCTTCAACACTTTGTTCGGCGGAAGTAATGAGGCCGAAGGACAATATTTGGCGACAGATTCGTCTGTTGGTAAACCGAATACCCTCAAAAGTACGTCTTTGGAAAATCTTCCTCTTGATGTACCACCTGAGAGTCCTCTGAGCATTACAAACTCGCGAAGGGCCCCGCCGGCGTCAGCGGACGAGAAGGGCAGCTTGTGGGAAAAACTGAAAAGAAAATCTGTGCAACTAGACACCTCTTTGACTAAGATTCCCACATCAGAACAAGACACTGAGTCGGTGGGGACTAGGACTCTAGTGAACTCAAAAACTAATGAATCAGAAGAGCTCAGCTTGGATAATCTGATGCTTGAACAAAAGTACTATCCGATCAAAAATCCAGGAAAGTCCGACAAATACATTTTGATCACTAAGGATAATAGGTCCTTCATACCGATAAATGTTGGCATCATCACAAACTTGGACGAACTCAAAGACTCGATGGCTCTTACGCTCGGTATTCGGCACAACAGATACACAATTCATCTTACCGATTTTGGATGCGATATGGGTTGTGCTATTGACGACGAACTACTGGAGAATATGCGCAACAACTTATTTCACAACATTCCCAAAAAATTCTTCATCAAAGACCAGATGACAATCAAGCTTCGTCCTCGTCCGGTGATCAAGAACATGGTCGGAGAAACCACCGCCCCGATTAAAACAGTAAAAAGCAAAGGATCTGTGAAGTCTGCTAATAGTAGCTCTATTGCTTCTAATGACGACAATTCAGCAACCACATCTTTATCAGATGTAACGTCTTTTGATGATATTGCCCGCGCTTCAGGTCGTGCTGCATATCCTCGAACTCCCAGCTCATACTATGGTGCGGTTATACCTAGTTCCAACTCCGAGATCGACTATTGGACCTTGAAGGATTCTCAGGCGGAAGACCAAAACCTCCCCAAAGATCGCGTAAGATCGATCGGAAGGGGATCTTCTCCTGGAGATGCTAACGTGAAACGCATGGTCGAGGCGCATCATAGCCACTCTTTCCAGGTCATCAGAAAGAAAAGTGACGATGAGATAAATTTCAACAATCGGCGGGCTTCACCGTACGCGAGTGCAGATTTTGCTCCAAGAAGAGAAGCACCAAAACCACCTTCTGGTTCTCAGAGCTCTTTGATTTCTTCAGGACCCAATAGTACAACATCATCTCCCAAAGCTCAAAAACTCACGAATAGACCGAGCGTCACACGCAAAGCTCGGCCCCCACCTCCCCAAACGAGTTGGAACCTTCATGCCATGGGCATCTCAGGTGCGACATCTAATGGTTTGTCGAGTTCTCAATCCGGCCCATCTGAAACCCTCATCAATTCATATACTCCAGCTTCAACACAAGTATTGGTGCCACAGCCATACACGGGTGGTAACAAAGAAGGGAAATCGGTTTCGGAAGATGCTTCGTTGTCTACCCTCTATAATTCTTGGGTTGGCAGATCAAATACTCAGCAGTCAAGTGTGAACTCTCTTGTTCAAATACCCCCTCAACTCTTCAAAAGAACCAGCACCAAGAGAATCGTATCCTCTGCTTCTGCTGCTGACGTCTTTGATGAAAACGATGTTTCCTTTGCCGAAGCACCTGAACTTTCGGATCTTGACGGTACCGACACTCAGAGCGACTCATCGACTGACATTATCTGGTCAAACTCTGCGAAGACTTCGGGCTCCAAATTAGACACTGATGTTCACATTGCCGTACACTCTGCCAGCACCGAAGATGTCAATGACGATGATTTAGCAAAGCAGTTAAATCTTGATGAGAAACCCATGAAAAAGGTCGAGGGTACTGTATCTGACGATCAAATGACTCTCAGGCCATCGCCCGAAATTGTTTATCAAAATCTTGAACGATTTTTCCCAGGTACTGATTTGGATATACCTATTGTCGAAGGTGTTACACCACCTGCCTCTCCGCAGAGCCCTAAAGCGTTATCTCCAGTGATGCCTACCCTACAAAAGGAATCACCAACTTACGAGCCCCGATCAAAAAGTAGCTCGAGGTTAGGAACACCACAGACAATGATATCACATACGGCTCAAGAACCCCATGAGAGCTTATCTGTCTCGTCCAAATCCTTGAAGATCCCAAAGCGAACGAAAACAATAAGAACAATTGCGCGAGAAGCGAGCGAAGCAAGAAAAACGTCTAAAACACGCCGTCTGGGAAGAAAGAATACAAAAATGTGGGGAACGCGGGTCGTGGAGGTCACCGATAAGAAGATGGTAGCAATTAGCAAGTCAAAGAATTCGAATGGTGAGTACAAAGAATTTGCTTGGATCAAGGGAGAAATGATAGGGAAGGGTTCATTCGGATCTGTGTTTTTAGGCCTTAACGTGACGACCGGGGATATGGTGGCTGTGAAGCAGGTTGAGGTTCCTAAATATGGTTCGCAAGATGAGACAACTTTGAATGTTTTGGAGGCTCTGAGATCTGAAGTCTCGACACTTCAAGACTTGGATCATGTCAATATTGTGCAATACCTTGGGTTCGAGAACAAAAATCATTTTTACAGCTTATTCCTCGAGTACGTGGCAGGTGGTTCGGTGGGTTCTCTCATAAGGTCATTTGGCTGTTTTGAGGAGGCACTTGTACGCTTTTTGGTGGTACAAGTACTAAGAGGACTATCGTACTTACATTCCAAAGGTATTCTCCATCGTGACATGAAAGCTGACAATCTCCTTCTCGACGTAGATGGTGTTTGCAAAATCAGCGATTTCGGTATCTCAAAGAAATCCAGCAACATATACAGTAACTCTGACATGACCATGCGAGGCACCGTTTTTTGGATGGCACCCGAAATGGTCGACACTAAACAAGGTTACAGCGCAAAGGTTGACATATGGTCTCTGGGGTGCGTTGTTTTGGAAATGTTTGCAGGCAAACGTCCATGGTCAAACCTTGAAGTTGTAGCAGCAATGCTTAAGATAGGTAAGTTCAAGTCAGCTCCACCCATTCCAGAAGACACAAAAAAACTGCTATCACCTGAGGCTCGGGACTTCTTGGATGCATGCTTCAAAATAGACCCTGAGGAAAGGCCAACCGCAGAAGAACTTTTGTTACATCCTTTTTGCAGAGTCGAGGAGTCATTCAAATTCAGTGACACCAGCCTAGCAACGCTTATCAGGTATAATGACAAATGTAACTCCACCAAGCTGAAAACGGAAACTGGACGACAAGCACTTGAAAATCGCAGTGCCTAAATCAAAGTTTTTAATGCATTATCATGTTACAAAAGGTTGAATATATAATATAGACGTTACAGCACTTCTCATTGCCAGGCAAAAGTATCATGTCCTTGTCTTTGTCTGCTCGGAATGTGTTTCCAACAGTTGGGCTAGATCAGTCTCGAGTTTGTTGAGCAGTGTCTGCATGATGTACTGCGGTTCATGGACTGGAAACCGCAACGGAGAATCAGCAGAAAGCCAAAACTTGGGATCATCCAATAACTTACCAGTAGTGTCACTAATAGCACTGTACATCCGTACCCACTCGTCAAAAGTCATTTTCTCCGTCGGCTGTCTGCGTGATAGCTCTCGGAGCCATTGTACAACTTCTAGGTATTCTTTGAGTTTCTCAACAATGAGATCTTCACCAGAAGAGGCCGAATTCGAAGAAGTAGAAATTCGTTTATTGCTTTCATTTTTCGTGGAACTTTCAGGTTCTGTAGTATTTGAAACGAACTCTCCAATGGGGTTTGATTCTTGTGATGGCGTCCCTTGACCTTTAATGGGAGATAGATAGTGCTGCAACATTGACCAAAATTTCGCGGGGCAGTTGACGATAGGATTGAAAAATCGAACAATGCTAATATCAAGTTCCTCTGCCATGGCGTATATTGTTTCACCCAGTGTGCTTATGATGGCGGTCATCAGAGGTACGGCACAAATGGCCCAGACAACAAAGAAAGCTCTCCCAGCTCCACTTACCGGTGCAAAATCCCCAAAACCTATAGTAATTAGGCACAGGAAGCAAAAGTAGAGAGCATTAAAATATGACCAATTTTCAGTGAAACGGAACACAAGCGCTCCTAATAACCAAAACAAAACGAAGACAAACACCGTAGCAATCGTACTAGATTGCTGCTGCCTCAACCTAGAAACCTTTCGGATGTGTTTGATAAGGCTAAATGCTTCTTCAGATTCCATATCACCGCTGTTAGCAATAAGCTCTTCGTAGACTTTGTTACGGGCATTTTCTACCCGGTAAAAGACAAAAATGGGACCGGACGAACTCTGAATAACAGATCTTGTTAGTGTGACAATGACACCTAAAATTATAAGACCAGATAGAGCGTAAACCAAGGTCATGATTTTGGCAGCGGTGGTCACAGGTAGCAAGTCACCGAGGCCGATGGTCAAGATAACAACCACGCAGTAATAAAGAGCATTGCCATATGTCAAAGGTATGATGTTTGAGAACATGGCAGCTCCCCAGATGAACCAGATAGAGAGAATGAATGTGAAAATCATGACGTTGCGCTCGCTATCGGTCAGATTGAAAGTTGCTGGATATCTTCCCCTTTTGTAACCCCCATAATGTATCAACAGTAGCAATGTACAACCAATATAGAGAATCATTGAGAGTACGGCATACCAAAACCCTATCGTCTTGTGCAGTTCTTGGGCGAAATCGACTTTTGCACAGACTATTATATCAACCAGTAACATCAGACCGGCCATTGTCCACCCCACAATATTGATAACCTGAGCGGTGATGTAGCTGACTTTCTTGGCAAAATGCAGGAGCAAAACAAAATTCGAAATACATCCAAGCACCAAAGACGCCACATTAACACCATAAACACCTTTGGCATCTTCCACCATGGTGCCATCTGTATGCATCCGCCATTTGTCAACTATTCCAGCGACGGCAATCATGTTTGCGATGGGTCCCAGACATGCTGTGACCACTGGAAAATAACTAGATATCATAAACCATATCACAAATGCTCCGCTGGACGGTTCTGCATTTAAGATCACTACTTTTTCACGACTGATAGCCATCGCATCGTGGAGAATTCTTTTGTTTTCATCCTCCTCTTTTTGTTGGTCAGTTTCTTCAGCCATCGAACATACTAAGTGGCATAAGATGCGAGCTCAAGTACCAGCGCAGTGGTTTATCTTGTCAAAACTCGTCATAGGTTTAGATCTATCAAGGATGCTATAATATATGTAGAATAAGGTATCGAAACCGTAATACGCGATGAGCTTGATAGTTAGTTTTATTATGAAATTTCGTGTTTTTTACTGTTGAAGGCTCTCATAGAGCTAAAAGCTTGATCTCATTGTATTTTAATTGTCGGATTTGGCCGGGGTGCTTTTTCCAATCTTTCTCTGTCGTCGATTTTGAAGAAACGGAGTTCTCGGACATTCAGTTCGCGAAAATGTGGACCATATTTAGAACTTAGACAGTATTAAAGTTTGTACATTAACTTTGAAGTAAAAGGTGTTTTGTTTCGCGAGATCTGCCACATCCTGTCTTCGCTTTCTGGTTGTTTACTTTCCCGAAATCATCAAAATATCCAAAAAACGTCAGAATAGTACAAAGTGATAACAACATTCAGAGAGAAAGTTATTCGATAATGAAAAGGGTACTACAGCCCGTGAGTGTGAGGTGAGTTTCAAATGTAGGCGTAAGATACTGTTCTCAAAGAATGTAAATTAAATAACGGCTCCGGCTCCGACGACTGAACTAGAGGACTGTAAAAATCTCACACTCGTAGAATTTACCTATGAGAGAACAAAAGATAGGAATGGGACTGAATGGGACTGCGAGTGAAATAACAGTGGTCGAGAACCTGAACCACTAATGAACGCGGCGCGTACCAGTATCCTATTTGAGCTTTTTTCACTTTTACTGACATTAGTCACGTGACATTTCTTTGAAATGGTTTACTTTCTGAACAACATGTTAAAGTGACAAGATTTGAGAAGTTCTAAAGCATTGTGCTACTTTAAGATCTGAAACGTTCTTGAGGACTGTCAGAAAATTATTTCAGTCGCTCTATCACTGAAAAATACGGTTAACTTTCATTTCTGCAGATCATCTATCGTACAGAGTTACTTATTTGGTGATAATTTGGCTCATGTTTATGTATACATCCTCATCGGATCAAACTTCAATCTTTCTTCGTCCACAGCACCACGCCTCAAAGTCGCTCCATCAGATCCCTCACGGTGGTTACTGGTCACCGCCCGTCACCGCCCCATCTTACGCGTACTGTGCCAAGAAAATCGCGACGAAAACGGTGTGGTTTTTGCGTAAAACAACTTTCATTTCTAGCCATTTCAGTTTGTCTCAATATCGGGCTTCAATCACGGCAAGCTTAGCAATTTGTGGCCCTTTCGAAAGCTTGAAAAACGTCTGTTCTTTTATGCTTCAATATTTTGTTGCCAATGGACCCACTTCTGTCGTCATTGAACGAAAAACAACTTGAATCCGTGGTCTTCGATCATGGAAAGGCATTGCAAATCGTCGCTGGACCTGGAACTGGTAAGACTAAAGTTCTCACAACGAGGGTAGCATACCTGCTTTTAGAGAAAAGATTGAATCCAAGTGACATTGTGATCACAACATTTACGAAAAAGGCAACTATGGAAATGATCGAACGTATTGGGGTTCTGCTCGAAGGAACTTCAATAAACCCGAAAAGCTTGTGGATAGGAACTTTTCATTCAATCTGTGCCCGTGTTTTAAGACAACACGGATGGAGAATAGGACTCCCGAAGGATTGGAGGACGTTTTCTGATAGTGATACTGACCCCGTTTTTGCGAAACTGGTTGATAAAATGCCAGACCAAATACGAGACCACGCCCACAGATACGACAGAAAAATCAATCTTTTAAGACCCAATTCCTCTCGTGACTGGGTGGTTCACCCGGCTGCAGTAAAAAAAATGGTTTCGTGGCTGAAATCTGAAGGCATCACCGCTGAAGAGTACCGCGCCCGAAATGATCACGATCCAGCACTCCTTCACTTTTATGACCAGTACCAAGCTGAGCTTACATCCCAGCATGCATTGGATTTTGACGACTTGCTTCTTAATGCTTTTAAATTACTTGCCAAGCAGAGGTGTCTATCGAACATAAAGCATGTACTCGTTGACGAGTTTCAAGACACAAACAGTATCCAATTGAATTTAATGTACCTTTTTGCCCGGGGCAGTGGGTCCCGCTCACAAGGCATTACTGCCGTTGGTGACCCCGATCAAAGCATATATGGATTTCGCAACGCTCTCGCTGGAAATTTTCAAGATATGATAACACACTGTCCAATTCCCTGTTCACGTATTGTTTTGGTGGAAAACTATAGGTCGTCCCAAAAAATTCTTACCACAAGCGAGATGTTAATTAAACAACAGTTAACGGGCCGTGAAGACCGACTTCCGCTGCGAGCTCAGTTTGACAGCAGTTTTCCTCCTGTCTACATTGAATTTCCTGCAAAATTCTTGGAATCGAGAGCTCTTGCTCGCGAAATTTTATACCTCCGCTCCTTGCCAAACCTTTGGAACTATAACGACTTTGCCCTTCTGGTGCGGCACCGTCGACAAATAAGGCCACTTGAGACCGCACTTATTGAGCACCGCATTCCCTACAAGATTGTGAATGGACGTGCGTTCTGGGAGTTGAAGGAAATAAATGGGATGATGGATCTCTTGAAGTGCGTCTACTCAGATTTCGAAAAGAATGCAATTCTTCGTGCTCTACAATACCCTGCCAGAGGACTAGGCGCTGCAACCGCCAAAAAGCTAGAAACAATTGTTAGTGAATACGATACGCCGTTTTCTGCAATGAAATCCGTAATCAGTGGACCTTGCAAGTTCGAAATTCCAACAAAGGCTGTTTCGGTCATCCAAGAGTTTTTGACGCTTATCACTGGCTGCAGAGAGCTTCTCAGTTCCGCGTCTGACTTTCAAGTAATAAGCACCATTTTTGATGAGCTTTATGAGAAATCAGGATTGCAGCATGAATATTTGTACGTGGACGGTAAGAAGAAGGCTGATGTGAATTCACAAGGTGATCCAAATTTTGCAAACAAGCGGCATCTCAACATACAGCTTTTGAGAGAACACATCGCCAACTTTAAGCCAATGAACGAAGATCTTGCTCAAAGAGATGGACCCGGAGATGACAACCCCAAAGGCACTAAGGAACTCAACATACACGACGTGCTTAGGGAATTCATCGACTCAGTCAATCTTTTCTCAACCGAAACAGAAGTTGATGAGTCTCAGATGTCAAAAAAGCAGATACAAGAAAAAAAGAAGCGAGAAGAAGAAGGTTTCGTGACCATTTCAACTATTCACGGTGCTAAAGGTCTGGAATGGCCTGTAGTTATGATACCTGGATGCATTGAGGGTGTCATACCGTGCGTTTTCAATAATAAAGACGATACAGACGATAGTGAAAACGACTCTGAATCAGAAGGTGCTAAAACAAGCACGACTTCCAACAGTCCGAGAAAAAAGAGGCCAAAAACCAACGAAGGATCTCTGGATGAAGAAAGACGGATGTTTTTTGTTGCGCAGACCAGAGCCAAATTTCTGCTTTATCTTACAGCGACTTCCAGCAACGACTCAGAATCAAAATATGAATCCTCTAAACCAAGTAGGTTTCTTACCACTGATCTGATTAGCACCATGTGTCAGGAGCAAAAAATGTTCGAGACGATGGATTCTATTGAAAAATTGTACTCTGCAGTTGGTAGATTATTGCCGTCAGAGACTTCTTCATTCTCCATAAATTCATTGATCAAGGATTATGCCAGCTTCATTAATTTTCGACGGGAACGAATGATGTGGAGAGGTAGTACTGTGATCGATACTGCAAGGCTTAAGCTAGACGAGAACACGAATCAAGCCCCTACCTCACATGGCATAATCACAGCTGCGACGTATTTGAAGACGTCATCATCAGCATATTCCGGCTCAAACAAAGCGCCCTATCATTCCTTAACGCCCAGAAACCAGGCAACGACTAGAACTACATCAGATCTTAGCGCCTTCTCGGGTCAGCGACTTGCGCCGTCGCATTCACTTTCTAGAAGTTTTTCGAATGATTCGGCGCCTGCTAAGTCATATGCACCCAAGAACTCACCGTCTAAGGTTAACAAAAGCCAACAATCACATTCATTTGCTCCTAGGCCTGAGGTCATCTCTACAAGTCCAACTACATCAATTCCATCGAATAAGATTTCGGTGGATGTAAGAAAAAATGGGTCACACCGCGAAACTCAAGGTCTTCCCACCGTTATCAAGCGAGCTGGTCGCAAATATAGGAGAAAGATAGTTGCAGATTCTATTGACTTGGGAGATGCTCCTTGCGGTACCGATGAACCATTCACACCTAGAGAGACGCTCAACAAAACTACAGAGAACAGTAAACACGCTACTGATAGGGGCTCATTACACAAATCGAAAACTCCTTTCAAAGCTGAAGAGGGAGTCGATGTTGCTGGCGGGACCGGCGCGAAACTAAGTGGTGCAATTCCAACCACAGGTAGTAAACGACTCAAAAGCCCCGAGAAGAGTTCTCAAAAGAAGGTCAAGCTAGAACCTCTCAACAATGGACCTGACATTATGTCAAGGCTTACCAAGGCGAAGAATAGGTCACTTGAGCCGAAGGACACCGTTATCATCATTGACTGAGTATCTTTCGGAAAAACTGTATATGCATAAAAGACTAGAGCTTTATAGAAATGCCTTTCTTTAACAGTATAGCTGCCGTGAATGCTAAAAACGAAGCATAGGCGATCAAAATGAGGAACGCTGTCACAGGTGATACATCAATAGTCGGGACGGACATGTTTATCAGACCAGTGCTTACGTTGGCCAAAAGAAACAGGAAAAGACCGTTCGAGTTAATGGCGTCTAAAGAAGTTGGAATTCTGTAGTTTGAAGGTCCGTTACCAAACAATGTGTCCACAACACAATAGAGAGTCAATGCAGCAATATTGTAAGATGCCACCCATACAACATATGGAAGATTGGCAAAACGTCTTGAAATGTTGAAAGGATGCCACGCATATACCGCTTGCGCAAAAGCAATCGAAATGAATGACCAAAGAAGTAAGCCGCTTAGTGGTCTTTTGGACGTCAGCTTGTCCCACCCGCTAAGATTTTTGGCGTTACCGACAAACATATTGGATGGATTGTACATGTTATTCTTTGTAACCTTACTGACCAGTGTGTAGAAACCAGTTGTCTGACCCCATAGAAAAATTGAGCAGTAACCCACAAACGAGACTAGTCCTTCTCTGTTGGCCTCCACTAAAGTGCGTCTGGGTGAGTTGATCAAAAAACCCAAGAAGCCTTCCTTACGAACGATCAGCAAATCGCAAGCGAAGGACATAGCTACTGCAACCACAATCCGAGGAACATATGCGGTGACCACGTCGATTGGAATCATCGCCAGAGGAAGCAGCGCAAGTGTAATAAAAAAATTCCAGTGAACACCATATTCGGTGACATGCTCCTGGTACTCCAGATTCTTGACAAAATAAAGTCGTAGCAAGCCGAGTACCAGAATACTTGCACTGGACTTGAGGGCGTTGGTAATTTTTTGAAGGAGGCTGACCTTCCTTCCGGTGATCTTAGCTTTTAGGAGTGTTCTCGATGAAACAACACCGTTACTAAAGACGAAAGATCCAACTCCTAGATCCATAAGAGAGGTTCCCCAGGTCTCCACTTTTGCAAATCGACGTGGAAATATCTGGAAGTCTACAGCCAGTATGGCCAAAACAGTGATTACCATCATTCCACCTCGATAAGCTGTAATGAATGGCCGTTTAACGAGCTGCACCTCTGAAGACTCAGAATCCTTCGATTCGCTACGTTTATGGCTTTTGGCATTGTCTTTCTTCGCTCTTGGTTTAGATAGTCTACTACCCAACCAATAGATCACAGACGGTACCAAAATAAGAATGTTCAAGCCCAAAGGATTGTCAGAGTAAATTGTAATAGCAAGCAGAAGTCCTCCCCAGTTCAGTAAAAAGTCAATCACGTAACCCACCTGGAATGAGTCCTTTGTCGAGCTTGTCAGGTTCCAGCAGAAATAAGCACACACAGCAGTAGATGTAACCCAGTTAATTTCTTCAATTGAGCCACCGCTTAAGCCTGTGACAAAGTCCTCCTTCCTCTGCTTCAATTCAGGCATTCTTGAGCTTCTAAGACCTCCTTGGTCTTTGTCTTTTGGTCGAAAGATGTGTGGTGACTTCAGTAACTTTGAGATGAGTTGTCAACTTCTATCAATTACAGTACTTAAGGCTGAAATAACGACAATCTTAACTGCAGAACTATAAGAAAGCTGGTTCGATAAGCTAAACTTGGTATTCTGTAGCACAGTTATCTATATAGACTGGAAATGTAGTTTTCAAGTACCGATCTCGCGCATGTTTTGACGAGTAAGCCTTTTAGCAGGTACATGGGATGTAGTCTTGTGCTGGGGCGATCCATATGTCACTTGAGTGTGGGAAGTCGCCTCTTCCTTTTCTTCTTCTTCAGTGGCCGAGTCGGAAGAGTATGCTTCGTGGTTGGGATTCACTTTGCGTGCCTGGTCTGAAAGCATTCGGCCCCAGCTAGAAGACCTTTGAATCGGCTGAAGCGACTCTGTTGGTTTTAGTTTGGGTATTTTGGGTACAGAATTTTTGTCTGAAGCGCTTGGCAAGGGATCTAGATGCGAATGCGAGCGTTTGGGAATGCTTTTCGGTGTGTGGGGATCAGGAGAGACGTTATTCAAACGAGCAATTATCTCGCTTCTGCTTTGTCTCGATGGTGAATGACCAGCTGGTTTGAGCTTTTTGAGAACCTCATTTCGAGTCGATATTGAAGCAACTGGAGACGACGAGTTTGGTTGTATACTGCAAATCTCAAGATATAGCTGGTCTCTGTCGCCTTTTGGGCACGATATGCACCAGTTGACATCATTTAGATGAATTTTAGCGGAATCCTTTTTCAGTAAGTGCAGTTTAGACGCACGTTTGAATATTTCCACAACAAATGCAGCTGTAACAACAGGAATAGCGTGTCTCTGTTTGACGAATTCGATTTTACGCTTCATGGAATTACGGTGGACCTGATTTGGCTGAACGGTGCGGCTTTGTACAAACATTGAAGCATACTGGTTTTTCCACAACGGATGCGTTTCGTGAATGCTCGTCAAAGCACCCAAATTTATGATCAAAAAATCCGTTTCTTTGCTTAAGGTTTCGTTGAGTCGCAGCCCTGCTGAATTCAAAGATTCCAGCATTTTCGTAATATGCAGTAGCTCAACACCTTGAAAACCTGTTATTGCCACATTTACCGTGCTTGACTTGTGAGTCTGAGAGTGCAGACCTTGTGACGCATTTATTTTGAATTCCGAACAAAAGGGGGCGCACCATGCGTCGGGAAGTAGTGATTTCTTGTAATGTAAACACCTCTCAAAAAAGAACTCCGTTACAATGTTCTGGAAAGTGTTCCCCAAAATATCCAGATTTGGTATGGATAGATTGCTGGGTACCACCAAAGATGACCTTTCTGGAATATTCATTTCAGGGAGGTATTCGTAACATTTCCCACCATTTTGAGTGACAATGGATTCCACTATAGCCTTTTGCCTCGGTGAAAATTGTACTATATAAAAAATCTGATGTTCCAAAAGTCTCGGTACTTTCGCCTTCGATATGGTCTTAGTTGTGATTTGAACTTCGTTGTGAACTGCACCAGGATTGCTGGCTTTATGCATGACGCTGTTCCAGAGACGATTCCCTTGAGAAGAGAATTTATCCAGAACGTTACGTTGATTCAAACTTTGGTCCACTTCTTCGTGTGAAGGTGGATCACTGCTCGAGTTTTGACGGAGCAGCACTTCGTCCCAACATGAACATGCACCTTCTCCAATAGCATCGTAAGCGGCCGTGACAGTTTTTTCCAGCAGGTAGAATGCAAAATCCAGCAATGCACCTCTCCTGTGACAATCGACAATCCATTTTGGATGAACTATGGGTAAACCTTGTAAACGGGCTGCATCTACACGAGCTCCTTGAGAATGATCTGTTATGAATACTGTGGGGCGTGCCCAGTGACTTTCCTTGACAAAATGACGTGTATTACAGGAATGAACTCCCTGCTGTATGCATAAAGTGTCTAGTTTGTCGAGACCAAGTTGTTCATCACGAGTGTTGTTGATTCGGCCTATAAACACCACGAAATCTTTGAGTGGACCTAACTGGTATCTCGAAAACAACACTTGGAGCATGCGGTCTTTGGTGTTATCAAAATGAGAGTAATTCGAATGTGATTCCATACTAATATCCTCACCTGTAAGCCATAAATCGTAGATCGTGTCTATAGCTCCTGCATCGACAAACGCCATATCTGCACGGTGTTGTACGGCAAACCGATATTTGTTGGTTGCAATGCTCCCAACGATCAATACGTTAACAGTTTTGGTCAAATCCCGGGAATATCCACCGCCCAGTTTCGTGATTTTACGCGAGACATTACGCGATGTTTCTTCTGGCAAGGCGGTGGGACAAAACGTAAGACCTTTGAAGGGTTTTTTCATGCCAGAAGGAAACAGGGAGCACTAAGGGATCTTGTATTAAGCTAGAGAGCCTGCTTGTGAGACGGCTTTGACAATACTTCAGAGTTTTCTTGCGAGAAATCCGGTAAGTTTTCATGCTTAATGTAGTTATAATATATGGTTGAGTTGAGACGTAGCTGACGATATTACACGGTGAATATCTAAAAGGTTAAAGTTTGGCCCGGGCTGTATTGAAAGAGGACATCGGAGTAGCTTACAGTATTGGGGATGGTATTTCGAGATTATTTTGAGAGTTTTAGGTTCTGTTTTGGGTTTCGTTCGGGCGAGGAGAGAAACACGTGATCTGGAAGAATGAGATCCCGTCAAGTTAACCGTGTCAGATTAACGGCTCAGTAACAAGTATTTGATGTCCTTGGCCCACTAACCACCGGCTACATGAAGCTAACGATAAATTAGTCTTTTGTTCACTGGAAGGGCGGAAGTTAGTAAAGTTTTTTTGAACTCTAATGGAGTACCAGCTTTACATTTTTTGCAAACTCCCACCTTTCCCTTTGCAACATGAGTCCAAACACGAATAGCTTCATCCGAACAACACGAATAGTCCTCGAAATTTGACGAAGAGAGACAAGACAGTGCATTGTTTCTTTCCATCTCAAGAACAATGGCTTATGCAAGATTATGTCATTCTTCAATGCAGGACCCTTACATGAGTACATGCACAAATCTAATTAATTACAGATTCCTCTATCGTTTTATACGGTCGGTCCAACGGAGGTTTCGTCCCCTTTTTTTTTTTTCCCCGAAACCCCGGAAAGACAAGTTGAAAAGAGAAATCAACGGTTCGAAAGCAAGAACAACAACACAATTGACTAGCGTATTAAACCATACATACACTCAACACAAGTGACTATAACTAACACACTCTCGCCTCTATACTATTCCACTAAAAACCGCTTCGTTGTTCTCCCCCTTTATATCCGCGACAATTGTACACACGATTATATCCTCGGACTTTAGTATACCCTTTTTAATTCCTCTTGGCATCTCGCTCGATACGAAAAACCCTTGTTTTTTTCGTCGACCCCACACTAATGGAACGGTGACCTGGACAAGCTTAAATCAAGGAATGGCCGGGTAGCACTACGGCTCTTATATATAGCGGCCCGGTCCGAATCAACTTCGATCAATGGAACGTTTATACTGTCTTAAACCTCAAACTATTCTACAGCAGACTGTTCACCAACCGGTCTACAGCATTGTTGGTGAAAGCAGAATCCGACCTTTCAAACAACTGTCTTTTGAAATATTTGCGCACCTTTTAAGTAGTAACAATAGATAATATCTATAGTTCAAGTAACAACGAGGCCCATCAAGATACTGCCACGTTTTACTCAAGAGCGGGAATTCATATCGCTCTACAAAAACTTGTTTCCGGTAGCTACACCTGGCGTGGCGCTGAAACAAATAGTACGGCCGGTAGAACAAGCTTTTTAGCAACGAATGATCGGTATCCGAATTACTTTGAACACTTCCAGTTGAAGAAATTGGTGAGTCTCTTGCAAAATTTATTGTTTTTACTCTTTGGATAATTCCGCTATGCAAGAAATGTCATCCGAAAGTGGTGCAGTTTACGGTCCTGTTGGTACTGCCACCCAAACAGCATCCAAACGGAAGTACGGCAGCCCAGCAATTCGTAAAGACACGCAATTGCTACTTTCCAAAAATTCGCGTTTGTCACAGGCGTGCGATCGATGCAGGATGAAAAAAATCAAATGCGACGGCGCCACGCCATCTTGTGCAGCTTGCACCAAAGTTGGTTTTCAGTGCCGTCATAGTGATACGCTTTCCAGAAGAGGAACCCCGAAAAATTACACTGAGGCACTGGAAAAGGAAGTGGTACGTTTGCAACAGCTGGTTGCAGAAACGAAAACCAAACCCACTTTGAAAATAATCAATGAAGAGCCCACTCGGTGCTCCCCCAAATCACCTCCAATCAAAGATTCAAGACCCAATGCGTTTTTGGAACTTCCATTCATCAATGATACTTTTCACCAATACGAAAATCGTATCATGGGCGATGGCCAATTCATGGGACACGCAACATGGGACGTTTTAGCTAATTCAACGTCAGATTTGTCAATAGACGTCTTGCCCGATGAGGACGATTGGTTATCTCGGTATTTGATCCAGCAGTTCCAGCTTTCGCACGATCTAATCCCCACGGTGCTGCTGTCTAAGTACCACAATGACGCAATCCTGTGCGGAAAGCAAATCCGAAGATGCACAGCTCATTTCCTCGAAACTTCGATGGCACTGGTACCCGTCTTGAACTCTAGTTCGTGGGCCAATGAGCTTGCCAGAGTTCCACATTCTAAATCTGTGCATCCCACTGTTCTTCTCGCGAATATATTGATATGCCAATGGAAATGGTCGTGTTTCAGCGATGACGCTCTTTTCACCGCTTCGAAAATCGTTTGTTTGAACTCTTCTCAACCTCTTCACCGGTTACAGTGTCTACTTTTGGCGGCGTTCTATTTCATGGGTACTCCCAGCGCAGCACTGCTAACAAAAACCTCAACTGCGCCTTTCGCATCTCAGCTGCTGAAACTAGCATACGGTGAGATGACAAATATGGGTCTCTATGTTAACAGCCATCGGCTAAACCCTGTTCACTCGAGTGCCAATCTCAATCACACCGAAAGATTGACTACTTTTTGGTGTTTCCAGTTTCTGGATTCGTGGTGGACGTTAATACAAGGCGTTCCAAAGACCAACTTCACAAGTGACGAATTTTCACCACCTAAACTTTCAGCATTGAACAATCCGAAGCTTAAGCCGTTCGAGCTATTATTGGACTTTATATTCGGTTGCCTCGACGGTTGTAACCTTTTGAAGGCTATATCTCGCGGGGGAAGCTCCCATATGGTATATTTATTGGAAACATTTCGCAAGCGAATGGTGCATTTCAATCTTTACCACGACTTGAATGAAGACGATCTTCCAAATTTGTTTGACTCGGTGACAAAACTAGACCAACCTTTGGCTACTGAAATACAACTCACATTATTTTATCTAGTCGTCTCCCTACTAGCGCATATCCAGTCTTTTGATGCGGCGCTAGCCAAGAAAGTTACTTTCCAACCTCAGCAAGATAACATGGAGCCAAGCGTCCCAGTGAACAACTCAGACTGTCGCGAAAGATCTTTCAGGATTCTTGCCACTCAAAGAGAAAACGCATACGAGATTTTGACATTGTACTATTTCGTTATGGTCGACTCTAGTGACAGCAAACCCGTGGCGCCGTCACAATTGAAACCTCTGCATTTTCTACCGTGCGATAATCTCGGCGTAATAAAATTATGCCTACAGACTTTGGCAGCATGGGCTTCTTCAAAGTTGGCAAAGGGCAGTCCTGATTATGATACAATTTTCCAGAGATGCCAGCGAACTGTTGACGCCTGGTGTAGCATCTGGTATCTTGATGAACCGGGAGACGAGCTGCTCACACGTTTGCAAAAAATATTCCAATTCAATCTCCAGACGCCTTTACAGAAGAAGAATCAGCGTTTCGACAAGCTACTGTACTTGCACTCGGTGAAGTTGCAAAATAGGCGGATACTGAAGCAAAACCAGTTTAGTGACACCGCTTCTAAAACTCAATTAGAGGACCCATTCAACAGCCTTTACGGTATGGACGGTATTACAATGCAAGTACCCACTTCAGAGACCATCAGCGCTCTTTTCAATCCAATTGCGATGCAGGAGGAAGACGAAGGCTATGCCGAAGATGATGACGAAGACGATGAACCGTTTTTGGAAATTCCCATAAGCAAGAGAAGGCAGCCTTACTTAAAGCACGATACAGTTCCCAATCCAGAATTTGAGCATTCCCGTTCCAGTTCCCTGTTCGATAATCGTCAGTCTGCACCAATATCTAAGAGATTTTCCATTGATGGAAACGGCCAACAGACAGATGTCAACGTCTTACGCAAAAAGGATGATTCCCTAAAAAGTCGAATGGGTCTTGGTGACAAGTGGCCTTCTGAGCATTACTTACTCGTGCAGGAGTTACAAAAACCGTCCCCGGCAGTAGGAACACCTCGATCTTTGGCTGATTTACTTTGTCCAAGCACTGAAGTTGTAATACCAGCACAGGCCAATAAAAGCTCTCAGGTTCCAATAAACTGAACAGTTGCGCTCTCAACCCCGAACAGCAATCGTCATCAAAAACAGGAGGCTTGACGGTCACTTCCTGTTGACACTTTCGATTTTACCTCCCATCATCACTTTATATTCAATCAAATAAATCTATGATTATCTATGATTATCATTGCAAACAACTATTCCGCCTAGCTCACCGTTCTTCAAACTGAGACAAGTGAAAACGCCCAATGCCTTGATCTTGCCATGTTTCGCAAGAGGTTAAAGCTAAAGTCTGGAAATGCAAATGAGCTGACAAAAGGCACCGGTCCTGGTGGCGGTGTGAAAAGTCAACGAAGGAAGAAACCTAGTCTCATTGATAATTACGAAGATGATGAAGAATTTGAACACAATCTGAATTCAAAGCCACAGGAAGGTCTTAAAAGAGCATTCAAGAAGATTAGCTCAAATGATATACCGTCTAGTGCCGCTGAGGTGGATACCCAGTATGAGATTCCCTATTCGGCTCCAGCAAGGCCCCAGATATTGAACCTGGAGAATATGAGTGAGGAAGAGCAGAATGATGAAGATTTCGACACGAGTGCTTCTGATTGGAAAACGGTACCCTCTGAGTCTGAAATTGAAACTATCAGGAAGAGAAGGGCGATCTTGCAGGAACAGCAGAGTGATTATAGCGGTACCGGTTTCTACGCTTCTAAAGGGAAAATGACGTCGAAAGAAAACGAACGCAGCTACGTCAAATTGCTGAGCCGTGACGACAAACAGGACTTGCTAGATGTCATAGGTGATGGCCGAAAAGTGGATCAGGAAGATTCGACCACCATGCCAGTTGATACTTTACCGAGCGGATTCGAAGATAGCAGATTAGCTCTCAGTGAGGGAGAGCTCCAGAAGGATGAGATGGATCGGAGAAGAGCAATACTCAGCGCCATCAACGATGCTCACGTTGAGGACGAATGGGAAACGCAGCAGATTGGCAAGACCGATAACAATTCTGTAGCTGTAGCGCTGCCGATTCCGTACCAAGGTAAGATTGATCTCGAATCAGTTGTTTCTGCTCTACAGGACCATACCCTCAAAGTCCAAGCTAAGAAGAAGATTCTGGTAGCCCGAAAAGTTTCTTTGGAAACTCAAAAAAATGAGTTTCTTCGAGAAAAGGACGAAATGGTCATTCAACTACAAAATCTCTCCGTTATTTAGCCCAGGAACCCTGAATTCAGAGGTCTGAGGTCGATGACAGCAATCTGCACAGCTCGATGACGGCATGCTACACAGCTTATTGACTAAAATGCGCAATGCAAAGCATGCAAGAACAAGAACAAATATGCGATCGGGCTTCTTTGAATTCAAAGCGGCAATACAATACTAAACGAATGCTACAATATCTGGGCGTATCTGTCTGAGAACGTCGATCGATTGTTGATGTCCCGGTCAAGCTTAAAACTAGTCGAATTCTGATCGTTATCTACGCAATGGTGAAATAAGCTAATAATATGGGTGAACTAATAGAAACCTATGGTAGACCATAATACACATTACATCGGTCGACTGTAAAACAAAACTTATCAACCGCCATGAGCTACTTCAGGTATGTAGGAAGAATCAAACTTTTTTCATTAAACAAATCACTAACCAAAACGCGGGTTTAGAGAAAGCAATGGCTCGTTGAGAGGACTAGCGCTCGCTAGATTATCGCGTAATTCCAAAGGTTCTGGGACGGCAGATTCGATAGAAAAACTACTAGCCTCGCTGCCAGTCTCTTATTCTTCGTCAGCAGCAAATTTAAATTCGATTCCTTTAACTCTGGATGAATTGGAGGTTTTGCTGGCAATCTGCAGCTCAGTACCGTATGAAGAACTGCGGGCTCGTTCTATCCTGGAAAAATGCATTTTCCCTTATTTTCTTGCGTGTCCTAAACAGAAGTTCACAGACTACGTGATTAGTAAGTACAAACAGCGTAATCTCAAGCATCCATCTGAGGTTTTATGCTTCGAATTGGCAAGATTTATCATGAGATCAGCCAGAATGTTTCCACAGATTCAACCGGAAATCCGCACAGCCTGTGACAAATACTTAAATGAGATTTCAGAAAATCTCTCCCTTGGCGGCCTGCTCTCGTTTGCTGGTTTTTTGGAAGCTTTAGTATTTGAAAACGGTAACGTACTTTCTTCGACTTTGTTAGCCAAATTGAGGAATCTAATGACCGAAGATTTCTTTTACCACGTTGAAGTGGCCATTCGATCATCTGTGAATAAGGACATTCTGATTTACTACCTTGATCGCAATCGGGAAGTTTCCTCGCTACTATTTTGCGAGTTAATTGAAAGACTACAGGTGACACACGCATGTCGGTATTTGGGAGTTCCTGTGGGCACTGGTTTGGACGAATATCTGCTTGAAATTCAACGTGTTAAAGTAGGAAGAACAAGAGATGTGCGAATCGACGAATTTGAGGCCAAAATTCACGAGCATGAGGACGAATTCCTGGAAATGTGTGCCTTCTCATTCAAACAAGTAAATCAGCTTGAACAAGGCGCAAAATATATCGACTTGTCCAGTCAGGGAAGGCTGGAATATGCTTTTGCGTCAAAAGCGTATCTGCTTCAAATTCTAGCTGTTGGCATTTTGGTAGACTATGAAGTGGATGAGTTTACTGAACTTGTCAGAGACTCTCTGGTTGACTTACCAACAAACGCACATGCTGTGAACTCGAAATTATGTGCAACAATCATCAACGTTGCTTCTCTGCTCAATTACTACACAGAGGCAGTTTCTCCAGATTTGCTGCGCATTTTTCCATTGCTGGTCTCTACTAAGTCCCTACCAAACCAAAAAATTTCTGCCCTCTCAACAAGCTATGCAAAGGGATTGGTACCCCTTACCGAGGATGCCATTGTTGGAACAATATACACAATTAACAATTTACTAGCATTGGCTCAGGACGGACTTCCTGGAACTACTATGAAAGGGCGGCGTTTAACTACAGCTTTGGGCAGTGAGAACAATTTTGATCGTTTGATATCTTCCAGGCCTACCAGATCTAGCACTGTGGGAACCTATCAATCACTCCAAAAGCTGAAAATCTCAGTCACAAAACCAACAGCGCGCCACACCACTAATCAGGAGACTGATCTTTCTTCAAATGGAAATGGAACTCACGTCATTGATATGCATGATGAGCTATTCCAAAACGTAATCACCGCAACGACCACCATTGCAGCGATTTACAATGACCAATCCATTACAGCGCTGACGATCACAATTCTAACACAAAAATACGGTGCTGTGTCACCAGCATTGGATACAAAAATATTGGCGGGCTTGGCGCACTTGGCATTGAGAGTGAATAAGTCAGAGTTCAATTTTCTAATGAAGTTTTTCCATTCTGCTACAAATCATGCTCTGGAAAAAAAGGATGCCAGAGTTATGAAAAGTATTATCGCAGCTCAAACACTTCTCTCTCGGCAACTTCTTGCAGAAAAGCCTCAAGGTCCGCTTTACAAGATTTATCTAGGCTACCTTCTAGATGCGATTGTTGCACGCGGGGATGTTGATCGCTCAGAGCACCACAGATCCCATACTGAAATATCAGAGGTGGCCGATCAAATTGCGATTTATCTCAAGCCTCTGGCTGCACTACTCCCTAAACCTGGCCGTGGTCCAATAAATCTTGACCAAGATGAGACCTTAACTAACACTTTCAGAAATGTCTGGTTTAACGCTACAGTACACGGATTTTATGGGGAAGCTTCTTTGACAAAGGAGTTTTATGAAGAGCTTCTAACGATTGCCTATAATTCACCACCACTTGCTTCCGACTTCCCGGCGGTGAATCGAGAAACATCATTCGAAATGAATACCATTTTACGTCGTGGTTCCTCGAACCATAACGTGAAGCAGCAAAAGAATATGTTGTCTGAGTATTTACCCATCAATTCTGTGCAAGCAAGAACGCTCTCTACTTCAAAAATCATGTTTTTGGCTGCTACTTTACTGGTCGAGAATTTGAGGTGTGAAGCGGGCGACTGTTCGAAGGCTTTGCTGTACTGTTCTGATCGGTCGATTACAAAGAGCAACCTTGACAAATTTGTGGCGTCCATCTCAACTTCAATGGTTCAAAAGTACACAAAGCTTGCCATAAGAGGCAGCACGCGCATTTTTTCTGCAGAAATGGTGGCCAAACAACTGACCAATTTCATTCTTCTCCTAATCCACAGAGACACCGCCCTTCAAGAAGCAGCATTCGCCTGTTGCGATAATTTCATTGAAAGAATACCATCGAGTCTTTGTCACCAAGATCCGCTATACACTTTACTTGATTTATTGTCAATGCTTTTTGATAGCGTTGTTGCTTGCGAGGCAAACAAGCACGAAGTCATTTTTGATTTTACTTTGAAACATTCCAAACGCAGAGTTACATTGCCCGACTCTTATCATTGGCGAACGCTGACATTGGAACAGGTACAAAAGTACGCAACACGTTGGGTTACAGTCATATTGAAGACCGCCAATCAAGATGTCAAGATACTGTTACAGTCGTATATCTCAGATTTGAGCGCTGTTCAAAGATTAAATGGAGTCGAATTTGGCGTATCTTTTGCTCTTGAAATGGCAGCCAAGATTTTACCGGTAGATCGGGACTTAGCAAGCATCACCAAAAGCGGTTACCGTAGGCCTGACAGCATTTCTGGGTTTCTTTCCCAGCACGCGTGGAGATCTCGATTCATGAGAGATCAGAGCGTTCTGTCGTCTTATCACGACATCGAACAAGAAAGAGGCGAATTAAAGAGCAAGATTGAGTGTGTCCTGGCTAATGGCACAACATTGAATTACAATGATGTCAGTTCATTCCTTGACTTATCGGCTTCACTTCTGGCTCTGAAAAAGGGCAATACAGCGACTTTGGTGTATGATATTGTCAATATACCTTTTCAACTGTTCACCTCAGATGCAGTTAAAATTGCTACTAATGTTTGGCTTGCGGTAATGAAGGAGAGAATGGATGTTTCTTATTTACTTCTTGCCGAAATTGCTAACTGCTGGGCTTATTCGATTGATAATGGCGAAGGCTTATTTTCTACGGAGCATAACCTAAAGGCTGAGGAATACAACATGATGGAGTACTCTCCTTACAATAAAAAGGAGATCAATGTGGCAGCTCACAGTGCTAGCAAGTCATTGCAGCCCCATGTGCTCATAACAAGGTTTTTCACATCTCATTTCGAAGGGACCCTGTTTGATAGCGTGCATCTCTTACAAATTTTCACTCAAATCTGTCTCAACGGTTTAAGAGCTTTGAAAACGGCAAGTTTACATCCCTTTGCCAGAATGGCTAGAAACGAGCTTGTTAATTTTGGTATTTTGGTATTTGCCAGCAATGTCAAACACAATACGCGTCAAGTTCCTGAATTAGGCAAAGCACTCATTGATGGTGCTTTGAGTTGGTTTGAAAAGCCCAAATCGTGGCCATTTGGAGCTAACGAACTGAAGATACGGGCCGACCTATCCATGCTCGTGGAGATATACAAAAAGTTCAAGGACAATGAACAGGCGCTAAATGGTTACCGCGGACGAGAACTTTCGCTTTTACAATATTTCCTGCTAAGTGAAATACACACAGTCGAAAGCTGGCTGCGTCCATTGGCAAAGCCTTTAGATGACTTAAAGCTGCCAGTGGATTTAGTTTCGTTTGCATTCAAAAAAAGCCCTTCTTTAGCCATTAATTTGGTTGAACGTTATCCCTCAAAAAAGGCATCAGAATCGCTGGAGCGATTGATCGTGGAAAACCCTCTTCTTTGCGTGCACACTTCAAGGACACTGGAATCATTTTTGACAGGCACAAAAAGTTTCCACTATGCCCTGTACTGGGCATCAACGAATCCCTTGCAGTCCATCAATCTGTTTTTACCACAATGGGCTAAGAATACCTATGTCGTGCAGTACAATGTAAGAGCGCTCGAATCTCATGACGTGAATCTTACTTTCTTTTATGTGCCCCAGATTGTGCAATGCTTGAGATGTGACCCCTTAGGGTACGTTGAGCGCTTGATCATTGACACCGCAAAGATAAGTGTCTTGTTCTCGCACCAAATCATATGGAACATGTTGGCCAATAGTTATAAGGACGATGAAGGCCAAATACCGGACGACTTGAAACCCTGTCTAGACAAAATTCAGGATAAAATGACCAAAGCGCTCAGCGCTAAGCAAAGAGATTTTTACGAACGCGAGTTTGACTTCTTTAACGAAGTAACTAGCATTTCGGGTAAACTGAGACCATACATTAAAAAAACAAAAGCCGAGAAAAAACATAAGATAGACGAAGAAATGGCCAAGATTGTTGTCCGCGATGGTGTGTATCTGCCTTCAAACCCAGATGGCGTCGTGATAGACATCGATCGGTTGAGTGGCAAGCCGTTGCAAAGTCATGCGAAGGCGCCTTTCATGGCCACTTTTAAAATAGAACGGATGGAACATGATCCCGAAACAAAGGAACGCCATAAGGTGGAAAAATGGCAAGCGGCCATTTTCAAAGTCGGCGATGATTGTCGGCAAGACGTTTTGGCGTTACAGTTAGTTTCTGTTTTCCGAACAATTTGGTCATGCATTGGACTAGACGTTTATGTGTATCCCAACCGTGTGACCGCCACAGCGCCAGGATGTGGTGTCATTGATGTGCTACCAAACTCCATCTCCAGAGATATGTTGGGGAGAGAGGCCGTTAACGGGTTGTACGAGTATTTCATCACCAAATTCGGACATGAAAACACAGCAGAGTTCCAGCGTGCCAGACATAATTTTGTGAAATCGCTTGCTGGATACTCGGTGATATCGTACTTGCTGCAATTCAAGGACCGACACAACGGTAATATCATGTACGATGACCAAGGACACTGTTTGCATATCGATTTTGGCTTTATCTTTGACATTGTTCCTGGCGGTGTCAAATTCGAGGCTGTGCCTTTCAAGCTCACCAAGGAAATGGTGAAAGTCATGGGAGGCTCCCCCGATACCCAAGCGTATCGGGAATTTGAAGAACTGTGCATAAAGGCATATTTGGCGGCACGCCCGCACATGAACATGATTCTGGAATGCGTTCGGCCAATGTTGAGCAGCGGACTGCCGTGTTTTAAGGGTGAGAAGACCATGCGGAACCTGGAGGCGCGCTTTTCGCCCCATAGGACTGAACAAGAGGCAGCTGAGTTTATGCTGGGTCTGATTAAGAAGTCTTACGAGAGCATTTTTACTCGAGGCTACGATGAGTTCCAGCGTTTAACGAACGGCATTCCTTACTGAAAGACAAGAGAAGGATCATACACCATGACGACTGTGAAAGTGCAAAGGCTTGTATAAACGAAACTGGAGGTATCCATCCATCTATACTGTACTATACTGTACTATACTGTACTATACTATACTATACTATACTATACAGAAGAACAAAACAAATTATTATGTAAGCACTTTGGTCACGTGTAGTCAGTGATCAATTGCGATCTCGGCTCCGATTTTAACATCACCTGATTCTCGCGTGACGTATGCCGATGTCGGCTCCGTTCTTTCCGTCCAAAAGTCACACCACACGGATCTTCCTCTTATACAATCTATTTTTTTTAAAAACTTCTCGGTCATTGTCGGCTCCGTAAGGACCCCTCCCCTCCCAGCCTTTCTGGTCATGTACCTATATGAATCTTAAATCGATCCGGAAAAATTGAGAGTATAAATAGCTCCAAGGTTTTTGAGATACTATACCCATACTTGAACAACAACTCCTTGTTTTTAACCGCTGTAAGCAAGTTTCCTCCATAAGAAAGCGCCCCGGTCAAAATGTTGTCAGCGCGCCGCATTGTTCAGAAACCCTTGGCCCGTGGGTTGGCCTCGGTGTCGAACTTGACTAGAGACTCCAAAGTCCACCAGAACTTGTTGGAAGACCACTCTTTCATCAACTACAAACAAAACGTGGAAACCCTCAACATTGTGAAGGGAAGACTTAACAGACCGCTAACTTACGCGGAAAAAATTCTGTACGGACATTTGGACAAACCTCACGAACAGGACATTGAACGTGGTGTCAGCTACTTGAAGCTACGTCCAGACCGTGTGGCGTGTCAGGATGCTACCGCTCAGATGGCTATTTTGCAGTTTATGTCTGCTGGCCTTCCACAGGTGGCCAAACCGGTCACCGTACACTGTGACCACTTGATCCAAGCTCAATTGGGCGGTGACAAGGACTTGAAAAGAGCTATCGATCTTAACAAGGAAGTGTTTGACTTTTTGGCCACTGCCACTGCCAAGTACAACATGGGATTCTGGAAGCCAGGTTCCGGTATCATCCACCAAATTGTGCTTGAAAACTACGCTTTCCCAGGTGCTTTGATCATTGGTACCGATTCTCACACCCCTAACGCCGGTGGTTTGGGTCAACTAGCCATTGGTGTTGGTGGTGCCGATGCCGTGGACGTGATGTCCGACCTACCATGGGAACTAAAGGCCCCAAAGATTCTCGGTGTCAAGCTTACCGGTAGAATGAGCGGCTGGACCTCTCCAAAGGATATCATTCTAAAATTGGCTGGTATCACCACCGTCAAGGGTGGTACTGGTAAGATTGTCGAGTACTTCGGGGACGGTGTCGACACTTTCTCCGCCACCGGTATGGGCACGATCTGTAATATGGGTGCCGAAATCGGTGCCACGACTTCGGTCTTCCCATACAACCCATCAATGGTGGACTACTTGAAGGCCACCAGACGTGGTCAAATAACCGAATTCGCCGACTTGTACAAGCACGATTTGTTGTCCGCCGACAAGGGTGCCGAATACGACGAAGTCATTGAAATCAACTTGTCTGAGCTTGAACCATACATCAACGGTCCTTTCACCCCAGATTTGGCCACTCCTATCTCTGCCATGAAGGATGTTGCGCCAAAGAACAACTGGCCATTGGATGTTAGAGTCGGATTGATCGGTTCCTGTACCAACTCTTCTTACGAGGACATGACCCGTGCTGCCTCTATCGCCAAAGACGCTGCTGCCCACGGTTTGAAGGCGAAGTCTTTGTTCACAATTTCTCCAGGTTCCGAACAGGTCAGAGCTACCATTGCTCGTGACGGTCAATTGGAAGCCTTCCAAAACTTTGGTGGTGTTGTGATGGCTAACGCCTGTGGTCCATGCATTGGTCAATGGGATCGTCAAGACATCAAGAAGGGTGACAAGAACACCATTGTTTCTTCTTTCAACAGAAACTTCACATCCAGAAACGATGGTAACCCTGAAACTCATTCTTTCGTTGCTTCTCCAGAAATCACAATTGCCATGGCTATCGCCGGTGACTTGAGATTCAACCCACTTACCGATAAATTGAAGGACAAGGACGGTAACGAGTTCATGTTGAAGCCACCAACCGGTGTTGGTTTGCCACCAAAGGGCTACGATGCTGGTGAAAACACCTACCAAGCTCCTCCTGCCGTGCGTTCGAACGTTGAAGTCAAAGTTTCTCCAACCTCAGACCGTCTGCAACTGTTGGAACCTTTCGACGCCTGGGATGGCAAGGATCCAAAGGACTTGCCAATTTTGATCAAGGCCTTGGGTAAGACTACCACTGACCATATCTCTATGGCTGGTCCATGGTTGAAGTACCGTGGTCACTTGGAAAACATTTCCAACAACTATATGATCGGTGCTATCAACGCCGAGAACCAAAAGGCTAACTCTGTCAAGAACTACTACACCGGTGAATATGCCGGCGTTCCAGACACTGCCAGAGCTTACAAGAAACAGGGCCAAAAGTGGGTCGTTATCGGTGGTGAGAACTTTGGTGAAGGTTCCTCTCGTGAACACGCTGCTTTGGAACCAAGATACCTAGGTGCTTACGCCATCATTACCAAGTCCTTTGCCCGTATTCATGAAACCAACTTGAAGAAACAGGGTCTACTACCATTGAACTTTATCCATCCAGAAGCCTACGACAGAATCAACCCAGATGACCTAATCGATCTCGTTGGTGTTACGGAATTGGCTCCAGGTAAGCCTATCACTTTGAGAGTCAAGCCAAAGTCTGGCGATGCTTGGGAAACTCCTTTGAGCCATACCTTCAACAAGGAACAGATTGAATGGTTCAAGGCTGGTTCCGCTCTAAACAAAATGGCCGCTGGCAAGAACTAATCCTTGACATGCAACCATCCATCCATCCATTATAACATTTGATTCGGTTAGGCTAAGTTCTGACACGCTGTCTGTCCAGCAACTATTTATTACTATTATATCATATTTATTCATTCATATCCATTGTTTTTGGTACCTATGGAAGCAGAATTCAAAACGATCATCGAGGCATGAACCCTAACGTTCCCTCTAAGCTTGCTCTCTTGCCATTTCGTGGATTCATGGTATATTTCCTGTATTCACGACATCTTCCTGTCTTCTAGTCAAATTTATGAATATTACTATATATTTATTACACACCTTAAGTCAAGTTCACCCGTCTCTTGTATAAATATCAGGGCTAAGCTTCATGAACTAATCTCGAAATAGTCTTCTAGTTTCGGTCCATGGCATTTTCCCAGTGCGAGTATGGTTTGAGACCATACCCCGATCAAACTACCAATGCACTTAACCCGTGTTTTCTGTCAGCTGTATCGCTAGGACACGCTGCGTTTTTCAGCATCATAGGTGTATTCCAGCTAACAAAGTTATTACAAGAAACAAGAAAACCTGCGTCTTTTAAATATTCTTCGACACTGAGATCTCTATCAACAAGACATTTACTGCATCTGTCGAATGTTGGTCTCCAAGCTACGTTATTTCTGTGCCTTTTGATGGTTTTGCCCACTGACGACACACCGAAAATTACGGAGCAGAGTGTCTTATGCCAGCTTTTGCTGGTCGTTTTCGTTAATATTCCGACTCAGTTCATACAATACTACAGGTCTACCGCTTCGCTGGCAGGCCAGCTATTTTATTTTCTCACTCAAACGTTGTTGATGGGATATCAAATCGGACAACGTCTGGGCCATCACCCAGACACACGATTTGATGTTTTCCCGGGCCAGATTGGTGCTTTATTGGAACTGGCTCTATTTGCAAATGGGCTTTCCATTTTTCTCTATGATCTTGTCTCGTTTCGTCCCAGTCCGGAGCTGGTGGCTTACTACTCCGAAAATGAGCTGAACCTCGAATGCAACATCTTCGAAAATATAACATTTACTTGGATGAACCGTTTGATAGGGCAAGTTTACAGGGATGGAGAAATTAAAGACCCTCACAATATGCCTATCGCCCCTATCAACCTTAATGTGAAGGAGAAAGCAGCACTTTTGAAATCGAAATGGGAAAACGAAAGGTGGAGCGGTAGAAACTCTCTTTTTTGGGCCATCATGCATGCTTTTGGAAAAATCATCGCACTGGCTCTGTCTATCGAGATTTTCAAGGATTTCTTAACGATCTTACAACCTCAGCTTTTGAGATTATTCATTAGTGAATTTGATGTGGGACATGATGATGCAGGTCGCACACATCCCATGCTAAATGCTGTTTTCGTCGCTCTCGCTCTGTTTTTATTGAAGCTTCTCTCGACTTGCCTGTCCAACCAGTTCTTTATCATAATTTTTGAAGCTGGAATGAGTATAAGAGGCGGATTAATGACCATGCTATATCAAAAGTCATTGAGTCTGTCTGGTGATGCCAGAGAGGCAAAATCAGCCGGTGACATCATGAACTTGATGGCCGTTGACGTAATTCGCATTCAACGATTCTTTGAAACTTCTCAAGATCTTATCGGCTCCCCAATTGCTCTCATAACCACACTCATATCGCTCTACACCTTTTTGGGCAATGCCACGATCGGTGGTATACTCGTGATGGCAGTGATGTTTCCCGTGAATAGCTTTCTTTCGCGGAAAGTCAAAAAGTATGTGGAAGCCTTGATGAAGTACAAGGATGCTAGGATCAAGACCATCACCGAAATTTTGAACTCGGTCAAGACTGTAAAGCTTTATGCCTGGGAAAAGCCAATGCTCGAAAAACTCGACCATGTGAGAAACGAACAAGAGCTCAAAAGTGCTAAGGTCATTGCTGTACTCACTAATCTAATACTGTTGGCTTGGAATTGCGTGCCAATTTTAGTGGCATCTTCCACGTTTTTGATCTACGCTGTAACTATGGATAAACCACTCTCACCTGAAATAGTATTCCCGTCCTTGTCGTTGTTTGACATTTTGAATGATTGTATCTACACCATACCGCGCAGCATCACAAACTTCATTGAGACTGGAGTTTCCATTGGAAGACTTAAGGATTTTTTCCTAGCTACCGAGTTAGACAATTCTTTCATCAAACGTGAAGAATTGCCCGAGGATCCCAAAATGCCCGTTATAGAAATAGATAACGCAACATTTCTTCGGAAAGCATTTGTCAAACCTTCGGATGATTATGATGAAGAGGCTGTCATCGAGAGTGCAAAGGTAGCCTTGACCAATATTTCGTTCCGGGCCTACAAAGCCCAACTGGTTTGCATCGTAGGCAGGGTTGGAAATGGAAAATCCACTTTTTTGCAAGCTCTCATGGGTATGCTGCCCTGTATAAGTGCATCTGAGGCCCATAGATCTCCTGTTTTCCATTTCAGAGCTAACTCCGTTGCTCTTTGCTCCCAACAGGCTTGGATCATGAATGCGAGTGTCAAGGATAATATCCTTTTTGGACACAGATATGACGAAACGTATTATAATGCTACTGTCAAGGCTTGTCAATTACTTCCTGATCTCGAAATTTTGGCTGATGGGGACGAAACGCTAGTAGGAGAAAAGGGCATTTCACTTTCGGGTGGACAAAAAGCTCGCCTTTCGCTCGCAAGAGCTGTATACTCGAGAGCCGATGTTTACCTTCTGGACGATATTTTGAGCGCTGTTGATGCACAAGTCTCCAGACATATTACTGATGAAGTTTTGAGCAGAGAGAAGGGACTTTTAAAAAATAAAACAGTCATTCTAACGACCAATTCGACTTCAGTTTTGAAACATGCACAAACAATATGGGCCATAGAGGATGGAACCTTCATTGAATCTGGCAGTTTTGATGACATTTTGAACAAGGGCACTGACTCAAAATTAAATGCTTTGATAAATGACATTGGACTGTCTGACTCTAACGAGGCCAAAGAATCGTCCCAACAGAGTTTACTCAAAATTCAAGAGGATCAAGAATATGATGTCCAGGAAGAAATTGGACTTACTGATCCTGTAGAAGGGGAGAACGTTGTCCGGGCTGCGCTCCAATCACGAAAAGCATCCATGGCTACATTGCGGCCCCGCAAGATTATTGACATCAATACTGACACAAGGAGAACTAAGCAAAAGGAAGAGAAAAAAGAGCGCGGCAGGGTGAAAGGTGAAGTCTATAGGGCGTATTTGAAAGCCTGTGGTATACCGGGAGCTATCATTTTCTTCATATTCCTATGCGGTTCGAGAGCTCTACTCACTGGAGAGAATTTCTGGTTGAAGCACTGGTCGGAGGATAACCAAAAAAACGGGGAAAATGTTAGAATAGCGCACTACGTTGGAATCTACGTTTTAATCTCGCTGGGTGCTGCGTTCTTCAACAATGTCAAAAACATATTTTTACTTTTGGTGTGCTCGATGAGAGCCTCGAGGATTCTTCACGATAATATGGCAAGTGCGGTATTGAGAAGCCCTATGAGCTTCTTCGAAACTACCCCGATTGGCCGAATCATTAATCGGTTTTCCAGTGACATGAATTCCGTGGACGACAATGTGCAATATGTCATCAGCTTTTTCCTCCTCTCGGTTCTCGATTATATTGTTGTTGTCATTGTCATCGGTTATCAGGTGCCCTTATTCTTAATAGTGAACGGACTGCTGCTGGTGTTATACCTGTACTATCAGGTATATTACGTGACGCTAAGTAGGGAACTGAAGCGTTTGATAAGCACTAGTTTTTCACCCATAATGTCCATGCTGAGTGAGACTATCGCTGGACATCTGGTCATCCACGCTTTTGACCATTTCGAGCGATTCGACTACTTCAACTTACAAAACGTTCAATTTAACGTAAACTGTGTCTTCAACTTTCGCTCCACGAACAGATGGTTATCGGTAAGGCTGGAGTCCATAGGGGCGTTTATGATTTTAGCTGTGGCAATTTTATCTCTGTCTACTACCGCTGGGGATAGCCCATTATCAGCTGGTATGGTTGGGCTGCTAATGAGCTGTGCCCTGCAAGTAACAAACAGACTTATGTGGATTGTGAGAATGTCTGTTCAACTTGAAACCAACATCGTATCTGTCGAAAGAATAGTGGAATATTGTAAGTTGACTCCGGAAGCGCCTGCCATTATTGAGAAACATAGGCCTGAGAAAAACTGGCCGGCTCGCGGGTCGATAAAGTTCGAGAACTACTCCACTCGGTACCGGTCGAACCTAGACCCAGTCTTGAAGAATCTTACAGCAAATGTTTTGCCTCAGGAAAAAATTGGTATAGTCGGGCGAACCGGTGCCGGCAAGTCTACTCTCTCGCTCGCGCTGTTCCGAATTCTTGAGCCTTCAGAAGGGACGATTACCATCGACGGTGTGGATATAAGCCAAATTGGACTATTTGACCTAAGAAGCAACCTTGCTATCATTCCACAAGATGCGCAAGCCTTTGAAGGTACCATCAGGTCGAATATTGATCCCTTCAATAACTATACCGACGAGGAGGTTTGGAAAGCATTAGAACTCTCGCATTTGAAGCCTCATGTGGTCAAAATGGCAAAGGAAGAAGCGGGTTTTGAGGGAAATGACAATTTGCTAGACACGAAGGTCAGTGAAAATGGTAGTAACTTCTCCGTCGGTCAGCGTCAATTGCTTTGTCTGTCGAGAGCGCTACTAAATCACTCCAAGATTTTGATATTAGACGAAGCTACGGCCGCAGTGGACAGCGAAACGGACCGTTTGATACAAGAGACAATCAGAGCTGAGTTTAAAGACCGTACAATTTTGACGATCGCTCATCGCATAGATACAGTGTTGGACAGTGATAAAATTATGGTCTTGGACAAGGGAGAACTGAAGGAGTTCGACTCCCCAGCTAACTTACTAGCTGACAAAAATTCGATCTTCTACAGCCTATGCGAACAAGGCGGGTACTTAAAGACTAAAACTTAGCGTAAAATCAAAATTTTAACATCATCTTTCACCATGTATATTAGTACACATTGTAACTATACTTTTATCAGCCTGGCTTCTAAGTTCAAATGTAATTGCACATCTGCTGAAGGTTCCTGCCCTACTTAGTTTGTTAAGTTCGAATTTCAAGCACTGTCTTTAAACACCTTCTTAAAGGCCTGTTCAAAGTCGCCTATGATGTCGTCGATAAACTCGGTACCAACCGAAACACGGATCAAGTCCTTGGTAACACCGGCAGCCAGCTTCTCCTTTTCATCCAGCTGTTGGTGAGTAGTGAAGTAAGGAGCAATGACTAAAGTTTTAGAGTCACCCACGTTAGCCAAATTAGAAGCTACCTTGAGAGAATCCACAACTTGAACACCAGAAGCCTTGAAAGGATCATTTTCGCTGGCAGCGTTTGGTAGATCTTTGACACCGAAGGAAAGAACACCACCAAAACCGTTGGTCAAGTATTTTTTGGCATTTTCATGGTGGGAGTGGGAGGGTAGACCAGGGTACGAAACCCAGGAGACATATGGAGAGCTCTCTAAGTACTGGGCTAGCTTTAAGGCGTTGGTAGCGTGTCTCTCACCCCTCAGGGACAAAGTTTCAACACCTTGTAGCAACATGAAAGCAGCAAATGGATTCAAAGCTGGGCCCAAGTCTCTGAGAAGTTCAACTCTGACGTGAGCAATATAGGCCAAAGAACCTAGTGCGTCGTTGAAGATCAGTCCATGGTAACCCTCAGAAGGCTTGGAGAATTGTGGGAACTTTTCAGGGTAGTCCTTCCATGGGAACTTACCAGAGTCCACAATCACACCACCAATGGTGGTACCGTGGCCACCAATCCACTTTGTAGCAGAGTGTGTGACAATGTCGGCACCGTACTTGATTGGCTGGGCAAAGAACCCACCGGCACCAAAGGTGTTGTCTACAACGACCGGGATCCCGTGTTTGTGGGCCACGGCAACGATCTTGTCGAAGTCTGGGACGTTGTACTTGGGGTTTCCGATAGTTTCTAGGTAAAGAGCTTTGGTCTTGTCGTCAAAGGCCTTTTCGAAGTCTTCTGGACTATCACCATCGATAAAACGGGTCTCGATGCCCAATCTCTTAAAGGCCACTTTGAATTGGTTGTAAGTACCACCGTACAAGTAAGAAGTAGACACGATGTTGTCACCAGCGTGAGCCAGACCTGTGATTGCCAAAGTCTGAGCAGCCTGACCGGAAGAAAGGGCCAAAGCGGCGGCACCACCTTCTAGAGCAGCAATCCTCTTTTCTAGGACATCGACTGTTGGGTTGACGATACGGGAGTACATGTAACCTGGGGTCTCTAGACCGAACAGTTCAGCACCGTGCTTGGAGTCGTTGAAAACGAATGAAGTACTGGCATAGATGGGAACTGCTCTTGGGTTGTGAGAGTTCTCCGTGGCGTCTTCCTGGCCTGCATGTAATTGCAAAGTGTCAAAATGGGAAGGCATCAGAAGTTTGAATGGGTGTTTAGATGTGGTTTATCGATGTAGATTTTTCGACCAAAAATTCACAGCCCCATTGGAAACTTCAAGTTCTCTCTGTTCCAAGCTCTTTTATATACACCTTGAGTCAGTCAGCATCACAATGCGTGTTGCTGAACCTTAGTTCTTTCGCCAGTGTGGGTGTTTTGATCCAGAAACATCGGTGGGAAAAGGAAACTGTGGTTTCTGGCACGACTCACATGCCAGTTCCGAATACCAAATTTGGCTGGCGAGTTTGCTGCCAGTCACGGATTAAGCTTCTTCTTGTCCCGGCTGTCCTACGGTTGTAGTCATCGACCCACATTAAATTACAGCATTTTCTTGAACGAACCACAGTTCACGACAGCGGAAAAGAACACAACCCGATGTTGTCGTTATTCCGAACAATGGCGTGGTAAAAGAGTTCTCGAAGAAACCACCACTTCCCAGCTAGCTAGACCTGCCGTGGTGTGTATAGGTTTTGCAGAAGGATTGCAGACCGATGAGATCACTTTATCCTGTAGCGTCGCCAAGCCTAGAGATGAAATATCACGAGTGGTGGGTGAGCTCTGAAAGGGGCCCACAGTACCAAAAAATAGACCACAGTTGTGGCAGTTGGGAAACACTAAGAACATCACGGTTGACTCGAATTTCATTGGACGGTTCCAAGGTCAGAGAGATCTAATTTTTCAAGGCTTCGTTTCCCAAACAGGAAACACCATTACCGCATTTGGACGTATAGTGGCTGTCTGACAAAAATAAAATGAGAGCTACGGGATTCGAACCCGCGCATCCGAAGATATCAGAGAATCTGACTTATTATGAAGTTAAGCCTAAATCTGACGCCTTAACCACTCGGCCAAACTCTCGCATTTAATGAAAGGAAAGAACTGGCGAGGAATACATCGGGAGACTAATATCAGCAGACTTTTGGTGACATTTGTTCAAGCGTAGTTGTCATGTTTGGTCTAGCGACAAAGACGGGTACTGAATGGTGATTTTTAAACCTTTTTTTGGTTGTGTTTCGGATAGTTGTTATCTGACTTCTCGTGTTTTGAGGTCCAAACAGTATAGTAATTAGTATGGAAAGATCGGTATTATGGAACATCAGACAATAGAGTAACCGTCTTGCATAGAACTGTTTCATGCTATATTCAGGTTTGGAACAATGAAATCTGGCGCAACTCGAAATGGTCCGTGCCCAGCATTCATCACTTTGTATTTATCTGTCCTCGAATGAAACGAACCTTCCAGTCAACTGTGACTGATACCACCGTTTTATAATAGTAAAAGTCAAGTTGAGATTTGCGACCTCAAATGAAGCTAATTGTAGTGCATTGGGGCTCCATTTATGTAGCTTTATGTGTCGTGGTTAAAAAGTGGGAGAAAGACCTGTGACCCATTAATGTTTTGGTGTCGTCAACGGTAATTTATTGGTGAACTCCACCCCTCTTTTCTGGAATCGTGATATTACAGTTGAAAGAGCTGTACACTAAAATAGTCCAACAACCATAGCGTAAAACCATCAGATACGCTCTTCATACTACTCATCTCTTCTCGTCGAAACGATTTCAAGCTGAAGCAAACCTGTCGTTGTGGAATACCTCATTTTGGACGAGCAGAGAAGTCATTCAAACTACCAAGTAACACCACAATGAAACGCTTTACGAGGCAAACGATTGGTGCTATCAGCCAACGTAGATAATCAGCATACCTAAATCTCTTCCAATTCTTTCTGGTCTGGTACTCTCCCTTTCTACTCGGCGCTACATTTTCTTTTCGGACGCCGTTCAGCTGAAGATATGAATTAGCTAGAAAAGAAGCTGCTTCCAAGCACATATGATCAAACAAAACTATTTGGCTATGCAACGACCTAGCTATCGGTGTTACCGAGATTCGATACCATACCCGACTTTAGAACGTGACAGCTGTTATGGTATAGGTTATTGCAAGCTTTTGGTAAGTTCAACAACTGCTTGCGTGGCGTAATGGCAACGCGTCTGACTTCTAATCAGAAGATTGTGGGTTCGACCCCCACCGTGAGTGCTTTTATTTTTTGCAGCGATCACATTCATTATGAGCGCTGCGCAGTAGTGTCGCCAGCCAGAACGGACCAAGATTTCAACTCACTTCAATATCTTTAAATAATTATCACTACATGAAGGGAGCTCAGCTCCTAAATTTACTAGCTTTCGTCGGGCTCTCGCATAACGCATATTCTGTCTTGCTTATATTTTTCGAGGACCTCAACGTTGAATTTATTCTCTAAAAACGTTGGCCGCTTACGCTCAAAAAATAAGCTAATGTCACAGTCCTTGTCAAACATGCCTCTGTCGGTCAGTACATGTCCCGTTTCCGTAAATTGATTGGCTCCTGCTCCGATAGCAGGCGTGTTTTGGCCAAAACTTGAGTACTGGCTGTCTTCTTTCAAGCTTTGAAGAATCTGATCTACATAGTGAGACTCAGACATTTCGTCATGGCTAGCTTTCGTAAACGGTTCGACTGGTGAGCTAAAAGTGTCTTTCACCTCTCTCCACGAATTCAATTGCTTGAGCGCATCTTTTCCTTCTGTAGCGTAAAAACGAGGCTCTTCCGGCACGTTGGCGTCACCATGACCCACCGGCGGTGCAATTTGATCTGCTGGGATTAGGTCTGGATAACTTTCCCAAGTGATGAGTTCATGTCTCAATGACTTTATCTGCTTCTCTCTCATGTTGCATACTTTGCGGATACGAAACCTATCCTTAGAAATGATATCAGGAAGCGGGTTTTTGACGGTAAACAAATGGCGTAACATGAAGTTTCTTCTTTCCATGAAAGATAACAGACGGAGCGAAAATTCAGCATACGGACCTAGGTCAGGCTCCAAGGATTCGAGTATCGTCTTCATAGAAAATGGATAGAAAGCTGTGGTACCATAAAATTGGCGTGTTAACAAGTAACATGCCGCAGGAAACAGGTTGTTGAGGTATGCAGGAACTGAATGGTAAAATGTGTAAAAAACTCTATGCACTCCAGACATTGATGCAAGTATAGAAAAGGCCTCCGGAGGCACATTTAAAATCCAACGCCGGTACACGTCGTAAAGACCATTGACAGAAAGCGGTAAAACCCCCGATGAAAGTGGCAGAAGACTCACCAAATATTCAAGGTATGTGAATAGTTCCATAAAATGAAGTTCCAAATGTGGGTCGTTCGTGGACAATACAAATGGTTTGAAATCTCGTAAGACATCGATAATCTCAAGTAGCAGGTCGGTCGAATAAGCCGGATAATAAATGAGACTGTGATAGAGACTTAAAGAGTTCCAGAAATATTGTATGGACCGTGCAACCTTCGCCACGAGGCCTTTTCGAAACATTTCAAGACACATGTCAACCATTGCCATGTGATGGTCATCGCGGTATCTCGTGTCTAAGTACATTTGCATGAGCTGCACGGCTGAATTCCCGATCAGCAGCCGTGCTCCAATGACCTCATCGTCAACTTGAGATTCGGCAGTCAAAAAAGTCGACGTGAGATTTCGTACAAATGAGAGAAGTTTACCCCGGTATTTTGGAATCAGAGGCTCCAATGTTGACAATTCATGAATAAAGTCCCGTTCTGCTGCTGCACACTTTTCTCTCCTAGAAACCTCTATTTTTCGTGATCGACTTTTTATTGTTGCTAAAAGATTCAGTGCAACCACCAAGTTTGTCGATAGAGTCCAATCTTGCGTGCAGTTCAACAAAAGCTGAACGTATAGAGAACGAGGCACACGCAAGACCTCCATACCAACCATTGAATTCCACACAGATTTTGGAATATCTACACGACGGTGTGGAATCATGATTATTTCAACAGCATTTTCCTCTTCTGACGTAGGAACAATCGCCTTGAAAGTTGGTGACGGTGATTGAAAACTGGGTATAAAACTACCCGCGTCTTGAACTACCCGTGGTGCGCTCAACAAACCGTTCGCCGCCTTTTGAACTTTAAACTCTTCGATCTCTTTTTTACTCATGCTCAAATAAGAGCATTGAAAAACGCTGTCGTCTCCGGGTTTTCGGAGCCTGTTTCGACAGTTCCGACATTCCGGCAGTTCTTCATCACACTTAATTCGCCGTCGCTTACACTCGTTGCATCCCAACCTAGAATTACGATGCTTCCGTCTCGTCACTCTTTTTCTTGGTTCTGCTGCAATTGGTGTGCGATTTTCAAACTCCGATATGTCGTTTCGGTGGCCAGACTCAAAATCAAAGGAGTCGACCACGTCAGAGCTTTGAAATCTCCTCTTGGAGTTCCCAACAGGTGTTTTGTCCATGGTTCTTTATAACATGTTTGTTCGTCGAGCTTTATGGTTGAATTTACCTTTAGCTGTATTCATCTTGCTCGAAAATTTATTAATGCATGGAACACGAGCGTCAGCGTGAAAATCAAAACATAAAAGCGTCGCCTACGAGACTAAGCCGGTTGGAAGAACCCAGGGATGAAATTGTAGAGTCCCTACCAGCTGTAGTTCAACTTTTGGGTTCATTCGAGTTAGTGCTGTCTTTTCCAAGTTGAAATTGGACCAAAATTTGCCAATTATTCTCTGCAGGAAGATGTATGCAGAGACGAAAAACGGTGCTAGTGCAGAAACTGATCAAAAGACAGGACTGGTTTGTTGCGTCTAGAGTACTATTGAGCCCTTGAAAAGGGTTATCGAGACTCTTTGAAGTAAATTTGCATGTCGTGGCGACATGGCAACCGAATAGCCAAATTCCGTGCAATATAAATATGAATTGTCAAGTTTTCTTGGAGGAATCTTGGCCATGGTACTGTCCGCGTGAGCAAGCATTGCTTACCTGCTTCTTTCGTCAAGGTGGGAAGCATGAGCTCTTGTAGATTTGTTTGTAGTTGTCTTTGGAAGATTAAGGAGTTCAGTTTCCAGATATGGTAGTGAGTTCTATATCCTCTTAGGGCCTCGAGTTGGAAGATGCTCAAGACTTATTCCCCTCAAGATTTGAAGCCTGTTCAATGCGGGCATGCGCCCACACTTGTTCCAGACCCTTTTTGAAAATATCGACGTTGTAGTCCACCACGGTCAAACAGCTTTCGACGTCTGTGTCGTCGGGTCTTATCAAGGCCACCAGTGCCAGCCCACGGATCATTTGACGCAGATATATGACAACCCCGTTGTTCAGCGCAGAAACGCTTTTGACCTCTCTATGGGGTCGAGCAGGGGCCACAGCAGGGTCATGGGCACCACTTTCGGCCCCGTTCGAGATCTTATACAGGTCGTGCAGGTCAATGGTCACATCTACGAACTCAGCACACGTCTCATACATCACGATATCAACGGGCGATGAATCCGTGGATACGTAGATCTTGGAGTTTATATCGAACAAAAAACACTTTTCGATCTTAGAGTGCTGCACCAAATTGTCCAGCATGTTCTCCAAAAACGGTAATTCCGGAATTAGTTTCTGTACTATGCGTGAAAATGCTTCGTAGATCGAGTGGTCGAAAATCGACGTTAGATAAAAGCTGACCTGCACGCCATCAAGACCAAGTTCCAGCAGTTCCTCGCCGGTCCGCTGCATGATGTCACGCTGCGTTTCCACTTTGAAATCCTCACTCAAGCCATCTACTTTGTGTATCAGCACTTCGATATTAATGTCTGGGTTCACTTTGTACGCATACTCCACGATGATCGCCAGATTTGTTAGGGCGTTCATATACTCGTCTTGCGAGTCTATAACATACACGAGCGCTCCTACACTTTTGAAAAGCCGTTCGGAATCGTAGTTGGGCTCAAAATAGTTCAATTGACCCGGCAGCTCCATCACTGCCAGGTCTATCAGCGTGGAAAAGTGTTCCATGGTTGGGTTGGATGTGGACTCCAAATACAGCGTGTCTAGTGGCTGCATATTGTGGAACACTACTTTACAGATAGAAGATTTTCCGCCTCTGAAATTGCAAAAGGTCTTAATTGTTAGTAACGGTTTTCCTGGGCTAGAGATCTTCAAAAAAGCTCGGGTTTTTTTTTGGTGAGCTAATCTACGAACCTTCTCAGCCCCATCAACAGGATGGTGGCTTTAGAGCTGCTATCATCAGCGTTCATCATGGTGTTGAGTTAGCGTTGAATGTGTGACTTCAGTGTTGGATTGATAGAAGTGTCACTGAATTGAATAACGGTTCATCGATGATTGCAAGCTGTTCATTCTTCTTGGGCTAGAATCAATTTAAATTATCGAGAAGAGGTCATGTTATACGTGTAAATGAATTTTTGGGAAAAAATTAAGGATACCAGCACGTGATTGAAAAACTTCATACGTAGATAGTGATAGTATTTATCGTCAAATGCGATACAAAATTACATAAGCATCCGATTATGTCAGCGTCGGAGTATTGACATAGTGATATATTGCACGTGATGGGATATGATGACAGCGACAGAATAAAATATACTCAACAATCAACCTGAACTACGGCCTTGCCAGATTCTCCAGCACCAGACAGTACCCTCACTTCCTTTGATACCGCTTTAAAACTTACTAGATCTTCTTTGAGAATACCTCAGTGATCGCTACTTTGATGGTGCAATGCTCTTTGGAAGGATTCAACACATGGTTTGTCCAACCTACAAGACCACCATCTGTACACTTTGCACTGCACGGGAAGATACAATAATCAGCCATCAAACTATAAGTATTTAATCGCTCCAAATCGAGGACATTACTAAGAACCATGGAGCGGCTTTTATCATTTAAAACTCCACATGGACTCATCTTAATTCCTACAACGTTTATGAACATCCTAAGTACACACAAGAAGATGCCAATTCCTAATTGTACTGTGCACAAGGCACGAACCCAGTGTAATCATCGCATTGATTCCAGACACATCCTTTCATAGTTTCCTTCACGGACTGTCGTTGTCTATCTTGTCTCTGAATCTCTTTGCCAATATAGTAGTGAAAAATGTAAAAGCTGGGCGATGCTCATCTCATCGCCATCCTCAAAAGACAGAAGCTCCTGTCTCCTCAACCTGTCCAGCTCTTGTATCATGGCTCAAAATGCATTCGATCAGAAGAAAGATCACATCCTCGCAGAGATCCACAACAACATGCAGGATTTGTCGCCCAAAGGGACGATCGATGAGCTGTGTTGGCCCATCATGGATCTGATCAACTCGCACCGGGATATGGTCACCACTTCGTCTTGTTCGGGCCGTCTCAGCGTGTTCGTGGAGGGCAACAAGCTGAGCAATGAAGATGTCAAATCCGGAGGCAAGGGAGAAGGCGGAAAATGGCTTTTTGTCACGCACAACCGGGAAGAAGTGATGAGATGGACCGAAAAGCTACCAGAAGCAGTGGTGTACGAAAAAGCGGTTGAAACCGCCACTGTCGGGTCCAATGTCCGCTACATTCTATACAAGTACGAGCCGTTCATCCTACATGTCAAGTGCAGAGACTTTTTGACTGCCAGCAAGCTGTTCAGCACTGCTATGGCTTGCGGATTTCGAGAAAGTGGTATCGGCAGTAATAATATCGTTGCCGTCAGAGTTAACATCAAACTGGACATCCCCATTGGATATCTAGATCAAAACACTCAAAAGCTTGTTTTCTTCGTGAATAACTGCTACATTCAACTTATAGACAGGATGACGCTATCCAAGTTCTCAGAAAACACCAAGAAAATGCAAGAGCTCTACGATAAAATAGAAAGCCAGCTCATCAATCCACAACAGAGCGCGACTCTGAGCGGCCCGCTTCATGAGACCAAAGAAGAACGTCGGGAGCGGAAGAAGAAAGAAGGTCTGGAACGACAACAGCAGATTAAGCAAGACAAATAAATTAGAGTAAAAAGGATACGACTGAAGGCCTCCACGAAGAAATACGGCTTCGCACATTACAAAATGGTAATATCAATCAAACTGGTTTACATAGTTTTTTAAAAGCGCTAGCGGGAAAGCGTTGAGATGGGTCTTTTTGTTTCTCCAAACCGAGCTTCTAGTTTGAATTATTACTAGTTGAGGTGGAATTACGCTAACTGTACAGAATGTTCTTGTGACCCATTCAACAAGAAATGTCGGAAGTGTGTGTGTGTGTGTGTGTGTGTGTGTGTGTGTGAGTAGATAGGTGGTCATGACACGTCAAGATTCGACGAAATTTGCAATTGCTTAAAGTTTGACACATATCTTTAAGCATCACATTTATTCATCGTCATCAGATTCAGCACCCATCAATGCATCAAACATGTTTACAGAGGTTTTTTGTTGAGGAGCGTCTTCTTTGGCAGCGCTCTGAACATGTCTCAAAGAGGAAGAGCGCGTGGATATGAAGCTGTCCTTGGAGACTGGGGCAGGTTCCCTTCTGGAGTTACTTCTCGTACCCATCATGATGTTGGAGTTGGTTCTTCTGGAGCTGGACCTCGAGTTGCCCTTGTATCTACGCTCCCTTTCTTCCATAGCCTTCTTTGCGGCTTCTTCATCGTGAATCTGTTGAATGGTCTTTGGACCCTCGTCTCTCTTGATGCTATTCCAGTTCTTGACTTCCCTTAGTTCTATCATGTCCTTCAACTTGAACTTGATTCTGCTCGAGATTTCGTCGGCTTCAACGATCTTGTCAAGCATATAAAACAATTGATCCAACACAGTGGCACCCTCAAGGACACCGTTTTGTTGGGTCATACGATCGCCTTCGAACTGTTCGCCTACGGTACTTAGTAATTCCAGCACAGATTCCAAAGTTTCCTCTGAGGGGCTATCAGACAAATCCTTCATTAGTCTCCGGAAACATTCAAACATCATCTTAGCCGTCAACAGATGAGAACGGTATAGGAAACCAATCAATCTCACCAAACCCAAACCTCTTCTCTTGGCAGCAGCCATCTGGTAATATTCGTCAGACATCATTTCTGGCTCCAATGGAGAGCCGTCCTCCTTCGTAGGTAGTTTATCGGTCCAGCCCTTTTGGAACTCGGCGTGACATCTGTCAACCAAGTAATGCAAAACCAACTTAGGACCAGTCTTACCATCAACGCCTTCCTCTTGGATTTCAGTATCCATGTCCTTAACAACCTTACCGCACAACTGCGCATACATTGAAGACCAATGTGGCTCGTCACACGCTTTGCGGAAAATCTCCTCAATAACAACCTTCAAAGTTAGACAATCGGTCTCCCATTTGGATTGATCAGCGATCTTGATGATTTCTTCAGAAATAGGATCAAATTTTTCGAGGGTCAATTTATTCAGTAGGGACTTCATTTTTCTTTCGGCCTCATCCTTTTCGATTAGTTCAGTGACACCGTCAGGCGCAAGCTTCTTTTCAGCCTTCTTTTGTTTGGACTTTGGAACCCATCTGTTGGCACTAGGAACAAGTGGAGCCACTTCTTCTTCCACTCTCTGGGCTTCCTCTTCGGCCATCTTTTCACGATCCTTTCTTGATGTGTATGCTCTGTTAGATTTGCGATCATCGCCCATTCTCTTGGACTTTCTTTTTGAATTGTTTCTCGAGTTGGATCTGCCTTCCATTCCTCTCATAGAACCACTCTTCTTGAAATTAGCGCCAGGGCCAAATTTAGAGTCTCCACGAGGTCTACCAACCTGTCTTACAGTTCCGGGTGGAATGACAATCTTAGATGCAACGTTTTGTTTCCATTCTGCGTCTGGACGGATGTTCACCTTGTCTTGAAATTGCAACAAGAAAGCTGGGCCGTATGTGTACTTGATAGTTTCTTTCTTATGTCTAGCATCAGGAGCTTCGACTCCCTCAGGATATTCGAAAGAATAGGCGTCCTCTACAGCGTCAATCGCTTGCAATCTTTGAAGCAGTTCGGTCATCGTCATTCTACCGTCGTCAACGTCCGCGTCACCTTGAGCCTCCGCATTTTTCGCCTCCTCATCAACCGAAGTTTCGCCTTTCGCTTCGGCGTTGTCCTGTTCAGCATCTTCAGAAACGTTTACATCAGCAGCGATCGACTCTTCGTTATCCTCAGCTTTAGGCTCTTCGACCTCAACTTTTGGTTCTTCGACCTCAGCTTTCGATTCTTCGCCATCACCCTTCACGTTTTCTACAGCCTTGGCAGCCTCTTCAGTCTTTGAAGGTTCCTCAACTTTTGAAATTTCCTCTGCTGCCGCACTCTTTGGTTCATCAGTTGTCGTACTCTCACTTTTTTGTGGAATTTTGTTCTTCAAACGCAATTTCTCGGCAAACGTGAGAGGCTTCGCCGTTTCTGCAGGCAGCTTCTGCGCCTGTTCAACTGGCTCGGGCTTGGTCTCCTCCTCAGTTTGAGCAGGTTGTGTTACTACTTCAGTTTGAGTCTCTGGGGCAACTTCTGATACAACTTCCTCCTTCTCGGTTGATTCAGCGGGCACTTCGCTGGGAGTTGGTTCAGAAGCAGCTTCCGGAGATCCTTGAGCTGGTTGAGATGGAACTGGTGCACTTTCCTCGGTCTTCTTTTGAGCGCGCATAGCTTTTCTCAGCCGCACTTGTTCGAGAAAACTCATTTTCAATTGCTCATCGGCAGATGCCTCCTTAGGGGTTTCAACTGGTGGAACTGGTTCAGCAGCTGGGGACTGTTCGGAAGCGATAGGCTCTGCTGCCTTAACAACTTCCTTCTTTGGCGACTCCGGTGCCGCCATAGGAGGTGCTCCAGAAGAAATATGCTGACTGTGGATGGCATTAAGATCGACGTGTTCGCCAGATCTGTTTGTGATTTCGATTTTTTTCGACACGGGAGGCGTTGAGCTCGAAGCCAGAGGTGTCACAGAAGCGCCATCTGCTGGAGATAGCGATCCTGCAGGTCCCACTGGACTTCCAGGAGCATAGCCTTGCGCTGCCATTGCTGGCATATACCCGTATCCGTACGATGGATAGTACTGCGGTTGGGCAGCCATGTTATATGACTGATAGCCCCATTGCACGTTGTTCATGCCGTTATCGCCGTGCAGCCCGCTGTTGTTGTTGCTGTTACTTCTGTTACCTTTGTAATGGCCACCATTCTTGTTGTACCTGTGATTGTTGGTCCCAGTGTGCGATGTCTGACTGCCAGTGTACGCTTTCTGATTAGAATTTCTTGGGTTTTTGGGATTCGATGTCCTGGGCCCACTATTGTTCTGATTATTACGCGGAGCCTTTGGAGGCTGCTGCTGTGCGGCTTCCACACCGCTAGCGCCTTCAACCGGTTGCTGCGTGCTCATTTTCCAAACGTTATCCGTTGTTCAAGCCCGCCGAAACTGGAATTTCTCTATCAAATCAGCTGCGAACAGTATTCAAACCTGGAACTTTCTGACTACAGGCGCTTCCCTAGGTGCTTCCCGTTACTTCTTTCGATGCAGATTCGCCCACACTAACCGTCCTATGGTTTTAAGACGAAGTGGAGCTGTAAAAGTGGTATTTGTAGCTGGTTTAGCCTGGCCGATGTGAACAACTCCTGACTGAGTTTAGCTCTTCTGTTTGATTTTTTGATTTAAAAATTTTCCACCATGATGGATGTTATTTGGGAGAAGAGATGAGGCCGTTCGTGGGTGGTGAGAAATTGGAAGAGACGCTCAAGATCGAAGCACAGCGAGCACAGCGAACACAGCGAACACAGCTAATACAGATCGAGATTTTGGAAATAGTTGAGAAAACCAGCAAGTTATCATTTGAACGGACTTTGATGGTTTTCTAGTGCAATTGAGCAATCAGAGAAATCGTAGGATGATCCGTGTTTGAGGCCGGACGATGTTCATTGCATAAGTTCAGGCTTTGAAGGTTGTGGAACCGTTCATTCTCAGATGAGTTACTGGAGTCTTCAAAGAGAAAAATTGACGTCATCTTCGTGAATTTATTCATGACCGATGATGAATTCAATGGTCAAGGCGCCTTCCAGAAAGTTTATGTCCAATAACTTCGATACGGTGTTATCAGATACCATTGATCTAAGTTTTGGTGTATGTTTATGATGTAATTCACCAATTGAGCTCTCCAATGATTGTTGATTGCAAAAACCAAATTTGAGATCCGGAAGGTTTTGCCAGTCATTGGAAACCAGTTGGATCAAGAAAAGCCTGTTTGGAATAAAAAAAGCAGATATCAGTGTTTGCTTAACATGTAAAATGACCGTTAAATGCAGATTTGGAATGTCAATCAAGTGTCTCAAAAGATCGGTCAAGCGTCTCAGAAATCAAGTTTTGAGTTTCCAGAGACGATGCAATGAATGCTCATTGGAGGCAAGCAAAGTAACAACGGGGCTCCGAATCATATTGAAAAAGGCGATCTGAACACACCGCAGTGATGAAATGCACCTGAAACGATTGATGCGAGGAATTCATTTCAAGTCAAAACAGCATTCTCCATGGAGGTAGTAAAACTCGCAACACGCACAAGGAAAGAGTCTCTCAAAACACCCAACCTCGCTGAAATCAGTCCTCTCAGTTTCGGAGCTGTCTGCTACAAAGTTTGGTTCCGCTATCGTAAGTTTCTCGAAGGATACAATGCAAAGCAATTGCTGCACAGAATGATCTTTGCGTAGAATGGGATTGAAGAATCATCCTGTAATTTGAACTCTCTGAAATGGCTTCTTCTTCGCAGCCGAGCCGTCAACAAGTGCGCTTGTGTGAAACTGTCGTGTTTCAAGCGCCAATGGACGCTGGCAGTGTTGGCGGCAAACAATACATAATTACACAAAATGATAAATACGAAAAGAGCTAGCTGTTCAAGTAACTGGAAGAAGCGCAATATCGCAATGACTGGGCATTAGGCTAGATACCATAGGCTATAAACTGATTGTTGATGGGGTTTGTGTTTTTGATGAGACCACTAAGGGTTTAATGACATTTATGGTAGTTATTTAAAAGTACTCAAAAGTGTATTCATCAACAGGCCTTTGATGGTAGACCTGAATGGCCGTGTATATCAGACGATGTGTACCCAAAAGACTCAATTGAGTAGCTTCAACAGATAGCTTGAGTCCATACTATTTATCACCGCGTCTTTCAACCAGGATGCGGAGTAAAAATTGAAGGAAAGCTGTGAGAATTGGAAAGAAGTTAAGGCATCAGTTAAATGTTCAACGTTATCGACTTGTAATTAAACCATGGTTTACGGAGTTGGAATATTCTAACAGACCTTCAAACTGCCTTCAAGTCATCGACTTTTGTATAGAACTATGTACAGTGTACATTCTGCACACGAGTACATTTATGAGTACTGCACCGGCAAGAGGAATATCGAGTTGATTTAGGTATCTCTATCTTCCCATGTTTGCAGCCAGCTTATCCGCCTTATTGACCAGAATTTAGCATGACTTGTACTTTGTCGGAGGTACACTGATCTTACGGTGAATTTTATGTTTTAGAGGCGTTGCGCTCCACATATATCTGTAAACTGCTAGTAACAGTTGTGATTGTCAGAAACTAGAACATCAAATATAGTTATACAGGAGCGTTAGACACAGATTAAAAACTTCGCAGATGAAAATGCATTCTTTTCTGTCAACCGTGCTGAAAATTCACACCACAAAAGGCTTTCATCCATCTATTCAGTTTTGGTCAGTTCCCCACACCCTCAAGAGTGTGATGGATAAAATAGCCCTGGGAAATTGGATAGACGACTTGTACTCCCAAATAAGATGAGCATAATGATAGCAGCGATTCGACTTCATTACCGACTATTCTAGGGAGCGAAGACTAATGTGACCCACTACAATCCCAAGTGTTGACCTCTTTTTGATGTGAAGCGTGAGTAGCCAGCCTTTCAAGTACCATGAGCGAGAATGAATATTCCGAAAAACCGGTACCCTGACACATCTATCTCCTGCTTTGCTTTTTTCGCATCCCGCTTCACTTAAATAGTTTGGCAGCGGAGATGGTGGTCTCGTCATTCTTGTTCATTACCTTACCCACGGCAAGCTCGAAATCTTCCTGCGTAACATGCACTCTACGCTCCCGCAATGCGTACATCCCGGCTTCTGTACACACACCTTTCACATCGGCACCAGAGCAGCCGTTCATTTTTTCAGCAATCTTGTGGAGATTGATGCCTCTCGTTAAATTCATTTTCCGGGAGTGGATACGCAAAATCTCGGCTCTTGCAGCCACTGTGGGTGGAGGAAATTCGATCTTACGATCGATTCTTCCGGGTCTAAGTAATGCAGGATCCAGAATATCGAGTCTGTTGGTGGCCATGATGATTTTGATGTCTTTGGAAGTTTCGAAACCATCCAATTGATTGAGCAGTTCTAACATGGTTCTTTGCACTTCTGAATCACCACCGGAGCTTCCCTCTACACGACTAGATCCAATGGAATCGATTTCGTCCATGAAGATGATCGAGGGAGCGTGTTCGCGGGCCATTATGAACAGTTCTCGCACCATACGTGAACCTTCACCAATATATTTTTGCACCAGCTCGGCACCACTAACTCTAATGAACTTGCAGTCTGTGTGATGCGCCACAGCTCTGGCAAGTAGAGTCTTACCGGTACCCGGAGGTCCGTACAGAATGACACCCTTGGGCTGTGCAATGCCCAAACTTTCAAACAGTTCTGGATGTTTCACGGGCAGCTCAATCACTTCCTTGATTTCTTTGATTTGTTTGGTTAGACCACCCACCATATCGTAGGTCGAATCGGGCACTTTTTCAACCATCATAAGCGACACCAGAGGGTCTACTTTGTTTTCCAGGATTTTGTGCAAAGCGTACGAGTCGCTCTTCAAACACACTCGCTGGGACGCTTTTAGATCTTTCACATTGATGTCTTTGGCGATATCCACAATATACTTGCCTTCAGGTTGAATTTTCACCAGCACTTTTTTGTCTGAAACCACTTTTACCACCTCTCCCACGTACGATCCGGGCTCTTGCAACAGCCGAAGTTCATCTTTGATGAACCGCACTTTGTCGTTGAGCGCATTTCTCTGTGCCTCCAAACGTCTCAAGTTTTGCGTTTTGGCCCTAATTTTAAGCTCTGTTTCCTGGACTTTTTGATCGTAATACGACTTAATCCCACTTTCATGCGTGTTCAATGACACTTCACTAACTGCAACGGCACTCATTGGAAGTTACGCGTCGTTTTAGAGAGCTTTAAATGCAGTATTCAACTACCCTTTAGACGACAAGATGTCTAAGTTCAAGTTATATGTATAAAGTGGTTTTGCCACCTTATACAGAAAAAGTGGTGATGGCACTCTGTACGAAGGGTCTTTAGAAACTTGAAATTGATCAACTTTGACGTGAACCTAGAATAAGAAACAAGAACATAGAAAAGAAAGACCGCCTTTTGTGTTCTAATATGAGCTTAATGACGCGAACTATGGTGGTTACATGCGGGGCCACTGTACCGTTCCCAAGCTTGGTGCAGGCCGTCTTGGATCTGGATTTTCTTACCACAATACGCGAACGTTGGAATTTTAAGAAAGTGGTCATTCAATACGGAAGGGGTTTTGGTGGTGAATTTGAGAAAAGAGTTAAGGCTTTGGGCAGTGCCAGTGCGCATGGAAAGGAAGCAATCGGCAAGGCATCTCGGGACCTGGGAGTGGAGTTAGAGGTGCACGGACGGGTTGCGGCTGTTGAAATCTGCGGATTTGCTTTCACCACGGACATCGAGGGTCTGTTGCGGGTGCATGCTGACTTGGTAATCTCGCACGCGGGTACGGGATCAATTCTAGACGCCCTAAGACTGCACAAACGGCTTGTAGTTGTGGCCAATACTGGACTTATGGATAATCATCAACTACAGATTACAGATCGACTCAGGTCACGTGGACACCTTGTCGCGGCGCACGACGCAACCTCGGTTGCAGTACTGGAGGCCGTTGTTTCCGCTATGGAAGCGGATTCTACAACTCCACTGGCCACTGGAACAAGTGAAGCATTTACAAACTTGCTTTTGAACGTTGCAAACTCATAGAAACGTGGTCTGATCCCCCAAAAGGGAAGGAAAAAAAAAACAACCAAAATTAATACGTCCTTGGGGATTCGAACACCAGTCTAGAATTCTGCCCATCCCGAACTACACTTCCAACTTGGCCAGAGCCTCTTCCAAAAAGTGAATTTCCAGATTGCGATTTCGGCGCACCTACCAATTTCGTTATCAATGCATCCAGCCACTTTCGTGATCGTCATCTCTCGTTCACATATCTACCACGCTCCAATAACCAAAAAGTGACATACACATCCCTACTTCGTCGCCCCTTCGTCCAGGCCAGCCCTGCTAAGTCTCATTCATTCATAGTCCGGATGCCACAGTCTTTGAGGACTCAATTGCAAGATAACTTGAAACATGTTTCAGCCTCGATAAGATAGACAAACCGCATGCTAAAATCAGAGGTCACCCACACATGTAATTGAGTCTCGAAGCTTCTGATGTTAATTTTAGACAGACTAGATGTGCCTCGATTTACGTCCTTGTCGCAACCAACATGCACTTTTCTCATAGACGTGTCCAAAAGTGTCGCAGCTAAGCTCCCATAAGTTTCCTTTACTTCTTATTGTTCCCATTAGTTACCTATAGTCACGAAATGGTACCGGAACGAGTAATCTTGAACACGTTGTGTAATCTACATAGACAAGATGTGCTGACAGGGCCAGGGGAACCATGGCTAGACTAGGGTTGGTTGCTGCTACTACTTGCTGCTGCATGCTTACAGATCAAGATTAGCAGAAACGGGAGCAGTCTAATCAGAAAAGCCACTCTAATCAGTTCGTCGTCGCCCTATTACAAAGAAAGGTCATTACAGTGCCATAGAGGACACGTACGTAGCCTATGTTAGGTGCAGATTGCAATTGTAATAGTCATACCGTGTTGAGTGAAAAGCCCAAGTTGGCTTGATTCAGTCCAGGTATATATGCGGGACGTGGTGTTGGAAAACCGTTGGGTTTGATGGTGCTGAAAAGGAGAGGCGCAGGAAGTGTAGTCGTAATAAGGACTCGTAAAGAAGTGCTTAATCAGACACGCACCCACACAGAGATCAGTAACTCGTTAACGAAAACGAGCGGATATAAGTAGTGACAGTGACAAGTGGCATTACAGACGCTATATATATACCAGATGGAACCCAAGACGGAGGTCAAGATGGAATCTAAGATTAAGGCCAGAACGGAACCCAAAAGCCCCGTTAAAGGAGTTACTTTGTATCGAGAACGCTTTAATTTTGGTGAGAAACCACGCATTGTGACGTCTGACGCTGCAGTCGTAGAAGAGCCACCGTACAGTACAGATACAAAAACACAGCCGGAAACGACTAGAGACTCAGGAAACAAACACTACACACACATGACGACAACAACAGCAGCAGTAGCAGCCGCCACTTCTTTCTCCGATCCCAGAAACGAGACTTCAGTTTCCATGAGCTCTTTTTCGCCAGCCACGAGATCAGGAATACCATCACGACCAAGTCTGCCAGCTCACACTCCATGGTCTTCGTCGTCGTCGCTGTCGTCGATCAACTCCAACACCCGGGGCGGGAACATGACCAGACGGTTGTCGTCTGAAGAAATCATCAACGAAATGGAAAAGGAGCAGGATGCCATTGTGGTGCGGCTGCTGCGGGAAATCGACCAGCTCAAGGACGAAAACAACCGACTACGCAAAAACTTGTGTGCCGTGCTTAACGGCGAACCCCACACTGCTATACACACTGCGAACACCACCTCCACCACAAACACTATAGCACCACACACATCGCTGCCACAGCTGTCGTCGCGACGTTCGTCACTCAGCAGCAATGCTAGTAGCGTCAACAACAACAACTCCAACCTCACCAGCTGCGCCACGATCACCAGTAGTTTAGCCGGCTCGAGCGTTCTGGCCATGAGACCCAACGGAACCAGTCCTGTGCCGTCACGAAGACCGTCGTCTTGTGCCGCTCCTATCGACACTGTGACCCCAACTTTACTTTTACAACGGAAACGCAACTCTGTGCCATCACCGGTGCCATTGACACCCAAGAAAAGCGATGAATTTGCCCATCTATACGCTCCGGTTCCCACATCTAAATCGTACGCCGTGCCTGAAGCTCCGGTGGATCTTACTGGAGGCTCTGGGTTTCGTCGACGTCGATCTTCGATGAAAGCTTCCGAGGGTTCCAATAAGATACCACGATCTACTCAGTAGATTCTCCAGATTCACCGACGTTTTCTTACCATTTTTCGCCATTTTTCATAGCATCATGTCAGCATCAAATCATCATTACTATAGTTATAAGATACATGGCAGTTTTACACCACTAGTTTTAGTACACGTACCGTTCAATTATAAAACATGGAATTCGCCAAATTGACTGGAAATGTAAGCGGATCACTTGGTAGATTTATTACTCAGGTAATGGGTTACTTTCTCTGGTATTCATTCTAGAATAGAAAACTGACTTTTTGAACTGCTACAAGAAACCATTGAGTTTTTGGTACCATTGGATAGCCAACTATGTGTCCAATTCATCGCAAATAGAATTGGAGTCTGTTGACATAATTTGGAGCCTTCAATTGGAGCTAGGATTTCCTTCTTAGTTCACTGTTCATTATGCTTGACGAATAGGGCAATTTAGACATACTTAAGTCATCTCTAGCTTTACTCATTTCGAAGAACAAGACAATAAAAACGGGTTCAACACAGTTTGACAATGCTCGAACGCTTCCCGTAAGGGTAATATTATGCATAAAGGCTCTTTTTGACACATCCTCGAGAGTAGGAGCCTCTTGATTCCTATTCCGTTTTGGGATGAGCAATTGAAGTTGTAAACCACTTCAACATGAGTGATCGACTGAAAAACATCCGAAAGACAGTGAAAACGGTGTTAGGAGACGAGAAATAACTATGTAATGGCTTAAGAGGGTGTGCCAGATTACTAGTTTTTGAGGACAAAGGTTCGACAGCACTTTTTTCGAAACTCAATTGGTATAAGAATTGACAGAGAATTGCACGACAACAGCATCAGGATTGGCAATTGTTCTTTCCTCCAGGTTTGTTATTTTCAGCTTGACACAGCACTCGGAGTTTACAAGATTTTAATTTCATTATGGTGGCGTTGCAACTTATTTGGTCGCTGTTAGCGTTCTGTGACATTGTTTATGCCGCTTCCACGATTACGATCCCCACCACATCGGTTACAACGTCGTATCTATGTGCACAATGCAGCACGCTGACTGTGTTTTCGAGCTTGACTTCGACGTCCTCGGTGTCGATTGTCAGCTCTATTTCCAGCACATCCACATCGGTTTCCAGCTCCAGTTCTCCAGAAACAACAACTATTCCATCGACAATTGTTTCTACAGCTTTTGTATGTGGAAGTTGCACGATAAGTGTGGTAATTTCAACTGAAAGTTCGTTGCCGCCTCAGACAACAACAGAAACCGAGACTTCTTGCCCTGGACCATGTACCTTGAGTACTTCAAGCACTACTTCAAGCACTACTTCAAGCACTACTTCAAGCACAACGAGCACTTCAAGCATTACTTCGAGTAGTACTACCAGCAGCTCTACGAGCAGTTCGAGTAGCACTTTAAGCAGTAGTTCAAGTACTAGTTCCAGCACTAGTTCCAGCACTAGTTCCAGCACTAGTTCCAGAACTATTTCCAGCGCTAGTTCCAGCACGATTTCAAGCACGATTTTAAGCACTAGTTCAGTTACTACTTCCACTACTAGTTCAAGCATGAGTTCCAGCACTAGTTCCAGTACTATTTCCAGCACTAGCTCAAGGACTAGCCCCAGTACTACTTTAAGCTCTACTTCAAGCGGCACTACCATCACGTTAAGCAGTAGTTCAAGCACTAGCTCGAGTCACGCTACCAGCAGTACGACAAGCGATTCGAGTAGCAGTTCGAGTAGCACTTTGAGTACTTCAAGCAGTTCTTTAAGCAGTACAACTACAAGCAGCTCAAGCACTACCAGTACGGACACTAGTTCAAGCAGTTTGTTGAGCACTCCTACAACAAGTCATTCAACTAGCACCACAAGCACTTCTTTGAGCAGAACCTCAAGTAGCGTTTCGAGCATTAGTTCAAGCACTTCTGCTAGCACTTCGGCGAGCACATTTTCCAGCAGCACGACAAGCAGCAACTTGAGTAGCAGCACTTTGAGCACCTCTTCGAGCACTTCTTCGAGCACCACTACAAGCACGACGAAAGGTTTTACGAGCGGTACAACGTCGAGCGTTTCCACCAGCCCAATCACGTCTAGTACAGCCACCTCTTCTACGACTTCCGATTCCTCGAGAACCACTTCGAGAAGCACACTGGTCATTACATCTGAATCTTGCGAGACTTTTTGCACTCCAAATAGTACCGACAGCACGTCAAGCAGCACTTCAAGCACGTCAAGCACTACTTCTAGTATTTCAAGTGCCTCAAGCAGCAGCTTGAGTATTTCAAGCACGTCAGGCAGCACTTTAAGCACGTTGAGCACCACTTTGAGTGTTTCGAGTACTTCAAGCAGCAGTTCGAGTGCTTCGAGCACCCCAGGCAGCACTTTTAGCACGTCAAGCACTACTTTGAGTACTTCGAGTGCCCCGAGCAGCATTTCAAGTACGTTGTCGACGTCTTTGACCACGGATAGTACTCCTGGCACTCCTGGCACTCCAAGCACTTTATTGAGCTCTTTGAGCACTTTAAGCACGAGTTTGAATACGTCGTCGACGCCTTCGATCACAGATGTTACGTCTAGCACTACTTTGAGTACTTTGAGTGTTTCAAGCAGCACTTTGAGTACGTCTAGCATCCCAAGCACCACTTTGAGCTCGTCTAGCATCCCAAGCACCACTTTGAGCACGTCTAGCATCCCAAGCACCACTTTGAGCACGTCTAGCATCCCAAGCACCACTTTGAGCACGTCTAGCATCCCAATCACCACTGTGAGCACGTCTAGCATCCCAATCACCACTGTGAGCACGTCAAACACCCCAGACACCACTGTGAGCACGTCAAACACCCCAGACACCACTGTGAGCACGTCGAACACCCCAGACACCAATTCGACCTCGTTGTCAACGCCAGCCACCTCTCAGAGCACAATGAGTAGTTTTCCCGGCTCCGGTTCTACCGCTACAGTCTCAAGTTCTGTGATTAACAGTTCAAGAGCGAGCACGAGACTTTTGGTGTCAAGTTCTGCTGTCTCGGCTTATAGTACTCAAAATACAACTGTTCCGGAGGCTAGCTTTACCACACAATCTTCTTTCACATCTGCCGCTCCTAGGGATTTCCCACCTTCATCGAGCGCATTTACGGTGCTATATTCTGCAGCTGCTCACGGTGTAAGAGTCCCACTTATTTTCAGAATTGCCTTGCTTATGTTGCGTTGAATGAATTGGTAATAGCATCTGGTCAAAATACGAAGTGGAAGACAGAAGGAACTAAGTTGAAGGTTTTTCTCTTTCCCAGCTGTCTTCTCACCATCACTGTCACTGTCATTATTAGTGTGGTGCCTAGTTCATCATACAGTATCGAATACTTCCCGTACAAAAGTATCCGAAATTAAGTCACGTGACTGTACTTCAGAAAAGTAATCCACGTGACATCCACCACCCACACATTCTGATTGATTATGTCATGGGCGGCTAAACCTGTCGGTTTTGCGATTCTTCTCCGTACAAAACGACCGTCCCCTGTTTTTTCTTTTTTTCTTTTTTCTTTTCGTCATGGTCACGTGCATTTCCCAGAAATTTTTCACTTTTCTTTTTTTTCCCTTTCCGGAAAAAATTAAAATTTTCCAGACCCACTGCTAGCTCATCGCGGCATCACCAGCGAAAACATTTCATCTCATCGCTCAAACCATAAAACTGTTTGAACAACAAGACTTTTGTTTGATCTTCAGTTTAACAGTTTAAGTTCACTTTTGAGAAGACAAAACTCTACTTTGAATTTGTTGTTTGATCTTTTCGTTCGACACTCAATTGATAGCATCAAAAATGGCGAAACAAGTGACTAAAAAGGTTTCCAAGAAGGATTTGAAGGCTAAGAAGGTTGACAAGAAGGCCGAAAAGAAGGCAGTTGAATCTTCGAGTTCATCATCGTCTTCGTCTTCGTCTTCGTCTTCTTCGGAAAGTGACTCTGACAGCTCTTCTTCTGCTTCCTCTTCGTCCAGCAGCAGCGACTCTGAAGATGAGAAGAAATCCAAGAAAACTAAAAAATCTGTTGAGAAAAAAGAGGTTTCCAAGAAAGCTGCGGCCGCCGCCGCTGCGGCCGCCAGCTCTTCCAGCTCGTCGGCCAGCTCTGATTCTGACAGCGACTCCGGTAGCGAATCAGACACCGAGTCCAGCGACTCGGATTCCAGCTCCAGCTCTGAAAACGAATCTGAAGATGAAAAACCTGCTGTGAAAAAGCCTGTCAAGGCCGAAATCTCCGTTTCCAAGAGCTCTTCGTCGTCGTCCAGCGACTCCGAATCCGACTCTTCTTCTTCTGGGTCGTCTTCGTCTTCCTCTTCTGGCTCTGGTTCTTCTTCTTCTTCTGAGTCCGAATCGGAAGCCGAAACTTCGTCCAAAAAGCGTAAGGCTGACGATTCGAGCTCTTCCTCTTCTTCCTCAGAGGCCTCTTCTGAATCCTCCCCTGAGCCAAAGAAGGCCAAGACCGAATCTACTGGCGAACCAGCCACCCTTTTCGTCGGCAGACTCTCCTGGAGCATTGACGACGAGTGGTTGAAGACCGAGTTCGAACCAATTGGTGGTGTTGTTGGTGCCCGTGTCATCTACGAAAGAGGTACCGACAGATCTCGTGGTTACGGTTACGTGGACTTTGAAGACAAGAGTTACGCCGAAAAGGCCCTAAAAGAAATGCAAGGCAAAGAAATCGACGGCAGACCTATCAACTGTGACATGTCCACCAGCAAACCTGCCGGTAACCCAAGAGCGGACCGTGCCCAAAAATACGGTGACACCCCATCTCAACCTTCGGACACTTTGTTTTTGGGTAACTTGTCTTTCAACACCGAAAGAGACAACGTTTTCGAAATTTTCTCTGAACACGGTGAAATTGTTTCCGTTCGTCTTCCAACTCACCCAGAAACTCAGCAACCAAAGGGTTTCGGTTACGTGCAGTTTTCATCTGTGGACAGTGCTCAAAAAGCGCTGGACGCTCTACAAGGCCACTACATTGACAACAGACCTGTGAGATTGGACTTCTCCACTCCAAAGCCTCCTCAAGACGGTAACTCTCGTGGTTTCCGCGGCGGTCGCGGCGGTGCCGGTGGCCGTGGTGGTGCTGGTGGTCGTGGCGGTCGTGGTGGATTCAGACCTTCTGGTTCTGGCTCCAACTCGTCGCCGTTGGGCCAATCAAGACAGTCTGCTGCTTTCCAAGGTAACAAGAAGAAGTTCGATTAAGGAAATTACTGTTTTTGCATAGAAATCACCTGCTGGAAGTACACTCTCACACCAGGATGATGGGGCAAAATTTCGTATATATATCTCACTGGCAACAACTTGTGGCTTCTCGTGTATAATAGTGAATTAGATCAATCCATTTTGTGCTACAAGTGTAGCAGCTTTGAAGTGTTGTAGGTAAACGGAGGTTTGTTAAACACTCTGTCAAACGCTCTAGTCAAATAACCTCTTTTACAAATGCCGAGAAACTCTAATAAAGACTTTAGGCCACAATGTCCGCACTCTGTAGGCGTCTTGGAGAAGACAATACGAACCAATCGAACCTTAAACCGAGAAGATTCTACCGTCACCATCGTTAAACCGTTGACGAAACGTTGTCACGACAGAATAGTACGAAGTGATCTTTTCTTTCGCAAGAACGGTTAGGATTTGAACAACCCTGGCGCGACCACTTAAAACAGCAATAAAATCACCAGCTTTCCAAACACAACAGCCACTGTTTTATCTTCAGTTTCGAGGCAAAAAAAGCAAGTGCTAGGACCTCGTTTAAAGACTAATATTTGTCTTTTAAAATTGATGTCCCTGCGATGTCAAAATTGAAACCTCGAATTAAATAGCTCGGGAAAACTCCTAAAATGGCATGAATCTCACCGTTTGTCATATAAAACACCGCTTCAGCCATAGAGCAGCGTGAACTTGTCAAAGATTGCTTTTCGGGAAATTCAACAGTACTCTACTTTATTTCTTTAGTAAAGTTGAAACGACTAAATTTGCGCGAATCGACTGAATAACCAAGAGTTCATGATTAAAACACAACGTCTCGATGAATATTGTCACCACCCTAATTTGAATTTTGTTTTAGTCGAGATCGAAAGCTGACGCTGTCGTCGAATTCCATTATGTATAGCGTCATTTATATTAAGCACGTATATAGTGCACCTATAAATCATAAAAATGCCAAGAAAATTTTGGACTATGAAAAACACACTACTAAATTCGAAAAATATCCAGATCATCGCGTCTAAGAGTCTCCCCAAAGGTCTCAATTCGAGCTTTTAGGTTGGTTCAACGGACTGTAGTTGTTTGGGCTCGGTACTTAACCGAAAATACCTTTTTCAGAATCAAATTTGGTTCAGTATAGGTCGAGATTTGTAATGGGACTGCTGGCAAAGCTAAAAGCCACGAACATAAGAAAAGATGAGGGTGTGGTCGCAAGCGGGAGAAACTCCATGGTTGATAGTGGGAAGAAAAGATATACGTATCCTGGGAGCAAAAACTTCCGGTCTGGAAATCCTGCCAGAGACTTCTATATCGAGCAGGAAGCCCCACATCATATTTGGAGACCAAATGAGTACATATGTGGAGAAGCGGTGTTGGTGTTGAAAAAGGACGTGGAGAATGTGGCGGTGACCTTCTCGCTGGTCGGGGAGGTCAAACTACGAGGTTTGGGACCCAGAACACGCTCAGAAAAGCTTTTTCAAAAGTCAACCACCGTTTACGGGGAAAACGAAAAAACGGCTTTAGAGGACAAAGATGCTGTGGTAAATGGACTCACAAAGGGAGAGCATCGGTTTCCTTTCAGACTCAAAGTTCCGTCGAAATGCATTTTCACTTCTATAAAGTTCGAAAAGGGTTCGATCTCCTACTACATGCAGTGCACCTTGAAACCACTAAACAGTGACCGTTCTGACGAGGTCATGGCAACCTGCGAAAGAAGCATATCTGTCATGGTCCCACTTGACGTGGGGCGGCTTCCGAAGCCGAAGACCAAAACCGTGGTGTTGCAATCGCCCTCTAGTCTGAAGCAAAATGCAGCCGATCAAGACAGCAGTTCGGGACTCACACGTCGCACCGGTGGCTCCAAACAATCTGAGTCCACGATGGTAACGACGGGCTCCAACACCAAGACTGTGACTATAAACGTCGATCTCCCGGCGTCCGGTTACGTCGTGGGCGAGGTGATTCCAGTTCAGCTGCATTTGACCCATTATCGAGAATACTCGCACTCCATGGGGATCATAGCCACTTTGGTTCGAATTTGTCGGGTTGAAGACATATCCAAGGACAACGTTATTGAAACTTTCCGCAAGGACATGTGCCAGACCGTATCCCCCGTTTACGTGGACCCAGAAACTCTAGAATGCACAACGACAGTGTATCTCAAAGTTCCGTTAGATGCTTTCCCCACGCTGCGGCTACCCAACAGACGTTTCTCGTTTCAATACTACGTTGAAGTTTTGGTCAACCTTTCCCGCAAAAACCTTGCCTACACGGAGTCCAACCGTGTTGTAGACCCCACATCGAGTTCCCAAGGTTCCAGTCATCCGTCAAAATCGATAGAAGAGACGTTATCGGCTTTACAGCGCTCAATCAAAGCTGGGTCTGGCACAGACGGGTTCCACGATGACGATCGCGAATCCATGATTTTTTTCAAAGATTTGATAAATGTCGATAAGCTCAAGAGACTGCGCAACGTTACTGGGATGTCGATAGAAATCGTGGTCGGCACCATCAAGACCGCAAGGTCTCCCGATATTGCCATCCCAGAACCCACTCTGGAGCAAAATCAAAATGTTGCGAGAATTACGAACGAGCATTCTCCGGTCAATTCTTCCAACTCCCAAGAAACGTCCCATTCAGAGGCGCAAGACTACACGTATACATCCATGAAGCGGCAAGCGCTCTCCACAGACACCAGCTATCTTTTTGAATATGATGAGAAGTCTACTATGCCATTGCCCGAATACACTCCAAATTCGTTATTTGAAGTGGCCGAAGACAAGGATGAGTTGGAGCTACAAAGGCTGAAAGAGCTGGAAAGTGAACCATCAATGGCACTTTAGCTACACACCACAGATCAAATGGCTGGTTATCAAGTACCTAGAGTAAACTGTTCTGCTAAGATCTGACCTTTTATAATGAGATACGAGTTTATAAACAAAAATTTGACCGAAGTTCAAGAAACTTGACCTCATCACCACCATAAACACCATCTGGTAGGTCACTTAGAACCATTTTTGCGAGCCCACTTTAGCGTAGTTTTAGCAGCTTGTTTGATATGTTGAATACCACCGACAGACGACGTATTTTGGGGCCCGCGAATGCCAAACCATTGGTTTTTGACAGAAGTTCAGTTCCTGTGGAAGAAAATCAAGAATCTGCCAAAAAATCGTCTGTTTCGACGGGGAATGATGCCATATACATCGAAAACGGGATTGTGGTCAATTGTAATGGTTCTTCGTATTTGGAGGTCAGAAGCCGAACAAACGATAAAAACTGCACATTACTTCTGACATCGATATATGGACCAAGGCCTTCTCGTGGAGCTTTCAACGCCAAAGCAACTCTGAGTGTTCAATTCAAAGAGGTAACGCTGGAAAAAATCGCTGCGGGTCAGATCAAAGAGATATGCACTTTTCTAACAAATGTCTTCAACGCAGTAGTGAATCTCGAACGATACCCAAAATCTGGGATAGACGTATTCCTCAGCCTGATCCACAGCTCCAGTGGGCAGCAGGATTTTGAACTGGAATCCATAATCACAGCTTGTGTTAACGGTATCACTCTTGCGTTCGTGGACGCAGGAATCGAAATTCTAGACACCGTGAGCGCTGGAATGTACAAGAGAAACGTCACAGCATTTATGAAGAATGGAACCGAAGTGGTTGGATTCTGGAAAGACGACGACGAACAATCTTCTAGTGAAAACATTTTAGAAATAGTGGAAAAGTGTAAGGAACACTACTTGACGAATCGCAAGACTATGATAGAGTTCATGGTACGAAACAAGAACGCATCTGATTGAAGAAAATCAATGGAATTAACTCCATAATCATAGCTCAAGAGCAAACCGCATGTAAGCCAATGTCATCATTTCATTTCATATCAAATTGTTCGTCACTTCATCTCCCCCCTCATCTACTTAACAACTAACTAATATACGTTGATACTTCTCATACATAATGTACAGATTCGACTGAACGCTCTCAATCCAGGTTATTTAGTACTGTGTTGATCTCTTGAACAGTCTCGGAGATCGTTTCAATTTCGTAGTTTATTCTCCTGAGATATTTCGCGGAAAGATCAACACCAGCCACTTGCTTAATGATATTCTTAAAGCATTTTTCGGAAAAATGTTGGTTCTTGCCAGGGACAAACCTACCATTTTCGTAAGCATGGCAAGATTTCAGGAAATTTGTCAAGCCTTCGTTCATGCTTCGCGAGGAAGTGCAGTCCAGGTCTGGAAGCGATAGTCTAAAAGGCGGAGAAATCATGAGCACCTTGCGACTATTTTTACTGTGGTATCTTAGCTCATAAATACCTTCCTCGAAAAACATCAATTGATGATCAAACTTGAGATCACCGGAAACCACGTCGCCTGCTCTCTTGAAGTTGTACACACAGTTCTCCGGTCTGCTACTGTCGCGGTACGACCCGGGAGTGCTCCCTAGCCATAGTCCATTCGTCGAGATCCTTGTTCTGCAGCGGTCGTCTCCTGTCTCCAAAACTTCGTAGAGTCCAACCCAATCCTTGTCGTCATGAAGCTTAGCTGGAAGCTGCCAGTGCACCTCAATGGGCCCTGGGATTAGAATGGCGTGATTTGTTCCATCGCCCACATCGAACTTACAATTCGGGGCAAGGTTAGCGGTAGCGTTGTCCAGGGCCTTCTGTAACATTCCATTCCATTGTGCTTCTGACTTACCACTCATTTCTGCTTCCTCTTCGAAAACACCTTCATTAAAAGTCAAATGACCTGCTATTCTGGATTCCATCTTGTCCACAATTTCCGAGAATCTTCTGATGGGTTTGAAACCCATCAAAGTGCTCGAGACACCACTTTTCCGCGCTTTAGCACCATAGACTTTGTTAACATGAGGTTCTTCCACCAACTTAACCAACGCAAAGTTTGCTACGGTCCACACAACCGCTAGTGCCATGTTATATGACGAGAAATTGGTGATCAAGACAGAGCCCCAACATCCCGCAACTCCGAGAAACCTCTCAGGGTTACTCAAGTAGCGATAAATGCCCTGAGAGTTCAATTTCCGCGAGTTGATGTAATTAGTTAGGAAGAAATCTCCGTAAAACCAGCCAAACTCGGAAATGGCGGTCAAAATCTCGTCGTCACACCATTTCTGCAAATAACAAAGCAGGAACCCAAAAATGATCTGAGTATAATTCAGCGTTTCTAAAGACCTTAACTGAAGACATGTCTGCAAGACAAGTAGCGTGTAGGTGACGGTCAACGAGTAATTATAAATGAACTGCCATTGATGGAAGGAATGAACCTGGGTATAACCGTTTTTCATGAAGAGTCTGGTGAACCATTTTGATGTGGATTGCTTGTATAGGATTGCTGAGAGGAAGATGGATGTGAACAGTTTCACACCAAGCGCAGCATAAAAAAGTGTCCTGTTGGAGGTTTTTAGAGTGAATACAAGAGCTGCAATGGCCAGAGATGTAGCGGCAGTAAAATAATCCGTTAATCTCAACTTGTCGAAATTTGTGAAGAAAATGCCCTTTGTGATCAACGGTCTCGAGTAATTGCGGTTTTCTCTTACCAATAAGTCATCAATTTGAGCGTTATCGGATTCAACGGCATCCGATCCATAAATCTTCTCGATATGCGGTGTTTCGCAGTATTTGAGAAACAAGAATTGTAGCAAGTGACCCCCTATGGACACCAAGAGAACCTTGTAATCCCCAGAAATCAAACTCAGCCCGTAGTATCCCATGTAACCGATCGAATACATGGGATGTGGTGAAATGTTGAACACACCATCAAACACAAGTTTGGAATCCTGAAAGTAAAAAAAGTCGCCCCAATACCAAGCATAGTCCTTTACAACACGGTGAGCATCAATTTTCACCCAAACGTTGAATAGAATCATCAAGATTCCCAGTAGCACCCTCACACTGTGGCTAGGTAAAACAGTTTTGGGAATGGATAGACACACAAATAGCACGTAGGTAGTAAAATCTTGCATGAGGATCAGGTCCACGAATTGGCGGAAGAGAAGCCAGGTGTTGAATTCTTCTGGGTACGCCTCGACTTTGTAAGAAGAGGGCATCTTAGATTCAATTTCGAACCGGCAGAACCGCGCCAACCAGTGTTGATTTTTCTTATCAAAAATTCCGCGGCGCTTTGCATACCCAGTGAGAGACTCGTATTTGGACTGGTAATACAATATCACACCAATTCCAACGTTATAGCATAATCTCCAAAAGACATACTGCCATAGAAAAAACCACTTGGTGAAAACAACCCCGATCTTCGAAACAGAAAAGTAGCAAAGTGCCACATTGCTTATGATGGCCAAGCTAATCAACACTTCCAAGAATGATTTTTTCAAAGTTGGATCGAAGAGTGATCGAACCATATCGTGCGTTTTGGCAGGCACAAATTCTACATTACTGGAACGCGTTCTGGCGACAATTGCTGCAACGGGCGAGTTTTTACCACTTTGAGATGCCATTTTCTCGCTTGTGGCACTTTTGGACGTCTTTTTTTTAGGGTCCTTCAGCATTCGGCGTGCTTATGTCCAGAAATAGAGGCTAGGTTGAACTAGGAGAAAGAAGAGAGACGAAAGTGCTTGAGCAACTTTTTGTCGACACGTTCAATTGACCGGATCGCCTTGTTTTTGGCTGAATCGAATGGTGGCGAAGGACAGTAGTGTAGGTGGCACTTTGGCACCTTTGACACACTTTTTCAACGTCGAGAATCATGAAAATGTCCATGTGAAAGAAAAATGGTATTAGAAATGAAAAGGAAAGGCATGTGATGTGGGATGAACTTTGAGGCTAGGGCTAGCGAGAGCGAAATGGTGTCAGTTTGGATAAAAGCTATGCTGGAATTAGGCACAAACGCGGTGAATTTGGCTGTAGAAGTTGGGCTCGGCCTCAGTAATTCTTTCACATCCGTTCCACTTTGCATGAAACACCATTTCTGGTTGTTGCACCAATTATGTGACAGCCGTCAATACACCCGGTGCGTTCTCAAACTCAGAGTTTGGAGCTTTCCGAGGTAGGACGTAGGAACTGATATATTTGCGTAACCCCGTTCAGCCAACAGGGAGTATGTGATCTTACACACCACCACTTGTGCTTTGGCTGAATCAAAGCTGCCCTCTAGCATGCCAAGTTGTAGGTTTTAAGCGAAATTCTTGTTCTCACCGTTCCTTTAGAGGACCTTTTCAACAATCAAAGCTTGAGAACAGTATTTTGTGTTGCATACCGATGCTTTACCGTTGTAACTTCTAGCTTTCTGGGAGTTTGTTCTTCCATGAGATGCGGACTTGAAAACGCTTTGGTAGAGTCCCCAAAGGGCATCACAAATACTGAATCTGTCTACCTAGCCTTCGAGAACGGTGGAGTTTGGGATGCACTTAGTGCATTGCGCAATGTCAAAACAACTGGTGGCCAGAACTACAGCTGAAAAACAAAGGCTTTCTAATCAAGTCAGTGACTGCTCAGCATAGCCGCCGTAGACCTCCGAGGCCGCTCGAATCTTGGCTGATGACTCTATTACACAAATCTAGACAATTATATATATCTTCACCGAGTCTATGGACGGAACCATCGAAGAGAATCGGGCTAGTTGCCGTTTTTTGGCGGTAAGGACTGTTGTGGTAAGACTAGTGGTAATGGTCTTGTACATAATGCAATATAACAAAATCGAGAAACGACACGAAAATAAAAGACGATAGTCATCAGAACCGCCGTTCAGTGTGGTAAAGGCCATCGTGAGGGACCACATTTATAGCTGGTTCAGCCCGCCTAGCAGATGCAAATGTTTCGAGGGTCTCACATACCCACCGTAGAGCCTCCAAACTCGTTTTCGATTTTTTGGTGGTCCAACGGGTTAGGAGCCGCTTCGTACACCGCCAACAAGGGAAGTCCGTCGTCGCTTCTTTTGTTGTTGACAAATTCGCCTCGCAGGTCGATGTAGAAACATCGGGTCAGATCGTCTTCGTCGCCGCTCCAGTTGTTTTCCACAAATAGTGTGATTGATTCCACGTTTTGGAAATGCTGGCGCGGTAATTGGTGCTCCGAAAACCCAACATCATCAGCTTCTTCGTCTTCGTCTCCTCCTCCCGTAGCGCTCTGAACGTCGATCCCGACATTTTCTGGATTTTCCAGTGTGTGCAGTGGCTTCGAATCCAGTAGGTTGTCAAAATCAATGCTTTTGGTGAAGTTCTTGAATAGCTTGATGGTTTTGGGTGACCCAATCCCACCGTTGTCACCACATCCGAACCGGAATATGCACGAAAAGACACGACACACGCCCGTCAATGGGATATGCAAGATCATCTGGCAATCTGCGTCACTTTCTAAAAATCTGGACGTATTATACTTCTCTTGCTGGCTTTTGATAAAGCACGAACTTAGTTCGTTAGATCCACGGCCCACTGCATTCAGACAGCGCACTTGCGGTGTATTAATGTATTTATACAGTGATTGGGCCTCATTCGTTACTAATGGAGGAGAATGCTCATGTCCATGCTCATGAGAATTCTCATGCTCATGCTCACAGCTATGTGACATTACTGTTACAGATCAAGAGATAAGTAGAGCGAGCTTATGGAGCTCTTTCACCGATTGTTAGTTCCCAGCCTTTAATTTCGATGAAATTCCATAATATACATATATATGTATTAAGAACTAGCTAGCTCATCATCTGGACATCGGAACTGGAAAAGAACAGCTTTCAAGACACTAGAAGCACTTTTAGGGCACCATGCATACTGCTCAGTTTTTGGATAACCATCCCACCAATATCAGCTCGATTTTGGCCGGTGGATATAACCATCCGCTACTTAGAGAATGGCAAAACGAACGTCAATTGACGAAAAACATGTTCATCTTCCCACTGTTCATATCTGACCTTGAAGACGAGGAAACGCCCATTGATTCGCTACCCAACATCAAGAGGTTTGGTGTTAACAAGCTGGCAGGTTATTTGAAGCCCTTGGTGGCTAAGGGTCTCAGAGCAGTCATTTTATTCGGTGTGCCGTTGAAAGATGGGTCAAAAGATCCTGTGGCTACTTCGGCAGACGACCCAGAAGGTCCTGTCATTCAAGGCATCAAGCTTCTCAGACGTGAATTTCCGGACCTCTATATCATGTGCGACACTTGTCTATGTGAGTACACCTCGCATGGCCACTGTGGCGTGCTGTACGAAGATGGAAGCATCAATCGTCAGGAATCGGTCCGTAGAATTGCTGCAGTTGCTGTTAACTACGCAAAAGCTGGAGCTCATGCCATTGCTCCAAGTGACATGATTGACGGTAGAATCAGAGAAATCAAATTAGGACTAATCGATGCTGGCTTGGCGCACCAGACGTTTGTCATGAGCTACGCGGCGAAATTCAGTGGTAACTTGTACGGTCCATTCCGCGATGCTGCATGTTCTGCTCCATCCAAGGGAGACCGCAAAAACTATCAGTTGCCATCCGGTGGTCGGGGTCTGGCTCGTCGTGCTGTTAAGAGAGACCTTGAAGAGGGAAGTGATGGTATCATCGTCAAACCTTCCACTTTCTACCTGGACGTCATGGCAGACACCGCTGAGATAGCTCGGGACACCCCCATCTGCGCTTACCACGTTTCTGGAGAATATGCCATGTTGCATGCTGCTGCCGAAAAGGGCATAGTCGATCTCAAAACCATTGCCTTTGAATCGCACCAAGGATTTTTGAGAGCTGGGGCCCGGCTTATTATCTCCTACTTCACTCCTGAGTTCTTGGACTGGTTAAGCCAATAGATGTATGGAGAACAAAACGGTAGTGGTTTATCCTATGCAACTACGAGAATATATAGGACGATTTATTCTTTCCTGATCCTCTGAAATGCACCCGCCAGCGATGCCAATTCTCTGCCATTCGTGTTCCCAAACTACTCGGCCAAAGCCGCTTCTGGCCTTCTTGCGCGGTTTCCCTGGCGCTCTTGAGGATCCTGGCTGGACAACGAGGGTAGCTCTTCGGTAGAAGGTAAGTCTGGAATCGTTTGCGGTTGCTCCAACGGCACATCTGGTAACTTCAATTCTTCTTCTTTGGTTCCTGTGCCGTTGACCTCTTTATCGAGCTGACTCAACTCCCGGTCCAATTCTTCCTCAAAACCCCCTACAACACTGGACGACAAAACCTGGTCCACTTCTTCCTGGTACGCGATCTGGTCTGCCACAGAGTCCATTAGCTGTTCTGCACCTTTGAATTCGTTATTCAATCGCTTCAAAACCTCATTTCCCTGCTTGAGTCCAGCCATAAACTGTTTTTCTACAAGTTTGAATTCCACGGTTGCGACCAGATTTTCCAAGTTTATGAGCTGATCCGATGCCTGTTCTAGCAGGTGGCTTTGGTAATGAATTTTCTTGAGTAACACACGCGATTTGGGGTCTTTAGTGCCGGTTTTCGGATTCTGCCGCAGCAGGAGCTTTAAACGTTCTCGCTCATTGAACACTAGTGCTTCTGTGCGTTTTGTATATCGGTGTAACTCGTCCTTAGAAAGTTTTAGTTGTAGGATTGCCCTGTCGGCCTTGGTTACCTCAATCTTGCTGCTACTTTGGCCCATTCTGCTGTGTTCGCTGTCTCCAGTGCACATCTTTCAGTCAATGATTTGGGTTTGAATAGTAATCTCCAGTATCTATCTATGAACTCTCTTAGCAGAAGTGGACAAAATAGGATACAAAGAAGTGGGTAGAGGTCTAATTGACGCTTGAATTAGGCCGTGTGATGAACATCAGCACCTATTTACACGATTCTGCTGACATCCAGGCCTTATTTGGAGCGTTGGAGATCTTTTTGGGCCAGTAAAGATAGACTTTGTTGAAGTAAGAAAAGACGTTATTAGCTTGTTAAAACAGTCCTTTTTAAAGCAATGGTCTTGCGTAGCTGGAATTGCATACTCTGCTTGTAGTTTAGAGATGTTAGCTATCTTCTCCAAATCTTTAAACAGCAACATCCGGTTTTAAACCGTATCGACATAAGACTTCAAGCGGTGAACTACGAAATGCAGCTAATGACAGGAACGAGATATCTCAACGGTCATCTAAATAGAATCATAAATGTTACGCCAAATGAGAGAGCACTTTGCTCCCCCAGTCGAGAACTGGCCTTAAAGCTATCGGGTGAGTACACCTACTTTTACGTCTAAACCCATTGAAAGAAGCAGAATCCGAATATCTGCCGGACTGAACGCCCTCGGATTCAAAATCGATAATTTGACTCCAAATCCAGCACCACTTGCGAGATATCGAGCATGTCCGTACCATTGTTCTTCATTTTTATATCTCATCGGCCCTGTCACTACAATGAGTCGTAATTAGTTTCTCACAGGCTATGCAGCTCAGATTTGAAGCTGAAAACTATAGAATTCTTGAGAAGTTGGTATCAAGTTGATGGGCTTGAAAACCTTCAAAACGTTTCTGGCAACGTAAAAGTGATTCCATTGTACAAGTTTTTCATTCTTGTCTCTTCCTGTGTTCTGACATACAAGGCATCTTTCCAGGTGTATTTTTTTTTTTGACTATCACATCGCAGAACGGTGAAAGGAAATTCGATGAAAGTGTTCAATACAGATTTCGCATTGATTTTCAATAGCCAAGGCACCGATGTTGAAGCGGACCCGCGAGGCTGAATCGATCCCAAGTTCGTAAGGTTCGAACTCTAGAGCGTCGTTTGGTACGCAGACCATGTGGAGAGCTTTCGAAGGGCCCACATCATACATTTGAGTCCTTCAACTAGCCACGAATATGTGATTTTAGTCTATGAGAGGCTATTTTTGGGTTTAAGAAGCAAATGCGAGGCCGTCGCAGTTACATTTAGAGCATGACTCTGTCCATGACAAGGTGTAGTCTTCGAGGACAGGACATTGTTTCCTACTGCTTTGAGGAACTCGCGGCTTCTTAACCTTTCAAAGAGCTGGACGTTCTTACTTCAAGCGAAATTTTACTGCTCAAATTCAGTGCAAACTGAAACTCGTAAGTTGAAAAACCTCTGCCCTATGACCTCCTCAAAATTTCAAATCAAATGCTCATGATGTTCTGAAACAGATCACCAATACCCGAAAGATAATATCTTATCATAAGTAAGCCTAACTCGCGTAGAGTATCCGGCCTGTTACTTCCTTGCTCAACGTCTTGTCCAAAGTTTTTACCATGTCAGAAATATACCGTCGCTGACACTTTCAATATCACTTTTTCCCAGGCTGGCACTTAATGCTAATTTTCGACAATGCAGATCTCTTGACCACCTGAATACTACAAAAAGCCACATACTTTCAACCATCACACCACAAGAAAGGTTTCATTTATAAGATTCAAGGGTGGTTCAACTGTCCCATCAACCTTATTATCGAGCATCAGTGGTTTTCTCCAGCTAAGTGACGGCGTTTTTTCTAGCTTTTAGTTCCCTTTTAAATGACACATTACGACGACCGTACATCTGTTGCTGACCTTGTCGGTAACACACCATTGGTAGAGCTTTCAAAGCTTCCTAAGGCACTAGGAATCAAGCCCAAAGTGTATGCAAAACTAGAACTGTACAATCCCGGTGGCTCGATCAAAGACCGTATTGCCAAGTCCATGATCGAGGATGCTGAGGCGTCTGGCAGAATTCATCCTTCAAGAACCACTTTGATCGAACCCACTTCAGGTAACACAGGTATCGGCTTGGCCCTGATGGGTGCTGTCAAAGGTTACAGAACGATTATCACTTTGCCTGAAAAAATGTCCAACGAAAAAGTCTCGGTGCTCAAAGCTTTGGGTGCTGAAATCATCAGAACTCCTACCGCTGCCGCTTGGGATTCACCAGAGTCGCACATCGGTGTGGCCAAGAAACTGGAGCAGGAAATCCCAGATGCTGTCATCCTGGACCAGTACAACAATCTGAAAAACCCAGATGCCCACTATTTCGGCACAGGTAAAGAAATCCACAAGCAATTGGAGCAACTCGAGCTATTCGACAAGCTCCACAGTGTTTTTGCCGGTGCAGGAACCGGTGGTACCATCAGTGGTATCGCCAAGTATCTCAAGGAACAGCGTTCTGATGTACAAATCGTGGGGGCTGATCCTGAGGGCTCTATCCTTGCTCAGCCAGAATCACTCAATGCCACGGAAGAAGCTGAATACAAGGTCGAAGGTATTGGCTATGACTTTGTTCCCAAAGTGTTGAACCGCAACTTGGTCGACGTTTGGTTCAAGACCAATGACCTTGACGCCTTCAGATACGCCCGTCAGCTAATTTCTAATGAAGGTCTACTCGTAGGCGGTTCCAGTGGAAGTGCTTTTGCCGCTATGATGGACTACAGCAAACAACACCCCGAGCTTACCGAAGATGATGTATTTGTTATCATCTTGCCCGACTCGATTCGTTCATACTTGACCAAATTTGCTGACGACGAATGGCTAAAGAAGAACAACTTGTGGGATGACGATATTCTTAAGCCTTTAGGAAGAAGTCAAAACGACACATTCAAGGGTGCAACCGTCAAGACCCTAAACTTGAAGCCAGTGGTGTCCGTGAAGGAAGACGCACCTATCTCCGAAGTTGTCAAAATTCTGACAGATAACGGCTTCGATCAATTACCTGTATTGACCGAAGACGGCAAGTTGTGTGGCCTAGTGACGCTCTCGCAACTGTTGAAGAAGCTCTCTTCGGGCGAAGCCGTGAAAAGTATTCAAAAGCTGTTTTTCGATTTCAGAAGGCTCAACAACTTCGATGAAGTTTCTTCTTACAATGAAAACAAGTCTGGTAAAAAGAAGTTCGTCGATTTCACAGTTGACAGCAAGCTATCTCAGTTGAACCAATTTTTCGAAAAGAATTCATCTGCCGTTATCACTGACGGCCTCACTCCAGTGCACATCGTTACGAAGATGGACTTGCTAGAGTATTTGACTAAAAAGGTGTAGATTACATAGAGACTGCTATAGAATTATTTTGAAGTTCTTCTAAGAGCGACGACTTAAAGTGTCCAGAGTGGTACCTATTTTTTCTCCATGCCTAGCACCGCCATCAATGGTTCCAATTGTTCTGGACCTAATTCGATACCCGATTTCGCCAGTTCTTCTTTGAATTCTGCCATCGCTTGTCTCACATCTTTGTCAGTCAAGATTTTGACCACTTGCCATGGTCCCGGGGGAGCAGAGTCATTGGCAAGACCCTTGGAAACCATGATCTCACTAACAGCTCGTAGTTTCGAAGCAACATTTGGGTGACTTTGGATTTCATCCAGTAGACCCTGTACTTTCACGTGGGCTTCGATGTCTTTGTTGGGCCGATTGTTGTCCCAGGATTGAGCATAGCACCTCTTTGCAGTGATAGAAACACCGGAAGAGACCTGAGAAGAACCTCGATTTGTTGCTAATCTAAGAGTGGGCGAGCTAAGTGCTCTTACAATTCCTCTAAAGTGCATCATCGCTGAGATTCAGGCTCAAAGTGTGATGCTTTTGGGTCAAATTCATAGCATAATGGTTACTAGCTGTAAATTATAGTACCAGGCGATGAGCAAGCTAACACAGCCGAAAAAACAAAACTTGTTGAAACACACTACTTTACAAGCCTGAAGATGGTAACGGCATCACAGTTGTTAAGCTCTTGTCTAGCACTACGTACAGCTTGAGTTTTTACATAAAAAAAGAGACATCCACCATGATCCAGCGTTGCGAAGGCTGGTTACGAGAATTTCCATCTATTACCGCAAACCTCGCATGTACAGAAGGTTGTGAGCGGCTCATCTGCGGATCTGGTCTGCAGCTGGTAGTACGACACTTTTTTTTCTTTGCACTTACCGCAGGTGAACCTGTCGGTTACGGATCTCTCAAGTGTGGCACCTTGGGCATTAAACAGATTCTGTTTCGAGATTTCTTCTAGTTTCTTCTTTAGATGCTCTGGTGCAAGCTCTCGTGGATCGCAAGACACCAAATGGCCGGGTGTAACGTCACCGGCTGTTATTTTATGTTTGAGATCGGGATTATTTTTTGAAATGACGTTTGAGTAAACCACCCGGTATTTGTCTTTGTAGGCCTTTTCGTTGTTTTCGCAGTTGTTGAGCTGGTTGAGCTGCTTTTCGACCGCAATTGCCGTTGTGAGGATTGATTGTGGAGGATGTTCGCTGTCCTTTGCCAAAGCGTCGTAAAAGGCCCGAATGACCATGTCCCGTAATTTGTGGTTGTAGACAGTAGTTATCACACCATCATTTTTGGCGTTTCTAGGTTTGGTCGACACATATTTGTCGTGTTTCTTGGCCTCAGACGCAAACGAGCTTTTTGAGCCTGTATTGGAAGAAGAACCTGTTGTTGCGGCGTGAGAACTTGAGCTTTTCGCCAGGGTTTTCTGCTTCTTTTCCTGTGAGATGGCATCTCGCCACTGGCCTATCATTTTCTTGACCAGCCCGGAAATCTGAGCATTTCCAGACTTCTTGAACTGATTGACAACCACACCAACCTTCGTTTCCCGTAACAGCTTCTCTGTGGGCTTCAAATCCCGCTCCAAGGTCGTCAAAATCTCTATCACAGTCCCATCGTTTGTCTTGCTCTTTTCCAAGTTCTTAACGAGTGTGGATACCTCTTTGCTATCCATCTTTAGCGTTCGATTGGAAACTTGGATATGAAGTCTTAAGATGTAACTTTTCCATCAACTAATACCATCATCTACTTTTCTTCCAACTAAGCTAACTTCACAAGTTTACACCAGATTTAAGGCCAAAAGAACACTTCTGAGCCTTGAAATATAGTGCTAGAAGGGTCAAAACCGGTACAGGTATCCTATAGACTCTTTTCCAGCGCTCTCATAGCGTCATTTCACGATATATACGTGTAAATACATCAACATACAACAACGTCATCGATAGTATAACTAGCTATTCCCATTGTAGCTGACCTAGCCACCATGAACAGACAAGTACACAACAATCCACCGGCCAGAACAGTGTATCTGGGATCAATACCTTATGACCAGACCGAGGAACAGATTTTGGATCTGTGCTCGAACGTGGGGCCTGTCGTGCATTTGAAGATGATGTTTGACCAGCAAACGGGGAAATCCAAGGGCTACGCTTTCGTGGAATATAGAGATTTGGAGGCCAGTGCCAGTGCGGTGCGTAACCTCAATGGCTACCAGCTGGGAAATAGACATCTGAAATGCGGTTACTACGGTGGAGGTGACTCTGGCTTAGGTAGCGGCTCGGGAATCAGCGGAAACGGTGCTCCAGCGGGGTCCCTTGGCGACGATGACAAGAATCCTGCATTTTCAGGGCTGCCGTTGGGCGTGGACGTAAACGTCAACATGACAACACCGGCAATGATGATTTCCAGCGAACTCTCCAAGGGCTCAAAAGAAGATCAGCTGGGCCTGCTGAGGGACCTGCAAAAAATGTCGCAGAACAACTCTGAGCTGTTCACAAGCCTGCTGGAACAATTTCCACAGCTCAGTTTTGTCGTGGCCGAACTTTTGTTAACGTCGGGAATTAGCACAGTAGACGACCTGACGCAACTGGCAGTGCAGCACAATACATCCAGTGGCTCCCCTGCCACTCCCCAAGACCTACAAGCGCAAGAGCAACAGAAGGAATTGCTCAGACAAGTACTGCAACTTTCAGACAGCGAAATCGGCGTTCTTCCCGACGACGAGAAAATGTCACTGTGGGAGCTTAAACAGAAAGCAATGCGGGGGGAGTTTGGCATGATATGATTGCCGTGTTTCAAAAGTGCTTCCATCTGCCACTGCAGGAGCGTCAGATAAACATTTAAACGAAGGAACTATAGAGAAAAATGTGTTCAAGAACCAAGAGAAGCATCTTGGAAAGATTTGATCACCCGAATAAAGATAAATTACAACTAAATGAAGCCATTCTCACATTCCTTTAGAGGCTCTTATTTGTTGAAAGCATTCCTGGGTCAACAGATTTCCAAATGTTCACCAAAGTGCGAAAGCGACCATCATCGATATCAAAATCAACCAAATGATAGACAAAACCTCCATCCTTGAGACAGGTAACCACCATCAGCCTTCTCGAATGGACGACCCGGTAAGGTGTCAGAATAAAGATGTGACATATATACGTACAAAGTGACGTCAAGCTTTATGGCTGAATCATGGATTTAAGCTGCCAACACAGTAGTGAAGAAATGTATAAATAAACGCAATTATATTTACACTTGCTGAGAGCCTTGGAACTGCTACTGTTCGGGATCAATAGTTAGGTACTTTATATACCATATATACTGATGCTAATACTCAATATATTAACGAGATTGTTCATCACTTTGTACTAAACTTGGAAATTTCAGACAAGTGGTGAACAGTTCTGAGTTCAAACCCTAACTTTAACGACGAATGCTCTCCTGAGGCCTCAACTTTAGGCAAATTGGACAATTCAGGTCGATTCAGCATAACATAATTGCTCAGGATGTCAGATCCCAGAACTCGAAAAGGTCGCCATACACTTACTCCCGATCTTTTGTCGTCGTCGATTCTAATCACCAATCTTCCACCAAACTGGAACGAGACTGTTGTTTCGTCAGTGGTAGCTGGTTCCGGACCTATCACGAATATTTCGCGAAAGACCGACCCGCGAAACGGGAAATTGGTCGGTGTAGTGGTAAACTATACCACAAGTAAAGACTGCAGACGGGCCTTGGAACTGCTGCAAAAAATTAAAAAAATTCCATGCGAACTGGAAAGGATAATATCCAACTCCAAACATTCATCCAGCACACCGCTTGATTTAGATCGTGATGCTTTTCCGTGGGACTTGGGTTTAGAACTGCCGTTCGAAATGGTTTCAGAAGTCCCACTACCAAGAAGGCCCACAAACCCAGTTCCTGTGGCTTCCAATGGCAGCTCAGTAGATTCTGGTAATTCCACCACATTTCCTGATATTTTAAGCAAAGCTTCGAAACATCTTCCGGGATATGTACCCGGTTCGATGACTGCAGGGGACGTTGTGTCTGCAAATTTAAGCAAGATTGCACCTTTGCAACTTTTGGAAATGATTTCCAATCTCAAGATCTTGGCCGGTCAAGATGCCAATCGTGAACAAGTTACCAAGTTTTTGGCGTCGAATCCGGACATCGCCATTGCTGTGACTCAAGCCATGCTCGAAATGGGATTTATAAATTACGGTGTGGTGACAAAAGTAATAGCGGAGCAAGCTGGAACACAAGCGCAGTCTCCAAATGTAATTAACGGCGCTACAGAAGTTTACAGTCGTGGTAATACGCCAAGCAACACTCCTATGAACGGGAATGTTCCTCTCCACGCGTCTACAGGTCCTCTGGGTCAGCCGCAACTCCAGCAGCCGTCGATGATGGGTGCTGGTGCTGTTTATAGCGCTCCTCCACCACAGCAGCAGCAACAGCAACAACAAATGGGCAATTACGGTATGAACATGCCTCGTAGCCACGCTCCGTTTACACCTCCCCAGATTCCGATCAAATCGGAAGGAACTCGGATCAATATGGTGAAACTTGCAGCAGTTCCACAACAACAGCAGGACATGATCAAACAAGTCTTGCAATTGACATCCGATCAAATACGACTGCTACCCCCGGATCAAGTTACCATGGTAGAAAATTTCAAGCGGGAATACTTAATGTGACGATGCCTTGTGAATAAAAGAATATATAGATAAAAGCTTTCTGGGAGAAGTGGGTTGAAAACAAAGGTGATCGATAGCAAATCCGGCAGGCGTAATAAGGCATTGAGTAAGTAACTTGATAACCTTAATTACTGACGTTTCAATGTCTTTTCTTTCTACAACAAAAGGTATTAAAAAAATTATGGTTGCTAAGAGATTCGAACTCTTGCATCTTACGATACCTGAGTGTTCCACTGTATAACAGCGTTAAGAAGCGAACTTCTTGAATCAGGCGCCTTAGACCGCTCGGCCAAACAACCAATTGATGAATTAATAATGTTTTTGGAATAGCATACCATGGTGAAGAGTCAGAGGATCAGTTGACGCAACTGGCATAGTTAGAAAACCACATTCCAACAGCGGTACTTGTACTCAATCAAGTAGCTAGTGGCATCAGTACGATTGGAGCTTGTGTCGGGTTTGAGTTTGGAATCCGAGGCTGTAGAGTGTCCACTTTTTCTATGCATTTCAGCTCAACGGATAAGAGTCAAAACAGATGACAACGACAGTGATCAGTATGAGAGTTGAGTCAGGTGCTCGAAGTATACAGTTTCTTGCTTCAACACTTTCATAGCACGTTCGGAAACTTTTTTGTAAAACTGTTTTTTTTTTAAGCATGTTGTCTTCGAAGACAAGGATTTCTGGCTGGACACCGAACGTGAGCTCTGGATGCTGTCTTCAGATCGATAATACGTGAAGAAACCCTGAATAACGGTTAAAATACCATAGGAATGCTCAATAAAGAGTAAATGACAGTAGTACCAAAAATTAAATGTGTCCTTCTTATCTCCGAGAACTACACTCACATAGTGCCGGTTTACTTTAGTGTTTTCGCTTTAAACCAATTCTAAACTTCCGAGAAACCTCCCATTTCTCAAATCAGAAACTGTTCCGAAACTTGATCTGGCTGGCCATCATACGCAGCAATTTGAACACCAACTCTCAAAACGACCCCACTCCTACTCTCAAATGCACTCCTCATTTCCCAATAGAATTCTCATTCCTCAGCGACTCAAAAGTTTCTACCAAACAGAACCAAAAATACCGGCTTTTTTCCAAGTTTCCCAAGTGACTCACCCAATGCCATGAATAACGCCAACGTCCCGTTCCGTCATCGCAAAAATATTTGGAAACATTGTGGTGAATTTTAGAATTCCAGTTGATCGAGCCAAGATGAATTGTCCTATCTCTAAGCCTAACTTGTCTCATTTACTGGCGATGACAGTTTCCGTTGTCCAGCATGACGAATAAGTGACTGACGCTATACTATATTAATGAAAAATTGACGACGAGATGAGTCAAATTGAACAAAGTTCATGAACTTTCTTCAAAAGACATCTCTTGAACAGCATTTTGTGGCCCTACAACAAGGTTTAACACACCAGTATCAGCAAAAATGTCCAAGACTATTTTCAACAACGTTGCGCTGCTCCCACCAGATGCTCTTTTCAACATTAAGCAGAGAATGTCCCAGGATTCCAGAAAGATGAAGGTCGACCTAGGAATTGGAGCGTACCGTGACGATAGTGGAAAACCATGGGTGCTTCCAAGTGTGCGTGAAGCGGAAAAATTGATTCAAGAGGATCCTGACTACAATCACGAATATTTGAACATTACCGGCCTAACATCGCTCACTGATCCTGCAGCTATGGTGCTCTTGGGTCAGGACTCTTTGGCTCTCAAAGAGGGCCGTACTGTCTCTGTTCAGTCGCTTTCTGGAACAGGTGCTCTGCATATGGCAGCCAGTTTTTATTCCACGACGTGTAAGGACAAATTAGTGTATTTATCGGACCCCACTTGGGCAAACCATAAGAGTATTTTCGAGGGCAAAGGATTGAAAACTGCGACTTATCCTTACTGGAACGCGGCATCAAAGTCCTTGGATCTCGAAGGATACCTAAATGCCATCAAAACGGCGCCCCAGGGATCGATTTTTGTGCTACATGCTTGTGCGCACAACCCTACAGGCTTGGATCCTAATGAAGAACAATGGGCTACAATTTTGAAAGCTATTGTGGAAAAGGAGCATATGGTTCTGTTTGACTCTGCGTACCAAGGCTTCGCTTCCGGAAATTTGAACAAAGATGCCTTTGCCGTTCGTCTCGGGTTGGAGCTTTTGGCTGATGTAACTCCAGTTATCATCTGTCAGTCGTTCGCTAAAAATGTTGGAATGTACGGTGAACGTGCCGGCTGCTTCCACCTTGTCTTGCCACACCAAGATGAGTTCGTAAAGATGGCCGATGTGAAAGCTGCTATCCAATCCCAACTCGCTTTGATTACCCGTAGTGAGCTTTCCACTCCACCGGCTTATGGAGCCAAGATTGTTGCCCAAGTTCTTAACAAACCAGAGCTGACCAAACAGTGGCATGCCGATATGGTAACGATGTCATCCAGAATTATCAAAATGAGACATCTGTTGAGAGACGCCTTGGTTAGTCTTAAGACCCCCGGAAACTGGGACCATATTGTTGATCAAACCGGTATGTTTTCCTATACTGGTTTGAGTGCTGAAATGGTTCAAAGATTGGAAAAAGAACATGCAGTTTACATGGCAAGCTCTGGTAGAGCTTCGATTGCTGGCTTGAACAGCGGTAATGTCGAGCATGTGGCAAAAGCTATCAACGAAGTTGTGAACTATTTTGGTACCTCTAAATTGTAAATAATTGTAATTGAACGCTACTTAAAAGCTCTTTTGTATTCATTATAACGTCAACATACTAATATTCGTTAACTAGTTTCGGCTTGGAACAGACGTGTGCAGGAAATGTTCTCTGGTGAACATACTCGAGCACAGACCCAAGATAGCCATTACTAACGCCAAACCTATTGCGCCCTGGCTACCAAACATGAAGGAACCGGCAGTCTTATATTGCAGAGTTTCATCGAATGATGTGTCAAAAAGATTGTCTTTGATGATCTCTTGGCACCACTTTTCAAGTCTGCGTGTGCCGTACTTGGATAACAGCTCGCTGCTTCCTAGTACACTTCTTTCCAGTTTATATTTAAGACCCGTCTGGTATACGAGACCGGCTAATGCAACACCAAACGTGGAACCGGTGGCTCTAAACGCATACTGGATAGAAGTTACTTGCGCTTGGTGGGAGTAATCTACGCTGGCAATAAGAGCCAAAAGTGTGACAGTTAGCATTGCAGCGTATCCAGCGCCGGGCAAAAACATTAAAAGGTATTCAATGTAACCCAGAGAGTTGCGGTGGAACGTGGTGAGGAATAGAGTTAAGATTCCAAGTACGAACAAGCTGTACATCACGAAGGAGAAAGTACGATACTTGCCAGTTGACTTCATGTACAGTCCCGAGCCCATCGAACCAACAGATATTCCCAGAAAATTAGAAACTGACCGCAACCCCACATCCAACGGAGAGAGTCGGTACACGCCTTGCCAAAAGACTGGCATGAAGTATATCGCGGCAAACATAGCCATTGTGCAAAACCAGTTTGTAAAAGAGGATGATAGTACCGTTCTGTTTCCAATAACAAGCTTCAGTGGGATCACTGGGTTCTCAACATTTAACTCGGTGTGCACAAAGTACCCAGATGTTAATGCCAGAGCTAGTAGAAGTGCAGTCCATTTGTAGAATCCGAGACTTCCGGGATCATTTAAAGAGGTAATGGCGACCATTAAAACTAGCATAGCACTCACAAGAGAAATGCATCCGACAAGGTCGATAAGCTTCGGTATTTGATACCAGTCGAAGTGACCATTTTTCTTAATGGCTATCCACACAGAGCCACGTCCTGGTGACTTGTCAGGCAGTTTTAGTGTTACAAGCACCAAAATCGCACTCAACGCGGCGATCGGAGCTTGGACGAGAAAAGCCCAGCGCCAACCGATAGATTTCTGTAACAGTGCGCCTAGGAGGGACCCTGACGCGGATCCCAAGGAGAAGCAAATGTTTCCCATACCCTGATACATTCCTCGCTGTCGGAGAGGAATGAGGTCACTTATGGCAATGGTTGAAAGTGTGGTCATTCCACCACCGCCAATACCAGCAATAAATCTCGCTACCGACAAATACCAGACGTTGCTAGAAAAGCTAGAACCACACAAGAAGCATCCGGCAGCGAAAAAAATGTTAGAGGCGACCAGCATTTCACGACGACCAAAAACGTCTGAAAGCTTCCCGTACATTGGCTGAAAAGAACTGCAAGATAGCAAGTATGAAGTTGCAATCCAAGACATTTGTGAGCTAGCCTCCAGGTCGGACGCAATGGTTGGCAAGAGCGTTGTCACCACTGTCATATCCATAGCCGCTAAAAAGGTTCCCAGAAACAGCACTCCTACCATCAAATTGGTCTTCAATGCACTTAAAGCGTGTGGTGCGTTAGACGTTGTTGAATCATCTTTTCTGCCTGGAACTGAAGAAATTTCACCGCTCAAAAGTGGTGCCATGAGACAGTCTTCCTGGGGTTGCGAATTTGAAATTCCACCACCTCTCAACGAAGAGTTACTACCGTTGGATCGAGAAGTTTGCTGCGTTAAGAGAGCGTCAGTTTCGCTCATCAGGAAGAAAAATTGTACGGATCAAAAAATGCTGTAAACCTGCTTTTTTGGCGAGTAGTTGAATGGTGTTTGCCGCGAACTATGAAGCTGCTGAAATATTGTGAAAGCGTAGCCTTTAGGAGGATTACAATGGGTTCTTAGGTTGGTTTGGCTGATGCCATTAGATGCTTATCGTAGTTAATCTATCTACACGTCGTACTGGGTGATATGGTCTTGATGAGCTCAGAACACTGACGCCACGCATAAGCAAACCATTTTCGAGCCCGATAAGAGTTTGAAGACCATTTTTAGGATATTGGCAAAGTTTTGTATCACTGGAATAAGTTTCTTGGCCATTGCGTGAGGTTTTCATTACACACGCCATGATCGATTATTTTCATTGTTTGTGATAAGACTTACAAAGCGAGCCGCTAGGAGGTTATGCAAGCGATGCAGTGTGAAATTATCCTAGATTTTTTACTATTTAAAAGCTTATCATTATGAGTTTAGAGAGCTCGACAAATTATATGAAAAAGACAACAAATCATGGACGATAGGTGTGGAGTGTCATTGAAGAGAATGTAAACGAAGGTGATGAAGCTAAACAGAAAGGAAATAAATTGGTTTTGTGCTTGTGCTAGTTTTTTTCGGTGAGCGTTTACTCAGAATGTCATGTAAGAAACGCTTTCCTCAAGGTGATCACTTTTTTCCCATTTGACATCTGGCATTCTGGTCATGTGACACAGTCCAGCTAACGACATCTTAGTGGATGTTGGTTCATGTAAGAACGTGCGGAACGTTTTCTCACCTCAGTTGACTTATTCTATCATCTGGTTAAGTCTAGAGGCATATATCTTATGTCAATTACTCTTCTTAAGTTCGGCGTCAGATTTACTACAAAGTAATGGTGAGCACGTGATGAGATGACAGCGACAGAATTTGACAACATAACCGAGAAACTTGAACAATTACATGATCTTAGCTCTCTAGCGACTATAAACTCAGTTCCACTGAGTCTCATAATCCATCCAGGTTGTCGTGTTTAAGAGACGATTCTCAGTACGCGTAACACAGCAAGGAAAGATGCACTCATTTACTATATAACTACGAAGACTATGGCGCTTTTAATGAAACACATGATACCACGAAATTATGAAGACCCATTTTGACAACTAGAACGAGTATAAGCATCTTTCCTGTGCCGTAGAGCCTTGAATGCAGAAAGAGCTAAACTCGGTTGCAGTTCGTCAAGTCTATCTTTACGGCGTATCTATATGAGTCTACTCGGGTTCTGAATGATCCCAGCGATGCTTGGACTAGGAGAGTTCCACAGGTCAAGGTAGTTAAATAAAATAGTCTCTTGTATCACGTGATCGTGGCTGCGATTAACGACAGAGAGGATGAAAGTAATACAGTTCGAACCAGGGCAGTAAGCCCTTATATCAACATAACAGCAGCACGAGAAACCCTGGCGAAATGTTTTGCAGATATTCAAGGGTCTCGTTGCTTTCAAAATGGTTTGCATTACTATGGCAATCAAAATTTGATCCGCGAATCGTAGAAACGTCAAAAAAATCACATAGCCTCGCCAAACTATTTTGAAACACGTCTAATATTGAACCATTCGAACTTCAAGCCGTCTTTTCGAGCTCTCGGTGAACAACAGTTTTGATTAAATCTTAGCGTGGTATAACGTATATAGTGACCCTGAACTGTACATTGAATAATTAAAGCCTACAAGTGACGATTACAACAATCGTTAACGATGAAGTTCGGATTCCCTCAATCCACTAGCTCTCTCCACCTTCCTGGTGATTAACTTCGACACTGATTGGACCTAGACCCAGAGTTCAAGTTGCTTCCAGTTCTTTTCGGGTTCAATAGCGACCTTTTTCGGTGTTCTAGGAGAAATACAGTTATTCCAATAACCATGCTCAACATTCGCGACAGAACAACTGAGTTCCAAAGATCAGTCATACAGCACAACAAAAGATCCCACGAAACTACCAAACATGCAAGTACTTCTGTTCAAAAGTCTCAGTTTCAGCAGCAAGCCTCTTCAATAGCACATGAAATCGCACAAACGGCCCAACTACTGGGAAAACTCGCACAATTGGCGAAACGGAAGCCAATGCTGAATGACAACCCGGTGGAAATAGCAGAACTCACTTTTGTCATCAAACGCAAGATCTACGCGGTTGAGCAAAGCATGATGGAACTTGCAAAAATGGGTGGGAACCAAAACACGACCTCACAACCTGTTCAGCATACTCGAAATGTGGTGAATCTTCTGAATACCAAGATGAAGAATATTAGCGGAGACTTCAAAAGCGTGCTTGAGCAACGTCAAAAGCTAGAACTCGCCAATCGTGATCGCTGGGAACAACTGAGCTCGCAGACACAATCAGAACAGCAGCATGTGTACAACAACTCAAATCCATTCATGTCTTCGGTCTTGGAGGAGAATAATGAAAACTCGGGCCAGCTTTCATTGCCACAAGAGTCTCAAATGCTGCTACTCGAAGAACAAAGCTCTTCTACATATTTGCAAGAGCGTAACAGAGCCGTAGAAACCATCGAATCTACGATACAAGAAGTGGGTAATCTTTTCCAACAGTTAGCCCACATGGTTCAAGAGCAAGGTGAAGTGATTCAGAGAATTGACGCCAATGTAGATGACATTGATCTCAACATATCAGGAGCGCAAAGAGAGCTACTAAAATACTTTGACCGAGTAAGTAGCAATCGGTGGTTAGCTGTCAAGATCTTTGCAGTTCTTTTCGTCTTCTTTCTCGTGTGGGTCTTGGTCAATTGAATCAGTCAACATTGCAATGGTGTAACTAGCAGGTATTAGGTACAGTAATAGAGCGGTAAAGAAAATCGATAATATCTTAGAGTCTGGGATTGGGGATCGAGGGCGAGAATATCTAGGCTTCAGCATTTGTTGCCAAAAAAGATGAATTCGAAGGCAAGAATATCCTAGGATCTAGTATTACTGCTCAAATTGATGAATTAGATATTTATAAAAACTTTAGGAGCTAGCACGCCAGCGCGTCATAAACCCATTTCTGCTTGCAACTCGCGTAACGCCCGTTCATCCTCGTCTTCTTCTTCGTCCTCTTCTTCTTGTTCTTCTCCCTGGGCCTTCTGCGGCGGTTGCCACTCCCTGACTTTGTCTTGGGGAACTGAGGGCAGTTTTTGCGGTGGTATCACTTCTTGTTTCACGTTTTCAGCAGCCAAAGCTTCCAATTCTTCGTCGATTTCGTCTTCGTCCACTTCTGCACCCGCATGCAAGGGTCTAGAGATGGCGTCGGAAATTTCTTCGCCCAATTCCACCTGTTCTCGAATTTCGTCCATAGTTTCGTCCACTTTGTCAATATCCATGCCCTTATGGATGTTTTTCATTGCAGAAGCACCCTGTTTCATCGCCTTCATAGTCTCCAGGTTCAGATTCGCAGATTCGATCGAATACAGCTGTTGCTCGAGCGAATCCATTTGTGCCTGAATCTTCACCAACTGCGATTCATACGTTTTCTTTCGTTTCAACGCATTTTTAGCTCCTACTTTGTTGTTTTTCGCCAGTTGCTGCCGAGCTGATTGTTCTTGTACGGTTACTTGTGATTGCAAATGTGCTTCTTTCTTCCCCAGTAGTGTTATATGCTCCCGTAGATCTAGAATCGCTTTTTTGGGGGCATCCTTATTCTTGCTCGTTGCACCTGTGCCAAACAGGTAAGACCACATCGCCTAATATGGGCACTTGTTCAAACCCGCTATGAAAACGCCTCCTGTCGAAGATAACTGCAAAGTGTCGACCAAAACCACACGTCTTGGAGATGATTGTAGTTTAGAGGAGGGGATTGAGATAGATATTGTATATGATTGATGAGACCGGTAATTATTATTTTGGAGATGTCACTTTGTACGCCAGTGACTTGGTGACAGTTTTAAGAAAAGTGATAATATTTCAAGGAAGGAAACGTTTCATGGATGGAAAGGTAGAGGTTAGAGTACGGTTTGGGATTTATACAATGGGTGGAATATATTGTGGGATTGGTTTCTTACTCTGGAAATTGTTTATGGTCGAGGTTCGAGCTACAAGTGGTGAGTGCGAGCGGTGGTGAGAGAACATGGAGGAGTTTGATAAAGTTTATTGATGATTGGAGTTTCGAAGATGTTTTTTATGCTAATGGTATCGATTTGAGCATTTTAACGAGTGTTATGAAGCTTTTGAAGTTACATTGTTGCGAACATGTCAGAATTGTACAAAGTGATACACAAATTCACAAGTAGCACGACGGGAAAAGGTTGACAAGAAGACTTGAGGACAGGAACGACTTGAGAATTTCTGATTGTAGGATGTAATAATTGAGCTCATATTACTGTCATACTTGGAGGTTAAGCGGAAGAGCAGCTGCGCAGATTTTTGTTGAGGCTCGACTACGTCGGCAGTATTCGAGTTGTTAAACTGCTTCGTTTGTTCAGTCATGATTTGCTCTAAGTGAATGGTTATGGTTATGGACTGTACTTGTCTGTCCGTGGTTTTTTTTTGGCTACGTTCTGTTTGACCAAACTACGGATATTTAAACGATTTTTGGAGCAACATTAGGAAACAGTAGGTAACGTTCTAGACCCTTGCCATTAGTAAGGATTACTTGATGGTGGGCCTGAATTGATTGTAAATCCTGCATAGCGTTGACGTATTGTTGCTTCAAACCTTTACGATTGGTCCAATTCACCTAGCGCTTAAGATGTCATTTTAGACTAATATGTCACTTTCGGATTACGCAATTGACACTATACCATATAGTTCACCAATCCCAACATTTTCTGATTACACTATTGGCACTATACCATATAGTTTACCAATCCCAACAAAGAAAATCTGCCAAGAAAGCTGGACGTTGTGTCTCTCTGCCGTATTGTAATCTGTCATTTGGCAGACCAGCAAACAAGTTTCTCGTCGATGCTAGCTTCACTCTGCTGCTATGCTGCTACTGTCGTTCACACCTACTAGCTGGTATATCACTTTATCCCCCGCTGACATCTTCAGAAAAGCATTTAACACCATTTTTCGAGTTTCAAAAGACAAAAAGCTAAAATTGGTGAAGTGAACGTATTCAAATCAATTATTTCTCAAAACACATGTATTTCTCGATAGTTCATGGAGTTTCACTGGCATTCAATGTCATGTTTCCATTCAAGGTGACAGAATCGTGTATAGTGATTATATTGCTCCCTCTTCTTCAAGACGTTGAAACCCATCCAAAGCAGTCAGAGGCCATTACCATATGATACTAAGTACTTTTACATCCCTCTGCGCCCGAAATTTCCAGATCTTTCCTTCCATTAGTCTCTATTCACGTGACCTTTTTTCGAATATCATAATTAGCGGTCAATATTGAAGGAAATTAATTGAGCTCTTGTCTTCCCGATCCATCATCATTGATTTAACCATCAGATCCAGTAAAATCTCAAGTAAAGACCACTGGTGTAACGTTTGACACATCCACGGGGTGATAATTGTTCTGTCATGCATTCGGAGACGAATTCGTCACCGCAGCAGCGGATAATTACATCCGACCAGTGGGTTTTTGATCGCAGAGGTGCTCGAGATGATACCAAGACGCCCAATGGCGGACGCTCCAAACGCGCCACTTTGTCGAAACAAGAACGAGATATGCGGCGTAAACAACGTGAAATTGAGACGGAACAACTGCAACAGGAGTATGGCACGATTCAAAGCGAAAACTCGCGGCTGAAAACCGTGATAGCGAAGTTAAAACAAGATATCGAGGTTTACACGCAGCTTGTCATAGAATCCTCAAGAGGCCATAATAATCGGGGTAATACAGCTTCGGGGCTCGGACCAGACGCCCCAGGCGATATCAGTCGTAGCGAACTGCCGCCTATGGAAACACTTTTGGTGAATACCTCTAAACGACGCAAGCGCGGGCGAAAACCCCGCCAATCTTTGCTTGACGGCACTACTGAACCAGCAACCGTCCCTGATGTGGGCGATGACGATACAGCGTTTGGTGTGCTTAGAAATACGCATGCAGATGTAATGCTAGCTCCGGGTGCCACGGATGTGGGACCGGAAGAGGTCGATCTCATGCAGAAACTGAAAAATGTGCTTGCGGAGATGGAATAAGCATCTTTCAAGTGCACAACCAACCTTAACGACGATATGAAACCCCTTTCGAAAAGTAAACCGAAAATAAAACAAAAACTACGGCGGACACAACGTTTGTCCCGGCTCATATTCCTTTTTTCACGACCACACATATAAAATAATTTACGCTATCATTTTCACTTTACCATAAGAATAGAAAAACGTACCTGGTTCAAGATCGCCATGGGCTCTAATGGACAACACTACTTATGATGATGGCACAACGAAAACCGCTACAGAGACGCTAAAACCATCATAATGATTCATGTCTAACACTTGAATCTTGTAATCTCGGAGATTCCGCACAGCACCGTTTCACTACATTGGTAACAACCTTGACTAACACTTCTCTGTCGCTGTCTTTCTCTGTCTCTGCTTGGTATATACGATACACATCATATCAATGGTCATGTGACCACCGACGTCGGAGCCGATGTTGATTTGGTCGCTTCGTACGTACTTTTTGGGATTCTCATCGAGATTGATCAATTAATCGAATCCTATTATATACTCATTCGAACATCTCATCTCGTCAAAAATCGAACCAAGCCAACACCAGGAGTCGTTTTCCGTCTGTTTTAGAACTAGAATTCTATACCAGAATACTTTCTGTGCCGTCTTCAGCTTTCAAACCGTCTTTCTAGCGTTTTTTTAGCAGTTTTAAAGAGGCTTCCCCTTCTGTCGACACATATTTATTCACCAAGAAAACTTCAAGAAAAATGCTTTCTCTAGGACTCAACAAGCCTGCTGTATGGTGTAAACCACTGAGGATGGCATCCCGTCGCTTGGTTTCCACCGTCAAATCTAGTGCTGCTGAAGAACACCAGATTTTGATGGCCCAGCGGAAAAATAGACCCGTTTCTCCTCATCTGACCATCTACCAGCCACAACTCACATGGTACTTGTCTTCGCTGCACCGTGTCACCGGGGTGCTTCTCGGGCTTGGCTTTTTCACCGCAACTATCGCATTCGGCGTTTCCACCGCTTTCGGACTAGGGCTCACCACTAATAACTTGGCCAAATGGTACCATGAAAAGGTCCCCACATGGGCCGATTGGACCGCCAAGGCTTCTGGTGCTTACTTCTTTGCTTTCCACTTCTCTAACGGTATCCGTCATTTGATCTGGGACACAGGTCGCGCCATGAGTCTCAAGGGTGTGTACACTACTGGTTACACCGTGCTGGCCTTCACAGCCGTTGTTGGCACAAGTTTACTTCTACGTTAAGTAGATTGCACCGACTTTATGCACTATTTATGGCCTGCCTCTAAGTGGGCTGGCCTCCTTCACTTATTTAAATATTCACCAGATTTCGTTGCAGAAATCGTATGAAAGACATATCGATAGCTGAAACTATTATACAGAAATGAAATTTCCTAGCAAAATATGCTTATCCTTTAGACGCTTAAGAAGTTTAGTGTCATTGCTAGGGAAATCCTTGGTGTCCGTATGCTTCATCGTTGCTGATTTCGAGACATCGAAAGCGAAGACTAAGTATATGACACATTAGTACAACATGATATGGACTTCGCGTCCAGATCAAGACAACAACGACAAAATCATCTCATCTGCACTGTTTTCCAGCAATTGACACTCGATGGGAGAGCCTTTATCCTCTTGGTGTAATCTATTTGTCAAACAGTTGAATTTTGGAAATTCACACTCTGAACTATAAATGTTCATGAGCAAGAGATACCTGTTTAGCCGTAATCCTTACTGTTGTGTGTGTTCCTTGGCATATGGGGAGCTTAAAGCGGGGAACATGCATCTGTTCAAATTCGGTGAATCGAGTTCAAAAGTATTCAGAAGAACGCTTTCTTGAATTTGTTCTAATAAAGGAGGTAGGCTTCTTACGAAAGTTGTTCAACAAGTAAAGTCTCGTAAAATCAGCATACCGCATCTTAAAAATGGTATCTTCACAGGCTTTTTCTCCGAAATTGCTTGACAAAGTGTTTAGGAGATGCCTGTACCTCAGTGCTCGCAGTCATTGCCCCAAAGAATCTTTCGATGGTTCATATTGGCAGATCTGTCACAACTCCATCATGTTCAAGACAGTCTGTCAATATAACATCAGTTCTCTCAATAAACTGTTTCAAAGGTGAATTTTGGGCAAACGTACCTTCTGTCACCATGCCAGTATACGGGCGACAGGCTAGCGTAAAGTGATACTTGAAGACGCAGTACTTGGCAAGTTGGGTATCGGATAACGACATGTAGAATAAAACGGTGATGAACATCTTCTGAGTTCTTCATGGCTGGTTTACGCCCTTTCTTCGTTTTGCACTGTGATGGTCACATTTTGAAGATGAAACGAATTACATTTCGTTTTTATCCTCCCTCGCAAGGACCGGTAACTTCATTTTCTTCTATATTCTCTCTTTTTTCTCGTATGTTATCTCTCTAAGTCCTTAGTCTCTCTTTATCTCTTCAACAACTCGAGCCACTTCTAATGTCAAATTTCTAGACTGACAGGATGTATCCATTCGGCCACTAAATGACAGATCTATAACCTTATTTCGATTCTCCGTGTTGAATTGAGTGTCTAATTACCGTCTATCTGGAGTTTTTAACTCGAGGTGGCTCTAAATCCACGATGACAGTGCCCTCCCAAAAGATGCTCCTTCCCACCAGACTGTGGGGAGCTCCTAGGTTGCAAGAAAATTCCCCGTACACATGCTATTTCTAGCGCCCAAAAAAGCAGGTTCCATCTATTTCAGGCCTTCTTCAAGCGTTCCCATCTCAAGTTTCACCTTCCTTTACTCATTTACAAGGTATTCTTCCTGTATATTAGTTCACCAGTCTTCAAAACTACAAAGTTCTCAAAACTTGCCGATTTTAGGCTCATTCGAATCCCAAAACTCTCCACAATTTGAAGAGTCCAGTGACACGGTAATAGCTTTGAGTCCTGTTGTGTTCTTGTCCTGAACTTATTTGAACCTTTATTCCGATATATAGTAGCTATATATAGGGTCAATTCAAGCTCATCTCATCACATATCAACTCATCGAACCAAAAAAGACAAGACCAACACCATCAAAAACACATTTTAGAGCTCTCCAAGCCTGCTTTCGACATTCGCTTACATGTCTGCGTTCATTCCGTTTCTTGGACGCATCTCTTTCACCGACTACGTCATCCTGTTCTTGGTAATGGTTGAAAAACTACTGACGGTGGTGCTGAACTGCATTCCGAAGATTTGGATGGACACAGTAACGGCAGTGATTAATACCTTTACTAGAGGTGCATTGGGACCCGTAGATGAGCTTTCGCAACAATTACGTGATGCTAAAAATATTCATGAAATGGGCCAAATCTTCGGAGTTGATATCGAAGACCACATTGTACGCACCGAAGATGACTACCTACTGACGTTACACCGCCTGGCTCCGTCGCCAGAAAACAACAACGGACAAGTGGTCTACTTGCATCATGGACTTTTGATGTGTTCGGACATCTGGATGTGCCACACACAACGGGAGTGCAACTTGCCATTAGTACTGCATTCTCTGGGCTTCGATGTCTGGATGGGTAACAACCGGGGAAATAAATATTCGACGCAGCATTTGTCCAAGGGTCCCAAAACTCAGGATTTTTGGAGTTTTTCAATCGATGAGTTCGCATTTTTCGACATCCCAAATTCCATCGAGTTTGTACTGGATCACACGCGGCAGGAGGAGTTGATATGCGTGGGGTTTTCCCAGGGCTCTTCGCAGACATTTGCCGCTCTGAGTGTGCGTGAAGACCTGAACGAAAAAGTAAGTCTCTTCGTTGCCATTGCGCCCGCAATGACGCCACAAGGGTTGCACAATCGAATTGTCGACACACTACTAAAGTCCAGTCCACGCGTGATGAATTTATTTTTTGGAAACCGCATATTATTGCCGAGTGCAACCGTCTGGCAAAAAACACTACCACCGTCGCTGTTCAACATCATTATCGACCTTGCCAATCGGTTTCTCTTTGACTGGAAGTCGTACAACATTTCGTCCGAGCAGAAACACGCCTCTTATGCCAAGCTGTACTCGACCACCAGCGTTAAAAGTGTTGTTCACTGGTTTCAGATTCTTCACGCACAACGGTTTCAAATGTTCGAGGAGCACGACGTGGTTATGAACTCGTGGAACCCTACCCGTTCCTACCAAATCACAACTTTCCCCACGCGCACCAATATCCGCATCCCAGTTTTGTTGTTGTACGGAGGTTCCGATTCGCTGGTCGACATCGAAGTTATGAAGGCGAATTTGCCCGTTTCTCAAGTATTTGACGTAATGATTCCTGCTCACGAGCACTTGGATCTTCTATGGGGTCGCGACGTCGGAAACCTGGTGATTCCAAATTTGCTGCGTTTCGTCTGGTTCTTCAAGGATGTCAAGGCACTAGAAGAGGGCACTGCATTTGACTCTACTAATGAACTTGCTAGTCCTTTCACCAGAAAGTACAGTGATAGCGTTGTTACCAAAGCGCCATAGTCTTTCTCGCAGCTACTCAAAAAACATATCGAATTATTTCATGCTACAGTTGGGCGAATCACTCGCCGAAAATTTTAAGCAACTTCCACATAACACTATTGGATCTTTCTAAAATGATTGATCTTTGATAATACTTCCCTTTCGTCTGTATCCTGGCGCTGTCGTTCATTTTGTTGCTTTACGTATACTAAGAGTGTAGGTAAATTATACTTTATTTGACAATCTCATCGATGAAATGATAGAAAAGTAAAAACCTAAAATGGACAAAAAGAGCATGTCATTCAACCGTATGTGAACTTAGAAATGCGTTCAACAGTCTCGAAACGATTTTACTAACTTAGGTTCTTTTTTCTGCAGAACGAAAGGGTTTCAGGAAGAGAAATGGGCCTCGAACAAGTGGTCCTAACGGAGCCAATAGTCAACCGCTTGGAAGTGGACGTAACACGAACCGGATGGGGAATTATGAGCGTGGCAATGGCTTTCAGAGCTCACAAAAAGACCCTGAGAGACCAGAATCAAAACGTCAACACTTAGGGCCGTCTAGATATAGCGGATCCCGATTTCAAGATGCTGCTCCAGCTACGAGAGGGACATCCAAGGCAAGAAACCACGTAAATGGACAAGAACTTCCTACGGGACCTAAGCTAATGAAACAACCGCAGCAGCCAGGAAAGTCCCGTTACGAACCTGCAACAGCCCCTCCCATAAAGCCAAAATTGGCCCCGATATCTGTCATCGTACGTGAACAGGAATCCTCAGTTTACGAACGCATCCAACAAGTGGGCGAAGGAACATACGGGAAAGTTTACAAGGCTAAGAACACAGTCACTGGTCAACTAGTGGCGTTGAAAAGATTGAGACTCGAGGGTGAACGCGAAGGTTTCCCGATCACGTCAATTCGTGAAATTAAACTACTCCAAAGCTTCGACCATCAAAACATAAGCACACTTTCGGAGATCATGGTAGAGTCGCAGAAAACTGTTTACATGATTTTTGAATATGCTGATAATGACTTGTCTGGATTGCTGATGAACGAGCAGATAAAGTTCTCTGCTGCCAACTGCAAACACATCTTCAAAAGTTTGCTGGAGGGCATCGACTATTTGCATGAAAATAGCATTCTACACCGGGATATTAAAGGCTCGAACATTCTTATAAACAACAAGGGACAATTGAAGATCACGGATTTCGGGCTGGCACGGAAAATGCGTGATGACTCAGATTACACAAACCGTGTTATCACACTATGGTATCGTCCCCCAGAACTGCTATTGGGCTCCACGAATTATGGTACCGCAGTTGACATGTGGGGCTGTGGGTGTCTCCTCGTGGAGCTGTTTCAACAAACTGCTATTTTCCAGGGTACCAACGAGGTCGAGCAACTGAATGCGATTTTTGCAGTGATGGGCACGCCAAGTGTAGAGCAATGGCCCACAATCTTCGATTTGCCGTGGTTTTTTATGATGATACCGCAACAGACTTGCAAATACCCTACACGATTCGATGAGCTTTACCAGAAAGTGCTGCCCTCAAGTGCAGCTCTTGACCTCGCAAAGGGTCTGCTGCTATATGACGAGAAAAAACGGTTTTCAGCGCACGACGCCCTGAAGCACCAGTTTTTTCGTGAAGATCCACAGCCGCAGGCGTTAGATTTGTTGGGTTTTGACGGCTGGCACGAGTTCGAGGCCAAACGGCATCGTCGCAAGGAGAGAGAGGAGCAAAAACGACGTGACAAGTCCGAGCCAGCTGCTTCTATCCCGCTTCCGTGACACTTATCTCTTTTCCTTTTCCTTCCCCCAATTGCATCCCCTCTCATCAACCATCCACTCCACAGATGTACCAGCTGTAACCTTGAACTTTCCCAGCATTTCCTATTTTCTTTCATCCTATTTTCTATATATCACAGAGTACTATACAACTTCAGGAGTCACCTTTATCTCGTCACCGCCGTTGTTCTTACTGTTATCTACCGTTTTCTTCCATTTCCAAGCATTTCTTCCTCAAAGCAGCGGTTTCCGCCCATGAACCAGGACGCATGAACCTTCCCGAGTTGACCCACCAAATGTTCATTGCATTGATTTGACATGGTTTCCATGTGTTTGCTGGTTTTCGATAAGTTGGCCTGTAGAACTCGCAATTGTTGGGCTAGATGCGCATACTGTCGGTTCTTGGTGTCATTCATGAGTATTTGTAAGTCAAAGAAACCGTTAGCGTCTTTTTGGCGTCAAAGCTCTTGATGTTTATAGGTGTCTTTAAGTTCAAGAAGTTGTTTAGATCTATCTGTATTCATATTATACCAACTTTCTTGGCAGCTAACAAAACAAGAGCTCAAGATCTCTTTAGATCCTTCAAGAGAGCCATGGCAAGCAAGGAACAGCTTCTGGACGATCCAGTGGGTCTTATTCGCGAAACAAGGAACAATTTCTCGCTGGTCAACGATGCGGAATCGTTGTTGAACATTACTCAAAAGATCGATGAGCTGCAGAGGTTGGTGCAAGAGAAGGTAGAAACGAGGGTGGAAGAAATGAAACTAGTCGAATCTCAAGCCCGCAAGACGGAAAATAGGCTGGAGGTGCTGCAACAGACTCAATTAGCATCAAATAAAGATGGAAACGGCTCTTCAGACAGCCGGGACGATGCTGATGAGCTCGCTCACGAACTGGAAGCATTAGAAACACGACTAGTGGCAATGCGGGAAAAAGTAGACATGGGCTTGAAAGAGTTGGCTCATGATGCGGGTGGCCACGAATTGGACTTACAACTGCTACAAGAAGCCATACCGACCACAGATCGTACTCACAAGGCGAGTATTTTGAAAATACAGGTTTTTCGATCACTAGGCTTGGTGCTAGATCTGCCTAATCGGAAAGCTCTGCTCAATAAGGCCGGCACGCTGGACGTGGTGAGTCTTGACGATTCAGCAAGTGAGTTTTACCGGACCAAGTATCTGTGGGAAAGAATGTGAAAAAGAGATCGGTTTGAAAACGAATTGGGATAGAATTTGTGAATTCGTGATGGTTATGTATGGCTATGTACAAGTTCTTTGCACTTCTCTTCTTGTTTGTTTCCCTCCGTCAGATGAGAGCGTTGTAGGGATGTTGGTGTTTTCACCAAAGTGATCAGAAGAATCGGGGATTTCTCCGTTGTGATACTTTGGTCCACTTGGGAAGCATATGCATGCCCTTACGGTACTGCTTTGCCTGTTTGTTGAAATATGTGTATTTGTCGCGGTATGACATCTGTTTCTCCGGTGGGAAAAGCGAGTTTTTATTGAGCACACGCAATTGTTTGATACGCGGTTTCAAAATCTTGCTGCTGTTCACAGCGGTCTCGAAAGACGCACCCTTGGCCATCGAACGAGCTGTATGGAGTCCCAATCTCACTTTTTGAAGCACATCGTCCACATTTTGAAGTCTATGTCTTTGTCGTTGTTTCTGCGGACGAGACATCGTTGCGGGGATCTTCCAAAGAAGACCACCAAGCAAAGTATTTGAGGGCTTGAACGGACCAAACATTTCAACTCTGAAGAATCCTTTCGAAGTGGCTAGTACGCTCTTTTCCTCTTCAGATTTCACGAGATGAGTTCGATTGCACCAACTTTAACGTCAATTTCTAATATATTTCAGATAAAATGGACTAACTTTTTCAGAATTTGACATCCACCTCATCGAAAGAACAGTTTTAGGCCGCAAACTGTCTATAAAGGCTTGATTGAAAGTCAAAACTTAGTCCAATCTTGTTCTTACAAGCGCAGCGGTTCTATACATACCATTTTAGATATATTTACGGATTCTTAGATAGATGTCAGAGGAGTCTAAAGAACAACAAGCTCGCAGACTTCCCATCTGGGCTTTGAGTCCGCGGGAAGAGAAAGAGGCCCGCCAGAATCTCAAAAAGTATGCCTACGACCAATGCGGAGAATACGTGAAAGCCATGGTCGAATGCTCGAAGTTGCACGGATTAAAATTGTTTCCAGCGTGCGAATCACAACGAGACCGCATGGCTGAGTGCATTCTTTCATTCCAAGGCGAATCGCATGTGGACCAGGAACGCGATAAAATAGTGCAACGCCGGATTCAGCGGCTGGAAGACCAGCTCAAACAACAGCAGCTCCAGCAGAAAGGAAGCAATTAGAAATTGGGATAAAACGATACGACCGTCACGAAGAAATAAAAAGCCTGTTCATCATGTAAATACACATACAATATACAATAACCACTTGCGAAACACTTTTAATTTCAGCAGCTTTTTTCAAAACAAGTCTAGTAGTTCACGGCTTTTATTGGGGTTTACATTAGAATGCGATTGGTCGGTTCTGTTCAACGTGAGATCATGTAGCGATTCCTCAAGAGGCTGCTCTGATTTCGACTGCTCCTGAATAGGTTCAGTAGCAAAGTCAAAAAGATCGTTTAGATCGTTGAGCGTGGAACCATTCGTTGCGCCAACATTGATTGCAGAATTCGAATCGTCTTCAAAATCCAGTAAATTGTCCTCATTCATGTTCCTGATAATCTCGTCCCTTGCCATGAACTTCAGCTCGTCCAGCTGTTTGCCCTTCACATGATTGGATTTATGGGCATTGAATTTGGTCATCGTCGCTACTGGTCTGTAATAGATTGAACTTAGTAGCGATAACTCCCGCAACAAAGTCTCCAGTAACGAAGGCGAAAAAGTGTCCAAAGTGTTCGAAATTTCAGGCAGTGTAGAGTTGCACAACTGGTTGATCAGGTCGTCGTTCGAACCTTCGAGGGACAAGCATCTCCAGTACATAATAGCCATATCCCTTACATCAACTTCATTCGTACTCGTAGTTGCCAAGTTCAACAGTTCTTGAAGAATTGAGCCCGGAAGCATAGTATGCAGTTTAACAACACAAATCAAAAGAGACATTTGAGTTAAGCTTTCCTCCTGAGTAAAAGAATCCAGAAGAGTCTGGATTTTTCGCTGAAGATTATCGAACTGCCCTGGGAACTGTCCAATCAGCCATATGTAATTGCACTTGGCATAGTCTGTCTGTAGTACCGACTCTACCGACCCCCAAACTTGCGCCAACGAGCACACCTGTGTGATCATTTCTTCTTCGCCAGTACCCGCGTGTCTGAGCAAGTTACACATCGCCACTAGACAATCGTCTTGGAATGAATCGCGCGTTTTGCATAGTTCAACCAAAATATCTAGCACTTTGCGAACAAATTTGATCTCTGAGTATTTGACACCCAACTGCGATAAAGCAATGATCGCCCGTGCAACAAACTCAGGCTCGAATTCTAATGCGTATTCCTTCAGCTCTGCGAGCAAAAGCGTACACTGTTTCAAATTTGAAGGATCCACCAGCCTTACCAATATGTCAATCTTTTCTAGTTTGAGGTAGAGGGGATCGTTGAACTTCACGTAAAAAATACGTAGTTCCCGCGTTAATAGTTGTGGATATTTTTGTAGAATGATTCTAATGTTGCGCAGCGCAACATATTGCATTTCTGGCGGTGTTGACATCAAAGATACCAGTGCAGAGGAAATTTTGGAGAAAATGGCTGACTCCGAGTTGACCTGAATTAAAGGCAGATTTTTGATAACCACTTTAACCGTCGCCAATACGACGGCCGCGTTGACATGTTGTAAGTGTGGTGTGACTCTATCTATGATCTGTTCCGCCTCGAGTGCATCTCGGGCGCTGTACTCAGCCAATGCACCTAAAATAATTATTCTCGCCCATTCGGTGCACTCATTTAGGGCGAGCAGAAACTGGGAAACGTGTTTTTGAATGAGAAGCGGCAGTGGAACAACCGTGGGGTCTGCTTCATATATATCCGAGAGCGCTGCTATTGTGTTAGCCACAACCATCGGATTGGAGTCCTCTAAAGCGGAAACAAGATCTTCTAGAACGCCCAGTTCCTGGCATAGCTCCTTATTCAGCGCAAATAGCTTTGCAACGCATATCACGGCCGTTTTACGAACATATGGATTGTCGTCTTGTAGCGTTTTTCGCAGAGGAATTTCCACATACTCCAGAATTTTGTCCACTCTGATCATTGACATTGTTCTAATAGCCATACATCGAACCAGTGGGTTACTATCTTGTGCGTCGCTCACAAATGTGTTAACAGCCAAAATGCACAGTTCAGGATGCGTTTCTGCGTAGTTCATCACGTATAGGTATACCAATTTCTTCTGTTCTACATCAGACGCAGCAATGTTTTTGAGGATGTCGGGGAATAGCGACGAGACATCTTTTCCTAGCGTCATTTGCTGGATTGTCTTCTTTATGGCATCTTTACGAGTTTGAGGGTATGGAGAGACTAGACCATTTCTGAGCTCGAAAAGTTCACCTTTCTTGGAGATTTTTGGTGCAACTCGTGTCGCATTCTGAAGCAGCTTTTTAAGTTTCTTTTCCATCAGGTTGGAGGTCTATCGGGTGAGTTATGTGTGGATATTTCGAGCTATTTTGGGTGTTCAATGGTTATGGTTATTGAAGTTGTTATTGTCACGTATAGTACGACCCAAGTATAAAGAATAATCATCAACAGACAACATTGATAAAACTATGGCTGTCTGAGCTTGATATAAGAAGCAATTGTTGAAGATTTGAACTTTACAGGAATTCAAGATCTGAGCGCTATTTTTTTGAGATTTCTACGATGTTTTTTGCTTATGTTGAAGGTGAGTTTCGTTTCAAGAGGAAACTTCAGAAGAGGTAAATTACTTGAAGTGGGATTTTTACAGTGGGCAGTTGTAGCGAGTAATCAAATTGCTTGGAATCGATGCGGACTTTTTAGCTCGTTCAGGAAGTATGTGTATTTGGCTTGTCACGATTAAATTGCATGCAATTGGGAATTGTTAAGTAATGAATGGAAACAGTGAAGGTTGTATTTCGAAGACTCTCCGAATTGTTTTCAGCATCTCGATTATTTAACGTCCAGGAGTTTCGTGAACGTGGAAATGAAGAAGAAGCAGAAAGGCAAACTGATCGATATACTGATATCCTCCTTGCAATATAGCTAGGTGGTGGATTACCACTAGAAGATACCTGTTATTGAATAATTTTAGATACACGATGAATAAAAAGATACACCTTCCCAGTTAGGAATCATCTACCCGCAACGATGGCTACAGTTCGCCTAGTGGATACTACATCATTCTTACCGACACCGTCGCTGTCGTTAGTCACGTGAAAATGATTTTAAAACAAAGTAAAGACATTGAGCTTTAGGGTCAGGATTCAACAATAGTTTGCATCTTTTCAATATCATGAGCTCTCACTCGAAGGTTCAGCAGGCACGAGTGTTGGCTCTTGAAGACATAATTTCACTTTCTCTAACATGCCGTTCGTGAGACGGTACTACGTTGCGAAAATCCAATAGTAAAGGAAACACGATCGGAACTCGAAACTGGAAGCCAACGGCAGAGCTAAACATTATAAAACTCTGTGCTCATCAAGAACTTATCTGCTGTTAACTTCCCCATATCGATAGAAAAGAGGCTACAGTATTTGAGTCCAGCAGATGGTCACATGACTGAAGATCTGTGACAGATTGAATCGAGAATGATATTACGTCTAAGCTACCTATATAGCCATTCTAACGGATGAGCTGTAACCTTGCTCTATGTGGCGAGTGAGGAAAGCAGCAATCCACTCCAACTCTGAATCGGACACATCTTTCGCAGGATCTAAACTCAATTTTTGTCATAAAGATAACTCAATGTTCAGTTACATGACATACATACTAAAAATATACCACGCGCAAAAGAAAGACAAAGCCATTAGGCTGTTCGATTAAACACAAGCCCCATTCACCACACAGTCCTGCGGAATCAGCATTATGTGTGAGAAAAGAGTTCTTGGCCCAACATCAAGATCATCATTATGTACGTATGTGTCGTCTGCGTTCCATTTTGGAGACTGTTACTTCTTATTTAAATTGATCGCAAGTTTGTACCTCTAAGACCTTCCAAAATCAAGAGATCGTGCTCAATACGCTTTTCTCCACCTGCCACGGTGCGCCATTACGCTGACACGTGGTATTTGCTCCATTCTGTGATCACGTGAACAACCTCACATTCTCGACGTGTACTCGTCGTTGAGCTTGCTCCTTGTACTCGTGTACATCAACTCCTGTGTGCTCCATTTCAGCTGACCAAGCTCCTCTAGACATTTGCCCTTATTTTTTCACGTTCACTTATTTTACAAAATGTTCGGGTTTTAGCAGTCACTACCTCCCCGTGCTGTTAATTGCGGTATCAAACGCATACAACCTAACACCACTCGGCGTATATTTCAGTCCACTGAGCACGTGTAGACGGTAATGAATCACGATTGTACTCGTAGGCGTATATCCTAGATACGAGTCCGGACCGGGATATACACACTCTAAATATTCTACGCTAACCCACGCACTGAAAAATTTCCGAATCGCGGTAGTAGCCCTGGGGAGCACCAGGATGTACCCATACTCGAAACTCTTGCTCAAAACAATTGCATGTTCAGTTAGTGCTACTTCTTATTTTTGAGCAATCCGCAACGCAACTATCACAAAACATGTCTTCTGCTGAGGTTCTAGTTCTAAGAGGTACTTTGGAAGGTCACAACGGCTGGGTCACTTCGTTGGCCACTTCTCCAGCTCAACCAAACCTATTGTTGTCTGGTTCTCGTGACAAGTCTCTAATCACCTGGAAATTGACCGGTGACGACCAGAAATACGGTGTCCCAGTCAGATCTTTCAGAGGTCACTCTCACATCGTCCAGGACTGTACCGTCACCCCAGACGGTGAATATGCTTTGTCTGCCTCTTGGGATAAGACCGTGAGATTGTGGGAACTTGCCACCGGTAAGTGTATCCAGCGTTTCGTTGGCCACAAGTCTGACGTCTTGTCCGTCACCATTGACAGACGTGCCTCTCAAATCGTGTCTGCTTCCCGTGACAAGACCGTCAAGGTGTGGAACACTTTGGGTGAATGTATGGTCACTCTATTGGGCCACAACGACTGGGTTTCCCAGGTCAGAGTTGCTCCAAATGAGAACGCTGAAGACGACACCGTCACCGTCATCTCTGCCGGTATGGACAAGGTTGTCAAGGTATGTTAATTTTAATTCTGAAAACTATGGAGGGACCTCAATTGGAATTGCAAGTGGGCGAGGCTCAAGAGCCGCTTCTTGTTGTGTTTTTGAACTGCGACACATGATGTTATACTATATTTGCTACTTCGGACGGGCTCTCGGAGCCCGAATGAGACATATCTTAATCACCAAGATCTCTGATGTCATGTTCAAAAAACGCAGATGAAGCCACTTAGCATCTCCACTTGTAAGGAAAAAACTTTGCGAAAATCATCTTTTTACTAACTTTTAACGTTCAGGTCTGGAACTTGCACTCTTTCCAAATCGAAGCTGACTTCATCGGCCACAACAACTACGTCAACACCGTCACTGCTTCCCCAGATGGAACTCTAGTCGCCTCTGCCGGTAAGGACGGTGAGATCATGTTGTGGAACTTGGGCGCCAAGACCGCTTTGTACACCTTGAACGCCCAGGACGAGGTTTTCGCTGTCGCCTTCTCTCCAAACAGATACTGGTTGACCGCTGCCACCTCCTCTGGTATCAAGATCTTCAACTTGGAAGAAAGAAAGGTTGTTGACGAGCTAAGACCAGAATTCGCTGGCTACAACAAGGCTGCCGACCCACACGCCATCTCCTTGGCCTGGTCCGCCGACGGTCAAACTTTGTTTGCCGGTTACACCGACAACGTCATCAGAGTTTGGCAAGTCATGACTGCCAACTAAATGTTACTTGTATAGAAGAGTATTTAGTATTAGCGTAGTCGCATCAATTTGAATAATTTTGGATTTGAGATGAGGAGGGCACTGGAAATTCGGAACAACTAGTGCGACGAACCTTGTAATTGGAGTTAAACAAAGCTGGAGTAGACAAAGCTAGAGTAGACAAAGCTAGAGTAGACAAAGCTAGCTACTTTTACTCATTCTCTCGAGAGCTAGGTTCACGGTTCGTCTTTCACGTACTCGTGCGCGCCTTCAAGAAACTGTACTCGCCCAAATGTACTCACATGGCGCCGAAGTACTCGTGGCGGACCCTTAATTTCTTATTTATCAGCGTCACACCGTGTCCCCGCATCTCTCCAACAACAATCCGAGTCGCTTGATGACCCTGTTAAAATTAGGGGAGCCTCGATCTAACAATCGACTCCTCCCCCCGGGGTATAAAAGACAACACCGAATCTGTTAAAGGACATTTTTTCCACCCACCAGTTAACTCACATAATTCAAATAACAAACCAGGAATCATAGTAACACTTAACAACGATGGGAGGAATATTCGAAGCTTTCGAAGTCTACAACAAGAACAAACACTCTTCAAACCGCATGTTCGGAGGAGCGTCCAATACGGGCGGAACAAAGACAGATTACGTGTATTCCAGCGAATACCGGGCGCCAAAAAACAAGAAACTGGACAAGAACGAGCTTCTAGGCACTTCTACTGAAAACCCTCAGCTTGAGGCAAAAGCGTTACAGGAGGCTGTAGGAGCGCCCCACATGGTGGATGTGTCGAAACTGTCGCAAGGCGAATTGAACGATTTGATGAAGACGCTACGCAAGGGTGAGCCCAACAACCGGGTGAACTTTTGAATGCGGCGGGAAATCTATACCGGAAATAGCGGTATCTCATAAAACTAGGCAAAATGACAGGCTTTTTTTTCTGCGTTTTGTTTAGTGTACATGAATGTTTTGTAAATTGAATTGAAGAGTAGTGTTTATTGCAAGAGAGGATTTTCTTGAAGCATTATGGGCGGTAACATGTATAAACGGGTATCGTCGAGATAGTTTCAGAGATCCTTATTCACACGGATTATTCACACAGATTACTTACTGGGTGAGCCCTGCAAGATCCTCACAGCACATAAGAGCACTTACTAAGCATAGTGACAACAAGAGTAAAATCACAGTTAGACATGGGTGTTCTGATCGATACTCTCGGAAGTGTGGACAATTCATGAGTAGAATCGCGAGTAGATTTATTCAATTTCAGCGGAAACATGTGGACAACTTTCCATCTTCGTGTGTTCCGCTTCTGTGATGTATGAGAAGCCAATATCAAAATTAAACACCTAAACGAAGTGAACACCGAAGCCAGTGTCCATTAATACATGAACCTGCTCAGATTGCTTACACCACTTCAAGCTACTAGTCATTGGAGATGTGGAGTCTATTTCTCAATCGTAGTGTCGGTAGTCATTGCGCTACTCACAGTACAGCACGGCCCTGACGAGTACAAAAAGTAATTAGATACGGGTTATCTCGAGTCCACTCTTTTTCCCGTATAGAGCGATACTGAGATGAGTTACTCACCTTATTCGAACATTCAAGTAAGCTAATGAGTTATGGTAGGTAGTGTCTGGTAAATTTCCGTCTAAAGGCACATTGTTTATGAGTAGCCGTCAGATTGCACAATAGGGGGAGCTCGTAAGGGTATCATACGCACGTCTCTCGTTCTCTGAATAGTCTGTGAGTATCAAACGAGAATGAGCATCGTATCCGTGCTCCCAGTCCTGGTCTCCTTCAACTCCCCTACCTTTTCGAGCCATATATTAAGTTTCTCACACAACGTCTTTATCAGTCTCAATATGCACGTCTCGAAAACCACCAGCAACCAAATGCACCATGACGCACCAATATGCAATAGAACGTTTAGTGCATGAACATGCGTCTCTCACTTTCTACGTACTCAATTCGTTTTCATCAATTTCACTTCCCACCACTTATGACTCAATTTCAATTTCTTTAAAATTTTTCACATTACTCTATTCACAGTTATTCAAGCGATCAGTGACTGAAGCAGTAGAATAGACTCATCGCCAAAGCACATATAAGAACCTGGTTTTCATTTGTTTAGAATCAAGACTTGTGTTGAGATCGTGAAAATTCAAAAGTCTCAGTTTTTCTGGTATTTCCCCCGCTTTGAATTCGGACCATAAACGTGCGCACAGGCTATTGAACTTTGGATCAGTTTTAAAAAAAAGACGCTTTTTCCAACCAAAATGAGAGCCACTGCAACGAGAACAGCGCTCAGACGCGGTGTTTCGGCGATCCGCGCTACCAAATATACTCCAGTGGGAACCCTGCGGCTGTATAGCGCTTCAGCCGTGAAAACAGGAACGCAGGGCGATTCCAGACCAAGACCCGCGCCAAGCTTCGACATGGAGCTATCACAGACCAGTAAAAACAGCAATAAACATGCTGCGGAACGTGTCCAGAAAGGCCAGCATTCTGCTTCAAATAATAGTGGTATGGATGACTCTTTCATAGGACTAAACGGTGGTCAAATTTTCCACGAAATGATGCGTCGTCACAACGTTGACACTGTGTTTGGATACCCTGGTGGTGCCATTCTGCCGGTGTACGATGCCATTTACGACAGCAAACACTTCAACTTTGTTCTTCCCAAACACGAACAAGGTGCTGGTCACATGGCTGAAGGTTACGCCCGTGCTAGCGGTAAGCCAGGTATCGTTTTGGTGACATCGGGACCAGGTGCCACAAATGTTATCACTCCTATGGCCGATGCCTTGGTCGATGGTACACCCATGGTGGTGTTCACAGGCCAAGTAGCCACTTCTGCTATCGGTACCGATGCTTTCCAGGAAGCAGACGTCATTGGTATCTCGAGGCCATGCACCAAGTGGAACGTCATGGTCAAGACCATCGACGAACTGCCCCGTCGTATCAATGAGGCTTTTGAAATCGCCGTCAGCGGTAGACCAGGCCCTGTGCTCGTGGATCTACCTAAGGACGTCACTTCTGCTGTCCTCAAGAACCCAATTCCAGTTAACACAACGCTACCCTCGTCTGCCCTAGCTCAGCTAACCAGAACGGCTACTCATGAATTCACCGCTTCCAATATCGAAAGAGCTGCTGAATTAATAAATATTGCTAAGAAACCAGTGCTCTACGTGGGAGGAGGTATTCTGGGCTCTGAGAAGGGTCCCAAATTGTTACGCGAGCTAAGTGAGCGTGCACAAATTCCAGTCACCACAACTCTACTAGGTCTAGGTGCTTTCGACCAAAATGACCCCAAGTCTCTTGATATGCTAGGTATGCATGGATCTGCATTTGCTAATCTATCCATGCAGAACGCTGATCTGATTATCGCTTTGGGGACTCGTTTTGACGACCGTGTCACCGGCAGCGTGCCCAAATTTGCTCCAGAAGCCCGCAAAGCTGCTCTAGAAAACAGAGGTGGTATCATCCATTTCGAAATTTCCCCAAAAAACATCAACAAGGTTGTCGAAGCCCAGGTTGCTGTAGAGGGTGATGTCAGCGACAACTTGGAGACTCTCCTGCCTCTGATCAACTCCGTGGAATCGCGCAAGGAATGGTTCGAGAAGATCGAGAGCTGGAAGAGAGACTTCCCATACGATTACCAGAGAGAAAGCACTGGTTCTAAAATCAAGCCTCAAACCGTCATTGCCAAGCTTTCGGACATCGCAAACGCTTCCGAAAAGGAAGTTATCGTTACCACAGGTATCGGTCAACATCAAATGTGGGCTGCTCAACACTGGACATGGACACAGCCTCGCAGTTTCATCACCTCAGGTGGCTTGGGAACTATGGGTTACGGTTTGCCCGCTGCCATTGGTGCCCAGGTTGCTAAGCCTGATGCGTTGGTCATCGACATCGATGGTGACGCTTCTTTCAACATGACTCTAATGGAACTCAGCAGCGCTGTTCAAGCCAACGCACCCGTGAAGATCATGGTTTTGAATAACGAAGAGCAAGGTATGGTTACACAGTGGCAATCGTTGTTCTACGAGCACCGTTACTCGCACACCCATCAATTGAACCCTGATTTCATGAAGCTAGCCGATTCTATGCATCTAAAAGGAATGAGACTTGAAAAGCAAGAGGACATGGAGTCCACTCTCCAAGAATTTGTTAACCACGAAGGTCCTGTTCTTTTGGAAGTCATCGTTGAAAAGAAGGTTCCTGTTTTGCCTATGGTTCCTGCCGGTAAGGGTCTTGACGAATTTATCAACTTCGATCCCGAAACCGAGAGAAAACAGAACGAGCTACGTCGTCAACGTACAGGTGGTAAGCACTGATCGGTACTTTCAGTTAAACAAAGCGTCGCTTTTTTCCAGCATTGCATCTTCAAGACAGCCTTCTGCCGAAGGGAATCTTGAAATACACATCTAAATGTTCTAAAAGGCAGAGCATAAACACTTATCTACTACAAAAATGGCCAGCCATGTATCATATAATCAAAACTCTTCAAAGGCTAACGACCTCTACAAATGTTCTGTTAAACCACATTGAAAAGCTATGAAAGTCCATAACCCTTCTAAAAGAGCTGAAAGTTAGCCAACTTAAACTTCAAAAAGCCCTTCGTGTAAAGTGCTATCAACACTTTTTGTTTGATATAGGGGCTCAAAATTAGCCACACAGTATATGATACACACATACTGACTGAAAACCCAACTGTGAATCGTATTTCTGCAGCGTTGACACCTTTCACTACATGCCAATATGGCTATAATCAAAAGAGGTGCTAGAAACAAGACGGTGGCCGAGCCTACTAAGAGATCTGGCCAGATCAAGAAGGCCACTTTTGAGTCCGGCAAGAAGAAAGAGGTTGGTGTTTCGGATTTGACATTACTTTCGAAAATATCAGATGAGTCTATCAACGAGAACTTGAAAAAGAGATTTTTGAACGGTACCATTTACACCTATATCGGACATGTATTGATCAGTGTCAATCCGTTCCGTGATTTGGGAATCTACACGGACAGCGTGCTTCGTAGCTACATGGGCAAAAACAGATTAGAAGTTCCACCACACGTTTTTGGTATTGCGGAATCCATGTACTACAACTTGAAGGCATATAACGAAAACCAATGCGTTATCATTTCAGGAGAATCCGGAGCAGGCAAGACGGAAGCTGCAAAAAGAATCATGCAGTACATAGCTGCAGCTTCTGATTCACACTCTGACTCTATCGGGAAAATCAAAGATATGGTTTTGGCAACCAATCCTCTATTGGAGTCCTTCGGATGTGCGAAAACTTTGCGGAACAACAATTCCTCGAGGCATGGCAAGTACTTAGAGATTAGATTCAATGCTCAGTTTGAGCCCTGCGCGGGAAATATTACAAATTATTTGCTGGAGAAACAAAGAGTTGTTAGCCAGCTCAAGAACGAGAGAAATTTCCACATATTCTACCAGTTTACTAAGGGTGCATCCGAAAACTACAGACAAACTTTTGGCATACAGCCACCTGAGCAGTACATCTACACTTCAGCATCTGGGTGTACATCCGTGGATACAATTGATGATGTTAAAGATTTTCAGGACACATTGAAAGCCATGCAGGTTATAGGAATCACTCAGCAAGAACAGGATGAGGTTTTCAGATTTTTGTCCGCTATTCTTTGGATCGGAAACATTTCGTTTGAAGAAAACGAAGAGGGCAATGCAAAAGTGCGTGACACATCGGTTACAAATTTTGTAGCCTATTTGCTGCAAGTTGATTCACAGCTGCTGTGTCAGTCTCTAGTCGAGAGAGTTTTGGAAACCAATCATGGTATGAAAAGAGGATCCGTGTACCATGTCCCACTGAACATCGTACAAGCCACTGCTGTCAAAGACGCTCTAGCAAAAGCTATTTACAATAATCTTTTCGACTGGGTTGTTGAGAGAGTTAATGTATCACTACATGCATTTCCAGGCGCAGACAAATCGATTGGTATTCTGGACATATATGGCTTTGAGATTTTCGACTTCAACTCATTCGAACAAATCTGCATTAATTATGTGAATGAAAAACTGCAGCAAATCTTCATTCAGCTAACTCTCAAATCCGAGCAAGAAGAGTATGCTAGAGAGCAAATCGAGTGGTCCCCGATCAAATATTTTGACAACAGAGTAGTATGTGACTTGATCGAAGCTAAGAGGCCTCCAGGCATCATCGCAGCAATGAATGACTCAGTTGCCACAGCGCACGCTGATTCTGATGCTGCAGATCAAGCTTTTGCGCAAAGACTTAATCTGTTTAACAGCAATGCTCATTTCGATCTTAGAGGTTCGAAATTTGTCATCAAGCACTATGCTGGTGATGTGACCTATGATGTTTACGGAATGACTGACAAGAATAAAGATCAATTGCAAAAAGACTTGGTAGAATTAATTGAGACAACGAGTAATTCATTCCTGTCCGCCATTTTCCCTGTGCTCGTAGATCATGGGTCGAAAAAAAGGCCGCCTTCTGCGGGTGATAAAATTATCAAGAGCGCAAACGAACTGGTAGACACATTATCGAAAGCTCAACCATCTTATATCAGAACTATCAAACCCAATCAGACAAAATCTTCCAGTGACTTCAATGATGCACAAGTTCTTCATCAAGTGAAGTACCTTGGTCTCCAAGAGAATGTGCGTATCAGAAGGGCTGGTTTTGCCTACAGACAAACGTTTGATAAGTTCGTTGAGCGGTTCTACTTACTTTCGCCGCAATGTTCGTACGCTGGTGACTATACATGGCAGGGAGACACACTTGATGCCGTGAAGCTTATCTTGAAAGATGCATCCATCCCAACGTCGGAGTACCAGCTTGGTGTCAGTAAAGTTTTCATTAAAACGCCCGAATCACTCTTCGCACTAGAAAACATGAGAGACAAATATTGGCATAACATGGCCGCTAGAATTCAAAGGGCGTGGCGTAGGTTTTTACTAAGAAGGATCGATGCAGCCAGCAGAATTCAACGTGCTATCAGGGAGAAGAAAGGCGGAAATGAGTTTGAAAAGCTCAGAGATTACGGAACCAAATTGCTGGCGAATAGGAAAGAGAGGAGAAGCATGTCCCTCTTGGGCTATAGGGCGTATCTGGGAGATTATTTATCTTGCAACGAGCCAAAGTCGAAAGGATCCTACATCAAAAGACAGGCAGGAATCACTGACAAAGTGGTATTTTCCATCAATGGTGAATCGCTACACTCAAAGTTTGGACGGTCAGCATTGAGATTAAGGAAAACCATAATACTCACTCGTTCAACTCTTTTCGTCATTGGTCAAACCGCTGTTCAAAATCAGATCACTTACACTGTTGACAATAAGGTTGACGTCAATCAAATCAAGTTTGTGAGTCTTACAAATTTGCAAGACGATTGGATCGGTGTATTCGTAGCCAACTCAACACAAGCAGATCCTCTAATCAACTTGTCGTTCAAAACAGAGCTGATAACTCATCTAAAAAAACTTAACAACAAAATCGAGGTCAAAGTCGGTCCTACGTTGGAATATCAGAAGAAGCCTGGTAAAGTACATCTCGTTAAATGCCAGATTAGTGAGTCTGCTCCCAAATATGGTGATTTTTACAAATCTAGTACAATCTCTGTTCGCAGAGGCCATCCTGCAAATTCAAAATCAAAGCCTAAACCTAGAAAGGCGGCTACAACTACTGACCAAGGTGGCTACGTGGCTCCTCAAAGAGTTCATCAACCCCAGCCTGTATCTCAAATGAGCACTGTGAGAAAAGCTCCAGTTAAACCGCCGGCTCCGCAGATAAGACAGAAGAAAGTACCCCCAGCTCCTCCCGCGAAAAAGCAGATTCCTGCCAGCACCATGTCAAACGCGACGGCGAAGATCGCCACATCTGCTGCACAGGCTGTTTATCACCCACAACAGACGGCAGAAGTGGGGAACTCTGCTCAAACAAACTATCAGCCAAACTCAGGTAGTGCACAGAATGGCTCTGTTCGCCACAATACTGAAAGAACAGCTGCAACATCTTATAGCGAGCCGGTCAAAAAGTCACACGTTCCGCCACCCCCACCTCCACCACCACCGGCTGCAAAGCCGTTGATTCCAAAGTTCGTTGCAGCCTATGACTTCGTCGGAACAGGATCTCCTTCGGAATTACCTTTAAATCGTGGCGATGTTGTCTACATCTCTAAACAAGAGCCTAGCGGCTGGTCGCTAGCCAAGACACTCGATGGCTCTAGGGAGGGCTGGGTACCAACTGCTTACATGGCCGAGCATAACGAGGCTGCACCAGCTTCTAGGCAACCGATGGATACGTCGTCCTCGAGTGTAACAAATATCGCCACTGTTGCATCGGCTACCGTTGCAGGGTCAAATACAGCTTCAGCAGCGATATCCGCTGATTCGTCTGCTAATGTTTCGGCTGACGCTTTGACGTCTGCTCTTGCAGCGCGTGCTGACAAAATGCGGCTGGAGAGCGATGATGAAGATGATCAGGCTTCTGAAGATGACTGGTGATATGCAGATGAAGGTAAAGATTCATAGAAAGCTCAGATACAATTCATAATTCAAACTGAATATCGTATTCATAGACATAATTTCGTGAAAAGAGGACTTTGTGACGTTACTCTCGTCCTATTGCTTACCTTAGGGGCACATAATTCAATGCGCCAGCAGCGAAAACAGTCAAGAAAGAGAAGAACATAATTTTTCCAACTGGCCAGATCTTTGAACCATCTCTTTTGAAACCCGGCTTATTTTCGATTGAAGCACGCGCTAGGCTGAGTTTTTTGGTCGAGAAAGGTGGATACCTGACGCCGTTAACGAACTCAATCCAGTAAGGCTGCTTGACTACCGTTCTTTCGTGGGTGAAGGCGGCGAAACTCCAAATGCCGTGATAGTTACCTTGACCAGATTCACGAATACCTCCGAATGGAGCGTCGACAGCCACAACATGAAGAAGAGTATCATTGATCATGCAACCACCGGATTTCACGATGGTCATGATTCTGTCAACTTCTTGTTTTTTCTGAGAGAAGATGTACATCGCCAAAGGATTGCGATGTTCTTTCAAGACCATTCTGATAGCATCGTCAAGATCGCGGTATGGGATCACGGGCAAAACTGGCGCGAAATTTTCGTTCTCCATCAGAGAATCGTCCCAATCGACACCTAGGACGACAGTGGGCACAATGCGTCTGTCGGGGAGTTGTTCTTTAGCATCTGAAGGCTGTAACTTTTCACCGCGGGTGCTATTTAGCTTTTCGATGACGCCCTTGTAAGCCGAGTCGTGGATCATGGAGGTGTTGATTGTCTTGGAGTTCACAGTTGGCCAGAACTCGTCGAGGACTTCCTTGGTCAGCTCCCGGACCTTTGCAACCTGAGATTCGTGTACCAGTAAGTAATCAGACGCGATACATGTTTGTCCGCTGTTGCTGAAGGCACCGAAGAAGACTCTTTTCAACGCCGTTTTCAAGTTTCCTGGGGCACAGTTTTCAGTTATGAACACAGGGGACTTGCCTCCAAGCTCCAAAGTGACCGGGATAAGGTTTTTGGCAGCGGCTTCGGCTACAATGCGGCCTACTTTGGTGGAGCCCGTGTAGAAAATCTTGTCAAAATGTGGGTTGTTAATAAGCTTACCGGTTTCTTCCACAGAGCCGTGAACGACTTGGACCCACGAAGGGTCTACCGATTTCTTCAAAATCTTTTCCATGACCTGAGCTGTCGCGGGCGTTTGTTCGCTGGGCTTCAACACTACAGAGTTTCCGCTTCCGATTGCAGCAGCAACTGGATCCAATGCCAACAAAACAGGATAGTTGAAGGGAGCGATGACCAACACGGAACCCAACGAGATCCGTTCGACTTGGACAGAGCTCAATTTGAACAAATTGGTGGACTCGGAGATCTTTTCGGGCTCGATGTAGCGGGGCAAGTTGTCGATGAGATGCAGAAGGTGGTTGTACAGCGGGATCAACTCGATGACAAAAGTTTCGTACCTGCTGCGGTTGAAGTCGCTTTCCAGCGCCTCAACGATCTCCTCTTCATGGTCCTTGATACCGTAGTACAGGTTTTGCAATTGTCTAAGTCTCAATTTCAAATCCTCCTTCCTTGGGTTCTTGGTTCGATACAAATGCCATTGTCTTTCGTCGTAAGCCTTTCTGCTTTTGACGACGATGTCGTCGATATCTCCCACCGGAGTGAATTTCAAGCTTGAAGAGGCCATTTTATAGCGGTTGGGTGATATGGTGGTGTTCTAAAGGCCTTGAATGCGGTAGGTTTAGTTGATAGAAAGGTACCAGTCCTCTGTTAGCAATCTTTCTTATACTCTTTCTTTCTTTATTCCTTTAAAGGTAAGTGTACTAACGTAACCCGGGTTTAATGGCTTAGAAATGTTTCGCTTCCGTTCCGATGTGTTCTAAACTGCGAACCACTGACTTCAAAAGCGATTTACACCGGTAAACAACCATAGTTGCTCACACTTGTTAAAACACATTTCTTGTTTCCTTAAACTTGTTCGAGCCTTCGAAAGAGAGCATCTAATGCGCGTCGTCAAAAGTTTATGTATATCGTTTCGTACGAAACATAGGTTCATATATATAAAATCAGGACCCTTATCGGAACAATTAAATTTCAGCGGCGGCAAGAGCGACCGCATTCTCGGCGAAAATAGGAACCAAGAACACCGTGTTGCGATAATTTAATGTATCTATGTGATTCTTGTGGTCGGAAATCCTACTATGGGGAAAATGAGCTGAAAAAACGCGTTCTTTCGAGCTCAATTACGCGAAAAGTGGTAACATATCGGTGTGTGGGCGAAGCAGGGGGAGCGTACGTTTACCATGAATAGGAAGCTTTACAAGCTAATTAGTGAACTGAGAAGAATTTTTCATGGCAATAGGGGCCTTTTTCATGGTCTTTGAAACACTTTCAAGGGGGTTTATTTGCGTTTATTGACAGATCATCGCAGATCATCATAGAGTCAGAAGCAAATAAGAGGTGACCTCTACACACGAATATAAACGTTTCTGGTCAGAAATTTGGTGTCCGGTAATGACTTCATCCAGTTGATTTCATCCCAGAACAAAACAATTGATGTTTCCAAAGCCAAATCGACATCGAATTCGTGAAATTAACTTACAATGACACCACAGTGTGTCAAACCCCCCCATTTTGAGGTCCACCCGTGAATTCAAGTTCATGAACTTGTTAGTCCCTGAACAAGCGATCTAAAATGTTTGAAAGACTCAGAGGTCACGTGCTTTCTTTTTCCTCTCTATCTCGGGTTTATGCGACTTCTCAACACAGTCCAACACTACTCGGGCAGCTCCGAACCCTGAAGGATTTCCAGATTACAGCCAGCAGTGCCAAACAAATTCCCTCCTTGACCTATCGTTACGAAGGAAGCATAAAAAGCGCTGGTTGACAAAAGACTATACCTTCCAATCAAACTTGCATCTAACGTCTGCGTCGATCAAACGAAATTAAGGTCACTCCCTTCAGGCTTTAGACACTCAACATCACGAAAAGTCTTTTTGAACAAGTTGTTAACTAGAACCGCAGATTACGTTAATCGCTTCAGACTTTTCAACACACTGGACCAGTTGAAAGCTTGTACGACACTACATCTCAACTTTCAAACTAATGGCTACATCAGCAATGGAATACTTCTCAGCAGATCAAGAGACACAGTTTTCGTCGGCCGTTACGGCACAGCACAAAGCTGTGGATGTTGTAGGCCGCAAACTAGGTGGTATCGTTTTGGGCTGCTCAGACGAATGGTTCGCAGATGCGAAAAACCTTATCGAACCCAAAGCACCCATCAGAGATGCTACAAGATTCGTGCACGCTGGTGCGTGGTATGATGGATGGGAAACCCGTCGTCACAATACAGCCGAGTACGATTGGGTCATCCTCAAAATGGGCGTTGCTGCAGCCCATATCGTTGGCTGCGAAGTCGATACTGCGTTTTTTAACGGGAACCATGCACCTGCCATATCTGTGGAAGCTCTTTACGCAGAAGATCAAGGTACGAATGCTCTCGAAATAGCGGAAAATAGCCCTGATTGGGAAGAAGTCATCCCCAAGAAGGAGTGCGGTCCATCTCAGCGACACTTTATGCTCCGCGAACATGCCACTACTAAGAAGTACACACATATCAAGCTGAAAATGTACCCAGACGGTGGAATCGCCAGGTTCAGACTGTACGGGCGTGTCGTTCCACCTGCTCGCGTTTTATCTGGCTCCACTGAGGGCACTCCAGTAGATCTCGCCTCCGCATGCAATGGAGGTGTTGCTTTGCAGGTCTCAGACCAACATTTCGGATCCGCTGACAATCTGCTGCTGCCTGGTCGTGGCCACGATATGTCCGATGGATGGGAAACCACGCGCTCGCGTTCTCCAGGCCATGTGGACTGGGTTATAGTACAACTTGGAAAGCGCACTTCCAAGATTACTGGCATTATTATCGATACTGCACATTTCCGTGGCAATTTCCCACAATACATCACTGTGCATGGTTTAGATAATCCCAATTCAGACCAGGCACCTGCGCACGACGATCCACGCTGGTACACATTAGTCGACAAATCCAAAACTGGGCCCGATTTCGAGCACCAGTTCGAATTGGACAGTGTGGCTCCAACTACTCATGTAAAGCTCACCATCATTCCTGATGGTGGAGTCAAGAGAATAAGAGTGCTTGGCTACTGAACAAAAGCATTTTCTCATCAAAACACTCGCTAGCTGTATAACTTAATAAATATTCCCAAGGCCAGATTTCTCGATGCCCAAGGTTCAAACTTCAAAGAACTCAAACTTACGCACTCAGGGTTGAATGGCCGAGTTTTACCAGCTTATTCACCAGCGTGCAGGTATTGCAACAGCTTTAATCGCATTAGAAAAAGCTTCCACCATAGATGCCAATGAGTTCATCGCACAGTTAGAAATCTTACGCTCAAGAAATCCATTTTACCTCAAGAAACTGTTAAAAGCGCTCTGTGACCGAAGTGCTTTGTTGGATGGTGAGTCTGACTCGGGCCTAAGGATTGTAAACAAGAGTGTCGAGCTCAATGAATGGGTATTTGAGCAATACGTGGAATTATTACCAGTTCCTGCACCGGATCCAGCGCATTTTAAAGATATCATTCGATACACTTTGGGCTCAGGCGTTGCAATTGAAGTAGAAGAGCAACCGTTGTTGCTAAGTGGTTCGGGTACTACTGGGTTTCGAACATGGGAAGCTGCATTGTATCTTGGCGAGTTACTAGCCCAAAATGCATCCGTTTTGGGAGATCTGGGTTTGGTTTCTAAAGTTCTGGAACTGGGAGCTGGGACTGCTCTTGTGAGCATGGCATGGGCTAAAGTACATGGCTCACATACTAGTGAGCTTTACATCACGGATGGAGACTCACAATTGATCGAGCACAGCGCATATCATAATTTCAAGCTCAATGGACTAGGCGGGTGCAACAATTATAAATTCCAACGATTGTGGTGGGGGGAAGACGCCGTTCCTGACGTAGATATGGTGATTGCTGCTGATGTTACGTATGATAAAACGGTTGTACCGAGTCTGGTCGCGACGCTAGCGTGCGCGCTACTCAACGGTGCTAGATTTGCACTTATTGCGGCAACGGTGCGCAATGAAAGTACTTTGGCGGAATTCGAGAAACAATGTACAGAAAGGAGCCTGCAGATGGAAATTTTGAGTGTGAGGGAAACACAACTGGCTCCAATTCGAATCTACAGACTAAGCTTACTAGGCAAGACATCATCTTCTGGTTGAGTGAAGACCTCGGATCACGTGATCGCGATTCTCATCCCGATGGGCAAATACTCTCAATATTCGAGCTGATCCGCTTACATCCTGCAGAAAATGACCTTTAGGAGCATCGTTCACCGTCATTTTCGAATCAAATTTGACTGGGACTTTTGTTCAACGAAGCATTATAGACTGTTCTGCGCCAATTTCCTCTAATTCGCATAACTCGATCCAAAAATCCTCCAGCACTTTCGGCATTCCTGAGCTAAATCTTGAACAGCTAGAACCGGACAACCATCTCAGAGAACCGCTCGTCGCGATTAAGATCTTCTGTCCGCATTATGTCATCGTTCACGAAACTACCACACTGCCAACTCGAAACCTACACGCATACAGGAACATCTTGATTCCAAAGGACGCCCAAGTTTTCTTCCATATTTTTTATTTTCTGGGCGTATGTTTCAGTTAAAGTATAAGAGTCCTTTCCTAATGCCCATGATGTGACTATCATTATCTAAAACCTCAAAGATCCAAACCATAGATCGGTCGTTGAATGGCAGCGACGAATATAGGACGTTCTCCACCCACTCTATGGTCCGATTTCCGGTGTATAACAGACCCAGCTGTCTACCATTCCAACACTTTACTTCCTTTGCGACTACGAGTACCTGTCATGTACTCGTAATTCATTTGCCAAGATGATCGCCAGGGATTACGTAATCTTACGATTACCCAATTGAGCACTCCATGGTTAAAAATGTATGTACCATTCAACGACGCCTAGGCTGAGCTCACACCACTCATAATGAATAAGGCCATACGCACGGCTAACCATATCCATAAACGAATAACACCACTAACGATTCGTCTCGTAAACCGAACGATCAGTAAACCGATATATAGCCAAGATCGTAGCCGCAACAATGAATCTCAACTTTAATTAGGCCAACTCCTATTTATATTGTACTCATATTTCGAACTGATTCGTTTAATGTCTGTAGTATATCTTCTGCCAAGTGTTATAACATACCTGATAAAGAGATAATACTTGTGTCATTTGAACACCTTTGACTCCTAAAGCTCTTATCATTCGTAACAACTTTCCGATGGCGTTGCATAACTACATTTACTTGAAGCACAAGTCGCACGACCCGGAATGTCACACTCTCATAGCTCGGGACCACGACACCAGACCAATTCCTCAACGTACGCTGACGTTAGAGGTCGAAAATGGGAGCGACAGCTCGAATTTGGTAGAGAAGAACAAGAAGAAAGACGGTTGTTGCGGCAATTGCCAGGGGAATTGCGGCGGTGAAGGAAAAGCCAAAAAACTTGCAGAAATTTCGTGGTAGGGCTAATGGACAGACGATATTGTGCTGGCACGGCAAGTGTTGCTGGGTTTCACGTCGCTGTCAGACAAAAAGGAAACTCTCTGGAAGGGCACATTTTGAAGCCAGCGGAAAAACATCACTTTGGAAGATATTTTAAAAAGATAATGGGGGTTTCCAGAGTGGATACGTGTACAATCCTATCGCGGCAATCGCAAGGCTGTGGAACGGCCTTCGGATTATGGACGACGCAGTGGCACTTTACATAGCTAAGATGATAGATATGATATTTTTTCTGGAAGAACTGATGTTTAGGATCTAGCTTGTGTGTTGTACGAATTGCCTGGGTTGTATACAACTTGCCTGAGAATTGTTCACGGTTGTCTACAGTTGCTTCGCGGCTCAAGCAGGAGAAGAAATGACACATTCGTACAAGGTAACGTATTTTCAAATGCTCCAAACGGCACAGTTTGCTGCGGTCAAGTTAACAAGTCATCCGATTATTCTGATCCCATTCTTTTCAACACTGTGAAAGTGTCGTTGAAGTCTCAGGTTCTACAATTTTACGTGTTAAGAAAGCCTACTTTTTTTCCATTATTCTAGTTTGTAGCCATCCTCTGACACCCGAGTATCATTTTTTCGGTCCTCACGGGTTCTTATAGAAGGGCATCTTTCATCTTTCCACACGCTTATCACGAATCAAGCGCAAGTGCTATAAAAATAGGGCGCTTCTTCAAACAAAGAAATTAGAACAATTCCTCGGCGTTATCAGAAAGATACCCCTGCTCGGCTGTCGTACTGTCTAATGCGGTGGATTACTTTTGGACAAAGTTAATGTTTTGAGAAAAAGATGTAAATACATCTAAAAAAGTGAACTCATCTCATCCAGTTCGTCCTTTATATACTCATTTTTCCAATTCCCATATACTGAAATTTTTTCCGTCCACGCCTAAAGTAAAAATCGCTATTAGGGCATGGAAAACAAATTAAATGCTATAAAGGTCAATAATCAAAGGGACTGGGTGAATGAGATGGTTGCTGTCGAGTAGCGCGACTGTTTTGGGTGGCATTAGCCACATCTAAAGACACTAGTTTTATGAATTTGTGACTTTTACAGCTTTGTCACGTGATCCCACTTGCTAGCTTGTTTGAATATTTACGCGGCGATCATAGGCTCTTCCGTACGTATCGCTACACTTTATCAGCCAGCTGGTAATCCTGTTTGATCGGTTTCATGGAAGACTTTTTCTCAGGGAGGTGGTAGAAAAGCTCCTAGTCTTGGTACTTGGTAATATCAATTTAATCGAATATTGGCACCGCCTGCGGCTGCATAGGTATCATCTCACTTATTTGGATCGTTCTATAATAAAATGTCGCGAATAGAGGGTCACCAAGAGTTCAAAGAAATTTGACACATTTCAATGAGGCTTGCTAGTGGCAGAGTGGAAATTTATCGTGTCAGTGAACATATAAAGCGAAAACTGGGTCACTCCTGCCAATATATCGTTTCCTTACAGCCCCATGCGCGGGCCAAGTCTCTTGCTTTACAAGATACAGATGTAAGTCGTGACCACCACAAGTTACATGATTTTTGATTTCGTGGATGATTTCGTTGATGCCGAAAAAGCACTGATATAAGCATCGCTTGAAAAGTTACATTGACAGCGCCAGGAATTCTAAACCGAGTCAAATGGTCTGTTAACCTCTAAGGCTTCATTACAATGTCCCTGTCACTTGTTCACCAGAAATCGACACGAAATGATAAAGTGATATAGTTATACTTTTCTAATTTTTTCCTCAAAAGAATCACTTGTCAAGGCTTCATGTCCACGGTTCAAAAGCCAAAAATGCCTATTGATGCTTCTTCTCTCTTACACACACATCTACGTTTATGGTCATCACGTTAGAGCGCCTTTCTCTTTCATATTCAACACTTTTTTATTCAAAGCACGTGATCGAATATTTAGGTATCTCTTAAGTTCCCAATATATTATATTAGGTCTCTAATTACCAAAAGACTTACTCAACTTGATGGAACGTCAAATTTCCTTGTTTTAATCGCCATGTCGAATGCTCAAAGCTCGCAGCAGGCTGCGCAGTCCAGTGAATTTGGTGAGTCAGACCCTTCGCTTCGTGGAAATGGGATGCCAATCAGCTTTCCATTGAACACACAGATGGCCAGCGGTAACTCTCAATATCTGACAACAGAGAATGGGATGTCATTTTCGACGAATGGGTCAACAGCCAGCTTAACGGGTGAACAAGTGAACTCGATGTTGCCAATCCCCAAAAAGTCGCGGGCTATTAGAACCGACAGACCGCGTCCGTTTTTGTGTTCTATTTGCACTCGTGGGTTTGCCCGTCAGGAACATTTGAAGCGTCATCAACGTGCTCACACTAACGAAAAACCATTTCTTTGCGCCTTCTGCGGACGATGCTTCGCCCGTCGTGATTTGGTGCTGCGGCACCAGCAAAAATTGCATCCATCACTCACAGAGGCCAGAGCTAGTGAGCCAAGTATACCAGCCAGCGGGATTCCTGGGGGCTCATCACGAGATTTCAAACAACATCTCAATGAGGAGCACATCATCACCATCACTGGAAATAAACAGACTATGCTTCCAATGCCTCAAATACAGCGTAAACCTACGAGCGTGGGTAACAGCAGTAGTAGCAGCACCAGTAACACCAATTTAAGCGGGGTGATAACCGCTTCTTCGCTTCCAACATCGGAGTCATCTCACTCGGGTCCATCGTACATACAGGCTGAGACCGCATCGGATGACCGAAATTTGAAACGTATGCGTCACGCTTCTTTCTCCGCAGCAAGCGCTATCACTTATGCACAAACCAAAGATGCGCCCAGGATCATCGAAAATGAAATACCAGACATTCCACATCAGGTTGGTTTCTCAACACCACAACTTTCCGCACAAGAACTGGTGGAAAAAGCAATGGAAAGTGGTGTTGATTTTGATATGCTGCCGTTTCCACCCCTACTTAATCTACCCGAGGCTGTATTCACTAATGGTAGTGCTGATCAAACAGCACTGCGACATACATCATCGGTACCTCCCAGTGACGTCAGTGGCTCACTTTTCTCGCAAAAGCAGAGACTGGGAAATGACACGCTAGATCGGCACGTAAACTCAACGCCCGATGTCAAATCTGCGTTTGCTACAGCCGCACCTCTGCTTTCGGACTTTCTGCAGATGGGTTCGTCGTTAGGAGGATCGGGAGGGTATACCAGTTTCTTCCCACCAGACTCCAATCTCGATTATTTTACTTACGATGGCGCATCTGATCAGCCGCAAGCAGTGGAACATTTAAAGACTGAAAGACATCAACTAAGCTCTTCGACAGAGCAATCTCAAGAGAATCAGATCAATGTTCAAGAACCATGGCTCTCGGAATTCATCAATACACATTTTGACGGGGACTTCAAAGTAGACACACAGGATTTCAATCAAATTGGCTTCTCGTATACGAATTCAGACGTCACCACGAGCAATTCCACACCCATGGTAAACCTATCCTCGCCCGTGACAAGAATCGACGATAAATCGGTTCTAAGCTTCAGTCCCATTTTGAACGAGTCTTACGGAGAAGTAAGACAGAATAACCTACCTACACCATCCGAGGCAACTGCAAAGGCGCCCTCAAAATACCATAGGAAGTCAGATATTCCCTTGTTATTCAAGTCTCGCCAAATCGACTTGTTTAAGAAAGTCATGGAGAACCAGAATGGTTACGGTACACCTGTTCAGGATGATCAAGAATTGACCCGAAAGACCTTTACTAAGGGTACAAGACTTCGATTTTTTACCGAAGATCTAAGAGCCTATATTTTGAAGTCAAACAATCTGTCCTCTGATCAATTCCCTACACTAGAAGAGCTCAACACTTACATCAACTTGTATCAAGATGAGTTTCACCAATTTTTTGGGTTTATTCACCTGCCTTCCATTCGACCTTCAACGGATAGCTATTTTTTCTTGCTGTCTATAGCCATGATTGGGGCTCTCTACGGTTTTCATTCATCTCACGCAGTGCTTCTTTACAATATTTGTCGCTTTCGCATCCGCGAATACTTGGAAAATACGGCAGGGCATCACGACAAAGTACCCCTTTGGTTGGTTCAAAGCTCAGTTCTTCTCATCTTCATCGGAATCTTCAATAACGATGTGTCCTTTACCTTGATCATCAATACACAAATAAAATCGCTGATAGAGTTGGTGAAGATAACGCAACTGAACTTGCCCCTGGAATACTTTTGCAAGCCGCCGATTAAAAGCGACCATATTCTGGATTATCAGAATGACCCCCTATTATTGGAACAAAAGAGGCAGGAATACAATACCCCCGAACAAATTGAACGTAATTATCACTATTTCGTACACGCCCAATCCAGAATTCGAACATGTCACACCATTCTTTCAATTTCCAATCTGTTCAATTCGCTGGTAGGTTTGGATTGCTGTTTTCACTCAATTGATTTGAAGTGCGGTATTCCGTGTTACCGGGAAGATCTCTATTTCTGTGAGAGTCCGAGTGAATGGGCATCTCTTCTGCGCAACTATCATATATCGCTGGATTCAAAATTTTCTTTGATAGAGCTTTCCAACGGTGGTGAAAGCTATAAAAACTGTCTAATCTACCTCACCAATGGTTACCAATTCTTTTACGAGAACAAAAAGGTTTCTTTCAAGACTCTTCTATCACTTTTGATTTCAATTCACGAGAAGATTTTCATTGAGAGATACAACTTGAGGCATGAAATCGATGAGCAGATCATAGATGTCAAATGGCGTATGAACTCCAGGCCCATTATCGAATCCCTACTCAAAAACTGGGAGTCTCTGTATCTGAAAAATGGAGGTGTTGTTATAGCAAATGACGGCAACATTCCCTTCATCAACTCCAATCCTTCCCTGCGTCTCATTATACCACTTCTCAATTTTGCGAAGATACGCAAGTGTTTGCGGATTTCTCATATCATGAAGAATATCTGGTTCAAGAACTGGACCGGAATGAACGAAAACCTGGAGAAATTCAGTGACTGGGAGGTTCTACGTGAGGCTACCGACCATGCCCTTACCATTGTTAAGTTCTGGGTGGATACCGTCTTCATCATCAAAAATGCCGAAAAGACATCGCTGCGAACCCCCATCTTCTCCATCACATGCATATTCACCTCAATTTTAATCATCGCTGAGTATTTGAAAAGAATAGAGGTCTGGGCGTCAAACTACCGGCATCCCGCCACGACAGACCTGCTTAAAGCTGTTGATAGAACGCTGTGGCTGAAATCGGAGCAGATTCTGAAAAAAGTAGAGGAACACCTGCTGCCAAAGGGTTACAACAAACAATCGTATGCTGAGTTTTTGAGGCTACAGGCTAACGGTGCCTTGGATGTTAAGGTTCTGAACGACAACTTGGCACGCAAAGCGATGAGTCCAAATACCCCACTAAACGAAACCGTGGAATTGTTATTGAGGGCCAAACTTTCGTCCAGGTCCCTCTATCTAGGTGTGAGGATTCTCGGAGATGCTCCAATTTGGCCTATCGCCCTACTCTTTGCCCATGCTTTACAGTCCAGGGCCATCTTCAACTTGGCCAACAGCTCGAGTCCTTACCGTTGATTATGTAATCCGAAGAATTGGGAAAAAATAGCAGTGACCATTTTTCAAGCTCATCGCGATGAGCAAGCTAGATGATGCAACGGAACTTCCCAAGGGTAGAAAGAAATCGTGCTGAGTCTCACGGCTACTGAAAATTGTACGACATTGAACGATAACACAATATACACAAGCTTTGATCCTTGTGCAACTCCCCTGATAGTTTGAACTTCAACTTAACAAAATTTGGAAAATTCGAGTAGGTTCTTGGTTTAAAGCCCCAGTCTCAAGAGCAAAAGCTTTCGCAATGACCTTATCTGATACTCAAGCGAAAAACTCCGCACCTGTGATGGCTGCAAAGACAAAGCTTTCGGGAAGAGCTCTGTTCGAGGATATAGGAAAACCAACCAAGATCGTTGCACCTATGGTAGATCAATCCGAACTTGCCTGGAGGATTTTATCAAGGCGGTATGGGGCTACTCTGGCGTATACACCAATGTTTCATGCTAAAAATTTTGCCACTTCGGAGAAGTACAGGAAGGACATGTGGTGCGAACAGGACGGATGCAGCAACGTAGATCGCCCGTTGGTAGTACAATTCTGCGCGAATGACCCCGAGTATCTCTTAGAGGCAGCAAAACTTGTACAAGACAAGTGTGACGCTGTGGACCTCAACCTCGGGTGTCCTCAAGGCATAGCGAAAAAGGGCCGTTACGGGTCTTTTCTCATGGAAGATTGGGAACTCATTCATAAACTCATCAGAACACTGCACGATAATCTAGATGTGCCGGTCACAGCCAAGATTCGGGTCTTTCCAGAGCGTGAGAAGACCTTGGACTATGCCAAGATGGTCCTGGATGCGGGAGCTCAGTTCTTGACGATTCATGGCCGTCTGCGAGAACAAAAGGGCCAGCAGACTGGATTAGCAGACTGGGATATCATTCAGTATTTACGGCGGGAATTGCCTCAGGACACCGTTTTTTTCGCAAACGGAAATATTTTGTATCCCGAAGATATCTCTAGATGCATGAACAAAATACACTGTGACGGAGTAATGAGTGCTGAGGGGAACCTTTACAATCCAGGGGTGTTCAACACGGAAAGCATCAATGATATAGAGAAAACGTTTCCCCGTGTTGACAAATTGCTTAGAGAGTATTTTGAAATTGTTGAAAGCTGCAAAGGTTCCAACGCCTCACGTATTGCAATGAAATCGCATTTCTTCAAGATCTTACGTCCTTTCCTGCCCCATCACACCGACATTCGCACCAACCTCGCGTCCATGAACGCAAAGACCTCCTTTGAGGAATGGGATGAAAAAGTAGTCAAGCGCGTGGAGCAGGTTGTGCAGGATATCTACAAACAAGAGGATATATGTGCTAAGGACGTGATCACTACAGGCGAGGTTGAGCTTTGGGGTGGTTCTTACAAACAAGTACCATATTGGCGGTGTCAGCCTTATTTCAGGCCCGTCAACGGTGTAACCGGAGACAAGCGAGTTGTGCAAAGCCTCAAGAGGGCCAACGAGTTCGAAAAAAGTGACTCGGAGGAAACGAAGAAGAGCAAACCTGAAGGCGAAACGTCTTCTGCCAGCTAAAGATATCCATAGAAGGGCAACTCACTTATAGCTCCGTACGAAGTAAATAAATAGATGGACAAATGTAACTATATTGATCTTAGACTGTAAAGATGACATAACTGACACCCTTGGTCTATTCTATCCATCGAAATCTCCTTGGCTTTCGAATTTGACCTAGCTTCTTGTATCAAATGTCCAATCTTTTCGAATCTGCCACTATTGACGGCTCTCAGGAGTCCACTATCGAGTTCCCGTTATTTGTTCAGTTCCCAGCAACACAACCGCCTCAACCGTTGCAAGAGCTGATCAACAACTTTGGGCTTGTCAAGCATGCTGAAAACGGTTACTTCAAAGAGACAGATCGTTCTCCATTCGTTCTGAAATATGGAAACGACAACACTGACGAAGGTCAGAGCGACCAAGCGAGTGTTATGCCTACATCAACGCAAGAACCAGAATATAAGAGTGAAAGAAACTTCTCTACGCTGATCTACTATTTGCTGACGCCTGATGCTCCTGTTTCAAAAATGATCATGAACACTAGTCGTAATATTCACATTTTACAACGTGGGAGGGGCCAGTACGTTTTGATATATCCAGACGGAAAAGTCAAAAGTTTCAAAGTCGGCTTCGACTATGCAAATGGCGAAGTTTCTCAATGGGTTGTTCCAGGAGGGGTGTGGAAGGCGAGCTTTTTGCTAACAAATGAGGAATTCTATAACGGGCTACTAATAAGCGAAGTCGTGGTCCCTGGATTCGAATACGCAGATTATAAGCCCTTTTCAGGTTTTGAGCAACTCGTAGAACTTGTTGGAGAGGAGCAAGCAGAAGTTTTGAAGTCGTTGCTGTAACGTGGGTTTTTGAGAACCTCTCAGAAGTTATCTTAGAACATCTTTAGTGTTGTTTGAAAGTGATTCAATTCAGGAACTTTAAAGGCCACAACTCGGTTTTTTCGAACATCGTGAAGAAATGAGTAGCTTGAAAACCACTGATTTCTATTATTTGTCGTCATTTTTTTACTGATCGATACGGCGAGAGCGAAGGGATATGGGAATTTATGACACTTTTAAAAAGACCTTGACAGTTTGAGAAATAATACTCGTTACAATGTGTTGATTTGCTTTAGGTACTATAATTCTGATCGTTTTGTCGCTGTCGATTTTGACATTGTTTTGTTTCAACCCAACTTACGTCGCACTTTCTAATTTGAGTGATCCTTTAGCATTCCAGAGTTTGCATGGCACCGAGCTAATATTATTAATCTACCGACAAAGTGTGAATTACGAACGTTCGACCATGTTAAATTCCAAAACTTCAGTTCAAAGCGTGATACTACCGGATTAGATGCAATGCAGTTGTCACAATTTTTTTTCTGGTCCGTATGGTCGGAGTGCAAGTTGTTTTTTAAGAGAAGCTCCAAGGGCATTTGGTGAAGCTATGTCGTTCGCTTCAAATTCTGTTGCCTCAAACTTAAGTGTGGAAGCGGCGAAAATCAACTCAATTTCATTCGGCAGTCGACTTTAGAACTGAATGCGATAGAACATAGCACATCCTCAAGTCTAATGTGTTCTTATACGCTATGATGGCCAGCGTCAGGAAAAAGGTAGCTGAGTCGCAAATGAATTTTTCTGAGTAAAGTGCGAGCACAACGATCGCACTATATTCACTCTAGTGGTCTCAAAAGTACAGAAAACGTTATGGGGCACAATTACAACCAAGCTGCGCTTAACTCAGATGCAAGGTAGACATGATGTCGTTTCTAATCCATGGCGCCAGTCATCAGGATCTGATCACGTGATACTCGGTGTCGTTCATCAAAGGTGTTTATACTCAATGAGTAGCGGCTCAAAAGTATCACAGGTTAACCTTTAAACTGCAAAGATATTTAAAGTCTTGCTGGCCTTGTGCTGCAGGAATATGACAACCCTTGTTTCGAAACTCATAGCTATAAGCTTTACATTTCGTGGTTCATGATCAGTCCAGACTATAATTTGAAGGTAATAAGGATATATATACTCAAGATACCCGATGCCCGATACTTGGGAACTTTCAACTGACTCGAATTCAATTCAGTCGCCTATTTTTGATAGCCTCCAACCTGGTTCAGCTGGAATTGAAAGCTGAATGCGCAGTCCCGATTTTTCGGCAAACTTCAAGAGGCGAAAACCGATCGAACTTCACAGGCCAACTTATTCGAATTTAACGACGTTCTCTTTCGCAAATGGTCCTACAGTGTTTAGTCCGCGTAGAAAGATGAAATCGGAGAGGCCAAATTTACCGCATGGACAAGATGAGTTAATAATTCAATCTTCAAGTGACCATGGTTCGGACGCTTCTCCGGAACCATCCGATTTTTACCGTGACATGAGGGCAGCTCTGTTCCATGCTGGGAAAGCTGTTATGGCGATAGTTGGTCTTTCTGGCTCGCAAAATGTGGAAGAAGAACTCCCGAGCAATCAAGACCAGAATCACATCAAAAGAGAGCACTCGGAGCTGAAGCTCAGTCCAAATAAAAAATCGAAAACTATAGAGGAGCCCAGCACTCTCATAAACAATGCGTCTCATACGCCGTCCAAATCGAGCGGCTCGAAAAATTTGGAGGAAAAACTAAAAAATTCTATAACTCCTGAAAGAAATGGTGTCCTTCTCTTTTCTACAAAGAAAGATCCAATGCATTGGGATTTTGTAGACTCTGGATCATCTCCTGTGACGACTCAAAACATTCCATATGGTAGCGCCTTCTTCAGGAAGAGACTGCCTAAAACTGGCGATTCTTCGTACCGGGGAAAGATCACGGCAAGGAACTCAACCGAGGAGATATCGTATCTTCGGATGATATACAATGGACATTACAAGGCGCCCGATCTCATCGAAAGCCATAAAAACGAACAGCTCTTACTGCGAAAACAGGAGTTCAAACAATACAATAGACCATCATCATCACAATCCTGGTCAAGCGTGACAGAAAAGGTCAAGGAAATTCTCAACAAAAGTCTTGGAGCTTCTACCAATGACGATCTCATTATTGTCAAAGAACAGCGGATATCTCCAAGAGAAGTGAAAAGCGAACGTTTAGAAAATCGCCATTTTAAATTCGACACATCAGTGCTGACCTTCAAGGAAGAGTTTGAAAGCTACAGGAAGCTGAAAGAGGAAAGAGAAAAAATACAAAAGGAAATTAGAAAGCTCCGTGAGAAGCCTCAGACCTTAGTTCCTGACCTCACGCCTGAAGATCTGCAGGTGGTGAAAAACACTTTGCGCCGATCTGACAATGGAATTATAATGAACAAGAATAACATCGAGCTGAAAGTTTACGATTTCAAAACTTTGGCACCAAGCAGGTGGCTCAATGACGTAATAATCGAATTTTTCATGAAGCATATCGAGCTCACCACTGCAAGGTCGATTGCATTTAATTCATACTTTTACACCACACTGTCGCGAAATGGTTATCAAGGTGTTAGAAGATGGATGAAAAAGAAGAAAGCAGATGTGAATAACTTGGACAAAATCTTTGCACCAATCAATCTTAACCAATCGCATTGGGCGCTTGGAGTCATCGACATCAAAAATCGGAAGATATCTTACGTGGACTCTCTTTCGAGCGGACCAAACAATATGAGTTTCGCAATTTTGAAAGATCTCCAAAACTACTTATGTCAGGAAAGCAAAGATACACTGGGTGGTGATTTTGAACTTATTCATGAAGATTGTCCGCAGCAACCTAATGGATTCGATTGTGGTGTCTATGTATGTACCAATGCCTTGTACCTGAGTAAAGAGGTACCATTGGCATTTGATTACCAGGACGCGCAAAGAATGAGACCATACATTGGACATTTGATTCTCTCTGGTGACTAAAAACATTAGCATTGTTAAATAGAAGGATAATTCTGATGGTAGTTACTTCTCAAAAGTTTGGAATTATATCTAATTGAATCATATTTTGTCACCCTGGGAGAAATGCTCCAATGGGAAGGTTCTCAAATTCGCTCTACATACTGCATCATCGTGAGGCCGGGGTTGATTCACTGATGTGTATTAAGTTATTATGCAACCGAGATAGAATCGAACGGCCCAAAATTAACACCCACTTCGGGTTCTAGCTACTGACAATAATATTCGCCAGCGCAAGCTAACCGTTGTAAGCATTCGGTCCGATCTATTTTTTTGCATGTATAATCGTAACTGCTTCCTTCTCCTGCACCGTAGTGTTATCAACTCCGATCGCTTTCTCCTTTTCTCTTCCTTGTGTATAACTTTCCTTGCGCTCCCCCTCTAGTGCTTCCGATTCCCTCTGCGCCCCAACTTTTGACTCCTCTGCTTCTTGAGACCGACCTCCTGTACCCTCAAGACTTATTTTCTCTAGGCCTTCTACGACATTGCTCAATTGTTGCTCCACATCGTGCGATGACTCGGAAACAGCTTGGTCTTCTTCCCTCGTCTCTTTCCTCAAAGTTGCTTCAACCAGCTCTTGGAATTCCTCCTGCCATCCCAGTTGCTTCGCTAATTCTTCAGCAGCTAGCTCCGTTGGTCCACTAAAAACGATATCTGACTTTCTCGGATTGGCCTTGAAATCACCAACCTTCTGCAAATTTACCAAGGCTCGTTTTACGGAAGTCGGTATTTCGGTGGGTAGCGAGGCAAACGGGTAAACAGCCAAGGATGTACCTGCAACAATCACAATGTAGTCCTTATTCATAATCTCAAGATCATCGTCCCACGTCGAAAAAAAGTGCGACGGCAGATTCTCGCCAAAAAATACGATTTTAGGTTTAATAAGGCCATTGCACTTTGTACATCGAGCAAGTTTACCGCTGCCGTGTAATATCGCTTTTTTGAAGTGCTCATGTGGATATTCTATACCACAGTCGATGCAATGATTGTGGGCAAAGGATCCATGAGCTTCCACCAAATTTTCAGCATGAATGCCCGCACTTCTCTCCAGAGTATCGATGTTCTGTGTGTAGACTCTATGCAAGCGACCTTTGTCTTGAAACAGACGCATAAGGTGATGGAATTTGGAGGGCTCGTAGTTTCCTGGATATAACTCCTTCGCCAAGGTGTAGAACGGCTGTGGGTCCTGCTTGAAAAAATCGATGTCAAAAACGGCTTCCGCAAAAGGCAGGTTCAGTTTCGCCAAGTTGTCATATAACCCGGTACCTGGAGACCGGAAGTCGGGAATTCCACAAGCTGTTGAGATGCCCGCCCCAACCAAAAAAATCAACTTAGCATTAGGGTTTTCACTGATAAAATTCGCCAGGCTCGCTATCGTTCTGAGCTGATTGCCATTCATCGATAATGTTCCAAAAAAAATACTGTCTCATGGAGAAGAGCTAGACGTGAGCTCTATCTTCTTGAGACGACAATGCATTGCATCTTTGATAAGACTTACTTTATGAGATTTTTAAAAAATAACGACCTCGGTGAGGATTGAACTCACGATCTTGCGATTAACAGTCGCACGCCTTAACCAGCTTGGCCACGAAGTCCTATATGATAAAACAGTGGTCACAAACAATTATGATACCATAGTTCAATGTCAGGAATCTTGAAATAACAAGAAGGTAAGGTGCTACTGCAATTTGACGAGACGACTGAAGTTTCAAATACGGCATGGCAACGAGACAAGAAGCTTGAAGGAGGTTGCTAGATCTCAATGCGATCGAACCCTCGAAGGCTACAACTGAAAATTATAGAAGGCAGGTTGTCACGCTGATGTTCAATATTTTCTGTTATGCGAAAAAGGACAAGTAAAGGACAAGTAAAGAACCATGAGTAGACCTTGATTAAGTTTGAACCGTTGGATGTTTTATTCTGTCTGATAAAATAAAACCTTTTTGTAGAATCTTGATACTCTGGTATTCGATAACCCAATATGCGGATTCTAAATAAAATAGAGGGCAGTGTTAGACTTCTCTACGGTCTGTGTGAAATGGTAAAGGCTGAGACAGAAAGGCTCCGTAGAGTCGTACAATCAAGAATTAAAGGTCTTTTGATTGCTTGAATGGTCTACGACGCGTTCCACTTAAGGTGTAGCGCTGTTTCACAGCGGGCCGAAAAAGAATGGCTGTGAGAAATAAAGACCCATTGAACCTGATTCAAGTCATTTTAATATACTCTTAAAGGCCCTGACTATACAGGAGACCGTGTTACAGAGAAAAGACAATTGCAACGAATCAGAGACGAGTATGCCACAGAAATAGACGGCTTCTGACACAGAAGAGTGCACTCGGTACACTCGGTACCCAAGTGCAGAAAATAGGCCAGGCAACACTGATGTCATATTACTTTATCGAGCATTATCAGAAGAGCGAACCAAGCTCTACTCAAGTAATTACCTATCGAGCATTTGTAATTCAGGGAAGTGTCGAATGACGAAAACCTTAGGTTTTATGGGTAAAATCAGATCGCGTATACTAATCGATCTGGGTTCCCCAACGTCTATTGCACATGTCGATTTCATGAACAATGTACGTTTTAACTCATATCGTGCACCACCACTTTGGTTGAACGGTGTGATATCGAAAAAAATGACACTTAATGAACAAGTTGTAGAGTGACAGTCGTAAATCAAAGCAAACAATTTGAATTTGAAGCATTTGCCACCAAGGACATATCACCAAAGGTAACTATAGGTTAACTAACCTTGTAAGACCAGCTGATGCTTTTTCGGAGTCACCCAACAAGTAAAAGACGATGACGTAGTCGAAATGGGTTTTTCGAAATAGAACGGCTAGGTGGGAAGATGAGAAATTGTACGCGGTTGTAATAAAGAGTTGAGAGAAGGCGAAATTAATTTTAGATTCTAGCGTTTGCCAGAATGGCTGAAACCCAATTATCAGCGAATGATCAGGAACGACTCACCTAAAAAGCGCAATAGGTCGATGCTTACGAATCAAGATCAGCCCGCATGCATTGGAATAACCGTACACTCTCAAAACCGACGGCCAAGAATCACTTATAGACGGTGGCCCAGCCGCCCATGTGAATGTCATCTGAATCGCTGCACAGATCAAGCAAATCAAGCAGATCAAAAAAAGCATTTTCGAATCAGAACTCACCTTAGCATGTCAAGCTCGATATGATACAATTTATTGCTGAGTTCTACTTTCATTGTGAATTGGGTATCCAGAGTTGTGGTATAACGTCAGACTTAAATATTGCGGCGATTGAGTAGGTGTGCAAAAGAAGCATAACTTACTTTTGATATTCTCTGAGCTGGTCTACAAATCGTTTTGGTTTCGCTATAGGTCAGCCCTATTGCTCATTCTTTGGGATGGCGGGTACAATAAGCTCGTCATGAGTCGCTGGACAATTTTTACAGTTTTCCTAAACCGTTTACAGAAGTAGTATCGTCGAAGGTGGAGAGCCCAAAGAGTCTTCAATGCATTTTTGCATTTCTGCTTGAACAAATTGTCTTTTTCTATAACTAGACACAGATTATCTTAAGTTGCAGTCAGAAATTTGCGAATAGCAAGAGTTCTTCGATGTTCGATCTATAAGATTCGAAATTCATTAATTAAATATAAGTTGCAAGAACTTGACCATCAAACGACTCTTTTAACTCTTTTCCAACAAGGCTAGCTCCAATTGATGTCAGCATGAAACAGAGAATAAGTTCTTTGGATATCGAGCTTTTGTATAGAGAACTCAAGCCAAAACTGGAAGGGTACAGACTGTCCAACATTTATAATGTCTCAGATTCAAGTCGTCAGTTTCTACTCAAGTTTAATAAACCAGATTCTAAACTCAATGTAATAGTCGATTGTGGCTTAAGGATCCATCTCACGGAATATAATAGGCCGGTTCCACCCGCACCATCAAGTTTCGTGGTCAAAATGCGGAAACACCTAAAATCCAAACGTTTGACAACAGTTAAAAGAGTGGCTAACGACAGAATTCTCGTGCTTTCGTTTGCCGATGGTCAGTTTTTCTTGGTGCTGGAGTTTTTCAGCGCCGGGAATGTAATTCTGCTGGACTCTCAGCGGACGATCATCGCTTTGCAACGAGTTGTTCATGAACACGAAAACAAAGTGGGACAGACTTACGATTTGTTTGACGAAACCTTTCTGAATAATACAACGATCGAAACGCCGGCCTCAAAATCCTATACTTCCGAAGAAGTGGCAAAGTGGCTCCAAAATGCAAAAGATTTGGCTCAAAGTACGGTTAAATCTCGCAAATCTGAAAAAGTGTCAAAAGTGCCGTCTATTCACAAGCTACTTTTTCTTCGCGAACCTCACTTGTCTTCTGATCTTATCTCTAGAAACCTCAAGTCGCGGGATGTCAATCCCAATGCATCGTGCTTGGAATTCGAGGATCGTGTGAGCTTAATAGTCGATCTTCTTAATGCTACTGAGATTGAAGTTTCAAGTATTCTAGACTCAGGTTGCTCTACAGGGTTCATCGTCTCCAAGAAAAATCCTCTTTACAATTCCGAAAAAGAAGATCCTAATACAGAGTTCGTCTACGAGCAGTTTCACCCTTTCACCCCATTTTTAGACGGCAGTGTTAACAGGGAAGTTAAGATAGTGGAGATCGGTGGGTCTTACAACCACACAGTTGATGAGTTTTTCTCTACTATCGAATCATCTAAATATGCTCTGCGCATTCAGAACCAAGAATATCAAGCAAAGCAAAGACTACAGGATGCAAAAAATGATAACGACAAAAGAATCCAAGCTCTAGTAGATGTTCAAGCAAAGAATGAATTAAGGGGGCATACTATCATTGCAAATGCAGACCTAGTCGAGGAAGCTCAGAATGCTGTGAAGACTCTTGTTGAACAACAAATGGACTGGAAAACAATCGAAATGTTAATATCCAACGAGCAGAAAAAGGGTAATGGCATCGCTAAGATTATCAAGCTACCATTAGATCTAGAGAACAACAAGATTGGGCTCAACCTTACGATCGAAAGTCAGACAGGTGCTGAAACTTCTGATGATAACAGCAATACCTCTTCTTCGGATTCAGAGTCTTCAGGTGACTCGGAAAGCGACAGTTCGTTGTCCAATTTTGAGGCAGATGAAGATGAAAATGACAGTGGGACATCGTCCAACCTTGCTAGTGTGAAGAAGTCTTCTAGTCGAGGCAGCAAACCTAAATCGACTATAGACGTAAGTGTCGATCTTTCGCTCTCGGCTTATGCTAATGCATCAAACTACTTTGACATCAAGAAGTCAACACTAGAAAAGCAGAAAAAAGTGGAGCAAAATGCTAACAAAGCTTTAAAAAATATTGAGCAACGGATTGAACGCGATCTAAAGAAAAAGCTCAAAGAAACGCATGATGTACTGAACAGAACTAGATCACCTTATTTCTTCGAGAAATACAATTGGTTCATTTCTAGCGAGGGGTTTTTGGTTTTAATGGGCAAAAGTGGACCGGAATCTGACCAGATTTTCAGTAGATATATTCAAGACAATGATGTGCTTGTTTCAAACAGCTTTGACATCACTGTGTGGATAAAGAACCCCGATGAGACAGAAATTCCACCAAATACCCTGATGCAAGCAGGAATTATGTGTATGTCAGCATCTCCTGCCTGGTCCAAAAAAATCCAGTCTTCTGCCTGGTGGTGTTTTGCCAAAAACCTGAGCAAATTTGACAGCTATGGCGGAGAAGTTTTACCACCTGGAATTTTTCAATTGAAAAATGAGAAGCAGAAATCGTTCCTTCCTCCTTCGCCATTGGTCATGGGTTTCGCATTCTTGTGGAAGACTAATTTAACTGAGTCTGAAGGTGGAGAGCTTGGAGATCTGCACGATGCTCTGCAAGATGAGGACGATAATGGACAGAATGTGTCAGATGGTGAGGAAGACGAAGACGCTGTGGAAGTTGAGACAACTAACACTGATGATGCTACTGACAGAGTCAAAGCTGGGCTAGGACAGCTGAACTTGGGCAGCCCCATCGGCGAGAAATTGCGTGTTGAGCCCGGAGCGTGGACTGCCGACCAAGACAGCGAGCTCGGAAAGAAGTCATCCGAAAGTATGGTACTCGGAAAACAGGCAGCCGGTGAGGAAAGAAGGGTCGGGGCACACTCATCCGCGACTGATGATGACGGAACACAGACTTCCGCTCGGACAGCATTTACCGGAGCAGACTCTTCCGTCAGTAACAAACCCGATTCACAGCTTACCGCTGCAATTTCCGAAGTCTCGGAACCTTTGATCAATGTACCCGCCAGAAAGGTCAGAGGGAAGAAAGGTAAGATCAAAAAGATGATGAGGAAATATGCCGATCAGGATGAAGAGGAGAAAAAAATGAGGCTCGAAGTTTTAGGTACACTCAAAGGAGCTGAAAAACAGAGAAGCAAGGAGGAAGAAGAAAGGTTGAAGCAGCAAGAAAGAGAGTATAAGAAGGCAAGACGTGAAAGACAGAAAGAACAACAATCACTCAAGTTCGATCCCAAAGAGAAAGTGAACGTAAATTATCATAAAATTTTGAATGAGTTAAGTCCTGTGCCAGCAAATGATAGCGTAAAAGAAGTGATTCCGGTGTTTGCTCCTTGGACCGCTTTGAACAAATACAAATACAAGGTTAAGATTCAACCTGGTAACGCTAAAAAGACGAAAACTTTGCATGAGATTCTCCACCACTTTTTGAGCAGAAAAGTTGACGAAGAGAGTGTCGACAAGGAAGTAGACTGGCCTATTGAACATGAACATATCAAGGCCTTGAAAGATCTGGAGCTCGTACCTCTCATTTACACAGACAAATTGAAGGCAACCATACCCGGGCAGAACGATGCGAAAGGCAAACCTAAAGGAGGTGCTAAGGGGAAGGGCAGGAAGGCTGGCAAATAATCTCTACGAACAATAGTTGCATGTACTATCTTATAAACACGATAAACACAGTGAACGCTCAGGACATCTATTCGTTTATTTCAGGGGACTGGTAAACCTGAACTGTGTATGTAAGTGTGCAATAAAGAATCTTTATCACGAACTTGCAAGAGCCGCTTTACAAACCTTGCTGCAACCTTTCGGCGAGTTTGTTTTTAGCAAAACCCCAAGCGCTGAGCAGACCTTTTTCACTCAATTCGATGTTGATAGGAACGTCCTTTGAAGGCGGTTTCGTGACTCGAGACGCAATGGTGGCCGGATCTGTTTCTAAGATGACACCATCGTCGATAGTTTCGTCAATCACCAGCGCTGCCATATCATAGTGCTCTAGTATATTTTTCCTGTCAATTCCAGTGGCTAAAACGAGCTCTAGTGAGTCTCTAAGTGCAGCCAACGCCTGTTGGAGAACCAGCTCATTTTCGTCGGCAGATCCTACCAGATACAAAGATACGTCCACGTATTCCTTGTACAGCACCAAACTATCCTCGAAAAAAAGAATGTCCGCGTTTTGCTTGTGTGTTTTCTTGAAAAGCCTGCTTTCAAAATCCAGCTGCTGCTTAACAGACTTGTGCTGTTGCGATGCTTGTTCTGGGTCCTCGTGCGGACCATGATAGTATTTTGCATATATGCGTTTGCCCTCACCATCTAAAATCAGAAGTGCTTCCACTGAATACAAAGATAAATCGGCCATCTTTCTCAACGCGATTGATATCTTTATAACGCTCTGAATAGCCTGCCTTGCTGTTTATCCTATATTTCAGATGGTTACTGGAGCTGATTCAAAAATGTCAAAATTAACAAATGTTTCGTATATAATTATGGACGATTGAAAATTGGAAATATATCAAGGAATCAAGATGTTGAAAGCATAAGTGAGTTTGGTCTATGAAGATATAAGGGTTTTGGTATAACGGCATTCAGCGCTGTTCGAGACTAGAGATAGTTGCCAGGTGGCAGAAACCAAATTGCATGATTTGCAAAAAGACTGAAGCCGGATATTAATCATGACGACATCTAACAAAGAATTCTTTTTCAGCGTTTTACGCATATCAATGCTGCAGTTACTTAAGAGTCAGGGTTTTGACAAGGCTCCCCCAACGATTGTAAACGCTTTCACGGACTTGTATGTGCGTTTTTTGCAGCTCTTGACCCTCGAAGTAATGAAGCTGTCGCAGAGCAGAATGGACGAATATGAAGATATTGCCCTACAGGATCTGTCCCAGGCCTTAGTGAATGTAGGACTACTGAAGCCAATGAATGTGCTTGATGTTTATGATGAAAATCCTGAACTGCTGAGCGATCTCGGAATGCAAAGATTCAAAAATTGGTGTCTTCATAGCGCTATGCCCAGTGAAGCCCGTGCCGTGGCAACTCCTACGCCAGACTTGCTACGTCCCAGAGAAGGCACTTCAAAGCCATTATCGATGATCCCAGAGTACATCAACCAACTGGACAAAACTACCCGTAAAAGTCAGCCTGCAAACGATCTTCGAAAAGAGGAACTTGTAGAACAAATGATGAAAAGCGGAGATTTGGATAATTGGATCCACTTTTTGATTCGCGACCAACAACTACAAATAGCCAAGAAGATCTCAGCTAAAGAAGTGAAAGATGTTAAAGCCCTGCCGTCTATACCCGGTCTCAAGTTCTCCACATTAGTTCCCAACCCTGTCCAGGATAGTAACGAGATCGTACCCTCGCAACCTCAGGGTGATGATACAGACGATAAATCAGTGAAGGAAAAAGCGTTGCTTTCAAAAATGATCGCAAATCAACAGGATACCAGGCTGGAGAACATACGGTTGTCGTTTGATGATGAAACACTATCAGGCTGTGAGGGCGACGTTGATATCAGCGACGTTGGCTTCGTTGATGAAGAAGTAAACCAAGATATTGATAGTTTCGAAAGACTGGAGTTACAAATGCCTTTGGATATTCATACAAATTCCAATGCTCAACTTGAAGAAACGGGCAACTCCGCTGACACTTTTCCACGGAAAGACTACATGGATCTTGACGACGTTTTCGACAATCATGAGTTTGATTTTAATAACTACTAAATTTCCAGAGCCTAAAAAGTTATCCCGAAAGGTGCTAGTGGTGGACTAAAACAGAATGCCGGTCATTATTTCAGCCAACGCTTCACGCTTTACAAATGATTTTGTAGTTTTCCGCTTTTCAACTCGAATTGAGTGTAAACCAATCAGCATTCAATCTTTACAGCTTGTATACATATTTAAGTGGCGTCTCTTAGAGCTTTCTCTTGGACTTGAACTTTGGACCACCTCTCTTCTTAGCTACCTTTTTGTTTTTGGGGTCAAAACCGCGGCTTGGCCGGTCGCGACTCTCATCGTCACTCAAATCGCCACCGCCTGCTGCACTTCCCTTCTTGAATTTAAGCTTGTTCTTTTGGCCACGTACAGGACCTTGTTGGACAGCTTCTAAGTAGGCATTAATGCCACTGGTAGCGCCGCCCAAAATATCCTCATCACCTCTTCCACTCTCATTATTTTGAACAGTGAGCTTTCCGTCTGCATCGAAGCTAAACATGTCATCACCAGCCCCCTTACTCTTGGCTTTCCCGTTAAATTTCTTCGGCCTCGTTGATGAAATGTGAGCTAGGGTTTGTGAATCCAACAAGTCGAGAGGATTCTCTTTGGACTCCACAATGAAGCGATTGGATTGACCCTTCTTTCCTGAGGACTGTTCGCCATCACTAGCTTCATCATTGGAAGATTCGTAAATAGCCTCATCCAAGGCGGACATGAAACGTGAACCTTTGCTGCTGGGCTCTGCCAATTGAGGAACATTGCTGTGATCTTCCGCTGCTTTCCTTTTTGATCTGTCCCTACTTTTTCTGATGTTAACAAGTAGCTTCTTATCCTCGTCGGGGAAGTGTTGGTCCATATAATCGTATCCATACTTTCTGATGAGCCTCTCAATGATATGCTTCACTTTGGCCTTGAAATGGCCAGTATGCTCATGGGACCAGCGTAAAAGCTTTGGAAGAAGAGAAGGTATCTTAGACCTCATCAGTTCTCCAGGTAGCGCCAAACAACACACTTTTGCAAAGCCGATGGCACTCTTCACGATTTCACGAGAGTTGGATGTTAGGTATAGTTCAATTGTGTCGTAGATATCCATTAAAATATCGGTCGAAACTTGATCCTTGAATTCAAACACAAGGCACGAATAAGCTGTCACTGTAGCGCTAACCATATGTTGTGATTCTCCAATCAACCCTGCAGAAGTAATCTTGAAAAACTCCGCTACACTCGCTGGTTGGTCAGGAGTGGCTGGGTCGTAACCAGGCAATTTCGAAAGTCGCATCACACAACCTTCTTTACTCATTTTGTTGGCCATTGCTATAAGCGTATCAAAACTCGCTTCTCTTGATTTCTCATTATTTTCTTTGACGGCCAAAATGACTTCAGGCACAACCTGAATCAGAAATTCTGCAGCATTCAAGGGCAAAAGCTCGACTAAGTTCTTGATAGCGCTGAGACGCATTGCCCTGGCGGAAGTGTGGACATTTTTGCTATTTTGAATGACGACGTTCTCGATATCATCAAGGTACTGTAGAATCGCATCGGACCCTTTGGGGGTTTCCGAGAGCTTGTTGATGATTCTGTAAGCACGCTTCTGAGTCAAAGCATCACTAGAACTAACGGTGATGTTGAAAATCGAGAAAAGAGCAGGGTAAGACGACTCTGGCACGAAACTGGCCATAACGATAATTAGGTCCAGAAGTGTTGCACTCATCTTCACAGGTGGCTGACCTGTCTTGGCCTTGGAGGGCTCTTCATCGAAGGCCTTTTTTAACATTGCACAAACGTTGTTGAAAGTCTTCACAAGTTCCTCTGTGGGGGTGATTTTGATCACGGCAGCTATAGTGTCTAAAATATAGCCCCTTGCATTTGCAGCTGTTTGAGTGTAAACATTGAATAACACGGCCAATAGGTTTGAAGCTTTCGTCCCTAGGTACTCTACGGTTTTTTCAGCTTCACTGATGGGGTATTGCTGTTGGACCAGTCTAGTTGGTTCTTGCAGGCCAGATGCGTAGTCATAATTGCTTTGCACCAAATTTTTGAAAGAATGACATATTACAGGCCTCAGCTCCACTTTACCATACAGGAGCGAAGAGATCTCTGAGGCGAACTCATCCGTGAATGAAGCTCTAACATCAACTGGAAGATCACAGAAACTGGGCAATGTCGACCACAGCTGAGTGATGACAGTCTCGAAGACTTTTCCTTGGAGAGATTCTGCAGGCAGATCCTTGGCTCTGTTTTCGAAAACTGTAATTAGAGGCATGAGCTCTTTAACGAAAAAAGAAAGATGGCTGTTTCTTGTGTGATCTCTAATTAATGGAAGAAGCCAAGCCCGTCCAGGATTATCATCGGTCGCTTTGACCAGGTTCAACGGAAGAGAGCCCAAGACCACATCAGGGCCCACACTACCAATGGCAACGCCTATGGCGGTTTCAATCTCGGACCGCAGTTCTAAGAAGCTATCTTCGCTGGACCTCCAACCTCCAACAATCTCGATTGGCGCCAAAAAATCGGGATTGCATCTCGATCCAAGCTTTTTGAGACCTGCCGTTAAAACGCCAAGAAGTTCACGCGCACAGTGTGCGTACTTTATAGACAGAAAGTCGACAAACATGTCAGAAAGAAACGATATGGTTTCATCGACCTTCTCATAGACGCTTTCGTCAACAAGTGGAGGCAGAAGAAGAATCTCCTCTGAAATAGCCTGTGTTAGAACGCTTTCAATGCATCGGCATGCACCTTGATAGACATCAGAAATTTCACTAGAGAGATAATGAGATATGATTTTGAAAACCTCAGGTAAGCTTTCTAAAGTTTCCACCGGTTTGTGGGAGCCAAAAACGGCCATTCCCTTTGACACAACAGCCATCCAGGCTGCTGCCAAATGAGTGTCTGTATTCGAAGGCTTCAAAGATAGAATCACTTTCAGTACCCTTATGAAATTATCCTCAGCGAGTCCTGAGCTCTCGGCAGACTCGCCAATAGCTTCGAATAATGCCTCGAAACATTGCAAAGCGCTGGAAACCAGGAACTGGTCGGCGGAACGGGAGACCTCAAGGAGAAGGTCGCATAGAACGTCAAACCTGGATACAGGCCATTGTTTGCTCAAAATAATAGCTTTTAAGAGCTTCAGGACATGAATGGATTTGGAATTTATCTCACTGACACCACCTTGGGCACGAATTTTTTTATTTGACGCACTTGAAGCTTCCTTTACTGCGGCAGCAAGAGCGTTGATCGTAAACTCTGCTACCATAGGAGCGGCAACATGCTCAGCAGAAGGCGATGCAGGAGGGTTGGCCATAATGTTGCTAACGGCATCCTGAGCTCTCTTGCGGACCTTAGGTCTGGGATCCAATGAGAGTTCCAAAAGACCGCTGAGACCTCTACTTGGTGCAATGGCAAGGTTTTGAGTATTGTTCCATGCCTGTGAATCCTGGGCAACTAGCAGCGACTCCAAACAGCCAACAGCAGGTCTTATCAGCGGCGCACCAGCATTCTCGTCTGTTATGCAGGGTGCGATTTGGGTTAAAATTTCTGCAAACTTGGAGCTGAGAAGTTTTCTAGGCACATATCTGAACATTATGTCCAGCAAATAAGTGGCTGATGTGGCTATTTGTGCTTCGCGAATCTCATGCGTTTCGGGGTCGACTGCCTGAGACAAAATAGCCAAAAGCGATATTGAATAGTTGACAACATTTTTCATGGCAGGCTGATCACCTTTGCTATCCGCCATGTTTTCTTCTACAGCGGAAAGAATGATCGCCACATGTTTCTGATTTTCCAACTTTGAATGTATCTGATCTCTAATATGGGCCAGTTTATCCTCTAGCTCGAGCGAACGAGCTACCTCATCTTGGTCCATTCTGATGCAAAGATATCTCAGTAACGAGTCTTTTGTCAAAAGATTCCTTTCTCTTGAGAGGTACTTGAAGTTAGAATTCAGATTCGATGAGATGAGATGAGATGAGATGAGATGAGATGAGATGCGATTAATCTTACACTACTAAAATTTTTCAGGTCGTTCGAAATTATTTGACGAAAACATGAAGAATTTTAGAATAGTAAAGTTCAATGAAACTCTCAGAACGACGTTGGAAACCGGACCTTTGAGCCGTGCAAAGCTGTTCAAAAAATGTCCAAGGGTCTAGTGAGGATACGTTTGGCCAGGTTTGGGCGGAAACATGCTCCGCAGTACAATATAGTCGTTGCAAATTCGCATAAGGCCCGGGACAAGACACCGATCGAGGTTTTGGGAACGTATAACCCTATTCCACAGCCTTTAACAAAGCGAGAAATCAAGAATGGCGCCATTGCAACAAAAGATGTGAAGCTCGATATGTCTAGAACGAAATATTGGATCGGTGTGGGGGCACAACCGAGCGAAACAGCGGCAAAATTGCTAGTGAAATGTGGTTTATTGGGCACCGAATGGGTCAAGTGTCGCTCTGCTGACCAACAGGTAGTGCTTCCGAAAAGAGAAGTTTACGAATGAAGTGTGATTTTAGGTAGCACGCTGTCTTCATGCAACAGCTCATGTATATAACAAGATCGATAGCTTCGATCGCGACGACAGAACTCATGATTTAAGCCCTAATATATGCTTTTCGGCTAGCACTTTGCTGCCAGTACTATAAGGTGCGCCGTTGACACACGATGGTGGGAGACTAGGTATGTTGACTTTACGTATTGTCCTTATTTCGGGTAATTTGGGTATATGATAATGATTAGCGCTTTCTTGCTTTTTAAGAATTACAACTCAACAGTGGACTCAGTCCCTGTGATCCTCAAAAAAAATGTCCGTATCAAAAAATCCAGTTCTTCAAAAAACGCCATTTTTCTTGTTCCATTAACCGCAAGCGTTATTGAGCAGTTTCATATCTCGAAAGCCGCAGATTCGTTACTCTTCTCTCTGGACACAATGGGCCTTTGGCAATCTGGTAAGAAAGAGCTAGTTGGCGTCAAAGCATAGTACCCATTGCTGCCAGATCTTGATCTCGCAAAAGAGGGCTCCATTATAGATGATGCAGGCTGTAGCTGTTGAAAAGGAAGAATGTGATTGGAGCCACTCCGGCTTCGTCCAGCGGCACTTATAAAGCTGTCGTTTCTGGACCGTTGTAACGTCTTCGGTATCGAGGGTCTGGGTTCTCCTAGTGGCATGGAGGGTGGCTGCAGTTGATTGCTGCCGTAATTGGATACCTGGAATGGTGCTGAAAGTGGCTGCTGAGGGGGAACTTCGGAGTGTACGTTAAAGTAATCCGAAGACATTGGCGGTGTTAAGTCGGAAGAATTGAAGACAGGCATGGGCGGTAACGATACCATGGAGCTATTACGCGACAAATATCCATCCTGGCGTACTTCCTGCTGAAGTCTCTGTTTAATGGCACTTATAAGAATGGCATTTTTCTCACGACCATAGTCAACACCATTTTCCTCAGCTCTCGACACAGCCAATTTGGCGGCTCTGTTGAGTATTCCCGGAGGCGGATTGTTGATGTCGAAAGGAGTGGCGGTTGGATCGGAACATATATCTTGATACACGTCCATGAGAAGACGGACGAACTGTGGAGAGAATGAGGTTGATACTGATGGCCTAACAGAGCCTGGTAGGTCGGATATTGAACTCGCAAATGATGCGACACTGTCTTGACGTTTTTGGCTCATGTACATGTACGGCATAATAGGTTGAGCCGATGGAGTGCTGACGGGAGTAGAAACACCGTTCTGACACCCGAAGCGCAAATTGCACAGCTGGGTGTTTATGCGGAGCTCCTGGGGTCCCAAAGCGGGGGCGTTTTCTTGCACTGGATTTTCGTCAACACACATAAGATCCTGGCTGTCCTGCTCAACGGTGGTGTCCCGTGTAGCGGGGGACCGGTTGGAGTGTTTGGAAAACCTCGAGCCATGAAGTTTGTTGTGGAATTTTTCCAAAAGCATACTGTTCGAGTTCGTATAAGGGATGGCCAGATTTGCGGTACGGCTATTTATGGGACGGCACGACTATCCGGTGTGTTGGTGATGTGCTAATATGCCTCTTGGGTCGAGTTTGAGCTGGGTCTGGATTGAATTGTCTTTTCGACGGTTCAAATAATGTAACTCCTATTTTTGAGCCCGCTTTAAACGTTTTTCACTAAATTGCGCGAATAATGTAAGATTTATGCAGCACACTTCAACAAAGAAGATGTGGTCGGGGGATGATTTAAAGGTCTGGGCTTTGATGATTGTCCTAGATGTCCTAAATGTCTTTGAGTTTGTAAGCAGTCGAGAATCTCGTTTCGTTCTATCGACCGCGTAAGAATGTCTGCTGTGATATAAAACCACGCGTTAATAATAATATATCCGTTGAAAAACTTGTTTTTTCCCAAACAACGCGTTCCAGTGAAATGTTCCTTCCGCTATAGAACACCAATCTCTTTGTCAAAGTTGACTACAGCGCTCTTGCTGCCAGTGTGTGACGTTCCGAATCTTGTTTCTATGAGTTCTGGGTTTGTTCAGTTCCTTCCAACGCCATTTCTGCCAATATCAAGCTTAAATAGAACATTGGAACGGTGAAAGATGGAAAAGGCAATGCCGCGTGACGGGCTGGGTAACCGTCCATCTTGGCTTTACGCGTTTCAGTTTAATTACGAAACCCAAACGCGTAAAATTTGGAAAAATTAAAAGCAATAGCTTGCATATGCAGGGAACAACCGTGCGTCAGTTCTCGACGTACATGTGCATGAGAGAACATCGCAGTAAAGGAAACGGAAAAACCTTAGACGAAGAGAGGGAGCAACGACAACCGTCCGATAAAGTAGAGCGACGATCTTCTTTACGTTGTGTCCGGCAAAAACACTGACCGGTGAACGCCATTATTTGTAGTCAATTGCTTCTCGTAGCAGGTCCGTTCCTGGATACAACACTGCGCCACAGAACTTGGCGTGCACACCAGGTTGAGTGGGCTTTTGTTCCGAGCATGGCATTGGCCGGAACAGGTTCAGCTATTCCAGCTAGTAAATAAGCAAACGGAAATATCAGCACGTAGACAAAAGCCGGAGAAACAAGACTAGCGTTCAATGACAACATCAAGACGTAGAAGGGTGTAAGAAACCCACACATAACTCCGCCGCGAGCTTGTATCCATACGCTAAACTCCGTCGGTGAGAAACGCGCCTGCTGCAGATAGGGCACAAGCAAAACTTTCGAGAGGCACGTGATGTGGCAGATTTGAGTTATCATTGCAATGCTGGTCGGTAAGCTCATAAACGTAGCCAGGGCTAGACCAATGACCACTGCCGTCAATGGGTCAAGTGCGGTAGCCAATTGTGTATACCATAGTGCAGTCAATATTGATGATTTTGCGCGTCCAAACTGGGGAACGGCGATGCCTGTTGTAGAACCGTTTTCCACATCGGCCATCAACAAAGCCATTACCAGAAGAATCACTGTATGCCATGCAATGGATTCAGGTGGAATAAGCGCTGACATGACAGTTCTCACGGTGATCTGCGGCTTGGGTCGAGATGAACACGATTTGTCTGCAGATTCGATAGTCTCATTTGAGGCGCGGGAAAAAGTCGCCCAAAAAGAGTCGTCAAAGCGTGAGTAGCCATATCTCAGGAGCAAGTAGCTTGAAAACCAACTGTTCAAAGCGTAGAGCATGTATTTGAACAGAAAAAGTGGTCGTGCCATCCTGTCGATGGGCTCCATCGCAGTGCACCATAAGAGCGCCACAACTGCCCATCCGAGAACTTCCTTAGGATATAACCTGCACTGCTCCGCTATAATCGTAGCTAGATCAGGCGCACTGGCGACAGCTATGTTGAAGCCTGTCTGAAAAGCTTGTGTAGAGTATCCAGGATGTGCCTTCGACACGAAAATTGGTGAGGCCATTGGATTCAAACGACAAGCGAAAAGAGCGGCGTCCGATAAATCAAACAGGATATGTGTAGCTTTCTGCCAATAAATCAAAAGTTTGAATTGTCCAGGAGTAGTTTAACACAGTATAGGATATGCCCTGGTGGCTATCGCATTGGTTTTCGAAATACCTTGGATCAAACTGAGGAAGCGCTTATTTTCCGCAGTAATTATACGAAAAATTGATCAGATTTCTACAGGTCTCGAGAACCGCATGAAGTAGCAAAGGCTAACATCTATGGCCTCCAATGAGAAGTTCAATCATCCATTTCAGCCGTATGAGATTCAAATACAGCTCATGAGTCAAGTCTACAGACTGCTCGAAAGTCACAAGAAAATAGGTATATTTGAAAGTCCCACAGGTACAGGTAAAACACTATCGCTGATATGCCCCACAGTCACTTGGCTTAGGAATCACAAGGCAGAGTTTCTGAATAAAAGCAGCAATGAGGTTCTTTCTACGAATGAAGAAGGTTTAGCCGTAAAGCAAGGTGACGACGAGGAGGATAGCGATGACGAGCCTGCTTGGGTGAAAGAAGCGTTTTCTGAGTCGGTACTTAAGGAAAAACTAAGGGCATTGAAAGAATACGAGGAACACTTGAACTCCAAGCGTTTTCCCACAAATGTGGCTAGCGCGCTTTCTGCTGAGGGGGGAAATTGTCCTGCTTCTAAAAAAGCTCGCGTGGTACCCCATATCCCGGTAGTTTTTGAGGAGAATAAGTTTCTGCCCGACGATGACCCCTCATTGGCATCGCTCGATTGCGAAGAATCGGCAGATAACAAGACAAAGCTTGATGCGGAAGTAAAGGCTTTGCTGGGCAAAGTTGAGGGTTCGCAGCTGGAAGAGAAGCCGTCAGGCTCGAATCTTGCCTCACCAGTCAAGATTTTTTTCGCCTCAAGAACTCATTCGCAGCTATCTCAATTCGCATCACAACTGAGGCTTCCTAGTTTCCCTTCATCTATTGAATCTTTGGAAAAAGAGCGGATCAAGCTTGTACCGCTCGGGTCCCGTAAGCAGCTTTGCATCAACGCCAAAGTGTCGAAGTCCCCAAGCCATACGATAAACGATAGCTGCATGGACGCAATAAGCAAGAAAGAATGCGAGCCTTACACTAGGGCTAAGGAGCTTGAAAACGCAAGGATGTTCAGAGACTACGCGTTTCAGGCAGTCCACGACATCGAAGACATCGCAGCGATAGGTCGAGCCACCAACATATGTCCCTACTACGTTTCTCGTGAATTTATGAATGATGGAGTGGAAATCGTCACACTGCCTTATCAGCATTTGCTTATGGACAGTACTCGCAATGCCCTAGGTATTGATTTGAAGGACTCTATTGTTATCATCGATGAGGCGCACAACATCATAGATACTATTAACACCATCAACTCAGCGGAAGTCACTCAAGAGGATCTCCTCAATTGTAAAATGGGGATCAACTCCTACATGCGTAAGTTTCAGAAACGTCTGAATCCAGAAAATCGGGTCAACTTGAGACGACTTTTGACGTTAGTCGCCCTGCTAATTGCATTCATCGAAAAAAATCATAAGAATGGTCGCACATTTGAGGGCTTCGACATATTCGCCGGTACCAACGCTGACACTTTAAATATTCACAACCTTGAACGCTATATGAAAAGAACCAAGATTGCCTACAAAATCGACAGTTTCATCGAATACGATCAACAAGGCGAAGAAACTGACCTTAAAAAGAGTCGAGAGCCTGTCCTCTTCAAGGTTGCCGCATTTTTGAAGACGTTGACTAATCCTTCTGCAGAGGGTCAGTTTTTTTTCGACAGAGATCACAGCGTGAAGTATATGCTTCTGGAGCCGAGTTTCAGTTTTAAGAGCATAGTTCAACAGTCCAAATGCGTCCTATTAGCAGGCGGTACCATGGAACCTGTGTCTGACTTCAAAACAAACCTACTTCCATTCGTAGACGAGAGCCAGATCACGACTTTTTCTTGCGGCCATGTAATCCCAGATGATAATATGAACACTTTCGTGGTTGGGAACGAGTTTGAATTCACATTCGCTAAGCGTGAAGACCCGAAACTGCTGACAGACCTCCACAGCTTTTTAATGAGATTGATCACCATTATACCCGATGGGCTAGTCGTTTTCATGCCCAGCTACAAATTCCTTCAAACCGTCCTTGGATTTTGGAAGACACGACTCAACATAACAGATAGCCTAGGGGCCAAGAAAATTTTCTTCGAGGAAGCATCCAATCCCGATGTCTTCTCTCAATACTCTGATCAGATAAGGTCAAAAAGTGAAGGTGCGATTTTGTTTGCAGTAGTGGGAGGGCGTTTATCAGAGGGAATCAATTTTCAAGACGAACTGGCCCGTGCGGTAATAATGGTTGGATTGCCCTTTCCTAACATGTTCAGTGGTGAGCTAATAATCAGAAGAAAGCATTTAGAACAGAAAGTGATTCGTAATGGTGGCAACAGTAGAGATGCGAATCTTGCTGCTCGCGAATTTTACGAAAATATATGCATGAAAGCCGTCAATCAAAGCATAGGAAGAGCGATTAGACATGCAAATGATTATGCCAATATTTATCTGCTCGACAAAAGGTATGAGTCGCCGCGCATTCTGAAAAAACTGTCCACCTGGGTAAGGGAAAGAATTTCGAGCACTAGTAACCCGGATGAGATTTTCAGGCTGAGCGCAAGTTGGTATAAATCGAAAGAAGACCAAGGGTAGTCGTTCGTCAGGTGGTATTAAGCTCGGCATTGATATAAGTCTTTAGCGGCTAGATCATTTTTGTCCCCGAATAAATACTTTGATTATTGAACAATTCCAGAATTGTTCTTGTCAGAAAACCATAGTCATTCACGCTATCCTCCTTCACGTCAATTATGCGGAACTTACTGACTGGGCAGATTTTCACTTTTGGGGTAAGTAGTGGCAAAAATGTAGCCGCGCAGCGTCTCCACATATGACCATCTTCTGAGTATACAACGTCTGTTTTTGGGCTTTGTTGAGATGTGAACGATTCTTCGATCAACTCGCTTTTCATAATAAATTTGTCTATTCTTACCGGGCTCTCGAGTCCGAGTATCTGCGCTACCGCTTGAATGCACGCCTTATCCAGTTCGTTCGTGATCTCTGCTGAATGAGCTGTTGCAAATTCATATACAGCTTTTTTGTAAAGGATATTATCCTTCAAATCACTGATGTAATTTGAAAACTGGACAGCACTCATATCTTCACTGTGGATTAGCCTTTGTAGATATGTTTTGAAGTCACCGTCAGTGTTAAGCACAAAGTTTCGCACATCTCTAGAATTCGTCGGTGGCAGTTGTCGACCATAAATTTGGTACGTTTGAAACCAAGCTAATCCAGTAGCCGGTGCCTTGATCTGCCAAGTGTCACTCAGTGGTAAAAACGATATCCTGTAAACCTGCTCAGAGACAATTCTGTACCTGAGAGATAAACGATCTATACTGTACAATAGTGCCAGAGAGGCCCCATCGACTGATACTGATAAACCATGAATTGACAAGCTTGTTTCATATTCATTTAACTCGTTGAAATAAGAGTTCCATTTTTTGAATTTGATCTCCAGATGCGGTGCCACCAATTTGTCTTCCGAAATGTTCATTCCCGTATCTAAATCTAAGAGGCAGCTCGTTTTCGAGGAGAGCAGGATAGCTGCATTACGCCCGGTGATGGGGACGATGTAGAGCTTATCGCAGCCACTCCAGCTTATGGATTCAGTCTTTTCTTGACGTATATCATATTTGAAAACGCAGCCCATACGGGCGACAACGACATTATCGAATATTTCGCAAAAATCAAACACGGTAAATCTGGAGGGCTCGGTGAGTTGAACAAATGAAGAGTCCTCCTTAACTAGAAAAACTGAATTGTCGCTCAGTGCAATCAATCGCTTCTGTCCTGACCATTTTATTTTCGTAACCCACACTGATGAATCTTCCATAAACTTGATCGTGGAATGGTGCTCACACTCTAGCTCAAGTGCTCCATCCGTAATTTTAAAAGTGATGACTTCCCCGCATTCATTACCAACGGTGATCAGCGTTCCGTCAGGACTCCACGCCAACGAGTGGTAAGTACGGTTCTTGAGCTCTCTATCAGGCTCGTCCAGTTCGAAAAGCAGTCTATCATCTTCAAAGATACATGCGTTTCCATTATTTGTCAATACGGCTAGCAGGTTTGTTATAGGAGAGACCTCGCATCGTTTTACAAAACTATCCGGAACCGAATTCAACATCGTGTTGTCCTGAGCGAGCATGAACTCTAATTTGTTTTTTAAAAGGAGTGGATATTCCTTGACATGGAAAAGACCTTTGCTGCTGTCGTGATTCGATTCCTCGTACACAGGCTGGCATACTGTAACGTCCGGAACGGTTGTAATATATAGCGTCCCGTCAGGTGCCCATGATAAATTATCCGTCCAGTCTTGCAATTCCTTTCTCGAGACCTTAAGGTCTCGTATCAGCTTCATCAGTCTGATTCCTTAAATGGGCTACATAGTTGCCAGACCTGCGTTACACAGCTTCCCAGTGTTTTCAGTAATTAATAGACAAGTTCAGGTAAACATCATGTGACACCATCAGGGACGGCCAAGAACAAGGCTAGTCGTCAATAGTGGAGGGCCAACGACATGAGCGCGACGTCAGCAACATCCGAAACACCCTATTCGGAGTAGAGTTCCACTACTTTCAGTGTCAGCAAAATGATTGAGTGTAGAGTTGGAAGTAGGAGCACTGACGTTATCTTAAAGGAATGCGATTCACGGGCTTGCATCTTCATTCCCAAATGAGAGTCTTGCAGAAAAATGTTGCATCAGACTCAAATAATTATTATCTGCTTCCACATCCTAACTTTTCATGCAGTGGTGTCCAGGGACATACTTTGCAGTTTATTACCTAAATCATTCAATCATCTCTTACCATTGACAGTTGACATATGCCCCAATTGACATTGAAAGACAGTGAACAGCATGCACTAAGACCGTATCCGCACTCGACCTGTGCCTTGTTGTTATATAAACTATTTAACGCGCTCATCGTGATGTGGTCGTGACGTTAATATAACGGAACCCTTCAAAAATAAGGTAAACTAAATTACGAAGTGATATATAGTTTCGGTCCCATCGAAGAACAATCAAAGATCCTCAAGCTGATGAGGTTACCACTATTCACGTTTGCAGTGGCCTTTGGAAATTTATTAGGTAAATGTTGTGCAAATGTGCCCGATGGTGAAGATCCCGCACAATGCTCCATCTATGGAAATTGTGGCAAGAAAAGTGTGTTCGGAGCAGAAATGCCGTGCCCTGTATCCAAACACTTCAAACCAGAGCCCCTCACAGCAGAGGATAGGAATTTCTTGGTGGAGGTGTGTGGAACAGATTGGCAGGATGTATCAAATTCATGCTGCACAAAGGACCAAATCGTTAATCTTCAAAACAACTTGCAACGAGCTGAAGCTCTTATTGTGTCTTGTCCTGCATGCCACGAGAATTTCAAGCGCCTATTCTGTCATTTCACCTGCTCTTCTCAGCAGCGCAAATTTACTGAAGTCACAGAAACTGGAAAATCCATCGATGGTAAGGACATTGTTTCAAGCATGAACGTCTTTCTTGACCCTAATTGGGCTTCCCAATTTTATGATTCATGCAAAGGCGTTAAGTTTGCTGCAACCAATGGATACGCAATGGACCTTATCGGCGGGGGTGCTAAAAATTACGAGCAGTTTCTCAAGTTTTTAGGTGACGAAAAACCTCTGCTTGGAGGATCACCTTTTCAGATCAATTACGTCTACAATGTAAGTGGCACCGATCACCAGTTATTCAATCAGACGGTTTATGCTTGTGATGATGAACAATATAAATGTGCCTGCACAGACTGTGGTGCATCTTGTCCTAATTTGGAACCACTGAATGGGCGCACATGGAAGGTCGCCGGCATGCCACTATTTTCCTTCATTGTTCTGATTTTGTATGTTGCCTTTTTTGCCTCTATTGTTCTCTGGCACTTTCATTTGTTTGAAGGCAGAAAGAGTCCGATAATGCTCGAACATGATGTGGGGCAGAACGAAATCAGGGGTGCAAGCGATACCCTATTTCAAGAGCACACCTACCATGTGTATTCAGTGGACGACAAAATCGCTCGCATCTTGAGCCATATAACTGATTTTTCTGCGGCGCGGCCAATTTTCGTTTTAACACTCACGACATTGATTGTTCTCTTGTTATCGGGATGCGCTTGGATATTCGGAAACCTTGAGACGAACCCCGTGGATCTCTGGGTGAGTAAAAGTTCACCGAGATATCAGGAGAAGCTCTATTTCGATGAACACTTCGGACCCTTTTACCGCGTAGAGCAGATTTTTGTTGTCAACGAAACAGGACCAGTCCTTTCCTATGACACATTAGCATGGTGGTTCTCGGTTGAAAATAATATTACCAACCACCTCAAGTCTCCAGAAAAATTAACTTACCAGGATCTTTGCTTCAGACCAACAGAAGACAGCACCTGTGTCATAGATTCACTCACTCAATACTTTGATGGACAACTTCCAAATGAGGTCGACTGGAAATATAAACTCAAGGCGTGCGGAGATTCTCCTGTCAATTGTTTGCCATCATTTCAGCAGCCGCTCAAATCGAACCTTCTGTTCAGTGATGAAAATATACTAGAATCAAGAGCGTTTGCAGTAACGTTACTCTTAAATGAGCATTCGAAAGCGGCGTCACTCTGGGAGAATGAACTGGAGGCATTCTTATTGGCTCTGGACCCTCCGAAAGGGTTGCGCTTGAGCTTCAGCACCGACATGTCATTGGAGAAGGAATTGAACAGAAACAATGATATTCTTATAATTTGCGCATCTTATCTATTGATGTTCTTTTACGCTTCATGGGCGTTGGGTACCGAGACCGGAGAGAAGCGAATTTTGTTAGGCTGTTCCGGTATATTGATAGTTTTGGGCTCTGTCACGTCAGCTGCCGGAGTCTTGAGCATTCTAGGCGTTAAGTCTACATTGATCATCGCAGAGGTAATTCCGTTTTTGATCCTGGCCATTGGTGTCGATAACATTTATTTGATAACACATGAATATGACCGGGTTTTCAGTAGTGCCGATTTTCTTGACGTTCAGCAAATTATGGAGAAGGCCCTGAGAAAAATCTCTCCGTCAATTGCCCTGTCCCTTATGTGCCAGCTTAGCTGTTTCCTGACGGCCACATTCGTCAAAATGCCTGCCGTTCGCAACTTTGCAATTTACTCTGCCGTATCCATTGTCGTTAATGTCTTCCTGCAGCTTACCGCATACGTGTCAATCTTGACATTGTACGAGCAGAAATATCCGAGAAAATGCTTGAGGGCTACTTCTGACATCCCTACCGATTCAAATTTAAAAAAAATGTACTTGAGGCTGTTACAAAAGAAAAAGACAATATGCGGAGTTTTCATAACGGGCGCATTGATCGCCCTTGCCCTTCTCCCATATCTTGATTTAGGTTTGGACCAAACCTTGGCTGTTCCACAGGATTCTTACTTGGTGAACTATTTTAATGACGTCTACGAATACCTCAATGTGGGACCTCCTGTCTACTTTGTCGTGAAAGATCTGGATCTCAAAGGGCGCGAAAATCAGAAAAAGGTCTGTGGAAAATTCACAACTTGCAATAAATTCTCTCTAGCAAATCGGCTGGAGCAGGAACGTCAGAGATCGACCATCGTGGAGCCAGTGGCGAATTGGTTTGATGACTTCATGATGTTCTTAAACCCACAGCTGGATACTTGCTGCCGGCTAAAAAAAGGAACAGAGGATATATGCCCACCTTTTTATCCAAGCAGGAGATGTAAAACATGCTTTTCTGACGATGAATGGTTTTATGACATGGAAGGGTTTCCAGAGGGCCACGCATTCATGGATTACTTTGACATATGGATTAATGCACCAAGTGACGAGTGTCCTCTGGCTGGAAAGGCGCCGTATTCTACGGCTGTTGCCTATAATGACAGCACTGTCATATCCTCGGTGTTTCGAAGTGCACACAGACCATTGAGGTCTCAAGAGGACTACATCACTGCCTATGCGGATGCCAATCGTATCGTTGAGTCGTTCGATCAGCTGGAAGTTTTTGCCTATTCTCCGTTTTATGTTTTCTTCGAGCAATACGGAACATTGATCTCGTTGGCCCTCAAACTGCTTGGTTTCTCAGCGTTCTCCGTTTACTTGATAACATGGCTTTTTCTGGGCTCCGCGAGTACTGCAGGCCTCTTAGTTCTCACGGTCGGAATGATAGTGATTGACCTTGGTGCATTGATGTTCTTAATGAACATTTCGCTCAATGCTGTCAGTCTGGTTAATCTGGTCATATGCGTTGGTATAGCCGTCGAATTTTGTGTACACATTGTGCGGGGGTTTACTATTGTTCCACCCCATATTAAGACAGATCGCCAAGCGAGAGTTGCACACGCTGTCAACACTATCGGTGGATCTGTTTTCAGCGGTATCACAACTACAAAACTGATTGGTGTTACAGTTCTAGCTTTCACGAGGTCGAAAATCTTCCAAGTTTTTTACTTCCGTATGTGGTTTATTCTGATCGTGGTATCATCGCTCCATGCTCTGCTTTTCCTGCCCTCTATTCTTTCTTTACTTGGCGGCAAAAGCTACGCTGACAGAGAAGTTGACGTGGCTGATTGAAATGTCCTTTCACCAACCCAACTCGGACACTTATGCACAAGATTGAAAAGTTTAAATCATCGATTGAAATTTCTACCGGCGACGATAATCTGTACGTTTAGTTTAAAAGCTAATGTCTTGATGCCGGCATCATGCTTTATTTTACTCTTCTCATCTCAGTTCCAATACAATTTTTATTAATGCTCTTAAAAAATCAAGCTGTAACTTCAAACTCTTGAAGATGCTACGAAAAATCAGAAGCCTTGATGTCGCCGTGACATGAATTTGCTCAGTACCCTAGCTAGTGGGATCACCAAACATGGACTGAAAGAGCCCATCGCGGTCGCCGAAAAGGGACTTTATTCACCAACGTTATTAAAAAGTGACAAAGAAAGAAGTTGGCGTGCAGCGACACCGTTTAAGAAAAAGACAACAACTGAGCACAGTTCTTCCGCTCAGAAGCTACGAATGGTAGGAAGAGGGTCATTTTTTGAAAGACAGACTGCCCAAGAGTTTTTGAAACCTTACGCAGCTCATCAGTTCGCCAGACATACAGTTGAGCCATCCTACGATGTAGATTATGCTAAGGCCAACTACACTGCACTTAAGAAATTAAAGACCTCCAAAAAGTCAGAAATGCTACTCTTTAACGCGTCGAAAGGCTACGTCGAAGAAATGATTCCGCTGCTAGTCCTGTTAACGCCTCGAGAAGCTACCATGAGTACTGCGAAAAGACGTTTCCGCAGCGAAGTGTTCACTGAGATTCCGCCTATTCCGGATTTTGCCAAGCAGCCTAAAACTTTCGGCACTTACATCGCTACCTTAACCCACTCGCGATTCTACTATAAGAAATCGACCATGCTGAATGGTGTTATCCCCAAAATTCTTCGCAACCTCATTCATCCTTCTAATTTCAAGACGATAGAACTACGAAATGTTGATGTTTTTAATGATGTGATCTTTTTCTTCAGTGAACGTAGCGACTACGCCACATGCAGGGAGCTCTTCGCTCAAATGAAGCTAGAGAATGTCACTCCAAATACGAAAACCTTAAATCTCATGCTCCGAAATGTTTTAAAAAAGTCTCATATCAGAAGCGTGAAAAATCCACTTAGCGAAGCACTGTATTATTTACGTCAGATGCAGCATCATGACATACAGGCAGATGCGGTGACATGGACCACCTGTTATAATCTGTTGATGGAAAGTCTTTCTCGTGGAGTCTTTCTTGAGAAACTATTGGAGCGCGGGGTTCCTATAACCCCCCCACTAGTTCTGGCCATTCTAAGATCTGAGGATCTCAATTCGTCCCAACTCTTACGTTTTCTCACGAGTAATTATGTGCCGCTCGATACGAAGCTTTTCAACTTTTGCTTGAAAACACTATTGATTGAGAAGAAGTACGACACCGCATGGGCATTTGTTGACCATGCTCACAAAAATGCTGCATTCAAATTAAATCATGAGTGCTTAAACGTCTTTTTAAGGCATTTCGCTGAAAAGGGAAGGCTAGATTTGGCACTTTTAACATTCAATTCTGCCATCACTACGTATGGTATCACAACGAATTTGCATTCATTCGACATGCTAGCGAAGGCGCTTTCAAGAAATGGGTATACCAGAAATTTCCCGCTGGTGCTGGAGCACTTGCGCAAATCGAAACGAGCCTACACAGATGAAGTTCAAGTCTTCAGTTACTGGCTTTCTAAAGCCCAAGCTATCTCAAAGTTCAACATCCAACGCCAAGTGACAGATGGTGACCTTGAGCGAACCCGAGCTATCTTACAAAATGCAAGGTGGGATTCGAAAGGCATGAGATGGGATTGCTGGAATGATTGCTCCCCTTCGCTACGAAAGGTTTTCAGATTTTTAGGATGCGTTCCACAAGATATAAAAGCAAAACCGAAAAAGGCTAGATTTACAACGGGCCAGGTTTCATCTGAGAAGAAGCACAAATATAAAAGCAGAGTGAGGATGCTGGCTGTCCGTCATGCTATGCTGAAAAGAGTGCCGTACGCGGAGGACCGTTATGCGGCTCTTAAAAAAGAACTTCAAGAGAGAAGAATCATTGAATAAGAGCAGTTTATTATGGCCTCGTTGGTACTGGAGCGTATTAAACAATAGCTGGCAGCTTTATTAGTGTAACCTGTATATATGCTTGTTTGTCTAGGAGACAATACAATATCCTATTCCTTCATTTTCAACAGCCCAAGCACAAAAGTTTAATAACATGATGAAAACATTAAATCTGAGCGGCAACAAACAAGCCTACTGAGGGAACCAATCAACCTACGAAACATCTTTGACACCACATCTTGACCTCTGCAGTGAAATATCAAGACATTTAACGACTGCTTCGTAAGCCAGAAAAGTTCCGTCGAGAGGAAATTGTACCGTCGCTTTGTCTGGTTTCTCGATTAAAATTGACAATGTATTCTTCTTGGCAGCTCATTTGGATTGACCCAAAACAAATGTAGATCCAAACTTTGGAAGTTTCTCCATGTCCGGACGTTTACTTCCTTGAGAGCTTGTTGAAGAATCTCTAAGTCGGATAGAATTACTACGATTTAAAAGAAGGTGTTGATCGCCCTAGAGCCGATCCAAACTGTGCAACGAGAATGCCTCTTCGAAAGACTTGGAACAGAGACTCACAACATGTTGCTCTGAATATTCAAACCCGAAACCATTGTTTGGTCTACCCATCAAAACAGGCCAGATCTGGCGATCGTTTCAGCGATTAGGGATTGTCATTTTCGATATTTAAGGTTACAAAAGTAGACCGCACGTTAATAATAATGGATTACAGAGACATCTGTAAAAGAACCTGGACTGCAACGACAGAATTATAAGAGGCGGATGGAGTAAGTTTTTTTAGATTTCAACCTAACGAGCATAAAGGTTCTGACCAGGAAGTTTAAACGGCCGCTTAAACTCTGTGAGTTGCTTCGACTTCTTCCTCACCACCATCGTGCTCACCGGCCCATTCTTCTTCGGCGGCAGCGGCATCTTCCTCACCCTCAACTTCGTCTTCGTAGACATCGTCAACGGTTTGGTGAAAGGACAAACTGGGCTTGACAGCAGCAGCGTCCAAAGTCCAGCCCTCCAAGGCAGTCTCAGCGTCAATGATGATTTGCCTGGAAGCGTCGTAGCCGTCGTAAGCCAATCTAGTCTCACCAGGAGTAACTGGGGAATCGTCTAGCAACTCTAGAAGAGCCTTACCGTAACCGGCGATAAGGGCAAATTTCTCGGCCAACTCACGAATGGAGTCAAACTGGTAGTTGAAGGCGGCCTTGAGCTTTTCACGTGTGATGTTAGAAAGTTGTGCTTCGGCAACAAGAGACTCAGCCTCAGCACGAACGAGTTCCTGCTCCAGAACAGGAATTTTTGGAGAAGTTGGCTCCTTGTACTTTAGACGAGCGATTTCGTCCGTGATCTTTTGTTTACGGTCTCTGGAAGGCTGCACAGAAGCTTCAATGTTTCTGACACCCTTGAGAGTCAAACGGTACTGGTCGTACTTGTCAATGAACTGATCTTGAAGTTCACCCAACTCGTAGATCAGAACACCAAGCTTGTCAGTGACGTCAGAGACATCGTCGTCATTGTCTAGACCCCATAGGGACAATTGCTTGGCAGCAGCACGACGCTCGATGGCGACCACTTCCAAAGCTCTGAGAACGCCTTTTTCGGTTTTGACAAGCTGCGATAGCTTTCTAGCCAGGTCAGGTCCGAAGTTGCCTGCGGCGTTCTTACGGAACGAAGTAGCAATAGACGCTTTGCCGAAAAATTTGGATCTGGTGGTAGAAGGGGGAGGGGCAGGGCTTGCCAGCTGAGAAGCAGTTGGGGCTCTTTGAGCTCTCAAAGAATATGTTCTGTGCATTGCGGATTGAAGATGAATGCTAAAATTAAAGCTGTCCTAAGACTAGTTGAATAACAGTGCAAACTTTCGTTACTTCGACCTCTACTTACCAGAACTGCCAATTACCTTCCCCTTTCTTGACCCTTTTATACACCTTTCGCGAAAACCCCCCCTCCGGCGTATTATTAGATTGCTGGCTCCTGCGCATCGTTTTGCTCTAAAGGGTTATGACGAGCAAAAAGATAGCCGGGTAGCAACTATGCTGCCCACATTTGTCGACTAGAGAAACGACCCGAGGAAGGTTCTGGTGCGTGAGATGAGCTACCGAAGAAACAACAGAAGAGACCATAGCGAAGACGCTATGGACTTTACTTGTTCAAGTTTGCAGAACAGAAAAGCCTGTGGCGTGAGTGTCCTTTGAAATTACATGTAGAATGCGCTACGCATGGATTGCTGCCGTGGTTTCCTTTCACTAATTTCTCTAACTGAACTCAGATGCTGAGAATTTTTTAAAATTCAAAAATTTTGTTCCGTGCAGGAGCTAGCGTTGAGACATAGACGTCATAAATTGACGCTGAATGCAGGAAAAATCGATAGTACGTGCAGCAGCACTCTCGTGGCTTCCACACGGTAGCATGGCGTGTGCATTTCGGCTAACAATTTTATTAACAGACTGCGTCATGCTGAAGTCTTCGTAGACACTAAACTGCTCCAGAATAGCTAGCGAGACTGTTGTAGATGAACTTACCGATGGACATGCACGACCCTGGCTTCATGCTTTTAACAAGATTGGCTTATCGGTTTGCACTCGTATCATCGCCGCAAGAAGTCCGATGAGTTGCTGGCCCAAATAGAAATAGAGAAACGGACAGATGTGTGCTGCTTCAGGCTTCTTTTCGCCCAGCCAACAACAGCTCCCCGATCACGTGGCTAGGATGTCATCAACGGATAACTAAGGGTGACGCTTGCAGTTCCTCCTTCGATTCAGACAGACCCGTACTTTATCAACAGCGAAAAGGTGTTTATGAGCATACTTTCGTCGTTAACCAAAACCTTGTAGTATCCCAATCCTCCACAAAAAATCGTAGTCCGGAGACAAGAAGTTACCAGAGACACGAGGCATTATACAGATGAACTCCTCAAAATAAGTTCGCCGTCCACTGGTTGAAAAGCTACTGCAATTTTTTTCTCTGCTATTATCGAATTGCGAGTAGCTCTGTTTGTCTCTTTCTGATGGTGTATTCAATTCCACTTTATATTAATGTTATGCCAGCCAGGTTAATGGGAAATTATCAATCGAAAAATTGGCGAAACTGCAGAGTGGAATGGACAAGTTTGATAGACAAGTGCGCATTTGGGGAACCCATGGCCAGCATATCATTGAAACCAGTCATGTGTGTGTCGTTGGTTCATCGCCTTTCGCGTTCGAGATAGTCAAGAATCTGGCCCTACCTGGGATAGGGTGTCTTACTATGATCGCTACGAACTCAAGAGACCTTGAGCAGAATCAATTTTGGAACATGAAGACGTGGAATGTGACTCAAATTGACTGGAATGCTGAAAAAATGGGCTCTGACGTGTTTTGGAGCGACTTTGAATTGATAATAATCACCACTGGGCAAAACGACGTTTTAAAAGTGTTCCGACAAATAAAGTCTCCACCGGTCTTGCTGTGCAGTACATCTGGCCAGAACGGTTTTGTTACCTTTCTTTCCGGTGAACCACATTTTGTTGTGGAATCTCATCCAGAACATACTATTCCTGACCTTCGATTAGGGGCGTTGCGAAGTGATCTGTCACAGTTTTACTCGGAATTCTTAAAAAACACAGTGTGTATTTCAGACTTACCTTTCGCCGCTCTACTTTATCATGCTTGCGAGAACGTCTTGAAGGAGAAAAAGCCTCATCAAGTTATCAATCGACATGACCTCAAAGACCAGATAAATGTTCTACAGAATAAGGTTTCACCTAACACCCAATTACCCAATTTTTTTGAGGCACTGCGATTTGCCCACCTTGCATTGGAACGTACCGAGACTTTACCAGAAAATGTCATCCGATGTCTGGCGCTGAAAGACGTGTCTTGTCAGATTCCTTTCAATCAAAATGTCCAAACGCTGCTCAGGGCCCTATCTTCATTCTTAGACACACCGTACAGTGAGGGCCAGTTACCTCTTGCCGGAATAATTCCAGATATGGAGTCAAGCTACGAAATGTACACAGCGCTTCGCAACGCCTACTCAGGTGCTGCCGAAAATGATGTCAAGATTTTTCACAATCTCGTTTCTTCAGAGGTCTCCCATATTGAAATAGACCAAGTTAAGTCGTTTTGCAGGAACTGTCGTCACATTAATGTTATTGAACCAATTGGAAAATTGGGAGATTTTGAGTCGGTATTAAATGACGAAACTACGGACTCTACTATTATAAAAAATGTCTTGCATTCATGCTTATCTGAAGCGCTGAAGAAAGAGGATAAAAGGAGATTTTATCCATGCATATCTTTCGTGGCAGGTATCGCAGCGCAAGAAGCGATCAAGGTGCTCACACACCAATTTTTACCGCTTCACAACACTTTAGTTTACGAGGGAGAACTTGGCCGCCTACGGTCAATCAAAATATAACTGTTCCGACGACATTTTATACTAAAGTTCCGAGAAGTCACCCTGGATTTGAGAAGCAGTTTTTGATTTCTTGCTTCTCCTTACCATATCTTTCCAGTCTTCTTCTTCTTCGCCCTCATTTTGCTCATCCTCCTGTGCAATTTTTTCCTCAATGGCTTTCCTCTTCAGCGCCAACTTGGTTTTCCTTTCCCCCTTGGTATCCTTTGCAGTTGTTTTGTTCGACCAAGAGCTATTTTTTTTTTTGAGCTCGCTTTTGAGCTTTTTCTTGGCTTCCGTTTCCTTGCCCTTCTTTAGTTCCTCTTGTCTCGAACGCTCCATTTGTGGATTTGCATATGCAAATCTATCTAAGTCTATTGGCGGTTGAACTAACCATCCGTCTGCGGGTATCATGTCATTTTTCAGATTTTGGGTTATTTCTGGCATTCGCGGCAGCCGAATAAGGCCATATAACTTTGCCAGCCCAATATAGTCGAGAGTTTGGAGTCGGAATATCGATGAAGCCGTGTGCTTAGAATAGTATCGAATGAATCCAACATAAGCCCTAACACCATTGTCGAACCTGGCTCTATCTTCCAGTACCCAAGTCTCGAACTTCTTGGATAAGTCCTCGGTGACGTTGACTTCAAAAGGCATCTCGTCTATTTCTATGTTCTTCACCTCTAGAAAATCCACATAATCCTCCTCTCGCCCTTCATTCAAAAAAGTTATTGCTCTGCCTACCCTATTAGCTCGACCGGTTCTTCCACATCGGTGTAAAAACATCTCTGTGCTGGTTGGAGGATCGAAATGTAGTACGAGATCAACTTCTGGAATATCAATACCTCTCGCAGCGACATCAGTCGTCAACAGAACTGATTTATTGAGACCAGAAGAGAACTTAGACAATGTTCCCAGTCTGGAATTGGTTTGCAGCTTCCCATGAAGAGAAAAGAGATCAGGTTCTGTGCCGGTATTTCCCGTCGTCAAACAGTGTTTCATGAAAGAGTAGAAATATGTGACAGACGTGCATGTTGGGAAATAGACAATGCATTTCTTATACTGAATGTGCGTTAGAATATGCAGCAGATACTGAAGTTTGTCCTGAGGTTTCACGACAATGTAACTGATGTCGAGAGTGTCTGGATTTTGCAGTTTAGACTTTACAGCAATCTTCACAGGGTTACGCATGCCAGTTCTAAAAATCTGATCACCTGCGCTGCTTATAGTAGCAGAGAAAAGACCAGTTCGCCTCTGTTTTGGGAGCAAATTCAAAATGGACTCCACGTCCTTCTCGAATCCAACGTCCAGCAGCTTATCAGCTTCATCCAGTACAACAATACCGCATGAAGCCGATTTTACAGCCACAGAATTAAGGAAATCCAAGACTCTGCCTGGTGTTCCCACTAAAATCTGAGGTTTGTTTTCCATGAAGAAGTTGATGTCATCTCGCACTGACGAAGCGCTCGTTCCAACAAGCAGCTGTGACTTTATAGGACATACTTCACTGGGGAAGTACGACAGAAAGGCATCAAACACACCTTGAATCTGACTAGAAAGTTCTCGCGTTGGTGAGATCACCAGAGAGTAAAAATGACCCTTTTTCAACGGTGAACCATTAAGAACATCATTAATCACCTTTTCGATGATAGGAATCACAAAGGCAACCGTCTTGCCCGAGCCCGTGACGCTCTCTACGACTACGTCTTTGTTTCCGCAGAACATAGGAATAGTGGAGGCCTGTACAGCAGTCATTCCCTCAAATCCCATTCCATGCACGGCATTACGAATCCATGGCTGAAGCTCATACTTCAGCTCATCCCACGAGAGGGATCTTGACATTTTATGGACTCCCGAAGTTTTTTGGTAATGTAGTCCGATGACTTTTAACTAATCTCATCCTCGTCTATTTTTTTTCATTTCGCTGAAATTTATTATGGTCATCGATTGATTTCGAGTTCGTCAAACCGGTTCACGATCTACAATCGAAACAAAAAGTGTGGTGCGGAAAAGGGTTCAAGATCTGAGTACGGTATGGGATTTTTATCAAAACTCTGGAGACTCGGGAAACCTGATTTCAAACCATCTCATGACAAATTCGAGTACACCAAATGGAATAAAGACCAGCTAATCAAGAGAATCATTGACTTGGAGGGCGAAAGAAAGCGGAAGGCAGATGAAGAGGGTGTGGATAATGACATACCAGCAATTAAAAGACGCAAATCCAGTAAGGGCGAACTGAGGAAACGAAAGAAAAAGGATAAGCCTTTTGACTATTCAAAGTATAATACAAGATTTGTTGCCCTCAAATTTGCATATCTAGGGTGGAACTACAATGGTCTCGCAATACAAAAAGAGCCAACTCCCTTACCTACAGTGGAAGGCACTATCTTACAAGCAATGAACGCTTGTAAATTAGTGCCGTCTATGACACCGCAGGAGTTCAACTTCAGTAGGTGTGGAAGGACCGACAAGGGAGTCAGTGCTATGAATCAAGTCATATCTCTCAGAGTAAGGTCTAACTTGACCAATGAGCAGCAGCTGGAAAAGAGCTTCGACAGCAAAGAAATAAACTACGTCCACATTCTAAATCAGATACTTCCCGACGATATTCGCGTTTCAGCGGTGTGTCTGCGGCCACCAAAAGGCTTCGATGCTAGATTTAGTTGCCAAAATCGCCACTACCGGTATCTTTTTAGCAGCTTTGGTCTTGACATTGAAAAAATGAAGGAGGCGGCATCTTTGTATGAAGGAGAGCATGACTTTAGAAATTTCTGCAAGCTTGATGGCTCGAAGCAGATTACTAATTACAGAAGGACGATAGAACGGTCGTCGATATTAAAGTTAGATGATGGCATGCTCTGCTTTGATTTGGTTGGTTCAGCTTTTTTGTGGCATCAAGTGCGTTGCATGATGGCAAACCTCTTTCTTGTAGGCCAAGGCTTGGAGAACGTTTCCCTAATAAGCGACATGCTGAATGTGCAGAAGGTGACAAAGAAGCCTATATATGACATGGCAAGTGACGTCCCTCTGGTCCTTTACGACTGCAGCTTTTCGGGATTAGAATGGTCCGCTAATGATCTCAGTGATTTCAAATCTTTGCAGTCCAACAGAAGAGTTTTTTCTCTTGCGTTAGATTATAAGATGAAATCCGCTATCGCTAACATTTTCGCAGACATCCTGTCTGTCGATCAAACCGATTTAGGCGGAAGAACAAGAATCAATCTAGGCGATGGTAAGGGAAAAGTGGTCACAACCTATGAAAAAATGCTACAAAGGAAGGTTATGGACTCCGTAGAGACTGTCAACAAAAAATTCAAGAGAAGAAAGACGCCCAAGTCGGAAGTTTGAGAGCCTGATATTACTCGTCCAGATGTTTCTCAGTCGAGATTGGAGCGCACGATCCATGCAGGGTCCCAATAAAGTATTTCACCTCTGGCTTGATTGTCAACCCACAAGATTCCTTTTGCTACCATTTCCTTAAGTACAGCGTCGCTTCTCACAGGCTTCCAATCCAGATTGAGTTTCAAAAGCGGTATACTGGCGTAGCCGAGAATTGAACACACTTGTAAGATTTCAGTTTGATCGTTGGTCAACTCGTTAGGGACACTTCTGAGGTATTTTTTGTTCTTGATGGTGAATGTCTGAAAGCCACCGGCTAAAGTGTCCAGCATTTCCACGGCCTTCTGCAAATCGTTCATATCGACCTTGTATAATTCAAAGTAGCCTTTATGCAACTCATCGAATGAAATGACACCGCCGTTAAGATCTTTAGTCTTTCTGCATATTTCGATTACTTTGACGCATATTTCGTAGAAAAAGTCGTTGACATCAAACAAGTGTCGTTCTTTGTCGAACAAGAAAATAGGGTCGATTCCGATTGACGTGCACATCTTAATGAACTTCATTCTAAAGTCTGCGTTACCTTTCAATTCTGAGTTGTGGTCTTTTGCGAATGCGACCAGCCTGCTTTGAAACACCCGAAGCTGCTCGTCTAGCTCCCTATTTTGTCGATTTAAGACGGTAGCCGTTGCTTCAAAGCGCTTGCTACCATCCGGATCGAAAGCGGCTAGTCCGTGTCTCATAAATGATGAAAGTTTTATCTCAGGTAGGAAAACGTCCCATCCATGTACTTTGGGTTCATACCAGTATGCCAATTTTGAATAATTATCAACTAAAAGGATCACTTCATTTTCAATAATTTGGTCTCTCTTTCTTCCACCGCAAGTTATGGTATTCAGGGCCGACAGAAATAAGATCACAAATATAAGCGTGATGGATGCAGCCTGTCAGATGAAGCCCGAAGCCTGGACGATATCGTCCAATGAGGCATTGAAGCTTTCTCTGGTAGATGAGAACGGTGCGGTGCAGTTTTCACCTATTTTTACTTACCCAATATTTGGCGATTCCGAACAAGTTTTTGGATACCAGAACCTTCAAATGTTTTTGGCCTTCGATTCAATAACATTCAAGCCTTTTACAAATGTGAAGTTTGGTGCCAAGCTACTGGATACTGTGGACGATGTGCAAGATAAATTATTGCAATTCCTTCCCAAAGATGTCATTGTTAAAGACGAAGAGAAATGGGTCGACGCGTTCAGTAAAGAGCGCGAGTCCTTCGTATTACCAGATGATACAAACAGAATTCATTCTTACAAAGATAACGGCGATAATTATGCTATCTTCAAGGTTAACCTCCAAGACTCAAACATTAAAACCTTACATGATCGAATGCAAATTTTTGCTTTACTTTTCATAGAGTCCGCATCCTTCATAGATGCAGATGACGATGGATGGGAGATATTCTTGTCTTTCAATTTGCGGACGAAACAATGCGTTGGTTACTGTACCACATATCGATACTGGAAGTACAGAGGAAGTAGCCGCTTTGATGAAGATCCTGAAATTTATACTACAGCTAAGATTTCTCAATTTCTAGTGTTTCCTCCATATCAAGGCAAAGGGCATGGTGCTGCACTTTACGACGCCATAAGCAACACTTGGCTTGAAGATCCTAGCATTCTCGAGATAACAGTTGAAGATCCAAATGAAAGCTTTGATGTCCTCAGAGATCGTTGTGATTTTCGCAGGCTTCTCGCCGGTGAATTTGGTAGAAGCATTCCACATGAGCTACCTATCAGCGAGGAATGGATACATTCACAGCATGCAAAGCTAAAGCTAGAAAAAAGGCAGTTCATGCGGCTAATTGAGATGTTTCTCAAACACAAGTTGTCAAGTAATTTTCGTTTACAAGTTAAGAAAAGACTGTACGAAAAGAACTTTGAACTTTTGAGAGATCTTGACGTGTCAGCGAGGAATGACAAATTGGAGACAGCCTTTCAATCAATCGACAAGGAATATGAAGATGTGATTTCTAGCGTAATGCAGAGAAAGAGATCATTCCCCGGTGAATCAGGACTACCCAGTAAAAAAAATAAACTAAATACATAAAAGAATACTCTACAAATTATTATTATTATTATCCAGTCATGTGACAGCAATTGTATATTTTCTTAAAACAATTATTAACGTTAAAAATAAATAAAATAAAAATACTATTATACTTTGCTAAAACGTGTACTTGTTAAATTTATTGTTTCCGAAAAAAAAAAATATTTTAAGAGGTAAGCATTTTGGTTAGTGTGCCACAGTGAATATCGTGATTTCATGTAGAGAGAGTAATGCTAGAGTAGCAGTAAAGGAATACGTATTCTGTCATAATAAGTTTAGACTACATAATGGGCCCACTAGAGTTGCTCGCAGCTCTCAATATTGTGTGGTATATGATTTATCAAACTCGGGGCATCTTCAATATATCCGACGTTAATGAAGTTTGGACATAGATTTGACGATCCTCGGGTATTTGAGCTGGGTAACCTCATCGACTTAAATAAAGAAAACTTTTACGTTACAGCTAGCTCATCATCTCTCACCAGGACCCTCAGGATCATTATATATCACCGAAGCCGTGGGACATGGCTGGGAAACAGACAAAGACAGCAAAGCGCTCTGTGAAGCAGAATGGAAAGAGAGAAGTCACCTCAGAAGTTTTTCAGGACTCGCAAGCAAGGAATCAATTGATAAATTCTCCTAAGCTTCAAGAAAAGTCCAAAACTAGGAAGCTAAGTAAAGTCAAAGTTAGCAAAGAGCAGGCACGCGCAAGGCTGTATGGTTCGAAGAATAAGGCGGCAAAAACTTACTCTGAGAAGGATCTTGATCTGCCGACCCTCAACCGAGCAATTATTCCAGGTGTCAAGATAAAGCGCGGCAAGAAAGGTAAGAAGTTCATTGGTGACCACGATTCACTAATGTATAACCGTTTAATTAGTACCATCGGAGACAAGGACGACGAACTTACCGAAAGTAAGCTCGAAAAGGCAAGGAGACTTGAAGAAATTAGGGAACTCAAGAGGCAAGAAATCGAACGGAAGGAAGAGGCCAAAAAAGACAAGTTAGACGCCAAGGTGGATGAAATAAAAAAGAAGGCTTCTGTTGCTAGAACGGTTCGCAGGAAGAATAGACGGTCTGAAGAAGTTGAAAATGTTCGTCTATCTCAAGACAAGAAGCCCAAGAAAAAGTCTGTCAGTTTTGCTTGAGCCCAGTAATTAGAAAATCCAAATTGCTAGTTGCTGCAACGGTCATTTTCGCACCAACTTTCCACATTAGAAAAAGCATGATTTTGAGGTTTTAATGGACTTCCACGCCGCCATTAACGAGGCCTTCTCAGGATCACCCTATATTATTTCCATTATTCTTCTCGCTTTTGTGAGATCCAAATAGTGGGCTACTTCTGTATATTATCAAATTCGCACGTAAGAAATGCATAAAGAAAGGCGAATCCATGTGCCCACTCAACTTTGCGGTCAAGGTTACGTGTAGCTCACATTTCAGCTTACGGTGCCCTGGCTTCAACTTGTCAGGTGTCTGTGTTTATGCTATGTTCACTTTAAAAAAATTTGACCTGGAAATTCATGATTTTCTAAAAACAAGCAAAAGCTCAGGGAAGTATACGTGGCCATGAGCGACGACAAAGCATCCGTCTTAACGGGGTTCAATTCTCAAGACGTTGCGCCAAAAGATTCGGGCAAGATATTTGGCAAGCTTATCGAAACATCGAGAAATTTGCCCACAACTTCTTCGGAACTGGGTACCATCCTGCTCAGTGTAAACGAGATTAAGAAGCGCGCTCATGAGCTGAGACAGAAATCAAAACCTTTACAAGACCACACTAGAGCCCATTACCTACTGGCTGGTAGTGGGCTCGCCATTCAGGATGTTGAAACCTCTCTGAGGGCACTCAAGTCGCGGAAGTTGATGGAGCAAAACGTTGTCAGTATGGAAACTGACAACGATCTGGACACATATCTAAGAAACAAGAAAGATGAGAACATTTTATCTTCAATTGAACGATCGCTTGCTTCTGCCGCCAAAGATTTTGACAATTTTGTCAACCAAAATTTCAATCTCGACTGGGAGCAGCGTAAGGAAGAAGTGAGAGAGAATTTTGGTATTTTGGTGAAAAGAAGAAAAGGCGATTACAAAGCCACTATGGAAGGGATTGATGGGCCTTCCATTACGTGGGGTGAAAACGGCCGTGCAATTTTGGATGGGGACTCAAGGCTAAACGTCAACGAAAACTTCGCGACTCGAAAGAAGTTTGAGCAATACGCTAAAACAATTAATGCGTTCAATAATGCAAAGCAAAGTGACACTGAATTTTCGCTTACTGGTGGGATAATTGAAACCCTCACTAATTCTACGGAGTCTATCAATCGGCAATTACCTCAAGCATGGAAAATTTTAGAGCACGTACGTGGATCCAATGACGTCGTGAATAAATCGAAGGAGTTTCTAGAGGCACAATTTTTTGACTACGTCGATAAGCTCTATAAGCGGAATCCCAGCGAAGGGCTTCCAACGAACGTGAATAAAATTAGGTCTTTCATCGATCATAAATTGAAAAACCATAACAATACGTGGAAATATGGGAACTTAACCATTGTTAACGGGGTGCCCATTTGGGCGTTTATATTCTACCTTTTGCGAGCTGGTTTAGCCCAAGATGCGCTTGAGGTTGCCGTGGCAAACAAACTGAGCTTCAAGAAAGTGGAACAATCGTTTTTGACATATTTCAAAGCGTACGTCAGCTCTAAGGATCGCAAACTTCCTAATGAATTTGTGATCCGATTGCATACTGAGTATAATCAGCATATCAAGAATGCCTTGGATGGTGATCCTTTCAGACTTGCAGTTTACAAAATTATCGGCCGGTGCGACCTGACGCGGAAAAACATTTCATCGATTACTCTCAGCATTGAGGACTGGATTTGGATTCATATAATGTTGATCAGAGAGGACAGCTCAGGAAACGGTCCTCTGTATGAGAAGTATGACCTGTCAGATTTTCAAACGATTGTTACGTCATATGGTGCATCAATGTTTAGCGGATCTTACATTTTGGCTCTCATGTTAAGTGGGCTATATGAACTTGCAATTCAAAATGCGATGTCTATCAATGAAATAGATGCGGTACATTTGGCGATTGGCTTGGCATATTACAAAAAGTTGAGTATATCGACTTACCAGAACACGAAGCTGTCGGAACTTATCACCACTGGTGAAGGCAGAACACAAATAAATTTTGCCAAGCTTCTTGGCAACTACACGAAGTCTTTCAAGTTTTCTGACCCAAGAATCGCTGTTGAGTACCTAATTCTGATTAACTTAGGTGGAACCAAAGACGCAGCAGCCGTATGTCACGAAGCATTAAGAGAGCTTGTTTTGGAGACGAAAGAGTTTACCATTCTTTTAGGGAAAGTGAACAGAGACGGCACAAGAATTCCTGGAGTGATCGAAGAGAGGCAGTCTTTACTTTCGCTGAGCGACGAAAAGGACTTCTTACACAAAATTACGGAGCAGTCTGCAAGACGTGCGGATGAAGATGGAAGATCTTACGACAGCTTACTTCTGTATCAGCTGGCCGATGAATACGACATTGTAATTCGTATTGTCAACAAACTATTGAGTGACCTACTCAGCAATACCGATTTGGCGCAACCTTTGCTCAATTTGGATGACAATAGTGAGACGAGTCCGGTACTTATCGCAAAGAAGTTGATCAACGTTTATGTCAATAATTTGGAGATCGCACAGAAAATCTCTCAGAAAAACAAAGAGACATGCATCCTGCTTTTGAAGGTAGTGGATATAAGACGCGCGTATTACTCCCAGAACTGGCAAGAGACTCTAGAGATGATTGAAGAAATTGAGTTGATACCATTTGTCGATGAAGTATCCTCAAGAAGGAAAGCCCAGGAATTTTCCAATTTGAGCCCCGAAATCACGAAAAACATTCCAAAGCTACTGATCATCAGTATGACATGTGTCTGCAAGATAGTGAAAGCATTAAACCAAAGTGAATACCAATCTGCTGCCAAGATACAACAAGTTGAAGCGCTCAAGCGGCTTGCGAAGAATTGCATGATCTACGCTGGCATGATACAGTATAGGATGCCACGTGAGACATACAGCATCTTAATTAATCTAGAGGTACAACTGTAAAACGCTTTGATTGTCACTATTGGACTCCAAGATGGTATTAGCTCTATTTATCGATGTAGTGGACAACAGTTGAATGACAATAGTTTGCCCAGGGCCCAAAAATACTTTTATTAGATAATGAAATGAGATACCCCTTATCTCACTTGAACTAACTTTCGGCCCGATCGACATTGGTGTTAGTAGATTTATCTCGATACTTGCTGTAGTCTGGCTGAACTTCGTATGCGTTTGGACTCGAAGACCGCTTCTGCTGAAGCTTGCGGTGACGTCTTTCCTTCCTGGCCTTCCTTCTGCTCTCAAAATCCATCCCCCTAGAGTTCTCAGCATCTGATTCGGAGGATGAAGATGAGGATGAAGATGACGCTTCGTCGTGAGAATGATGATGGTCGCATTCCTTTGCGTCTATGTCTTCGAAGTTTTGCTGAGGATGGAATATGCAACAGACTTTAGACTTTTTCTTATTCATGTGCTCATTATCCACAACGTCTTCTTTCCAGTGGACTTTACTGCGCTGACCTTCATCGAGATCTTTTGTCGGATGGTTACTGGTTGCACCACGAAGCTGCAAAACTGGAACGGGCTCTGAAATAGCAACTGAGCTGCCCCCACGGGTCTCGGTCACCCTACTTTGAGTCATGCTAGCTGTGCACTGTCAGCTAGAACTCCACCTCAACTTTTCGTCAAGGTATTGATCCCTCAAAAGACCTCAGTTTTCGATTTAGTATTTGAACCCTTCAAGTGTTTCCTATGAATAATCTGGCAATGGCGCGGCAGCTGAGAATTACTACGTGTATAATGACAGTAACTGGAGTCGATTAGTTTTCAAAGTAAATTGAATTAAGACATCTACAAGATGAATGGTGACGGTGGCAAACACACGATCTTCACAATTGGGTCGAGTTCTGTTACCATTGACGTTCAATCGGTAGTTAACAAAGATCAAGATCAGTGATACAATATGGAGAGACTTCAAAGACTTATGATGAACCAGAGAGCCGGTATAATGGGTGGAGCAGCGGCGGCAGAAACCCCTATGGACGACACCAAGGAAACGGTATATATCTCATCGCTTGCGCTACTGAAAATGTTGAAACACGGCCGTTTGGGAGTTCCAATGGAGGTTATGGGCCTGATGTTGGGAGAGTTTGTGGACGATTACACTGTTAATGTGGTGGATGTCTTTGCAATGCCGCAATCGGGAACTGGAGTTTCGGTGGAGGCGGTGGATGACGTTTTCCAAGCTAAGATGATGGATATGCTAAAACAGACCGGTAGAGATCAGATGGTCGTTGGCTGGTACCACTCACATCCTGGATTTGGATGTTGGTTATCGTCTGTCGATGTTAACACGCAAAAATCTTTCGAACAGTTGAATAGTCGAGCTGTGGCTGTTGTGGTCGATCCCATTCAGTCTGTGAAAGGTAAAGTGGTTGTTGACGCCTTTAGACTGATCGATACAAACATGATAATGAGAAACCAAGAACCGAGACAAACAACTTCGAACGCTGGGCTTTTGAACAAGCCCAATATCCAGGCTCTCATTCATGGCCTGAATAGACACTACTACTCCTTAAACATTGACTATCACAAGACGAGTGCAGAAACAAACATGCTACTGAATTTGCATAAGGAGCAATGGCAATCAGGTTTGAAAATGCATGACTACCAGGAGAAGGAACAGCACAATTTGCAAGCCACACAGAACATGCTGAAGATTGCCGAACTGTACTCGAAGAGGATAGAAGAGGAGAAAGAGCTGACGGAAGATGAGCTGAAGACTCGTTACGTTGGTAAGCAGGACCCCAAAAAGCATTTGTCTGAAACAGCAGAGTCGGTTTTGGAAGAAAACATAGTATCGGTACTTACAGCGGGTGTGAACTCCGTAGCTATAAGGTAGTTACAAACCAACTAAAGCATTATGTAGCATTTAGATTACTGATTAAAATGACTTACGCAGGCTTATACATGTCGTCTGGATTTCATTCAAGCGCTTCCCAAACTTGCAAATAGCTTTCACCCAAGAAGAGCAATTCTTTTTGTCTAGGAATGACTGTTTTTCCTCGTATTTCGTACCATTCCTGGCTATTCGAATCCAAGATTTGAGTTCCCCACTCGCTCTCATCATCGACCTCTTCGTTTTCGACGTACTTTCCTCTGACAGCATTGTGTAGCACATTGGCAATCAACTTAAACTGGGTTCCTTTAAGCTCAAGTGTGTTCGGAAATTTGACAAGAGTTTGGTTTCTGTTTTTAACCGGTAAATCGTCATGCCGCTTGAACCTGTCAACATGCAAAAGAAGAAATCGAGGTATTTTGACAAAAGAATACGATTGTATCCCCTCTTTGGTGTGAATTTCTTCTGCTCCCATGAATCTTTCCAGTAAGCTCTCGATATTGACCTGCGGTATGCTATTAGTGTCGAATCCGTCCGCAAATAATGGCATCGGCGGCAGATTCAAAGTAAGGCACAAAAATTTTATTTTTTGAACTGATGTGCTAGCTTCATCTCGCACAAATTTCAAGTTTCGCCCTGTGTTCTCCACGCTTTCCTCTCGTATAATTGTTGTCTTCCTAATGAGCTCACCTCGCAGATTTTTCGTGAGAACCTTTCTCAGTACTGGATCGGAAGAATTTAGATGATTGAGCATCCAAAATAGAAAAGCTTTGGGGTCCGGATTCGGTGACTTGTAGGCACTGAAAACTTGGTTTAAAAACTCATGAGGCGAAACGTGTGCACGGAACAAGTGCGGCGACCATAGTTTTTTGACTACTATCGAAAAACGTTTCACGATTTCGTCGGAAATTTTATCACTAGCTTCTAGGGCTACATAGTCTCTCAATGGTGAAATGTGGCCGAGGAGTTGCAATATAGTGGTGAAAGAGGAGGTGTTTTTTGGCTCAATTAACCCCACAAAGCCATTCAAATATGAATTATTCAGAACATCGAAGCAATTTTTAGGATAGCTGTCTAAGTCTTCTTTACTGTACAATGGGGATATCGCGAATCGTATGCGTTGCAAGATTGGCGCATTAGCTAGTTCATCGTTTTCAGGCAAAAGGTAAATTCGTGTGTTTTGTAGATTTGCAAAGACATGGTGGTCCTCTTGAATAGAATGAAGAAAGGCAACACTACTTTCGCCTCGACCTTGCAGGTATTTACCACATACCAGACAGCAGTATACGTTCAAGGGAGAAAGAGTTACTGAGCAAATCTTTTCTTTGTCGAAATCCAATCTTTTGACATCTATTGAACTCAGGTAGCTTGCAATTGACTTCGTGGAAATCTTTGGTCTCTTCGCACTATCTATTGTTTCAATATCTGATAGTTTCCTTCTTAAACCCATCGCACTGGTTTCGATAGTGGTTATGGTTTGTATATATCATTCATAGTTTTAGTTTTTGTCGAAAACTTATCAAAACTCCAGCATTGAAGGGGCACGACTGAAGGCAGAAGCCCAATTCAAACAAATTGCACTTCAAAGCGCACAAGTCAGTACAGTGAGTATTTCCGCTATAAAAATGTTTTTTCCTTTGGTAGGCCTGATTTTGTCAACGGCAGTTGTGATGTTCAGTGGTTTCAAACGTTTGCAAAGGGTGCCAAGATCATCAGTAGTTAAAATCGCCGAGCTAAGAGCTAAATCCGATAGCTGCATTTTGTCAAGCCTTGAGGGGAAAAAGTATCCTGCTAAGCAACACGCCTTGAAAATTAAAGACTTATTTCTCAAAAGGAAGTCGAACAGTGATCCTGAGAAGACGACGCTTCTCATTGCCGGTGAGCAATTGGAGGCCATTAAATACTGTGACCAGACTAAGCCTTTCAGACAGAATAGATATTTTTACTATCTCACGGGAACCAACATTGCCGGCTGCTATGTGCTTTTTGACTTTGGAACGGACGGTCTTACTCTTTTTCTTCCCGACGTCGATGAAGATGATGTGATGTGGAGTGGACTTCCAACGAGCATCGAAACAGCTCTCAAAGAGTATGACGTAGAAAATGTATTGTACGCGAAAGATATTTCTACAGAGCTAGAGAAAAGAGCTCTTCATGATATCTATACTACAGATTTGGACAATTTTCCGCCAACTTCATTCCCTAATGTTCACTTTATCCCGGCTGATCAAGATCTATTCTACGCCTTGGATGAGGCTAGAGTAACCAAAGACTGGTACGAAGTCCAACTTCTACGCCGCGCAGCAGAGATCACAGATAATTGCCATTTGGCTGTGATGTCTGCGCTTCCAATTGAGAACAACGAGGGTCATATGCATGCGGAGTTTACATATCATGCCTTGCGCCAAGGTTCAAAAAATCAAGGTTATGACCCCATTTGCTGTTCAGGCCCTAGCTGCAGTACGTTGCACTATGTTAAGAACGACGAGTCCATGGATAAAAAGCATTCAGTTCTTATCGATGCAGGTGCCGAATGGAAAAACTACACCGCTGACGTCACTCGCTGTTTTCCTATCAATGGGAAGTTCACCAGGGAGCATCGTGCGATTTACGAAGCTGTCTTGGATATGCAAGCCCAAGTGATGGTTGATATAAAGCCCGGTGCATCTTGGGAAGCTTTGCATTTGAAAGCCCATCGCGTTTTGATCAAGCACTTTTTGCAGCTAGGAATTTTTAACAAAAAGTTTTCACAGGAAGAGATCATGGCAAGAAAGGCATCTCTGTGCTTCTTTCCGCATGGCCTGGGACACTTACTAGGAATGGACACTCATGACGTCGGCGGTTATCCTGATTACAATGATTCTGATCCTTTACTCAAATATCTGAGGTTGCGGCGGCGACTTGAAGTGGGTATGGTCGTAACCAATGAGCCTGGCATCTACTTCAACCCCTTCTTGATCAACGAATATCTTGACAAGCATCCGGAGCGAGTGGAAGTGGTGAACCGCCAAATTATGGACAAGTACCTCTATGTGGGCGGTGTTCGTATTGAAGATGATATTTTAGTGACGAAGGACGGCCACGAAAATTTGACAAAAGTGACCAGTGATCCCAATGAGATCGAGGCCATTGTGACTGATGGTTTGTCTAAAGGGAGATCGCACTTTCATGTATTATCGTAATTAACTAAAAATGATATTTCCTTCGCAAGGAAAAAGGTTTGTATAGTCTTTGAGTCAATTGCATGCCTCTAGTCGTCGTTAGAGTTAGCTAAAAATTATGCGAATTCTGTGGATCGAACACAGGACCTCCAGATTTCAAATGACCGAAGTTTTCTTCAGTCTGGCGCTCTCCCAACTGAGCTAAATCCGCTTTTCATTACACGTGAAAAAAGTTAATTCGTGTTTGACATTTTGGTAGTCAGATGATAATGTTATCAACCGCATGCGCGCTCAGCCGTTTCTCGTTTGAGTTGAAGGCGGCAGAGGGCCTATAGTTTCGATCTTTTTTGAGTGTAATCGAAATCATTGAGTTGGCGATATGCGTTGTACTGAGTACGAGAGTTTTAAGCGGCCATGCTGCCCAGTATGGTACAGCCCCCACAAATGAATCGAATCCCAGTACTGTTCTTCCTGGCTCTTTAGGTTCCGTGAGCATGCAGTCACCCATCAAATGGCTTGAGTACTGGTGGTGATACTTCTCGACGGATGCGAACTCTTATGGATCTGGTTTGATGTCGCCCTTGGGAACCAAGCCTGACCATGTTTATGAAAATTTGAACAGTTCACGGCCGCATTCTTATTGTCGAAAATTAGAGCGTACTTGCAGGGCTTATAAGAACGAGTGCATCTTGAGAGTGCGTTCATTTTTCAGAAATGATCCTTCCAAGCTTTTACTCTGTCCTCGATTGCTTCACGTCTCATTAGAGGCATTGTCAAATTATGCTCTGAGCTAAAAGCACATTACGAAACATTGATCCATGACCTGAACAACCTCCAAAAGCCGAGCATTCACGTTATATGATTGAGTGGGGCTGCTATGCCCTCACTGCCACAAAATAATTTGGAAATATGAACATTGAGGCATATTAAGGGTTGGGGTCACCGAAAGCCCCGAGGTTACCGAGGTCGAAGCAGCACCCTGAGTCATGTTTCCAGTTCAAGGCTCGCGTCATTCCCTTTCTCATTCAGCCAAGCCCTTTTAACTCTATGCGGTCATAGCCAAATCTCATAATTCTGTTAGCAAGTTGTGGCGGCTGTGAGAGTTTTCAGCGAAATCAAGCCCGGGGAAGTCTCTACAAATTTGGCTAAATACGTCCCCAGCTAATTCAAGTTCATTTCGTTCGGACCACTTCTATGCGGGGTTCGGGAAAAGCCTTCATAAAGGCTCCCTGCCAATTTTTAATTTCCGGATCACAGTGCTCCGGCTATGAACCTCTACATACGCCAGCAAATCCACGCGACGGAGTTCACCAGTCCGTCTTGGGGTAACGATACATGCGTAAAGGAGCGGTGCTGCATTCAACGGACTTCTCCTTGCCGAACTTGAAGCCAACTGCAGGGCATCAACGTTACAAAAATCATATGCTCAAAAACTGGAGCGCGAGGCTCGAGGCTGCCGATTGAGGCGCTCCTTCTTATAAAGATGAATAAACACAGGGTCGATTGCTAAATAAGAATCCATATTGATGATTACACATCTTATTCTAGAGAACGGTCTCAAATCTGCAGGTTGGATATGGTTCATGTGGCTCGCTCTTGTTCAAACGCACTGTGGCCCATGCCAGCGAATGTACATTTAGAGCATTGATGTACCTTCCAAGCTCGCAAAAAAACGTGTATCTTTCCCTGCAATGCCTTTACGCGCTCGAGCAGTTGTCATAAACTTGAAGGTCCGTTCGATTGTCGAAATCGTCAGCTTCAAGTTAGACTCCGTATGCTGTGTAACGAGCACATCATGTGATTCGTTGAAGTGAGAGTCGATGTTGACACTGAACTCTATGACAAGACATGTATCGGGGTGTGGGATCCAATATAGCCAGTAACGCCAATAACTAGGACGTAGTTTTGCAAAAAACCTGAGACTCCACCGGGAAGTGATGAATCCAACGTCAATTTGATGAAAGTAGATCTGGCCGTTGTCGACAGCGGTTTCTGCTTTAATATCGTCTGGCAAGTGGGCGTAATTTTTCTGCTTTCTGAATGTGTAATGTATCACTTATAAGTACTGCCAGACTAAGTAAGTGAGATGCTTGGCGGAAACGCTTCTGATATGGCCGCACCTGTAACCTATTCTTTGATCCGTTTTCGTCAACAACAGTCAACATATACATAACTTACTGTGGCAACCATCAATATTGGCGATTTTGACCCATAGCACACAACAGCACTGCTCCCAGTAGTCATTCACAAGTTTTATTTCTACCCATATCCTCGCAGTTTGGGCGACTGGACCTCTATGGTCCGAGCAGGCCGTGCTCGATTTCTGACTTCGGAGTACTGTGGTCCGCAAAATAGATACCAATTTTGAGATTGTTTGTGGGGAAAAAAGAAGTAGTGAGGTGAAAATAGAATGTACCATTGACGACAGAACTGGCTGGACACATCAGCCGGAAGACTTCACGCGGGAGTACAGAGGCTGGTAAAGTCTTCTTGGACTACTAAGATCCGAAAAATTTTATTCCAGCGGACTACAGCATCCTTTTTTGGTTTGGAAAATCGACCCCGAACCATAGGAACACGCTTCGGATTGCACCGCTCCGATACAACGGAGAAAACCTTAGCCAAACGCCTACAGGAGAAAACTGACTGGGATTACAAGGTTACAGTAAAATCTAAGAAGGCAAACAGCTTGAGTATAAAAATCAAGCTATCGTTAAGCCTACGTATCGAAGACGTTAGTTTCTCTCACGATGATTCTGTCCAACGAGCTAACGAAACATCAACTCGCTATGTCAGTACCAAGCTTCCATGGTGCCGAAGTACTACCTGTAAAGCTGCAAAAGCAGGTAAACGACGTCATTGGGGAATTCAAGACTGCCTATGGCCATGGCCCAGACTTCGTAACTAGGTCCCCTGGCAGAGTGAATCTCATTGGTGATCACATAGATTACGTGGACTTCTCTGTCCTGCCAATGGCGATTGACAACGCTGTGGCATGTGCGGTACGTGTGCTACCAAACACAGAAATCCCCTCTGTGACACTAATAAATTCGGATCCTCGATTTGCGCAACGGCGCTTTGACCTGCCTTTAGACGGTTCTGACATTTCAATCGATCCCTCGGTATCGGATTGGTCGAACTACTTCAAGTGCGGTCTTCTTGTTGCCCAGCAATACTTAAAAATGCGATTTGCGGATGAGTTTACCCCTGGAAGAACATTATCAGGAATTGAAGTTTTTGTCAATGGTAAGGTTTTCACAGGAGGTGGCCTTTCATCATCGGCAGCATTTATATGTGCCGTTGCGTTGGCCGTTATCCGTGCGAACGCGGGGCCCAAGTTCGAAGTACCAAAGCAGGAACTAACGCAGATCACAGCCAAAGCAGAACATTATGTTGGGGTTAACAATGGCGGTATGGACCAGGCAGCATCGGTTTGCGGTGAAATAGATCACGCTTTGTATGTAGAGTTCAAGCCTGAGCTCAAGGCAACTCCCTTTATGTTTCCCAAGCTGAAAAACGCCGAAGTTCAATTCATTATTGCCAATACTATGGTGCTATCTAATAAGGTAGAAACAGCGCCAACAAACTACAATCTGAGGGTCGTAGAAGTCACGGTTGCTGCCAACGTCTTGGCGACCAAATACGGCGTTGTTCTGGAGCGGGTAGGGAATCTAGAGAAGGGTACTTTGCGCGAGTTCATGGATGCTTATCACGCCCGCTACCACGGTGCTACCGAAGCATGGAGCGGCGATATTGAGGAGGGTATCTCAAGGCTTACCAAAATGCTGCAATTAGTAGAAGACACGATGTCGGGGTACAGCAGCGGTTATACGGTCCAGCAGGCATCCGAAGCGGTGGGCACTTCGATGCAAGAGTTTGCACGAGACTACCTCACAGACTTCCCAGTTCGCTTTCAAGTTTTGAAACTTTATCAAAGAACCAAGCACGTTTATTCAGAGGCTTTGAGGGTTTTGGAAGCACTTAAGTTGATGCTTCGAAAATCATTTGCGGCAGATGCAGAATTCTTTGATTCCTTCGGCCAACTTATGAACGCGTCTCAAAAATCATGCGACGAGTTATACGAGTGCTCTTGTCCGGAGACCGATGAGATATGCAAAATCGCCAGAGCCAATGGTGCTTACGGATCGAGGCTAACGGGAGCCGGTTGGGGTGGATGTACGGTGCACCTTGTTCCCCGTTCCAAAGTTAACGAAGTGACGCAGGCCCTGGTCGAACAATACTATGCTAAACGCGACATGAACGGCCAGACGTTTGATGATGTTATACTGGTGTCCAGGCCGGCGCTTGGGAGCTGCATTGTTGATGGTCTGGGGTGAGGGTCTTGATACCTAGGTCTTAAACGAAAAATAGCCGGAAGAAATGTTGACGGAAACACTGCATCTTCTTCACTATTGCTCCGTTCGCGGCCAGAAAAGGTTTGTTTCTCACGAGTTCCAAGCGGTTTTTGGCTCGGATTACTGCTTTAGCCAAACAAGGATGCGATCAACGAGTGCCAGATAGTCTGTCTGAAAAGTGTCTTAATTTTTGTGCTAGCTCTTGTCTGACGTTCAAAAAGAGAGACAATTTGAAAGAAACTGCTATTCAAGCAGAGAGTGCCGGGCAGCTACTGGAAAATTACAGAGGTTGTAATATTGAGGTCTTTACGTGGAAAACGCACGAGCTAGTTTTAGGCGTCTATATGATTTTATCTTATCTGGCAAGTATTTGGAGCATGTGAAGGTCCAACAAGATTCACGTTAGGAGGTTGTTGTTAAATCATCGACCACTTTTTAATGTTTTTGACGCAATGTTGCAAATCGAACGGTGTGAACTCCAATTAAGTAAAAAAACACTTAAGCCGAGAGGAAAGTAAGTATACAGAATCAAAGAGCGATAAATTTGGGTGTGAGACGATAGATGTGATTAAGATAAGCTCCGATATTATCCCTTCGGAGATGACGATTTTTCACCTATGCTCCTGGCTCGAATACCCATCATCACGCTGGTTAGGAGTTGGGTGCTAAGTTCAAGACAAGAATTTACAGGTTACGACTGCTCAGCATAGCCTCGTTCCCGCTTTCCAAATGGGTATCTCTGTGAGACCGGCGGGTGCCGGATAGACAAAATGTCGTTATTTCTCAGCGTCTCTCCGTCAATTCTCGATGTAATGTCTAAGCATTAGGCTTTCGGGTTCCTAATGTTGACCTAAAAATCCAGAGCGCATTGTAAAACATTACTGATATCGCTTATTAATTCTACTCAGTAATTCCAGTAAAGCTCCGAAATGCTGGAGAACCCTGTGTCAAAAGCCCTTTGTCGGTTGTCTTAATGTCGGTCCATTGCTCTTGTTAAGAGAGGAACCCGTATTCACGTGATGGATCGTGAAAAATAAACGGCATTCGGAAGCCTAATTTTAACATGCGTTTAATTCCGGTAAAAGCCGTATGTACGTGTACCGTAAGCATAGAAGCAACTTGCAGATCGTCTTGAATCCGGAAGTTCTATTTACGAGGTCATCTCAAATGAAGAATAAACAGACTATGCTATATAAGAAGAGAACAGGCTCCAAATTCACAATCGCTTCATTATGCACGGTCTGAACAGGTTATTATAACAGACATTGGAACACGGATTAACTGCAGGCACTATAAACTAGCGTATTTCTTTTATTGCGTTGTATTTGGACACCTGTATTTTTTCCGCTCCAAATTGACCCACCTTTTTCAAAAAGCACTCTGAACCAAGGAAGGAGGGACTGGAAAGATGACATTATCGGACTCGCCAGGAGGTTCTACCAGTAAGTCTCTAGAAGAGCAGGCTTACTACGGTTCAGAACAAGGCCAAAGTCTGGGACCCGGAAATGAGCCCTTTCAAGATGCCCCAGAAGGAGATGGCCAATCCTCGAGGGCGCACGTGACCAGACTGATGATGCGCCGGTCGAACAATGGCTATGAGGGCGATGAGATGGACCCAGAAGTGCTCTCCCGTGTCGAAACTCTGGCCCGCACACTTTCACAACACCGTGTACGTGACGGTCCTCTCGAAATTGACCCGGACAACTTTGATGCCAAGGAGATCATAGGATCGTTTGTGCGTGACAGTCAAGATCAGGGCATCCATCTGCGGAAAGCCGGTGTAATCGCAGAGGACTTTATCGTTATCGGCGAGGATTGTTCTGCGGCAGAAGCACCCACATTTGAAGACATTCTGCTTTTGCCTCGTACCATTTTCCGGGGTATTCGTGCTGCGAAAAATACAAAGACTCGGGCCATTGTTACTAACGCCAACGTGCTGGCCAAACCAGGTGAAATGGTGCTGGTGCTCGGAAGACCCGGTGCAGGCTGTTCCTCGTTCCTTAAAACCATTTCAGGCGAAACGTCTAAATTCAAGAAGGTCGAAGGTTCGATTTCTTATGACGGGATTCCACAAAAAGAGATGATGCGCAAGTACAAGGCTGATGTTGTGTACAATGGTGAAGTGGACGTACATTTTCCTCACTTGACAGTCCAGCAGACCTTGGACTTTGCACTTGCCTGCACAACGCCCAACGTGCGTGTCAACGGTGCTACCAGATCTCAATACGTTGCCGCCATGCGCGAGCTATATGGAACGATTTTTGGTTTAAGACATACCTACAATACCAAGGTTGGTAACGATTTCGTGAGAGGTGTTTCTGGAGGTGAACGGAAACGTGTTTCTATCGCCGAAGCTCTAGCTGCTCGTGGTTCCATTTACTGTTGGGACAATGCCACGCGTGGTTTGGATGCCTCTACAGCGCTAGAATTCGCACAAGCCATACGGTTGATGACCAATTTGCAAAAATCAGTGGCCCTGGTCACCATCTATCAAGCCAGTGAAAACATTTATGAATGCTTTGACAAAGTGACTATCCTGTATGATGGCAGACAAATTTACTATGGAGAAGTGGAGCAAGCTAAAGATTACTTCAGGAAATTGGGATACGTTTGTCCAGCTAGACAATCGACACCTGAATTTTTAACTGCTTTGACTGATACTAAGGGCCTGCATGAATATGTCCCCGATTTCGAAAAATCAATTCCAAAGAGCGCAGAAGATTTCGAAAAGTGTTGGATTCAGTCAAAGGAGTATCAGCAAATGAAGGAGGACATTCGGATCTACAAGCAAGAGACAAAAGTTGAAAATACAAAGCATCTCTACGACCAGTCTCTGGCTCAAGAAAAATCCAAGTTGACTCGTTCTAGATCTGCCTACACTGTTTCATTCATGGAGCAAATCAAGCTATGTACAAGGCGTGGATTTGAAAGGATCTACGGTGACAAGGCCTTCACGGTAACCAACATTATTGCATCAGTTATTCAAGGACTTGTTACAGGTTCATTGTATTACAATATTCCATCAGGTGTATCGGGTTCATTCTCGAGAGGCGGTGTGTTTTATTTCGCCATTTTGTACACTTCTTTGATGGGTCTAGCCAAAATCAGTCTTGAGAGTCGTCCAATCATGGAGAAACACAGAACCTATTCTTTATACCATCCCGCTGCAGAGGCATTTGCCAGCTCTGTCTCTGAGTTTCCTTTCCGCTTTATCAGTACAACCGCCTTCTACCTCCTTATTTTCTTTCTTTCGGGTATGACTAGAAGCGCGGGGAGATTTTTCACCTCTTTCCTCTTCTTAATCATTTGTGCTGAGTCTATCAACGCTCTTTTCGATTTGATCACCGCATTTAGCAGCAGCGTTTCGCAAGCGAATTCCGTCGCAGGTACGGTTTTGATGGCTTTGGTGCTTTACTCTAACTATATGATTCAAACGCGCGCAATGCACCCTTGGTTTAGATGGATTTCGTACTCGACACCCATTAGATACACTTTCGAAAGTATGCTGAACTCCGAGTTTCACGCCAGAAAAATGGATTGCTCGAGCAATATCATTCCAGCGGGCCCTTCATACAGTGGGGTCTCGGTCAATAACAAAGTCTGTGCCTTCGTCGGGTCACGTCCAGGCGAACCCTATGTTCTCGGAGACAATTACTTGAGCGGTCAATTTGCCTACAATTATAGCAATACTTGGAAGAATCTCGGATACGTCTTCGCTTTCTTGGTCGTATACCTTTTACTGAAATGTCTGGTCACGGAACTAAGGCCACCATCATCTGGTGGTGGTGATACACTCGTTTTCAAGAAAGGTGCCAAGAGACTGGGAACTCCTTCGGATGAAGAGAACGATGAAGCGTCCTTAACCATGGCTGAGGCGAAGAAGAACATTGATAATGGTAGCGAGGATACTTCGAGCATGGCAAGCAATGTGTTCAAGGATTTGAAAAGTGATGGTGTATTTGTGTGGAAGGATGTTTGCTACACGATTCCATACAAAGGTAGCACCCGTAAGCTGTTAGACAATGTGACTGGATACTGTGTACCAGGTACTCTCACTGCTTTGATGGGAGAATCTGGTGCCGGAAAGACAACCTTATTGAATACTTTGGCTCAGAGAAACGTTGGCGTCATAACTGGTGATATGCTAGTTAACGGAAATCCAATCGATGTAAGTTTCGAAAGACGCACAGGTTACGTCCAGCAGCAAGATGTTCATGTCTCGGAAATGACAGTCAGAGAATCATTGCGTTTTGCTGCGAGACTACGCAGACCTGCTTCCGTTCCAGATGCCGAAAAACTGGATTATGTCGAGAAAATTATGGAGATTTTGGACATGGGTGAATACGCTGATGCGCTCGTAGGGGATTCCGGTTTTGGACTAAACGTCGAACAAAGAAAAAAGGTATCCATTGGTGTAGAATTAGCCGCGAAACCCGATTTGTTGCTGTTTTTGGATGAACCAACCTCTGGTTTAGACTCGCAGTCGGCCTGGGCTATTATTCAGATTCTTAGAAGGCTTGCAGAGGCCGGCCAGTCTATTTTATGCACGATCCATCAGCCTTCGGCAACCTTGTTCGAGCAGTTTGATAGATTGCTACTACTAAAGAAGGGTGGACAGACCGTTTACTTTGGCCCAATCGGTGAGAATTCAAGGGATCTCATCGGTTACTTCGAAGAGAATGGCGCCAGAGAATGTACAAGATCGGAGAATCCTGCAGAGTACATTTTGGAGGCCATTGGAGCCGGTGCCACTGCATCGGTGAAGGAAGATTGGTATGAGATTTGGAAGAACTCTCGCCAATTTAACCAAGCGAAGGAAGAAGTTGATAAACTACTGCGCGAATCGGCTAACAAAGAGGCTTCTGAGGATACAGGACCATCTTCCAAGTACGCTGCACCATACTTCTATCAATTTAAAGTCGTTTACGCCAGAACTTCAACTATCTTTTGGAGAGACGTGAACTATTTGATGTCAAAAATGATGTTGCATCTATCCGCTGGTCTCTTCATCGGTTTCACGTTCTATAATGTCGGTACCAGTTATACCGGACTGCAAAACACCATGTTTGCGGCCTTCCTGGCCTTGATTATTTCCGCACCTGCCATGAATCAAATTCAGGCTCGTGCTATAGCTTCAAGAGAACTCTATGAGGTAAGAGAATCCAAGTCAAATACCTTCCACTGGATGTTTCTCGTCCTCACGCAGTACTTGTGTGAACTACCATATCAGCTCATATTCTCCACCATTTTCTTCGTTGGTTTTTACTTCCCTCTCAGAGTTCACTATGAGGCACGCTATGCAGGCGTCTTCTTCTTGACCTATTGCATTATGTTCCAGCTGTACTTCGTTGGTTTGGGCCTGATGTTGCTGTATGCTGCTCCAAACTTGGCCTCAGCTGGTGTTATGTTGAGTTTGTCTCTGTCTTTCCTACTTTCCTTCTGTGGTGTTGTGCAGCCTGCCAGCTTGATGCCAGGATTCTGGACATTCATGTGGAAGGTATCTCCATACACCTATTTTGTGCAGAATGCAGTTGGTGTTGTTCTCCACAACAAACCAGTGGTTTGCAGAAAGAGAGAGATGTCTTTCCTCAATCCACCTGCTGGACAAACTTGCGGGGAGTACATGAAGGACTTTTTGTCTCAATCTGCGGGCTACATTTACAATCCTGATGCTACCGAAAACTGTGGCTACTGCGTATTCAAAGTAGGCGACGAATATTTGAAGCAAATTAGTGCCAGCTACAGTAACATCTGGAGAAACTTTGGATTCTACTGGGTGTACATTGGCTTCAATATTTTCGCCATGGTTGCTCTATACTACATTTTCCACGTCAGTAACTTCTCTTTGAAAGAAACCAAGATAGGTAAAGCTATCATGGGTAAGCTCAAGAAAGAGTAAGGTCTTTATTAAGTTCACTATATACCCCATCGAACTGTCGATTAATGAACATTTTATGCTCGAAAGAGAAAGTATACATCATCTACAATCTTTCCCAAGTCTGAGGTTGATGGTCAGGTAAGCTTAGCTTGTTTTCATGTCATCTATAATGCCTAAGGTAAGGTGACGCATTTAAACGATCATGATACCCGTTGGGAATGGAAAACCTTATATAACCAAAAATCGGCACGATTGAATTGAGAAGCAAGACACTTTGCATGAACCAATCGTTAACTTCATGAGCGCAACCAACGTGAGGTACCTGAAAGGTAACTGTCTTTCACAAGCTATATCCTATCCACGAATTTTAATTCACTCCTGCAATTGCAATGGCTCGTGGGGCGGTGGCATAGCATACCAGCTCGGTGTGAAGTATCCCAAAGCTGAAAAGGACTACAATGAAATCTGTGAGAGATTCGGCTCTCAACTTTTGGGAAAATTCGTTCTGATACCTAGTTACTCTGACTCGACATTGTTGATAGGTTGCCTCTTCACAGCAACGTTTGGGGGATCAAACCAAGGGTCGGGGAGCGATATTCTGCACAACACTGAATTGTCTCTAGAAGATATGAGAATTCTGCTTCAGCAACCGGTCAAAAGATCAACCAATGACATCGATGTCTTCCTGTCTCAGTATATGGAAAATGTCAAGGGCAATTTGCGATACCAGCTGGCCGAATATCATCTCGAGATGCCACAAATCAATAGCGGCATATTTGGCGTGCCATGGCCGAAAACAGAGGCCTTGTTGAAGTTGCAGAAATCGCTTTCATTCGCGGTATATGTACTATGAAATTTAAAGGTCGTGTTCGTTGCTCGACCTTACAATACTCCTTTAAATAGATGATATGCAGGTTGTGGTTTTACGAGGTAATTTTACATCTCCTCCCTCATGAAGGCTGCGGCCTAAGTTTCATCAACGCCGAAAGTGGTTTTATGTTGCCCTTTATTATCTTGAAGCACGCGAGACTCGTCTCAGTCCGAATTGGAACCATCAGCCATATAGTTGAGGTTCAAGATAGACCCGAGTCTCGAGTGCTGTCCCTGACCTTTTCCTTTCAGGCGCTCTTCCCTCTCGAATTCCCTCCAAGTTCTCATTCTGATCATGGAGTGATCAAATTCTCCCACCTCTTCGTCATGCAAAGCTTTATTTCCCCCGGCAATCGTTCTCGTATCACCCCAACTAAAATCATCGAACTTCCAGTATGCGTAGACAGGTAATAGAAAATTCCAAATTGGTAATGCAACGATGTAGATTAACATCCAACCCAAATAAGACCATCTACTAGCAGTCACGACAATGAGGAGACCTGGAAGACCCAGGATAACAGCGAGCAGGACCAATGTAATAATTGGCGTGGGGTGAGATACAATGGCAAAAATGACGACGTAAATGGTGAAGCAGATGGCAAGTGGTAGGACCAAAGTTCCAATGAGTTCCATACCAATAACGAATTGCATGGAAAAACAGAAACTGCCACAAAGATCCTGGATCAACACAAGTTCCATCAAGTTGTGTACAGTCGAGTTGATCCACCGTCTTCTCTGCGACAGCAGAACCTTCAGCTGGTTGGGAACAATCGTTTTACATGCAGCCTTCGATAAGAACACCTGTTTACGCTTGGGAAATGTTCTCAACATCAAAGAAGACAAATATCTATCCTCACCCAATAACAACAGATTTTTTTTATGCAGACTGCCAGTATCATTGTCAGAATATCTTTCCACAATGTCAGGATTGGATAAGAGAGGTACCCAGTAACCATCAGGACCCTTTGGAGATTTGATTCGATAGATCGAGAAACAGCCTGGAAGACAAGTAACGCTTCCGAACACAGATTCGAAAGCCTTGGCCTGATGATGGGAAATGTAGTACTCAAACACCTGAATCCACGATACCCAGGAGTCTGTTTTATTAGCGATTTTGGTTTCACCGCAAAGGCCCATGATTTCGGGGTCTTTCACCATTTCTGCAGCCATATGCGTTAAAGAATCGGGGAAGACTTTGGTGTCAGCGTCAACCATGAGAACTAGTTCGTAAAATTCCGACATTAGTCCAGTTATCTGCCATATGTTCTTTAGCAGTTGATACTCAAACACTGTCATACGCTCTTCGAAAGTCAGTCTTTGCAGGAATGACATCAAAATTATTTGAGAATCACGCTTACCTCTGTTTCCAGGTTTGACCGAAGCTTGCTCGTCTGGAGTGCCGCACTTCACAATGACAACAATAGGAACTTTTTGCTGAAGGTCCGGCTCAATCGTGGAATCGTCATACTTGTAAAATCCAGCGTAAACTTTGGCCATATTATGCCTCTTCGAACCAGATGCCACGGCCACGTATGAATGAGGTTCAACTTCTTCTGGCGGCACAACAAAATCTTCAACCATTCCCAGCGCTATATCAGGCGTCGACAAAGCGTTTCCAGAACCACTAATAATACCATCACAAACGACCATTAGTAACTTATGGGAGTTAGGATAGTCTGTTGTGGCCAGAGAGTCTAACGTGGTGCGTATGGCACTCTCATCCTCGGAATAGCAAGTCACAAAACATATCGTATGCACCAAAGGATATCCATTGGGCATATAATCAGCCGGGGGTTGTGCTACAACGTCTGGATGGATAATGGATGAATCCAAGGTTTCTAAAGTATTTGATGGCGAAATCAAGTCGTTAGTGAACGGAGACTGGAAATCCGCACCGTTGTGTCCCTCAGTTTGAACATTCGTTTTCAAATAGGATTGAGTGGTCATGGTTGTCATCCCACGAAACTTATCCCGATCCTTAGAGGTGGTGTCATCATTGAGAAGCATCATGGAGTTGCGCTTAATGAGGTCAAACGCCGAGGTTCTGCGTTGGCCATGCGGCCTCATGTTGTGGTCAACCCTTTTAATTGGGCCTCTTGCATTGATATTCTCAGACCAATCCTCGATGTCATTGGCATGTTGTTTCATGCTCTTATTGCTCACGGTATAAGCGCCTTGCTTTCTTGCCACAAACCACCGAAAATAGCACGATATGAAAAACTTCACGAAGACAACTGCCAGAATGAAAACGAGGGAAATGTATAGAACGACTTGAGAGGCAAGACAACCAATAGTGGATGTATCGATTTCGCCAACCTTGATTACCTCTGACAAGCACCTCGCTGCTTTTTTTTCAAAAGAGTCCGATAAAACCAGCGAAATATCATAGCCTTGCAATTTGGAATCTTTCAGCCGGTCGAAAAGTGGAGGATAATCCAGATCGTCAGTTTGTAACCAATCCAGCATATTTAGATCTAGGACATGCCCATTGTACACCACAAGATTGCGAGTTGAATTCTTGATATCTTCCCAAGTAAAATAGACATCTGCAGCGGCATGGAGGGAGTAGTAAGCATCGCGAGCATCTTGAGAAGTGTGGCACGCCCAACCATCATAATATTCACTCACGGTGAAGTTTGGCTCTGTTGAACCGTCCTGTGCAATCAGTTTACAAGGAAAATACCAAGCCAAATTTTGATCGTCGTCATATGGAATGCTACAATTTTCTTTTGGAGTGATCAGTCCTTTACAGTTCCCATTGACGTTCTGGAACAGAAAGGTTGCGTCCATGCTTCCTGCATTAATCGGGGGATACAGAACAGTGGTTCCGCCCTCGATGCCTGCAGCCGCAGGATGCGATGACGAATCTAAAGCGTAAGACTGCCCGTTGATAATCAAATAGCTTGTCGAGACTTCATTGTTGCGCAAACGTAGGGTCTGGCTGCTGCAGACAGTTCTCGTGAAACCAAACGTCAGATATGCAACCAGAGTGCCCGCATACAGGATGACCGATAGAAGGGCAATTTTTTCTCTCCAAGCAAACTGACGCTCTTTCTTTGGCATCCCAAACAACGATAGCAGTGGTGCTGGTGCCCAAAAAGTTATAATGTAGCAGTAGATTTGCCAAAATGAGAGAGATGGCGACTTTTGTGTTTTCGATGATGCAGTATTTTTCTTACCGCGATTCATGTCCTCGAGCGGAATAGACTCCTGGACTTGAACCTGACCCTTTGCACGTTGTTCCTGCGTCTTCTGCGCATAGAAGTGATGAGGGTTTTCTGGATCTGTGAAATCATTCCGCTCTCTTCTCACCAATGAGTCGCCTCGCTGCAATCCGCCATCATTAACGCTGTTCCTGGATCGCAACAATGATTCGTTGTCAAACGCATAATAATCATCGTTACCAGTCATCGGTTGTTAAGATGCCACTACTACTCAGGTCACAAACCCTCCAGGCGATTGACCAGATTTCAGAGTGCGAATGTGAGCGTGATGAGTTGAACAGTGCGTTCTACATTCAAGAATTTTTTGAACATATTGAGATCGAAGCCTTATAAACTTAGAAGCAGAAGACGTCAGCTTAGACAGAAGTGATGTGGAATTTCGGAGTAATCGTTGCAACGAGCTTCTTGAAGTTGGTTCCTAATGGTGTGAGGTTCTCAATGACAGTGGTGAAATGGATTAAGTGGAATGGATATCGTGTAGTTTGAGACAGAGCTTCGGGCTGGGTGCCGAAAAAAAACAAGAAAGACAATGACGAACGTTTTACTGACATCGAAGGGTGCTTATTCGGGGTGATGAAATCGATTATGACATGCAGTTGAACGGAATCAGCGGCACCAGTATGAATCGAGCGATTGAAGTGGTTATATTTGGTGTGTAAAGTAAAGCTTGTCAAAGTCATTGCCAGATCTGCTTGATTTCGCATTTGGTAGAGTACGATTTTATGCAAGAAAGCGTGGCAAGAAACGAGTGCCACGTTATAAGGCTCTTGGGCAGCTGACGCTTGCCTGTATGAGCCGTAAAAAGCGGCACTGGCATGTTGGGAAAGAGGTTCTCGCCGAAGAATATTGAGAGGAAGCACATAAGGAGTTTACTGGCGCGTGGAACCGTTCGAAGCTCAGGGATTTAACGGCGTTGATGCTTTTATTGAGACTCTGGCTCTGGAGTGTCGTTGCACAATCAACGATCCAAAGCACTGACTAATTGAGGTACGGGGCTATCTCTTCATGTTCTCTCTTATCTACATAAGTGGGTCTTGTAGGTTGACCAAGTGGTGCATCTCCAGGAATCGCTCTTTAATTTCTCACCTCTATTGAGATAGTAAGATTGTTAATCCGACCATTGATAGTAATGCCATAGAATCGGATCTGTTGCTCATCAGGCCATGATGCTGTGAAGTCAGGAAAGTGAGGATCAACTTGTCAGTTCATCGATTCTGACGCTGTCACTTCTGCACGTGTATGCGATAACTTCCACATGAATTTGACGCTCTACAGACAGAGGTTTCAACCAAAAGAATAGAAGTTCAGTACCAGCCTTTTTGAACAATCTTGAACAGACTGAACTTTTCTCAGTAACGATAGCAGATTTGAATAAAAGAGCGTAGGCTTTTTTTGTCTGAACTTCTGTCTGTCTAGCGTCTGATCCATGGCAAAGTGATCACATACACGTGACTGATGACAGCGTCAGAATTAACAAGATGGTCAAAGAATCTAGAACAACTACAGATCTAACAGGAACGACGTCGATTAAACCCAGTGATACCAGTTGCGATTGATCGTATGGACTCCATATTAGCCCACTCCGCCATTCACGCCCGGAATGCTTGAAAGTTCTCATATTCGTCAGCGACGGAACATTAGAAGAGAACTTGTATAGGAAGGGACGTTTTGTCTACCCTGCAAGCTCATTCCATTCATGCTAAATAGATCGCGGAGAGATAACTCTAACTCAATAAACAATAGTTTAGACCTTACAACAATGGACAAGATCACCCAAGATATGGAACGTTTATCGTGCAACGACACTCCAGAGACAGAGTCTCAACACGAGTATAAACAATATGGTTGTTTCTTCGTCAGAGTTGTTGCACAACTTGAAAAAAGAATTCCTCGAGAGATGAGCTCCCTTAACATGTACTGTTCAAGCCAACAGCCGAGAAGAACCAAACCTCGATACCTGAGTGTAATTGATCACTCAAATCATTCAAATTTGGTCTCAAACAAAATGAAATGGGGTTTGAGTTGTCCTGCTATTCCAAAAAGTTTGTTAGTTCACGTCTGCCTCATCACCAGCTGAGCTGACTCGGTCATGCCCGACACTTTCGCGATCAAATGACTTACAGTTTTCGGCATTCAAACCCCGCGATCAGGGTTTGGTATCACGACAATAGCTAGTTAAGACACGGGATAGTGAAGTTCCACAGTAAGCTGTGCGACAGATTAGTGAAAAGTGATCGAATCGATGGCCAGATCGCAGCACGTAGGATGCTCTTGGTGCTTCTAGCCAAGATCGCCGTTCCCTCCTGCATCATCATTGATTCTCGATTGTTAATGTTAGTGACCCATCTGCGACACAGTCACCATTGTTGTTTCGTCGATATCTATGATAAACCTATTTGAGAAGAGATAAACGCCTACGATAGTTCTAACAAAGTAATCCATGTGAAGAACTAAGACGAGGCCGGCTGAGTAGCCGGATGCGTTGGACTTGAACGTTTACACCACCATCCCAAGCTTCCTGATTAGTGGACGATTAACGAAGCACGAAGGTTGAGTGACAGTATTTCGTGAACAATAAGAGATGAATATCTTATCTTATCACTTCGAGTCAAAAGCCGTGATGAATCGAGGAACCATTTCGAACCGTCTTGGATTATATAAAGCAAGCGGCCGATAATGGAACCTACCACTTACTATGAGTGCAGCATCGAGTGAATTCAATCACCACAGCTTTTTTGCTTACGGTGCTAAGCTGCTTTAGCTACCACACTTGTCTTTCATCCTGCCATGACTTCTCATAGTACTTCCGGCACTGCAACCATTGACTTGCCCAGCACAGGAACATTTAGCATCCCAGCAGTAGCGCCGCTGTCCATTGTCAATGGGCGATTGAACACCACTGTCTTGGAAACTGGTACCACTTATGGCGGAGTTGCAAGATGGGGAGATGAACCACACGAATTTGGGATGCGCAGGCTGGCTGGAACGAAGGAAGACGGAGCCATGAGGAATTGGTTTCTCAATGAGTGTAAAACTCTCGGCTGCGAAATCAAAATCGATCAAATCGGCAATATTTTTGCTGTTTTTCCAGGTAAAAACCCTGGTAAGCCTACGGCCACAGGCTCTCACCTAGATACTCAGCCAGAAGCCGGCAAATACGATGGAATTTTGGGCGTTTTGGCAGGCTTGGAGGTTTTACGAACTTTCAAAGACAACAATTATGTTCCTCACTATGACGTTTGTGTCGTGGTTTGGTTTAACGAGGAGGGCGCTCGTTTTGCGAGGTCCTGTACTGGGTCCAGTGTCTGGTCCCATGATTTGCCGTTGAAAGAGGCTTACGAACTTATGTCGATTGGCGAGACGGAGTCCGAGTCTGTTTTCGACTCATTGAGCAAGATTGGATACATCGGCGATGTTCCCGCGTCGTACAAGGACAACGAAATTGATGCCCACTTTGAGTTGCATATCGAGCAAGGTCCAATTTTAGAAGACGAGCAGAAATCAATAGGTATTGTCACAGGAGTCCAGGCCTATAAGTGGGAAAAGATCACAGTGAGCGGCGAAGGTGCACATGCGGGCACCACGCCCTGGAGATGTAGGAAAGACGCTCTACTTGTATCAGCCAAGATGATTGTCGTTGCCTCTGAGATTGCTAAAAAACATCAAGGCTTGTTTACATGTGGTGTGATTGACGCCAAGCCTTATTCTGTGAACATCATACCTGGCGAAGTTTCGTTTACTCTAGACTTTAGACATCCTTCAGATGAAACCTTGGAAGCTATTCTTGCAGAAGCTCACGGAGAGTTTGATCGCATCGTCAAGGATAACACTGCTGGAGCATTAGATTACCGTACAGAAGTCCTTCAGGTTTCACCAGCGGTCAAGTTTGATCAAACTTGCATCGAGTGCGTAACTAGATCTGCGCTCGCTCAATTTCCCGAAAGCGAGGTCCGTCAGATATGGTCAGGCGCAGGACATGATTCTTGTCAAACCGCCCCTCACGTTGCAACTTCAATGATATTCATTCCTTCTAAAGATGGTTTGTCTCATAATTATCACGAATACTCTTCTCCTGAAGAAGTTGAGAATGGCTTCAAGGTTCTTCTGCATGCCATTGTCAATTATGACAACTTCAGAGCCATGAGGGGACATTGATTAAAGAATATAGTAGATATTATTCATTATAAGTTACAGCATGTACGATAGGTATTTTACATTTTGGGTTCCTTATTGAATATATTTCTTGTATTGGGAAGATTGAAGGAGCCGCTATCCTCCGCTTTATGCTTGTAACTCACTATCAACCGGAGGTACTTCAGTACCAAGAATGACACCGATCCAACGGCCCTGAACAATGCCAGAACGGCAACCGACCAAAGAATGAAAATCAAATACTTGTTCTTCGCAGTATCTTCTGGCCCGTAGACCTGAGTAACGACCATCATCATGATAAGGTTAGATAGCATCCAAATCATAACAATTCGTGTTCTAATGTCACGATAATAATCATTATTCCTCTGAGCTTCGTCAATCTTGGGTTCGACAACTTCTTCTTCTTTGAGCCTGTTTTTGATTTCAGCGAACTTTTTGTCAACCTCTTGAGGCCACTCTGTTCCTTCAACAATCTGCTGGCCATTAGGACCTTGTTTGACCGTGGCCTCAGATTTGGGTTTCGTGTCTTCTGTGGAGCCTTTCGTACCCCAAGAAACGTCATGAGTATTGCAGAACGCGAAGATCTGCAAAGTGCAGATAAAAGATGGAAGCATCAAAAGGTATTGTACAGATGATGTGATTAGATGCCAAGGGTCGAGATACAGGATGGACGTAAATGCATAGAGACCATACGTCGAAAGGAGGGAAACCACGATATTGAAGAAAACCATACTGCTTTCAGTTGGATCCTGTAGCGTCTTGAAAGAAAAAACAAGCCCACAAACTAATGCGTAAGTAGAGCAAATCGAAAGAATCACCATTGAAATGATGAATAGGTGGTTAGCGCCCTGCGGTCTGTTACCCATTGAAATGATGAAGAGAGCAGCAAGATCGCATATTATCAAATACTTGAAAAAAGTGAACAGGACATCTCCGTGCTTCATCAACTTGTTCATGGATCCTGCTAAAAAGTAAAATGTCAAAAAGAAGTTAGAAATGGAAAACCAGGAAAACAGCATCTGAACAAACTGATAGAAGAATTCCAAGTGGAAGAAAATTTTTCTGGTGGTGGAATGTCTCGTCTTCCATATTTGCGGGAAATGAAGCTGAGCGTAGAGGGCCGCAAACATTGCACCATTTAACCAACGCCTTCTTTGTGAAATGAACTCGGGTGGTTCTTCAGGCACATCTGTTTCACCAGTAGCTTCTTTGACATACTTTAAGACCCACTTGGCGTTCCTCTTAGCGACTAACTCCCAGCACAAAATTCTGTCCTCAGCTAAGTACATGTTTGCCGTAAAAACGTCATGCTGACGCCCCTCTTGAGTTTCACCCAGAAAATAGGAGTTTAGAGGTCCAGTGCCATCTTCGTGATTCTTAAGAGCGCGATAGCGGTAAGCAGATAAAGCGCCTGGAAGAACGGAAATATACCCAAATACACTTTCCAATGGCTTGTCCAGGATGTTAGAAATTTTATACTCAAAATTTTGAGATGCCACAAGTGGATTTAAAAGCTTGAGACCCCATTTCCCCTTCATTGTTTTGATCTGACCAGCAGCACCGGCTACATTGGAGTCTCTGTCAAAAGCCTTCCATAAATGATAGATAGCGGTATCATTCAGTCTTGTCCCGACGTCCACGAGAATGATAACCGTTGGGTCTAGAATGGGACAAAAAGCATTGAAAAGCCAGCGATGAGAGTTAATCTTCTTTTGATTTTCTTCTTTGAGACAGAAGACAACTTGGACTGGTACAATTTCTTTGCTCACATAGTCTAATTCTGCATCGATAGAGACCTGAGTAGTGAGTTCGAAAATGTGCGCCTTAACCGGCTCGCCGTTTACAGTCGATTTTGTCATGTCTTCCTGGTAGATACCCAAGGCGCTGAGATAATCCAAGGAACCTTTGTTGATGTTTCTCCTACCATCGCTAACGATAATAACTTGTATTTTCTTCCAGCCATTGGGCCCCCAGACGCTAGATTTTTTACGTTTGCACATATGCGAGATATTTCTCATGACGGAGTGTAGCGTGCTAGAGAGAGCAAATTTATCCTCGTTGTACATTGTAATGCAAACTGTTATTTGGCATTCGCGGTTCATTTCAGCGAACCTAAGAGAGTAACCTTCGTCCACGTAGCTGTCAGGTTCGGAGGTACATGCAGTGTATCGCATCTCGGTAAATTCGGGAGAATCACGTTTAGGAAGAATCTCCAGAAGCCCTCTTGGAATTGGATTGTCCAACTTCAATATATTCCTTTTAGCTTTGACAGAAGGTAGTTTCCTAACTTCAGACTTCCCGCGCTTAATGTAGTTTTTCTGCGGATGGTTGACTTGAAACCGTGTCTGTTCGAATGTGTCCCCAGAGAAAACGGTGCTGTCATCACCAAAGGATTTCCGTTGACTCTCGAAAGAATACTTTGAGTGAGTACCGTGGGAAACTGAACGAGATTGGACGCTTGGGTTTTCATAGGAGTAGCTATCGTACAAGTCACCATGCTCGTCGTCCGATGGTTCATCGATTGCAATTATTGCACGCCCGTTACGCTTTGGAGATTCGTGCAGGTTGGCGGTGTAGCGGTTCTGACGAACTGGTGAGTTGGGTGTGCTATCACGCGCGAAGACATTTCTTCGTTGTGGGGAATATTTGGCAGCTGCCTTGGATGGAGATGGGGGCTGGACCGGGGCCACCGAGGGGAACCCTTGAAATGCAGTAGATAAATCATTTTCCGTAGAGTTGTATTCGGAATACTGTGATCTCCAGGGAGATTCCTGGCGCCTAGCGGCCGGTTGAGGTGATCTTACAGGCGAATTGTTCTCGCCGGTCATGAAAGGATTGTAATCCATGATGGCCAACTGCTATGATACGAGGGCCACACAACTAGCAATAATCGTAGAAGAGTGGAATTACAGGAAGGGAGTCCCACATCATTTTTTTTCGATATTTAAAGCCCAGTTGTTGGTAGGTACCTTTAGATCAACACCCATCCCAAAATGGTAATCGGTAAATATTAGCTTGCCCATGAGACGAAATTCTTGTAGATATTTCAGAATGCGCAATGGAACGATAGCGTTAGGACAAATGCTGGTTTAGCCCTGGAATTGAGGCTATTGTGAGTAGTGCTCACCGCGCGAAAGCGTAAGTTGCTACTAATCCTCAATAGGACCAATTATCGTGCTTAGCGTTTTCTTCGTAGATAGATCAATTCCTAGTGATCCGCTATCAAATTTGGCTTGAACAAAAGCACATAAAATGAACGTCAAAAGGCACAGTCTGGAACATGACGTTGCTCTAAAACCTGACCTTTCTGTTCTTGCCTTGCTTTGATTCCATGGCGCTGATGTATTGTTATTAGGCTGTGTGTTCCAAGTCAATCACGTGACAAGCACTCTTCTCCTAGGCAAAGCCAGAGAAGGGTGTGAAAGTGGTCGTCATTACAACTGACACCGACCTGTATACTAATCTGGAGGGACAATGCGTTCAAAAAAACCCAATTGTTACTCTTTCTGTGTCTCCATAATACTCCAACCGTGTCACCCGTTGAAGTCTATGTGCCCGTGCTAGATATTACGTCATTCGAGAAAAGTCCAAGACCTTGTAACAGCCAGTATCTCAGAGTATATATGGCGTAAGAAGTGCTCTCAAGTTCTGTGTAAAGCACAGTGCCAGTGTTTTATCCTATTTTGCACGACAATTACGCGTCACTTTATATGCCCTGCACGTTCTTCCGGAACCCTTCAGCACAAAGAAATTTGAACATAGCATCGGATGCCGAAACAGAACCTCAAATTTTTGAAATGAGAACGTCTTGGATGTTTTGTTAGTTTCACGAACCTTACTGTTAGACGTGTGTCGAACACCCCTTTTTTGTGCAGTAGGGCAAATTCAGCTGTCACCGTTAACCATCAGCTGAAAGGACCCCACGATGGTCGTGAAATATATTACGATATACTAAAGAGAAACGAAGCCTGAGCGGTAGGTCTTGTAGGATTGATCTACGTTTCTACCTTACTCTTTTGATTATTATATTTAAAGTTACATTACATATCATGTGACTTTAGTTGTAGAATTACATTCCAAGCTATACATTATATCATCGAACCGTCTAAGCGACATCACGATAGGATTTACCCATCTTTCATAGCTTAGCAACTTACAAAGAGTGTCAAGCAGCGTTAGATTCTGAGAAGCTCTTTAAATCTTTGTCTATACCGTTTTGGAAGATACGACATGCTAGCAAGAAACCGCATTTTGGTTGCTCTGAAGCGAACGAACCAATATCCAATACTTGGAAGCAGATTGTTGTCCAGCTCGGCATATCTCTACAACACGTCAGTGGATAAAAAAGGTCAGCAACCAGCTCAACCAGTTGGTAGCGATGTTGAGCCCCCAAAACGCAAACCTTTGAGTAGAATCGCTATAGGTGGATCAACGAACCAGTCGCAACGGGATAGCGGCGGATCTATTGAGTTTGCAACTTGGAAAGCAGCAGCTCTTTTGGTAACCCTCGGTGGTACGCTGTACTATTTTTTCGCCAAGGAGAAACGTAGATTAGAGATTGAAAAGGAGGCTGAAGCCAACAGAGGGTACGGGAAACCTTTGGTCGGTGGGCCTTTCAAGCTTGTGGACTTCAACGGCAACGAGTTTACCCAAGAAAACCTCAAGGGCAAGTTTTCCATCATATATTTCGGGTTTTCGCATTGCCCTGACATTTGTCCCGACGAACTGGACAAGCTGAGCGTGTGGCTGGACGAGCTCAAAAAAAGAGGCATCGAGTTACAACCGATTTTCATTACATGCGATCCTGCCCGAGACCCCCCAAATGTCCTCAAAGAGTATTTGAGTGAGTTCCATCCCGACCTCATTGGTCTTACAGGAGACTACAACGCTGTCAAGCACGCGTGCAAACAGTACCGTGTGTATTTCTCCACGCCACCATCTCTTAAGCCAGGCCAAGATTACTTGGTTGACCACTCTATCTTCTTCTACCTCATGGATCCCGAAGGCCAATTCATTGACGCCTTGGGAAGACAGTACGACGAGAAAACAGGAGCAGAAAAAATACAAGAACATGTCAAGGCATTTGTACCCAAAGAAGAGCGTGAAAAGCGGAAAGACAAATGGTACTCATTTCTTTTCAACTAGAGAGTTGCAAACGAACCTGTGGAGGACCTCGGAGTACTTCCCTTGGCGTCTCAAAAATCCTGTAATTACAGCTATATAGCAAAGGCAGCTTCCATAAAATCGAAGCGGAACAGAAAGCACACATAGATTTTTATGTTATGAGACTATTGTATATAACAACCGGAGGCACAAACGCATCCTAGTTCTTACCGGCGCCGGCTCTGAAGTAGATGACGTCGCCGTCTTCGACCACGTACTCCTTACCCTTCTGTTGCATCTTACCAGCTGCCTTGATTGCAACTTCGTCTTTGTATTCAATCACGTCCTCGTATTTCATCACTTGCGCGAGAATGAAAGTGTTCATCAAATCATTATGGATAACTCCGGCGGCTTGTGGAGCCTTGGTGCCTTTACGAATGGTCCATTCACGGACTTCGTCGGCACCAGAGGTAAAGAAAGAGATCAAGTCAAGCTTTTGTCTCATGGTGGTGATAATCTTAGGCATGGCACTCTCGACGCCTAGGTTTTTCAGTTCCTCGTCAGCTTCCTCCAAAGTCATGTGCGATAGTCTCTCTTCCAAACAGACGGAGAAAGGAATGATCAAATCGCCTGGGGAGTATTTGTCGATCCACTCTTTGATTTTGAGCAGGTGCTTGTTCTTCTTTCTGATGAAATCCTTTTCGGATAGATTGATGAGGTAGATGGAGGGCTTGGCTGTAAGCAAAAACATGCTGTTGATGACTTCAACCTCTTTGGTGGTCCAGGTCTGGTTGGCGACCTTTTGACCTGACTTCAACAGTTCGATGATTTTCTCGACCAAGGCGGCCTCTTCCTTCTTCTGTTTGACCTCCAGCGACTGGCCACCTCTCTTGGTGATCTTGTGAACGCTTTCAAGGTGCTTTTCGGAGAATTCGATATCCTTGAGTCTCAGCTCCGTGTTGATGATGTCCAAGTCACGCACTGGGTCCACGTCACCTTCGATGTGAATGATTTCAGCGTCGTCGAAACAACGCACAACCTGGTAAATGGAGTCGACGGCTCTGATATGCGACAAAAAGGCATTACCTAGACCTTCACCAGCAGAGGCACCTTTGGTCAAACCGGCAATGTCGTACACGGTTAGATGGGCCGGGACCTTGGATGCTGGCTTGTAGATGTCGCACAACTTTTCGAATCTTGGCGATGGGACAATCACACGGGCTTCTTCAGGATCAATGGTAGCAAACGGGTAGTTCGCTGGGTTACCCAACGGACATCTGGTGATAGCTTGGAAAAACGTAGACTTACCAACGTTAGCCAGTCCGACAATACCGGCCTTCAGGTTGTTACCTGGACGGCCCAAGAGCACTTTTTTTTCCTCAGCTTGTTTCTTTGGAGGCATTTTGGGTTTTTCACTAGCAGCCTAGATCAGTCAATGTATGGTACAGCAAGACTGAATACTTTGTATAAAGCGTTGAAAAATTGTCGAAAAGTTTGGGAATTTTCTTGAAGAAATGCTTTGACAAAATATCTTGATCGAAACCGAGAGAAAGAAAGAAAGAAAGAAAGTGATGATATGCTACGAACGCAGTGTAAAATTTTTTTTTTTAAGACAAGATTGAAGGGTTCGAAGTTGATGCTTGCTAAAGCGCTTTTGACGTCATATGACGGAGAGAGATGAAGGAACAGAGGAGAAGGGAAGAATGGGAATATGAAAATAGAGGGAGAAAGCATAGACATGTGAGAAGGGAGTTGATAGTACAAGAAACTGCTGCTAAGAGTGGCCGGTAAGTTTTAAAGTTGCATCACGAGGTAACATAATTACGTTATATACGTTTTTATCTTTATCTAATTTCACAGTTGGTTTCGTGGTCTAGTCGGTTATGGCATCTGCTTAACACGCAGAACGTCCCCAGTTCGATCCTGGGCGAAATCATTTTTGATTAATTTTTTGTAAATTTAATCATTTTAGAAAGTCACGTGACTAAAAAGAAATGCTCCCATCGTGCTAGGTCTAAAAAATTTTAAGAAATATATAGAAGGCGATGAGCATCATCTCATCATCCCATCGCAAGGTACTCACTCTCCGGAAACATCAAGCGCGACATGTCTGACCTACTTCCACTAGCCACGTACAACTTGAAAATTGAGCCATATTCTCCTACGCCTGCTGTGGACGTCACTGTTCCAGTTACGGTGAGAATCACTTTGGCAGCCGTCGACCCAGACGCCGTGGACGATGAAGAGAAACCATCGACCTTGAGAATCATCAAGAGAAACCCAGATTTCGACGATGACGAGGACGACATTTTGGGAGGCGACTTTGACGAAGACGAGTTGGACAACGAGTCTGAGGAAGAAGAGCAACCTAAGGAAGAAGAACAGCCAGCCAAGAAGAGCAAGAAGAACAAGAACAAAAAACAGGAGAAAGAAGTAGAACAAGTGCAAGAGGAAGAGGAAGAGGAAGAAGAAGAAGACGAGGAGGATGAGGACGAAGATGATGACGAGTTCCAAGAATACGTGGTGTTGACGTTGTCGCCTAAGGTTCAGTTCCAACAGACCTTGGATTTGGTCATTGCCCCAGAAGAGGAAGTGCAATTCGTGCTGACTGGCTCCTACCCTATCTACTTGACCGGTAACTACGTCAAGCACCCATTTGACCAACCAAGATATGGAGACGACGGCTCAGAGGACGACTCTGAAGCCGAAGATGAGGATTACGACAGCGACGAGTACGACTTGACCCCGGACGAGGACGAAATCTTGGCCGAATTGGAAGATGCCAGTGACGTCGAGGGCCGCATCGAGGAGATCTTGCAGCAGGAGGAGGATCAGAAAACCAGCAAGGGCAAGACCGCTTCCAACAACAAGAGAAAGAAGCAGGACGAGGACGAGGATGTCCAGCCTGCACTAGAGGCTCCAAAGGAGACCAAGAAGGCTAAGAAGGACAAGAAGGAGAAAAAAGTGGAATTCAAGAAAGACCTAGAAGAGGGCCCATCCAAGAAGGCTACAAAGGACGAAAAGCCGAAGACCAAGGTCCTAGAGGGCGGTGTCATCATCGAGGACCGCGTCACCGGCCAAGGCAAAGTCGCCAAAAAGGGCTCCAAGGTCGGCATGAGGTACATCGGTAAGCTAAAGAACGGTAAGGTCTTCGACAAGAACACCAGCGGCAAGCCTTTCAACTTCAACTTGGGTCGTGGTGAAGTCATCAAGGGCTGGGACATCGGTGTTGCCGGCATGGCCGTCGGCGGTGAACGTAGAATTGTCATCCCAGCACCATACGCTTACGGCAAGCAAGCCCTACCTGGCTTGCCAGCCAACTCCGAGTTGACTTTCGACGTCAAGTTGGTTTCGATGAAATAGGTTCAAGGAACTGTGTGTACTAGTCAAAAAACATCTAATAAAGGCATTTGAATAAACTAGGAGCAGAAACTGAAGGAGCCGTAGCAGCCGTTGTCCCCCATCCACTTTCAAGGTCACATACCACGAATGATTACCTTGCGTTCTAATATATTAGTATATAAATACAAGATAGATAGATCCAACCATGAACCTTTCTTACCACATTGCTTATCGATAACTATCCGCGCACTTCTTGTAGCTGTCAGCTATACATACAATTGACTTTAAGCAAACCGGCGGGGGGGTTTGGTCCTGTAAGCAGCGCTATTCAAACCTCATTTTGTATATTTGAGATTAGCCGCCCAACAAAACTATACCTGAATCGTTCGATTTTGAACGCAAAAACAAAGAAGCAAACGAGGAGAGACAAGCTACAAAACGCTTCTCTGCATTGAATAGGCAAACTAAAGCTCTGAATTGGGCTGTTTTACCCCCAACATATTCTTTGTGTTGTTGTTACGTTATCAATTGGCCGGTCTACTGAACTGCTAGTGATCACCATTGACGCGTGTATTGGTTTATCTATCCAATTCTCTAGTCATTTTTCTACCCTTATCGAAACGTGACCTCAGGCGTTTTTTCACTTCGTCTGCTGTTTGTCGCGTCGTGGTCACAGGTATTTTCTCGTTCCACTGGTAGAAAAGTTTTAGGACGCACCGTAGGCGTGTTGAAGTAGGGAACGAGCTAAAGCTCTTTCAAGAAACTCTTTCTTCAGCCTTTGAGACTAGAATCATTGGAAAAAATCAGGTCCAAACACCTGAATTAGAGACCTAATTCCCATATCTTCAAGATTACGGGGGTTGACTTTAGCCAGAAAGTGTTTCTACGATACAATAAGGCTACTTGCCAATATGCCATTGGTTTTGAAGCCGTTGAAGTCGCTGGCGAAGCAGTTCGCACGGATATCAAAGCTGTCAGCTCGACACCCAGTCCATGTCATTCTTGTGACCGTCTTTGTATCAGCATTGGCGTATCTGTCGGTGGTGCGAAGCTACTTTAATGGGTGGCAGCTAGATTCTAAGAGCATTTTTGCCAGTAACACTGATGCCCTACAATTGCAGGATGAATGCGCGCATTTCTATCATGCTAGCAATTCTGACTCGTGGACAAAACTTTCAAATGATGAACTCGCGTCCGCATCGTTCTCAGAGCACTACTACCTGATGCAACTTGATTTCAAGACGCCAAATGATACTCAATTCCTGCCCGATTTATCCAACGTTGTTTTCGAAAATGGCAGTACACGTTACGTGCTGCAAGCGGATCTTTCCTTGCTCAAAGACCTGCAGGCAGGCGATGGAACCACATGGAGGCTCAGACCTCATCGCTTCCGTCTCCAGGACACAAATGCTGTGGTAGCGTCTTTTCTCAAATCTGTCGTGGAAAAGCTGCAAGGAGCCGAGACTTTTGACGTCTTTATTATCGCAGCGGCCTATGCGGCCATGCTTTACACCTTTGTCAGTTTGTTTGTTGTTATGAAGAGACGAACTGGGTCCAAATTCTGGATTGCGCTCTCTGCCGTGGCATCCTCGACCAGTGCCTTCATTCTCGCCCTTTACACCAGTCAGGTTCTACTCGGAAAAACTGTTACTCTTCTGAGTTTGATCGAGGGTGTTCCTTTCATCGTGGTCATTGTAGGGTTCAATCATAAAGTGAGACTTGCTTCTTTCTTACTGGATTACTTCAGAAAGCACGGTATTTCCCATCAGTTCGATACTTCCGAAATTGTGTATCTCGCTGTGAAGGAAGAGGGTGGCCGTCTTCTTCAAGACCATCTGTTGAGCATAGTTGCATTTATCGGCGGCTCTATATATGCACACGACCTTGATGTCTTGAGGAACTTTTGCATACTGGCATCGCTCGTCTTGATATATGATTTACTTTTGACTTGCACCTACTACGCGTCTATTCTTGGGCTGAAACTGGAAATCAACATCATCCACCGTTCCATTTTGATAAAAGAAACATTGGAAGAAGATGGTGTTATTAAAAAAACGGCGGAATCTGCCTCCACTGCTGATACTCCAACAAAAGTTACTATTTTCACGTCGAACACTAGTATCGTGTTGCTGAAACTATCCGTTGTGTTAGCTTTTGTGGGACTCAACTTCTATAGTTTTGGAGTAAGATGGACGTACCAGACCGTTAGTGCCTTGTACTCTCGACCTTCTAGCCTTGTGCTGCCAAATTTCATTTCCCAAACCGTGAAGAACAACTATCCTAGCGGGGTCGTTGTATCTGTTGTGCCTCCTCAACATTACCAACCTATGAAGGTGTATCTCCAAGTTGAGGATTTGATACTTTCCACCTTACGTTATTTCAGTGTTGCGATTCGTGATAGACTGATCAGTAAACTTGTCTTGTTTGCGCTTGTTACTAGTGCTTCAATCAACATCTACTTGCTAAATGCTGGAAGAATCCATACCGAGTTTACAGCCAAGCAATTGAAGCAATACAGCGCGAAGAAGAAGACAGCAATAAAGCAAATTAATCATACCGCTCCGCAGGATAGCAAGCTTTCGGCGTCATCCTCGGTTACGTCGATAGAAACCAACACCGCAATCGAGGATGACAGTGAAAGCGAACGCGAAGACAAAGTGGTCAGATCTTTGGATACGTTAGTGGACCTCATGAAATCTGGTGCTTTGAAGACCTTGAACAACAGGGAGATTGCTACTTTAGTTGTTGGCGGCAAGTTGCCATTATATGCTTTAGAGAAACAACTGGGGGATACTCTACGCGCTGTCATTGTTCGTCGTAAAGCTCTTGCGCGGCTCGCAGATGCTCCTGTCCTTGAAACAAACCGTTTGCCTTTCAGACACTATGATTATGACCGTGTACTTGGTGCTTGCTGCGAAAATGTAATCGGTTATATGCCTCTTCCTGTAGGCGTCATTGGGCCTTTGGTTATAGACGGCGTTCCTTATCACATTCCTATGGCAACTACTGAAGGATGCTTGGTAGCATCGGCTATGCGCGGATGCAAAGCGATCAATGCTGGCGGTGGCGCTACCACAGTATTAACCAAAGACGGTATGACAAGAGGACCTTGTGTAAGATTTCCAACCCTGGTCAGAGCTGGTGCTTGTAAGATTTGGATTGACTCTGACGAAGGACAGAACAAGGTCAAGAAAGCTTTCAATTCCACATCACGGTTCGCTCGTTTACAACATTGTCAGACCGCATTGGCTGGCGACCTACTATTTATTCGTTTCAGGACCACAACTGGTGATGCGATGGGCATGAACATGATTTCCAAAGGTGTAGAACACGCGCTCAAATTGATGGTAGAGGAATTTGGTTGGTATGATATGGAAATTGTGTCTGTTTCCGGGAACTACTGTACCGACAAAAAACCCGCGGCCATCAACTGGATCGAGGGTCGTGGTAAAAGTGTGGTTGCCGAGGCGATTATCCCTGGTGACGTTGTGCGTAAGGTGCTAAAGAGCGATGTGAAAGCTTTGGTGGAGTTGAACATTGCTAAGAATTTAATCGGTTCGGCGATGGCAGGCTCAGTGGGTGGTTTCAATGCGCATGCAGCCAACTTGCTAACCGCGGTATATCTGGCGTTAGGCCAAGATCCTGCACAAAATGTAGAAAGTTCCAACTGCATAACGCTAATGAGCGAGATTGACGGGGATCTGCGGATCTCAGTTTCTATGCCATCGATCGAGGTTGGTACTATAGGTGGCGGAACAATACTGGAGCCTCAGTCTGCGATGCTGGATCTGCTTGGGGTCCGGGGGCCACACCCCACGTCTCCCGGTGACAATGCTCGCCAGCTGGCCAAGGTTGTAGCTTGCGCGGTACTCGCCGGTGAACTTTCGCTATGTGCTGCTCTGGCTGCCGGCCACTTGGTTCAAAGTCACATGATCCACAACCGTGGGAAGGGAGCAACCTCAGCCGTTACTGGTGCTTCTGCTAAAGCGGGATTGCCTGCTGCCGGGGCAACGACGGCAACGAACGGTGACGTTAACCGTTTGAAAGAGGGTTCTGTCACCTGCATCAAGTCCTAATCCCAGCGAGCCAGCCAAGTGAGAGAGAAAGAAAAAGAAAAAAAAAACCACCTCCGAAATTTTTATCTGCATCGAATGCGTTACCATAACCGGAACCATACGCCTATGTACTAATAACTTCTCTGCATTAGACTCGAAGAATGAACGACTGTTTGTCCGCGGCTCCTCGGTGGTGGAAATCGCGACGCTAAGGTCTTGCGGACAAGTAGTCTTCGGCGTCGGTTTTCCGATTCAAAAGGTCTTCACACCGTATTAATGCCGACATGGATTCGGAGACACATTTCAGTCCGGCCTACGTCACCATAGCATGCACGTTATTTTTCTCTTTCCCGTATGTGTATGGGGATACGGTTACGCCATGATTGGTGTACGCAGGGTGCTGGTTGAGCTGCTCCGAGAATATCAAAAGATCTTGTGTGTGGTAAGTGGTAACGCCGTACCGGTCACGCACCAAACAGTCCTTCCTATACGATAAGTGGATATACGCCAAATTTCAGTCCGTATTCCGGTTGTTTGGTTTTCATCCACATGCTGTGTAAGCCCTTTCACACGCCATAGTCCCATCAACCTTTCTGGCTCGTTGGCTACCACTGTTTGTAGGGCTCCTGTGCTACGGGCTTGGCCCTTGCGTGGGTGCTTTCCAGTATCTATGCACGTGCACAGAAATGACCCCGGACCTCGGAATAAATCCGGAAAAACTTGACCGGTGCCCACGTCAGAAAGTTTTTCCGCGGCGGAGAAAAAACGCACACACCGTTCTGCAGGGAACAATGGCCAGAACGAGAGAAGCAACGAAGCAATGAAGCTAAGAAAAGAAGAAAAGAAGAAAAGAAAAGAAGAAAATAAGAAAAGAGGGCCGCTCCACTTATTGACAGCAGCGCATATGAACCCAACCTCTGTGACCTGCATACGCCGTGCTAGTGAGTGTGGCCTGTCCATATGATTTGTTGTCAAGCGACTTTTCATCGTTGTTTCGGGCGAGATTTTCTTGAGTTCACGTCGCATTACTCATTTTTTACTGTTGCTCGGACATATTTGAAAGCTCGGGTCCCTGTGGGCTTAGATCATATTTGTTTAGATCATTTTGATCGTCGCTTCGTTCCTTCAGTTTCTTGAACGTTTTGTCCCTACACGAGCTGATCAAACCGCTGTGAGCGCCATTTGAAATCGAGAAAAATTGAGTTAATAGAATTGTCTGGTGAGCCTGGGTTTCTGGCCTTGGGTTCATTAATCTATTATTGTTTCTTGTCGTTCTCTTTTTACAATCTGAAAGCACAGATTTCCTGACCGCTCAAATCGCGTTTCTCGTTGCTGGAAACACTATCGGCCGGGCTTATCTGTGCGCTTTATCTCAATCATTTCGGTGCCTTTCTGTCTTCGGCCTTTATTCTCTTTCGGTGAGCCTGCAACACTATTTCATTCGCGTCACCACTAGCACCAGCGCATCGCTTGACTAAAAAATTACAGCGCCGACATCCATAAATTCATATTTTGACTACTGAGGAAGATCTCGATCGCGATGTCCGAAAACGACACCAACAAACCCCAAGATATACGTCGTGCGGGTTCATCGCCGCAACCGGCACCACCGTCTCGATTGCCACTGTCACGACCGACTGTGGATCCGCTGCAAAGTGCTATCTCGTCGCCTGACCAGCTCGAACAACACATGTCTGCGCCCAGCATTTCGTTTCCAGCGCAGTTTCCAACCCGAAACACCAGCATCCTTGGAGTGTCTCCAGACGATCCGCGGCTAAGCTGCCCGGTGGCACTAGACGAGGTTCAGACCGGAGCCCCAGGGAAAAATAAGCGCAACACTTTTGCTTGCATCAACTGTCATACACAGAAAGCCAAATGCGTTCCGTCAGACGTCAAAGATATATACGGGAAGAGCTGTGTGCGGTGCGCTCGCCGTAACAAACACTGCACATTTGATTTATCGCGCAGAACACGGCGCCGTCGTCGCGAAAGTGACCAGACCACGGACCTCGATGTACCAACTTCTGCAACTGGTGCCGCTTTGACCACGGCTACTCACAAATCCAACACTTCGCTGCCGCGGTTTGCGCATAGCCCCCACCTCCCGACAGGCAGCAGTAACAGCGGGATCGTCACAGACAGCAGCTCGTTTTTCAGTACTCAACCACCCGTAGCAGCCTCAGGGTCACCCGAGGCTTCCGGCGTTGGTAGCACACCTATGTCCAAACCGCGAGGTCTTTCTACTCAGCATAGCGGTAGATTTTACAGCTCCGTGCCGCCACCAATGAGCCTTGAATCAAATTTCTTTCCTTCAACGCTTCCTTGCTGGCCTCAAAACAGAATCAATTCCCCCACGGCCGCTACAGCCGCTACGCCTTTCTCGCAGGTGCCATCGAGCCATTCAAAACCTACTGGACCCTCAAAGGCTCCTCCACATGGTATACAGTCCTTCGAAAATCTGCATGAGGAACTGCAGTCACTTTTGTCTTCGCAACTCGAGAACTTTCATGGTGTTACAGAGGGTCTCTCCCGACTGTCAGAAAAATGGAACGACACACTTGAACAGAGTGTCGGGGTACCCCTGGCGCTTGATCCAATAACTCTTGGGATTATCAGCAAAGAGCAAGCTCAGCGTCGCCTCGGCCTTTACCGATACGAAATCTCCAATAAATACAGGTTTCCCTTTGTTAAAATACCTGCCGAGCAAACTTTGGATGAGTTACGAGAACACGAACCGATCTTGTTTGCAACTATCATGTCAGTTGTGTCCGCTATTCTGAAGGGTGACGAATTTAATGAGGAGCAGAATATGAGACTCGATAATTTCACTTTAGGTCTAATCTCTCACCACATGACGCGACTTGGGGCCAAAAATTTGGAACTGCTTAAGTCACTGCTAACTTTATGCCTATGGTATAACTTCCCAGAGTGGTCTAACAAGACTAGGTTCCATTTTTTCAATTATTACTGTTGCTGTCTCATCAAGGACCTGATTCCATCGCGGAAACCGCAGCTTTTCGCTTTGATACAAAATACCAAGTACCCCACTGACGATGAGGCAGCTGCCATCGACGATTTCTTAATACAAAATGAAAGTTATTCCCGCCTGGTGATTATAGTGTATGTGTCGGCATTGAATATCAATATTTTCTTGCGACAGCCTATACAAAACAGGTGGGGTCTGTTACAAGAGCGTGCCATTAGGCTTATGTCTTTATTTGATTCAGGACCTGTCTCAAGCTATGAGCGTGAAGAAGATGAGATTCTTTTAACATTTGCCAGATTAAATCATATTTTGGAGGTAATTCATGTTAGGTTGCATGAAGCAGATGAAGACCCATCGGATCAACATGAAGGTCTCGCTTCACCTGTACAGAGCAGATTACTCCTAACTTTACAGCAGGACCTGATGAATATTTTCCAAAGGATCCCTTCCGAGAGAACAAGAGTTCTTGCCTTTTACCACTCCGTCGAGGCTTACTTGCATGAGTGGCCCTTTTCCAGATATTTGTCAAACATCCCAGACCCTTTGACGATAAGCAAAATTCCCGAGGTTGTTTCCCAGTCTTTTCACAAACTCACCTTATCTTGCATCAACGCCATGCATGAGTTTCTCAAACTGTCACCCGAATTGATCGCTTCTCTCCCACTTTTCCATACTTCCAGAGTCATTTACACTGTTGGCATGCTGCTGTTGAGGGTGAGATACACCACCATTACGGTGCCGGCATTTGCGTATCTGAGAGAGATGACTCAGCCCGCTATTTCGCTTATCAGAAGAACGTCGCAGTCACTGGACGAAAGTGCAAGGTTGTATCCGTATAATAACTTCTTGTCCAAATTGCGCTACGTCGTGGCCCTGTTTGTTCAGATATATGCAAATAAGATCAAGGCGTTTCTCACCACAAAGAAACCTGATTTAGAAGGCTTGTCACAATCTTATATCGACAATGACCAAGTCTTGATAGCCTCAGCACAACATCGAAGCTCCTTGCCAATGCTACTCAATCCTGCATCACCTCCGCGCATCAACACGCCAGATAAAAATAATACTAATAATACTAATGTGACTGTTCCAACCAATGAAACTGCCGGTACGGACGCAGAAAATGCTAGCAAACTGATGGACGCATTATCTTTTCAAATGGCCGACGTCACCACGCTCGAAAATGGGTTCAACACTTTACTAGGCGAATTTTGGAGCGATATCTTTTGATGATGATACTGCATGAGATAGATATAGACAAACATCAAGAATGAGGATATCGCCTTTTTTGATGTGAATTAGAACTGTACATACCACTAATTGACCATCGGCCCCAGAAACTGTTCTACAGCTAGCAGAAACTGGCGATTGCGAATCTTTCTGAAACCTTGACCTCTTTTTTCATTCGCAGTTTCTGCAAAATCCACCGGTGACAGCCAATTGTAAACTACCGTTTTCACATAGATCTCACTGTATAGGTATCGCAGCACTTGCGACAGGTCTTCTTGTTTCAAGTCACTGAGAAGTACAAACCATAGTCCTGATGCTGTACATAAGATATGAGCTCTGTACTTGGCTGTGGCAATGGTCCTTATTTCGTTAAAACTGTCTAAACTACCCAATTTCTGAGAAATTGATCGCAGCGAAAAGATCATACCATAAAGAAGTTTAGCAGTATCTTCATTGAGCTTGGAGTTCGTGGTTCCACTCGATGGATTTGTCTTTAGTGTCCATTCTCGATCGAAAATGCAATTGCCTAAGCAAGTGGTGATATGTTAGTCTAAAGATGGGCTGTACTGGGTAAACTGGCAAAATCAGCCTTGGTACAGAGAAACATACAATGTCTGTCAAAAATCCAAAATGAATAGATAGCCATGAGATTAGTGGGACGCAGTAGTAGTTGACACTCTGTGCGCTGGAGTGCTGTTGGCTTAGATCACAGGTTTTCGTACTGTTCACGGGATTCGTTTTAGCCTATTTACACTATATCTCTGAAATGATTAGTACTCACGTACTCATGCTGAAGTTCCCGTACATAATGCCTTGAGCTTTAACAATACAAGATTACATAATCATATATTATCATGTGACCTGAAATTCACATCATTGTATCCGATCAGAAGCTCAACAGGTCAAATTCCTGCCCGTTTTGAGCAGGCTTTACAGAATTGTCACCAAACGATGTTGTTGGTCCTGCTGTTGTTGTTGCCGTTTCCAGCTCGCCAAAATCATCGTCGTCGTCATGGTTATTGTCTTTGTCGTTGCCACTGTCATCGCTTGAAGACGCTGCAGCTTGTAGCGGCGTGCCCGTCGTCCGAGGAGAGCTGATGCCTGGCTCTTTCGTTAGCTTGGCACTGTTGAACAGCGAACCAAATGGATCAGCTGCCTTTTGGTTAACAGCCGGTATTGGACCAGCTGCATGAAAGTTATGCGATGCAAATGCCAGATTACTGTTCTCAGCTTTGGCGGGCACGGATGGGAAATCAGAGAAAATATCAATCATGTTCTGAGAGTTCGAAGTTGTCGGTTGAGTCACTGGCGCGGCACTTTGAAAGTCAGCAAAATCGTCGTCGTCGTCATCGCTGTCGTTCGGGACATCACCCGTTTTGGTGGTGGCAGGCGGCGTGGCGCTTTTGGAAGTACCACTCTCATGATCTTTGCGGGCTTCGCGTGCTTCATAAACCTCGCGTTCTTCTTCGTCACTGTCAAAGTCGGCGCTCACAGAAATGCCGCGATTAGACGACTTGCCGAAACCAGCGGCTCTGTTAATGGCAGACGGAGGCAGGTACGACGAAGGAGCACCTCCAGCAACGCCTTTGTATTTTTTCGCCGTTTCTCGAGCCTTCTTTCGTTCTACGCGGATTTTTGAGTCGTCCTCGAGAAGCTTGACTAACTCCAAAGACCGATTTCTGACATTTATGCCCTGATCGCGCCCCTGGACGTCAATGTAATGAAACGTTTCTAGCATTTTTACCAGCGACAAATTAGCACGTACATCGTCGATAAACCGTTCCGCGCCATGACGCACCAAATATTCTAGCAATTGCAATGCTTTGTAAATTTGTCGCCACTCAGTCGCCGTTTTCTCTGTGAACCGCCGAAATATCATTCCTAGCACCTCTTCACGCTCACGATAGTTGTACGTACCCTGTGCGATTTGCTCCATCAGCGTAGACGAGGTTCCCCATGGTTCGTTGTTTGTAGCTTCGCGAACTTTGGCCTCCATATCCGTATAATTGAACACCACATTCTGGGCTCTTCTGAAGTATTTTTTGGCATCGTACAGAGTCAGATTACTCAAACTCTGGTCCAAGCTCATCACTTATCTGATAGGGGTCTAAGATGACAACCAGAAACGCTTGAAAAACCCGTTAAAAACAAAGGTAAAAAGCCTCGAAAAGATTGAAGGAAAAAATCAATTGCGAGTTCAGGTTCCTTGTCAAAGGGCTGTGGTTATCGCCAGAAAACTGTTACCCCGGATGTCTCTTGTAGTTTGTCGTCAGGACACTACACCTGATGCTAATAGATTGTTAATAAAACTGATGATATATTTGACAGTTGAATATTCGTATAGAGAGACGTACATTTCACGTGGTATACTTAGGCAAGCGAAGCTAGCGGATAAGCTGCGCCCGTCAAGACCACCCAATGAGAACGTGTTATATATGTTTTTGTAGCTCTTATCAAAGTTCCTTCATTCTTGACGGTCTGCTTTGAGTTACAACTCGCCAGCTTCCTCAACGACAATTTTGGCACGAGGTCTTCCAGACATGGTTCCGTACGACTCAATGAGCTTCACGACTTCCAGTCCCTTGGAAACTTCACCAAAGACCACATGCTTGCCGTCCAGCCAAGGACAAGGGACCGTAGTGATGAAAAATTGAGAGCCGTTGCTGTTGGGACCGGAGTTGGCCATGGACAAAAGGCCGGGCTTTTCATGTTTCTTGATGAAATTCTCATCAGGGAATTTGCTGCCGTAGATAGATTTTCCTCCGTAGCCGCTGGTCAAGTCAGTGTCGCCACCTTGCAACATGAAGCTGGGGATGACTCTGTGGAAAGGAACACCTTTGTAACCGAAACCCTTTTCACCAGTACAAAGCGCTCTGAAGTTTTCGGCAGTCTTGGGAACAACATCAGTGTACAAGTCGAATTCGATTCTATCCTGTTTGGTCCCGTTGATACTAGTGTCGAAAAACACCTTCGAGCCCAATTGAACGTTGGAAGTGGAAAAAAGACGCGACTGGCGCATCAAAGAGCGGTTCAAGTTGGCGAACATTGGTGAATTAAGGAAGCAAGATTAGAAATTCAGCAATCGAAAGGCAGCAATGCGCTCAATAAGTGTAAAATATGGTCAAGATGATCCGGTCTTCTCTAATTCTAGTTTTTTTGACCCAATTTATGTAGTGAGTTCGATGGAAAATATAGGTCCACGTGACCGCTGAGCTCTCTTTGTTCACAGGACTCTCTCCAACTAGGCACTGAGGAGGTCTTGAACCAGCGTTAACTGTTCATCAAGAATATTCAGCCACTCGACGATTTCCGTAGGGTTTTCCGCTAAAATCGCTTCGTGCAAGCCCGGCAAAACATCGCCAGCATATCCGAGTTGCTTATCCGGCCCATAGATCGAGTGCTTCATCCAGGGCCTATCTTTTAATCCCCTATCAGTGACGAAGAGTCGGTCAAGCCTTTTTAATTTGGAATTGGTCTTAACCAGCTTCACATAAATTGCGATTTTCTTGTAGAATTTGTACCATGGATAATCCCTCACAACCGATTTGCGAAGTGCGGCGGTCTGACGGTCAAATTCAGCACTCACGTTGGTCTCGATGTGACTTATCAATCGAGACAGATTGTGAGCTTTACCCTGGATATAATTGTGGCCTCTGAAAGTGTGATTGAGCAACGTGTGCCATTGTTTGTAGTGACTCTGGATTTCTCGCGCATAATCCTGGGAATTGAAGTAGACGACCTCGTTTTCACTCAGCATCAATACTGACATTCCCGTGAAGATAGCCATGGTATTGTGCAGAAAATACTCAGGATCGACAAATGTCTCCAGCCAGGTGTAAGTATCGTAGTTTGTGTGGTATTGATAGACAGCATCGTCTTTGCCGTTGCCAGCAAACCTGAAATTCGCAGATGGGATTCCAAGATGGTGCTGGAAAACGGCAAAATCTGTGCCCGATCCCAGCACCCCCACGTATGCATCTGATTGCTCCTCCCACACTTGCAGTAGCGATTTACCAGGTTTGCCGGCAAAACGTGTCAGGGCTGCAGATCTGGGCAGAAGTCCCGAGAGCAAAGGATTGGACTCACATTTGAATTGGCTACCCGTAATAGTTGTATCAAGGTTGAAGTAGGCCAAAACTTGTTTTTGAAGTTTCGAAGCATGATCCTCCCCGTATTCAGTCGATCCAAGCATCGCAGGTTCTTCACCGTCCCAGCTTGCGAGCTGAATGGTACGCAATGGCTTCCAACCCTTTTTCAAAAGTTCACTTAATCCCCGAGCAACCTCGAGAAGAACGCTACTTCCGCTGTTTGGATCCCCTACCCCACCGACAGTCCACGAGTCTCTGTGGTTCCCGATCACAATAGCACTACCATGCAGAATTCCAGGAATTTCCACCAGCACGTCTGTGATTTCTTTGATTTTGTATTCTTGCTCGTTGACCACTGTCAGTTCCACATTTTTGTCAGATGGGCCACTGTAGTAATTGAAGCCATCAACGTTACCTTGAACATCAAAAGGACTACCCCTGTTATTTAAGTAGGGCAAAATTTTGCTGATATCTTTTTGGCTCATAGGAATTGACGGGATAGTTGGAACTCTGCCTAAAGGCGACATTCTTTTAGTGTCTGGTGACTTCGATGCATAACCGGGAGTAGTGGGATCTCCGGGAGCTTCGGTGAAATATTCTACCGAGCCTCGCTGGAAACCACCTGAGTTTCGTGCGGGACCAAATGGGTAAGCTTTGTATCCATTGGCTTCTGTCACGTTACCATCGTCAAACGTATCAGTGTACAAGATAACAGCAGAAGCACCGTTGGCCTCTGCGTTTTTGACTTTGAGCCCACGAAATAATACGCTGTAGCGTATGATATGGATTTTTCCGCTCAAATCGATACCCTCACGTCGCAAAAATTCGTAATCTTCTAAGCTTCCATAGTTGCAATAAACGAATCTAGCGGTGACTTTCCCGTTTGCGGAATATCCATGAAATGCTGGCACTTGTTCTGGACCACAGCTTGATGGGTCCTCTTCTAGACAATCCTCTATCATGCTCGATTCGAACACTTTTTCCTCGTCAACCCAAAGTGACAACCCTGTTTCCACTGGTTCATTGAGCCACGGATAGTATTTTTCTAGCTTGGGCGAAAATCCTAGCGCCTTGAGTTGGTTTACGGTGTATTTCAATGCCTCACTGTCTCCAGTCAAATGTCTATGCGAGGTGTACGCTCTTACGTGTTCCTTGGCATGGTTTTCACGCTGCAGACTCTCTAAATAGACTCGATAAGTTTCTGCCCTTGTAAACTTATTGAAATGCAAACGACGGAAATCTCGGGCCAGCGAGGTCCGAGGCAAGAAAGCAAGGGTGAAGCCCAAATACAAAAGCACAGATCCCAGCAAAGCATACATAAACTGTACTTTGTGACGTCTTACAGTATCGTACCCTGTTTTTAACCCATTTATAGTGTTACTTCTGCCCCGGGCAAGCATGGAAGCGACAGAATTTTCGCGTGGACGTCCTGTGCGAATCAAAGGCGTGGATTCATTGCCTTCTTGTTGGTTGTCGTCATCAGCCATTGCTTCTAGCTGGCACTGCGGTCATACCAAGGGGAACGTTCGGTTGACGATACTTTAGCGATGCCTGTTTTCGGTCTATGTATTTATATGCATACATATTAGTATGTATTTATGAGATTACATAATCAAGATTATTTGGTCTAATGTGATCACGTGCTAACGTATGTTTACGACAGAATAAGACAGAATGATACTCTCAACGACAAGCAGCTCCAACTTAAGCGACAGCAGCTCCGACATTGATCGAGTTGAAGTTGCATGTTATTCTCTCTGCTTCAATTCAGGCATCGTGTGTCTGCATCCACATTTTCTTGTCGGACTTTGTTTACTGCTTCCTTAATTCAAATCTGAAAATAGGAAGCATTGTCTGTCATGTATTTCTACAACACCCACATACTCTGTACATCGGTGTAGGCTCATTATGGCCGGTGAGCAAGTGCCCACGAATGCTAGGCTTTCTATAGGAGAAGTTGTTCGATTAAAATCAAAAAATTAGGGATTAGAGTGTCTATTTACGAATTTTGAATGGACAGTTCCTAGAGCGGAAGAGGAAATAGAATAACTGATAGGCGATTGATACCATGTTCCGACCTTCTTGGTTCTTAATCTTGTTTCGCACCAACAATCGAGAAAACCCATTGCTGAACATGTCTCGCCAAGACAGGCAGCTGAGATTGGCCGTTGGAAGATAGGGCCGTAACATCATCTTGTCTTCTCTTTGCAACGTCCCTGAATGCAAGCACGAAATTGACCACAAGAGTGAAGATAACAACAGTGGCAACAAGCAAAGGCCCCAGTGGAGCATCAAGGTGCTTGCCGCTTCTCGCTCTGATAACCTCGAGACGTCTGGTGTAGGTGTGGTAAGACCAAAGTCCCGTGAAAAGGGTGATACCAAAATAAACATAAGCAACGAAATTGGCCAAATCAGGATGCTCAGCCTTCCTCACTGAACTGTAAACAGAGAACGTCAGAACACTCATCAAAGTTGTAAGAGACAACCATCTGTTGAAAGTTCTTTCGTTAGCCAACCATACCTTGGCCTCCACCTTTACCGGGCCTGCGTTCTTGATGTAGGAAGTAGGCTTCTTGACACCAGGCGGCAATTCTACTTCCTCGTCTTCCGAATAGGCGTCGGTAATCTTTCCACTTCTGCCAACCAAGACATCCAGTATGTTTGGGGGGTGGTCACGTCTTTTGCGGCGAGTAGAAAGTGGTGACGGCTCGCCGTCATCATCTTCCGATGATTCCGCATCTTCCAAGTCAGGCTCTCTGTCTTTCACTAGTGTTGTGGGTACAGCGGCGGAAGATCCCGCGCTGTCTTCGCCAGGAGCTTGGACCACCGACAGACGTTTTAATTTTGCAAAACGCGCCTGGTTTTCCTTCTGCTCTTCAATCCGTTTTTTTTCGTCTTCATAAGCTTGCTTTGGATCTTTCCGAATGTCACTTTCCAAGTCTGGCAGCCAAAAGGGCAGCAAGTCCAAGTTTTCGTCTTCGCCAAAAAGCGAAGCTACACCTTGGGCGTACTTCGAAAAGTTTGCTACTTCCTTAACCAGATGTGAATTGATCAGCTCTTCCACCCACTGCGCATGTTTGCCAGGGAATTGGGATTGCACGCTTTTCCGATTGTTATTAGCTTCCGTGACTGGGTTTCTAATTCTGATGTCCAAGACGGCGTAAGGGAATTTAGAGAATTCGCCAGGTCTTAGAAATTTTAGAGGGTTGGCGACGTTGGTGTCTATGTCGGTTCTATGCCAGCTCTTGGGGTCTCTGATGGGTTTGTTTTCATCGAAAGAATCTTCTCTGATGAATAGAAGATCGGAGTCGATGCTAATTCTAATCCGGTTGTCACCGGGAATTTGGAATGCAGTTCTTGTGTACATTGATCTAAGAACTGGTTGCAATTCATTTTCGAGCACAAACTGCTGGATGGTATCGAAATCATTACTCCATTTGTTGGTTTCCGTCTCTGCAGAACCACGGTCCTTGAGTTTCTTTAGACTCTTTTCCTTGTACTCTTGATCTCCATTGAAAATGAACCCATTAATGAACTTGGGCTTCAATTTTAATCTAGTCTCCTCGAAATCAGAAATGCCGGTAGCCTTATCATCGATGAAAGTTCTTTTCTCCAAGAAAATGTCAGGCTTGTCAGCCAGTTTTCCTGACCATCTCAGTCTAAGAGTTGGGTTGGAGCTCGATTTCAAAAGCTTGTCGTTGTAGAGTTCGAAGGCGCCGTTGTCGAAGTATACGGCTCTTACCACCGGATCGTAGCCTTTAGTGCTCATTGGGTCGGCGTCAGAAATACTGCTGCTGCTGGAAGGCGCATTGAAGGATACGTCAGAGTTCATAACTGACGTTTCTACCCTGTCGATCAAATCGCTGTTTTCGTTTGGAGGAGAGGCGTAGACCAAAACAGGCAGGTGTCTAAGGATTCGAGTCTTGACCTCCATGATATTGTCAGGGTGAACCCAGAAAGTGTAGCTCTTGAACGAGCTTTCTTCGTGGTTGTGCACACTCGACAGCTTGGCCGAGGTGGCTAGAGACGACGATACTGTGGGCGTATTGGTTCTCAAAATGTTGTACAGGAATGAAATTTTGTACAGCAAAGGCGAATACTCTTCTGAGTTGAAAGGTAGCTCTTTCAACCGGACTTGGAGTAAAGACTTAACAGAAGGATATTTGGGGTGCAGCTTGTCGTGCTTTTTCACGATTTTGATAAAACCGGTGTAGTTTACACGGCAAAAATTGTCCAATTCTTGGGCCTCCGTAAGGCTTTCTTCTAGGATGTGCTGGAACGCTTTGAAATCGAGCGATTTGACGGCTTCTTCGTCGTCCGTTTTCCGCTCCAAGTTGATGAGTTTTTCCATGATGGAGCTGAATTTCGAGCTCTGGAACCCGTAAACCTTTTCTAGTTCTGCGTCGAGCGCCGAAACGAACTCAGATTCGTCCTTTTCGGACCAAGAATTTTCCCGACGGTTGGATTTTCTGCTTGTGAAGTCCGCTTTTTCGATCACAGACTCCTTGAGCAGCTTCTTGAGCCTTTCGTAGTCCATGTACGAGCCCTTCCAAGGCGGATACATTTGATTAGCCATACGAACCCCAAACAACATTTTTTAATCTTATATAGATGCGCGAGTCGAATCTCTTTTTTTATATCTGGATTGGTTTTCGGCGTGAGGAACGTTCCTCTGAGGTGTTTTGGTAAGGGAAGAAAGAACAAGCAGAGTCAGTGGGTGACTATCGAAGATTTCAGAGAGCTACAAGTCCAGCAGTTGAACCTCCGGCTTAACTTGGATTCACTGTCGAAGCTTTGATAAAGGTAACCGGTGGGTTGGGGCCTAGATTGTGGTGAAGATGTTGTTAAGAACGCTACTTATATACATGTTTAGGTCTTTTTATTCAGGGTATTGAAAGAAATTCCCACGTGTAAGGCTATTTAGACGGAGATGGAAGCCCTACGGTCTATTCTGTAAGAAATATCATGTATATACACATGATTTTTCTATATGTAGGATTAAACGTTTTCGTGTGTAGTAACATGCCAAGCACATGCGCGAGGGGAATTGGCACGTGATTATATTCAGGTGGTAAGAACGTTAATAGTGACACATGGATCGATATTACGTAATCTCGTCTGTCATGTGATATTATGGATGTGGTATCGTCGGAGATGAGATTTGGGTCAATGTTACGTAATACATGAAGTCATGTGATATTATAGACGTGATTTATTTCAATGAAGGATGGGTAATACCTCAATAAAATCACGTGGAAAGCGCGTAAATTCCAAAATCGTGTTGTCACCGTTCCCAACACCAAAAAGACAAGATACAGAAAAATCATGGACGCTACCGAGGAAGATGAACCATATGATAGACCCACTAATGATAGGACAATTGACTCGGTTAATTCAGATTCCCGAATGATGGAAATTGAGAGCGCTGATTCCTCACAAATGGAAAACTCGACGACCATCCTGGAGCAGTCATCGAATACAACAGCTGACAAGAGCAGAGATGGGAAACAACCGTATCAGCAAAATTACCATAAGCTAATAATACCCGAAGAGCTGTCGACCGTGCGGTTTCCAAAACGTGCTAGTGCCAAACTAGTTCAAGCCATTCAGCAAGAGATAAGAAAAAATGACTACAAAACCTCAGACGATGGAAAGGAGTTCAGGTTCAGATGGGACAATACTGCGACTTATTTCTTGGCAAAATACTGTTGCGAGATCGGTCCTTTTTTAGGTTTCGAAAACCTACAGCCAGAGCCGTCCTTCAAATTGGAAACTAGCACTCTCATTTCTCTCAAGTGGTCCTGTGTTTTGTATAATTTGTTGATGTCCGTCAAGTTCAAGGGAAATACGGTACCGACGGAGCTGCAATTGAAGACCAGGGTCAAATACTTGGTGGATAACGCCAACCTTAAAATTTTAGCCGTCACTAACGGGGACAAGAGGAACCCGTGTACCCTTACGGGTGATGACAAGACTGATGAGCTTGTGAATGATCTTGCAAGACTCAAAAACGCTGCTGATAAACGTAGAACAGAGATTCAAACCCTAGTGACACAGCGCCAGTCTAACAAACGGGACGTAGGGAGCGCCCTCTGTAACTATGCTCTCCCTGAGGTTGTGCAAAACGCTGGATCCCCTGAATCGGAAAAGTCTTCCCCAGCTACTGATGATGTTAACGCAATTGATGTGCCTACAAATGCCAAAAGACGCAGGGTGAACCCAGCTGCTGCTGCCTTGTTTACAGATTTGGAGAATTCAATACATGTTCTTCGTTCAGAGATGCAACAAGACCGATCTTCTCTGTTAGAGTCTCTCCGAACAATGTTGGATGGTATCAAACAAGGTGAGCAAGAAAAGATTGCACTAGAGAAGGAAAGGATTGCATTAGAGAAGGAAAAGATGGCACAAAACATAGCACTAGAGAGGGAAAAGATTGTACAAAACATGGCACTAGAGAGAGAAAAGATCGCACAAAACATAGCACTAGAGAAGGAAAAGATCGCGCAAAACACAGCACTAGAGAGGGAGAAGATTGCACTTGAGAATGGCAAAATCAAGTCCTCTCAAATGGCTTCAATGATGACAGCCTATCTGCAGTATAATGAAAAGTTTGAAAGTAGTAACCCAGACCTGGCGAAATTCATAGACGACCAGTGGCGTTCTTTTCAAGAGAAGAATATTTTGCCATGAAATAGGAGCTCGCGCAAAATTTGTTGCGTTGAAAAGCAAGCATCCACCTATTAAATCCTTAGTTCATCCAGCTGGTCAAATTCTATGCTCTTCTGTTGTTTCGAATAGAAGCTACCGCTTCCGGGAGGATCAATCAAAAGATTTTCAAAGAATTCAGGAAACTTAATTCCATTCACGTATTCTTCCATTGTCGGGGGTTCGACTTGGAAGTGCCTCGAAGCCTGTGAACTCTCCAAGCAGTGCATGATATTTGTTCGAAACACCACAATAGGAAAGTAAGCACCACACCCCCTCACACCTCCTACCTTAAGAACACCATTACCGTTGAGGATCCAGAAATTGTTTTTTACAACTGCAAAAAACCACTCGACCGAAACGCGAGGTGTTGACATAACCTCGCTCTGCTTTTTTTCGTCCGGGGTCAGCATTTGGCCTTGGATCCATGTACCAAAACGTTAGAACTTTTTTACGCAGGACGCCCATGCAACCTGTACTGTTGATTGCCAACATTCAATGCAGTTTCAAGTCTTTTGTGCAAGCCACCGTAAAGGAACACGAATGATTCATGCCGAATCCCCGCTGAAGGGCGTGAAAGATCAATGCAAAGCCTATCGGATGCGATTGCTGCATGATACCTCAGAATATAAGTTTTCTTATGACCACTGAAAACAGCGTTTCGGGCAATTTCACATCGATCCTGAGCATGGTCATAGGGACCAGGCAATTTTTACATGACCACCATCAATGAAAGGGACAACATTTGTGCCTTCAATTTTTTGGCCTTTACAAGGGGCATGTCTTTTGATCACTCTGAGAGCCAAGGTGCGCTAGAGACAGCTAATTTCGGTTCCACGGTATGATACAGATGGAAGTGAGGAAAAAAAGCACTCTGGGAATGGTAGGTTTTTCTTTTCTGCAGAGTACTGCAAGAACGCTATAGGTGCAGTCGTTGCAAAAGCGAACAAGGAAATTGATAAAGGACTTTTCAGGTATCAACGCTAAGTTGGCAATATTATGGCGTACTTTTAGAGCTTTCGCGATTTGTGTCAACCGTATTTCATGAAAATCTGTTAATTTTCGAAAGTCGATGTCTGCATATTTCAACATGGGGTCTCCGCCGCTTTCGTAATCACGGTTACACTGGAAATTTTACTTCTAGCCAGGGATAGTTTGAACTATGCATCTGTAGGCTTTCAGACCTGCAATTGAATTTGATCTATCGGCTGATTACTTTGTCGTTTTGAAGCAAGCACCATGTCATCTTCTAGAGCTTCGATTGCAAGTTGCAATAGTGACCTAGCGCTGCTGCGAACTACATTATGAGAATTAAAGTTCGCGTATGGGTATCGGTTGAGGTATTGCCCTGCTGTAGCATTTTGCAGAAATTCTGAGAGCTCATCAAGCTGCCCATAACCGAGCAAGTACTTCAAATAGCCCCCACTATGACCCAAGCGTCGAATCTGTTCCAGCAACTCCTACGTCTAGGAGTCCACCTCAGAGGCACTGGACTGAGATGCATATTTAACTCAACTAGGAAAGAATTTCAAATCTCATTCGTTGTATACAAATCCTAGAGAGCGGTGGAGTCGCGACGCTATCCACCTTTTCAAGGTTGAGCCGGGCGATTCTTTGCCTGTAGGCTGCTTCGACCTGTCGCGACCTCGCGAGTTCCTTGGTTCGATTCCTGGATGCTAATTTTTGATGTGTTACAAGCAGATTTGGGTCGACGTTACGTAATATATGGGGCATGTGCTATTCATGTGATGTGATTTGTGGAACTCGTTAATAGTGATTTTGGCGTTAAATCTACGTATGTAATGATCCACGCGGAACACATCCCACAGGTCTGGAAGACCGATACGCATCATCCATTCGTCTCTCTCCCTTTCTCTGTTTCTTTAGATTCTTCTAACATGCTTTGGGCCCATACGCATTACATACATGTACTTACCGAGGCACAATCGGAACAGAACACACGTTTTTTATGATTCAAGGGAAGTTTGACTTTTACCTGCCAGCATTTGCCTCTTCTCTAGCAACAGCCGGATTTGGATCCTTGGCCGGAAGACCCGATGTTAACGTTACCGTCGCGACCCGCATTTCCCACGAGCTTTTCGCTGTCGATTTTCTCCTGAATTAACTTGGCAAGCAGGAAAAAAATGTCGTTCACGTTGGTGTCGTCTTTTGCACTGGCCTCGACGAACGGAATACCCAACTCCTTGGCCAAACTGTCGCCCTGTTCGGTGGTCACAGCACGGGAGTCCATGTCGCTCTTGTTACCCACGAGCAACAGCTGGGCCTCCTCATTGGCATGCTGGTTGACCGTGCTGAACCACTGCTTGATGTTGGCAAACGTGCGTTCGTCAGTCACATCGTACACCAGTATTATGCCCATTGCACCGCGATAATAAGCTGTAGTGATCGTTCTGAAACGTTCTTGGCCAGCAGTGTCCCACAGTTGTAGTTTTACCTTTTTACCATTTATGTCCACGGTCTTGATCTTGAAATCAATTCCAATCGTCGTGATGAAAGAAGGACTGAATTTGTCCTCCACAAATCGCACTAGCAAGCACGATTTACCCACACCAGAGTCACCCACGAGTAGAATTTTCATTATCGAGTCATAACTTTTAACATTCCCGGAAGATGAAGAGACAGTTCTAATTCCTGACATTTTGAACCCAAACAAAGGCTGTTAAAGCTGCTCGAAAATCAAGTTGGTTTTAACGATGCTAGCACACTATTAACGCACAGTACAACAAGCGCTAGAAACTCGATTTGAACTTGCTTCTTGAGCTATCCGTTCTTGTTCTTCGCACAGTTGGTGGTTTAAGTTGAATTGGGGGTTTCGAATTGGTGAACTATTCATATCTTCGTACTTAGCTACGTAGTCACGAGAAACAAGATAACTGACAAAACGTCAAAATAGCACCATCACAGAGGATCAGGACCCTCGGTTTTTAGCTAGAATCTTTCTTATTATTGTCGACATTATAAGCTTACTTTTCGAAGCGANTTGAAAATTTAAGTTTTCTTTTCGAAGGGAAATCCGCGCTTTTTTTTTTTTTTTTTTTTTTTTTTTAAGCATAATAACTTCTCCATAAGACACCTTCCAGATCTTCAAGCTCCTCCGGGGTGAAAAAGGTTCGATCAAGATGCCAGGTATCGGCGCGTACTTTCTTGAAATCGCTGATGATCTCCTTGGCAGCAGCCCCAGACATACCACTAGTACGTGCCCAGGAGGACAACCCGCTCAACTGAGGTGGGATCCATTTGGGTAGTGGGAATGCATATGGGAAAGCAGAGATGACGGCGCCAAGTCCAATGACAGAGCTGTGGATCTTAGTGTCCGTCTTGGAGAGTACCTTTTTCTCAGCAGACGAGTGGGAGCCCAATCCGCGCGCAAACTGGTCCATCAATAAGGCAGGCTTGTCGGGGTCGCTTAACGTATGGATGATACCGGAGAGCGCTTCAGCGGCTCGCATACGCACCTCTACAAAGCTCTCGTTGTAAATGTGCCGCACAACAAATTGCAAAATAGATTCCCGCTGTTCCTCAGAAAGCTGGAGCATATTCTTTGAGTAGAAATTCTCCACGAAGACCAGCTGCACTCGCAACTCGTGGGAAGTATGCAATTCCATGTTCTCGATGAGTCTCATGAAAATAGACACATACTCCTTGCGAAGCGACCAAAACGAGATTGCAACGTAGCAGGCGGTGGGTTCAAGATTGGCCAGACTGCAGACGTCTTTCATACCAATTAAATGCATCAAAAAAGGCGCTAGATAGTGCTCCAAGTACAGCACTAGCACTACACTATTATGCCCCTTCATCAGCTCTAGCACCCAATTCAACATCGTCGCTGCCATATAGTAATATTGAGTTTTCAAGATTTCGTGAGCTGGTAGATCAGCAACTTTTTGTCTTTCGCTCTCTATCAGTGTGAAGGACTCCTTAAGTTTCTGGTCAAAGGATTGCGGAACTTTTCTTATTATTCGCCCTAAACCACTGTCACTCGACGTGTGGTCGATCAGTTCACGGACAGAAGAGAATGATGGACTAATTTGGCTTTGAAAAAGCGTGGAGAGTAACTTGGAGATAGCTTGTCGCACCTGGTCGTAAGGATGATTCATTACCAATGAGGACAGGATTTCGTCAGCATGAGGGGTTCTAAAGTCGAGACTTAGCAGCAGATTTCTCAATAAAGAGATCTTTGAAGCTTGATCTCCGAAAGAGTCAGAGTTGGTATCTAAAACATCTTTCGCCTGGAAAAGCTTCCTGTACAGTGGAACGCATCGCCTTATGTCCACAGCAGTTGGTAGCCACCAACATAAAATAGACCATATATCGACGGCGTCTTGATTTAATTCATGGTCGAGACATGAATCCAGAAAACTCGTGAGAAAACAATCCCTCTTTTCCAAGTCCTTTTCAGGAGTCATTTTGGAAGCTACTATCAATCCAGCCATTATTTCAATTGACATGATCATCGAGGCTTTGTCGTTCTTATCGTAAAGCTTCTGGCATAAATCCAGTAGCTCTTGATATGTTATGCTCGTGCAGTTGTTGGCGTAAAGCGCAACTAAAAGTCCAAAAAACTCGATATTGCTGCTACTAAAGATACCTTTTCCTTCATTGTCTTGGATGAAAACTTGACAAATATCGTATAACCACTCCTTCGTCATCGAGTGACCAAAATCCTTGAGGCATTGCATCTCATCCGGTTTCAATCTGAGCAAAAAATCATACGAGTTTTTGATAACTTTCATGCGCCGACCCCATGAGATATAGCCAACATAAGCTTTGGAGTCGATAAAGAACTTGGGGTTTTCAAAATTCTGTACTTCCTGTGCGAAATAATCGCCAAAACCATCTTTGTTCGTATCGATAAACTCGACATTGCTCCTGTTGAATTTGAAATCAAAGGCATTTTTCAGGTCGTACTCACAGTCTCCGAGTGCTGTTATTTTGTTGCAAACGTTTAGAAAATTTTTGATGGCGAGGTGAATCGTACTAGGGTGCTTCGTTCTCGTGAGGTTTAGAATGTGTGGCAAAACATCTTTCCCGGTTTTCACTTCTAAACTTGATTGTAGCTTTGACGTCAGCTTCATAATTATAACTGAAACCTTCCATCCTAACTTGTTATCCGCCTCCAAAAGCTTAATCAAATTGTTCTGAAGGTTTTCAAGAAGTGAAATGAAATGTCTGCGCTTAGATTCTTTTGCTCTCTGAACAGCAGCAACCTGTCGCGCAACTGATGGTTCCGAAGGTCCAAGCTCCTCAATCGCAGACTCGTTTATCAAACAGACACTAGAAGGTATCTTCAAACAAGCTGAGATGTCAGTTATGATTTTCTCTGCATACTTTGAAACGTTGAAATCTGTGATGTGGCATGCTTGAAATAAAAGATCCAAGAGTCTTTCAAGATTTCCATAATCAGACATGATCTTTCTGTGAATTTTCTTTATGAGGAGAAGCTCTAAAATGACTTCCATTTGCCTGCCGTCTTGTTTGTCTAGGGCATTTTGAAAAGCGCTTAAGACGTACTTCATAACAATGGGATATGACCCCATCAAATGCTTCATAGCTAAAACCATACAGTCCTGAGCTGGCTTGAATATGTTGGGATATAGCGACATGGAGAGCTTGAGCACGTCCTTGAGAAGAACTTTCTCCAATTTGGAAGGCGTTCTATTCGCTGAATGAAGAAGAACTCTGGCCTCATGCAATGTATATGCTTTGGAAGCAAGACACGTTCTTGTATATGGCTCATAGACATGAGACAGATTCTGTATGTTTTCGAGAAAATCCATGTCCAAAATCGAAGCAGGTTCGTCATTAAATATGGCCTCTTGTCCAACATCAGCAAACCAAACCTTGACACCATGTAGCAAGATCTTGAACAGGATTGTGTTGTCTTCGTAATGATCAGAGAAGAACTTGTATAATTTGTGAAACAAAGAGCCAATCCTGGAACGAATAGACTGAATCTTGATGTAAGTGGGATTTGACAACCTCTCGCGGGGGTGTGGACCAAAGAAGTAGTTGCAGCTGAAAATGTCTAAATCTCTGAGTGCAAGAGATCCGTTAACACCTGATCCAGTACTTTGACCTGCATGTTGCAGTCCGGGTTCCGGTGTTGCAATTCCAGAAGGCGCGTTTGAGGCCAGTTCGTACTCAAACAAGGTATCATCTAGATTTGCGCCTGTACTGGATTCGGTGATAAGTATCTCATCCAGGGCATCCTCAGACAATTCGACGGATGTGTCTGCTTCAAAGTCCGCTCCTTGATCCTTCTTCCCTGATTCAGCATCACTATTGAGCTCTTCGGAGGCACATCTTTTTTCTCTAATGATCTTTAACAGTAGTAGCTTATTCTTGTACGAATCTACCGGTAATAATTCGGTCCGGTACTTGTTGTAATCAGCATCGAACAATAAGCTAGAACCGGACAGAGTATGCGTGACAATCAAAATATACTTCTTGAGTCTGTCGCTATAAGCCGCATCCTTTCCCGGTGAATTCATCATATCACTTATCTTCTGAGAGCAGTAATCAGTAAATTCCTCGAGCAATTCAGCTGCAAACGTCACCTCGCTTGCACTTGGAATATGCCATTTGAAGCTTGTCCTTTCTTTTGAGAACCTCCTCTCGTCAAATTGAAGTCCGCCCCATTTTTGATCATCATCGATTTTGGAGTCCTCACAGAAGAGCCGAAAATCTGTCACTTCTGTCGAAGTGAGACTAGTCAGGACGTTGTGAAGGACCAAAGAAGTGTGGACATCAAGCGGAGGATTGGAGATATTGTCAAATATATGAAAAAGTAACTCCTTGAGGTCTTCCTTATAGTCTAGTATAGACGCGCGTGACTGTCTCACGATGTCGCTCAATGCTGTTAGATAGGTGAGCAGTTTGACATCACGATGTTGAATTTCTGAGGAGCTGCGGACAGATCCTGCTCCTTTCTTAATTTGATCTTTGATGTTGAATGCAAGATTGAAAAACAGCTTTTTGCTCAGCTTTGAGTCTCTTCGGATGGCTGCACCAAGCGGAATGGTGACCAGTTCATAATTGGGCTCTTTCTCCTTGAAATAATCGTTTTCCCAGAATAATCTCTCAAGCATATCAACAAAGTACTGGAACATGGCATCCGACATCGATTCTATCATAATCATAGATGTCTGATTGAGTTTGCTTATAAAGCCTTCCTCCAAATCACAGTCAACCAACTGAACTACTTTATTGAGGTACAGCTTGAGAACATTCTCAAACACTGTTGTCGAAGCTCTAAATGCGGCGTTCATAGCCTCTTTGTCGTATTGAAAGTCGTCCGACACATTTCCTTCCTTAAGGAATAAAACATGTTCCTCAATGAACGGCAAAGTATGTGACTCAAAACTTAGGTACTCATCCTCCTTAACAAAATCTTCGAGGGGAATAAATGATGAGATTGAAACGATGCAATTGATTATATTGCTAGTGAGGGTCAAATCATTGCAATCTAGCTTCTCTACAAGCATGGCAAGGAGATTCGTAATGTGTACCCGAAATAGTGGATCTTGAATCATGAACCTGGCAGCTTTTGTGAACTGTTTCAATGACGAAATCAGGCGGTGTGTTGAATGAATGTACAAGTCGCCTAGAGAGTCATAAAGGTCCAGTAGAACTCTGTCAAATAGAACTGTTCTTTTTTTGCCACCGATATCGAGCATATAAGCCAGGCAGGAAATGTAATAGTTTGCCATATCAGAACTCTTATTCTGGGCACCCAGAAAAATTATATTCTGAAATATGCCCACGAGCCTAGCATGGCAAACGTCGTTAAGCTTAAGCTCACTCCTAAAACTACTTCTTGGATTTTTCTCAAAGTAGACCCTTTGATGGTACATCTTGATAAATCCATGAACAAATTTGGCAATCACTTTAGTCCAAGGTCCAGTATTTGAGGGGTGGGCAAAAGTCTCGAGTGATTTGATAAGGCCCTGAAGCTTATTGAAAAAGCCTGCGCTATTTGAGCCATTAATAGAATAGATCAGGGGCCTCACTGTTCGGCTAAATGAGACGATCTGAAAATCATTTCTCAAGTGATTCTGGATTCTATTAAAGATAAAGCTTATTTGGTCTTCGGTGAGAAGTCCGAATTCTTGGAACGAGACGTTGCTTAGGCGTACTAATCGTGGGCTTTCTTGTCTTAAAAGCTTGGAATGGGCATCTTCAGCAATACATCCAACAAAATCGTAAAGATGTGTATCAAACCCAATCGAAGGTGAAGTTGTTGTCCATAGAGTGAAAAAAAATGGGAAGTAGTCTGTTATTTTGGTATCCTCTTGATACCGATATGGCACGAAAGAAGTTATAATAGGAAAAACACTAAAAGCTGTCAGTGGGGATAGACTCGAAATGAAATGGTCCATTGTCTTTTTGAGGATCTCATCATCTCCATGGCCATAAAAAGGCTTAGCAATGTGGCTGAGTTTCAACAGAAGTCTGAAAAGTTGGTTATCCACCTTGGTCGCGACGTCGAAACGAGTGTATTCGGCATCCGCGGATGGCAAAAACTCGTCCAAAAATTCTTTCATTGGTTTGTAGTCTAATCGTAGCCCTGCGTGAAGGAGTAGATCAGTGAAGTTTGTTCCTTCATCGTCGGTGCTCACGAGCGCCTCAAACAGATCAACATACATGGGACGGTAGACTTTTTGACCTTGAACCAAGGAGAGCGTGTAGAAGACCAAAGCAAGACTTTTTCTTAAAGTGACTGGGAATTCAAAATGCAGACAATTCTTCAGCTCGTTTGCCCAATGGTTGACGTTGATGATCGTGGCTGAACGTGCCGTGATCCTGCCAGTGGCATTGAAGCTGAGGCTGTCGAGCTCGAGCATTTCGTCGAAATCGTCGTCTTCGTCCTCATCGAAATTGTGAATGTCGTTGAAAGCGCCGTCCTCGTTTTCGTCGTAGCGGTCACTTGAGAGCTGGAACATGTCGGTGCTCATAACCAGCTCGTCAATTTCGGACTTGAGATCGCCGAGATCCTTCATCGAGATCGAGACCAGGCCCTGGATGTCTAGCGATTTGATTGCCACGTACAAGTTCACCAAAATGTAACATAGATATTTGGCCTGCTCAGTATGCGTTTCTAGACGATACGGAAGACAATCTTCCACCACGAACTCCGGTTTCACGTCTCTGCAAAACCATCTGGACTGAGGGTCGTAGATGTGTTGTAAATGCTGTGTTTTGTCCTCGACAAAGTCCAAATTGTAATAATGCAAACGCACTTTCTCTGCCTCTACGAAAGCTTCCATTCCTTCACCGTTTCCTTGTTTTAAGCTGTTCAGTGGCGTTGCAGATCTGAGCCGTTTTACTGGAGATGCTTGAAGTCCCAAATGCACGCCACTCGATCGAATTTTCGGTTTTTTTGATCGGGTAAAATCCGTACCAGAGTTAGAGCGGCTAGTCTTCATGTCTCTGACACTATCACGCGCTGCTGGATGGCCCTTTCGCGGTGTCGGTGTCACAATGTTGTATTTATCCATCTGTTCAAAATTTCAGTTGATTTCACGCCAATTAATTCAGATTTCACTACTATAACACACTATACGTGAAAGGCTACTAGAACACTGACACTGGAGATACTTAAGCAATTGAAATACGTTATAGCGGCTTAGATTGTGAACTCAAGCCCTGTAGAAGGAGAGGTACATTTCTGTCGATTTATATAGCTGAATTCCCTTACCCCAGATAATGGATTAACACGGAGGGGTGTGGCCGGCATCTCTCTTTGCGGTATAAGGTGAGCTGACGTAAGAATGAGAAAAATCCACAGCCAACGGCCAGGAAATAGTGATCATGTGATTCTAACGGTTTATGTCATTGCTTGATCCAACTGCTTTTTCAAAGCTTGTAGTAGTATCTTGTCGCGTTCCTTGTAAGTGTTAATCGGCGTAGTTTTCTAAGTTCAACGTCAGCGCCTGAGACGTGTTGCGGGTCTGCTGGCGGAAAACTCCGACCAAAGATTGGGATTTCTCAAACATGGTGTTGATCAGAGAAATAACGATAAACTGCAGGTCTGAGCGTGCTTGTCGCCGGATATAAGTGGCAATACGCTCGACGTTGGAGATGTCCAGGGCGGCATCGACCTCGTCTAGAATGAAAAACGGGCTTGGCTGGAACGAATTGATCGCAAACAACAGCGCCAGCGCAGCAATTGTTTTCTCACCGCCAGAAAGATACTCCATGTCTTTGAAACGTTTAGCAGGCGGTGTGGCGTGGTACCGTACCCCGGCCAAATATGGCTCGTCTTCGTCCTCCAACGTCAAGCTCGCATGTCCACCGGCAAGAGCTGCAGTCGAATTCGGGTCACGTGTCAACTCGCGGTAAACGCCCTCGATCGTCTCACTGATGTGATCAAATGCTTTCTCAAACGCGTCCTTTCGCAGATTACGCACTGCAGAAAACTTGTCGTTGACGACCTTTTCTGCGGCCTTACTGCGTTCCGTTTCTGCGAAAATTTGGTCGTATTTGACCTTGGCGTCCTCGTACCTTCCAGCAGCTTTGGAATTAGGTTGCAGCACTGCAAGCAGCTCTTCTAGCTCCGCGATGTTTTTCTTCAAATCTTTTTCAACCTCGTCTGTGTCATTTTGACGAAGCTTGCGGCTCAATCCGGAGAACCCAATAACGATATTATTCGCGACTTGCAAGGCATCGTCGTCCACTTTGTTAAGTGAGATTTCCTCGAGCGAAGAAGAACCCTCCGGAAGTTCAATATTGAGCATTTTGCAATTCTTTAGAATGCTTATCTTTTCCAAAAGCGTTTTTTCGAGATTCTCGGACTGTCCGGCATGCTGGCTCCTACAGCTGTGCAAGCTATCGGTCAGTTCTGTAATTGTCTCCTCCAGGGAGTTCAATCCTAAAGACAGTTTGCTGACCTCCAGCTGTGATTGCTCCAAGCGAGTTTCCTCTTGTTGTATTTCTGCATCTTGTTCCGAGATCTGGGCCGTGATTTTGTTTCCACTCGTTTCAAGGGCATCTAGCCTTAATTTTGCCTTTTCTACATCCACCTGAGCTTTCTGTTGGCGTTCCTGTGTTGCCTTGAGCCTTTCGTTTTCGAACTCCAGTTTCTTTTCAATTGTGACAATTTGCATCTGCAATTTACGCAAATCTTCAGACTGTTTGCGCATCAACTCACCCGAATGGGCTTCATATTCTTCCACCGTAAATCCAACCTTCTTCGTGAACTCGGCATATATGGAATCTTGAAGCGCTTTCTTTTGTACTTGCACTTCAGTGATTTTTCTTTCGTGTTCTTCAGCTTTGTTGCGTAGTCTTTCAATCTGCGGCTTGAACTCTTGTTCTGCAAGTTCTTTCTGATAATCGATTTCTACCTGCTTTTCCTTCAACAATCTTTGTGTATGAGAGAATCTCGTTTTTAAGTCCGCAGAATCTGTACTCTTCAAGGACAACGAGTTGTCCAATTCCCTAATCTTCTCGAGGTCGGACCGAGTAGAAGAGGAGATTTCTGCAATCTCGCGAAGAAGGGTATCCTTCAATGACATGAGATTCTGATATTCTTCCTTATCCCATCTATTTCCTGAACTTTTCAACGTACCACCTGTCATCAGCCCTGCCTTGTGTACGATGGAGCCTTCAAGAGTGACAAGCTTGGACTTCACACCTTTTCCCCATCTGAGATCCTTGGCAATTGATAGTGTATCGCAAAGGATTGCATCTGAACAAACAAACTCGAAAGCTTTCTCCAGTTCCGGCTCGTAGTCAATGGCATCGATTGCCAGCATTGAACCTTCTGCATCCGCAGAATGCATAGAAATTTTGTTGACTGATATTGTGTCCAAAGGAATGAATGATATTATTCCAGAGCGCTGCTTCTTCAAAAACGAAATGCATTGCTGCGCGACCGAGAGGTTGTCTACTATGACTGAGTCGAAATTCATTCCGAGCACAGTGGAGACTGCGATGGCATACTTGTCCTTTTTTGGACGACACAAGTCGTGGACGAGACCTTTCACTCCAGGAAATAGTCGTCTTAACGTCGAAACGTTTTCTCTGATTTTTCGCTCCTTCACTGTTTCCCTCTGTGTAGCATTCATGTCATCGAGCTTGACCAGTGTTTCTTTCAGCTTGTAATTCATTTCATACTCTTTGTTACTGTTGGATTCAGCCTGTGACTGAAGACTTTTCAGTCTTTTAACCAAGCTCGACAGCTGTGCTGAGTTTTCTTTCACTTCCTTCCCTAATTGTTCGACCTCGGCTTCTAAGCTCAACTGTTCCAGTCCCAGCTCTTCGTTAACCTTTTCCATCGACTCATTGAGCTTTTGAGTGTAGAGATCCATCTCGTCAAGCAGCTCTCGTTTGTCGTTCGCTTCCAGAAGCAATCTATCCTCGAAACTCGACCCACCAGAACTTAGGTAAGATTCTTTGAGCTTTTCGTAAGTTTGTAAATCCTCATCGCTCAATTTGTAGTCCCCACTCGTGTTCGCTGCTTCATCCATCTCACTGCGAGCACTGACCTTAGCTTTATTCACCACATTTAGCTGGTGGGAGTATTGTTTGATCAGCGATTCTTGCCTGTCGACGTCCTTTTGCAAAAGCTCTATCCTGTCTGTAGCAGCTTGAATTCGTTTCACAACACTTTCTTTTGCACTATCTATGGGTAGCAATGATGATGTTAAGGACTCTTTACTCTTCACTTTCGCTGAAAGTTGTAGTCTCTGTTTGAGGATGGCGCTTTGAGCTTTTGCAAAGGAAGTTTGCTGCTTTTTCAAAAGGTCTTCTTCTAGACTCAAGCGAGACTCAATTACGCCTAACTCGGATTTTGAACTTTCTATTTCTTTACTCAGGGCTTCTTTCCGCTTTTCCAAATGGAACAACTGCCAAACCACAAGACGCTGCTGAACCTCTTGGCGTTCTCTAAGGTACTTGCGATACTCTTCATCTCTGTTGATGCCTTCCTTGAAACTTTTGAGACCAGCATGAGCGCGTTTTCGAGACTGAATGAGCTCTGAAGTTGAAGATCTCGTATTTTCGAGCTCTTCCCTCAGTTGATCGTATTCGTGCTTGTACTGAATGGAACCCGAAACCTGTTCGAGCAAAGCGGTGAGCTCCTGGGGCTTCTGGGACGCTACTTGCTCTACGTCACCCTGAAACACGAGGAAATTGCGTGCTTTGATGAGAATGTTTTGACTCTCGAGAAAATCACTGTATTTTTTGTAACTGATGGTTTTGCCGTCAATCTGGTAGGTGCTGTCTTGGCCCCTGGTGACAATTCGACAAAGCTCTACAAAATCGTCAGAACTGTTTGTTGGGCTGTAGAATGCCTTGACATATGCACTTGACGGCTGATCGGGCGATTCCTCACTTGACAATGACTGACCACCTTCCTCTCCTCCACCCAAACTGCCACGATAAATAAGATCGGTCAGCAGGTGGGATCGCAGATGCACGCTTTTGACTCCCAGCACAAACGAGATTGCATCCATCAGATTAGACTTTCCCGATCCATTGGGTCCTATGATACTTGTGAAATTCGAGTCTCCAAAACCTATTTTGACGGTTCCTTTATAGGACTTGAAGTTGCACAGCTCTAGACCTAGTAGACGACCCATTTCTGCTATTGTGTTGGGTTTAGTTAGCGCTAATTGAGCTGTTGAATGTGGTTTTGAAGAAGCTGAGTCGCGTCAAATATCTGTTTTACACGTCTCGAGTCCTTAATATTTTTCCGTAAGAGTGTTGACGCGTTTGGCTGAGATCACTTTATCCCAAACTGACGGTCTGTCAAACACAGTAGAGACTAGAAAGCAGAACGAAGAGCTCTCTCTCTCTCTCTCTCTCTCTCTCTCTCTCTCTCTCTTTCTCTACTATGTCTCTCTCTACTATGACCTGGTAACACTCGATTGGTTACATACCTGTAATTATATTATACATTTGCAACGGGTTTACGCACGGGACGATAACTCGAAATGTTCCTCGTGCGACGGTAAACCCTTGTACTCCGAGCTTGTGAAGTACGTCATCATTTTTTTGTAGAACCAATAGTTAAATTTGTTCAAGACGTAGACCCCGGCAACACTCAGAACAATGTAGCATGCTTTCCGCACCATTCCTGAACGGTCCTCGGGAACTATGGTCCGGTACTCAATCACGATGTTGACCCCCAAGAGGAACATTATACTGGCGGTGACAACAATGGCGAATCCACTTAACACGAAGCCCTGCAACGAGATCTTTTTATTTTGGGGTACCGCTAAACCAGATTTGAACCTAGGCCCGAAAACCCGCTCCTCCGCATCATGGCTAGCTTTGCGATCTGCGTCACTTGTTCCAGCAGTTGGTCTTTTCCTTAGAAATGGCGATGAAGAGCTGCCGAAGTCATTCATGTCGCGAAATTCCTTGAAAAATGTGTGTCAAGAGTAGGTGCCAACGTCCGTTGAATGGCTTGAATCTACCAAAAAAGCTGGTCCGTTCTCAACCTAATTCAGTACCACCAAAAGGTTTCAAAAGGGAAACTTATCATAGCTAGAATGAACTCTTTGGCTTTTCGGCGATGAGCTTTAGTTTTCAGTCATCGGACTGCACCCATATAATAATTAATTTAACTTTTTTCCTTGGGTCCCTGTGCTTACGTAAGCTTGTGGTTATTTCTCAGTCATGTGACTAATTCCAACGGTCGAATCGACATGAACGACGTTGTCTTTAGGACGCGATGAGGCTACCCACAACGGTTTTTAATGGAATTTGATGTCTGACATTGGCTAGCACTGCTCTTGAGTGTGTGTAGTTTCAATTTCTTGTTCCTGGGGTCTGCCGAAATCGAGAAACTCTAGGAAACTGTGCCCTTCGCGTTCGACGGCCGCAACGAACTTCCGATTGTTGAACTTAACAGACCACACCTGGTCTGCATCACTCAGCAGATCCGAATGGATGGGCTTGCCGTCTCTGAGATTGTACACGTTAAACTGACCCTCGGATCCACTCACCAGTAGATTGTTGTTGGCGTAAAACGTGGTGATCGCGCTCATGTCTTTGGAATGGTAGGCAAACTGGCGCGAATAGGCGTTGGAGTCCCAGCCACGAAGCATGCCGTCGGCCCCAGCACTCACCAAATACTTGTCTGAAAGCCCCAGCAGGCCTACGAGAGCCGTGTGACCTTGGAGTAAGATCATGGAACCGGTGACTTTGACACAGCCCGCATTATTCGAGCCAATAGCGTTGCAACGTCCATTATTCCGCACGTCCGAAAGATCCCACACCCTCACAGTGCAGTCCATGCCAGCAGACACGCATCTGTTTCGCTCGTGGTCGTAGATGGTCGAATAGATGCGGTCTGTGTGGCCCGTGAGAACGTACAGACATTTCATCTGAACAATGTCCCACACCATAAGATTAAAATCGTAGGAACCACTTATCACGATGTTTCCATGGCCCGAAACAGTGCGGACAGCAGCCATGTGTCCTCTCAAAATACCCACAAAATAAGGATTTGAGTCTGTGGTGCTATAAACCTCGCAGTGGTGAGGATTGTAGCTCGGAGACCGATGGTTCGGAAGCTTCCACACATGCAGCGTATGATCCCTCGAGCCTGTGATGATGAATTTTTCTCCACGATGCTCCACAATGTCCAGGCACCTCACAGTAGAGGTGTGCCCTTTGAAAACGTGCGTGCACTTGCCCTCTTTGATATTCCATACGCGCACACTACGATCCGTGGACCCGCTCACTAGGATCCCATCTTGACCATATTTCAAAGCCCACACACCGCCATCGTGGCCACTCAGTTGGGTGATGAAACGCTCTTCATTAGCATCGTAAACTCGAATTACTTTATCGTCTGCTCCAGTGATGACATAGTCGTCTTCGAACTGGAGACATGTAACGATCTTTACAGAGTGTCCTCGCAGCGTTGTGCGGTGCGGCTTGAAGCTTGCGCTATAGCAATTTTTCAAGTACGTGTAATTTTGTAGGAAGTTGATCCGAACCTGGTTTTCGGCTCTGGAATGCAGTTCTGGGTCTGAAGAATCGTGATAGTCTTTTTTGAATTCGTCGAGCGACATGAACCCTTCACTAACCATGAGATTGCGCCACAGATTAGGTGTGTTGTTTATCAGATTGTTCCAAGTTTTGCTGACCGCCAAACACTGGGCGATATCTTCGAATCGTAAATTTGTCAAAATGTTCATGGCCACCTCTACGGGTAGTGAGCTGATGAAATCGCGTTTCAAGTGGTCCTTCACAAGTGTGCCCAGATCGGAAAGTTCACTTCGGCACAGCTTGCTTATTAGCTGAAACACAAGGTTTCTGTAACCTGCAGGCGATAGTTGCTTGTGAGCTGCATTTGCCACTGTGGCAAGATAGTCGTGCTGGGAAACTTTATTGCGAAGCATGTACATTTCGTCGACCGACGCAGTGTTACTGGGGGATGCTATTGGTGACAGAGGCAACCCGTCGTCGCTTAGGACGCCTGTCGTCAGGGACGGGTTGGTCGTAGAGCCATTAGTACCGGTATGACTGGCAACGACCGGGGCTTCCGATGCCGGAGAATCCTCCAGCATCACTTCACCGTTACACCCTTGTACCGATTCGCCTGTTCGTGCTTCCGCTTCTTTCATGGTGTTGGCTAGTTCATATTTCAGTGATCCCTCCACACTAGGTGTTCTGACAAGCTCGTCTCCGGTGTAAGATTTTTGAGTGCCGGACTTAAATCGCTTATGATCGTATTGTAGCTCAGGCTCTCCGTCTGCCTCGCGTTTGTTGATCTTTTCTCCCAACCCGTCCTGAAACAAGCTCATCTCCGTGGTCATGACCACTTGTTCTTCATCACTGTCCCGTAGTTGATACTGGAACGGGACCGCGATGACTTGTAAAGGAAATTCGTGGGCGTTGGGAATCATAACAGGGCGTTTGTCACTTGAATCGTCAACGACCTCTCGAGGGAAATGTTCGACGCTTTCGATACTTGTCACTTTTAGCTGGTGATGCCCAGATTCTAAAGTTGACTGGAGACGACTGCGACCTTTCTATTAAACATTTTGAGGTCATGTGATGGAAATGACCGTACGTGAAAAAGTGATGAGATAATGAAAGGGAAGAAGATGCTAACAAGATCACGGAAGGAAGCTGTGTGAATGCAATGAGCTGTATTCTTTGAGCAGTGGATCCTGTGTGATTTGCGGAAATCGAGTGTCTTGGGAATATATGGGAAGGAGCACGTGACTTGAAAAACCACGGACAGCTTTAAAGCTGATACAAAAGGTTTCTAGCATTGAATGGGCACTTGTTAAGACTCTGAATGTGTGTCCTCAGAGACTCACTATCATAATCTCCTACATCTACAATGGTCTTTACCTGTGTCTTCTTTTTCATAAAAGATTTCATGTTCCCAAGACATCCGGAGCTCCTTCTAACAACTTTCAAACTTTCAACAAAACTCCGCCCATTCTGGTTGATATTGCACAATTTCATACCTGAATTCCCCTATTCTAGAGTCTTTCTCTTTGAAAGTGTCACACATTGCTTAGCAGTGACACTATTACTATATAGTGAGACCTAATTTAAGATAGCAGCACTGTCTTGATAAATACTCTAACTACATAGAAGTTTGAAAGATCAATGGCCACCACCATTGTCGGTAGCGGAGTCATTGGACTCAGTGTTGCGTATGAACTTCTTGTGAGCGATGATTTGCGCCCAAAGGAATTGCACATCATTGCTCAACATTTCCCTAATGAAACTCCCATCAGTCATGAATATACGTCTGCATGGGCAGGAGCCCATTTCAGGCCATTCCCACACCGGCCTTCTAGTTTCGAAAGCGATTCTCGGGAATCGCGGTACACCCGTACCACTTACAAGCGTATGAAGGACATTTCTGCGCGATTCCCTGAATCGACGGTCGAGCTCATGCAGGGCATCGACTATTTGGAAAATCCACCACGGGAGTATGACGGGAAAAGCCCTGGCTTCAGTTCTGAAAGTCTGGACAACTTTTACAAGCTTGAAACAGCAAGTTTGCCGCGGGGTGTGAAATCTGGCTTCAAATACAGCACATACTGTCTGAATGCGCCTGTATATTTGGACTTTCTGCTAGCCCAGATCCAGCAACTTTGCAGACTGCACAAAGTGCAGCTACACCAGAGGAGGATGACATTGCAGAGCTTGTCACAAGTTCACAGCGTCTGTCCCGCGAACTCCGTGATTTTCAACTGTTCAGGCAAAGGTTTGCAGTTTGATGGGAGCTACGATCCACAATGCTTTTCTATCAGAGGCCAAACACTTCTTTTGAACGCACCCAAAAACAACAAATACAAGAATTTGACCGTTACTCATCAGGATAAGCACGGAAACTGGACTTTTGTTATCAAAAGACCCGCTCTTGGTGGTCAGAAAGCCCAGTATATCCTTGGCGGAACGAAACAACTCGATTCGAACGGTATAGTCCCACGAGACACGGACACTAGCGCGATCCTCGAGCGTGGCCGCGTGCTTTTTCCTGAACTCTTAGAAAATGATGAATTTTCGATTGCGCGCGTGAACGTTGGATTCAGACCCGCAAGGAATGGTGGCAGTCGAGTTGAACTTGAGCGCACACCACAGGGTCCCGTCGTGCATGCGTACGGTCTTGGTGGAATGGGTTTCGAAACTTCTTTTGGAGTGGCACAACATGCACTCGAGTTGTATCGCCAAAGGATCAGAAGGTCGAAGCTATGACCTGATTCTGATGTTGGTTCAACGCCGATGGGCAAACAGCTTCTCATTTCATTAACCTTCCACGTGATCCTCCACGGCAATTTTTAAGGCGTCACAACATCAAATATGACCCATTTTATAAAGACCTAGCCTTCATCATGATAGATAGAACAAACTCAACTACGACAGGTATTGATAGCGTTCTGTAGGCGTTAACGTTATCGTTGCGATAGTCACGTCAATAGTGTCTTATACATCAGCGACGCATCCGTATGATACGATCTTCTATCTGCCTTCAATAATTGATAATCGTATATATATCACGATCTTCAAGGTACTCCAGTAACGGAGTCTTGAGACAAGCTCAGATCAAGTACCGAATCAACGAGGCTTTAAACGGTCTCGAACTTTCAGATCTCATACATTTCCATAACGTATGCCGCATTCCAAAAGCAATCCGCCCGCCGTTCCACAGGGCTGGAAAGCTGTTTTTGACGACGAATATCAGACCTACTTTTTTGTAGATCTGAAGACAGGAAAGTCACAATGGGACGAGCCCAAAGGCACATCTTGGAATAACGAAGGACCTCCTCCATATGGTGAGACCCGTCCCGCTGGAAGCCCTGCTGGTAGTAGTTCAAAAGGCACACCGGGGAACAATTATCCGCAGCAGGCGCAGCAGGCGCAGCAGACGCAGCAGGCCTACTCTCGGCAAAACTATAGCCAACCTGGATTCCAGCAACAACAGCAGCAAGGTTACCCACCACAAGGCTATTACCCTCAGCAGGGGTATCCTCCGCAACCAGGATTCGCTCCCCAACAAGGCTACTACCAGCCACAGCAGGGTTATTACCAGCAACAGCCTGTCCAACAGCAGGGTCGTAGAGGCCATAGCGGTGCCCTTATGGGTGGTCTCATGGGTGCAGGTGGTGGTTTACTAGCCGGTTCCCTGCTTACGTCCGCAATGATGCCTCACGAAACGATTGTGGAAAACAACTACTATGACGACAACAACAACAACGACTACGGCGGAGGGGGCTATGACGGTGGAGACTATGGTGGTGGCGATTTTGGTGGTGGCGATTTTGGAGGCGGCGATTTCTGATGTCAAACGAGACTGTAAGAACCATTTTCCCTGCTCGTTTCTCACGAGTGATCTGCCGTATTCCTCGCACATTTGCAACTGTTGTAAGAGCCATTTTTTTGGTATATAGCTGACCCAGTAAGCAACGGCAATACTCGGCACCCATCCCGCCATGGATCATCTCAAAGCTTCCGTTTGAGACGGATGTTATAATTATCACAACTGTCACGTGACTTTTCCAATATTAGCCAGTGTACTTAGATTAGGCCTCTAGTCCAAGATATCATCAACTTCTTTCAGACATAAAAATCTCGATAGTTGCAAGCATTCAGAAGCCTTTGACGTCTCAAAACAGGTTGGCCAATGACTAGTAGGGTTTATGATCCAATACACGATGTCTTCCAGAGCCGTGACGACCCAGAAGACACGGCTTCAACAGGTGACATAACGACATCGTTACCAGAAGAAGAAGGATCACAGGATGAAGGAGACTCCACACAAAGCGATGAGAATGTTTCGCCTCTGAACGGTGCTGAATCGCGCAAGAAAAGAAGCAAAGAGCCCAGCAAGTATTTGCGGCATCTGAAAAAAGCAGACGGAGAGTATTTCACCCGTCAAGAAATCCAGTACGAGTTTCTGCACGAGCTTTGTTCCGATAAGAGGCCACTCTTCACCAACTGGTACCAGGACTCGTTTTCTATTTTCGCAACAGAAAGTCAGGAGTCTTTAAACGTTACAGACGACGCGTACGTGGCGCGGAAATTCATAAAAAACGACAAACTGACATTTTCAGAATACTATCTTTTGACCATTGCGTCTTCGACCAAGTGCTCGAAGATCCTACGCGACAAGTTGCTTTTCGACCGTAAGGTTGCGTTTTCTACATGTGCACTGTCGCTGCTGGTCAACACAGGCCGTTTGAACACGACCATCAACTTCTTTCTTGAAATGACGTCGCAACTGCGAACTTTCCATTCCATACCGTGTCTCCAACGCGATACGCGGGACCCTAAGTCTTTGCAAGACACTCCAAGATTAAAATCCATACTGAAAAACCTACCTAAGGGTAACGGAAACCTGCCATTAACCGAATATTACGAATCTCCTGAATCTGGTAAGAAACTCGATGCCAATCCTGTCAATGTAATATTTCACCTTTGTGACAACTCCGCTTTGGTAAACCTGAAATTTCTTCAGCAATTCGTCAATGCAGAAGTAGATGATTTGACGTTTTTTGACATCCTTGAGAACACGGCTTTGGACCCCAGACAAAGGGCGCGGATAATTCTTTGGTTGTTGTACGTTCACCTGGAAACGGATTTGACTGACGAGTCCATCGCGGAATCGTTGCGACTTTTCGGTGTGGATGGAAAATTTCAACTGAAGTCTGCACCGGAAGACGTCGATGTGGACACTCCCCAAGAAATAGAGTTTGGAGAGAATCAGAAGGCGAAAAGGAAAGAGTTTCTTATGAAGATCAACAAGTTGCCGCACAATGGATTTGGTAACCAGGACGACAATAAATCCTTAATGGAGCAACGAAAACTCATACATAGCAAGATTGAAGATGGGATAACCGGCGGTGTCGATGTCAATACGGATCCTCCTATTCTTGCTACTTCAGTTGCGCCTATTGCTCCTGTTGCGGATGACGATACTGCGCCGGTCAAAAAACGTAATGAAAAGTCAGGATCGCGAGGATCTGCTAAGGGCACTAGGAAATCTACTAAGGATTCGGCTACCGCGACAGAGGAATCCACGACAGAAGCTAAGAAACCAGCCGCCAAAAGAGCATACCGTAAACAACAGAAAAAGCCTGTAGAACCTACTAAAGATGTGACTATCCAGGTCCCGGTCAAAGAAGAAAACCGAGACCTAGAAACGGCTCAAGCTGGTATTGAAGAACAAGCGACTGCTTCACGAACCACACAACAGCCAAAAAAGAGACAGAGAAAGAAGGCAGTATCTGAATCTCCAGTTACGCAAGAAATCAAGAACGACCTTTTGGACGAAAAGAAGAGGGACGAGATGGAAGAGCTGATAAAATTTGATAAAAGCGAAAAGATTTCAGAGCACCGCACGCATGATGATATCTTGAAAGAGCTAGAAAAGGCTCAAACACTTGCTCGTCATAAGCGTGAAGAACTTGGCCTACTCAAACTTTTCCACGAGTACGAGGACGTGACGATGGCCACGGTGATCGGTGTTCGAGGCAAGAAACGGAAGAAGTTCACAGACGGTCTATTAGGGTTCGAGACTGATTTTATTCGCACGTTCAATGGTGCAAAACGAGCGCTTCTTGCTCGCAAGAGTGATACGGGTAGTATATATGAATTTAAGTGATGTAACGACTTGTAGGACTAAGACATAACTGCCTTGACGAACTCGATAAGACCATGTTCTAGTCCGTATTCCCTTATGAGAGCTGAACAAACTTCATTTGCGTGTGGGGTGCTTCCGGAATTAGATTCCAGATCGACGCTTACCGCAGAACTGGGGAAAGGAAGATTATCGAACTCGATGATATAACGAATTTTGAGTGTGTGGTTGGCCTTGTGGGACTTTAGTTGAAAGCAGCTCTTGGAAGTTGTATTTGTCGTCAAGTATCCGAATGCAATCGCCAAGTTTGACCAGAGGCCAGCTCTGGACTTGCAAAGACGAGTATATTCATAACATCCAAGAAACAGAAAGGACAAATTGTAGGTTCTTTCGCAATGTTGAATGAGAGGGTCTAGGGCCAAGCGACTGTGTGAAAGTTGAATTATCTTGAGATCGAGCATCCTAGAATTTTCAGTCGAATATTGAAGAGACATTGAAAAGTCACTATCGATGGAAAGCTCGACATTGGTGACGTAGACGTTGGATTGGCCTGAAGTTGTGAACCCATGTTTCTTTAATGAATGGATCTTCAACAGAGGGTAGAATTCTTGCAAACACTCGAGTCTTTCGGTGTAATCCAGTAACGGGAGGGTATCACATTTGTCGACGAGCTTTGAGTAACGAATAGTTTGAACAGACCGCAGTCGTTGTTTATACTCGGCGAGAAGCGCATCTCGAGAGGCAATAAGTTGATCTCTGGTGTCGGAGCTCATATTGAAGAGAAGGGCGTGGGACAACAGCCAGTTGAAGAAGGTTATTTTCAAGACTTGCAAGTTGAATTATAGAAAAACTATGAGTTTGACGAGCCAAGGCTTTTACTTGTCAATGAGGGTCTGTGAATAGAGATCGGTTATGGATAGGTGTTGAAATTGATGGAATGCATGTAGTGCGGAAATCGCCCATTGCAAGACATATTGGGCAGGCGATTAGGTGAGAAGCTCGAAGTTCTTGTTCAAGAAAGGCCAAAGTGAGAAGCTCGGTTCTTATTCGAGAAAGGCCGAAGTTCCCAGATCCAATGGTTGTTTATAACAAAAGCGGTAGGTCGTTGAAGTGACAAGGGCCCATTAACGTGGGCCAACAGGGCACTGCGATAATGACCCGTCTACGGAACTAGTGTTTTGGCCAGCCGGTTTCAGCGATTGGTGGATCGGTGACCAGAAACATTGTGATTTAATGCATCATCATTGTTCTCAGTTAAAGTGACTATTATAGCTAATAATGCGCTTGTCTTTGGCTTCCAACTTTCGATGTTGGCCTTAACATGCACTGTAATGTTACTTATAAAAAATCAATAACTTATACTAAAAAAAGACTCATGTTTGAAGTGAGGGAGATAGAGAGAGAAGAAAGCCGGCCAACCATTATGCTAATATGGATGTCCAGTCAGCCAGCCATGTTCTTCTTCTTCTTCTTCTTCTTCCCCCACATTTTTTCGTTCTTTACCTTCGTAAAATCGTAGCAACAAAAATCCAGCTTACAGCTTATTTGGTCTCGTCACCACCGTGTAGAGACTTGCTCACGTACTCGGCAGCGTCATTCAGCTTGCTCTTGGCAGCATCCACGTATTCACCGGCGGTTTCGGAGACCGACTTTCCGCTGGCCTCGTCTTTGCCCTTGGAGGCAGAGTCACTTAGACCCTGGAAAGCGCCCTTCTTCTCTTCAGGCTGAACGGCACCAGCGGCCTTGTCGGCCTTGTCGGTGACGAATTCTTTACCCTGTTCGAAAGTCGACTTTTGGCTGTCTGGCTTGACGGCTTCGGCGGCTTTGTCGGAGAAATCTTTTCTGTAAGAGTCGGACATTGTTTGATTTGTGAGTGTATTGGAGGTATGAATTGGTGAGATTCAGAGATGGTTTTTATAAGCAAAAAGTGATAAACAATTCCCTAGGTTGTAAGATCTCCAACTCAAATCGGCCTGCCTTTTATACTTGTTTCTCCGATCCTCTTCTTCCCCAACTCCTTGCTCTCCCTTTTTTTGCTCTACGAGCAATTCTCCACAACATAGCGCTTTTGTGAATTTTTATTGCTTGTGACTCTAGCCCCCCACCCCTAAGAGCAAAAACGTTGCCGCGCAAACAGATATTTCCGCCGTCGGAGCAATTAACGGGTTGCCGCTGAGTTGACAGCAATTTTGTGACAAAAAACACAAAAACGGCAGTCACCCCTAAAACACCCTTACACCCATGCACCCACATAAAAACCAGTAGAAGTAGAAATTCTCCAAGGTTCTGGACCCCTACGGCGGTAGCAATGTTATTTTTAGGGATGGCGGCGGGGTAAGTGTGACGCAACGCTTTTGTGGCAGAGAGAGGAGGGGGGTCTCCCTCTCGGAGCCGAAATCGGGGAAATCATCACAGATAGAGATGTGGGTAATGTGACACAATGCAAGGGTGGTGGGGGGATTTGACTCGGGATGGCTAGCATCGACGAAACTACCCGTTTCAGTACCCGTTTGAAACCTAGAACGGGAACACTATTGGGTGTTGAGTGTGGTTACATAGTGGACCGCGAAACTAGTATCATCAGAGAGTAACACGTCTAGACAGAGTGTGGAGGACCTGATGACTATGTACTTGAATGGATACAGTCTCGATGGCTAGCATGTGGCGTTTCGTTCTAAGACAGATGAGACAGACGCTCTTTTGAAATGTTCGGTTGATCGCGTTGTACGAAAGCACATCAGAAAGAAGCTCCATATTTCTAATGACTAGTAACTTGAAATGATCTAAGTAATCTAAGCATAGTCGTGTATGAATGGATACTGGCTTCGGTGCCCACTACGTTGAGGTGTTTCATTTCGATATTAGCATTCGATTGCCTGCAGATTGTCCTTGGTAAAGCGTCTATATGTTACCGCTGAAGGCGAATAAATCTACTAATCATTCTACACGGTACCCCCCCTCAGTCTCAATGTGCGTAGCATAGCGCTAATGTCAATCCCATAACCTCGAAGATAGGCTTCATTACACCAATAACAAGTAGGTTGATGTGATCTGAATGAATCATTGTTGACATATCGTAGATCATGGATCATGTTTCATTAGCTCACTAAACTTCTTCTTCGCAATGAATATGGTCGTCCAATTCAAAAATTTGACACCTATTTCTGTAGGGTCGTCATGAATTTCGTAGCTCTTCCAATCACGCCAAGAAAGCAGAAATAGCCTTCAATTTGGTGTCGTCAAGCGGTAGATTTTGTGTTAGCTTCGAAAATAACTATGGGGCATTTTATTCTCTGGCCGATACAGGAAAATGTCACTGTCCCGTCTTTACGTAAGGTAGAACTGTTGTGTTATTCACGAAAGAAATATGGAAAACCGTTTAAACCGGGATACAAATCTTGTTTCGGTATTCTTGAAGTGCCCACTTAGATAAATATTGAGCGCAATCCTAGATGTCAGCCGTTCTATCGCAATCCTAGATATCAACCGTTCTATCGCACTCCTCTCAGCTACTTTCAGTTTCAATTCCTTGCAATTAGTTCTGTCACGAATTCGGACCTCGTAAGGCAAAATACGCGGCATTCATGTTCATCGCAGCATCCGAAGACCCTCCAACTCGCTTCGTGCACGGCTAGCTCTACAGTATGAAACACACACGAATTTCGACAGGGCTCTTGGATCGACATTCGATCCAGAACTACTGTCAAAATCAGATGCTTTACACCGTGCTATTGTCAGAACCTCTGTCCAGCGTCAGATCCATAACAAAATGATCACCGGCAGGTGACACGGTGACAGATGACAGAAATTGACTAAATACTCAAAGAACCTAGAATAACTACTGATCCAAATCGATTAACAAGACATGCGTTAGCGGTAACGCATTGAAGTGATTGATCCTGGAGCACCTGAATTTTTTCATCCGTCCGCAACGTTTCTTTAGCCTACACGCTCATCTCGTTTCTGCTAACCACACAACGGAGACTAAACTCTTAACTCCATAGTTCAAACTATACAGTAATGGAGGAAATCACCAATCGTGCAACGACACTCCAGAGACAATGTCAAATATAAACACTTACCATTCCTTGCTTGTAATGATCCATCTGCAGCTAGATACATGGACTAGGAGTTGAGTAAAACTTACAAACTTGTATGGCTTTTCTTGCCTATGAAATGTATCTGTTATGTATGTTTGACATGCACTGTCATTCAACGAACTTAAAAGAGAAGGTGCAACGAAGCTTTTGAACTTTTTTAAACCATGGAACTCACTAATCAGAACAAGCCCAAAGGAGCATCATAATGCTTCTGTTGGTAGTCCCAGTAGAAAGTTAACGAGGTTTGGTTGCTGGTAGTGTTGGTCTTACAAGAAGAAACGTAATCAGTACCGTTCAATCTGGACTCAGCGTAGTCAACAAACTTGCTCAATTCACAAGACAAACCTGGACCGGAAGAGCACTTCTCAATTGGAATCACAGCGTCGTTCACCACGTACCTGACGTAGGTTTGGTTGGAGCATTGATACAGCTGAGTGTAGACTCTAGCACCTTGAGGAACCATCCAAGACTTGTGGTAAATGTGATCTTTAATGGCAATGTACTCTGCAGGCATAGGGTGCCCAGGGTCGAAAATACCGATAGCAGCTAGGATGTTGACGACGTTAGTGTCGTGAGTGAAACTCAACCACACCTTGTTGTCCAATTCTTTGTGCTGTTTCAAAAGCTCCACGGAAGCGTTGAAGTTGACACCACCGACAGTGATACCTAATGGGTTACCAGGACCGTGATAGTAGTAGCTCGTCATGTCATCGTTGTACGCGTAGTAGGTCAATTCCTCGTCGGTAAAAACATCGCACATGTTACTGTAGCCCTTGACGTTTATTTCGTAAGCGCACCAGGCGAATAGACTATTGGCTTCGGATTTGGACAAGTTTAGGCCTTTGTTTTCAGTGTTCAATCTGTTAGCGATATCAGATAGGTATTTGGTGGTGAACTTGGAGTACACGTCTGCTTTGGCGGTTTTGTTGTAGGTGGCACACGAATTCAAAGTAGTCAATGAGTTTGCTCCCATGGAGGGATCCTCATCGATGATTTGGTAGCTAATGTTGAATTTGTCTCCCAGAGCATCACCGAAGAATTTGGCGGTGTCGTGAACTCTCTTGGAGTTGGATGTAAAGATAGGAAAGGAGGTCTTGTTTTTTAGAAGCTCGCCGTACTGCTGGAAGAACTCACGACCGTGTTTTTGTGCATCCCACTCGCCGACGTATGGGTTTATAGGATCCAAAATGTTGTTCCAGGTGGTCAATTCTTCGAAATTGCTTGGGTCTGGCAAGAAGAATTCGTAGTCATCGTCCAGAAACTCTAGAGCACCTGAAAACTTGGACGAGTAGTTATTCAGTTTCTTGTACAGGGTGGTGAGGGACGCGCCTGTGTTGTTAGTTGGGTATCTTTCGCCGTGTCTAGCGAACAATTGCACTTGTTGGAGGACACATTGATCAGGGACTTCTTTGGACACCCCGTAGCTCAGCGGGTACGAAAAGTGTGGAGCAGAACCTGCCAAGTATGGGAAAATGTCTTCTTGGGTGCCAATTTTCGACACATCTGCAAAAGTTTGTTGCTTATCCGTAGTGGCTGGCGCAGCGTTTGCCAAGGCAGCTGCCAAGAGAACTAGTGACACAGAGTTCATAGTGACAGATGGTGAGTGAGAGTCGATGCTTGATAATTATACAAAGCTACAATCAGCTGAACGAATGACGCTACGATTCGCCGCCCTATATATATATACGTTCTTATTATATATGTCTATGTTCTTGCAGGACCAGTGATATTAGCGTATAAATTCGAATTCGGCAATAGTACACAGCTTCACGAGTATTACATTTCAGTGCATAAACCTGAGTTTAAATTAAGAGCACATTCTCATGGATATTATGCGTGGATATCTGTTATAGAACATCTCGCGAGATCAACAAGTTGTTCTAGGGATATTTCACCGCTTAGGGAGTTTTCACCACTTCATCACCACCAATGCAAGGGTTTGCACCCTGATAACGTGGGACGTGTTTAATAACGAATACAAATTGAACGGCATTACCACACCGGCATTAACAGATATCTCTACTCTGTCAATTTTTCGTAAATACAAGAATGCTAGGAAGCGGAAGGGTTTGGGTTCCAAAACCCTGAATTGCACCCGATTGGGCATCAATTAGTGTTCAAGGTTGTAGTTCCCAATTAAGTACGTATTCAAGACACACAACGTGTGCGTTGGAATAGTATAGACATGTACGAGATGTATATTACTTGGCTCTAGTTACCCATGGCTACAACCTGTGAGTGTTGCTGTCGATACCTTGGTCAGTTTTACCGTGCTCGAGTTTTAATTGAGCCTGGACCCACGCGCTCGAGATGCACCGTCGCGTGACACACGTTGTAAGAAGCACAGTGTTATATGACTGGTATACTGCAATGGGCGTCGTGCGATGCTCAACCAGGATGTCAGTTACATAGTCTCTAAGGCTTCACAACACGAGTGACTGGTGGCCCAAGCGCTCACTTTGTCGAAGTGATCCATTTCGATCTTGGCTCATCATACACAACAGCACCTGTATTTTGTCATTCATACATGAGCCTGCTGGTGTTCATATTACCTAGACAAGAAGTCGTTGGTGTAGTGTAGTCTATATTCTGAGGATACGAGACTGGTGTTCTTGAAAGCTGTGGTGCGACGCCTGCTGTAGTAGTCTGGTCATATCATACGGGTCTGCTACTGGCCTGGGAAGAGTAGACTCGAGTAGATATTTTGGACCGCTAATGGGTGTACTCCCATATGATATGGACAGTTTACTGTGGTGCGCGATGACCGACAATACCAGTCACATAGGCTCAAAAACAAGCTTCATATGTCAAATGACTGGTATGTTGAAGTGATCTTAGTAGTACAACTATAAGCAGGGTCAGTGGGTTCAGCGCCCACTTCTTTAAGTTTTTCATTTATAGAACCGGAGTACGCACCCGCTACAAACGAAGCTTCTCAGCAGTGATGAGTAAGATGGGTAGTTGGATGTAAATTTATCTTCAACCATGTTAAGTACAGAACCGGAGTATCTACTCACAACCTTTGTACAAGAATGAAGGTGGTAAGTCGTCTTTTTGTCACCGCTGAAAGTGATTGATTCTACTCGCAGTTCTACTCGTACTCGGATTCGCTGCATTCGCCGGATTCATCCTGATGGTCACTAAATACTTGATGTACTCGCGTTGTCTACTTTTCCCCGAGTCCTACCACGAATCCATCATTGTATGCATTTGCGTTGTATTGGTGTCCCAACCTTGAAAAGGCGTTAGACCCCGAAGAATTCACTTAGTATTTCGAGACGAGTTGTCCTCTGAGCAGATTTCGAACTATTTCATTGGCATCACAGCATCATCGATGACATCATCGATGACATCCAGATCAAATCTCAATCCAAAAGCCTTGTCCAGGTTCTCAAGCGTGTTGGCTAATCCATGAAGCGGAACTCACACCCCGATTCGTGATTGTTTCCCATAACTAACTGGGTTGACCAAACGTACTAGCGGTTGTGATAGTCATTTTACACGGCACCTTGTATTTGTCGCTAGTCATGGTCCCATAGGAATCTGAGGAAATTTGTATTTGGCCCGCTGGGTGTGTGGTTTGAAGGGTGCTTTCACGTTGGGTCTACCGACTGTGTTTACACACCAGGGACAAAAATAACTAAACCAAACAAGTATAATGTCTCGTTAAATGGTCTCTCTGTTGGTGAGCACGTGACCTACGCACAGCAAAACCCCCAAGCCAATTCACCCTGCTCGAAGATTAATGTTGGCCCTGTTGAAGTTACCAACAATAACAACCTATACGTGTTTCCCATACCACTCAAGAGATGGCGTGCTCAAACTGACCTAAGTCACACGGAAAACCTCCAAATTTTCCCTCACCTTATACAAAGTAGTCAGATGCCTGACACACCACACATAGTACTGCTAGGATGTTAATTGGTCACTGATACACCCAACCAAAATCCCTACCATGATCCATTCCTACGCTAACATATGCTATAAGCCTTTGTCTCATAGAGTCACGTGACCCTTTTCTGTCAATTTCATTTCAAATTGTCCATCAAATAAAAGCGTAAAACTTCAATTTTGGATCCATTTAGACAACTCCAAAACAGTCATAAACCATTACCATAATTCTGATCTCCCCCACAAATACCTAAACTCAACTGCTCCTCTTTTTACATCTCGAACCTCTCTTGAACGCATTCATCATTATATACGACACTACAAAATTGTTAATCATTCAATTTAACAATTAATATCGAAATTTCTGGATTAAACTATAAGAACCCAGAAGACTCATTTCGAAGATCATCAGATCCACGGAACTGGCGCTGATTATTGATACCAAAAGTGCTTGAAACTTTTATTAAACTCTCGCTCTGCGATTGTATCATCTGACTCTCTCTTTTTTTTCTTCGCGTGCTTTCTTTACAACTCTATATTTTCCATCGATCGAACTAGCTTACGGGCATGTATCGCAACACCCTATTCAAAGAACTGAGAAAGCCCCGGTTTGCAGCCGTTAAACCGCGTTCTCTGCGTTTTTCAAGACCCCTAAGATGTTTCCACGCCAGTACAGCACTTTGGAACGAACTCAAAGACCCATATTCCACATTGGGAGTGGGAAAAACCGCTAGTTCTTCTGATATCAAAAAAGCTTACTACAAACTGGCTAAGAAATACCATCCGGACATCAATAAAGCTAATGATGCTCAGCAAAAATTCCACGATTTACAAAATGCCTATGAAATTCTATCCGATGACTCCAAAAGACAGCAATGGGACCAGTACGGACCTGCTGCATTCTCACAAGGTGGAGCTGGTGGTGCAGGTGGTGCTGAAGGGTTCGGCGGCTTCGGAGGTTTTGGAGGCGCTGGAGGCTTCGGTGGTGCGCAGGGTTTCGGTGGTAGCGGCGGCTTTGGGGGAATCAATTTTGAAGATTTGTTTGGCGCAGCTTTTGGTGGTGGTGGTGGTGGCGGTGCAGGTGGCTCTGCACGCGGCCGCTCCATGTACCGCGAGTATCAAGGAAGCCCTGTGGAAGTTGTGCATCGCATGAACTTCAAGGATTCAGTTTTTGGTGTTAAAAATGTTAACCTCAAGTACAGTGCATATGATCCTTGCAAAACCTGCGACGGTTCGGGAATGAAACCCGGTGCCTCCAGAACGACGTGTCCTGTCTGCTCCGGTACTGGGACTCGTGTACACGTACGTGCAGGTTTTCAAATGGCATCCACTTGTGACAACTGTGGCGGAGAAGGATCAGTAATTAAGAATTCCGACACATGCTCCTCTTGTCACGGAGAGGGTGCCACAATGAACAAGAATCATGAATTGAAAGTCGACTTCCCGCACGGCTTGCAGGATGGTGACGTCATTCGCATCAGTGGCCAAGGGTCATATCCAAACATGCAGGTTGACCCAGCCATGAAGGACACCATTCGTTTGTCTCGAGGTGACCTCCTAGTACGCATTCGCGTGGACAAAGATTCCCGCTACCAAATAAAAAACAAGTACGATATCTGGTTCACACTGGACATTCCAATCACTACGGCAGCCCTTGGCGGTGTTGTTACAATTCCTACAGTGGAAGGCGAACAAATCAGACTGAAGGTTGCAGCGGGTACCCAGCATAATGACGTGGTCTCTATCCCACAGAAAGGTGTACCCAGGGGAGCGTTTGGGTCTCGCGGAGATATGAAGATCCAATATAGAGTGGTTATTAAAAAACCCCAGTCGCAAGCAGAAAAATGTTTATGGGAAGCACTCGCAGATGTCACAGGCGACACAAAAGCCAAGAGATCTGTTTTGAATTCGTCAGAAACTTTCAAGGTCAAAGAGCAATCAGACAGTCACTCAGCAGGAAACTCAAATCCAGATACTCCCACCGCTTTGGGCAAATTAGAAGATTTTATTTCTAATACCTTTAAGAAGATAAAAGGTGACAAGAAATAATGTTTGCGAGAGGTTGGCATGATCCTCGATATACACCATTGCCAGCCCGGGCGACCCAATTCTGACATTACCGTTTGTAAATAGATCATATTGTCCATAAATATTCGTGTACATATAACTCGAAGCACGCTTTTCCAAGCTGGAAGAATCACCGTGCTCGTGCATCGCTGACTTTCAGAACAACTTAACCGAACACACCAACACCTTAGTTAATTCAGCGGAGGAGTGAAAGCGATGGTCGAGTATAGTGTCATTAACCACCACCTGTGTCATTCAATAGCTACGTCAAAAAAGTACCAAGTGACAAAAAAAGTCTAGCATGCAAACACTGGGACGGAAGTCTCAGCAACGTACATTGATATGCTTAGACGATTTCATATACCATCATGTTAGGACTAGGTTACGAGCTTGCGTCCCATCACAGACTTTTCGTTTCTAAGCTCAAAATTTCGTGAGTCAAGTGTTTTTATCGTCGACGAGTTTCCACCAGCATTCGGTATTCATACAAAACAGCGTAACCGTTCACATCCGCAATAAATAAGACGACAACACAATATTTCAGGGTTTCTCACCGTGAAATACCATAGGTTTTACTCAACTAGTCGATGAGTCCCATCTCACGACTGCATTTACATACCTGGGCATCGAAATTAACTTAACCTACTACAGTTGACGGACTAACCTTCACCACAACCACTTCCAAAGACACGATATTGGATTGATATCCATTCCGCTTCTAGCGTTCTCCTCAAATTCAATGCTTTCGAACCGCGAACAAAAGTTCTACTATTATTACTTCGTGATACACATATTCACTACCATTTTGATAGATTCGACCGTGGTAGTTCCGGAGAAGTTCCATTTCACAAAACCACTCGTAGATTACCATATTTCTCTAAACAATGATTTCCTTCTTTACGAAAAACCTGTTTGGCTGTGGTGGTTTGTATTTGTCGAATGCGTAGGCCAATTGCCAGCGTTTTTCTGGTTTGCATACGGATTCAAGAAATTGTGGTCTTTGAAGGAACAATCTGCTGACGACAAAAACTCTAAATCACAACTGGCCGTTTGCGAAGCGAGACTCAATTTTTGGCTCAAGGCTTACGGCTGGAACGCAGCACTTACCACGTTATTTTGTCTTTATACCGTGTGGACTCGAGGATACTACCCATACGATCAGCATTTACCAATGAACGTTGCGGATAAGTTGAAATTGATGGCAGTATACTGTCCGTACGTATTCATTCCGCTTCGTTTATGCTTCTTATGACGGATCTGAGAAATCTTGGAGATGAGTAGAGTTTCAAACTAGATAGTGTCATAAAACTACAAGAATTACTTGGAACGCTTCAACTTCGGGCTGCAACTTGAAGAATTACACTACAATTGTCCAAAGCTCGCAATAATGGCTACGTGGGTCAAGGATCGAACCAACGCTTCTTGTGTCGGTAATGTGGGACGGTTAGCTATAAGTTAAAGGTAAATATTCAAAATGTCATATATAAGGTTGTATGTTGAAAAGATGTCAGCGTTAACAACTAAAACCCATTGAACTCACCGTAGATCGTGTGTGTACGTACGTGTATATAACCATTGTTAGCTTGAGATGGCCGTTCTGCCGCCTGGTTACTCAATTAGGAGAATTGAGCCTCGAGACTACGAAGAAGTGGTCGAAACACTCAAAGTTTTGACAGTAGTAGGCGACGTAACTCGAGCCAAGTTTGAGGAAACAGTCGAATTCTGGAACAATTCAACGGTGAAAGCTGGTAATGCAGAAATCCGTGCTTACAACCCTCACGTAATTGTGAACGCAGAAGGCCGAGTTGTTGCAACGGGTACGGTTTTGATTGAGCGGAAGATAATCCGCAATTGCGGGCTGGTAGGACATGTGGAAGACATCGCAGTGGCGAAAGACCAGCAAGGGAAACAGCTGGGACTATTGTTGATCCAGTACTTGACACGACTCGCTCATGAAGCGGGCTGCTACAAGGTGATTCTCGATTGTGACGAGAAAAACGTTGGATTTTATGAAAAGTGCGGGTATCGCAGATGTGGGGTGGAAATGGACCATCGATTGTGATTCGAGGGTTGCTATCTGCTTTATTGCACCATTGGCAGAAGTGAAAAGCTCAAATATCTATTGTACACGTAAAATTGTCCACCTACCTAACTATGCCAGAGTCTCTAATGCTTCTATTGAAACTATTGAATTGCCCCGAACAACGGTTTGCGATCCGATCGGGGCCTTCGTGTCATCTTTGCGGATCTCGACCGCATCATCCAAGACCACGTTCAGGAAAATATCGAATCCACGAAGCACTCCTATAAGTTTTCGCGATCCATTCAGTTGCAAATATACGGTTTTGTCCATATACTGAGAGAAAAGTTAGTAAAGTGGGTTTTTGTTAAGAATCAGGAGGTACCAAGAGAATAACTTACCTTTTTGAGCTCGGGCGTGGATACCATTGTGGACAGAGTGGCTGGTCGGGATACGCTGTACTCCTTTCACGCTACCCTCAGGCTCGGTCAAGGCATCGACTTCGAAGTTCATCATTATAACTGAGCTGAACGCTGTATTGGAAAAAATACAGTCACGTGTACTACCTCATCAAAGACAAAAGATGCACAATGAAGTTAAGATTAAAAGGCAAGCAGTCAATGTCTTAGGAAATTTATTGGTCTGAGTTCATGATTTTTCAGTCCTGTGTCACCAGTTTCTTTTGGTTTACGGTCTTGAAAGGATGTTGTTCATGGGGATTTTCGAAAATTCCTGGCGTCACATTAAATAATGTGTGTTGTAAGACCTCACAGTTTAAGGGAGCCTTCTTCTCATCAGAAATACGGACTCACGGCGATTATGGCATTATTGGTGGCTTCATATTAGCAAACCTTGTTTTCCGTTCGTAGTTCGATCTTTTTTTTTTGCAGTCAATAACAGGATATACAACTTAACATCAAGCTACAGTCAACAAAGCATGTAATGCTACGGGAAACAGGAGTAGACTGCCTAATTAAGGTCTTCAATTCATAGTCCACAAGCGAGGTTGGAAACCTGACAAAGAAATTCTGTGATACTCTCATGATTGTATATTTCTCAAACACTTTACAGATCTCAATAAGAGGTTTCGTGGTCTAGTCGGTTATGGCATCTGCTTAACACGCAGAACGTCCCCAGTTCGATCCTGGGCGAAATCATTATTTTTTATTGTTTTACAAGTGTTAGATCGCTCGGTACGATTTTTGGGATTTATCAGTCTTTTGGTACTCTAGAATCTCTAAAACCTAGTCGAATCTGTATGGGCTGTCTCTTTGGGGTGCTTCAAGCACTCCAAATTTATCACATGTACCATTTTCACGACTACAACAGTCAAAGTTCATAGTCAGGACCGTTTCTTCTCCAAGGCTTCAATATTGCGAGTTTTTAATATCTGAAAAAGCCCAACTATAGCTTAAACCATATTTAAACCAACAGGAAACATTCAGGCCGCTGATTCGTATTCCTTTACCTTCGAATAACCGTTTTTAAATCGCCTAACTTGTATAGATGGTGTCAGATCGCTTTATACTAAATGTCAAATCAAGCCCATAAAAAATCACTAGTTTAAGACGTCCAATTGGATAGTTCCAAATTCCAGGTTAACGGAAACAAGCCATACAAAACAGCTAGATCTGACCCATTTTCAAGATCAACTAGACGATCATCGCAACTGTACGATCTTTAGTCTCTGTTGTACCGATCTTTATTCCAGGCGTTTTTTGAAGGTCATTTTTTTAGTCAGTTTTAGTCGTAAGGCATCCACCGAATTGAATATTGAGGATTGAGATTACTATGTTGAGATTTAGACTCACAGGCGGGTCTTCCAGACGTTTTCTAAGTCAATCTTCAACACTTTTGGCCGCCAAGAAGCAGCATGATCTTGTTGTGATCGGTGCCGGTCCCGGTGGTTACGTTGCTGCAATTAAGGCTGCTCAACTTGGATTTGATGTTGCCTGTGTTGAGAAACGTGGAAGAGCAGGTGGTACTTGTTTGAATGTGGGATGTATCCCATCGAAAGCTTTGTTGAACAACTCGCATTTGTACCACCAAATGAAGCACGACTCCAAACAAAGAGGTATCGACATCAACGGTGATGTGGCTATCAACATGAGCCAATTCCAAAAGGCCAAAGACACCTGTGTCAAGCAATTGACCGGCGGTATCGAAATGCTTTTCAAGAAGAACGGTGTTACTTACTACAAGGGTCTCGGATCCTTTGAGGGCGAAAACAGCATTAAAGTTCTTCCAGTGGAGGGAATTGAAGGCAGCGTGAGCGAAGAAACCATTCTAGACGCTAAAAATATCATCATTGCTACCGGTTCCGAGGTCACACCTTTCCCAGGCATCAAGATCGACGAGGAAAGAATTGTGTCGTCTACCGGTGCTTTAGACCTAAAAGAAGTTCCTAAGAGATTGGCCATCATCGGTGGTGGTATCATTGGTCTTGAAATGGGATCTGTTTACTCTCGTTTGGGTTCCAAGGTTACTGTTGTGGAGTTCCAGCCTAAGATTGGTGCCACCATGGACAATGAGGTTGCCACAACTACCCAGAAGTTTTTGAAAAAACAAGGCTTTGATTTCAAACTTGGTACCAAGGTCGTCTCCGCCGAAAGAAATGGCGAAGTCGTCAACATCGAAGTGGAAAATGTTAAGAGCGGCAAGAAGGAATCTTTGGAAGCGGACGTCTTGTTGGTTGCGGTCGGCAGAAGACCCTACGTACAAGGCTTGAACTGTGAGTCACTTGGCCTAGAAGTCGACAAGAGAGGTCGTTTGGTCATTGATGAGCAATTCAACACCAAATTTCCTCACATCAAGGTCATTGGTGACGTAACCTTTGGCCCTATGTTGGCCCACAAAGCGGAAGAAGAAGGTATCGCCGCTGTGGAGTACTTGAAGACCGGTCACGGTCATGTCAACTATGCCAACATTCCATCTGTCATGTACTCTCATCCTGAAGTTGCTTGGGTGGGTAAAACCGAAGAGCAATTGAAGGAGGACGGTATTTCTTACAAGATTGGGAAATTCCCCTTCATTGCCAACTCCAGAGCAAAGACCAACATGGACACTGAAGGTTTTGTAAAGGTTTTAATTGATTCTGAAACCGAACGCCTTCTAGGTGCCCATATCGTTGGACCTAACGCCGGTGAAATGATTGCCGAAGCCGGTATCGCTTTGGAGTATGGTGCTTCAGCTGAGGACATCGCTCGCGTATGCCATGCCCATCCAACTTTGTCAGAAGCATTCAAGGAAGCCAATTTGGCTGCTTTCTCAAAGTCCATCAACTTTTAAGCTGTACTCTCGGAAATGCTTTTAAATTTATTTAAGCAAGATTATCAAATTACATATATATGCACCGTAACTGTCAAATATTCTGAATTGTATAAAGTCAAGCTCATCACGAACAGTGGTTTGTTGTCAACGGTTGTTGTCGGTGGTCGATCTAAAAAAAAGTCAAGAAACCAGTTAGGCGCTTTAATACGCGACCAAAAATAAAATTTGGACGAGACCGGAGTCGAACCGATGACCTCTCCCATGCTAAGGGAGCGCGCTACCAACTACGCCACACGCCCAATTTGTTGATGAAGAGAGAGCTTTACTCATGATTATAGGCTACTATTCATCATATGACTCATTCTAATGAGTTGATCCAGCGTGAACTTGGGTCCCAAGAGGCACTCCGACCAGTCCAGTGCTATTTTATAATCCAGGGTTTAGGTTTAATTTGCCTTCTCTGATTCTTTTGGTGCTGACTTAGTTTTATGTTTTGAGCTGTTTTGTAACTTTCAACAATGGCTCAAGATGAAGCAGGGCAGGCGTCCAAGGTCATCTCATTGTTACAAACAAATAGAGCTCCACGGTTGGTAGAACATCAGCTTACATTATTAACAAACTATAAAGTATTAAGAGTTGATTATGGATCCGAACGATTGTATGAGTTGGGGAAAGGTTGCTTCGAGATCTAACTTAAACCTTACAATCCCATTAAGTAAAACGTTGTGGATAACATTTACAGGCACTTTTTGCCCAGGTGTAGTGTATAGCGATTGTAGAGGCGTGAATTCAAAGCCTACAATCTAACACGTGATTGTGGATGGTGGCCTTACCGGTCCACTAGTCAGAGACTCAAAGTAAGCCACTCCCAATTTGCATTGTCGCCAGCATTCTTTTTTCTGTCCGTGGGGACCATACCCTCGGTCATAAGCGTCGACTGATCACCAGCTGTGTTGGCCGAGCTCAAGGTAAGATTCAACGAAGTGTCACCTTTAGCAACAGGTTGAATTGCAGCCTCGTCAAAAACTTCACCCTCTGGAGTTTGCTGATCGGAGGGCTGGGTATGGGACCACTGATTTAAAAAAACGTCAAGACCACCGCCATTAGGGTTTGGGTTGGCCAGTCCTAGAGACCCGGAATCCGAAGTTAGTGTAGGGTGATCTATTTCCATTTCGGATGGGTTGATGGATTGCGCCCTTTGAAATGAGTGTTGTGCCTCTATTGACGAAGTTGTAACCGGAGTTGGGGTTCCTGACCCGCTTTCACTACTGGCATTACTGTCAAGGTCTTTTCCATTAGAGCTTGATTTGATTTTTCGTCTCGCAACAGAGCCCTGCGGTACGATGGAAGAAGCCGGCTGAGATGCATCCAAGATACTGGTTGATGACAGTTTCTTCTTCGTGGCGGGCTTCCTTGCTCTCGGTACTGCGTCTTTCAAAGATGGCTCACTTTTAAAAGAAGTTGTCGACTGACCGGGAGGTTTACTGGTCGTTCTTTGACGCTTTCTGATAACGTCCGTCTTCAGGGACAGTGGCCTCACCACACCATGCAGTTTCAGGAAAAGTCCACAAGCATTACACAGAGGATTACCCTCGGGATCCCTTCTCCATAAGGGCGTAGTCTTGGTGTCACAGTTTGTACACTGCGTTTCTGCCTTGGCACCGTTGCCAATTCCAGCGGGGCCTCCACCTGCAGATAACGGCCTACGAGCCTTGTGATCAGAAAGAGCACCTCCATTATCCTGCGATACGCTATTCGACAATACCGCATTGCCGGTGTTCATAGGTGCAAAGCTGGAGCTGCTTCTTCTAGAACTCGAAGTCTTGATTTGCTTCTTCCTCACAGCATTAACATTTGTCGAACGACGTGATTGCTGAGAATTCGGCAATGAAGAGGCAACTAGTATGGATGAACTTGGCGATACTGATCCCATCGTACCGCTGTGGCCTTGCCATGCCGAGTTCGGCCTTGCAATGGATATTGGGGTGATGTTCGAGTGTCTATCGTAGAGATCGGGCAGCGAGACTTGTGAGTTAGAAGCATGGAGTGGGGGCATCGAGGGAGTGAGATCATCCTGGGTTTCGTTGAGCGGATGCAAAAAATCTTGTTCGTCGAAAAAAGTCTGAGGATTTGTGATTGCGGAGGACGAGAAGGCGGTACCGAACGAATGTGCGGAGGAAGCATCCATTTGGGGGAATGACGACGGTACTGGTGCAAATGAAGACGTAGCGGTGTTGATGTTGATATTATTGGTATTGTTCCCACCGGTAGAAGAGACCCCACTGTCGCTTACCAGGGCCGGAGACGAATAAGGAGCTACTCCACGGAGCCCAACATCGTCGTCTTCTTCGTCCTCGTCGCGTTGGCGGTTGCCTAGAACGTTGAAATGGTCCGCGTCGAGATCAGCCATAAACCCTACGTGCTGATCGAAAGTTGAGAAAGAGCCGTATTGTGCGTGAGTATCGAGCCCATAGAGATTACCATTGCTGTTATGATGGGTATTGGTCGGGATATCCACCGACGGATGACGTCTAGTTGGATGCATGTCGTTGGCAACAACAGGTGTGGCACGAATTTCTGTTAGGTAGTCCAAGCTATCTGACGGCGTTTTCACGGGATTTGTCGTAGAGCGAGCTGTAAGCATTGTCTTGACACGCAAACCAAGCATGCGCCAAGTCAAGTTCGACATACGATCGCGGTACGGCAGCGATGCTCTTGCACCAGAATACATCTGCCACAGCGCTTCAGTAGATGAGTCCTCAACGGCTTCCAGCAGTTTTCTTCCAGCCTCGCGACGCTTACTGTGGGACTCGGGGTCAAACGTTGTCATAACGGTCTTTGGTCTGACTGAATGAGTAAGGAAGCGGAGTATATGGGGAAGAGTACGGAGTGAACAGGACTCAAAGTGTTAAGAGTGAAAGAGAACAAACCAGTGAACAGAACACCTTGATCAAATCTCACACCACACGTAGAGCTGACAAGAACCTAATGTGCTAGAAACAGGGTGTGATGGTATGTTCAAGTGAAAAAAATGCTAACTTGAATGCCTAGGCAAGTTCGATGTTTTTCACCAATGTAAGGAAACAAAAACAAGTCAATCAAAACGACTAGGTTAGTAGACAAAAAAGTGATGCCCAGTACAAAGCGCTGGAGTGAGTACGTAGCACGTTACAACGTCGATATTGTATTCGTTTCCACGTTGAATTTTGGTCCAGCTAGTGGCCCATTTGACTCGTCTTGGTAGTTCGTCATGGGTCGTCGATGGCCGTGCTTGAGTCCTGCTTATCGATAATGGGACGGGTAAGAGGAAAATTCCATTGGGATTCAGTTCCGGGGGGAAAATGAGAGCGCAGGCCTCCAGGCCGCATAGAAGACGGTAGCGATTGGATGGCTGTGGAGTCTGTGGATGCGAGAGATCGAGCTTGGGGGTTCGAAGTATAAATCCAACGGGGAATGTGGGCGACACTTGAAAGGGAGCGTTAGACCCTGGTATTGGATGATGTTCTTGAAGTTTAGCTGGGACACACACAACCGAATCTTACTTTCTAATGCCACACTCAAGGGATGTATCTTAAAACAGAACTGAATAGTGCTTCTTGGAAAAGAAGTGAGCAGTATGTTCAGAGATGTAGGTTTCAGAGTAAATGGGTGCAACAGAGCAGTAGTTCCTTAAAAACTGGAAAGTAAATCTTGGAATAAAGGTGTGCAGTATTTTCTGGAATCTGGGCGAAGACAGATTGTCCTCATGCAACTTTATTCAGACAACACGACTGAACTGTTCATGGTATGAAGCTCGTGATTCCGGTAAAACAACTTTCTCACTGAAATCAAATCGAACTGTCTCATTGAAAACAACTCAACAAATTGAAGAGTGTTCTTCGATTTTAGTTGAAAATTTCCTAAGGTCTCATAAGGTCTCCTAAGGTCTCCCAAGGTCTCCTCTTGTACAATTGAAGAGTGTCTCTCACAAGGCAGCTGAACAACTCTTCGTGGCCCTCAATTGAAGAGGATCCTCTTGTACAGTTGAAAAACTCCTCTTATACAATTGAGGATCTCGGTTTGGGCACAATTGAGGAAAACAATCCCAAACTAAGCTAAATAACTCTTGTCAGGATTCAATTCGAAGTCTCCTCGTACAATTGAAAAGTGCCTCTTCTAGCTCAAATGAAGACTCTTTGGGTTCGATCGTTGGCCCCCACTCATACAATTTGAGCATTTCTGGCGTTGAAGTGAGGAATGTCGAGCAAGTACAGCTGCGACAATCTTCAACCCCAGAAATGCCCAGATCTAACACAAAGCGACAAAAATCAATTCTTAATAGTAGACCCAGCACACGTACTAGTAATCACTTGATAGCCGGTAGGTGGGCATTTCGGTACAAATCCCACTAAATCTTTTGGTTGTTTTCCCGTGGTGTGAGTGCCACGTCTTTTAAAACGTGGTCCAACGGTCTTGGAACAAAAATGAACAGTCCTTTTCAGGACGCTGTCACTGATTTGCCGATATGAAACCACTACACCAAAGCATCAGTTCACAATGTCCGCATCTTTCTATAAAAGTCTTGGATATCGAGATCTTCAACCGCACGAAGACCACCAAACAGTGTCGGCGGCAAATGATGCACAACTATATACCAGAAAGCCGAAGCCGCCGGTGCAATGCAGCAGTGGCCATTATATATATATATATATATGACACTAGATCGTCTTAAATACCTGAGCTAGAACGCTCAAGCCATTTTTGGTTAAGTTGATGAGTTAGGTGTCATTGAAAGGGTTAATGACGTGTTTCTTATGGAGTTTTATTTGAAGATGTAATACATGTACTCACGAGTGTACTCATGGATCAAAAGTAGACAGCGACAGCTGTGAGAACCGCTCAACAAGTCCGAAGCCTGTAAGTTTGAAAGGATGTTTGAATACCCAGGAGTCCCAAATTAAGTACTATTTTCTTGGCTTGATTTGGTTCTGCCGAAATAGTGGTTTTTTTTTTGGCATGTATCGGTTGTATTCAGAATGTGTCCGGCTAGGGCCAGGAATTCTGGATATGCTTTTGGAAGAACGGATGTCAATTCAATTGACATTGGTTGTTACAGAACTGGCTTGGCTTATCATCTCAGAATACGACAAAGAAAGACGGCTCAACCACGTTTAGCATTTCTCTCAAGAAGAAACAACTTCCGGCCTCGGATAGGGCTGCCCCGTAAAGTTGACAGATCTCACATTCGTTGGAGTCGCAGAAGACTTATTTCTGGTATCGCGGGTTTTTCTGTCAAGAGCACGATATATCTCCTTTCCATCGGCACTACCACGAGACCTTCTTGAAAATGCTTTCTCGAATTCATGACCTTCGATTCAGTTTAGAGGTATTCTGCTCCGAAAGCTTCGCATGCCAAATCTTCCCCCCAAAATCTGGCCGTAAACAGGTCATGACTCTTGTATTACCATACAAAAGGGAAGAATATTCACCGATGCTGAATATGACAAAAATCTTGAATCAGAGACCTGTACAATCATGCCACAGACATCAGGACTTGATGTCATGTGAATTAAGCTTGTTCAAACCATTTTTTAGCCCTGCGCTTTTACATCTTCTTTCGCTTTTCACGAACCTTTTTATAATGACCCTTCGCGCCACTGGTCTTCTTGCTTTGCACTTCACCGTACTTGCGCTTGAAGTACCGGTTTGTATCGTCGCTCGCCATCAAAGACTCCAAAGTAGTGCCCTTGCGCTCTCTTTTCGTCATACGACTACTGTAAAACTCGCTTTTATCCTCCACAATTGTCCCGACCGAAAATCGCTCTGGTACTTGCCACTTGTCTTTCTTGTAGTGTCGCTTAGGATCCAGTGCAGCACGGTGTTTTATCAGTAGCAAGTCCCGCTTCAATTCCCTGGTGAGTTCTGGTTTTGGAAGGGTGAACCACTGTTCTGTGCTTGATGGTTTCTTAGCCTGTGCGTCTTTCTTCCGTAGATGTAGGATTGAAACTGGGTCTTCTACTTTACGAACGGGTTTGTTAGCGTCCTCAGCGCCTGAAAGCGCATCAAAGTTGGTTTTCATACGCGGCAGGCCACGTAGTTTCTGCTCGATATCATAAAACGTTTGTTGTTGCTGTGAAATCTTTGAATCCTCGTCGAACTCTAGTTTATCCTGATCAAAGTCGTTTTCTCCCGTTCTTGCTTGTTTTTGGTAGTCTCCGCTCGCTGAAAATTCGCCGCCACTTCCAGCCTGCTTTAGCGCGGCAAAAAGGTCTTCAATACTATCAGATCCCATCGTCTAACTTCTTATATCTGATGATTTTGAATCTTTTCTTTAGCTCATCGCCTATGGAAAGTTCTAAAATTTTTCAGAATTAGACCATATTACTATATACAGTTTACCAAACCTATCTATCAAGGTAACTATCCTAGCACAACAACGCGATTCAGTAGGACCTTTCCTGTCCGTGTGAGCACTTTACGGGTGACCACACGCACAAAATGAGTGAGGTGGAAACTTTGATCAAAGATTTTAAGAGCTTGGTGGAAAATGACGCTCAGGTTAAATATGCTTGGAACGCTATAAAACGATACAAATCCAACGAGCCCATAGATGCGGAAGACGATCGCAAGACTAGACACAAGAGAAACATAATAGCTGTGGATGATAACCTGAAGATCAACTACGAAATGGTCAAGACAGCGCCAGGTACTTTCATCGAAAGCAGTCTGTCCGCTTCCAAGGACAAGAACAGTAAGGAACAAGCGTGGAAAGTAGCGAAAACGAAGACCAATTACTACAAAAAAAGACTGTCGAACATGAACGAGCAGTTTTTGGCGGAGCAGTTTGACGCAAACGCAAACGCAAACGCAAATGCTAATGGCAGCGCGATCAGCATCAATGGTTCGACAAATAATGCAGATTCCGGCGTTTCTCCAAATCTGGACGTCGAGACGGCCTCCTCATTGGCCCAGCACACGGAATGGCTATGTGAGTCACATAGAGATCTGCTACAGGAGTATAGTGCCCTTGTGGCCGAGGAAAAAAAATGGTTTTTGAAGAAAGAGATAATACTGGATGCAAACGTGAAACTGGATCTCTACGCCACGCGAGATGAAGAAAACCAGGGCATAGAGCTGCAGGCAACTACCGCTGATGTTTCGGAAATGTCTGTTTTCCCAGTGTGACCGGTGGGAAGAGAGAGTTGTGGCGATCGAATCTCGAGGGCAAGACCAAAAGAATTAGTCGCAAAGTATGAGTGCCCCAGAATCATACGGCCCTTTTGATTGCGATTGAGGCCTTACTATGGCGACCAGCGACCGCTAATGATGCCGTGCCAAGCATTCTACATCATTGTTTCCAACATTGTTCAAAATGTGCAATACTTGGTCAAATTTGTTCTTTCGAAAGCCGGGAAAAAACTCTTTAAAAATCTACAAAACGACCCTGGTCAAACGACACATTTGAAATATCCCAATAAGCATTAATCGACCTTTAACAAAGCGTCTTTCAACCTGGTTTAGAGTCTTGACTTTGATATCATCGAGAGCTTAGCCGGGTAACGTTGAATAATCTCTAGTTTCGACACTATACCCATGCTAATAAAAATTTTCTAAACCAGAATAGCTGAACTTCGAGAACATTGAAGCTAAACCTTTCGATACAAGTGCTAGGTTGATCGCCGCTTGCATTAATTAGTGGGACTCTACTCATTAAGACCTTTAAGTAGGTTTTTTCCGTGGTGAAAAATGTCTGATTTTCAGCTTGAAATATTGGTGAAATTGAATGATTTGGGCACCATTGAATCAACGCTCAAAGTGTTCCCACAAGTCGATCCACAGACTGTTCTTTCTGCCCTGAACTCTCTTAAAGCGCATGCAAAACTGGACTACTCGAAACAGGATAGAACTTACTACACTTTGACGAAAGAAGGTGATGAAATCGTGTCCAAAGGGTCTCACGAGATGAGACTCCTGCAATTGGTGAACAAGTTCAGCAAGCTGCAAATCAAAGATGTGGCCACTCACATGGGTGCTGACGGTAAGATTGGACAGGCCAAAGCTTTCAAAAACGGGTGGATATCCAAAAACAAGGACAACGAATTGACCGTGAGTGACAAGGTCTCTTCAATCGATGACGTTGTAGATGAAACCAAAAATGTGCTCTTGCAGATACAGCAGGGTCAATTTGACTCTGTGGACGACAAGACGCTCAACGATTTGAAAAAACGTAAACTCATCGCTGTGAAAAAGGAAACGTCTTTCAAAGTGACCAAGGGCCCCGATTTCTCCACTGAGCTCACCAAGCTCGAAACGGACTTGACTGCCGACATGGTAGCCTCCAGCACTTACAAGGATCTCAAGTTCAAGCCTTACAATTTCAATTCTGAGGGTATTTTGCCAGAGTCCGGTGCGCTGCATCCTCTGTCCAAAGTACGGGAAGAATTCAGACAGATTTTTTTTTCCATGGGATTCAAGGAAATGCCTTCTAATCAGTATGTCGACACTGGGTTTTGGAATTTCGATGCCCTGTATGTTCCACAGCAACACCCTGCCCGTGACCTACAAGATACTTTCTATTTGAAAGATCCCCTCCAAAGTGATTTGCCAGACGACAAGGAATATTTGGAGAACATCAAGGCCGTCCACGAACAGGGCAAATATGACTCCATCGGGTACCGTTACAATTGGAAACCTGAGGAGTCCCAAAAACTAGTTTTGAGAACTCACACGACTGCTATTTCCGCACATATGTTGAAGAAGCTAGCCGAGGACCCCAAGCCTACCAGATTATTTTCCATCGACCGTGTGTTCCGTAATGAGGCCGTGGACGCTACACATTTGGCCGAGTTTCACCAGGTGGAAGGTGTTCTTGCGGACTACAACATCACGCTAGGGGATCTAATCCAGTTCATGGAAGGATTTTTCGAGAAGATGGGTGTTACGGGTCTGCGTTTCAAGCCTACATACAATCCATACACCGAACCATCCATGGAGATCTTTTCGTGGCACGAGGGTCTAGGAAAATGGGTAGAGATTGGTAACTCGGGTATGTTCAGACCTGAGATGCTGGAACCTATGGGACTGCCACCCAACATGCGGGTTCTAGGATGGGGGCTGTCATTGGAGAGACCAACTATGATCAAATATGGAGTTCAAAACATCAGAGAGCTATTAGGCCACAAAGTTTCTCTGGACTTCATTGAGACCAATCCCGCCGCCAGACTTGACGAGGATCTATACGAATAAATAAGTGTTACCGAACAACACAAGTTGATAAAGAGAAAAAAAGAGAGATAGAGAGAGAAAGAAGCTTGTGTGACGAAAAGTGGAAAAAAAGTCCAGCTTTTTTTTCGACATCTAAACACTGGCGTGGAAGGGACACAGCCACGCCCACTGCATTTATTTGCTGTTGATGAAGTGCATCCAGCACCTGTGATACTCAAAGCACTGTTTGTCGCCTTTCGAGGATTGGTTTGTTATGTTGCGGGCCCTGCGAGGACGACGAATCGCATGAGCCATCTTTGCCAACGGCTTGAGTCTTGCGAGACGTGTGTAACCGTTGTTTTTCCTTTGAAATCATGTTTTTGATGTGTTTGGATGGGAAATAGAAAGGGTTACTTCTCCGCCGCACTGGCTGGGGCCTATTCGCTAGGTTTTTGTTATTGTTATTGTTGTTGTTGTTGTGGTCCGACAACCTGCTCTCTGAAAAACGAGACGCTAGAGATGGTCTTTTGGTCACTGACATCCGACGAACGCCCGTGTTGTGGTCGACAAACTCGAGATTGTGCGGAACACTTGTAGTTTCCAGATTGCTGGTGCTACTACTGTGGTGGAAATTCAACGGGAGTTCGAAATCGAGCAAACCTTCGTCCTCATCTGGCTCTTCTTGTTGCGTATCTATGCTCTGGTCCAAGTCTGCACCCAGAAGCGAGGCTTCGAAGCTGGATCCAGCCGAAATAAGCTCGAAAACGTCCGTTCCTGCTCCGGGAGCGTCCTTCTGTTCCTCGTGCTGCGTTTGCAGTCCACCGTGATGATCAACACCTTCCAGATCGAAAAAACCCGGGGTTGCAGGGCTTATTGCTGTGTATTCTGTATCTTCAAAGATCATCGCTGTTGACCAGGGCTCATGTAAGGCCGAAAACCGAAAACTGAAAACTAAAAACTAAAAACTAGAACCAAAAAAAGCACCCGGTGTTCGAGCCTAGTATCCAATTCTGAAATCTAGACTCTAAAATTGACGTTTTTTAACTCAACAGGCTTTGGACTTACCGCTACCCACCTTCCTAGCCCTCCGCCAAGACTTCTATTTTCCACATATCTTTAAATATATCCATCGTGTTAAAAATCGCATCAAATAGAAAGAAACATACTAACCCGAAATAACTCCACAATCAAGCCTACATTTCGCATTTCGCGTTACCATTAGCCTCGTGCTGATCGGGCGGGTCCGGAAATATACCAAATCTCTTTTAGTTCCTTTTGGAAGACTAACTACAGCTGTTTACGCAATGCTATCGCACTGCATAAGCTAGTTAAAGCTATCTTATGACTTCATATGTAATTACTAGCTGCATGTCTGCAGCTGTCTCGTGAAGCTGCTATCAGTGTTCACCGACAACCTCTCTAAAGCACCCGGATTTTCGCCATGTTGGGACTTCCAACAACCCAGAATGGTTAAAATGCCTTGCGGTGCATGGCGAAACTGCATCGCCAACGCATGATCAGCGCACTGGAATGCGGTGATAGGATTAACGACATACTTTTGTAGTTAGGATTAGCGAATTGTTAGTGGTGATGGGCGTATCATCACCTGAGCGACGGACATGTGGCATCTTTTGGGTAGGAAGATCCTTTCGGCATCTGAATAGAGAAAGATGGGAAGGCCAGAAGATTCGCTCTCTTTCGGGAAACAACATTGTACATCCTGCAAAACCTATCGGGAAAGTCAGGGATTGGTTGTTGCACCTGAAGCTTCGAGCTGAAGATTTACGAAAACGGGTTGCAAACGGATCATAACCCAGGACATACTGAATACCTGACGGATGGATATCTATTGATAACGGGTTACTAAACGGATCGTAGCCGCACACGAAACGGATCCCGAAAGATGGCAACCCGATTATGATCCGTTTAACGGATCACTCTGTACCAATGCGTCATCCGTTCAATGGAAACCAAACGAGAAGGACCCCACCACCAATGTGTCGATGTGGATATCCAGCTGCAATTGCGTGTATTGACGCCAAGATTATGCCTATCAAGTGAATCTCTAACATTACTACAAATGTCTACAAAATATTTGTCCGCGATGCAAAGTGCAGGTGTTGGTTTACCGCGTCACGATAATCAAGATTTTTCAAAACTACCTCGTTGATCATTCACCTCCCTCACTCGAAATCGGTTCTTTCATCGCGAATTCTCCACCAGCTAATCCACATCCTCCAGAGACAACTTTTTCTTTCCCGAACACCTTCTACGGTCTCCACCAGAGACCGACAAGGGCCCTACTCCTCGACTCCAATCGTCAAATAGTCGTTGCGAAGAATCCACATGCCCGTACCTGCTCGTAGTAACGCTCAATATACCACCCATGTTGACCCGTCTTAGTAAATTTAAATGCTCCCATAGAAATCGGTCCGGCACCGTGGCTGATCCTGTAAACGTAACGGATTGAGATCTTTGACCTGTCTCTGCCAAGTACTTTCGTTGCAGTTTCCAGAATTTGCAGCTGTTCCAATTGTGCGTACGTGTACGTTTTTCATCCAAAGATCGACGATCACCCAGCCCGTATGCGTCGAAATAGTATCTGGAGGACATTGTCAATGGGTTGGCTCGCAACTCCTGTTCAAATAGCACATCTGCATCTATTTCGTCTCGGCCGCGAAACTTAGGAAGTTGTATGAGGTCGTCTACCGCGGAAGTGGTATCACAATTGTCGTCGGCGCCCGAATCGTCCGCTGCGTCACCGTTACCAAAAAATGGGAAACCCGAATTTCCAGATGCGGCGTCTGACTCTTCGACTTTACATAGTTGTTCATTTGAACCGTTCACCGCAACTAAACCCCTGTTGATCGGTTCAATGTCAGTCCCATTGTGATCAGATTGTTTGACCTTGCGCTTGAATTTGGAACGTAAACCGGTTTTCCATCTGCGTGACGGCGATCCAGTGACGTCTTCGAACATCACGGTTTGTTCGCTATGGTTAAATAGCTGATCTCCGATACTCAGAAGTAAAGAAGATCGACCCAATTCATTGGGACCGCCTTCGATACTGTAGCCACATATAGAGACCAACCTGGAGTAGAAGCCAAACAGGAAATTCAAACTGGAGTAATTGATGCCAAAATCGCTGGCCAATTGCATTGGTTGTTGCAAGAGAACATGCGCCGGGAACTCTAGACGATGATGGAAACAATAGGCTTCAAATGAAAGCGTCAAAAACTCTGGATACTCATTAATGGTGAACATATCCATTTGTCGTTTGCGATCTTTGGTATCCTGTACGACTTTGTGGAAATCGATACTGGAGACCAAATTCTCCATACCCATGTGAGTATCGAAACCTTTGAGATTCAGGTACTTGCTTACAGCATCCCCACATTGCAGGTAGCAAATTTGCATAAGTTCTTTGACCAAGTCTTCGAAAATGAGTCGTGAAGAAGCGTTAGCCAAGAGTTTATCGTGGTCAAATTGCTCAAAAACAATACACACCAAATTCAATGATATTCGCGGTATGATATGTTCCCAAACTTTCAAAGCCATGTTCTGCGATTGATCTGGATCAATTATGATAATTTCCTCTACTTGGGTGTGTTGAATTTGGGTCAACACGGTATTCAAGATGGAATTTCGATCTAGCATGATTTGTCGGATTTTATCGACGTTCTCTTGGCGTTGATCTCCCATGGTTAGTGGTGTCTTACGAACGTTGGTGAGGCCCACGTAAAAACAACAATTGTCATTGACCAAAGCATAAGATCCTGACGAAAGTTGACGAGCCTCAACGTCACATAAAATCGAAACCACACCACAACTACAATTTGCAAAACGAGAAATGGCCAAATCTTCCAATTCTACCGCATAGTTAGCATTCATCATCACGATTGTATCTTTGTCGCTGTAATTTGATAAAACTTGACAGCATCGATCCAGTGACGGTAACGACAAACATGACACAATCATTGCATCAATCTTGTATTTGCGGGTAGTCTTGTCGGAATTCAATAGCTGGGGCTCTAAATCTTCCAGCTCTTTGGCGAAAACGTTGGGTCTATAGAAATTGGAACCAAGTTTCGACGATTTCCACGATACAATGCCATCGCTAGAGATGTTACTGGAGACCAAAATGATGAAAGCGTTTGACAAGCTGAGTCTCCAAGCCAAAAATTGAGTGGCAGGTGTTTCGCCCACTGTGAAGATGTTGATGGAAGGTGAGTTAGGTTCTTAAACAGATATTTGAGTTTTTGTTAGGAAGTGGTAACATACCTATTAAGCATGTAAGTGGTGAGCCCATGGAATGGGGCAAGGATGACGGGTTGCTGTGTGCAGGGTTTTAAATTCGTGCGTTTGAGGTGTCTGAGTTAGGTGGATGAAGTGGTGATGTTGTCATACACAAAATAGTGACGCTGACGTTGACATTTCGAAGGTGAGATTTTATGGTGTGACTTTGAATGAAGAACTGAAAGTGTCAGGGAAAATCGATTGCGTCAGAGACAGGCGAGTGCGTCAGGAATAAGCCAGGGTGTCTGCGTGCTTGTTGGAATATGGACAACGCGCGATTGGTGCCAGGTGATTGTTTAGCTTTTCTGGCGAATTGCAACCGTCTCGATGTTCAGTAGTGCTCAAGGAAGGATTTCTTAACAAGCGATCGCTAGCGTTCTCACTTGTTCAGTTGTACTTGAGAACCGTTATTGTCCCTGCATCCCCCTCGTATATCTATAAGCTTGAAAGGAACACCATTGTAATACCAACTCAAACCCTTGCCCCGCTCTCTCACATACGATTCCAATAATTTAAAACACTCTTGCAAAGGAATATCGTCTTCCAATCCTTCTTCGATCGCCAACCAAACTTTCTTGCGTCGATTAACCTGCCTAGAAAAATTCTTGTCGTTGTTTCTCCAAGAAGAACCGTACCGTTTCTCAAGGTCGCGGATCGATGTGCGTCTTTTCATGAGTTGTGCTGGACTGCGAACCTCACCGGACTCGAGCGTGTGTTGCTGGGCTACGGCCTCGAACCAGTCGGGCAGCGCCCAATCGCTGGGTAGCTTCGTGTATTCGTTCCACAGCTGAGCCACAGTGGTCGGGGACTTGATCAACACCACTCCAAAATTAGTGAGTCCGTAGCAGGGGTCTTCTTCAACGTCCTTGAGGTTAGGAACCGCTGACGAGTCCACTACACGCGCTGGAATGACACGGGAAGATGCATGTGCTGGTGCAGAAAACGACAAGGCTATACCAGCAGCGGTTCTGCCGTAGTCGACGTGCGTCTCGTAATCATTTCTGGATCGTTTTCGGCTCACCGTGTCGGACTGAATCGACTGGAGGGTGCCCAAAATGCTGGAAACGATCGAATTGACCGTTCCAGGCCGTTGGTCGAGTTTGGCGATTCCAATTGGCTTCGAATTTTGCGCTGGAACCAATGACGCCTCGTCCAGTTTGTATATAAGTTCCCGAAACTCGTTCTTATAGGTGTTAAGACGGTCCAGCACATGCTGGACCGATTCTTCTGCAGTTTCCGGGCAGTAATTCGAGGACGACTCCTCCTCTTCCTCATCAACATCTTCATCCTCGCCCTCATCTCCATCCTCATCCTCATCTTCTTGTTCTGGTTCGCTGACGTCCGCCGCTACAGGCTCTTCCACATCGATTTGGCCTCCGTCGAAATCGAAATAGTCTGCGTAGGGTCGATGCGGCACAAACGACGTGTAGTAAGAGTTCACATCCTCTGCCGTTGCAGCAGGAACCTTCTCCTTTTCCAAAGTCTTAATCACAGCGTCCCACGCCGAAGTGTCCGTACCAGCACTACCCACACTACCGGCTTCACGCACGACTGCGTTCTCTTGGGCTTCCAGCAACAACAACTGCAAACGTTCGCTCACACTGGGCAGTTTCTTGGTTTCTTCCATGCGAACGGTAACGGTGTAGACTAAGTTCGGCTTGGCTTGGCTTGGCTTGGCTTGGCTTGGATTGCCGAGTGTCCAGGAGTGAAGGGTGCTTGTCGTGAGTTCTAAAAAGTATCAACGCGAGTGCAAGCTAGTGAACATCATCGACAGCGCAAGCCAACTAGCCAACAGCCACAGATGGAGATGGTTTAAGACGCTTGGAAAGACACCGGTGGTGGGTATGGTGAGATGAGCATGGCTTGGGCATGTGATATGAGAAGGTGGCTGGCAGAGGATGGCGAGTACCGAGGTATTCACGAGTACTGAGGTATTCGCGTGTACTCATGAATACACACGAGTACATGATGAAAGGATAGCCACCACTGTTAACAGTGACAGCGTCAGAGATCTATAGCGAACAGTAGGAACACAGGACAGCTCAGGGTAGCCATCAGTGACAACTACGACTGCAGAGTAAAATCCGCAACAAAGCACAATGTGAATGGGACCCATGGTAACTGGATAAATTGGGTTTGCATAGCAGATGAAATTGCTGTTAACAACGCACAGTCATCAATTGTGAACAAATATGACTACCGGTTGGACAGCTCGTACACCTGCGTCACAGATGACTTGTAAACACTGGAAAACAATCAAATGGGTTAGGAATTCCTATTGCGCTCGGTCGTTTGGCTAGTAGTGCTCTCGAGTATTCAGCTTGTAGCGCTGTCAATTGTTCAGTTTGTAGTGCTCTCGAGTTTTCAGTTTGTAGTGCTGTCAATTGTTCTGCTAGTCGTAATCTCAGCTCTTGATTTTCCACTCTTTCATTTCATCACCCGCTTTGATTTGCACGCTACAATTTCAACCGACACGCATGCCCTTCCTCTATGCATAAAGCTGATCACATCCATTGCATCACAGAGACATTTCGTGACCCAAAACCAGTCTTGAAACTCATACTTCAACGTTACTTAGTCTTAGCTAAGCTCCTTCACAGATCTTGACACTGAATCCTTGCCTTGTGCCGCAATGATACATCAATGTGAACACTTCTGCATAATTTCCCCCTTCATTGGCGCTATCACTCTCTTCCTCATCGGATTTGTTCTTGAAATCGGTACTTTCATCAAATTGCAGCGATCTCAGCTGCTGCAGTTTCGACAAGATGGGTCACTATTTTTGTCTCAGGTCCATCCCTCATTTACAGATCTCCATGTCCGAGTCTTAAATTCAAAGGACTTGCCTACGACACGCAATAGTTTCAACCATATCTTTAAAGTTATTTTTTCGTTTCTACAACCCAGCAATAGTCCCTTCATCAAATCTTACTCGGTCTCGCAAGAGCCAATTTCTATGTTGGTTTTGCAGCTCGATCGAGCCCAGCGGTGATCGATCGTTGAACAATGTTTGCACCATCTACCTTTGCGCACTCAATCGTGCTGCGCTTCAGTACCCCTACAATGATTCTCGTTCTCACCAATTTGGAACAGCCAATTGCCTCAAATTAAGTCAAAAACAATCCCATCTGTTATTCAAACGGTGCTTCCACCAACCGCCGTGATTGCTATCTCTCCTGTCGACATTGCTTCCTCACTTCGCCAAATGTGTGTTTTTGCCACTCCTAGAACGTTCGCGTTTAGCACTCCGGAATGCATTCTAACAGGTTTGATAAGACCACGACAACCGATAAACTTATCAAGACGCTTATACTTCCGATTTCGATTTCAACATCTAACATGACAAGTTCACACACCAATCAGCCCTTCTAAACGTCTCGAAATCTTAACTTGGCAGCTTTGAATTTACTGGTTCTAACGGGATTCCCATACTCGTCAATGGGCTCCAGTTGCAATTCTTCCTGCGATAGTTCTACGTTGCCCTGAGAAGCTATCATTTTCTGTCTTAGTCGTTGGTAGTCGACAGCAATATCGTAATGCAAATTGTCACCATTTAGTGCAAGGTCTTCTTCGTTGTAATCACTCGGCATGGAAGTTGGTCTCTCTACCACATCCGTGGTAATCGCTGAGCTATTGTTCCTTATATCGCCGCTGTTGCTCTCGATTTCTGCCTCCTCTCTGGCCGGGTTTTCTGACAGAAAAGTAGCGATCTCATCCTGCAGATATTCAGCCTCTTTGTTGTATTTTTTAAAATCGTCCAAATGTTCAACCACCGTGCCTGCATCGTCCACATCGTCGTTGTAAAGACCCAAGAGGTATGCGCGAGCCATATCGTCGAGATTTTCGCCAAGACCTTGAAAATCGACACGCGGGTTTTGAACCACCGGTTGAGAGTCTTTGTTAATGACTTCTGTGATTTGTTCGGGAAAAGGTTTGGCATCTGCGTTACTGAAAGTTTTCGTTTCATGAGATTTAGGAGGCTCAATAGGATCTTCCGTTTCCGTAACTTGAGGTAGCACCGTCTTGTTCTTGGCTATCGATTTCGATGAAGGCTTACTGAGTGAGCGCATATTTTTATTGAGCAATTTGCTCTTTTGAGTTGGCGTCGGGGGAAAGTCATTCACCACCTGTACTCCAGGGTTTCTCTCCAAAACGTCGTTCATTACATTCGAGGTTTTCTCTGTAACACCAGTGGGTGTTGATTTTATATCGGCCGATGCCTCCCGCGACGAAGATCTGTCTTTCTTGAATCTAGACACTCGAGGTTTCCATTTTTGAGGCTCCTCTGGGGTTGTCTTATTTTCGTACTTTTCATGTATTTCTTCCGACCCTTTCGCACCGATGAGTTGGGCGAATAGATCGGCATCAAAACCTTCCTGGTCGACACCTGTAGCAATCGATTGAGTGTCGACTACATTCGTGCCAGTGAAAGTGTTGGCTTTTGTCTCATGCTTCAAGTTGTCTATTTCGAAAACTTCAAGCTCAGGTGCGAATCCAACACTCTTTTTCTTTTGTGCGCCGGATTTTTTGTCTTTTGGTAAGATTGGTTTGGTTACGGGTTCAACGGCGCTGGTATTCATTTTAGAAGACCGCAAAGCGTTCAATTCTTCCAAAAACCGACTTCTGGCCGCTTCCGGTATAATTGAAGGTAGCGAAGATTCGGGACTATCGTCGAAATCGTCACTTTCATCAGATTCGTGATCCTCATCATCGTTATAATGCGAATTGTACGAGTCAAAATCGTAATGAACATCCTCTTCATCTATATCACCATCCTCTAGCAAGTCTTGGTGTTCCAATTGACCTACAATCTCATCGAATGTGTAAATGTCATTGGGATCAATGGCGTAGCCCTTGTTGTTGCCCCGGTCTGGGAAGGGTTGTTGCGGAGTAGTAGCCACCCCTTCTGAAAGTTTTGACGAGTCTATATGTTTTCTACCGGTCTCCTCACTGGTAGGTTCCCGTATGTTCTGTTCAGAAGTAGGATCACACGCTTTATTAGATTCTAGCAGTTCATCCTCTGAGCTCTGAACCTTATCGTCTTCTTTAATCTCCTCGATCTTGGCCGGATTCTCCACACCTTTGTGCTTACCTGTTGTGGGATTTACAGACCCAGAGACGACATTACCGTCCTCGTCCAGTTCTTCTCTGATTTCCATGAATGGCAATCCCTCATCATTTTCCGCAGGGTCTATGGATGGATCAGCTTTCTCCTGAAACTCTGCGGCACTCTCTTCTAACGCTTGCGCCTGTTTCAAGTTCTTCAACGTCTCGTCAGCCTCTTTGTTTTTACGTTTGAACTGCTCGATGGCATCATCGATGAGCCGTAATTTATCCGTAGCATGAGTTAACGCTTCTTGCAAACTTCTTTCCACGTAGTATTCGTATCCTATATTCTGGTAAATTTGAGAAGATATGATGAACTCTCCCAGAATCAGTCCCTTCTGGGTTTCATTTGCCCCAGGACTTCCAGATTGACGTTCTGTCAAATGTTTTCTTATGTCGCTGTATTGTTGTTTTTGAGTATCTAAGAAAGAAACTTTGGCCTGCAAGTTACCAATTGTCTTTGTGACAATCTCTATAAGCGAATCCATGGTGCACTGGGGCTATATACAAGTCGTGGGGACCTATAGTTACAGTATTAACTGACGATGAGCTTTCTCATCGTGGAACTCATCGCTGATCTGTAATTAATAGCGGTCTTCGATGTCGGTACTGGAATACGAAGGAACACTCAGTAGTGAAAACCGATCTCGAAATGGGTTGAATAGAGTTGCAAAAGCATCGAATTTGTGTTGAGAGTGTGGGCGAGATGAGATTTTTGGGCTTTCGTTTTTTTGACAGTGATTTTGGACCTTTGAGGCATGTTTAAGGACCGAATAAGAGAAGTAGGCAAGAATTAACGACATGGCATCAAAGCAAGGATAGGTGCGTTTGGGGACACGAATAGACTTCAGATACGTAGCTGCTGGATAGGGTAATTTCTTGGAGATAGGGTTTGAAACTTTGGAGGTAGATTTGTGCCAAACGAAATTGTATAATGTATGACAAAGTGTGTCACTGGTGTTCAAGAATGGTCTATGAGTGATCTAATGCTAGGGTAAAGGTGAATAATATGTTTGTAGGCTGGAAAACAATTGGTAAGACCAAGAATGGTTATAAGACATCATGGAAGCAGGGGTGCGAATATTTGGATGATGGCATGCCAGTGAAGAACAAAAGCTGGCCAAAACAGTGCGTTAAAGCAAGGAATGTAGATATGGTGTTCAGACAATATACCGTTTTCCTTCAAGGTTTGACAACGCTCGAGCGCCGTGAAAAGAAGTGTCCGAGTAATGGGTTCTGTGGGAGACAATCTTTTGCCCAGAAATTACACTTGCTGGTCAAGAAAAATTGAATGACAGCTCTAAACAGTGGTTTGGAATAATGATATAGCGGCTTAGGTGCGGTAGACGTTGAAATTACAGTGTGTCGCAGGAGCACGTGCTATTCTTATTGTCTGTTGAGAGTTCACTTGGGTGTAAAGGTGCGCTGATGGTCTATTGTTCGGATCCCTTGACTATGATACTACCAGAGGCATAATCTATAATAGTCTTGTCGGGACCTCTGTTTCTCTAGAGCGTTGAATGGTTAATCACAGACCATGTGATCCTGGACTGCGACAGAATTGCTCGAAATAGTGAGAGAATTTAGACAGCCTTGTCACTATGAGCTGAGTGGAATTGATCGGAACGTATTCTTAGATGGATAGATTATGGGTAGTTTCATCAGGATCAGTGTGAATTAGTTTCCTCGTTTATTTTTCTCTTCGAATTCATTTATTAGGGTGATCTTTATTCGCCATGAAAGGCCGTCGTGTGCATCTTTGGCAGTCCACGGTAAGACCACTCTGGCTTCAAAAGAAGTAGTTTTACAACTAGGAAACAACTCGAACGCTTTTTTACGTTTGTCGTGACGAAAGCCGAATACAGAGTCCCATTACGAGTATAAACTCAAAAACAAAGAGGTTTGAAATGATCAGAGAGATACGATCACATCGAAGTTGATTTGAATTAGGCTTTGGGGTATCAATTTGCCTCTTGTAGTCTAAATAGGATCAATGACGTATGTCACGTGCTTCAAGCGCACAGTAATCTTCGATATGATGCGTATCAATTGTTGAACCATCTGAGCTTTGCAAATACATCGCTGTAGCATGTATCCGGTAGTAGAATTTCTCATTCAGGTAAGCTTACGCTTAGTTCGAGGCCTTGGATTTGAGATTGGAGGAATGACGCAACGCTGATTGTTTTCAGTATTGAATTGGCCATCACAATTGTGCAAGCCATCATTTCGCTTTCTTATCAACATTTTGAAGGGCATCCTTGGCTCTATTAGAGGAACTACCCAGCGTCACTTGCCGTAATTGCTCGTCGATATGCTCCATGTATTGATCCACGGCAGCTTTGATGAAGGGCACGGCCAAGCGAGACCGCTCTCCAAAGTTTTTCGAATTTGATGTGGCATATTTATCGGTAAATCTGAACAGACAGTGTCTCCCGTCGTAGAAATAATACCTGGTGGCCGTTTCGCCATTTTCGTGAAGAATAATGTTCATTTTAGCAGCAATCAAATCCCACTTGTTCAAATCCTCTCCAGGGTTGACACTTATTATCTCCACCATCCAGCTACGTACGCTTCTGTCGTTCCACCCTTTTTTGGATGATTCAATGATATTTACTATTAGCACAAGTGTAAAAAAAGAGCCCGCGACTGAAACGACTATTCCTGCACGTATGTCGATCCAGAAGCCAAACATAACGAGCGTACCATATGCTATTAGTGTCAACAAAACAGTCGCACAGGTCCACTTCCCAACTTCTAGTCTCCACGATAGTTTACTTATGAAAGTATCTCGTGGTAGCGGTCCATAGTCTAGCTTGTAGTCTGGAGTACCTTCTTTGGTCTCGATCAATTGCTCTTTGGTGTCGCTATAGTCCATGAAGAGCGTTTGATGTTTGGATGATGGTATTGTTCGGAGTTGATGGTAGTAATGCATTTCAATCTTTAACTTGAACGGTCTTCACGAGTACGAGTACGAGTACTCGACGATAGAAGTTCGACTACCACCGCGACGAATATCCAGAGGTGTCGCTGAAGTTGAACGTAGTGGTTGTTCGAGTTATTCGATGTTTCGGCGGTGATAGGGGAGCAATCTACAACAGAATCCAAAAACACGCTTTTATTTAAAAATTGGACTTGATTTGAGACGAATTTGTCGATATGATGGCCATATAGGATCTGTGCTTGATATAGTGCATATTTATTGAGGCTCGACTACGTCGGCAGTGTTCGAGTTGTTAAACTGCATGGTTTGCTCTAAGTGAATGGTTATGGTTATGGATTTTTCTTATCTCTCCGTGGTTCTTTTGAGTATAAGTTTGGTACATTCTGTTTGACCAAACCACGGAAATTTAAACGATTTTGGGAGCAACAATAGCAAACAGTAGGTAACTTTCTAGACCCTAGCCAGTAGTAAGAATTACTTGATGGAAATCCTGCATAGTGACGTATCGTTGCTTCATATCTTTACGATTGGTCCATTTCACCTTAGCCCTTAAGATGTCACTTTAGACTAATATGTCATTTTCTGATTACGCTACACCATATAGTTCACCAATCCCAACAATATTACCAGTGAATGACCCAATCGAAGTCTTGTCTCTAAAAAATGTGCTATTTCAGCAGTCCAGGCAGTCAGTGGCCAAAAAGTGGCCAGAAAGCACCACTAAAGAAGAAACTTTGCGATGCACATGATACAATGGTGGGTCACGTCAACGCTTACCACACAGAAACGGTAAGGTGAATCGAATCCACCCCAAATACAGAAGCGTAGCGTTCAATAAACATACCTCGGGTTCATTCACCACGATGAAGGGGACGGTTCCATTTGTTACAATTTGTGTAACGCTGTCGTCGTGTCACGTGCGCGGAAAAATCACTGTGGACACGGACTGGTATTAAAGAACATTCATATAGAGAAGTCCATCATTCTGTAGCTTTGCCATCTGTAAAGGCAGAAGACATTGATCATGCTGTGAAGTACTTCCGGTTGCTGCACCTGAACAATCCGCTAACGAACTGCCAGCGTTGCAATAAAAAAGGCGTTTCCATATGCCTACTTGATTCTGTTACTGTATGAAATCAAGATCACTTGGGCGTGGATATGTGGCTACAGGGAGAGTAAAACACATACAACACTACTGGAAGGCTTTATTTCATCGATTTCATCGATCTCCTGCTACCACTGCTGGAAGGCTTTATTTCATCGATCTCCTGCTACCACTACACTACTCAAAGACCTTCTTCTAACCTACTCAATGGTTCCCGATGCTCAAAACTTGTACTCGTTGTACTCGCGAAAAGAACGTACATGACGATACATGCACGTGATAAACAAACACGTGAATATCAGATGACAAACACGTGAGCACCGTACATCACGATCCCACTCTTTTTTCGTCTCCCGATACACAAACAAAAAAAAACTTTTTTTTCCTCATTACAGGGGTGTGGTCGACGAACAACGACGACCAATAACAACGCAGGCTTTCAACCCACGTTATTTTTTGGAAACCTGTGGAAAGTGAGAGTGATACACCTCAGTGTGAAGTGAGAGGAGCTAACCATTTTGAGAGTACTTTACTGCTACAAATCATCTCTTCCTCTCTGTCTCTCTTTCTTATTTGTTTTTTGGCCGGTTTTTCTTCTCCTTGGCGACTGGAGGAAATATAGGGAGAATTAAAAAAATTGGACTCAGCCGGGTAACCGGCAGAAGGTCATTGTGGACGAAAATTCGCACAGATTGACTCAATAAGACTTCTTTGACGTGTGGAAAGTGACAGAAAAGGTACGATACTAGACGTCCTTGACCAAGCCTGGTCTGTTTAACTAAGGCGTTTTCTGTCGTTATTAAATCTCACCTGGTGAACTTCCACGAAAATTAAGAGTAAAAAACAAGTGTGGAATTTTTTGGACTCTGTCACGTGCATATCACGTGCACACCGCGCAGACTCTCCCACACACCCACACACCGCACCAAACCATGGTGACAGCTACAAAGACCAATGGTTCCATTGGATCTCCCAGTGCAGGTGCCAAAGAAGCTAACAATACCAGGTTTCGACACCGTAAAATCTCGGTCAAACAGCGACTCCAAGTTTACCATGCGTCGGACCTACGAAAACTTGACAAAGATGAGCTGCAGCAACGAGAACTCGTCGAGATCGAAACCGGAGTGGACAAAAACGAAGAGAAAGAGGAGCATTTGCATCGCATTTTACAGAAAAATCAGCTAGCTCGCACCGAACTTTATATTCCTACACCCGATGCATCCCGTACATGGCCCGAATATGCACTTTTTTACCAAGGAACGTTCACAGAGCCTCAAAGCTACATCAGGTTCTCCGCTACCGTCGAGGATTGTTGTGGGAACAGCTACAACATAGATGAGCGCGATGAAGAGTTTCTTAACTCCACGTTTGGAACAACCACAAATTCGAAACCCGAACTTTCCGAAAACGAGTTCGAACTTTTGTGCAGCAGTTTCGAGACCGCTATTCACGAGAGACAACCGTTTCTTAGCATTGACCCCGAAAACATTTTAACGCTCGAGGAAATTAAACCGACCATCCTGCAACGTGACCTTGGCGATGCGGGCATCAAAAACCATTTGGCCAAAGAAATTGGACTACAATCACCACATCGTTTTGCAACTCAGTTTGATACCCCCAGTAGTCAAGACTGTCGCTCTTTGCAGATTTTAGTGGAGAAATATGGCTCTCAAGTTTACCAGCACTGGAAAACTCGAAAAATTGAAGCCCATGGTAACGAAATCAGTCCACAACTCAAGTTTGAAAAACATGGCGGGGAACGCGATGAAAATGATCCGTACGTGTGTTTCCGCAGACGTGAGGTACGACAGGCCCGTAAGACCAGAAGAATTGACTATCAAAATAGTCACAAATTGCGACTTTTACAACAACAGTTACAATACACCAAGAAACTCGCGTTGCTGGTTGCAAAAAGAGAGCAAACCACATTGGACATATTGGACCAGGATCTAAGAGTGCTCGAATTACGCCGTGACATTAAACCCGTAAAACGTGCATTGGGTATCAAGGGCGAAGATGATAATCTACTGGTTGATACTAAGAAACGGAAACTTGTCAGCAAAGTTATTTTGAGCACTCCGGTCGAAACCACGTCTAAGAAAACGAAAGGTAAACTTAAGAAAACTCCAGCGGATTCCACAAGTTCCAAGCATGCCGCTTCGAAAACCAGTAAACAAAGCCAGCAGGCCCAACCGCCCAATCAGCAATCCGCACAACAGCAATTGCAGCAGAAAAATTTACAGCAAGCACACCAACAGCAGCAGCAGCAGCTGCAACAACAACAGCAAGCGCACGCCTCTCAGCAACAGAAACAACAAGCCAATTCTGTGGCTGCTCATGTCTATGTCAAACTTCCTAGTTCCAAGATCCCGGATATCTTACTGGAGGACGTGGACAATCTGCTGGTTTCCAAGGAGAAAAGTGCCAAAAACTATGTGGAAGAAAGGATGCGTAACCGTAGACTCGAAGACGGTGACTTGTTTTTCAACCTGACCGATGATCCTTACAACCCGGTTTTTGACATCACCGTTCCTGCAAACGTTTCTGCCAGCAACGCGCCATTTTCGTCAATTGCATCTTCCAAGTTCGAGGCCCAAAGATCCTACTACGTGCCAAAGCTGGAAGACTATCTGAGTGGAACTTCTAAGGATGTCACTATAGTCGGTAAAGAAGGCGATATTGTGAGCAATCCTAAAATCTCCAGGATCGAGCGGTTCAATCCTTTCCAAGACGACAGCGAGGTTTACACACGGGAACTGCCCTTCAAGCTTCGAAGACGCGTGGGCCGTTTGGGGATCGAATATATCGATATGCTCAAGCCGCGCGACAGTTTCACACCCGTCAGCGAGTTTATGGATCTTTCAGAGATCGATGCTCAAGAGCGTAATAATGACGTTGTAGACGTTTACGACTCCAAACTGGACGCACTCACCAGACTGCACGACCGATGGAAACACGAGTCCGACCACAACAGCTACGGTGCCTATTTTTCGCACGAGCCAGCGCGACTCAACCAGATTTCCAACGAAACGCAAACCATCCGTTTCGGGACTATGCTGGGGAGCAAATCGTACGAGCAGCTGCGCGATGCCACTTTCAAATACCGCCAAGACGTGTACAGTCAACGTCGGGTTCACAAGGGCTTTGCCTCTCCGAAACACCATGCCAAAATGAACAACAATTCTTCTTCTCCTACTGCGTCGTCGTCTTCTGCGTCGTCCACACTGAAAAAGAGCACAACTGCCAATGCAGCGGCAGCTGCAAAACAGCAACAGCACATCACATCTGTGAACTAGAAACCGGCGTCATCCAAATTCAAAAAAAGTCTGGAGCCAAAATTGTAACAATTCATTTCATTCTTCACTTCCAAACCGCAATCGCATATGCTGCGAAACACACGATTCGCTGCTACAACTCACCGAACCAACGGACGCATTGCACACCAACTATTTTTTTGACTTCTACAAAGTTTGGCATTTTTCATGTATGTAGTAGATACTAATGACATTAACGATCGAGTAATATTGACCATATTGGATGGTAGAGAACAGAAACTAGACCTAAAGCGCTAGTTAGACCTCTGTAGTCCGCTTCATAAGCTGTCCATCAGCGCAATTGGTCGATTCCAGAGTATCTTGAGACTCTTGTGGATTTCACCAGTCATCTTGTTGTATTAATGTCGAAAGAGTATATAAGAACATTGAAAAATGGTTGATGACCTTACTGATTTGTTCACCAATGTTCACCAAACTTGACATCATTTGAGGGCATTCAGGTCAGCTTGATACAAATTCTTGATTGTGAAGCCTCGATGGGAGTACGAAGAAGTGCGAAAGCACTTGTTCATAAGGGAATGACGGTGTTTGCAGGCAGATACCTTGAGATCAAAGAATCACCATCTCATCGGGTAGAATTGCTGAAAAAAGACAGGGAAGCGGAAAAAGCTTTTAGGGGCGTAGATAGTGCAAACGGTGTTGCAGAAACTGCCAAAACTGGGGTTCCGAACCGCATTTTGGGTTTGGGTTTCTTCTTCATTCTACTAGTGGTCCTGGTAAGTACATTGACAAGGTTTTCCGGTTCGGACTCTCCACAATGTCGACCGGTGTATATGTATCCGTCTTACGCTCGAATAGACGGGTTTGACGAAAGATACACCCAACTGGCCAAGAAATACCATCTGTACTTGTATCGGGAACAGGGCAAAGATCGTGAGCCCAACGAGGAGGACGGGACGATAGAAGTAGACGGCATTCCAGTGCTCTTCATACCGGGGAATGCTGGAAGCTTCAAACAAGCACGGTCGATCGCTGCGGCTTGTGCAAACGTGTATTTTGATGAACCCGACTCGATCAAGAACCCGCACACGAAAAACCTGGACTTTTTCACAGCCGATTTCAACGAGGATTTCACAGCTTTCCATGGCAGAACGCTACTGGATCAGGCTGGATACTTAAACGATGCCATTGCATACATCCTTTCGCTTTATCGATCCGATAGTGGGCCTCTTCCCCAATCTGTTCTCATAGTAGGCCACTCCATGGGCGGTATTGTCGCAAGAGTGATGCCTACTCTCAAAAATTTCAGAGCGGAATCTGTGAATTCCTACATTACACTATCAGCTCCGCATGCCGTGGCTCCTGTCACCTTCGATGGTGATATGATGAAGATTTACGAGCGCATAGACCAGTTTTGGAGAGCGCAGTACAAAGAAAGCTCCAGTTTCTACTCCCAAAATGTCTCGTTGATATCGATTACGGGCGGAGTTTTAGATACCGTGCTGCCTGCAGATTTCACCGCCATTGAAGGAATAATACCTTACGGAAACGGCTTTACCACATACACAACAACAATTCCAAAACTATGGACTCCCATCGATCACCTGGCGATAGTTTGGTGCGATCAACTCCGAAACATTTTAGCGCATATTTTGCTAGAGTCTACAGACGTCCGATCGCCCTCCATGACAAGACCCCTTAGTGAAAGAATGCACTTGTACCGCAAATGGCTTCTCACAGGACTTGAAAGCTACACCAACCAAGACAAAACTGCGAATGCAGCTCCTGTGGATTTGAGTGATACCTTCCAATTTACCAAGGAGTACAAACAGGTGAAAATCAATGAACAAGAGGTTTTGACATCAGGGGATCTGAGATCGGAAGCATCTACTCGCATATTTGATATACCGAAAGCTTCACAAAAGCTTCAATTTTCGGTCCTCACTAGCATGGAAACCGTCAAGGTCCTCTTCTGTAAAGAACAACCAAACCAGGAGGGCAAAACCCTTGCATTGGAAGATGGCACATCCATTTGCATATCAGCATCTGAATACTTTGTCACTATACCGAAGTCTACTTCTAAGAGCCAATACCCCTCAGATTCATCCTGGGATACAGGTGATGACCCATTCAGGCTTTTGAATGTAAATCAAACGACCATACTTGCTTATGACTTCATAGCAATGGACATCGGACGGGGCAATCCAGATGCTGACTCCTTTGTAGCGGCAGAACTCACAGACAAAGTTACCACAACGGTCATTAACGACAGTCCATTCCGGATCTTCTTCGATGGGATATTCAGGCGGAACGATAGAAAAATTCCCTCGAGTATGGTCACGAACTTTGATTTCACAAGCCTGTATTCCTCAATCGTATCTTACCGTGTCCAAACGCAGCATCACGGATTAAGCAATGTATTTCAGCCACTTCTTCGGCAGTCGGTGGAAAAGCCATTTGAAACCAAGTGGCATGTGAACCTAGATCAAGGTCCTCAGGACATCAACTTCCACAATGTGGCACCTTTTGTTGAATTGAACTCTACGCACGATAATTCTCTGAAGCTGATGTTTATCAGTCCACCAGGAGGAGAAAGCTCCATGAACCTGAAGATCAACTGGTCGCTAACGGTAAAGATGTTGCTTATCAGATTTAGATTGTCCATTGTCGCTTTCACTGTTGCTTTCGTTTCTTTGGTGGTGGCTTTCCAGTTTTTTGAATACGGGAAAGTTGGTCAATATGTTGCATTCGATTACGCAGTGTATCGAATACTGAACGAGCATTGGTTTGGCTTATGTATCTTTTTGGGCTTATTAACACCAATAGCGAGCTTGCTAGGTTCACCTCAGATTCCCAATTTGATCCATGACAAAACTGGCGAAGCTTTGCCTGGCTTTATGTCGAGGAAAAGTGCCTTGTTCCTCGGCACTCGTGAGACTTTTATGTGGTGGCTAGGCCCATTTTTCCTTTTGATGACAGTTTCTTTGGTCTACCTTGTTTACCGCATTGTAGTCACCGTTGAGGGCCTAGTGACTTGGACGTTCGATGGATCTAAAGAAGGCTGTGAAGTAGCCGAAAACAGCTCAGGTTCGATATGGGATACTAACAGTCGAGGTTATGACGTTAGACAAATTGCTGGGTTAGTCATTATCATTTTGAGCGTGATATTTTACATCCCATACCAGTTTGCGTTTGTTGTTCTGACTATAGTGCAGGTAGTATTCTGCTTAAAACTAGCAGCCAGTCCAAAAAGATCTGAGAAGCAGCGTTTACTAAACTTCAACAATTCGATTTTGATGCTGATGCTATTTCTGGTGCCAATCAATGCCCCGATCGTGGTGGTGTTTATGCGCAATTTTGCCATCAAATGGCAAACTCCCTTTCGCTCCCACCACAACTTTCTTGCTGTTCTACCAATAGTTTTACTCATCGAAAGCAACGCCAGGTCTAGAATGCCCCAAAGGCCTTCATCTACTAAAGCTTTTGGGAGTATCGCACTCATTGGATGGCTGTTGCACATTTCATTGTACAGTATTCTCTTTGGAGCCAGAAATCTGTACTGGCTACACCATTTATTCAATTGTCTGTGCGCCATGCTTTTCTTCAAAACCTTTGCTTGACAAGCCTTTTGCATGAGCTCACTCTGATTTACTCGGAACACCTTAAAGTCTATTTTCTAGCATATCTACCTTATAGACGTGACGCTTAGTTCACGATTAGAGCATCAAACAAAATTAAGTCCATTTCCAGAATGCGAAGGACCAGTGTCGTCGTGGACTAGTTTGGATTGTGATTACGATCTGGTTCCTGACCAAAAATTACGAGCTTCTTCGTCGTCAACGGTATTGGGAGTGTAAGCTCCGGACTCCATTACGCGCTCAAGCTGATCGAGGTTCTGTCGCTGTCCATTGTGACTGTTTGCATTTGAAGAATAGCTTTCCTCTGCCGTTAGCACAGAAGCGGCAATGGTTCGACAATCGTTCTTCTCCACTTCGCGCATGTTGTTATAGTATTCGTGATGTGCGCCCTCCGTTTTGGTCATAGGATACAGGTCATAGGCCTGAAAGCTATTCTGCTGGTAGCCAGACGACTTACCGGACTGAGAGTACAGGCTCGGATCATCACCTCTCCCGGAACTTCCATCATAAAGTGAGGGTGAGAAGGATGTGTTCAAAGAAGAGGGCCTGAAGCCATTATTCGCAGACGTTGCCCACATCGAAGACAGTGGTAGAGAGAGAGTAACCAGTAAAACAGCAATGCTGTTCAAATAAACAGTGTTCGGATTCCCTGACAGCGCATATGCCAGAATGAAAAGTACGCTTGGGAAAATGAGGGTTTGGAAAGACATTATGGCTAGGATGTGAAAACTGTCGAATTGTTTAAGGCCAAGAAACCTTCTGGAGCGCACTGCCAAAAGAAGCTTCACAGTGAGCAACAATGTCATGAAATTGATCGACGTGGATTGCAATATCACCCCGATGTTGTAGAGATACTGGTCGGGAAAAGCATCTGCATTTTTGTAAACTGCTGAGATGGACTTGACTGTCGCTACCAAATAAACGACCACGGTTGCGAGTGCTAGTCCTGACGCAACCGCCAACAGGGCTCTTCCCGCAGTCTTCAAGGTATCGCTTTTGAAAATGATGCGCACCTGAAGAATGAGGGAAGCTTCGATCGCTGCGACCAGCAGTGTCTGGAAAACGTTGGCCGCTGCAAAGGGATGCAGCTTGGAAGTTGGTATGCTGCCTGGCATCAATGCCACTGTATAACTTACAGATGCAGAGGGACTAAACAGGTAGCCCAGATATAAGGCTGATTGCAAGACAACCAGTAACAACGAGATCTGGTTGCTTATGAAAATAGGAGTTTTCCGATTCTTGGAAACCATCATAAGAATAACAATGGTGATGACAGCTGCTCCGATTCTTGTTCCAAATATGATGCCCTGCGTGATAAATTGATTCACAACTGATTGCATTTGTTCAGAGTCGATTGATACTTGGTCGCCCGACATGGACTGGAAGATGACAAGCACATCTTGTGGATCCCATTTTGAATCCACCATATTGGAAAAGATGTCTGATTCGAGCTGTTCTGGAGAAACCTAATGCTCAATAAAATGATGCCAGCACGATCTTGCATGGTGCGCCATTCCAGATGGATACTTATACATTTCTTGATGGTCAAAAAAAGTATCAAAGTGACCTCAGATCCGTTTTCATGTGGTTCGTAGATCACTGTGATAAGTAGCGTGCTTGCTGGTTGGAGCGTTCACCGGGTCTCCAGCATATTACCTGTTCTGGAAGTGTCAATGGTCAAGTTGAGGAAAAGGGCTTCTAATGTCGCAGAACTGAGGTTTGAAGGCTAGTGGAGATTCTAGCAATTGAACACACTGGAAAGAGTAATGGTTTGTCAGTTCACAATTGGGGCCCTGCGGTCCGGCTTTTTGTACATAATGGTAGTTGAGACAAATGTGAAGACAGATATGTCACCAGAGAAACTAAGAAAGCGGTTAAGAGGTCCCTATGGATCCACATGCGACTAAAAAAGGACATTGTTCATCCAAAGATGTTCAGTCAGTCGACCTTCAAACAGTCAGGTTTTGTACGTGTATTGCTCTTGAAGAATATCTCGATAGGGTGAAATATAACGCAGAAAGCTCATTTCAGGCATCAGAAGCCGAATTTTTCAGCTTTGAGCTTTACGACAGGGGCGTACGGATTCTTGGAGACTCATTTTCTACATCTAATGAGAAGCACTTGTGTATACCTGTAAAGGTGAATTTCCTGGCTGTAGCGCGATGTCATTGGGACAAAAGATACATGTTTCGAAACCTTGGAATCAGGGCTACAGTTCTGGCCCAAATTGGCTCGAGAAACTTTTCATTATTGTTGTAGAATGTGTAGTTATGTGTTGTAAATCTGCGAGATGGGCCATCTCTAATTTATTGATTATATCAATTTATGATCATCCATCGATGATTTGTAGTCAAGACTGCTGGAAAACGATCAAACGGACACTGATAGAAGCTTCAAATGCAGTTGAGAATGCGCGAATCTTGTTTGCGGTGGCCAGCAACACGGATGTACGAAGATTTGCGCTAAAAATCGATAGAGTTTGGTCATTTTTTGAAGTTGTTAGGGTCTTGAAAACGCGAACGAGCTGAATTGACCGTGGTATGAGTGTTTTAGGGTCTACCCAAGTTGTGATTTGTGTTTCTACCGTGGCATTGGGGTGTTGGAAGCCGCTTTTAGCGTCGTTTAAATCGGCTAAACGTGTTGAAAGCGGCTAAAAGTCTTGTAAAGTCTTTGGACGAACAGACTTGGAAACAAGATCCAGACGTGATAGGGATTGTCTACAAAGTAAAAAGGAACAGAATACCGTTTGCATTGCCCTAAGGTTTCAAGAGACTGTCATTTCTGGCTTTGATATCTCTGTACGTGAAATTATTATCACCAAACCTATAAATGAAGGAACTAGTGCGCCATGATTTCGCTATAGACACCCCAGTTTGCCGTATCAGGTCGGGCGTTCGTGGATTTAAAACGCACGGTCACAACCTTTGAGAGTTCGGTTCCTAATTCTCCCGTTAGAGGTACCCCGATTATCTGCGATGAAGTATCGAAACTTCACTTTAAAGCGATCAAATAGACACTTCTCGCTAGTAACACCCCAGAGGCCATCGCCCATCGCCACTAACAATTCCTGAAACCTACCCCGGTTCCTGCTTAGCTTCCCGCTGCTGTAGATCCCAATGAACCATTCCGAGTACTTGAGTCCACCCGCATGTCAATCAACTGGCTTTTCCCAAGAAAGCCACCATTCAAGATTACTCACGAGACCAAACGGCACTAAGCATACACCTGCCGCTAGATCTAATGTTTTGGCATCATCAACACCAGCAACTCGAAAACCCTGAGGGCCGTTAATTTTTGATGCCGTAGACTCGCGTATGCGCCCCATACAACTCTATGCAAAGGCAACAGCTCACGGCCCTCAGATCTGAGCTTTACGGCACCGAAGTGTCCATTAATGATGTTAAACATGTGAAGCAGGGCCAAGAAACTGCTGCCACAATGGAATGAGTGCACACTGAGCTTATGGGAACGCTTGAGTGGGACAATGGAGTTTCGATGCCACCACAACTCTCGAGACCAATAGACTGCGACTACTGCCTTTACTACTAGGAAATCTGGTATTCGACAAGCAAGGTTGAAGAACTGTGGTGGACAAAACGAACCTGCAGAGTGAAGAAAGGGTTTTGGGTGAAATTCTATAAATGTGTGGTCTAAAAAGTGGCTAACAGGGCCGATTTTGGTCTGGAGCTTGGGTTTTAGACGTTTTTGGTCAGACTCTTCGTTTGTTCGTTTGCTTGCGTGAAGTAACAAAAACTAACCAAGCATTAAGATGTCTACTTACGTCTCACGTCTGAAAGCATGGGGCAGTGAACCCAGCTCAAAATCGGAGCATCAAAGCAGCGATGGGTCGATCGCGGAAGGTGAAAACTTTGTAACGGAGCTGGATCAAGGTTCTAAAAGACTGGGCCTTGTTTCCAGTATCGGACTTATCTGTAATCGGATGCTGGGAACCGGGGTTTTTGCGGTGTCGTCGAGCATTTACACGCTGTCAGGATCGATCGGGCTGGCCTTGGTCATGTGGGTTGCAGGAGCTATCATCGCTACTAGCGGACTGTACGTGTATCTGGAATACGGAAGCGCAATCCCCCGTAACGGTGGTGAGAAAAACTACCTGGAATATGTTTTTACAAAACCTCGCTTTTTCGTTACCTCCATGTACGCATCGTACGTTTTCTTTCTTGGCTGGGCTGCCAGTAACTCCGTGAATGCTGCTGTCATGTTCCTCACCGCTGCCGATACAGAAATCACCACATGGAAGCAGCGGGGATTGGCTTTGGGTGTGCTTTCGTTCTGTTTTATCGTCAACTCGGTTAACGTGAAGCTAGGTCTTTACATTCAGAATCTGCTGGGTATCTTCAAGCTTGTCATTGTGATATTCATCAGTGTTACTGGATGGGTGGTACTGGGTAACAAAAATCTAAAAACAGACAACTTCCACAATGCCTTTGAAGGAACCGGGAATGCAAGCGCTTATGGTATCGTGAATGCTCTTTACAACGTCATTTGGTCCTTCGTCGGTTACTCGAATGTCAACTACGCTCTAGGCGAGGTAAAAAACCCTGTACGCACTTTGAAAATCGCCGGACCTGTGTCCATGGCGTTTTTAACCATCATCTACATTTTCGTGAATATCGCGTACTTCGCTGCTGTTCCTAAGGAAAAGTTGAGATCATCGAAACTAATCTTGGCTGCCGACTTCTTCGATATTGTATTTGGTGGACACGCCAAGAAGGCTGCCGCCGCAATTGTCGGATTAAGTGCAGTCGGTAATGTTCTTTCTGTTATTTTCTCGCAGGGCAGAATCATCCAGCAGCTAGGTCGTGAAGGTGTTTTGCCATTTTCAAGCTTTTTCGCTACTTCCAAGCCCTTCGATTCACCCGCAGTTGGCTTGTTACAGCATTTTATTGTGTGTGTGGTGACCATCATCGCCCCGCCTCCAGGAGATGCGTACAACTTTATTCTAAACCTGATTGTCTACCCTATGAATGTGATCAACCTAGCCATCAGTGTCGGTCTCCTGTGGATCTACTGGCAACGCCGTCAAAAAAAGATTGAGTGGAATCCAAAGATTAAAGCAGGTGTCTTTGTCACAGGGTTTTTCGCACTCTCCAACATCTATCTGGTGGTTGCTCCATACGTGCCCCCATCTAACAAGGGCGAAGAAGTCTATAAATCGCTTCCTTACTGGACTCACAACGTTGTGACTTGGGGAATTTTTGCCATAGGAGCCGTTTACTGGTTAGTATGGTCTCAAGTTCTACCGAAGGTCGGTAACTACGAGCTGGTTTCCACAGAGGTGGTTGGTGAGGATGGCTTCTGGAGGAAGAAGATCATTAAGAGAAAACTCGATGATGTTGATTATATTTCAGAAAATATCGAGGTAAACATGGTTACATCGGACAAACAAAGTTAGTAGTCCTCAACATTTGCTTTAGGTACATAATGAAATGAATATTAAAATGGGTCTTCTATAACACAGATCTCGGCAAACAGCCTTTTTTTTTTTGGAAGTTTAGAATGCGCCTCGTACTCTCCCGTTCCTTGGCCTATATTGTTCGCCAATCAAGGGTTTGAGAGCTTTTGGCAGAATTTTGGCTGCATCTCCTTGAAACCCCCAAACGTTTTTGTCCTTTCTTACCTCTTCGAGGTCCTCGATCGTCGTGTTGAATATAGCAATTTTACTCTTCGACTTCTTTGCACGTTCCACGTATCCCATGGCTGGCCACACCTTACCGGACGACCCAATCACAAGAACGAGATCCACAGGTCCACCCACATTGAAAAACTGGTCCACGACATCCATTTGGTGAAGTGGCAGTGATTCTCCAAACCATACTACAGCCGGCCGTAGTAGTCCCTCATGACATTCAGGGCATCGCGGCAGGTCACTGGGGTCTAATGTGGGAAGCGGAGTTTCGTCTTGTGACTCACTCTTGATAGCCTCAGACAAGGATTCCGGTTGCAATTCATCTTTTTGTTCCTCCTGCACTGCCAACCGGGGTTTTTTGTTACCTGCTGAAGCATTTTCAACTGAATTTCGCCTTCGTTTCCGGACGGTTTTAGGCGTATCGCTGGGGGGAGTGCTCTTGTAAAGTGCAGGTGTCAAGAACCTATCTCTGTCGTTGCACGAACGGTAGTTGCAGAAAAATTGTGTGCACTTGAGCCCAAATACACTGCCATGAAGCTCGACCAGCGAATCTAACGGATGACCGGCCCTTTGATGCAATCCATCCATATTTTGAGAAACTACCAGTACTCTCCTGCTTGTTAGGGCGGAACCCTCCTGTTTTGAGTTTCTAGAAGCTGTGTCTTGCTTGGTTCCGCTGGGAAATCTACGACACAATTCTGCAAGTGCAAAATGGGCGTCGTTGGGCCTGGCGCGCAGCGCTTCAAGCCTCCTACTGGAGTAGAAAAGCCATACAAGACCCGGGTTATTTTGAAAGGCTTCTGGGGTCGCCAAATCCAGCGCCGTATATCCACGCCAAGAGCCCTTCTGCCATTGGTAGGTTGGAATGCCTGAGCTGGCAGACATACCAGCTCCTACGATGCACAAGACTTTTTTAGCGTGTGAGAGATATCGTTGGAAACTTAAAAGCTGCTGCTCGTCGATTTCCATGGTTCAAGGGGCATAGAGACCAGCTATTTACTTAGTTCTAGCAGATTTATTCGCTGTTTTCGTAGCTCATCGCCTGTTCAACATTCTAAACTCTTATTATTATAAGACACTTTCGTCAAAGGTGACCAGTAGCTCAAACTACAAATTTCAAGAACACGATCGACAGAGAGTAGAGAGTAAGCTGAATACGGTTAATTAGCGCTAGTTTTTTTTGCTTGAAGTATACTGCTCATTAATCTGAATTTCGAGCTTCTATCAACTGTAATTTTTGTTTTATTTTTTTTGGAATTTCATGACATTTTGATGAAATCGGTCAAAATGATAGCTATGAAAACACAAAAGCTGCAGAAAAATGTTCAAGACTCTGAGCAGCTGATAAAGTACTTTCAGATGCATAAATACTACTGTAGTAGTCTTGAATATTCACTTTATTTGAATTCAAGATACACATCATTATGTACGAAACCTAGCATATATGTTCAAAATTATGACTATCGATCACCTAGGTTAACAACTAAACATTTAAATCTTCAAGAGTCGCTACAAGACCAGTAACCGTGTTTGTGTGCCATTGCAGTGCTTTGTGACACTGCTTTTTCTGCTTGAAACAAATGACGGACGAAAAAAAAGCGCTCAGAAACGCCCTCAAACCTTATTATGACGATGTTTTGAAATTGAAGGAACCCAATGGACTGGAGATTTATCCCATTTTCCAGGTCTTGCCACCTAGAAAGGACTACCCAGACTACTACAGGCTTATTCGGCATCCCATGTCGCTGAGTACCATCAAAAAAAGGCTCAATAACAACTATGTGCATCCTCAAGAGTTGGTACAAGACTTGGCGCAAATTACATGGAATGCGCGTACTTACAACACCAAAGACTCGGATATCTATAACTATGCAACGGTTTTGGATACGTTCATCAGGGAAAATATCATACCGAGCCTTCGAAAGGAGTATTCTGATGTGCACTATCCAAACCTCGGACCCTTGCCAGATGAACTAGAGTCCATGGCGCGCGAGCATAGGAACCAAGACATGTCTGACCTTCGTGCTGGTTCCGATCTCCTCAATATCAATGATCACAGTGGAAATACCACCAACAACAACAGCGATTATGAAAATGCCGATGGCACAAATGACGAGGATGATGAAGAACTGGACGACGACTACGGCGATCGCAGAAATTCACATCATCTCAGGATGAGAGTACCGGGTTCCGCACAATCACCCGGTCCAGGAGGATCGTTTCAAACATCTTCTCATTCCATGACACCCACTCCATTATATCAAAGGCATCAACAACAAAAAACGCACATGAGACGTGGAAGGCCTCCCGTAATTGATCTGCCCTTTGAACAACGTATCAAGAACGTTTTGAAAATTTTGAAAAAGGACACAAATCAACGTGGGGAGAATATTACCGCTCCCTTAGACAGACTTCCTGACGAAGAACGTGAACCTCAATATTATACGCAAATCTCCAACCCTATTTCAGTCGATGACATCCGCAAAAAGGTCAAGCAAAGGAAATACAGAACTTTTCAAGGTTTCCAGCAAGACTTCAAGCAAGCCATCGCTAATTATCAGCTGTATCACAGATCGCAGCCAGTCGAGTTGAAACGTGCTGCCGAGCTCGAAACAAGGTTTACAGAGCTTGCCCAGCACGAACTTTCCAGAACCGACGAACAGTATATGACAGATGGAGAACTCAAGTACCCTTTGAACGAAGTGGATCACAATAATACGACATATAAGATTGGAGATTGGATTTTGATTCACAATTCGAATGATCCCAAGAAACCCACCATAGCACAAATCTTCAGATTGTGGCACACATCCGATGGCAGACGTTGGCTCAATGCTTGCTGGTATCTGAGACCAGAACAAACAGTACACCGGGTTGATCGTATGTTTTACAAGAACGAAGTGGTTAAATCAGGTCAGTATAGAGACCATCTAGTTGACGAAATAGTCGGCAAATGCTACGTGTGTCACTTTACCAGATATCAGCGTGGTGATCCGGACTTGGAAATTGAGGGTCCCTTGTTCGTTTGCGAGTTTAGGTACAATGAAAGTGAAAAAGTATTCAACAAAATTCGTACGTGGAAAGGGTGTCTGCCAGAAGAAATACGTGATGTCGAAGAATCTACTATACCAGTAATGGGTAGAAAGTTTTTCAAGTACGACTCCCCAATCAAGCATTTGTTGTCACCAAATGCTACAGCAAGCGACCCTATCCCGATGCCCACTGAAGGCGCGGTCAATGCCCCACCTCTGATTGGAGCTGTATATTTGAGGCCAAAGGTCAGAAAGGATGATCTTGGTGAATACTCTACTTCCGACGACTGTCCCCGTTACATTATCAGACCTGGGGACCCTGTTGAACATGGTAAAATTGATATGGAAACCGGTACCGTGGTAACGAATTCCCAGACAACCACCAATCTTACCAAGACCATACCCTCCACGACACGGCTGGCGTCTTTGACCAAGAGCAGAAGTGGGACCGGACTATCTGGAATGCGCCAATCGAACACCGCGGTATACAATCCACCTCCAGCGAAAGGCTTGCCGTTTCCATCTCAAGGACAAGCTTCTATCAGTCCTGGGCCGGTTGCTATGCAGCAGACTCCGCTAGCCCCTGTCGTTAATCCTGTTGTCCCAACTCAAATCAAACTGGGTTCGCAAGCGACGAAGAAACCGGCTTACCAACCTCCGACCATCATCAATACCTTAGCAGCCCAGGCTCGCACAAATAATTTGGCTTTGGGTAATATTTCTACTGATACGCCTGGTGCATACGTGATCCCATTGCAAATATCTAAGAACGTCGAATTACTGCAACGTGCTGATTACGGGTCACAACTGAGGCGCATGAGCAAGGATCAAACAGCACCAAAACGGAAGCGGGGGAAGGGTGAGGTATTATGGTTTAAAGGTCCAAGTGTAGCGATTTCAGAGCGCTTGTTGAACTCAAAAAACGACTTTACGGAGGTACCCCTCAATAGGTGGTCCAAAAAGCGGAGAATGGAGTACGAGGAAGTAGACCCAGAGGATAACGACTATATGAACGATGACCAAGAGGAAAACGGCAACGGGAGTGGGGTCGCCAATGGCGGTGACGATGATTCGGAGGATGAGGAGTCGTCGTTGCCTGGAACTTTCCCGCTGGGATTGAGACCTTCGGCAGCGTACATGGCCTTCAGATTAGCACAGCAGAGTAGTCAGTGAGTGTATGTGTTTGGCGACTCACTTATCCGACGGTATAAAGTACCAAAGACCGCTGATTAGAGAGATTTACTTCTGAGCATTCTTCCAACCATGCCTCGATAACTTATCGCCAGCGGCTTTACACCTGCGATATAAAGAAAAAGAGTATCGAGACAGACGCATCGCCGCCGTATATAGGCTATCCTAATTGGGCATCTTGGACAGGAACAAGCGATAATTTCCCGATTCAAGAGCCAGGACGACAATACGATTTCAATAACGAAAACAGCTACAAAACAGCGACACACTCAACCACAACAAAGAATGAGATAACAAGATTATCAAATCAAAATTACGAACAACCACCTTCTTCAATAATTGTCCAATTTTCGAATTTTTTGGTTCATTTTGAAGGGAAAATCGTTGTTCAAAATTCCTACAGCTCAATTCCTTATTTTCGCTGAGCCGCTCTGATTGTCTCAACTTCACATCTCTCACCCTTCGACTTTCTGATCGTTTTGACACATTTTGACTTCTCTCTAGCCAGGTGGACCGGTAATAATTTCTTAATTATTACAGTACCGAAGTCAGTAGTGAAAAAAATTGGACATCGAAAATTGGAATAACTCATCGATATCAAGAACTTTTTGATATAGATACTAAAGGTATTTCGAGGCTTCGCTATCTGAACTTTAGGTCCTAACATTGTCCAGTGGTAATTTTTGTTTATTAAAAAGGTGCAATTGGATCGCTTTTGGTAGAATAACATTCAACATTGAATAGCACCTTTCCTCGCTGAACTAACCCATTCCATCGCATTTTAAACACGAAAAAACCATGTCTGAATTTGACAAATACAGTACTCCATTGTCATCCCGTTATGCGTCGGAAGAAATGTCTTCCATCTTTTCGCTGAGAAACAGATTCTCCACGTGGAGAAAACTATGGTTGAACCTAGCCATCGCTGAACAGGAACTAGGATTGTCAGTTATCACCGATGAAGCCATTCAACAGATGGAAAAACACCTGAAAATCACCGATGAGGAAATCGGGGAGGCCTCGAAACAGGAGGCCATTGTCAGACACGACGTGATGGCTCACGTGCACACATTCGGGGAAACTTGCCCTTCAGCCGCTGGAATCATCCACTTGGGTGCCACCTCTTGTTTCGTCACCGACAACGCCGATTTGATCTTTTTGAGAGACGCCTACGATGTGTTGATCCCAAAGCTTGTCAACGTTATTGATAGACTCGCAAAATTCGCCGTGGAATGGAAAGATTTGCCTGTGCTTGGATGGACCCATTTCCAACCAGCCCAATTGACCACCTTGGGTAAGAGAGTCACCCTATGGATTCAGGAACTCTTGTGGGATCTCAGAAACTTTGTCAGGGCCAGAAACGATTTGGGTCTGCGTGGTGTGAAGGGTACTACCGGTACGCAAGGGTCGTTCTTGGCCTTGTTCCATGGCGATCATGACAAAGTGGAAGCTTTGGACAAGAGAGTCACCGAACTGCTCGGTTTCGACACTGTGTACCCAGTCACTGGTCAAACCTACTCCAGGAAGATCGACATCGATGTCTTGGCACCATTGTCGTCCTTCGCTGCCACCGCTCACAAGATGGCTACCGATATCAGACTGTTGGCTAATTTGAAGGAGCTTGAGGAACCTTTTGAGAAATCCCAAATTGGCTCTTCTGCTATGGCTTACAAGAGAAACCCAATGCGCTGCGAACGTGTGTGCTCGTTGGCCAGACATTTGGGGTCTCTGTTCAGTGACGCTGTTCAGACCGCTTCTGTCCAGTGGTTCGAGAGAACCCTTGACGACTCTGCTATCAGAAGAATCTCGTTGCCAAGCGCCTTCTTGACTGCCGACATTTTGTTGTCGACCTTGTTGAACATCTCTTCTGGTCTGGTTGTTTACCCTAAGGTCATTGAAAGAAGAATCAAGAGCGAACTTCCCTTCATGGCTACTGAAAACATCATCATGGCTATGGTGGGCAAGGGAGCCTCCAGACAAGAGGTCCACGAGGCAATCCGCGTTTTGTCACATCAAGCCGCTGCTGTCGTCAAGGAACAAGGTGGCGACAACGATTTGATAGAGCGTGTTCAAAAAGACAAGTTTTTCCAACCCATCTGGAACGAACTGGACTCTCTGCTTGAACCCTCGACTTTTGTGGGCAGAGCTCCACAGCAAGTGACCAAGTTTGTCGAGAATGATGTCAAAACTGCCCTTGCTCCATTCCAGGACAAGATCTCGAACGAAGAGGTCAAACTAAGCGTGTAAAACAGAAAACAAAAAACCGCTATGATATGTACATTATTCAAAGTAATTATGGTTATAATAATCAGATTAAAGTTACGATGCAGAGGTAAATACCTACTTAGTGTTTCTATTCCGGGTTATGATCCAAAATGTTCCCATTTCATGCTACATCAGAGTTCAAGGCATCCAGAATGAAAGTGTTCCACTTGTGAAGCCGCACAAACAGCAGATCATCGTTAGTTAGCGATGCCAAGTTTCGCGGAATTTTGTAATTATTACCTTTTAAGTACGTCCCACCCATAGGAGTGAACTCTTGTGGAACATTTTCCGCAAAACTGCGCTTCATTTCCAACTTTCGTCGTTGTTTGATGTAATCTATGATCTTCCGAAAACTGTACGTTGTGAACTCCCAATGCTTTGCCAATATTTTCATCGAGGATGCATAGTCGGGACTATCGATGGTGAGTAGTAGTGCGTACCTCCTTTCATCACCACGAGCATCTGTGTCTGGCAACTTGAAACCCATCGCCAAGTTCAGACCCTTGGATTCATCGAAAAACGATAATGGTGCACTATCATACGCCATAGTCTCCTCAGAAAACATGTGTCTTATGATTGATGACACCAACTGGTATCGCACCGCTGGATAGTTGGTAGAAACATAGTCCTTTCCCCTCATACGTGTACGTATCGATCGCGATGAGGTGTCATTATTGGGAAACTTCATCGAGCACGACTCACAGAATGTCTCGGTTGCATAGTCCGGCAAAAGTAAAGAAGCTCCATCCACGGCAAACTGGGTACCTAGCAAAACACGAGGGCCATGCTTGTCGCAGAAATGAGCTAACGACAGTATCATATTCGGCATCTCGAGAACATCGAACCAAAAATGCAGTGTAGTGCCTAGAGTATGTCTTGAAAAACGCGGAAACGCCGCTTAAAAGGCTAATTCGATAGAGAGAATACGGGGGCGCCTGTTACATAGAGTACAACCCCATGGAACGCCTACTTGATGGACTTTTGGAGCGGAATGGTTCGTGGATGAGAGGAGTAGTAGTGGCACTTGAGATTTCGATGTTCTTTTGTACGGTTCCAATATACTCTATCATGTGGGACGAAGAATTGCCTCGTGACACTTTGGTGATGTAAACTATGTTTCGCAAGCAACAGGGTGTTTCTAGCATGTTATAACGCTGCTAATCTCTGTGAAAATTCTTAGACGAGCTGTCAAAAATCTGTTGTAAACTTCCCTGCTTTTAGGATTTGGAAAATTATCTTTTTGAGCGACTTCTCGATTTTGATGTTGGTTCTACAGGAATGAGCTTTTCAGCGACATAATTTGATCGATACCAACGCCATTTATTCGTGTTGAGGGCGTGGAACGCTGCGGTTGAAACGAGCAGTCTTTCTTGTCATTTTATCTCTGTCTGTCATCTGGGTCCAAGTCAGCTGACATTGGGATCCATTGACCGTTACAGTGATGAAGTACCAAGTACTAAACTAGCAGTGTCCAGATCAGTTGCGTACGTTACATTTGCACTATATTCAGCGAATTCCTCTGTGTACTTTTTAGTCTACTTATAAAATATTAAAACCTGGTTTGTCGGGACCTTTACCCTCGGAGCTCGACTGGAGCCAAAAAAAAGTCTCCTAAAGTATGCGCACGAACTCAATGACAAACTTACTTACCTCATTTTCTCTGGCTCACTGCAATCTTGACACCGCGGAATCATATCTCGGTGTCTTTTATTGAGTTGGTTGGTATATGTCAGAAATTGACTCCAAGAAAAAGCTTTGGGTACTTGCACCGATTCTCTCTTTGTCAAACGACACCCACCAAACCGAAAGGACCACTATGGCACGGACGTTCTAGAACGTTTTGCCAGAGTATTTTAGGAATTTGCAAGACTTTCGCCATTCCAAGATCTGCATCTTTCCTGCCGTGAAGCTACCTCTTGCCATACTTATTTTCGGCCTAGTTTGAGCACCCTTTATCATGGAGATGCTCTGAAGAATATGAAGAGTTCCATCGATGAAGTGCCAATCCCAACTACAACATCATGAATTGCAAGAATCAATTATTATTACAACTCGGTATATACTCACGACAATGACCACGCTTTATACTGTTGGGGTTCGACGTGAGATACACTATGGGCTTCATCTATACCCTTCACTAGCCTGTTCTTGTTTTGAGTTTCCTCATCTTTTTCGACCAGCTTGACACCAGAATCTGCTTGCTCTGATAACAATACCAGTTTTTTAGAGACGTTAAGTCTGCCGAGTTCTTCGTTCAACTCAGTGACTTGTTTGCTTAATGACTGGCGCTCACTCAACAGCCTCTCGGACTCCTTGATGAAACGCTGCTTTTCCTTGCTCAATGTGTTTTCAATCAAATTTAGTTTTTGAAATTTGAGATCAACTTTCTCCAGGTTAAGCTTTACCAAATCCTGAACAACCAATTGCGCCTCACGCAAGTATTTTTCTGAAATTTGGCGCCCCGATTGTGGGATTGTTCCATTTAACACCTTTTCGTCGAGACCCTGAAGAAGAGCTTTAACTGCCGCGTCAACCGTTCCTGTCACACTTGAAAGAGTCTTTTCTGGCGTCTGTGAATTGAAAGCAGGTGTGACTTCATTGATGTATTTGTCCTCGATCGGGAGTGTGAGAAACTTTTCGACGCAAGCCTCGGTGGTCTTCGAACCTCCAATATGCTCCACAATTTTATCCCATTGATCTTCGTACATTTCGATACCCTCGAGTAGCAGTAAAACTTCTTGGTCAGACCACTGTTTCTTCACCTGTGATTGATTCTCAAGACGCAGGAAGTCCGATGACGAGAAGTGAGCGCTGAAATGACCTTCTTGAAAACAACGAGAACAAATATTGGTGTCTCGGGATCTCAAATTGTGGTAGCGTATACCCACACAGTCGTTGCTGCAAGTATGGCAGATGTATGTTCTACTGATTTGTCTGGATTGCTGTGTGTCATTTTGAAGTGCATTGAAGTTCTGTGCACTTGAGTATATGTTTTTGCGCAGGGCCAAATTGATGGGGAACTTCTCAGGCTGAGCAAACTCCACATCCTGTCTGAATTCTTCCTTGACTATGGGAACCTCCGAGTCGACTGGTGCAATGACGTCGGGAGCAATCGAAGATTCCGGTGCTTGCTCTTTCAATTGTTCGACCGGCTTGTCAGTATCCATTTTTACTGTTTGGTCGTCGTGTGCCATTGCAGTCTGTACGGGAGCCGGCGTTTCTTGTGGTGCTTCATTACTTTGCACCACTTTACTTGGAATGAATGGTTTCAAACCTTGCGGGGTGTCTAGTACAATCTGAAAATGGCCCGTGAAACTGGGTCCTAGAAGCGAAGGCTTGGATCTGGGGTCGATCTGGTAGTTGATCAACCCCCATTGCTCCAAGAACGAATGAATTCTGATAATTGATGCCACGTCCATTGCCACATTACGCCGCACTGCAGTGACAGTGAGGTATTCGTAAGGTGACAGACGGTAGGTGTTGATCATAAAATTGCGGACATCACAATAAGCCTTCTCGGTTTTGAATCGGGTTGAGTCGTCAAAAAAGTCCGGCAGCATTCTGCGTTCAATCTCATGGACCTCATTGAAGTTAAACCATGTGGAAAACGAGGGCACAATCACTGGATGAGCTTGCTTCGCCAAGAATCTCACCGCTTTATCTTCCAGCTTCTTTGCTTCCTGATCGTAGTCTACTTTGGAGGTTTCCTGCTGAAGCTGCTGTTGTTGTTGTAAGTGGGGCAACAATGGAGCGCTAGTGCTGTGCTCAACAGCTTGGGGAGTGTCCTGAGACTCCGCCATGGTCATTTAAGGGCAATAGGGGTCGTAGTTTCTCAAGAAACCGTTGTTGTTTTTGGTGATGATTCCATAAAGTGAATTTAATTGTCAATAATTTTTCAGACCAGCCTTATAGTCATCATTGGCAACTTCTGTCGTGGAACCAGAGATTAAAAGTGGTAAAGTATAAAAGAAGCAGAGGGAATTGAGCTTCACGTATCATTTCAATCGGTAGCCATCGATCTGCTTAGGTTTTTTAAAACTCTTAGCGTCGAAAAAGGTGCTCTGGTTCCTGAAAAAAGCGTCTTAAAAGTTGACATTAAAGTATCAAGACCACCGTGTGGACAACTGCGTTATAGCGTCTTTTCCTGCTCCTTTAAGGCGTTTGACTAGTTGCCTTCAATTTTTAGGCTGTGTGGGAGTGCTAACTAACAATTCTTTGCGCTGGTTGAGAAGCCATCAATTGCTTCTGTCAGCACTCGTGTCCGGTGGGTTAACAGGAATTCAAGATCTCTAACATTGTTAAAAATGGTATCCACCCGTTCTAAGCGTCGTCCGCAGGTAAGTTATCGGGAAAAGGAAGAATCCGACTTGAAAGCGGATGTATGGGAGTCTGATTCCTCGTCTAATTCGGTTAGCGAGCCAGTGTGGCTCGAAGACAAATCTCTAAGTGACAGTCAGGAAGAAGTTAACTTAAGTTCTGATGAGGGAGAGGATGACGGTGAACTTAACGATCTGATTGATGCCAATGTTGCTAAACTGCGGGGATCGAAAGAAAAGGCCAAAGCCAGCGAAGACGAAAACGTCGACGACACTACCATTTCGCTAAAGCTCAGCAAACTGCAGGAGTTCGTACAACAAAGTCAGGTATACTCAAGGATCATTGCAGAAACTCTCTTGAACAAGACACAGGATAACCAAGCTGAGGCGACTGATGAAGCCCCAGCTAAGAAGCGCAGAAAGATTACAGATTTTTTCGGCAAGAGGAGCACTGGAGGATCGCAAAACGGCCAACAGCAGCTAGCTCACCAGCAGCCCTCGCTACTGCATAATTGCCAATTGAAGCCTTACCAATTAGAAGGTGTAAACTGGCTGATAACGCTTTATGAGAATGGACTTAACGGCATTCTTGCAGATGAGATGGGATTAGGCAAAACGCTCCAAAGCATTGCGCTTCTTGCATTCATCACTGAAATGGATACAAAAGGTCCATTTCTGATAGCCGCACCTCTAAGCACAGTGGATAACTGGCTGGGGGAGTTTGCCAAATTTGCACCAGACATCGATGTCTTGAAATACTACGATACACAGGGCCAACAGAAGCGGGCTTCTAAAATGAAAAGTTTCTTCAAACGCACCAAGGGCCAAGGTGTAGTCGTCACGTCTTATGAGATTATAATACGCGATATCGATTTGATATTATCTCATCATTGGAAATTTCTGATCGTTGACGAGGGCCATCGAATTAAGAATATCAACTGCAAGCTAATTCAAGAACTCAAAAGAATCAACACCTCGAACCGTTTACTACTGACTGGAACACCGCTGCAAAACAATTTAGCGGAATTGTGGTCTTTGCTGAATTTTATCTTACCAGAGATATTTGCCGATTTCGAGATATTCCAAAAATGGTTTGACTTTGGTGACGCCGAACTGGAAAGCTCTTCTCAAGGTCTCAATAAACTGATAAACGAAGAGCTAGAGAAGAATCTTATTTCAAATTTGCACACTATCCTCAAACCTTTTTTGCTGAGAAGGCTAAAAAGTGTGGTTCTGGCGGATTCCTTACCTCCTAAGCGCGAGTATTTGATCAATTGCCAATTGACGCCGCTCCAGCGGAAATTCTATAAAGGTGCTCTGAAAGGCAAACTTAAGAGGACAGTCTTCAGACAAGCTATCAAAGATTTCTACACTTTGAATCAAGACCATATTGGACAGGTCAGCAATAGGACCATTCAAAGTTTTCTGGAGTGGAAAGCCAGTGAAGAGCCAGAACAAACAGAGGACAAACTTTTAGTGCAAATGGATCAACTTTATCGAGACCACATTCATCGAGCTCTCTTGAACAAGAGTCTGCTAAACTCAATGGTTCAGCTGCGCCAAATCGTTGATTCCACCCTATTGTTTTTTTTCCCATTCATTGATCCCTCGCAGCTAACGCTGGAGCTGTTGCTCAAAACGTCCGGTAAACTACAGATCTTACAACAATTGGTGCCACCTTTGATTCAAAAAAAGCACAAAGTACTGATATTTACCCAATTTGTGACAATGCTTGATCTGCTAGAAGATTGGTGTGAACTAAACAATATCAAACCATGTCGCATCGATGGATCGATGGATAACGAAACTCGCCAAAATCACATTGATGGATTCAACGATTTGAAAGGATCATTTGATGTATTTCTCATTTCCACTCGTGCTGGCGGTTTAGGTATCAACTTGACCGCCGCAGATTCGGTCGTTCTCTTTGACAGTGATTGGAATCCACAAGTGGACTTACAGGCCATGGACAGAACTCACCGTATTGGGCAAACGGCGCCAGTTGTTGTATATCGGCTGTGCTGCGACAACACCGTGGAGCACGTTATCCTGACACGAGCCTCGAGCAAACGAAGGCTAGAAAAAATGGTTATTCAAATGGGGAAGTTCAGCAATCTCAAACGGCTGGCCGGGAGTGAGCAATCTTTTGTGAGCGGTTTGGGTGGCCATGGACAGCGCCATCAGACTGGCTCTAATAAAGAGCTCATGAATGAGCTTTCGCAACTTCTCTTGAGCGGAGAGTCGAGTATTGGTTTCTCCAGAGGGCTCGATGACGGCACGCTGACGCCCGCAGAGCTGGACGAGTTGCTCGACCGCTCTCTAAATTCTTTCAAACCGGAGCGAATTGAGAAAGAATGGCCCCATATCAGACTTTTCGAAACTACCAGCAATGGAAAGTAAGGTACAGGGTACGCCAAAAGGTGCGCTGGGAAGCTTCTAGTTCACAGATACGGCACACAAGTATCGTCGTTGGAACCATTTATCTCATCTTGATCATATCCTGACTTTATTTTGGATGTTTTTATCAACAGATTGGCGAGAACTGGCCTGATTTTGACAGAAAAACATGCTGCGTGATCCTTGGAGCTACTACTCTCTCCTGTACGATCCTCTTCTCATCAATTCATCACTGTTTCTCGGCAACTGGCCAAACACCTCCTTACCAAAACCCTCCTCTAAAGGTCCATTTTTTCACCTCGAATCACTCTAATTTTGAACTTAAAAGTCTCTCAGCATACCTCCAGCCATTTTAACGCTAATGACATGATTCATAAGTTCAAAAGCTGTGCTTTCGGTAGTTCAAACGCCTGGTTCTTGCATCGATCGTTACACCCCTCGTACTGAACGACCTAGTCTAAGATATATAAAATGTTAATGTCAGAACAGACCCCTTACCATACTTCAGCACCCATCATCAAGAACAACTTGTAGCAATCCCTCCTTTTGAAGAGCTCTGTCGAGATCATAATACAGCGCACAAACGAAATGCCATTGACGGGAGGCCAGCTGGAAGAGTTGAACTTGTTTCATCGGAAAGTGCATGAGGATGAGCCCAAAGATCTTTTGCAATTCGCCGCAAACTATTTTAACAGAAGACTAGAACAACAGCGGTTCTTTGCACGTAACCAAGAGTCGTTGGCACTGTCGAAAGGCATTGTGTTGTTTCCATCTGCAACAAGAAACGATTCGGTCGTTGCATCTGCTTCAGCAGCTGCTGGATTGAAAGGTGCAGAATCGCAATCCAATGATCAAATCTTCAAAGCATCGTTTGCGGAAACCGATCCACATGCCACAGGTGCAGCAGCTTCAATCCAAGAAGCAGGAATGGCTCCAGATACAGTGAGCAGCGAAGAAGGCAGCGAAATGGCCGGTTTTGGCTCAGGCATCTTCAAAGATAACTTCCGTGTGAACAAAAGCTCAGACAAGCACATCAAGAAACCTGTGGATCCCATGGCACCCGCAGATCAGGCTGGATCATCACCACAACCCACAACGGCTCCTAGAAGATCTGTAGCAGTGCCCAGACCATTGCCCATGAACTTCAACGCTCAAAGACGCACGTCCGTAAGTGGAGAAACGATGCAGCCCGACAATCTTGATGATTGGAAGCCCGAGAACTACAGCGAAAAGACAGGTCTACAACTGGAGAGGCTTGAAAAGGCCATTGGTCGCAACTTTTTGTTTAACAAGCTTGACACCGAGTCCAAGAGACTGGTGATAAATTCTTTGGAGGAGAAAAGTGTAAAAGAAGGCAAGGAAATCATTAAGCAAGGTGACGAAGGTGACTATTTTTACATTGTCGAAAGGGGCAATGTGGATTTCTTTGTTGGATCTCAAAAGGTCAACACTTCGGGCCCAGGTTCCAGTTTCGGAGAACTGGCTCTCATGTACAACAGTCCCAGAGCTGCCACGGTTTTGGCCACCACGGACTGCGTGCTGTGGGCTCTTGATAGATTGACGTTCAGAAGAATTCTACTGGGCAGCTCTTTCAAGAAGAGAATCCTATATGACGAACTTCTCAAGTCCATGCCTGTTCTGCAGTCTTTGACCACTTACGACCGTGCCAAATTGGCGGATGCTCTAGATACAGAAATATATCAGCCGGGACAAATCATAATTCGCGAGGGTGACAGCGGTGACAACTTCTATTTTATCGAGTTTGGGGAAGCGGAAGTGTCCAAGGAGCAACATGGAATTATTGCACACCTGAAGCAAGGCGACTATTTCGGAGAAGTAGCATTGTTGAACGATCTACCCCGTCAAGCAACGGTGAAGGCCATCAAGAAGACCAAGGTGGCTACGCTCGGTAAGAGCGGATTTCAAAGACTTCTGGGGCCTGCGGTCGAGGTTTTGAAGCTCAACGATCCCACCCGTGTGGACCATTGAAGGAAATTGTCTTCCACGGACCCTTAGCCACCTCCTGTTTCTATAACTGCGGAGGCTTTCTCTTCATCAGTATATCGAGATGCAATTATCTAAGTTTAAGCAATGAATCGTACATGTTTTCAGTACTAGCAAATATGTAAAAGCTTGTGAGAAGAGTAATAGCTAGTGGTTCGCCTTTACCAGGCTTTGCCGGTGTAAAACTCTTTTTGCGTGTACATCCAAGCCAAAGAGGTTGTAGACACCAGCAAGGGTCCCATGAAGCCCTTGCCGATCTTGCAGGTACGGAATACCAACAATTCGCTGCCAAAATGGGCCAATGCGACCAAGTAAGAGATACACACCAATTGGTAGATGTGTTCTTCATTCAAGTACAACGCACCATACAAACGAATCACACTGCTGACAAAAGTCCAAGTTCCAAACGTTCTAGCACTGAGCTTGGTGGTTTCTTGAGGCTTACGCTCGTACACTTTGCGAGTGAGCTCTAGGCCAGAAATGTAGGTCTGAATTGAGTTGAATACGGACACGACAGAGATGAACAGAAGCCATTTGGGCAAGTAGCCCGGAGGCATGTTGCTCAAAGAGTTTTGAGTGTGGTTAATGACTTGCTGGAAGGAAAGCATACTAGGGCAGTGACGATAGGAGCAGACAATTGACAAAGCAACACTGGAAAAACCTAAGGTTGAGTAAGTGCAGGTAGTCTTTTCTTACTGAGTATTCGATAAATGTTGAATCAAACTCGTTCAATTAGCTAAGTTGTAAAATCGTGTATGTCGTACGTAGTACTAGTCTTTATAAAGTTCATAACAAGTGTGCTCGACGATCGTGATGTGATATTTTCGTAAAAGCGTTCGTAAAGCACATGCGAAGTCCGTCATCAGAAGACCGGGTTTAAAATTCAAACCATTCAGGGTCGTTGATTCTTTGTTCGCCTTTTTGCTTGTGAATGCTGTTGATCTTGGTAACGTCGTCAGCAGTCAGCTTCACAACCTGGAAGTTCGACTTGATTCTGCTTGGAGTAACAGATTTGGGCAACACAACGTAGCCTCTGGCCACAGCCCAGCTAATCAAGATCTGAGCGGCGTCAACGTTGTACTTCTGGGCCAGCTCCTTGACAGCAGGTTCATCAGCAACAGGGGAGCCCTGGGAACCCAAAGGCGAGTATGCCTGCAACACAATGTCGTTTTGCTTGCAAAAATCGTAAAGTTCTTGTTGAGGAAGCAATGGGTGCACTTCCACCTGGTTGGTTGCTGGCACCACCTTAGTGTCCTTGTTGTTGATCAGAGTCTGCAACTGGGCCACCGAGACGTTAGAGACACCGACAGCTCTGGTCTTGCCGGTTTCGGGCAACTTTTGCATGAGGTGCCACGTCTTGATGTAGTCCCATTCGGAGTCCACGTCTGGCTTGCCGTCTTTCTTGGTGGGGACGGAGAACAAATTGTCGTCCTTGATGTTTTCTGTCTTGAGAGGCAAAGGCCAGTGGATCAAATACAAATCCACGTAGTCAAGGCCTAGTCTTTGCAAAGACTGGTCAAGAGCCTTGGCAGGCTCGCGATGTTGGGTGTTCCACAGTTTGGTCGTTACGAAAAGCTCGTTACGAGGCACTTTGGAGTCGCGGATGGCTCTTCCAACAGCAGCCTCGTTACCGTAAACGGCAGCAGAGTCAATGTGGCGGTATCCATCTTGTAGAGCACTCAAAACAGCGTTGTATCCTTCTTCTTCAGTTGAACGCCATGTACCAAATCCTACCTGAGGGATTGTGGCTCCGGTGTTCAATTTGATGGTAGTGGTAGAGTTTTGAGCAGACATTTTTTGGCAGCTAGAATTGTATGGAAATGTTCAGGGTATGATCCTACAGTGTTTCCTACTGTGTATTGTTCAAAAGAAGTTCCATATCTCATTCAAAATCGTCAACTGGTCTTCCGTTTATATACTTTTCGCAGCGACTGCAAAAGCAAAAGCACTCTTGATGGGTTTGCTGCCAAAGGGTTTGGGTAAGTGTGGCACATATTGCGGTTAACGACCGAGTCGTTCCCATGACGGGCAGCGAGCACATGGTCGCGAACGTTGTGGATCTTGATGGAACCTTGTGGGCTGCTGCTATATGCGATTACATACAAAGATTTTCGATGTAAGAAAGTGTGCCGTTGTGCGAAGGTTTTGGGCTCAAAAGTTGAGCTAAAAGGACGGGAAAAAAGGGTATGTCAAGAGCTAAAAACATGCAATAAGAATACGACGATATTGGGAAATTTCGGTGGGCTATAAGAGTGTCATGGAGCGGTTAGCGGGAGTGGCTATGAGTTGTTAACTTTGCAGTATTAATGTAGACCAATTTAATATTTGAGGGCCGAGATTTCCATTCGTGTGTGGTGATGTGAGTAAAGACGCTAATGAGCACCGCCATCATAGTAGAAATGGATTCATAAGTTCCCTAGTAGCAGTCCGGACTCTCTCGAATGGTGGATCTGTGAGTTCTCACAAGGTCTTACGTCTTGGAAAATTATTTCGTATGTAGTGATGTGTATTCGTTTGCGCCAGATTTGGTCCCCGTCTTTTGGCACCGAGCTTACCGTTGAGTTCCTAGTTGTGGGAATAGAAGGCTCCAGTTCGATTAGGTTCTCGACAATACCACGAATTCGAGACTTGGTTCACAGATTTGCTTTTCGTAATTAACGTTTTGATATCATTTTCAGACATTTGACAGAATTTCATTTTGTGCAACGTCCAAAGCTGTCAAAATGCTCTTTGCTACGACGTTAAAATTGACTCCCTGGTGCCAAGTTGCGTTGTGACCTTTCCTTTTGGCTCCGGTTGCAAGTAACAGCTAGCATGAGATATGAAGACAGAATAGTATAAAGTGATGAAGGTTTGAGTGCGGACAAGGTTCAGGTTCCGATGTAGGTTTGACAGCAAAGTTTGAGGGAAATATGACCCAAAAGCGTCCCACTTGTTTTCTTTTGTTCTTGGTTAGTAAATGAGCAAGTCGTAATCGAGTATCCTGTGTTAAGACGTACGTCGTGGTCATCCAAAGCCCGGAGCAAGATTCAACGGTAATTGGCCGGCCGATAATTGTCTTGGATAATCGACAAACAAAGTATCGGCTAGTACCATGGAGCTCGGTGTAAAATGTCTCACTCTTTGATTTTCGTTAAATGATGACAGATGTCAATTAAGTACAAAGTGATATGAGTCGATGGGTATGTCTAGAGGTAGAGCTGCTTTTCCCCATTGCCCTCGTTCTTGACCGTCTTGAAAAACTCTGACATTCAATGGTGATGCTTAATATCTTGTATTCTGTCTATTTGTGCAGTGAAAGTACGGTATCTCCAGTTTTGCTTGCCAGAAATTCCGGGACTTCACACCAAACGGATCTGATTCACCTCAGATAAAGGTGAACCACTACCACCGACATATCGATGACGCCCGTAACCATTACTTCATGTTCCCAATCATTTCACAACGTCCATCAAATATATAGAATCACGACAACCTAAATAACTCGTTTTTGCACCGTTGGAAAGCCCGAGAAAACCCGGTAAAAGCTCTAAAAATACGTGTACAAATTCTTAGCAACCAAAAAGTATGTTCTACACTACAGACCTTCAATTTCACTGCCTTTCAAACCATTGTCTTCTGTCGTAACCACTACATCATTATTTTATCACCCACCCTAATTTAATTCATCTCTCCTACTTTACTACTCACCAGAAAACTCGCTCACCAACAGCAGCACAAGCACCAACAGGACCCTGCCAGTACCATGTCGTCATTAGATGCCGCGCTAGACATTTTGAGGAGGCTCGATCCCACGAAGATCGAAGAAAACCTGAGCCAATTGATCAAGTTGGACCCAAATTTGGCAGAAGATTTATTGACTTCGGTAGATACGCCATTACAAGTGAAAAAGGACCCACATTCGTCTCAAAAGGAGTTTCTAACGTGTGATTATAATAGAGATATCGACTCTCATCGCTCGCCATGGTCCAACCGCTACGTTCCCGAGCTGTCGCCCGAAGATCTTGCAGAATCACCATTCCCCACGGATTCTGTTCGCCGTACCGAAGTGCTGGCAAATGACTCGTTCGATATCTACAGAGACCTGTACTACGAAGGAGGGGTCTCGTCCGTGTATTTATGGGATCTAGGAGATGACACTGACGATTTTGCTGGCGTGGTACTGCTGAAAAAAGGTACTCAAAGTAAAAGCTCCTGGGATGCAATTCACGTATTTGAAGCGCTACAAACCGAAGGTTCAAACCAATGGGTCTACCGGCTCACCACTACCATCATCTTGCATCTCGATTCTGGACGTGAAATGCATCTTTCGGGGAATTTGACGCGTCAAACGGAAAAAGAGGTGACACGTCCAGCCAGCGTTTCTGAGAACTCCGATGCATTCCGGGTGTGGCACATTGCTAACTTGGGTGCTCTAGTGGAAGAAGTAGAGTCTCAGATGCGTAACCAGTTAGAGGTGGTCTACTTCGACAAGACACGTGACATCTACCGTGAACTTAGAGACTCACAACAAGCTTCAACTGCAAGCTCACGGTCTGCGCATGAAGAGGTCGTTAAGGGATTGCAGGGTATGTGACAAAATTTGAGAAACAGTTGAACTTGAAATAGAGGTAAACCATTCTTGATCCTCACATATTCCTACCTCGTCAATAACGACTAGAGATAATCAGATCACATGACTTAAATAACACGTGATACGGGCTGTCAACATCGCTGTGGACGAACAATTCTTTTCATCTCAAAAATTAACAATCATCACATCACGGCTTGATGAGCAAGGTAGTGTGATCCGAATCCTACAACATAAACTCGTTGTAAACCTCAAGCATCGCCGGATATAGAGCCAGTCGACGTCAAAATAGAGTCTTAGAAGTCTTCTAATTACTTGTCCCGAAAATTCTCGAGAAAACGGCCCGAAATTGACCGAGTTTCTTAGTCGTAGAACCGACAACAGACAGATAACAAATTTAGCATTCATCACTTAGTCTAGAATGAAGAGTCGAGCTCAGAGTGAGGCCAGAGTGTACATGACAGCCGCTGTTAAGCGTGGCCCGGTATACTGGGACTACGAAAATACGCTGATCGACTGGGTTCCCAATAATGGAGCATACGAAATTGAGAGTAAGGTAGGCCGTGGAAAATATTCGGAAGTATTCCAAGGTGTGCAGCTTTCAACAAAGTCGAAGATTGTTGTTAAGATGCTCAAGCCTGTCAAGAAAAAGAAGATCAAACGTGAAATCAGCATTTTGACCAATCTTTCGAATGTAGCAGAGCCTCCAACTGCACAACCGTTTGATCACGATGCATACTATGAAAGTGATGAAACCGATGCTTTGCAATTCAAACGTCCGTACGTCTACAGTCTGCCGCATGATGGTCACAAAAATATCATACAGCTGTTGGACGTGGTACGCGATCAAGTTTACAGAACACCCGCGTTGATCTTTGAACATGTTGAAAATGTGGATTTCCGCACTCTTTATCCAACGTTTAAAGACCACGATATACGCTACTACATGTTTGAACTTTTAAAGGCGCTAGATTTTTGTCACTCCATGGGTATAATGCATAGAGATGTCAAACCACACAATGTTATGATTGACCACGCAAGACGTAAGCTTAGACTGATAGATTGGGGTCTTGCTGAGTTCTATCATCCCAATATGGAGTACAACGTCCGTGTGGCTTCTCGTTTTTTCAAAGGTCCAGAGCTTCTCGTCGATTACAGAATGTACGATTACTCTTTGGACCTTTGGTCTTTTGGAACCATGCTTGCGTCTATGGTATTTCAAAAAGAGCCCTTTTTTCACGGAACAAGCAACACTGATCAATTGGTAAAAATTGTGCGGGTTTTAGGTACTGATAATTTCGAATACTATTTGGAAAAGTATCGGATCACCTTGCCCCAAGAGTTTCACGATCTAGACCAGTACATTCGCAGACCTTGGTACAGGTTTGTCAATGATTCCAATAAGCATCTATCCGGTAACAACGAAATCATCGATTTGGTCAGCAACTTGTTACGTTATGACCACCAAGAAAGACTAACGGCCAAAGAAGCCATGCAACACGATTGGTTTGCACCCATTCGGAACGAGGAAAATAAAGCCAAATAATAAAAGGCTATTGGGACCATGAACTTTTACGTTATTAAATAAGCGGCGAAATTCACGCAGATAGTTCGCTTGGCCACGGGAGTTGCAGAAAACTGGTGATAAGGTCAAGGTCATCCAGAACCAAAAACTCACTGAGCAGGTTCGAGCGGTATTGCTGGAATGCTGCAACCACTCTAGGATCAGAACTAGCGGTATTTCCCCACTGCAGGGAATCAAGCAAACCCAGGAGGAACTCTACACAGATCTTCAACCTTCGTGCACCTTCTGCCATTTCCAAAAGACGTGCAGCATCTAAAAAGTCTGCCACGTATTTGTAGCTCATTTTGACCGAACGGCCTCTATAGATTTCATGGAAAGCTTTCTCATTTCTGGTTTCATTGTGGTGGGGCAGTGTCAGCTTAATCAAACAGACTACAAGACTTTCCAGTAGCTGCAAAGCGAACCTTATCATATCACTCACAGCCTGAAGGTGCCCCTCCTGAATTGTGAAACCAATGATCAAAGCCAGTATTTTGGAGTGGCCATTGCACAAAGACTGCAAGGAAACATCACTCTGCTCGATGGAACGCGAACTGGTGTATTCTCGCAGCAATTTGAAAATTCGAGTCTTTGACGCTCCAAACAAAAGTACCTCATTCTTGATGAAACCAAGAAGCAGCAACTGACATACATCTGATACAGCTTTCTTTGGAACAGCCATGAATGAGTAGTACGACGTCAGAACAAGCTGGAATGATCGCACTATATGAATTGCGATTTTCTTACGCCTATTATCATCCAGATTAACCGCAAACAGCCATTTCAAAAGTTTATAGTTGGGCAGCAACTGCTTGGAGATCTCGAAGTCTTCAACGTCAATGGCCAAAGACCGCACCACGTCCGAATAATCAGCCAGATCATTGAACGTAAGTCTGCGACCGTTCAAAAAACCACAAGCAGGCTCCAGATGTCTTGAGGTGCTGTTACCCATGACGTATCGATACATAAAACGATCTGCAAGTGCCAAGGACACTTTCTCCGCTACTGCAGGTTTAGCCGCTATATAGTTGTTGGAAACCATTTGTGATGGGAATTGCGATGATGGTAGAATGGCGGCTGAACCATTGCCGACTTTCAACACCCAATTTTTCCAGAGTACTGGATTTCTGCGTTTGATAACCGCCAGCGCCTGTGAAGATGATATCGAGCGTTAGTTGAAACCTAGATACAACATAAATACATAGAAAGATGGGATTTTCTCCGTTTGAAAACATACAATCGCCAATTCTTCGGTGACGAGGTCAACAGATTGGAGTTCGACCATTATGGGTATATACTAGTTGTTCTTTTTCAATTTTAGCGATTTGAATCTTGGTGTCTGATTTAGTTGAACCTTCAAGTTGACATTTTAAGATATTTGGTTGACGCAACAGAAAACATCGTGGAAAATAAGGTTACGTGATACATGACGATATAACTAGCGACACAACAAAGTGGACCTAACAGACGCTTCAATTCCATCATGACGTTGCAAGGCTTTTATAATTTCCTTTGAGGTGTTCTTAAATCATTTAAAGCTCAAATGAATATTCTGTTTCTCAAAAGTTCGATCTCAGAAACGCTTCAAAGTCTCAAGAAATATCAACTTTTGACTTGGCTTATAGTGTTTTACCATCAAAAATGCTCCCATAGTTGCTTGCAATCGTCCACTGGTGTGCCTATCACATACCAGCTGTGTCCTTTACTCGCGGAATGAGGTCAAAGTTTCGCTTCTGTTCATGGCTTCGTTCTTCGTTATAAATGCAGGAAAGTCACTATTGAGATACCATGTATATACGCTGACATGACACGAACTAGACTCTGAGCCGCGATTCCAACAACCATAACAACGCCATGCAGTTAAGTGTTGGTACGGCACACTGAGCAGTGTTCTGTAGATTTTTTGAGACGTACCTGCACCGAACCATTGTTTTTTATTTTTTTAGAGAGACGTTCGACCTGGTAAAATACAATGTGGAAGAAGAGTCCTGGGGGTTCTAGAGATCCGTCTCCTGGGTACCGATAGGCGCCTCAACATTGAGCTCATAATTGTTGTCGACGTCGTCCAATGTCCTGTCTTGCAAGGCGCGGCTCAAGAATACCAGTTTTTTAATGCTCATTGCTGAAAGAGACCTTCATCACGCATTTGTTCCAGCCCGCGCTCCCTTTGAGTCGAATAAGTCTGTGCTGCCAGATTTCAGTATCTTCCGCTATGCGCGGCGTTCGCGTATCGTCGTCTCAGGCATCCAAAAGTCATCAATATATTGCGAAATCCGTAATATCGTTTCCAACCAAGTAAAGATCTTACTGTGTTCTATAAATGCCGTTGCCCCCCAACGGCCTCCAGTAGAGCTCACGAGCACAGGATAGTATCCTATTCTCAATGAGTGATTCAGCCACTTACAAAGCCTGGACTTTAGAGTACTGCCCCACGTAAGGACCACCGTTGACATGAGTGACTAAAGTTGACAGCCTTGCTAATCATGCAAATCACGGATCGCTAGTATCAGTGGCATCAGAGCCCGTTAGAGGCCCTGGATCTGTCATATTGTGGTCTATCTTTAGTAGCTCTTCAAACATGCTAAGCTGTTCGGACCCGCCGCAAGAAGCCATATGCAATTCTGTAAACCTCTTAAACTTAAGCACCAATTTCTCGAAGTACTGAAGACGTTTGCGCATTTCAATGTTTTCGCGAGTTAGTATTTCAGCATCCTCCTGGAGCTGCTGGTGCGCATATTTTTTTCGCTGCCTGCATTTAGAAGCAGCGATTCGGTTCCTTTCCAAAAGTCTTGCTCTTTTCCATGCAGGCGTTCCAGGCAGCACGCCATGACGCATCGAGTAACCATTGTTCAAAGACTGAGGCGTGATTGCGTTGGCCTGTGCAGAATTTTTGAAATCCGTGATATTCTTGCCATTGTATCCATCCTGGATAATCGGGTCTGTGGGGTCCACCTCGTCCTCGAGTTTTGGTGTAAGTGCGTGTAGGTTGTAATCCTTTGAGCCAGGCCCCTGAACTGCTTGATATGGTTGCTGTGGCTGTGAATGAGGTCGTGAAGTAGCTACAGCTGGCGTTTGCAAGTGTTGTTGCGCCACTTGGACTTGCTGAGTTTGCTGAGGTGGCTGTGGGTGCTGCTGGGGGAAAACCCCGTTCTTGGTCTCGTTAGCAGCGCTCTTGTGCTCATGCCTTATAGGCATTGGCGGAGGCTGACTATAGTACAAATCGTCGAAAGAATGCGTGGCGTCTCCAAGTTGACTAATCTGACCGTTCGATATGGATATTCTACGCCTTCTTGGATGGTCGGAAAAGTTGGTCAGGGAGCTTTGGAATATGGGTGGATTCGTGAGCGGGAAGTGTGAAACGTCTACGCCGTAAGGCTGGAAAAACGGCGACAGGTATTCCTGCAACGAGGGATCCGACATACCGTTGTTCATATGAAAATTTGCCGGGTGAGGTGGCAGAAGTGGCACTGATTCTGCGCCTACAGCATGTCCCGAACCTGCAGCTGAAATGTTTGGTTGGTGTGTTGGAAATGGACGCATATTGACATTTCCGGCTTGCTCTTGCGCCGGAACTCCTCGGACAGCCGTCGTTGGATGTCTCAACACCCCGTATCCGGACTGCGGTGGCCTATAAAATTGCATATTTTGCCCACCTGCGTTCCCCGCAAGAAGGTCATTCGAGTCCTCCATTTTGACGTGAACAGAATCCATCTTCTGTCACTGAGTTAAGCTACCAAACTAACGATTGCTTCCTGTTTTCTCTTGGAGTGAGTTAGTGCTTTTTTTAAAATTTTGAAGCTTCACTTTCAAGATCTGTGTGTCTTTTTGGTTGTGAGTCTTTTAACAGCGTCCGCAAATGTCCAGTAATGTAGTTGAACCGGGCACCTTTACGTCTAGCAGTGCTCATCGGGCTGACCAAAGACCAAATTTTTCTGACTTACTTCTTTTATCGTCCCAAAATAAGCAACCGACAAGAAAAGAGCCCATAATACGAAGAGACATTCCGAGTATGCACAGGAAAAACGTGGTTATTTTTTGGCGGGACTGCTCGAACAACAAAAAAATCAGGCGTCGATGCCAAATCCGGAAGAAGAAGGCTTAGGCCAGCTGGGAGTGGATGAATTTGAGATTTTTCACGCTGTAGGAGGGGCAACGCGGTGTAGAAAACGCTTGGAAAATCTCAGGGCCAAGTGAAGCTGCAGAGACATCCGTCTGATTTCGGCAATAGCAGCAAGTTCCGGAAGCTTTTCTGGAGTTTTAGTCTTGTGAGCTGCTTATACGAGACGAACCCACACCATTTTGCGGAGTGTTTGAGAGGGCTCGATTTTGAAAAAAACGCTCATATACACACTCATCTTACTGGAAGCGAGACCCGATTTTCAAACCTCTCGTAGAAAACCCCTAAAGCATAGCCAATCCATTCCTTGGTTTTGAAATAATATCTGTGGTGGATCCCTATATTTTCCGTTGAATTCACTCTCTCTTTGGTAAGAGCACTTTTTTTAAAATGCGACACCAGGAATGACAGAGGAAGCTCGTAGGTCTTTGGTTTCGACAGTAATCCAGCACTTCCCCTGAAAGGACCTTTATTCTCTCACTCTACCCCGGTGTGTGTGTGTCTTGACTTTATTACAAGGTGTAAATCGCATTAGCCCTTCCCCCTACCTTCACACAGCATAGAATCCTTGTTCGTGCGATCCAAGACTCGTAGCTTAGTTTCTGATCGTCTAGGACTTGTGAAATTCTGCTTTTGCTACCCAGATCTTGTCGTAACGGCGGCTACCAGACCTGGATTCGAAGACCTCAAGTATCCTTAGTAGCACAAATTCCGCTCGAAAACTCGGGGAGTATCATCTCGCTGAGCAGGAAACACATAGCGGAAGCTTGATAATCCAGATTGCAAGCTGCAGCAGTCTTTTTGGCGTCTTGCAATCTCATATTCTCACCTTTGTGGTTTGTAAACTTGGTAAAATAATAACCGCCCAGGTTTCGTTTTTATACGGTCCATTTTTTCACGTCACGTAAATATAAAGTGATAGCAAATGCATAGAAAATTACACGTGAAAATCACATGACAAGAAAATTACATAATCACTTGTTTGTTTAGTATTGGTGTTGCATAATGATAGAACTTGACATTGGGACACTACTTGAGATCTGAAAAGTTGAACATAAGAATAAGGTGCAAGTAGGGTCAAAAGAGCACCGTTTTTCAAACTCTGGCCACAAATTGAACTCACGCTTCTTTACACAATCTGTGGAACTCTGACCTTTTTTTTTTTGCATTCTGAAACTCTTGTTTCTCACCGTGTCACAGCCCATCTCATCAAAATCTAATCACGTCGTAGTGAACAAACACAATTAACTCAAAAATCTCTTGAAATGACCACCAAAAAGGATCCGCCAATGCTTTTCAGTACCCCCGATATCATTACAGAGCACCAGCGCGGATTGACCGTTCTTGGGTACCCATTTTTCTCTCCAAATCTGTTGTTACGAGGCGTCGATCCTCCACAGTTTCAGCTGGTAGGAAGGGACGGTCAAACCGCAGAAAAGGGTGAAATAAAACCTGGTGGAGGTCAATGGCCGCTGGATTTGAACTCCCAAATCAGGGGCTTCAAATGGTTTGTTTCCATGAATCACGCCAATCGCTACGAAACAGACGACCAGGGCTGGACCTACAGTTGGAGATTCCACAGCAATCACTGGAAGGCTTCGAGAGGTTTTGTGCGTAAAAGATTCTGGGTCCGTCTCCGCGAGAAAAGTCCCGACTTAACTCCTGCGGAGGTCGAGTCCGCCGGCGAAGGTGAGGTCGATGCCACTAACGAAAGTCAGAATAATAGTGAAGATACAGAACAACCGGAAGTGGACATCACCGAAAATCAAGAAGGTCAATTGTCAGCACATTGTGATCCGTTTCAGGACCTGCTGGAACAGCTCTCGAAGCCAAGTATAGATCGACAAAAGGCTGATTTGGTGATGACATATGTGTCAAAGTTGTCAGGGCCGGAAAAAAAAAAGCTTCTGGAACCAGGCTCAGCAGGAATGGAACAAATTCTTGAACGGTTTCAGTTCGAAAAGGGCCAGCGGTTATTTCTGGATCATCTACACAGTCAATAACTGTTTTCCTTCTCATCGGTTTCAGGTTGAAACACCTTCTATCACGATAAGGCTTGCATTGAAAAAGAAGAGCATCCTCATGAACCCAAAGGCATCAAAACTGCCCTAAAGATGTTCATGGGCAGCGTCACAAATGCGGGCAAATCTTGACCCTTTCCCCGCTTTGAGGTATAGACTTCTCAATTGCATATTCAGTCCGTACGTTTTACTGCCTCACGCGACCTTCTTCATCACTCTCTGGCTAATGGTCGCTTTTCAGAAAGATAAAGACACTCTTTCTGAAGCTCCGACTACTTTTACGACAACTGCAACTGTCACTGCCGCCCCTAGAACACAGAAGGTAACGCTTACTGCAAATTTTACAGCCAGCACTACAAGTAGTTACTCACCTACTTCAAGCAGCCTGGAACCGAAAATCGATGATTTCCTTGCTGCGAAGGCTAATGATGCCGCCCAGGTGCTTAACGGGGTTCTTCAAGGATACGTCACAAATATCAATTCGAAGGTTGCAAACTGGAACACCTCAATCAAAACACAGCTCTCAATATGGGAGCAGCACTTTACTTCCTTGCAGCAGTACAACCAAAGCATTTTTTCAAATTTAGAAAGCCAATCTCGGGTGCTTGACTCTACTGTTCAATACCTCACCTCCAATGGGTTATTGGTGACAGCAGGAAATTCCCCTAGCAATCTTGAAGGGCTCGAACTCAATGTCAGCTTCCTCGAAAACATTTTCAGCAATGTCTCCGCCAACTTGGGTGAGCTTAGAAGCGGAGTTTCATTCTACCCAAAATATGTAACCTTGATGTCGATTACATCCAGTGAAACTGAAGCTTGGCTTTCCAACAGTACCGAAGTGCAAAGCTCTCTTCAGTCATTGAAAGATAGCCTCCAGTCGGCCAGCAACACGACGGGCTCAAAATCGGTTGTAAAACGATCGGAAAGCATAATTTTGATAAAAAGGAATCGTCGACAAAAAGGAGTCATGTTGAGTGCACTATTTTCTACAACCTACATTGTCTGTACGATTTTGGTGATGTGTTTGGAATACTTGATTTTTCGGATTGAAATGTCCCGTATTCGTTGGACATCAGAACATCTGGTAGTTCAAAGTTGGGAAAAGATAAATTTTGATAACACAATATACCGTCTGCAGGCTCAAGGTGACATTCAGAATACCCTGACACCGTATGCTTATTTTGCCAAATATCCCATGGCGTGTACCAGCAACGAGATCATGATAAACGCCATTGAACGAACCATATCGCCTTCTTCGCGAAAACGCCCCAGAGTCCAAAATACGATCTTTTTCCTTCATTGGTGGCTAGCTTCGCATGGTGTGGCAATATGGCTTTTTCTGGTCACCTTTCTAGTCGAGGGCCGGATTATTGGCCATTTTCTGGTAACATCATCCGAAGTCGACTCTGGGCCAATTGAAAAGAGAAGCAATACGTTTCTTAGAGCGGAAACTGCCAATAATAGCCAAATATCGTCACTATGCACTGCTTTTGAAACTGTCGTCAATACCGAGCTTTATACTGCTGCAAATAACCGGCTTTGGGGTGTTCAAAACAACACTGTTGCAACTGTCTATGACAAAATGCTGCAACAATTGCAGCAAACAGGATCCGAGTCTCCATTTCTAGAAATTGCGTTCGACACCACACTAGGCCGTTCTGAGTTCCAGTTTGCCAATTTTTCCAGTTTCCTAGCCTCTGGACTTTCGAACTCATTTCCTAAAACCGCTGACACTGATCTTCTTCGACTCAGCAGACGAGACTTACCTTCAAACAAAAGCTCCGGACCTACAAAATACCGGAAACTACATGCTAAAATTGTCTGGACACTGCTGGGTTTCGTTTTTATCCATCATTCCTGCGGATTTCTGCTGGCACTGCTATCGTGCAAAAACCCTGTCATCTTGTCTTCGGAACACTTTTTGCCGCCCAAAAACCGACTATACTACTAAAACCTGACCCGCACAAGCTGCTGGATGCTTTAAAATAGTTGCAAACCCACTCATTGTTATACTTTTGGGCCGTTTTACACCTCTCTTCCACGTGATGGAGTTCCGAGCTTGTAAGCTCATCTTGAATTTTTGACTGGGAAACTTAAACCTACTAGGAATCCCATATAAAAAATTTTCCACGGTAAGAGCACAGATCATCAGCGCGAACTAGTTCAAAGCTCAAAAAGTGGGACATCTATCATCGACTTTTCGCATCAAATCAGCAAGAATTAGAGGATAATTCAGTGAATTGACTGGTCGGCCCGTTTCTTCCGAGAATTTTGAACAAATATTTGCGATGTCACATCGAAAATTACAACAGGAAGTTGACCGAGTGTTCAAAAAGATCAGTGAGGGTCTGGAGATATTTGACACTTATTATGAGCGTCATGAGAACTGTACGAACAACCCTCCACAAAAGGATAAGCTGGAAAGTGATCTGAAGCGGGAAGTGAAAAAGCTACAGCGACTGCGAGAGCAGATCAAAGGTTGGCAAAGCTCGCCAGACATCAAGGATAAGGACTCTCTGCAGGAAAACAGGAGGTCTGTAGAAATAGCCATGGAGAAATACAAAGCGGTGGAAAAAGCGTCGAAAGAAAAGGCTTACTCCAACAATAGTCTTAAAAAGTCCGGGAATTTGGACCCGCTAGAAAAAGAGCGTAGAGATGTATCCGAATATCTATCACAGAGCATTGAGGAACTGGAAAGACAATATGATTCAATTCAGGTGGAGGTTGACAAGCTGATACTGCTCAACAAGAAGAAGAAAACTTTCACAGCGGCCAACGAAGAGCGCAAAGTGCAGCTCAAGGAACTGCAGGGCAGATTCAGATGGCATTTACAGCAATTGGAGCTTGCACTGCGGCTTGTGGAGAACCAAGAACTGGATCCAGAACAAGTAAAAGGTGTTCAAGATGATATCAATTACTACGTTGAATCAAACATGGAAGCTGACTTTGTCGAAGATGAAACCATATACGATAGTCTCAATTTGACGTCTAACGAGGCCATAGCACACGAGGTTGCCGCGGCATTTGCCGCACAGCATAGTGAAGACATGGAAGAGGATGCAGCAAAAGAAAACTTAAAGGTATCGAAGAAGGAACAGCGAAAACTGGAACGGGAGGCCAAAAAGGCTGCGAAGGCATCGGCAAAAGCCGGTGAACCCTCAATGGAGGATCATCCCCAGCCAGCAGGCATAGTAATACCACAACGGAGTGAACATCGGCAAAATGAGCTCCAGAGCGAACCGGCCTCCGCTAGTACATCGCGATCGTCATCACCCGCATTATCGTCCGCAGGAACCAGTATTCCGGCTACAGCTCATGCAAAAATACCCAGCAGTTTGCCTAGTTCTGCCCAGACCACCATTCAACCCTCCTCCTCACAGCCGAAGCAAATGCGCAGCGTATCTCGCGACGTCGCTTCTGAAGCTCAGTGCCACACTCACATTCACCAATCATTCAATGGCATAACCACAAGCACACTGAAACCAGCAACGATACCCATAAGACCCGCAGGCGATCTGCGATGGGCTGCTGCTGCTTCTCAAGCCGCTGAGAAAGACAAGAAACCGGAACCTGCGGCAACGCTTCAAACTCTTGGTGCTTCCAACCCATCATCTGCCACAAACAGCACATTACCAAGCTCTTCGAACACACCTGTTATCACAAACTTGCCCATGGGTGTCGATTTACAAAAACGTATCCCTTCAACATCAAGCATTTTGACTAGCGCAGTACCACCACCTGGATTAGCGACGCCGGATTCTGTATCTACACCGATTCCAAATGGAGGAATATCCAATGCCTCAGCGTCTCAAGAATTTGGATTACCGGTCTTGTCAAATGCTGTGCAAGGTTCCGAACCGGAGCTGGTCAACGACGATTATGAGTCGGAGTACTCGTTTGAGAACTTTGAAGACCCTTATCAGCAGACGCTATTTACTGCCGAGGAGCTCGATAGTAAAACCGAAAGAATAAAGTCACTGAAACAGAACCTCAGCGAAGATCTTGACTTACTGGTCCTGCCAAGTGGTATTCAAGACTTTATCATGAGCACAACAATGACACGCAATGACGCGTTTCCCCACAATTTCAATGGTGCAAAGCAACGCACGATAGGTGATGCTTGTCGTGTATCTAGGCTCGATGAAATACCCGTTACTTTCAATCCTCCTTCGCCTCTAGATGCCTTCCGCTCAACAAGCTTCTGGGATATCACTCGTTGCGGTCTACGAGACAAACTCTATAGCCAAAATGATCACGACTCCTTGAACTTCGACAGTATAGTTGAAAATTTCCGTGGACTGGAAACCTTTTCGTTATTTTACTGCTATTACTACTCAATTACACCACTGGAGCACAAGGTAGCCTACACATTGCTCACAGAGCGTAATTGGAAAATGTCGATTTCTGGAGACAGTTGGTTTTGCCGACACGATCTGCCCAAATTCACTAACGAGCTTTTCGAGATTGCTGATTACAAGATATTCAATCTAGATGACTGGGCTGTCATCGATAAACTTAATTACAAGCTTGATTATAGCACGTTGAAGGAACGCTTTTTGTCACCGCAAGAGACTAGTTCGACACCAAAGGTATCTCTGAAACCTATTCAAGCAGGAAGGGTAAGGACAAACTCGACAGCACTGTGACGAAATTACGATTGGTCCAAATTGGCTCAGCGTCCGTATACAATTCGGTATTTATGAACTAAAATGAACCAGCCTTTAGGTTCGAGTAATTCACTCTTTAATGAACGACATGCAGAACACTCCACTTCAGTTGAATGGAAAACATCTTGAAATTTAATCAAACCCCGTTAAACTATTTACGTATTGTAGTTATGAAACCTTATGAGTTCATGCACTAGCGCTAATAGTCGTCTTTGGATCAGCTCCCGAAGCAATGTTGCATTGATGCATCAGTCTTCTTTCGCCAGGTTTGAACTGACCAGTGACGGAATGCCAGACGCCTCTGTTGAAGAAGATCGCAAGGTCACCCTTATTCCAGGTGTGAGCATACACGTTTTCAGGAGCAATGGCTGGTCTCATCAATCTGTACACTTCTTTTCTGGCATCTTCCAGCTCTAGGTTTGAGCCGTCTGGTAGCAACAACTTATTTATGCAGCACCCATGAACCTGCAAATGGTGCTTTTTGGTGACGGGATTTGTCCACACGAGAGGTAGTCTCTTGATCTTAGAATCCTCCCATGGTGGAAGCTCGTCCAAAGGCGTCTCCTTGCCCTCAGAGACCATGGTGAGGCCATCTGAAGTTGCTCTTGCTGGAGAAATAAAAATGTAAGGATGTGGTGCATATTCAACGATAGTTTTCAATGCACGTTCTTGGTCCTCTGGCGTCAACAGCTCAAATGCTTTTGCGCCCGAAACAAATGCCGTTGCTCCTTGAGTGACTTCCAAAACGTCGTTATTGTCTTCGTAGACAATCTTCTGCTTTCTTGAGTGCGGTGGGACGTGGATACCAAGCAAAGTGGTGGCAACGGGTGGTGAAAGATCGTACAAAGCGGAATCAATGTGCCACCTGTAAAACCGAGTGTGGTCTTGTTCATACGCCTGTTCGTCGGAAAGTGGGGACTTATGGAAATCAAAGTGCGTGGGGTGTCTCAAATCGATTTCTCCCATTCCATAGTGGCCTGCTGGCCAATGGCCTTGGCCCAAAACTTGCACTTGAGGCTGGTCTGGGATCGAAGTTCCGTCTTTTCTAAGCACAGATTTGTCGTGTCGAAATTCTTTACCGTGACCGTACGACTTTCCCGTTTGGTCGCACGTTGGGTCAAATCTGGTGGTTAGTTTCCACTGCGACTCAGGTGTCAATTCTTCCATGCCGGGGATGACAATAACCAGATTTTCCAACAAAGCTTTGTACAAAATGTCGAAGTCCTCTTTGCTCAGTTTACTGGGATCCGTGCACCCCTCTGGAAGCGTAATTGTCGCCCCCAGGGGTTGATTCTCTAGTGGTGTTACTGTCACTGGCATTTTCTTGGATTGAATTCTTGGTTTCTTGAAGTGAAGCCTTGCTAAACAAAGAGATCAGCTTATTGGATTGCCAAGAATAAACTGGGGTTGAATTGTTGGCTTCTTATATACGTCGCGCTGCTTATCGATGGTCGCTTCTGTACCGGATTTTCCGGTCGGTTGAGGAAGTCCGGAGAAACGCGTTATCAATGATGCGAGAACTACTTAGAGCTAACTAACTGCCTGCTGATTTGTCGGCAACAAGCGTTGATAGTGGCCTGACACTTACGTGGATACACAAGGAGTACGGAGATGAAACGGCTGATAGAGCTGATCCCTCTGTTGAATGGTGGTAACGATGGTGTTTGAGCCAGTAGTCTATCCCACTGTGAGTACTTACTTGATGTATCTAATCTAAAGTTAATTATCTTATCTTCAGATCACTTTGAACCAAACTGACGTTTTTTGGTGATAGTTGGTCAAGTGTCGGAAAGCTTTGGAAGAGGATGCTAGCCAAGGAAGTGCCAATGGCTTCAAAACCAGAAAAAATTGTATGCATTATGCAAAATAAACACGTCTCTTTCAGGATTTCTTCGAAGAATTGCAAAAAAAAATTGTGATCTATACACCTGAGGAACCGAACTTTTGGGCCCAGTCCTCGTACTGTTCGAGACCATCCGTCGATACAGACGGCTTGATGTAGCACAGACTGTTCTTAACATCATGCAAAGCGATTGGCCGGATCTGATCGCGGGGTGTGAAAAGAAGCTTGTCGCCGAGTTCTCGGAGTGGTCCCATGGCAGCATCCTTGGCTAGGGACGTGATATCGCTGCCCGAGTATCCGTCAGTCAATTGCAAAACCTCGTCGAAATCCTCGTCCGTTAAAGTGTGTTTCTGATGCGTCAGCAACTTTGCCAGCTGCTTTTTGCGGGTTTCCATTTCCGGCAGCGGTATATATTGTCTTCTCACAAATCGCCGACGAGCAGCTTCGTCGATGCTCCACGGCAGATTGGTGGCCGCTAGTACCAGAACACGTTCGTCTTCCTCTTCGTCGTCGCCATCTTCGGGTTGGGCACCTTTTTTCCCCGCGGCAGCGCTCGAAAGCGAAGACCATTGCACCAGGAATTCGTTCTTGATTCTTCGGCTCGATTCGTTTTCGCCCTCGTTGTTCCTGCTCCCCATGATCGAATCGATTTCGTCCACGAACACTATGGATGGCGACAGTTTTCTAGCAATCGCGAAGAGAGCTCTAACCAGCTTTTCGCTTTCTCCTAAATATTTGGATGTCAGACTCGACGCACTTATAGAGAAAAATGTAGAATTTGACTCTGTAGCTACGGCTCTTGCCAGCATCGTCTTACCGGTACCAGGGGGACCAAATAGTAACATTCCGCGAACGGGTTCACGGAGACCTCTGAAAAGATCTGGTCTCAAAAACGGATAAACCACCGCTTCTTTGAGCGAGCTTTTAGCCGCTTCGAGACCTGCAATATCATCCCAATGAACCTCATCTCCATGCACAACAATCTCAGAAAAAATTTGCTTAGCAGCAGCAGGGTCAACACCTCTGAGTTGGGCGATAATTTCGTCCTCAAGCTTTTCTTTGAGAGCTTTTTGATCGATATCGCTATCGTTTTCAGGACTTGACGATTCGTCTTCGTCAGGCTTTGTAGAAGTAGGTGCTGTTTTAACAGCCTTTTTTCGCTGATCTGTAGAAGGAGGGGTAGCTGGCTGCGAAGCGGTTTGGGCTCGGGATATTTGTGCTTTTTTAGAATTTACCACGGTTCTAGTAGGCCCTGTCATGATTGCAACTGTGGGCTTCTTGGCCCGAATGACCCTCTTATTAACGACTGGGGGCTCTTTTTTTGCGGAAGGAGCGCTTCGCGTCCGAACTGCCTGTGCAGATTGTGAACGCTGTGCTTTAGATGGTTTCTGAAGTGACCTGGCAGATGGATCGATGGCAGTCTTTTTAGTCGCACTTCTGGGTGCAGATGCTGGGGTTCGACTAGATGTTGGATTTGCCGTGACCAAAGGTTTCGGTACTGGCGGAACAACATGTTTTGGTACGGGCGGAACGACATGTTTCGGTACCGGTTTCTTCTGCTCCAAAGCGGATGTCGATCGGGTCTGCTTCAACGGTGCGGTAGGCTCAAGGTGTTTCGTTCCAATCGGCTTTGTATCCATTGAAAGAGCAAGAACATCTTTTCTAACACCTTCGAGAGAGTTGAGTGCTTCCAGCCGTTTCATTTCCCCTTGGTCTACGTCCAGATAGTCGTCAAAGTAGTCTTGCACGTCAAATCCCAACGTTTGGTCGCTTTTCGCATCTTCATCCTCATCGTCCGTGAAATCGACCAGTTTCTCCTCCTCATCAAACTCCTTGAACACGTCGCTACTATTTTGCGTTTTAAGCGGTTTTGAAGTTGTGAAATTGATTTTCCCGTTGTAACTGTTGCTTCTACCGGATGTATTGTTTGATGCGGCGATCGTGGGCGCAGAAACAGTGTAACTCTTATTATATTGACCCAGATGGGGCTCTCTCAGTGTCTTCAGCATTGATCTCGATCCCATAGTCGGTGGTGGGGGTCTTTTCACCATTGGTCGCTCATTAATTGTTGCGGGCGGGCCATGTTGCTTTTCCAGCTCCATGACCCGTTCCAAATGCAGTTGGCTGCGATGCAATAGTTCTCGCACCCCATTTTGAATGCTAAGCTCATCTCTTGAGTAATGCTGTGTATTAGGATATTGGTGTTCGATCTGCGTCAGTGCGTACAGAACATGCGTATTAAGAGATTTCAGCCCCGAAATTGCTTTGCGAAATTCGCCTTTTTCTTCCAGATTCAGATAATAGATCGACTCATTCGCTATTCGACTGTAAATATCGGTTAGATCTGTTAAAGGCTGCTGTGGTCTCTTTCGAATTCTTGTGAATCTTGTTAAAAGTCCCTTTTCCTTGCCCGAATCCATTACCAATGAGGCGTCTGGAAAATTCCCAAGACAGTATACAAAATGCTAGCGCGGGAAACGATTGAAACACAAGTTGAAGGCTAAAAATGCTTGCTTCGAAGGTGTCTTGATAACACTTTCTTGTAGCTAAGAGATCAACTTTTAGTAGTTTCCTATGGTGAATAAAATAACACTGACGAAAACAAATTTCGAGATTCCAGAGCGAAAAGTGGAAACCACGTGAATAGTACGTGAAAGCGGCGTGACATATAGTCACATGATTATAGCGTGATAATCACGAGGAAGTATCGTGATCATATACCATGTGAGTACAGGGCGTTTGTACACGTGATTATGACAATTTCACAACGGGTTCTGCTCTGGACGTGGGTTCAACAATTGTAGCCCTTCACAACCTCCAAAATGAGTGACAGGTTCGATCTTGCTAGAAAACTTGTTTTTCTCGCTTATACCACCACCAGAATCGACAAAAACAGACCGCTTAAGATGGTAACAACTTTGGTGAACCACCACACGTGCTGGATGGAAAACGGACATAACGAGAAGGACCATTCCCACAGCTTCGTGCGTGAATTGAAATGTCCTGTAAGTAGACCAGCATTGCCGTCAAACTCGCCCATCATGGACCGCACGGTGATCTCGCGAATATGCAATTCTGTCGAGGCCTGGATCGTTTTCGACGCAGTCCAGTCGCCGGATTTAGCGTCCTTGTTGTACCATGTCTCACAGCCTTCATGGTCGTGGCCCGTCAAGATAACACCTGGCTTGTCGTTATCAAAAATAAGGTTCAAAACGCGTTTTGTGGCATCCTGGCTCAAATGGTTCTGAGAACGCAACAAGTTCTGTTTGTATGGCTCCCTTTCGTAGTCGTGTGGATAGTAACGGAAAAGTTCACTATCCGCACACAGCCCAGGTGTCTTGTAGAAGGGAACGTGTGTCAGCAAAACGGTGCTACCTTCAAATCGCTGCTCAAAAAGACGGTACAGAAACTCCCACGTTTTCTCCACCAGCTGGGGCTGCAAAGCAGGACCCTCCAGTAACATCGAATTTAAGACGACAATGCGCCAGGGATGCTCTGTGTCGCGGTCGTATTCAACCCAATAGTTGTCCTTGCCAAAAAGCTCCTCGAAACGCGCCATGTGCTGGTACGTGGCGTCTCCTGAATATCCAATATCATGATTTCCAGTGAGATTGATGAAAAGGTAGTCATCGTTGGCTGGATCCCAACTTTTCACATCGCTAAAACCAAACTCAAAGTCCTTGGGTTCTTTTTTCAAACGTTCTTCAAGGTCATCTGCAAAAGCGGGCCAATCAACAGTGTACAACCCACTGTCATCATGAGACCGCTGCTGGATATTCTGTAGCCACGTACTGTTACGTTGGAAAATACGGCTTGTGTAACGCACGGTACGGTTAAAAAACTCAGAATCGCCGATCCATTGTGACGAGAACAAATCGCCCATTACTGCCACATGGCTAGGCTCTAATCTTTTTTTCATCATCCTGAAGATATGGCCCAAGTAGTGGTCATTCCCGTACGTGTCTAGTCTGCTCAAATATGGCGTGCTTTTCCAAATGCCCTTTATTTGTGGATCTCCCAAAGCCAAAAGATGGACATCAGATGGCAGACCCCTTTTTGAACTTCTTTTCACGCCTTTTTTCGTTCCAATGTGACTCCAGACATCGTCCAGGTAGCGACGAATGTGAAAGGAGGTCTTTTCTATCAAAGACAAAGAATCTGTAGCGTCCATAGCTACTTTTTGACTAGCACAACGCCATGAGCAACTTTGTGGGTGCAAAGAAGGGTAGGTGAAGATGTAGACATTTCCAATGATTGCCAGTATAGAGACCAGCACCGTGAGGCGTCTAAACCACGTCTTAAACATGATGATTTCAGGCGAATGCTTCGAGTTATTTGATCTTTAATGAGTAAAGTAAAGTATATGAACACTTCTTTAGTACTAGTATTTAACAAATTTATAAGGACAGAGGAGGAAAACTGAGACAGTACTTATATGATCGGTTCATAATATAGAAATACAATAGGATTTGTTAAATCTAACTTAGGCCTTTACGGTGGGCTCTTTCTTTTTGAAGTTTGTCTTTTTCTTACTTCCCTGAGCATCAAATATAATCTCTTCGAAGACTCTGGCATCTTCGGCCTCGTCGGGGGATCTAACAGCCGAGCCAAATTTGTCGGCTATATAAATCAAGGCCTTAGCCTTGGCCAGCCGTTTCTTGGTAGGCACAGTTTTGTCCGTCAAAACTTTGTCGCAGACTTCGCGTAGTTTGCCCTGTGCTTCAAATTTCGACATTACCCATGCTGTGCCCAAAACTTTACCTGTGATAACCTTTTCAACTTCAGCACGCTCGTAATCGTCCATCGAGTCAAGATCCAGCTTTTCCAGTTCTGTCATTGCACTGTGAGCGTCCATAGCGGACGACAGAATGCCCCAAGCAGATTTGGCTGATTTTGTTTTGTCGCGAACACCTGTGAACAGCTTACTAAACCCATGGGTTTTTTGGGACATCATGAAATTGCTGGCCTTAGTCTTGTAGACCTTGGCTATGAGGTGTAGTAGTTCGAGCCCAAAACTCTCTAGTTTCAGGTCTTCAACTTCGCGGCTCAACTTGCGGTCGAACGCGTCCAAGTTATGACTCTCGACGCTCACGAGATATTCCTCAATCTTGTTCTCCAGTTTGCGAGCCAGATCCTCAACCTGTTTCTTCTTTTCGGCTCTTCGCTCGTTTTCCATCTCAACCAGCTTCGCCCGTTGTTCCTTGGTTAGCTTATCGGAGTTCTTAGAATTATTGGATTTCCCATCGTGCTGAACAACTTCCGTGGTCCCATCGGCCTTGGAATTTCCCGCTCCGGTAGTCCCTGAAGTTCCAACATCCTGCTCGTCATTCTCGCCCATGATTTCTGCTCCTTTCGTGAGATTTTTGAGGAATGAAAAATCACCGATCCAGTCTTGGAAGGCATCCCCACCAAATATCGTGGTGAAAAACTCCGCAGCGTCCTCGAAACCTTGCTGTGGAACCGCCTCTTCCTTGCCAAACTGGTCGTATCTTGAACGCAGTTCAGGATCACTGAGCACCTGGTAAGCCTGTCCGACCGCCTGAAACTTGGTGTGTGCTTCTGGATCATCAGGGTGCTTGTCAGGGTGTGTCAGCATCGCCTTTTTGCGATATGCCTTTTTAATCTCTGTAGCGGACGCATTTGGCTGAATATCCAGCAGGTCGTAGTACTCAGTATCCTTTACCATCGGTTCTTTATCTTGTTCGATGAGGCTAATTTTGGTGTGAATTTGTTAAGGATTGGAAAGTAGTCAATTTTTACATCAAATTTCACTGCTAAATCGGGCCGGTAAACCAAAAGAGCTAACAAGTTGTCAAATAGACGCACTATTCGAACTCAAAAAGCGAATTTGTGCTAACGGTAGCACCGTGGTAGACTGCCTTGAAAAATGCGGTTTTTTGGATACCAAAATTGCGCGAAAATGACAATTTTTGACATTAGTGGAAGAATCCATAGTCTCAAAGGTCTCTTTAGATCTACACGAAATGCCAGCTATTGGGGGTCTTATTCTTCTCGTAATCGCGTAAGCGGGATTTCGAAGGCCCTATCTTGTTCTGGACTTTTCTGTCCGACATTTTATTAGTTCGACAAATCGGCCAAAAACCGTACTGAGCGGTCTCTGAGAGTCTCGAGTTGTACTTGCAGTGCCGATGAGTAGAGTTTTCCGAAGTTATCTGGGTGAATGTAATAGCGTATTTGATTCCACAATCCCGGGATGCTCGCCTTAGGCCCTAAATACTGCATTAGTACAGGGACATCGTGCGATACCACTTGGTGCAATCCTCGAGACCACAGCATTGCAGCGAAAACGACCAAGACTACCAGCATTATGCGTTTGAGGATCGTCCACAAATGGCAAAGAACCTTCCAAGAGATATACGCCGCCAGAAGGTAGCCAAATACATTTGTTGTAGTGGGATGCGTTTGCGCGAAGCGGAAAAGCAGCGGGACAAGCCAAGTCAGCGCCCGAACGGTGTAGGTGAAGACCAGTGTGATGAAATATTGTGCGTAGTCTAGAAACGAGTTCATGGCGGAGGGTGGAGCCGTTAGGTTTCACAGGAGGTTAGCTGTTTTTAAAAATCGGATGCGTATTTGATGCATACCGTTGCAGAAAACTTGAGATGAGGGTGTTGTGAATGAAACACTAGTGTATCTACATTTATTTCTGGCCCCAGTCACAAGAATTCCAAGGTTCTATAGTGTAGTGGTTATCACTTTCGGTTCTGATCCGAACAACCCCGGTTCGAATCCGGGTAGGACCTTCTTTTTAGAGAGGGTATTAAATGTGAGAAGGGATGCTGGTAGGGGCGGAGGCCGAGCAGTGGCCAGCGACGTAGAATGAGAATGAAGTGTGGTGACAACGGTCATCGAAGTACTTTCCTGGCATCTACTGGTTCAAAATTTGAGAAATTGCCATATCATCGAAGTCAGTGTTTTTTGAATATAACGCCTTGACAGCCATTGGTAAACCCCTGTTACTAGTGGGGGAGAAAGTCGCCTCTCAGGAAAAAAAAATTTCAAGCTGCTTTTGAGCTTTCCAGAGAGCACATAAAGAGCCTCGTTGAGGTTTTATTTGAAGATATGCTACGTCCTTCCAGTATTTCTCGAATATCAGGCTATAAAAAAACGGTTATTTCGTAGTGTACGTAATATACAGTTCACGATCAGCGTACGTGGACAAAGCATTTTTCGTAGTGCGATGCTCGTCGCTGGAAATAGTTAAAAGAATAAAACTACTAGCCACATTGATTGACGGTTATGCTCTTCCGTGGAGTCTGGATTGGTGGGTATGCTCAACAATGACAAAGAGATGATTTCACGCATAAAAAGGTTATCAGTTACGACAGCCACTATAAGTCACGTGTTAGTACCATAGTAACGATGTGATTTTTTTTGAACAGATGGATATCGGGAAGCTGTTTTGAGAACTTGGCACGTATTCACATGCGTTCACCTCTTGTGTATTGCCAACTTACGTTTTTTTCAAGTATATTCAGATACGACAAGTATGCAAGATACAGCTCATAGCGAACGAGTTCACCTCAGTAATATCCGAGTCGGAGAAAAGCACCGTATTCTCTGAAAAAAAAAGCCGACAACACCACTACCGGCTTTATCGATTCGTAGACTGTACAGACAAACACATATTACATACGGACGTCCTGTCTCCATCGCCTTTCACTTGGATGACTTGAAATGTCACTGTACACGAAAACCGATTTATAACCATTCATCATATACAATACAGATCATCGCCTCTAAAACTTCCACCGACAAAACAGAGAACTCCCTGTCCGTCGACCCAGCGAACCGTTTTTTTCCAATTCAAGTCTACCCCTTCTAGCGCTCTCCTGCCCCAATGACCAGTCCCTCTCGCACCCAGGTTCTTTCACTCTACAAGCAAATCATACGGAATGCCAACGGCTTCAATAACTACAACTTTAAAAATTATTTCCTGCGGAAGGCACGCACCCAGTTTCGCGAGACCAAGGATTTGCAGGACCCAGAAACGATTCAGCAAGCTTACCGCACGGCAAAACAGGAGTTGGGCGTGCTTAAACGTCAATCCGTGATTTCTCAAATGTACACGTTCGACAAGCAGGTTGTCGAGCGCATAGACAGCAGGAAACACACCCAAAATAGTGGTCGCTAGTGTCTCACCGTCCTCTTGAAATTTCTACTCTGACACATGGGACACTACGGTTTCAAATCGCGATCTACGGCTTTTGACGAAAAGTTCCCATTTTCTAAAAGAACAAGACCCTTCGTGTACAGTGCTATCACCAGTTCCTATATACTAAAAATTTTCCATATATTCATATATAAAGAAATCCAGGTAAGATGTCAGCCCACTCGGACTCATCTCGAACGCTGAACGACTACCGGTTCTCGTTCCTCGTAGTGTCAAATTGTAGGTATATAAGCCATCAAGCATTGCAAACATTGACTGTTCTGTAGTGCTTTGTTATTCTTAATATATGAGGTAGATATCTATCGGTGAGCCACCTCTTCAAACAAGATGAAAAGAACGTCGCCAGCTGCACAGGAAACTGAAAAATCTCAGAAACAACCTCTGATGGAAAATGATAAGATCCGGTCACTTTTCAACGGCAAAATATGGGACCCAAAGTTTCAGGAGGATCTCAAGCACGAAATTGCAACATCACAGCCTTATAACTGGGGGACAATTCGAGATTTAGTCGACGATGACCTGTTGCGCAACGTTAGAAAGGAAATTGAAACTGAGATCCATTTCACAAACAAGGAAACCGACATATACAAAGTGAACCAAAGCGGCGATCTGGCCAACCTATCGGGCCTCGATTGGAACGATCTGTCGCGGTTGCCCAGCCTGTGTCGCTTGCGAGAAATCCTGTACTCTGAAGTGTACCGGGATGTCATTTCACACGTGTCTGGCGCCGGACCTCTCTCTGGCTCCAAGATGGACATGTCTATCAACACATACACCAAGGGCTGCCATTTGTTGACGCATGACGATGTGATTGGTTCCAGAAGAGTCAGTTTCATTTTGTACCTGCCCGAACCGGGGAAACGGTGGAAAGACCACTACGGCGGTGGATTACGACTTTTCCCCAGTATAGTTGCTAACGTGCCACACAGTGACCATACCGCAAAGCTTGTCCCACAATTCAATCAAATTGCATTTTTCAAAGTCCAGCCCGGATTTTCGTTCCACGACGTCGAAGAGGTTTACGTCAACAAACACCGCCTCTCCATTCAAGGCTGGTACCATATCCCACAAGAAGGGGAAAAGGGCTATACTGAGGGAGAAGAAGCCGAATGGGTGAAAACTAATACCAGTACGCTTGCTCAATTGGAGTCAAATGTCTTGCAAGATTATGAATTTCCTAAAAATGAGAGAAGCATTCTACCATACCATCAAATTCGGCACTTCGATGAGCTTTTAAAGGCACAGCCGGAATTTTCAGATGGAACTGGAATTACGGGGACAGACTTGAGCCTTTTCTCGAAAGCAGATTTGGAATATTTGGCCAACTTCATTTCTCCCCACCATTTGACAGAAACAGGGATTCAAAAGCTTCAATCCCAATTTGTAACCAAGTCACAACTACAAATCGAAGACTTCCTCAATGACGATAAGTCTGAATCTCTTAAGAAACTAATTAAAAGAGATGAGTTGGAAAAAGAGTGCCCTTACGAAAGCGTCAAAGTGGAAGCCCCGTGGAAAACTGCAATGCCCCCTCACAAGTGGAGATACCTGTATATCGATGGAAAGTCGCATGAAAATTTCCAGACAGAGCAAGATGTTTTAGAATCTCTCAACAGCGAGGAAAACCCCAATTACAAGCTGCTCTCGAAAACTTTGGACTCCGCCAATTACAACACAGAGGCAGCGCTAATTGATGTCGCCATTTTCCTTGAGAGTACTGCTTTCAAGAAGTTTCTGGCTCTTATCACTTTGCTTTCCCCGCTAAGTGAACAAGTTCTGATTAGAAGATTTAGACCCGGTAAAGATTTCACACTCGCCACGCAAATCAACAAAAATCATCTTCTTGAGCACGTAAAGGGCTTTGTTGAAGCTGTTTTGGAAGGCACTTTGTGTCTGACGCCCTCTGATGGCTGGGAGTCCGGGGAAATCGGAGGTTACGAACTTTACATGGATAATCAAGACGATGATGAAGAAGAGAATAAAGATATTAAAGATGCGGCTGTGTACCAAAGCGATGACACTGGCGACTCTGTACTCATCAATAAGCCACCCAGCTGGAACTCTTTCAATTTGGTTTTGAGAGACGAAACTGTTTTGCAATTCGTAAAATACATTAGTTGGGCAGCCAAATCTAGCAGATGGGACATCACTGCGCAATGGGACGTCAAGACTACGGAAGACGAAGACGAAAATGAAATTGATAATGAATAGTAGTTGGAGGAAATTTGACCTCGTCAGACAATTTAGAGAAAGATAGATATAAAAGACATATTAAGCTTCTTCAAGTTGTGGTAAAAAATCAGCCAAGAGTTCAGAAGATTGTTTGTAGTAATCGGCCTGCGCGGACACTAGTTCACGAAGATCTTTCAAAAACGCAGAAGATTCGGAGACTTTTTGCATCTTGATGACCGCTTCATCAGTAGCCTGAGCAAATTCGTCCTCTAGTGTCTCCATTTCGACTCTAAGAGATGCCTCCTTTTCAGGTTTCGCTGCAGCAAGGTTAGTGCGAGCGATGTCGTACAGCAAGCGGCTGTGCTCCACGTTTTTGCGAGCCAAATGTGCTTCCTGCAAGTTGTTCGCAAGGGTGTCTCTCAATTTCTTGTTGAACTTGGTCTGGATCAAAGTATCCTGTTGCAATCTGGCTTGTGCGATTTTGGCCTGGACATCGCTGTATGCGAGCAGGGTGGACGACAAATCCGGTTCTTCAGATCCGACAGACTTGCTGAGGTACTCGCTGGAAGTTAGAGCCACTTTGCTGAGTGCATAGTTGAGCGTTTTGGGATCACGGTGGGGTCCGGGAGAAATCAACACGGACTGTGCTTCACCAGTGGATGTTGCGCGCGACAAATCGTGCAATTTCGTACCCACCACCGCAGAAAACTCATTAACAGAGTCCCGCACGTTGTTGGGATAATCGTAGCTTTCATTTTCGTACACTTGCGTCACTTTCAAAAAATTCTCATAAACCAACCTGATGCGGTCGATACGATGTTCTAATTCCACGTATTCCTGAGGCAATTGGGAGATGTCTGTCACTTGGCCAAGTTTTTCCTGCACCATACGCTGCGTGGATTGAGCTAGCGATGGCAGCTGGGTAGTCAAGTCCTGTGTTCTTTGAGAAACAGCTGTTGATAGTTCCTTAAGTTTCTTGTCCAGTTGAGCATCCTGCGCTCTTTGCGACACCTGGGTGGAAAGTTCTTGGAAACGTTTGTTTAAAGACTCGGTAAATGAGTTAAAGGACATTTAAGAAGCGAATTATTGTAGCAACTGGACTTGAAATCCTTATTTAAGGGTGGAAATTGTCTTGTTTGTCCAGATATTGACGGTTTGAATTAGAAGATGATCCTTTAAGTTATCTTTAATTCCTGAAATATATCGATTGCACGGTGAAAGGAAAGTTTCAAACGCTTGGAAACAGGTCAAAACTTAGCTTTTTGAGAAAACTAACCAGTTTCTCGGGTAGAACGCATTGACTTTCATCTATTTGTCTGAAACAACGAAACTTTTAGGTGTCTTTGAGGTCTTATTTGAGCGAAAACAGGCCAAAAACATCATGCTCGCTCTTGTGAGACATTTCAGTCTCCCAAGTCGAGCTACAAGAATTTTGAGAGTATGTACAAGAATTCAGAGACGTCGGTTCAGTAAATGTCGGTTTGTGGCGCGCCATGGCTCCCACAAGGGAAATTCTCTGCAATCATTGTTGCATGGTGTCGGCTTCGAAGAACTGTACCGAATACGTTCCAACATCGAGCTTCTGATCCAAGACTTTGCCAAACGCTCGATTCCGCCAGTGTCATACGAATTCCTGATGCAATACAAGGTGCCATTAACAGCTAACGAAAAATATACGTTGGCCATCAAAACCGTAAATTTACTTCTTACATATACCTGTCGACGTTTGGCCGCCATCCAACGGCTTCCCTATATTGCAGTGCTGAACCCGAACATTGAAGAGACTAATCGTCTATATTTACGAACGCTGGAAAGTCTGCTGTCCATTAACTACCCGTATGGACTGCATAACCAAGAGATCATGACCCAGAAGCTCACCGAGTTTCTGGACGACCATCAGGACACATTAGTCACACTCTCGCGCGGCTTTCAGGAAATAATGGTTTCTTATCCAAAAGAATCAGTCTTTGAATTCCTGAACCAGCATTTAAGAGACCGCATCTCCATGAAGCTCTTGGCTACTCATTATCTCAACGTTGTGTCGCAGGACACTCCTAATGAATCTGTGATCGGGGTACTACACAAGGAAATGCGCATTTCAGAACTGGTATGGCGGGTGGAAGAGTTTGTTGGTGATCTTTGCCGTGTAAAATACGACCACCAAGTTCCTATCAAGATTTTGGAGGGCCAAGATGTTACGTTTCCCTGTATACCGACGGACCTGGAATACGTTTTGACAGAGCTGCTGAAAAACTCGAGTCGTGCTCACATTGAGAATGCGACGCGCGAAAACAACTCAGCTGAGAAGCCCGTGGAAGTGACCATAGTTCGCAATGACGATGACCTTGAGATACGCATTAGGGATTTTGGCGGAGGAATTCCGCCAGAAGTGGAAGATCTCATGTATGACTACTCCTACAGCACTGTTAACACTGATGCAAAAGACACAGGTATGAGTGCATATGTCTTGCCGGGTGCAGACGTTTGCAATGTCTCTGGTATGGGATTCGGTTTGCCCATGTGCAAGGCGTACATGGAAATGTTCAACGGGTCGCTCGACATCCAAAGCCTGTGGGGATGGGGCACCGACGTGTACGTGAGGCTGAAAGGGCCAAACTCACGATTATTTAAATGAAAAACCCCCCGTCTGGGTACTTTTCAACATTACGTCTTATTTATGCATGTCATTCAGCTATTTACAATGATGTTATCTGGACTAGGAAACATTCTGTTTCCGGGATACATTTGTATATCCTGGGGAGCTCATCATATTTTCCCCATGATTCTTGACGGCAGGAATGAAACGTCCTTGTGAGTTTTGGACATGAGGCCTATGGCTTGACATCTTCTTATGGCTTTGCTCAGACGACGCTGATTTATCGCAGAAAGACCAGTGACATCCCGATGTAGAATTTTGCCGGACGAAGAGACAAACTGTGATAAGAACTCGGGATTTGTATACAAATCCATAGGGTCTACACCGTTTTTATCGAAGAGATCGTTAAACGAATTTTTCGAGGCGAACTTCTTGTCGAGGTGGAGTCTGGCTAGCGAGAAATCGAATGGATCGTAAGTCGTTCCACTTTGGAATTTTTTCACCAATCTGGAGTCTACTTTTTTGATTTGAGAAGGTGCATTAGCGGTTGTGTTGGTGCTTTTCAGGTCGATTTGGGACTTTTCATTTGGAGTTAGTTTGATCTTCAACGAAAGGTTCAATTTGGGAGCTGTTTTCGAAAATACTCTCCTTGCTGTGGTATTGAGTACGTAATTCCTCGTGGCAAGCATTATAGGGTGTGAGGATTGGGTTTAGAGTTCCTTATGGAGAGACCGTGTTACTGATATAGTTCGCATGTACTATTTCATCAATTGGTGTATATACTAAAATTTTCTGGATGTCAGGAAGGAAAATAGTGATATTAAATGACAGTTAGGCGGAGTGATGACAAAGGAATAGCGCACTACGGCTAGTATGTGAAGATTGAGGAGTGTGTTGAACATATAGGCTATTCCACAGTGCGGTTTTGTAAAGTCTCAAACGTTTTCCGGAAAAGAGAAGTATTTTATGTGTGTGAAGTGCCATGTGTGAGGTTCTCATTTGAGAAGCTGTATGTCTTTCGAACCCAGATAAAGATCAAAATGATAGAGGAGATTGACCTGCTTCTCGGTTCCATTTTGCAATGAAGCTGCGCGCTGCGCCAGTGTCACCAGCAGTAATTATCAGATCATTTTGGACGCGCGTGACGCCAAGCTATCTGGTGACAGAATAGTGTCAAGTGATTGATTGGAAGAGTGCATGAGTCTTTAAATCAAAGGCTGGAATGAGCTATCAAGAATGGTTCAATTCAGTTCAGGTGCTAAGGTATAGCCCATTGTGTTTTTTCACTATACGGGTGAGTCTTTCCCGGACATTGCTTGTTTTTTTCTTGTCTTACACCGTATCCAAACAGATATCACCAAAAGCATGGATACACCAAAATCTTGGAAGTCCAAGACCATGAGTACGTCGAAGCACCATTTCGAATTGTAGCCAGCATATTACACAGCGAATCTCATTACCTTCAAACTCACAATGCGTTCTTCCTACTCCAAATCAACATCAAAACGAAATTCTCATTGCCGCTGTCGCCAGATCAACAATCATAGCTATAATCCATCAGAGAAATACACTTACCACTAAACTTACCGCACAAAATTCATATTTCAACCTCCCAAATTGGTAGCGCTAGCCATTTCATCAGAAACCGACACTGTCGCCATTATTCACGTGCCACATTTTTCGTAAGGTGATTAACCTATCCAATAGTCTTAACTCAGCCAGCGGCATCGACCTTGAATTCTTCAAACGCATTAACCAGGCGTACACAACTGCTAGCTTTTTACACTTGTTGCGCATTCAATGGGCTCTGAGTCTTGTTCGTTTTGCTCAAGAGACGACCCCGGCAAAACGCTATGGGTGCAATGCGAACTGTGCGACCAATGGGATCATGTTACATGCGTACCGATGAAATACCTTCACAACATTACCGGTGAACCTTGTACCACGTATCCGAAATCTTCGGCACAAATTGTGCGCTACAATTGTCTTAAACACAGTGACTCAGTTTTGGAAACTAAAGGTGCCAATAAGAAACGAAAAGTTGACACATTTGTCGATAAGCCAAATGACATAGAACCCAAACGATATGGATTGCGCAGAAAGAAACAAATAGACTACATCTCTTTGAATGAAGGAGAACTCAAAAGATCCAAAAATGAACACCCGCATCTAAGTCCTTTTTTGGCATGCTTTAATCGCTGGGAAAATACCACTAACGTCATCACAGTCTCGGAGCTGGAACAGCAATTTGACTCCATTAGAAAACCGCTTAAAGTCTTGGATCCTGAAAACTCGGGTATGCAAGTACCCAATGGGCCTGACGGTGGAATTTTAACCGTTGATGCCGTAACTCAATATCTGGGGAACCAGTACAGAGTGGACGTTATGGACGTGCAATCCCAACAAAACTCCAATTGGACTATGGAACAATGGAACAATTATTTCACAAATGGTACTATCAATACACGCGATCGCATCCGCAATGTGATCTCTTTGGAAGTCTCACACGTTGAGAGATTCAAAACCGAGCTGCAACGACCCAATGTGGTAGAAACGAAAGATCTCGTGAACTGCGTGTGGGACGCCATTCCAGACGACTCCAAAAGACCAAAAGTGACTAAATATGTGTTGATGTCGGTCGAAAATGCCTTTACAGACTTCCATTTGGATTTTGCCGGCACATCGGTCTACTACAAAGTTGTATCTGGAGGCAAGAAGTTCATTTTATTCCCACCAACCCTTCATAACCTCGAGCGCTACACTAAATGGTGCGACAGTGACCAGCAGAACCTCATTTTCCTCGGAGACGAGCTTGAGGACGGCGTGGCGATGGAATTGTTTTCGGGCGACCTTTTCATGATTCCTTGTGGCTACATACACGCGGTTTACACACCAAAAGACTCGCTGGTCATCGGAGGCAATTTTCTGACGCTACGAGATCTCGAGACGCAACTTCAAATAGTGGAAATCGAGCGTGTCACCAAAGTTCCCAAAAAATTCACATTTCCACAATTTGACATTGTGATGGGCAAAACTTCAGAGTGTATTTTATCGAGCAAAGAAACCTCATTCAAGACTCTACCGCCACGCCAGCTGAATACTCTTCTGTCCTATCTCAGAGATCCTAGGTCCAAATATAAACCTGTCAACTTTTCAAGCAAAAAAGAGCTTGTAAAACAGCTCACAAAAGAGCTACAACAACGAGAGAAAGAGCAAACATGACCTTGCAATGCTGACCAGTTATTTCGTCGCTTTGGATCCATCCAACATGCTGGATTGCTTAACATCTCGGACAATTGTATCATCTTGAACTTTCCTGTCACTAGAGCTAGGAACGGGTTGGAAAATTAGGTACTTGGATAAAAGTTTTACGAACTACCTATGCATCCTCTAACGGTTTTGGTGGGATTAGTGACGCTTTAAGATCCATTGACTTCAATTCGACCAATTCGAAAGACAATATGACCTCAAACACTGTTCTATTTGGTGCATTGGTGGCTATTGCAGCTCTTTTACTGTTTTCCAGACTTTTCTCAACAAAAAAATCGGTACCGGTGTTAGCGAAGAACGAATTTCGTGAGTTCCCATTGATCTCCAAGACCGTTCTGACCCACAATACTGCTGTCTACAGATTCGGCCTTCCAAAACATACCGATGTTTTGGGTCTGCCCATTGGACAGCACATTTCAATCCAAGGATTTTTGAAAGATGGCAAGGAGATCATGAGATCGTACACGCCCACGTCGCTGGATTCGGACTCAGTGGGTTTCTTCGAGCTTTTGATTAAATCGTATGAGCTAGGAAATGTTTCTAAGATGATTGGAGAGCTCGAAATTGGTGATAAGATCAAGATTCGTGGTCCTAAGGGCTTCTACACATACACCCCTAACATGAACACCGAAATCGGCATGATCGCGGGCGGTACCGGTATCGCCCCAATGTACCAAGTTGTCAAGTCCATTCATTCTGATCCTAAAGACCACACAAAGGTGTCAATTGTATACGGTAGTCAGACTGAAGACGACATTTTGTTAAAGAAAGAGCTAGACAGCATTGTGGAATCTAACCCTGATCAGTTCAAAATTCACTATCTTCTAGACAAACCTACCAGAGACACTTGGACTGGCGGTGTGGGCTACGTCACCGCAGATGTTATCAAACAGCACTTGCCAGCTCCAAAGGAAGGTACACAAATTTTGGTTTGTGGTCCTCCAGGCATGGTTTCCGCTATTAAGAAAAACGCTGTCAGTCTCGGTTTCGAAAAGCCCAAACCTATCTCGAAAATGGGTGATCAGGTATTTGTGTTTTAAGACTCTCGTTGCTTTCAAATATCGTTGAACTTTGATAAATAGAGCATAGCGCGAAATGAACACACCAACAAAGCATAAAAAGCATTCTTGGTCCACGAGTTAAGAAACGATGAAAATAACACTTCATAATTAATTTTGGATTGTAGTTCTTATGTATCTACAAAACATATGCTAGACACCCTTAGGTATCTTATTAACTTTATCTTCGGGCGTGTTCGCTCTTCGTCAGTCATACCCATTTATTACTTTACAATTCAAGTCTCTTTATTTGTTCCAATTTCTCGTTAACGGCTTTACCCAAACTGCTTTCACTTGATTCGTCGAGAAGCTTGGAATGGATTGATTGTAGTGCTTTAATTGCATCTTCCTCATCGATGACGCAGGAAATGTTGATTTCGTTTGCACCTTGCGAAATCATCTCGATATTGATCCCATGTTCGGCCAAGGTTGTAAACATAGTTCCAGCAATACCAATAAATTGCTTCATCTGTTTACCCACAAGTGATACGATAACCAACTTTTTGGTCAAGTCAACAGTTCCTACTTTCTTCAACTCATCAACAGCCTTTTTCAAGGCCTTAGAAGAGTCTAGATCAGGAACTGGGAGAGCCATAGAAACGTGAACCTCTGACGTTGAGATCAAATCGACCACTAATTTATATTTGTCCAAAGTCCTGAAGATCTGTGCGAGAAATCCATGTGAAAGAGTCTTTTTGTTTGAATGAATATTCACAACAACAATGTCGCTTTTGCTAGTGATAGCGGTAGCGCCTCTTCTTTTCTGCTCGAAAAATGAGCTGCTCAATGTCACTGGGGGGTGTGGGGGGGTGGCTTCACCTTTCTTAGCAATGTTATCAGGATATATGACAGTACCTTCGCCTCTTGGATTCTGGACATTTTTGATTCTAATTGGGATCTTGGCCCTGATAACTTGTTCCATGGTGAAAGGATGAATGACTTCAGATCCATAGTAAGTCAATTCCGATGCTTCTTCAGGCGTGACGCTACTGAGTAGTCTGGCCTGTGGAACTTTACGGGGATCGGCAGTGAAAATACCGTCAACTTCCTTCCACACTTGAAGCTCATCGGCATTTAAAGCGACAGCGATCAATGCAGCGCATAAATCTGTGTAACCGCGTCCAACACCGTTCAAAAGCCCCATAGGCACCAGACCGAAAAATCCTGTGATCACAGGAACAATTGGCTTTCCCTGGGCTTGTGAGTCCAACACTGGTCTTAGACGATCTCTAAAAGCGTTCACCAAAAACGTGTAGAAACTTGCGTCCAAAGTGCCCTCTGGACACTCGAAGTCCTGTGGGATGATTGACGATAAGTCAACATACTCAGAAGGCACGCCGTGGTCATTGCAAAGCGCAGACATGAAAAGACAGCTGAGTTTTTCACCGCATGACATGACAAGGTCCATGGTTCTCGATGACACCTCGTTCAAAACCAACGATGCGTTCAAGTATTTCTCGACGATTTCCAGTTCCGCGACCGTATCTTTGATGAGTTTTTCTTGCAACTTTGCATTCTGAATGCGCTGTCTGGCGTTTTCAACATGGTCCTCTCTTACTTTCTGCACAACACTAGAAAAGTCAGCATCGTTATTGCACACCATATCACACGCCCTCAGCAACCTGGAAGTGGTACCTTCGGCCTTGGTATCGCTCGAGCGCGCAGAGCACACAACTGCCACGTCGTTATGGAGCTGTTTGGTGTATACCTTTATGATTTCATCCACAATCTGTTCGGGAAACTTACCCACGCTGGTCCCACCGAACTTCTGCACTATCCAATTCGTCTTGGATAACATCGAAAATGTTTATATTTGGTATCGTTCGGATGGTCTGGATGAGTGGATTATGTTAAACAATCTTGCGAAGTCTTAGCTCTTTTCCCTGGAGCACAAAGCGACTATTTGTTTAAATTTTGTATCTTGTGATGAGTTGAAATAAATGCCACACTGCTTTTTTTCCATAAAATTTTTTAGAACTGAGTCATTAATAGTGTACCGGATTAAGAGCTGGCGTCAGTAAAAAACTCAGGATTCTGAGCAAGTAGTTCGTTGGACCCGTTTCTCGATGAACATCGAGAAAGGATTAAAATTGTTTCATGGATTTCCAGAATCTCTAGAAAATTACGTTTCTAGAGCATTTTCAAGAATTCAAATATCTTGATTTTCAGGAAAATCTCATCCAGGACCAGTCTTTAGTTCTCCATGTGATTTGGGCACAGTTATGAAATGCTGGATGCATGTGGTTTTATGAGTGCAGTTTCTTTAGCTAAGAACTGTACAGCAACAATCAATCTCCGGTGGAAGTTGGTCGAGACGGCCACTTTTCTTCCTTCAAATGTACACTAGCCCCCTTCACCGTAACATAGATCAGTATCTGCCTTGCACACCTCATGTATACCAGTTCGGTATTTCGTAGTTGTCGTCAGCTTGTGCGGATCCGACCACATGATCGATCATGTTAGCGCATCGCAGTTTGACGTAGAGTAGGACAGTGATGCAAAAGGCTATTGCAGCGATTGCTGTAATAGTACTGGCTATTTTTTGGGCCTCCAAACGTTCTTCAGGGTCTTTCAAGTCGAATTTCTCGCTCGGGTCACGTCGCAGAGCTGGGATAACTGTTTCGGACGGCTGTATGAGTCCCGAAAACCCAGTTTTTGATTTCTGCCACTCCACTAGCAGCTCTTTGGACCGTTTCGTTGAAGCAGCGTCTTTCTTCTCCGATGAAGGCGAGGTTGAGTAGTTATTGGTTTTCAAAGCCGGTTCCAGTATGCCAACGCAGGCTTCGGGCCCCAAATCAAACATCAATGACTCCAGTGAGTGTCCCACATCGTCAAACGGCGCCGTAGCATCTTTGCCGGCCAACTTTAGCATTACCTGTGCTCCTCCCGGGTGTTTGCTAAGATACCCAGTCACATCGTAGATTTTGCCATGGATGGCAATCCAGCAATCGTCACAACTAGTATGTTTCGAGAGCTCTGTTTGGTCTACTACCGAATGCATCGGGGCTACGCCCTTCAGGTCATCATGTTGGTCATTTCCGAGGTCGAATCGGACTTTTTTCATCTTTGTCAATATTCGTGCAAATATAGTCTCTAAAATAGTCCACAGAAGATAAAAGTACCTTCTATGTGAAGCTCTAACTGCCAGCAATTTAATGGTAAGCTTTAAATCTCCCCTCACGCCGCTCTTTGGGTTTCTATTTCGCTTTTTCTATTTATCGGGAAGTTCAATGTATAATATCAAGAGTTCAAGATGATCTAAATTGACCATGTTTTTTTTAGTTAGACGGTTGACTACTAAGCATACAGTTCAGCGATCCCAAGCGTCAATAAAACCCTCGCTGGTCAATTGTTAACCATATACTAGTTGAATATTACTTGATCAGCGCTTTTTCGCATCTTTAAACCATGAGCTCGCCTCCAGTTCGTAAGGTTTTAGCTACTCTATTGAGGGACCCAGCCAATGGGAACTGCGCAGATTGTAAGACGGCTACACACCCAAGATGGGCATCTTGGTCTTTGGGGGTATTCATTTGCATACGATGTGCTGGGTTTCATCGTTCTTTGGGGACTCATATCTCGAAAGTGAAATCTGTGGACCTTGATACGTGGCAAGAGGATCATTTACGGAAAGTTGTGGAATTTGGGAATAATGCACAGGCCAATGCCTTCTACGAGTCCAAGCTCGAGGAGACCACACCGGATCCTTCAAAACTGGGTGATTTTATTAGAAACAAGTATGAATTGAAACGCTGGGAGGGCCCAGCAGGGTTGCCAAAAAAATCGGTAAATGTTGAAAAATCAAACAACAGCACAACCAATGGTGTGAGTGGGACAAATACTTTGCAAGCGCTTTCTGGAAGCACCACATCAACAAATAGTTCGAACACTAATTCATCTGCCAAAACTACGCTTCTGAGTCGTTCCGCAACCCCGTCACAAGTTGATCTCAACTTGACTGCACCCCCACCCCGCACAGCATCGCGAACCACTCCTCGTGAACTCAATGGGCGACCAGACTTGAAGAAATCTATTTTGTCGTTGTATTCCAAACCACGAAACTCATCTGCAAGCGTCGCTAGCGTTCAAAGTGGTGTGAGCTTGCCGAGTTCCAACAACAACTCGAATATTTCGAGTCCCAACGCAACCCCGGCCCCATCGCTCGAAGATAACGAGCTATTTCAAAATGTGTGGTCATGAACACCGTGGATAATAGAATATGGACCAGTCAAGTCTCTACAGGAGGCCACACACAGTTAAACTACCTTTTTTTTTTTTTCGATAACTAAAATCTAGGAATATTGAAACTCTATCTATCCAGTGGTAGGCAGGCCTATAGCTGCTTTGAATGAGTCGTAGATTAACCATTGGAAGCTGGTCAACGTACCGATCATCAAAATTCTGACAGCAAGTCCATTCCATAGTCCTGGAAATCCGATCTTGCCGTAGATACGAGACATAGCGTGGCCCATGGATTCGCCTTTTTGACGCTCGTTATTGATCTTAGACACCATCACATCGGCTGGGTGCGACACCACGGCACACAGGATACCAGCCAGGTAACCACCGGTGAACGACACTCCGATCTGGGCCAAGTTCGACATTTCGCTCTTGGGTTTGGGCAATCTGGCATATATCGACTCTACTATACGTTCAAACGATGTAAACTTGCACATCGTGTAAGGGATCTGACGGCACCACAACGGGGTGATTCCTTTGTAGAGACTAGCGAAACCCTCGGCTTTGACCATCTTGGAATACGCATCGAACACATTGCGAGCAAATGGGGGAGGTAAAGCCGTTTGTTGGCGGACTTTGATGGCTTCCCAAGGACACAGGAAAAGATCAGCCACGAATTCAGCAGATGCAGAAGCTGCAAGGAAGATCCCCGTTCTGTAATTGTGGGCCGTTTCCGGGGAAACCAGGTGTGAATACTGGTGCTTGAAGTATTCGTAACCACCGTATTTAAAAGCACCTTGAAACGAGTAACCGATGAACGTGGCACCAAAGCCAGTAAACACTTTGGACAAACCTTCATTCCGTACAATTTGGCGCCATCCGTCTAAATTTGACTTGTACAACGACGCATCTACTTGTCTTCTACATTTAACCAAATCTAATGGTGTTACCGAAGCGTGTGTGGGACCACATGCGACCAGGCCACCAATTGTACAGGCAGCAAAGTAGTCAAAAGAGTAAAGTTTGGGAGAGTTGAAAATTGATGATTTTTCTGACATGATAGGTTTAGGGTTGACGTTTCTTGCGGAATTTCCAGTAGTAGTGTGTGATTGACGGTAGTAGCCTAAGAAACGCAACCAAAGCTGAAGCGAATTTGGGAGGGGATAAACACAAGCTTCGAGACAAAGACTAAAGTGGGGTGAGAGGTGTATTTGAAGCCCGAATCTTTTGAGCCCTTTATATACTGGTTGTCCGATAGGGTTGCTTGCTACGGTGCCATAATGCCGCAGCAAGCATCGCAGATTACGACATCGCCAAGACAACAATAATATATGGAGAGTGTAAGATGTGAGCTGAATAATGGGATGTGACGATCTAATTGCGTTACGTTTGGGTGTGATGTTGAATTGTATCGGTTTACTAGTCGACATATCGATGATGTCTGATATGTATTCAGTGCCAGTATAGTGTATAGTGACAAGAGATGAGGGTAGAGTTGGCGACAGAGAAAAAGCGACCAAGATGGTAAGTTTGGTTATGTTTGAGGAGCGGGAGGTGCTAAGGGAAACGGGTTTGCGGGATCGTTAGCTTTTGAGTCTGTGTTTAGAATCGACTTGGGAGAAGACGACACACCCGTATAAAACGATGGACTCTTCTAATGAAAGAAAAGCAGGTAAATTGTAGTGAATTCGAACATCGAATAGAGGTATCGTCTGCTTGAAATGGCGATGGTATGCACACGCACGCACATACACGCACACCGTTGTTTCCCGAAAATATGATATCATATCTACGAGCGTCATAGCCGTACATAATGACTGTACTGATCTCAAACAACGGGCTCCGGAAAGAAACGCTATCCGATCCGTTTGGATCCGTTTGTTTGCGATAATCAACAGTTCTTGCTTACTTTATGGTACAACTTGCGAGTTAACATCCCTTACTCTCATCTCAAAATGTATTTCCTGAAACCGTTAAAAATTCTTCTTTATTATGTATTATTAAGTATATTCCTAGTACTAGTAATAGTGGCAGTGAAAACCGTAGTTCACCACCACCATCCTAATCATTATTACCGAAGTTTCGCTATCCAGAGCGAAGTGTGCCTAGCCATCAATTATTCAGGGTTTATTATATTCGTTACCTCACAGAAGTGGGACTTGACCTCTGTACCGGGTCATTGTGGCCTTGTGGGCTCGCATGTAGAATATCAAAATTACTGCAAGCATCGTAAAGTAAATTTCAACGTCTTGTACTCCGACCATGATGTATGGAAGCGTTTTTGGTCTTATTGGTGTGGGGGAAAAGTGGATATGTATGCACTGTGATAATCGGAAGACTGGACTGGCATTTATCGCTGTTTCCAATCGACCCTTCAGTAAATATATACCTCTTCGAAATCCACCGTCTCAGCCGCTCGTGCCGCATTTTCCGTTCCTACAAGCTATATAGCTATGCCAGTTAATGTTACTAATCTGCTCAGGATGCTTGCTTCTGCTGTTGTGCCATCCGTACCGAAAAACCTCTCGGAATTGCTCTCTCTGTGGGACTTGTTCGCAATGCCGAGTGCAACTATCGTAGAGTTCATATTTTGGTGAAACAAGCTTAACATGTCCAAGTGAAGTGAACCTTGTAAAACCTGCGAAAACCCGCGGCCAAATACCGCACAATATACACTGAAACTCACCTACAGCTTCGACGGAGTTTTCGGCAGCAATACAAAACTCAAACTACTCGAGATGCAACTGCAAATGCAAATGCAAATGCAGATGCGATCCAAGAATTCTTGCCCGGAAGGGCAAATTATTTGAACCGTGCTTACATATTGTGCTATTGAGAAGTTAACCAAGTGGTGTCCGTCGCTATGTGATATAGTGTAGAAGGTACAGGTTGCGGAAAGAAGCTCGATGAAGTTCCGGTGCGTCTTGAAGGTATGCGTATCGTGACGACATGTACAAGTACGGAGACGAGTACAGATGAGCAATTGATAGTGTCATCCAGTTGGTTTTCGAGTCGAAGGAGTAGATAGAGGACTAGAGGGTAGGATAGAGGACCGGAAGCAGTGTGCAATTCAAATACCGGGTTACGTGAACTATGAGTGTTCATGATTGTCTTTGACACATGAAAACATACACAGGTCCTGAAGACTATAAGCGTTGAGCCAAAACTGGCTCCTGGAGCTATCACACAATTTTCCCTGTCTTGAGAATCTGTAAAGAACCAGTTGAGAAGCCATCAACCGTTTATACACTTGACAACCTTATCACTTTCGGCGAGACAAAACACTTCGGGTAGAAAGTCATTTCAGTATGAAAAGAGAGAGTTAGAGGCTTGATAAATGTTACGGCGCATCCGGAAACAGCTCGTCAATTTACATTTGTTGTCTTTGAACTTCTTTCTGCGCCGCGACAGCCTCGTCCCGTGACTGATGACAGTGACAGAATAGTCAAGTCCCCGGTCAGGTACTGGCTACTCGCCTTCACTCTGGGTGGTGCCAAACCAAATTTTTCTTAGCTCGGTTGCAAACCCACTCGAATTCATTCGAAAAGCGTCGAATTCTGTAGATACTCATAACGGCCTCCCAATTCTTCAAAAAATGCACAGTTTGTTTAGCTCACAAGAACAACTCTTGAGCCCGAAGTGCACCGCGAACATTCCTCAAAATAACATCATGGGAACGCATTTCCAAGGGAGCTGGGAGACCATCGTCATGCTCCACTGAAGAAGCAGAGTTTCGGTGTTTTTCGAACAAACTATAGCACTAAAAACCACCACTACAACTCCTGCTCAACATAATCCTTCACTCAGTGCTCTAACCCTATCCACGTTTCGCCTTTTAACTTCTAAAATATTGACTTTTTTACTTCAAGTATGTATCTAGCTATCCTAGAGATCGGAATATCGAACCTGCAACATCCGAGCTAAAGGCAAAAACAAAAAGAGGATCATAATTCAATGCTGAGATGATCCCTTTGTGATGCAATCATAAGTCTGTATCATTATTTCGTGACTTAATCATGATATGACATTTCCATACCAGCTGTGCACTAACAATACACCGGTTCCTCAGTACTCTACTTCTCATTCACCACCGAAAGGATCAGTGAAACCCATGCGTGGCTTAGGCGTCACTACTTCAATAACATAGTTGCGCCCGCTATTATTATCCCAACTCACCAGCCGTTCATATGCATTGCGAGTCGTGTACTGAATACAGAACTCAAGTCTCATGGTAGCAAAAGTGCTGGCAACCGAATTTGCCAAAACCAGGGTAGACGAAGTATTACTAGTCACAGAGTCACGTTTCGCCCCGTTGTACATAGTCGCCAAATCGATTACTACCTTGAAACGATCCATTCCTTTCCCAGGTAGAACATCATCGCCACTGCTAATCCACACGCACTCTACTTCATTTGCTGTGCGCCAACGATCGCGTGTATACTTGACAACCACTTTTTTATCGTAATAGATGTTTTTGACCAAAATGTGACCAGTCAAGTAGTGCTGATCGGACACCAGGGATAACTCTTGAAGAAAGCAGTCGCTACTTTTCGCAATATTGAGAAAGATGTTCAATTTTAGGCTGGTACGATCACCCACGTTTAGAATTGGGAAGTTTTCATGATACAAACCCGGTTCACTGATCGCGGTACTGTTAGCGACCCCATTGTTCTTGAGTTTTTGGTAACGTCTGCTTCTTCTCAAACCAAACCCGTTTGACGCTTTTTTCTCGAGTCGTAAATTTGACATGGTCATCGTTAGATCCGCGGGTGCCGCATCATCAGAATCTAAGCTCGCGTCTTTGACGTCAGTAATCATTAAAGGCTTACATTGGGTATCATCAAGCGGACCTTCTAGCACGTCTTGAGAAGCAACGTCCTGTGGAGAGTCGTCCTGCCGAAAGTATTTGAACGACACCACGTCGCGCTGATCAAAGTGGACACTTTTACTACGTTTAGGCCCCCATGATGGTATCTCAAGTCCCCCATCTGGTTCCCGCGCACTTGGAGTGGCGGGCAGAGATCGAGATCTTTGGGCCATTTTCAAATTGGGTTTTACAATTTCACCACTTTTCTTACGCACAAGTGGAGGTGCATTGACGAGTTCATCTGGTTCATTTGGACTGAGATTTGGACCCACGTCTCTTTGACTTGGGAAATAAGGATCCACTCTCAAAGGCGAAGCAGTGAGCTCCTCATCACCCTGAAATATAGGGCGTGTTGGAACTGTTGAAAAATAGTCCGCTGTTTCATGATCGATGCTAATAGCTCCACGATTCAAATCTGTGTTCCGCTTTACAGAATCTTCGGGAAATGTAGGTTTTGTCTGAGAGACACGTTGCGGTTTGTGCAAAAAAGCCAAAGATCTAGATGAGTATTGATCATTGGTCGACGGTGGCCTTTTGATGTACATCATGTAGAATTCTCAACTCACGTCCAAATCCTAAGCAGAAACAAAAAGACAAACCTATGGGATGAAACAACACTCGTTTCAAAGTTTGACTAATCTAGCTATGTGGCTCGAGCCGCTTTTTGAGACCTCGATACCCACGAACCCTAGACCGTATTTCTTCTCTTACTTCCTCGAGAAGACCAGAATCTCGATGCAATTCAACAAATGCAGCCCTATCGACTCGCAAAGGAGATAAAATCGATGTCCAAAGAACTCAAAATCTCACGTATCTCAAATTCACGAGTGTCCACAGTAGCTCCCCACCCTTAGTTCTATTCGAGAGCTGAACACTGAACAAGAAAACCTATTTTGAGCAGTAGTCTGTTCTCCCACTGCTCCCAACGTTTCCGGCACCAAAACTTCGGCCTCGAAGCCCGGGAAAGAACGTATCGAAAGCTGGAAAGGAGAAGAACCTTACTATGCTAACAGCTTCGAATCAAAGGGTCCCCTTGGAGCACTTTGAGTGGTATTCCTTTCAGTCCGAAGTAAACGGGTAGGGTTTGACCTTTGTTCTAGGGATAGAGAAAGGATCGTCCGAGTTTTGTGCGTATGAAGCGATATCACGTGAGCTCTTTTTTTTAAATTAGGCTGGTCTGTTCGTTTAAAATGCGCAATTGTGAGTAGGTTTCCCAGTAGTTTTTTACCATGGAATCTTGACGGTATGAAGCTCTTTTGACAGCTGTAATGATAGTCCATAGCTTGAACGTGATGGAGGAACTTCAATTTCGATGAAGTATACTTCTGACAAGTAGCCAATTCTGTATCACTTTTGACGAATACCATTTGTTTTCACCTGGTTTTCGACAGCTTTTCAACCATTATTCACGACCTTGTTTAGCTTTGTAAGATGTATCAATTACCCCAAAGTCAGACTGCCACTAGTTGGTGCTGTTTCGGTCTGGATCGTCTAGTCAAATCTGTACATCTTCACACAGCCAAGCTCATCACCACTCACGAACTCGGAATCGCCAATGCCCACGCATGTTATGGGCGCCTGGTGGCTATCGAAGGTATGGATACACTTACCGCTTTGTAAATCCCATACTTTTACAGTCTTGTCGTGGGCTCCGCTTACAATCCGGAAATTGTCAGCGGCGATGTCCCAAATGCCTTCCAAATGACCGAAATGCGTTCGCACACACACTCCTGTACGCACATCCCAGAGCTTTATAGTGTTGTCCAGCGAGCACGATAGTAAATGGGATGGGTATGGCATGGAGTCGTCCCACGCGCCACTGCGTCCCGAATCTGAGTCTTCCCCTTCCTCTTCAGGCGCGACTTTAGCTTCATACGACGGGTCCACCACCAGGTGTTCGGTATCCACGATATTTAGCGGCAGTACTTTCTGTACTTGGCCAACATGTCCGCGGAATGTCTTGATGCACGTATTTGAGCGAATATCCCACATTCGAATCGTGGTGTCGTCACTTCCACTGAAGCACGTAAAGCTGCTAGGATGTAGCTTGACGCATCCTACCCATTCTGAATGTCCTCGTAGCGTATAGCAGGTGCGTGAATCTACATGCCACACTTTCACGGTCTTGTCAGCCGAACCAGAAACGATAATTTTCTTGCACGAGTCCACGCTTAACACGCTATCAGAGTGGCCACGATACGTAGAGATGCAAGAGCCTGTAGCATAGTTCCATACACGGATAGTGCGGTCCAGTGAACCTGTAATAAGTTTCTGGTCGTCGAAATACAGTGCTTTGACACCGTCTCGGTGGCCCGTGAGTCTTCTGACCAGTTTCCCAGTGGCCAAATTCCAAATAGCCACTGTGGAGTCGTACGACGCTGTGAATAACAGTCTGTAGTTGAATTGCAGCGCAAGAACACCGTCCATGTGGCCCTTGAACTCCTGCACATGGGCTTTACCTTTCCTCCAATTGGATTCGACTTTGTAACGCTCCTGATATATGACTTTCCAAGGTCGTGTTTTTCTACCGCCCTTTGACACTGTACAATTTGCCAGGTCTTTGCATTCGGTCTTATTTTTCTTAGCTGCAGGATCACCCGTTTCAATGAAACGTGCCCTCTTCATGTGCAGCAGGGGGAGTCCCCAACCGCAGTTGGGACATTTTCGGTCGATATGTTGTTGACACATGTGGTACCACACTCTATCGTCGTCTGCCATTTTTTTCCATCGACGACTTACCTGGGTGGCATTACACAGACTCTGGCAGTCGAGAAACCCCAAGATCTTGAGCGATACCTCTTCCGGCAGTATGCTGATGAAATCAATTTTGATCAAGCTTTGAATTTCAGAAGCCATGAATGACAGCTGTGGGAAACAGCAGTTAGTTAGAATGCCTTCCAGGACTAGACGCCGGGTTTTGTCACTGCAGTCCAGGAACCCAGATAGCGCACTGCTCACCTGTTGTTGCTGTATGGGTTCCAGCCTTTCGATCTTGTCTTGTAGTCTTGCGCGTCGTTTTTCGTCTTGCTGAAAACATGCTGTATGCGTGGGAGACTGCTGGATATCGGGGTTGTGACGATAACAAAACTTGAGAAAATTGTACGCGGGCAATCGACAAACTCGTTTGGCTGTTGCTATCCTCTCTTCTTCATCTTCTTCTGATCCCACTACTTCTCCTACTTCTTCTTCTTCTTCTTCTGTCTGTGTATTTGGTATATCTGGCTTCTTGCTGTTGCCGTTTTCAGGACCGTTCACGCAGCTTTTTTCGACATCTGAGATCGTTCTCTTCGATCTCAAGCCTTCTAGACCGTCCCCATTTTCAATACTAGTTGCAATCATCATCTATTTTCAAACCAACGGATTCTTTTCTGTCCTAAAACTTGTGATGATTGTACAAAAGCCGCTAATTCTCTTGGAATTATCGCTAACTTTCCCGTTTCTTGACCGTTTTTCGATCTTTGAAACCTCCCCAATAGCTGTCCAACACTTCAAATATGGAAATACTGGTCTAATGAAGCACACAAATCGGTTCTTTGCCACTTTCTTGCACGATTTCAAGATGATGCATCGAGGTTGATGAGATGTAGATGATCACCGTGGTTATATTTCATAGTAGGATTTCCTATATTCGCACGTGATCGAGATTTTTCCTCACTATAGTCAATATCGAGTGTGGCTTCTACGGCCTGGACAACAGTGGTGTGGGAGAGACAGATAAGATGGATGAAACAACCACATTCGGGGCGCAAGAGTGCAAGGGGTGAACGCTGTTTTGAGCGATAATTATTGTATATTGGTGGTACGTGGTTGACCATGGGGTCAGAAACATTTCTCATGTGGATTGGAAAGAACCCGTCTGGAGTGATCTGAAATTCCAGGATTTTAAAGCTGTCGTCACGTCATATCGGCTTTTATACTCCCAAGTGAGAATAGCTAGCGTTCCCAGTTGGATGACCAGCATCCATACTTGTGTGAAATTCTTTTTGAAGACCAGTTGGTAAGTTCCGGCCACGTTCGATGTGAAATCTTTCGTAAAGAAGTAATATCTTGCTTAACAGTTGCTGTCTGGACACTAGAAACGGAAGTGGCACCTTTGGAGGAGTATGATCATTTCTAGATTGTATTTTCGTGTAGATTCTAGGCCTTCTTCGCGCATAAATCGGCTATAATTCGCTCTCCTTTTAGCGGCTTACATTCGTAGAGATTGTTCCTCTGTCACTTTTGGCTCGCGCTGTCGCTGCGTAAACATTAGCTTTCTTATTTTAGCGCTTACATAATCGGTTTTTCAGTCGATTGTTCCTGCGCTCGAGCAAGACCCGGACTTTTCGGGACACGTGTTTCTAAGCGCCCATTCGTCAACACAGCTCAAACACGGCTTCGTCTTTCAAGTATGCTCTTTCACATAGCAAACTTAGCGTGTAGGACAAGCCAAGTCTTAAACTTACAAACATCACTAAATAGCACAGAGTTTTGTCTTGGGTGATGTGTTTTGCAGCAGTAGTTTCAGTCTCTTGTGCTTTACCATAGTATCGATCCCCTCATTCATCGTTGTTCTGGCCATGGTGTTTTTACTTATCTTGTAATTGGACCCATTTGTAGTACCCAAAGTTATCGTTCAGTCTGTCCACCACTGTGAAGATGATTGCTTGATGGCATCGTTTGCGCGGTCTAGACGTTTCTTTTCATCTTTTTGTCGTCATTTGACTTGAATTAGTGGTCCCTGTTGCGTGTTATCTTGCGTGCCAGCCTATCATAAGCCGAATACGACCCTAAACATCAGCTTAACTACCTGTGTTAAGTCGACGCGCCTGGGAAATCTATCTAGTACCACTAGCATCATTCGGGATCTTTCAAACCAGGTGCTTAAACTCATTGATAACACGGACCAGCTTTCTTCCTCAATCTATTATGGCATGTTGAATTCACTACGGTACACCTTAATTAATTGGCACTGTATACATGCTTTAAAACAGCTGTTTAGGTCAAGTTTGGCTAATATGGCATTTGAAAACGTTTGCGTAGAATTTGCACGAACCATAGCAATTTCTATGTAATTGTGCTGTCACGGAATGTCTCTGGGACATATTTCTAGTCCTCGAAATACTGTTTTCCGATAATAATCAAAAATAAGGTACTACTTCCACCAATGTAAGTAAACTGTTCTGGCTTCATTTGTGAAAACTACCATCCCTTCAGGTTAGATATCTTTTGCGAATCTTGGTAAGTAGATGGAATGGCTTTCTAATGTGTTCTTACTCGTCTTTCGGTGATCGACGCGCATCCTATACATGTCATCCCTATTCTTGATTCGCATAATGCTCTTGAGAGTGGTTTTAAACCTTTTCCCAATAGTTGTTCGATAGATTCTCGTGCTACGCGGTGATTTCGAATTTGAGCTCAGATGAGCTATCTCCTTGTCTCCTGCGTGGTCTCAACTATACTTTAATGCTGTTCTGACAACGCAAATGAGTTATCTCTTTGTCTCCTGGGTGATCCCAACTATGCCTTAATGCCGTATTGATAACGCTTAAATACCTAAGAGTGGCTCGTGCCAACCACAAGACTAGCTTTGGTTACAGTACACTGGTGGATTTTTAAAAACGGTAAGTAGTATTTATCAATTAAACATTTTATCCGAACGAAACAATGGGTGGCTATCGTTTCTTTAGACACGGCAGTTGGAAATCTCAAAAACCATAATGTCGGCAGCACCCTTTTTCTTGAGCTCGTCCATGACCGTACCCTTTTGCTTTCTGTCAATCATGGCAGAAACGGCCACCCAGCCAGCATCGTCGATCTGGGAAATCGTAGGAGCTCTTCTGCCGGGAGTGATCTTTAGCACTTCTGGAAGACACGACGTAGGAACGTTGTATTGACAAGAAACGTATTTGTGGGCGGTCATGACACCTTCGATTCTCGACTTGATGGTTTGCAACAATTCGGGGTCGCCTCTGGGGTTTTTGGACTCTATCAAATGGGCACTTGTCTCCAAGACGGTGGCAATGTCTATTAAGCCCGCAGCACGCATGGTTTCTCCTGATTCGACCAAATCGACAATGGCATCGGCGATTCCAAGCGCGCACGACGCTTCCACGGATCCACCCACGTACTTGACCTTTGTGGAGATTTGGTCAACAGAAACGCCCTCGAGTTCTGCGAAGTATTTCTTGGTCAAATTGGTAAAGCTTGAAACTATCGTTTTGCCGATCAACTCTTCTGGCTTCTTGTAAGGCCCGTTGGCAGGAACCTGGACCTGCAATCTGCAAGCACCAAATTGTAAGTCTATGGGCAAGTTGACGTCGACTTCTGACTCTTTGACTTCGTCTACACCGGTGATTCCCAAGTCACACTTACCTTCGCCCACAAACATTGGGATATCAGACGCTGGCAAGAAAATTAGAGCGATTGGCATGTTGGTGGAAAGGGCGATATCCAGACGCTGAGAGCGATGGAAACGAATATCCGATCCTTGCAAGATGGATACAGCTTTTTCATTAAGACGTCCCTCTGTTGAAAACGAAGAGAATCTCCTGTTAGTATTTTACTGTTCGATTTTTCACCTCTGTCGCTCTAAATCTTGACGAAATCAATGAGTTTAAGACGAAAATTTACATACTTTTTGGGATGGCGAACAGCAATCTGTCGTTCAAGTGGTTGACTAGATCCATGGTCTCTTTCAGGTAATGTAGGGATGCAAACTGCGATGCAAACTACGAGCTTTCTTGGGTGCTTGAGCGGTTGACGATGGTAAGACCACATCTTTTTCAAGATATCATTATTACGCTGAAAAAAATTGAGCTATAATGATGATAATAATTATCATACCGTGAATTAACAAGAACACGAGGGAAGAAGAAGAGAGGACGGTCTGGCAGACTATTGAGAAGGATGAATTTGGATGTCATCAGAAATTGTAAGTTTAGGTAGGTCTTGGTTAAGAAATAAGGACAAAATACGGATTCAAAAAAGAGAAAATGACTATTACATTTGGTCTCGTGTTAGATAATATGCGTCACGTGATCTTTCTTATCGTTCTTCAAAATACGACTTTTGTGTATAAAATATTTTCCCTGTTTGCTCTCAGGTGCAGCGTTGGAGCTGTGACTGTGAATCAACACACATGTGTTATCAAACCATCAGGAGATGGACATTCTAAAATTGTTTTTTTACTAAGATCATTCAGTTCTGATCTGTCACCGGTGACGCATACGTATGAAATGATCTGAGTTTTTAGAGGCGTCAACTCTGAAACTCAAACAGAACCAACGGATACACATTCACGTCTTTCCAATCGCCAATATCTGGACTCTACTAATTCCGTACCAATTCAATACGTCATATACTGTCGTTGTCTTTCCATCACCATGAACGGCCTATATTTGCTTCCCCACGATGAGAATCAGTGCAGGGCCCAATATAATATCGGTTAAAGCAAGTTTGATGATGCTCATCGCATGAACCTTTTGAACTTGAATCTCTACCATTTCACAATAAGAGCGTTTGATTTATATTATTCAGATATTGGCCTCCTGTTGCTTGAAGTTTAAGCTTTCCTAGCATACCAAAATCATCGAAATCGATCAAGTTCCTGTTCAACATCTTCGGGTAATAATTGACCGTCAGCCCATTGGAATCCAACTCAGTTGACAAACGAGGAATCTGGCGAAAGATCTTGTTCATTCAAAAACAAAATTCCCGCCCTTTTCGGAAGCCGTCCTTAAAAAAATTTTCTAGGATAACAAAAACCCTAGCTTTCGTTGGTGAACGTTACATTATAGCTTGGCAGAGTCTTAAAACAGGCCTACAAAGTTTCTCTACACACCGGGCTTCTACCACAACAGTCTTTCAGCCCAATTGTTTACAAACGACTAAGAGCCGACTTGTTCCAATTTTTGCCTTCCAGTGTGCCATCTCTACCTAACTTCTTAGACCTTTGACATCGGTACTAGCACGTAACGCTGCATGAAATTTGCCGAACATCTCCGTGAGTCTGCAATTCCAGAGTGGATCGACAAATATATCGACTACAAAGCCGGTAAAAAAAAGCTGAAAGCTTGTCATGGGAATATAACAACCAGTGCGGCACTCTCTAATAATGTTCCTGGTAGCATTTCCTCTTTAGAGTCACTGCCATCTCATGCGAATAATAGCCCACGATACAGAACTCAAAGCTCATACACAAATGCCCAGAAGCAGATGGTAATCGAGTTTGTGGAAAAGTGGGTCATCGAACAGGAAGTCGAGAAATGTAACGATTTTTACCTGTGGGAATTGGAGCGCTGCGGGAAAAGATTTGCCATTCTTCAGCAACAAATGCATCGCTACGAGATCCACAAGGAACAAGCGGCCTTCGATCGTAGTGGCCAAAACATGGCGGCTTTAAAAACCTACGGCTCTCTAAAGGCCGACAGCGCGAGTCCATCGCCTCCAACTTATCCTAGCAATCCATGGGCCTCTAAGCTGGGAAATATCTTGCGTGAAAATGAGCTTATGCCTTCGCTACCAAGCTTTTTACCTTTTAAGCGTCTTATGAGCCGGACCTCGGCCCAAGATTTTGCTTCCACCATAGGTCACGGCGAAACATTCGCTCCCAACGCATTGAGTGCCGGTCAAATTCAGCAACGACTTTCAGATGCGCTAATCGAGGAATATCTTTTGATTCAGCTCATTAAAAATTACAGAGACGTGAACGTCACAGGCTTCAGAAAGATAGTCAAAAAGTTTGACAAGACTTGCGGCACGAAGGAGCTGCCTCATTTCATGGAGTATGCGAAAAATAAGTTCCCTCTTTTCCAGGATGCAGATGCCAACGCTAATGTAGTTGCTCAAGCCTTGCGTGATTCTGTCATGTTGCGTCAACCGTCAAAGATACCTTCAGATTTGGAACCGGCTGATCCGCTGATGGCGTGGGAACGCGAACTTACATGTTGGTACACTGACACTTTGGCTTTATCATCTAAGGATCGCAAGCAAAAATCAGCAAGATTAAAGAATATTTCGTTAGAATACTCGTTGAGCGAGCGGAAAGTTCACCGTTTCAACAGATCTACTCTTCAAATGTTTGTTGGAGGGTTTCTACTGGGTGCTTCTCTCGCCTTGGTTGGCTACACATTGTACGTTGGATTTTCCGCTTCGCCTCTCTCATACACTCACAAGATACTGTTACCTCTATGGGGTGGCTGGTATATGGTTTTTTTGATGGCTCTCTTGTTTTCGTTAGACTGTTTCGTCTGGCACAAGAACAACATTAACTACAGGTTTATCATGTTTGGTGAGATGCAATCGCGACATGGTGCCGTACTCTACAATAACGACTTTTCAACGACCAAAATCCCGCTTCTATTTTACTTCACGAGCGTACTTTTAACACCTCTGGCGATCTTGAGCACGCTCAGTTTTCACGCAGACAGATTAGGACCTTACTCTATTATATGGATTGTGATGCTAGTCGTGCTTTACCTTTTACCCTTCCTGGGCAAGCAACCGTGGGGCAATATTCCGTACTGGAACAAGCTGAAACAATCGGTGAAGTGGGTGCTTGTTACATTCATAAGATTGATATTTTCTGGATTCTACCCAGTACAGTTCGGAGATTTCTTTTTGGGTGACATTTTCGCTTCGCTAACATACTCTATGGGAGATATCGCATTCTTCTTCTGCATCTACTCGAAAACGCCCAACGGTTTGTGTGGATCATCACATTCAAAATCAATGGGAGCCGTAAGCTGTCTGCCTAATTTTTGGAGATTCCTGCAGTGCTTAAGACGTTTCTCAGATTCTGGGGACTGGTTTCCCCATTTGTTGAATGCCATAAAGTATGCTATAGGTGTATGCTTCTATGCGTCCCTCTGCGCGTATCGACTCTCGCGCACTACTGCTGCAAGAAATGTCTTCTTCATTTTCGCCACATTGAATGCTAGTCTAACGTCTGTGTGGGATATTGTTATGGACTGGTCTCTTTTGCAACCTAAATCACGTAACTGGCTCCTTAGAGATGATCTTTACCTCGCAGGACGTAAGAACTGGAAGACAGGAGCCTACCAGAGAAGAAGAAAGCTAGTGTATTATGTTGCTATGGTGCTGGACGTCATCATAAGGTTTGAATGGATTGTTTACGCCGCGGCACCGGATACAATCAATCAGAGTGCAATCACGTCGTTTATCCTAGCTGTTCTTGAGGTTTCTCGTCGTTTTATCTGGCTAGTATTCCGTGTTGAGAACGAACATGTAGCCAATGTTCATCTTTTCAAGGTATCAGGTGAAGTATCTTTGCCATTCCCTACCACTGTAGCTGATGAATCAGAAACCGAAGAATCTATCACAAGTGGTAGGTACTCTTTATCAGATCTCAACGGCCCTGAAGCTCCCAATCCAGCTTACAGAGGTCCAGCTGTATCGAGATCGAACTCTAGCGGGCTTTTCAGAACTTTCAGTAAGTCGATTCCATGGGCTCATGCCAAAGATTTCCAGAGGCCTCAAAGTAATCCAACCGATGACAAGAACACGGAAAGTGACGGCAGTGAGAGTGAAGTCGATAGTGTGGCGTGATTCTTACTGTTGAAAGCAGCTTTTTATTTACTAATGTATGACTTCTCGCTATGCACTAAAGTAAAACTGCTGAACTTTGGCGTAACTAGGAGGGTTTAGCCTCCTGTGTAAGGCTTTAGCGGCCCAAACTGGTATGATAGAAAGTCCGAGTATAGTAGCAAGTTTTCCATAGAATATTGGCTTGACCATGAAAGATAAATCAAAGTAATCTTGGAGGAATGGCACTGAACCCACGAAAATAATAAATGTCACAAGCTCGGAGAGGATCATCGCCTTATTCCATGTGTAAACTTCAATCGCAACCATGATCAACTCGTTAAGAACCAAAGCAGTAAAACTCAATGCAACCAAGCGCATATAGTCCACTTCGTACAGACTTGTTAACCCTTGAGATAGACCCTGAATAATGCACCCTTGAAAAAGTGACAGAGCCACCCAAACGAAAAATGTTTTGTATGACAAACTTTTGCCCGCTGTTAATTCTTTGTACAATTCTGGATAAGTTTTGGTGAGAGATTGATCAATATCGCGATCCAGTGTCAAAGAAAAGACTGGAGCCATGGTGTAGAGCGTGGCGTAACCCACCATGAGCCAACCTTGATATAACGCGATCGGTTCAAACTTTGAGCATATCGAGAATACTGCTTGACACACAGAGATTATGAGACCTCTGTGGATAACAAATTGAGCCAGTTTCGCAGACCGCTTGTAGGAGTTTCGCCCATGCCAAAGTAGCAGAGTGGAAAGAAAGCTAAACTGCGTTATTGAAAAGTCAGCCGCTAGAGAAGCTTGCTTACCTTCTTTGCCAACGATACCGATACCAACATCAGCAGATCTAATCATACTAACATCATTTCCACCGTCACCTATGCAGCATACTCTTTTGCCAGTAATTTCTCGGATAAAGGTAGCTACATCAGCCTTCTGCTGTGGAGTGCAACGACAGGCAATGACTGCCGGCAGGTGGACGACAGAGTCAAAGAAATCTTGTCTGTAATGATCGAGGTAGAAACCTAAAGACTCCCCATCGATCAATAGACAGGCATTCTTATTAACTTTTAGAAGTTCCAACTGATTGAGAGCACCTTCTGACTGGTTGAGCTTTGTTATCGCGTGGACATATTGGCCTCTCGAGACTAGCTTAGCGCTAATAGAAACACAGCGAGCCGTTTCTACCTTGTCGCCTGTAAGCATCCAGATCTTGATACCCGCATTACGCAAAAGTTCGATAGAAGATTTGACATCTTCTTGTAGCTTATCTTCCACACCAGTCAATCCTAGAATTTCGAGGTTATGTTCCAAATGCTTGCCAACTACTGCGCTCATGGAAGCTTCTCTATTGAGCATATTAAGCGAAGCTTCTTTATATTCTTTGTCGAACAGGTCGAAAGTTTTCTTGGACAGTTTTTTGCGGCCTACAACCAGCGTCCTGAGACCTTCGCGAGCAAGGTTTCCGGTCTCTTCCTCTAACCAATCATTGCTTTGAACAATTTTAGCCATGACCACGTCAGCACCTTTTTGTAAAAACCAAAAATCTTGCCTCTGCTTGTCAAATATGATGATACCCATCCTCTTGTTATCTGAATTGAAAGGAAAGACTTGTTTAATATCGTATTCGAAAAATGTTCCCGACTGATCATGCAACAGAGTTATCGAATGGCGATCCCTCTTGAAAAGCGTGAGCCCCACAGATTCCGAGAACTTGACAATTGCGATCTCATCGGGGGAAGCGGCTTGATACGTTAAATCACCGTCTTCAAAGGTTGGAGTGACCTGATGGCAAAGAGCAAGTGCAGATATCAGATCCCGAACTCTTGTAGGCATGTCCCGCTTTACTCCGCCAGTTACTACGGAGGAATCTGAATGAAGAGGCATGGAGCTCACGTAGTCTGTAACAATATCCATAGTCTCTAAGGTATATGAGACTGTGCCTAAATGGAGTTTCTTCAATTCCATATCATTTTGGGTTAATGTTCCCGTCTTGTCACTGAGCAAATATTCTACACGGCCAAGATCCTCAGGTATTGTGCTTGTCCTAACCACAGTCTCGGGAATGGTTTTATCGTTTTCTATCTGATGAGCATAAACGGACTTCCCCAAGTCCAAGTTAACTCGCAGTGATACTGGAATAATGGTGGAAAACAGGATCAAGTATCTCATAGTGTCTAGATACCAGTCCTGGTTGTCCAACCCTGCCAAAGCCACCAGCGTGATTGATAGAATGAAGACGCACACACATAGTATTTTGGATAAGCTGTTTATTTCAAGCTCCAGAAGACCCGTCTTTACGCTTGATGTTGTAGTGTTCAGTGCTTGCCGCGTATCAGTGCCAGTGTACACAACACATGCTATTGATGTTCCTGTCGAGGCAAAAACAGTGTTCGCCCACATAGTGTTGTCGACGGAAAGAGGTTGACTCTGGGAATTGTTAAAGGTGAGTTTCCCCAAGAAGTTTCCAATAGAAGGCTCAGGCACCGATGCTGTGATGGAAATTCTATTCAGGAGGTCGTCCTGAGACAAATGTTGGGTCAAAGGACAAGCTAGTCGGAGTTTCCAGTCCGTCTCACCATCTAGCTGATCAGTCTTTATGAAAATTTCGCCAGAGGCTTCACTGGACTGGAGTAACACCAGGTCTGCGGGAGCCCTGGCTCCTTTGCCGATCTTAATGAGGTCCCCTACTTTCAAGTCTTTGCTAGGAACAAGTTGAGCAGTGCTCAAGACTTCATAAAGCTCATTGTTCGACTCATTATCCCTTCGTCTTCTCTGAATGTCGTCAAGAGCTTCTTTACTCATGGTTACCGTCAAGACGAACGCTAGAGGCACGATGTAGGAAGACAAATAGCCAATCCGCAGTGGTGGAATTGCTTGCGAAAGAGCCACCACCAGAAAATAGAGGTTGAAAAAGAACTTGAACTGTTCATACAGTATGATCGGGATAAATGAAATCGGGCTGTATCGGGCATTGCTGATAGCGTTGGGTGCATACTTGTTTCGATCATAAATGGGGGTGGTACCTGGATGAATTTCGCGATCGAGCTGCTGATTTTTGATTTGAATGACTCCACCAGTGGAATTGTAAGTAGATGATGAATTGTTACCTTTTGATGCCTTGACAAAATTCCAAAGTCTGGCTCCCAAAGACGCATTGCCTGAATTCCTGTTTCTGGACGAGTTATGCCGACTTTCGACGAACCGACTATGCAAACGGTTTTCATCGCCGTTCATGAGCGGATCGGTATCGGTTTGACCGCCCGGTTCATCATTTGTATGTTGTAGACTTTTCATTTCAATATTCTCACCGTTAATGCTTCCAGTGCTGTTAATTTGCAGAGATTCCAATGCAGCTTCCAGAGAATCCTCAAACTGGATATCAAACAAATCAGAACTGTTTTGCCGATGCAGTACTGCTGAATTTGGATCCTTATTTGAGCCCGGAGGGGGCGTAAACGGCATGAGTATTGTTGTGAGCTCAGTACCCAAAAAATAACGCCAGTTTTACGCCACGATTTTTGTTCAAATTAATCTAAAAAGCGTAAACTTGGTACAAGAAACTTGATTTGACAAAACTAAGGTGTTTAAATGGGTTTAGACGGTCACCAGGGTCAGAAAAGGCTCCAAAATCGTTGGTTTCTTGAGCTTGTGGAGCTGTGTGAATCTGGTTTAGTTTATTGATGGAGTTCTTGACCCAATTAACTTTGGTCTCGTGACTCTGTCGGGTAGTATTAATAGTAGTGGTAGTGACGCTATTTGGGCTTTGGCGAGAGAGCCAAGATACGTTGACAGTTGGATATTTATACGGCGGCAATGGTAAGAATGCTGTTAGATTTCGTGGTTTGACTGTAGGTTCCGTGGGTGAAACCAACTCTCTTTTCGTGTCTGGAGATATTTTTTGTCTTGACCTGGTAAGAGTGATATTGAAAGCACCCCCTTTGCAGTATCAGAGCTTGTATCGGTTCAGTCGTTTATTTGGGTGCTACAGGAGATGAGAATCTGTACAATAAGCAGCGTTTAAGGTTTTGTCAACCCAATCGTCAGCCACAAGTGTGCTGGACAGCACACAAACGGCAACGACGATATCAATACACAATCTCTTCCCACGCAAATCCAGTGACACTGATCTTAACGGGCATTTTTAGCCCGATTTTTTAACGATGTGTTTGCAAATACGAGATCTGGAGTTCTCGAATTGCAACTGGTCCCTTTCATATATCGGCACTTGGGAGACAAACAGCTTTCACAAGTCCCATGAATACTCGAAGATCTGTCCTTTCTCTCTCTCTTTCTCTTTCTCTCTCTCGCTCATCTTCCGGTTTCTGGTCTCTCGCTCGACATCCACAAATACACCCTTCCACAGGAGCTTTTCGGCCTTGTAAAAAAAGCTTCAAGGATTCTACGTATCTAAGAACATCATAGCCTCGAGCGTTTGATCTCAAAGACACTCCTTGGCTTTAGACTTTGGCTTATCTTTCAAGTTCTCACATCAAATAGTGCAGGGTCCAACCTAATAATATATAAACATCAATATCATCGAGTAAAACTGAACCTGTCACGATCTGCATTAAATGACCTCCAAGAATGACAGAGGGGGTCAGGATACGCTACACTAGACTCAACCAAGTATGCCGGAAGGCTTTACAACAATCTGTGACAAAAGTTCAAAGCTGGGACAAGCTGGCTTCTTGTTTCCCAACGTACACAGCTACCGATACAGGAGCCAGAAATCTCAGTACATGTCAACAACAAGTGGTGGAATTCTGGATGGAGCTGTCCAAAAGAGAATTTGATGAGATCTTCCGAGAAAGAGACATTGAAAACAAGTTGAATGACCTGGACGACTTGATTTCTCGTGCCAAAACGGTTCAAGAAGGCCTTAAAGAACAAAACACTGATCTGCCATGTATCGACGAGTTGACGCCAGAGCAGCTAACGACTGGAAACATTCATAACTCACGAGCAAAACTTCTTGATCAATTGGAAAATAGGGTTGCGAGAGTCTCTACTCTGAACAATAATATAGAGCTGGATCTGCAGAACATAAAAGCTGGTCTAGAAGAAGAATATAAAGAGCTTGGGGAAATTCTGGATCGAAACCTGGGCAGCGACCTAGAAATGTCGGACGATATGCTGCATGAAGGCTTGCGTGACATGCTTTCAGAGTTACGGGAACACCGAAGCTTAACATAGTATACTAGTGCTCAAAATACGTGTGTATATGGGAATGTAATTGGGAAAAACAGGTTTATGGACTTTTTAGCAACTGTCCAGCAGATAGTTGGTAGCCGTACCAAGGTCCCAATTATTCTGTTCAAGAGCCTTGGTTGCCTCTTCTGTTGAAAACCCCATACTGGCAAGCTCCTCTACAGCTAGGGACTTTGGAGTGGTTGCGATCCCGCGATTTATAGGAGCGTGTGTGTTGCCGCTCGTGGAAGGGTTGGTAGGAGCAGGCTGTAAGATAGGATCACGCTTCTCGGTGTGAGTAGTCCCGTCAGGACCCTGTTTGGAGTTCCCAAATCCAGCAAAAATTTCAGCCCACTCATCCGCACCTACAGCTGCTGCATCTGTACTTGTAGCCTGAGTCTCGTGAAGAGGGGCACCCGTAAACCCTCCTTGGTTTAATTCTTCTTCCAAATCTTTGTGCTCTATCCGTTCAAACTCCTCATGGAACTCATTTCCATTTGAATCATCAGCGCGAGCTTCGCCCTCTTCGGGAGCAGCTTGCTCTAAGTCATCAAATTCGTCGTCGAATTCCACATCTTTGCTCTTGACGCCTAGCACAGTTGAAACATCCGCAGGGGCAATCGTAAGCGCAGCCGTTTGGCCAGGCAGATCGGTTTCTGTTTTTTTGTCATCTCTTGCTAAAGCTCCCCCTTCCTTGCTCACTTCCCTCGAATCCTGGAAATTGCTCTCCTCATCTGAGCTGTCACTTTCCTCAATATCGACTTCCTGGATTGGTGGGAACTCATCATCTATGGTTGCTTCGGCAGTCTTCGCAGAAGCGTCATTACCTTTTTCGGTGTTCTTGTTTATAGTCTCAACCTCTGAATGTTGATCGGCCAACGCTTCTGATCCTCCCGCTTTCTGCAATTCCAAATTTTCGTCACCTTGAGCATCAGCCCAACCGCCGGGCATAGTCTTTTCCACGTCCTCAGCCTTCTCTACTTGGTCATCTACCGTGGCGGAAAGGTTGTGGGCTGCACCTGAGGTAGCAAGGTTCGAGTCGATCTCGGGATAATCGTACACAGATTGTGGAGGGTTATTGAGGACAGAGGACGTGAGTGATTCGGTTCTGGGAATTCCATATTCGTTCAAGTCACCATCAAATCTATCCGCAAGAGCCTGAGCAGTGCTTATGTCGTCATTAATTCTCCCGTCCTCTTCATCAACCTCAGTTTGCGATCCTACAGTGGGAACATCTTTATCGAAAACATCAGATTCTTGCTTGTTCTCATCGTCACCTTGACCTCCAAGTCTGGAGTTGGTCACGCTTTCGTCGACGAATCTTGCGATGTGGTCGCGGCTGTGCGAATATACGCCTTGGTCTTGAGTCAAATCTCTAGCATTCTCGGGCAATTCGCCCATTGCCAGCTTCACTTGCCGTTCTGATAGTTCCTGCACTTTTTGAGCGTACTGCAATTGTTGGTTTTGTAAGTCTTCATCAGCCTTAGCGAAAGATTCTCTTTGCGTGTTAAGATGTTCGAACATATTTTGAAGCTTGGCGATCTCTTGATGGTAAACCCCTTCTTGGTTTTCTATTTCCAGATTTCTTTCTTGTAGCTCTTTTTCACGCCGGCTTAGATCCGTGTGTCTTGTTTCCAATTGCTGATGCCTGGAGTTTAACTCACCGTGTTGCGTTTCTAGTGTCGAGCTGTAATCATTCAATTCCTTATGCTTTTGAAGGAAAACGGCAATGTTTTGTTCAAGTCCTTCAATTTCTGATTTCAAATTTTGGACAGTCACGTCGCTCAACTCCATCTGCTTGCTGTTGACGTCAAGCATTGATCGCTCTTGTTTAACCTTCTGTTGTTTCTCATTCAAATCAACCTGTAAAGAGGAGGCTAGTGAGTTCAGGCTACCAATTTTCTCTTTCAGTTGAGCATTCCCTTGCTGTGACTCTTGTAGTTGACGCTGCAGTTCGGAAAGAGAGCCTTGAACAGCGTGATGGTTGGCTTCCGCGACTGCAAGTTCTCTCTGTAAATCTTCTACTTCTAAACGAGATTGGCCGAGTTGTGCCTCTGTTTGTTCCGTTTCCTTTAACTCCTGCTCATATGAAGCACGTAGGTTCACCATCTTTGATTGGATAGAAGCTTTTAAATCGTTCATCCGTTTAAGTTCTTGCTGCGCCTTTGATTTTCTTTCATTTACCAGGGTAGCTTGATTCGTTAAAGAACCGACCTGATTGGAAAGATTGGCCAATTCTGTGGTGGCCTGTGAAAGCTGCATGGACGTTTCAGGTTCCACCGAAACACTCACTTCCCGAGTTCTTTGCTGGAGCGGTGGGGACGCAAAATTGGGAACGCTGGGTAACGAAGATTGACGTGGAGCCTGCTGCGGAGGTGCCTGAGCGACAGGTGACTGAACCGTTTGCATAGCACCCCCGTTATATGATGTTGGAGCGGCCACACGCGTCTGAGAGGCCTGGTTTTCTTGAGATGGAGCTTGATAGTGCTGGTTTTGATAAACGTTTTGTTGATTCAACTGCGCAGGTGGCTGTTGTGAAGCCTGATTCTGGATATTGTCAACAGGCGTAGCGTATGGTTTTTGACCCTGGAAATCAGACTGCAAATTGGGTGTAGCTGGTGATGGCTCTTCCTGTATAATAGCCCGGCCAAAAGATGAAGACGGCTGAAACCTTCTGGTCCCGGAAACCGTTTCGGAGCGAGAGGGGGATTGAACAGAAGTGGTTGAGTGTACGGTAGCATCCGAACCAATACGTGCCCCTAGGTTTCTTGGAGTTGAAAAGGACTCATTTAAAGTGAGCAGATCGCCTAATGCGCTTTGACTTCTTTCCGCAGGAGGCTGTGCCGCGTCTTGGAAGGATGGTTTCGTATCTCTGGATGGAACAGATGGCGAAGGACCCTGTGGATATTGATGTTGATTGAGTTGTGGAGTATACAAGCCCAAGGCGGGAGATTGTAACAATTGATCAGGGACTACATCTGGTAAGCTGACGCCGCTTTTCTTCTTCTGGATGAGAAACATTGCAATTGCAAATTCCAACTTGGAAAATTCAGCATTGTTATGAATATCAGCAAGATCCCATACTGTGGCTAGAATATCTTGGCTCAATCTAGAGGACAAGAAAAACGGAACCAATACATGGGATCCCAGGGTGCCGACTTTATTCTTGTCTAGGGAGTCAAAGATGACATCAAATTGCTGTTTTTTGTCAGAGGAAAGAGTCCAATCCGAGGCAGCATTTGAAAACGTGCTAGAAGACACTCTGTTAAGCGAAGGTTGCCTTGAAACTGGTGAGTTAACAGAAAACCCAGTGGAATTGGCACTCACCTCGGGTCTTGGAGCCGAAGGTACATTAATTGAGTCCCACAGATAATTTGGAAGTACATCAGGGAGTGATCCTATGGCCGGATTGTTGGCCATTGCAAGCTGAATAAGATGCATTGCCATGATGAATTCTGGCTTGTCCAGAGTTCCGGTATCATTTCGGTCACATAGGTTCCAAATCACGCCTAGTGTTGGGGTCGGCAATTTGGCCTTCAAAAAGATTTCCCTAGCTTTGTCACCGGCCAAACTTAGTGCTCCGTCAGTGGACCGATCGAAAAGCTGAGAGAATTTCGAGACGTCGTACGGAGACACCGCGGGTATACCGGTGCTGTTGTTGACGAGATTGGGCGATCCTGTGCCAGCAGAAGAAAAGCTGGGAGCTGGTGTTTGGTACAGCTCTGGAGAAACCACTACAGACGGGTTTGCTTGTGCATGGCCGATGAGCCGCAATGCTGCGCTAAATTGGACGAAATTTAGAAAACCCTGGTTATCGTTATCGCTAAGGGCCCAAATTTGCGATAGAATTTGAGCACTGAGTCCTGATTGACTAAATAATGGCTTTACGGCCTCTCCTGTGACAATTCCCAGATCTTCGGGATCCAGCTTTTTGAACTCTTTCTTGAACACATCTTGTTCCTGCGGAGAAAGCGGAACTCGAAACGTCACCTGTACCATTGATTAGCTTGCAGTGACGAGTATGACAGAGCAAATGGTGGCAATAGCAGTTTACAGAACGGCTTTCTTCTTGCTTGAAGGTTGCTGAAAGACTGGATGATCTTGGTATTATATATGAATATATAATATATATGAGCGAATAGGGATGTCCGTGATACATGATATATAAACTCCAGCACGTGATCTCAGCCCAGCCAACTATGAGAAGAAGATCAGTGGTGTTCAGAATATGAAACCAGCGTTATATCCATGAATTTGGCATGCGTAAGCATAAACTTTTATGATTCTGAATTGTAAAAGGTTTAAAGAGATTATCGCACTTAACAAGCCACATGCCTTTTGCTGCTTGTTATATACCAAAATAGTCTTCTTCAATTTTATAAAATGGCAATTTGGCCGAGTGGTTAAGGCGTAAGATTAGAAATCTTTTGGGCTCTGCCCGCGCAGGTTCGAATCCTGCAGTTGTCGTTATTTTTTTGGAAAATTTATTGTCGAAGGTATTCATGTAAGAGGCACATATAGTAACATTGAGATGATCGTTGTCGTCAGACACATTGTCCGTTAAATTATCACCTATAAAAGCGAGTCCCGTCTAGCGATGTTTGCGATCAACCGTAGGTACTTCAGTATATTATTAGCAACTTCATTGATGGTGGGCCTGCTTAGGCCTAACTACGGATTCTAGATATACGTTCATTACGTCCAAGCACGATAAAGCAGCCCATTTTATTGCATTTGCACTGGAATCATGGCTTTTCTGTAAATCTATCAATGTTCAAACCATTGAACTTCGTCGTGACGTCGTTCTCGACAAATACGTGCTGGCTTTGCTGGTTTGTTCGGGATTCGCTAGTATAGGAAGTGAGCTTGCCCAATCGCTACTTTCGCATGGGAAACGGAAATTCGATGTCGGGGACATTGCGTGCAATATTTTAGGCTCAATTGTGGGAGTATCCATTGCATACGTTAAGGAGAGGTACCATTGAGGTTTCGCCGTCTTTAATGGTTTTCGTTTCGATCTTCATTTAGAAATCATATATACATGAAGTGCTATGCTGTAATTTTCAATGCGTAAGGCTCTATTTCAGTCTGATGTATGCTCTGTGTGCGATTGCGGTCTTATGCATTTGGTCCCGCTTGTCGAAACCAGAACTGTTGCCCTTGTACACGGATATCAGCTCTTCCCCAAGTCTGACGGCCAGTTCGCTCGAAACCCGCTTGTCAGCGCCCTCTGAGATCCATTTCCATGCAATCCTGTTTCTCTGTCTGCTGTTGAGCGGCACGGGAATCACGGCGGCTTTGGCAACACCAGTCTTGAAAGTCTTGACCACCATCAACGGCGCAAGATCGTCCATGGCCTTTTTGAGAAGCGGCACGGGATCTTGACGTGTGGAGCAGAACACAAGATAAAGAGCCCTAGAAAGTGTTCTTTCAGCACGCTGTTTCTTGCCGTGACGCATGATCATGTTGATTACGTGCTGGATCGTTTCGTCTTTGCGTGGGGGGAGTGGCACTCTTTTTAAACTTTCCCACTCTGCCACTTGTTCGTCAGTGGGCTCAAACGTCTTTTTGGCGTTAAGTGCTTCTTCCAAAAGGTTGATTTTTGTTTGTCCGGGACCCGCTAGTGACGTTTCTGGCATAAACTGTTGTTCAGTGAATTCCGACCTGAGCGATTCGATAGCCTCTAGCCACGAATCCACTTCTGAGTCTGTAAGAATGCCATCGCTGGAAGAAGTAGTGGAAGCTTTTTCTGTCTGTTGTTGTGAGTTGTGCATCGTTGTTTGGTGGAAAGCCACCCTGGGACTGTATCCAAACGATCTTACAGCCAAACGACCTGTTTGGCCCAAAATAAGCCTCGGAACATTACGGGCATGCAGTTGCCTGCGGAAAGCAAACATCTTTGATCCTTGGCTTGCCGTTATTAGTGGTTCGTGAGCGTACCGTTTATAGCTTTCAATATTGAGAGCCTGGCACTTCCTAATATCATCATCATCAATAATTCAAAAATTTTCCAGACAGTTGACGTATGAAGCGACGTGATCGCGTACTCATTTTTGACGTGAGCTGGGGCTCGGCGGCTAAAAGCGTCTGTTTCGAAGTAAACAAAGAGAATAGTATCTCTTTAGTGAGGGAGAAGCACACGGTGTGTTTGTATGGAGCAGTAGCGTATGAAGCAGTAGCGTATGAAGCTTGGAAACAGGATTTTTCTTTGAATTTATCTCACCTCTAGTGCCATGCTAAACCAGACCACCGGCGAAAAAAATAGTTCTCCAGAGTAGATTCAGCTAGTGAGAAGCTTTTCATGTTATCGTTTTGCCGACACAGACGGACCATACAGTATGCAGTAGTTTATGAAGTTTCCTGTGTAGGAAATACACTATGTGTGAAGCAGTACCATATTTGGAGCCTCAAAATCTTGTTTTCGGCATCATATTGAACTTATTTCCCGCTCAATATCATCCCAAAACAATCCATCGGCAATGCTTTCGCACTAAATTGTCCTTGTATGCTCTTATTTCTCATGTTTTGTTCACCTTCCAGTTCTTAAAAGTGCTTGTCCCAGGGAAGAGATCTAATCTGTCAGTGTCATTATATATATACAGGTGAGGAAAAGGTGTTGAGACAGACAAACACAAGCGACAGGAACGAACAGAACACATATAAAGAGCATACGAGACTGTTCAGAAGTGTGGTGTCGAGAATGTGTTTGTTTTAGCGAATTGTATGTATTTTGGATCTACGGTAACCATTGTTTGTACTCTTGGGCTCTTTTACAAGGTAGAATACGGCTGTTTGTAGCGACTGCAAAGCTCGATGACCAAAACAGGAAAATGCTCAATGGGTAGAATGCTTACTTCTAAGAATGTGACATCCTTGCCATCGCCAATGGCAGTACTGGGTGATTTCCACATTTTTATCTCGCCCTGCACTGTGATTTTCATATCATGTAAAATGACACTGACATTAAAACATTACGAGCGAACCAAAAGACAAGCACATATAAGAAGCCACCGTTGATTAAGCCATGGCATGGGCAAGGGTGCAACCAGAGTCTGTTTTGGCAATGTTGTATTGACCGAAACAGCATGTTTAAAGGGAACGTTTTATAATTGCAATTGTCACCAATTTCACCCCAACAAAGCCAGAAAACGCTAACACAATGGAAAGCCGATATCTCACCCATTAGAAGGTCTATAGTATTCGATCAATATCGTCAAACTTGGCTGATCCTAGATGTGTTGTGTTTGTCATCACTATACACGAAGTATTCCATATATTGAAATGTATAGCTCATCGCTCTCTGTTAAAAAGTCCATGAAATACACACTCATGTCTTGTTAAGACAGGCAACAGCACCGTTTAGAAGGCACCTTTTGTGCCACACTATGGTCTCCAATATGATGGGAATCAAGGCCGATTTCTTGTACAAAAATTTGACTCGCATTGTAGTTGAAAAAGATACATCGGTGTTCCGGACTCTCCCGTCCAGAAAACTTATACCAGAACTGTTGATGCATATGACGGAAACTATTCCAAATGAGATCTTTGAAGTGAATGATGATACTGCACAGTTGATTAGTCGTTTACAGAGACTGGCTGGACATTTGAACTCCAATTTCACCGGAAATGACACTTACCCGTTTACTATACAACGAATCTGCGAAGTGTGCTACCATCCTCTCAAATATTTCAAAACTCACGAACTTGCAAAATTCGTTAACGCTCTGGAACGGTGCTGTCTGGTGAGTAGCAGCTTGGAAAACGACTCTCAAGCGCCTTGCGAAAATGTGGGCGATGCAGGCGACGTGTCGTTGAAAAGAATATGTTGGGTGAATGAGAGCGAAGAGAAAGGCCTGGCAGCGTTTTTGCGAGAAATAGAGACCACCGTTAGCGTCAATTTCGGCTATGAAAATGAAGATGACGATGACGACATTATGAATCCCGCAGAGGGTATTGACCCAACTCCGTACGCCAATGATGCTGAAGACGATGACGAAGAGGACGGTGACTACGTTGCGGGAGAAGAGGTCAAAGATGAGGATGAAGACGAAGACGACGACGAAGATGAAGATGAAGATGAAGAATCTGACGATGGCGGTTCTGACGACGATCACGACGATGACGAAGAAGAAGCTGTGATTCACACCGGGGAACACAACTCTGATGACACACAAGAGCTTTATGTAAGCACAGAAACTATCGAAACGAGCCGTGCAAGAACAAGAGGCCTGAGGGACACCATGTCTATCGACAGGCGCGAAACCGTGGTTGAAGGTGCAGGCGCCTTTGAAGAAGAAGAATCAACAAGCGAAGATGACGATCCCGACACCAATGACGTTATTCGGAAGCGAAAACCGACCGAGATGGACGTTTACGAATATGAAGAAAAAGAACAGGCTCGCATAACGACTCCAAAAAAGCAGCGGGGTGTTAACACCACTGCCACTGCCACGCTAGCACATTCTCCACTTTTCACGCAAGGTTCTGCCGTCCAAAGCGCCAGTCTGGAACAGCAAATATCGATGCTGGTATCTCCAAGTTCCGTAACAGCTTCAGAGAGTAATAAAATCACTCCGATATCTGGCGAATACTTAGAGAAAACCAGTCCTCTGGCAAATAAAAGTGGGAAAAGGTAGAACAACATGGGCAACACTTTAGAATTCAAATTCATAGACTATATATAATGTACGTTTTTTGTTTGGTGCTTAGTTGGAAGTCCAAGATTCTTAAATATCTCAGATCAGAAGATAAACAAAGCTATCAATCGGGACACAAGATAGCTACTCTTCTTTTTCCAAAGCTTATCCTAATAATGTTTTTAGTTCTTGTATTTCAAGTATTGATAAATAATATCTAAGTCGTTGGTTTGAATATGAAAAGTTAGAGTTCGAGCTTTTTGAATCCAACAGATCGAGGAGTTTTCAGTCTATTTTTCATGAACTCCATAACGAATCCATGATCGGTTAAAGAGTTTTCAATTTTTGGATGAATTTCAAGAGAGTCATCATGCTGATTACCATCTCATCATACTCATGTCGTTTCTGAGTCTCATGTAGTCGAGCAAATCTTCGATTTGACCGGTACCGGCAATGGCAATATCTTGGTCCCATAATCTGGAAGAAGCCCAAGATTTGACGTCGCTGACGGTAATGGCATCAATCTTTTCAAAGACTTGAGCCAAATCTGGAGATGAACCTAGGGCCAAGGTATTGGCACCTAGGCTGTTGGCGGTGGACACGTTGCTCAAAGAAGTGCTACCCAACTTGAGTTTCAATAGAGACTTAGCACGGGCAACTTCTTGCTCGGTGACGGAAATAGTCAATCTGTTCCACTGCTTTAGGGTGAAATGAGTTAGATCGTCGATTTGTCCGATGTTTGATATTTCAGCGGCAAACCCCCATAGACCAGAGTCCTTGTAAGAGTGAGAGAAATGGTCGTAAGTGTCCACCAAGTGGTACTCTTGGATTTCGTCGAGTAGCTTGATACCCTGTATCTTAGAAGAAGGCTCGTGAGCGTTGAAAGATCCGAACACTTCTGCGGCTACTTGAGCGACATGGTAGTTAGGAGAAGTGACTGATTCACCCTCGGCGGCGATAGCAATCCAAGCCTTTGGTAGAGTGTCATCTCTTAGTCTGACTTCGGAGCCCAAGAAAGAGGACTTTTTCTTTAGCTCTGGCTTTTCACCCGAGTGCAAAGACAATTGGGATTCAACGGCTTTGACAAGCTCTTCGTGAGAAATGTTACCGGAACCAACGATGACGGCGTTGGAATTGCGGAAATGGCTTTTGGCAAAATTCTCAATGTCGATTTTCTCCAAATCTTGTAGAGCTTCAACGGTACCTCTGACGGGCAGAGCCAATGGGGTGTTTTGGAAAGCGGTAGCGTGCAAATGCTCCATGACACGACCGGCATGGTCGTTGAGCTCGAATTGCTCAGCTTGCTGGATGCTCTTTTGGATGGCACCAGAGATAGCACCGTCAGGGCCGGAACCCGAAGCGATGGAAATTTGCGATTGCAAAAGGTCCAAGGATTTGTTCAAACCTGCAGCGCCAGAAAAGGAAGCCAAAAACGACTGCGATTCTCTGGAAACGCTGGTAGAGATCTGTGCGCCCAATTTGGCAGCTGGCAAAGCACCCTCGCTTTTCACCAAGTTGGAAATGATGCTGGAGACACCATTGTTGTAAGGGTTTTCCGCAGTAGAGCCAGAACCGAACACGATACCGACGGTAGCTGCACCGGCCTGGTCGTTGGTGCTGGTGGCAACTCTCAGACCGTTGGAAAGCTCTGTTAGCTGTGGTTTGACGTGAGATGCCAGGGTTCTTCTGAAAGCAGATCTGGAAGCGGTTCTAAGCATTATTCTGATGGTATTTGGGATTTTTTGGCACGAAAATTCGGAAAAAAAGGGCTCAATGAAATCCTGTTTCTTTCACGCTTGCACCGTAGTAGTGGACTGTTGAATTAGAGTTTCACACTTGGGGATTTTCTCTGTAAAATCTCGTCAACTCCAGTTTCGTCTTATCCAAAAACTGTGAGATATTAGCGAAAAATGGTCCAAATTTGAAGGGGGAAAAAGCACACAAGCCGCAAATTTCACACGTAGCCAATTAAAGAGAATGCTGCTAGAACGGCTCTCGATAACAATTGATTCAAAAGGCTTTCTGGTAGTGAATGATTATACCTGTTTCGATAGCTATGGATATTTCGGTCATTAGTTCTATACTATTATATCAAAAAGTTTTTCATATAGCCAATAGTAGAGTGGATCATTGTATCACGTGAGCACTTCCTGAAAAACCTATGTGCTTTTGAACGGGTCTGGGAAAACAAATGGCGCAGAATGATTGGTTCGTGTGTGGTGATGATACGTGCCGCGTCACACTCGTATACTGTGATGATCATGTGTGTGTGTGTCTACACCGGTTCGAATGCGTATTCATGGTAACGGTCAAATGCCTGGATGAGAGTTCATACTCCAGGTGTGGTCTCCATTTTCTCGATTAGCCTTCGATCTCTCCAGACATGTACGTGATACCACGCCTCGATGAATTCGTTTACTCCAGACGTGTGCTTAGTGCCACGACTTCAACACTCATCTCTGGCATCAGCCTGCCTTATATTTACCACCTTGCGGACTTCTCATTCTTCATGCCGCACTTTTCAAGAGCAACCCGTTTGCGACGCGGTTTTCGACGACCAGTATCCATCAAAGTATCCGAAAACTATATTGTCCTTATCCGTTAGATATCCGTTTCGTATGTGGCGATGATCCGTTTTGGATCCGTTTTCTTCATTTGGTATCCGAAAATCCATTTTCGGATCCTGGATATCTGATATTTTCGCTCCTTCCGCGAATTTCTTATCTTATCTTATCTAAAGGTAGAGAATACCATCAAGAATGGCATCAAGAACCATACACACCACCATCGTTCGCCAACCTACCTCAAACGGCAGTGGCTCGCGATTACGCTGGCACACTCAAAGGCTCTCTACCCGACCGTATCAGATGGCGGCGATCTAGGTTCATGCTTTCCTCGATCAGGACAGACAAACTTGTAGATTCCCGAAATAATGATTCAGTTGGATTTCCCAATAGTTTTACTCTCTGGTCGCAGTCTTTCTTTGATCGTCTGGCTTTTATTTAAATAGTGGTTCTTTCAGACCCTCGAGCCATTTCGTCGTTTTATTTCACTTTACAAGCGTTCAACGACATTCACCAGAAAACGCCCGAAACTCTCAATTAAAATGGCCAGAAAAATCGAATGGACCCAAGTCGGTGTTTCCTCAGGACCCACATTTCTTTCCCCAGGCTGGATTTCCGGTAAGGATAGCGAGCTGTTGTTCACGTCCGGGTGTGTTGGTAACGATGCTTCCGGTCAATACCCTGAGGACGTCGAAACGCAGACCAGAAACGCCTTGGAAAACCTAAAGCGAGTTTTGGCTGCCGGCTCCACCGATTTCGACCATGTGCTGAAAGTTCTATTATTCGTTTCCGATGGATCTACCGCTGCCACCGTCAACAAGGTCTACCAGGAATACTTTCCCGGTAGCCCATCTCGTAGTTGTATCGTTGTCAGCTTTCCAGACACTAGAATCAAGGTCGAACTTGAGTGTATCGCTGAAGTGCCTGGTAAATGATCCAAAAATCGAAAAATGTCGTTTACGAAACAATGCACGTTGAATTCAGGAGTCGGGACCTCACTAATTGAGCTTCTTTGGTTAGCGTGCAATTCTTATAGAGACTTATATACGTGTTGAACGCGGACTTCACTTTCATCAATTGAAATAAGGACTCATCAGCTCACCTTTTAGACTCTACAATCAGTTTCTTGGTTGTTTTTTTGGTCTTAGATCTGGCGCGACAAGCATTCTATAGCTCACAAACTGTATGTGTAAGAATGACTGACGCTTTTATCAAATTATCACTTTGCGAAGGTGAACTATACAATAAACTCTCTATAACTAGCGTTTTAAATATGGCAAATAAGATGGAAATGCAATTCCATCGTGAATCTTGTGTTTATATCTCTGATGATTCAATGACGTTGTTGTGATCAACTAGAAGCTAAGCCAAACCAGCTAGCTTCAACTCTTCCTCTCTCTGGCTACCCAGGTCCTTATCTAAAGGCAGGAAAGCTTAATGGCATGTAGCCCTGGTCGTAAAGGGTGTCGTTGGCACGAGGGTTACGGAACTGTAGACTCTTGAAATCCACTAAACTTTCGTTCAGGTCAGAAATGCGTTCAACGCCCAAAAGTCTCATATTGTTCTGAATCTCGCCACGTAGGATTTGCACCAGGTGTTCTAGGCCGGGTTCACCGTATCCAGCCATGGCATACAAGAATGGTCTACCCATACCCACACCCTTGGCACCCATGCACAGGGCCTTGATGATATCGGAGCCTCTTCTTACACCACCGTCGAGGTAGATCTCAATCTTGTCCTCGAGGTTCTTCTCTTTCAACATGGTCCTTGCCTCAGCTAGCACTTCAAGCGGAGGACGCGAGAAGTCTAATTGTCTTCCACCGTGGTTCGACAGCACAACGGCCTTTACACCTCTTTCTGCGGCAAGCACAACGTCCTCACCTCTTTGTACACCCTTTAAACAAACAGGCAAATGAGTGGAAGCGATAATCTTGTCGACATCCTTCCAGGTAAACTTGGCGTAGGCCATTTTGCTTGTGACAATCGATGATAGCTCTTTGCTAACAGTGGTGTCGGCTGAACGTTGTCTGGTATCTTTCTCTCTGTTACCAATGTCACGCAAATCGACATTCACAAAAATACCCTTGATACTGGGCTGTTCCTCGAGCCTCTTGATCAACTTCGGAAAGTTGTTGAGCTCTTCAAGATTGTCAAAGTGGTATTGATACCACTGGTTTTGAGTGTCGGGGACGTGCTCGAAAAATTCGTCGACACTGTAGGAACATTGCTTGGGAACCATTTGCATAACGTTTTCTTTTTCGGCCACGGCCTGTAGGTTCAGTTCGGCCAAGGGATGTGCGAGCTTCGAACCGGCAAAGGCCGAGATGTAAAAGGGTAGATCAACTTTGGTTCCCAGAAACTCGGTAGACGTGTCGACGTCGTATTCGATGTCTTGTAACACTTTTGGCCTGAAGAAGACTCTCCCGTAAGCGTAGTGGTTTTCGCGAATGGAAAACTCATCAGAGGCACCGGTGGCGTAGTAGGCAAATGTACCCTTCGGCAATACTTCTTTAGCAATACCTTCGAAATCGGAAAGGTTAAAGATGCGAGCGAGTGGAGGGATTTTCTGCCGCATTTCTCTCAATGTGATCTCCTCCTCGGGCTCCTCTATGTGAAATTGGCCCTTTAGCTTGCCGATGTACACCAACGAGTCCTTCATTCTATCCAAAGTCGAATCGGAGTGGATCGAGTAGAAAGTGCGGGTTGCATCTCTACCGGCAACTTGCATGATTCTGGCTGCACCGCCGGGGTGCACTTGCAGGAAATCGGTTACGTCGTAAACCTCCCCGTTAAGCACAATCCAGCAGTCATCCATCTGGTTGTGTAGCATGACTTCAGAGGGCTTGATATCGCCTGGAGATTGGTCCAAAAACGAATATAGCAGAGCGGCAGCAGAAGCTGAAGTTGTGGTCAAAATCGATGCTTTGAGCGCACGAGTGCGCTTGCTGGGGTCACTGAGCTTTGACGTCAACGACCCTATATTTCTTCTGGAGCCTCCAGATACTGATTGGCGCCGCAGTGGGCCGTTTTTAAAACTGCCACGCAGTCTAGACGCTGCGGACCGCGAGCATTGTACAAATTTCGAGGAAAGCATGATTGATCAAATGAAGGGTTTATTCGAGACTGCTTGCAGTAATGCAGCTTTTATGCAACGAACCTATAATACCCTCAAATGTCAACTTTCAAGGCTCCAGCAACCCATCTGTGCCCTTTTTATAAGCTTTCCAAATCTACCATTGCATGCCAGTCTGCCTATTCGATTTATTGATCTCAACTATCATCACCATCAAGACCACAACAGAGGCCCGACAATCCCGAAAGCATCGAGGACCTCCTCCATAACATCTTTATCTTCCCAGCTTCCGCATTAGACACTACTGACAGGGCTAAGATCTACTACTTACCTATTTCTACCGGTCAAACGCCCAATTAGGCAGCTCGTTGGACCCTGGTTTCTGCTATCAGAGACATATCTCACCACGCTTGTCCAGTCTCATATCGTGGTAGTTGAAAGGCTGGTGGGGGATGTGTCTGGTGTGCGAAACATCCAGTGGAAATTTGGTCAAGCTATGGGTATCGAGATTAGTTCAATGGATATCTCTAATCTCATAGATAAATATAGGCGATGGCGAGTACGCAATGATGAGTACATTTATAAGTACTCAAAGAACGCGAGTACATTTTGATCTCGGGTACTCGAGTACTGTGGTGAAATATATCAGTACTTACTATGCTCATCTCGCCGCATAGCTGATCCGCCCTGCTACGAGGAAATAGTTCGACAGCCAAGCTCTTTGAAGCTCTCCAGTAGACGATCAATTGGCGAAGGGCTCAGTGAGCCTACCACCACCACCGCCACCACCACCACCACAATATCTCTCGAAACTCTGTTTCCCAATAAAATTTACCTTGTAATTAGCATGATGGTATATAACTATACAGTAGTGGTAGACACACTACGACCCGTGCAGTCTCTCAGAACTTGCCCTCAGCGTGCAACTCCTTGGTCAACTGGTCCACAGATTTGACAATCTTCTCGACCAACTCGTTGACGTAGGCTTCGTCGATGATGAAGGAAGGAGCGAGCAAGGCACGGTCACCGGTGGTGCCCTCTTCGGTACCCGAGAGGGCCATAACACTCAATTTGTTGTCGAAACAGATTTGCTTGAAACGAGGAGCGACGTTGGTTGCGACATCGAAGACATCCTTGGTGGCTCTGTCCTTAACGAATTCAAGCGACCAGAAACCACCGATACCTCTGACGTCACCGACAATGTTAGAGTAGGATAGCAAAGCGTCCTGGAGTCTCTTACCCATGAGGTTACCCATCTTGAATATGTTCTCGGTCAAACCTTCCTTTAGAATCTTCTTTTGAATGGCTAGCGCAACAGAACAGTTGAAAGCGTGAGAGGAGTATGTGTTACCACCGAAGATGCTGTTGGAACCCTTGGTGAAAGCTTCGACGATCTTGGGTCCGACCAAGACACCAGCAATGGAAACGTAGCCGGAACCCAAAGTCTTACCGACGGTCTGGATGTCTGGGGCCTCGTTGTCGGCCAAATAGTTTTCCCAGCAGTTCAACTTACCGTTAGGGTTCGATCTACCGGTACCGCACATAACTTCGTCTAGATGGAAGATCAAGTCGTACTTGTTGCACAGCTTTCTGATACCTGGCAAGTAGCCCTTTGGTGGTGGGCACGTACCCAAAGTAGAACCTGGCAAAGTCTCAACGGTGACGGAGGCAATGGTGTCTGGGTCGTTGGCCAAGATCTTGTCTTCCAAGTCCTTGAGTAGACGCTCGCTGTAAGCCTCTTCGGTCTCGCCGCTCTTTTGTAGACGGTAAGGGTAAGCACTGTTGATTTTGATGTTGGTCTTCTCACGGTTCATGAGGTATGGCTCGAAAGGCAAGACTTTAGGGTTCCAAGAAATGGATTGGGCACCCAAGGTGTAACCGTGGTATGACAATTCTCTGCTGATGAGCTTGGTCTTGTTTGGAAGGTTACGCTCTAGAAAGTACTGTCTGATGATTCTCAACGCGTTTTCGTTACTTTCGGAACCGGAGCAGACCCATAGGGCGGCAGAAAAGGCGCCCTTGGGCGAGTTGTCGATGTAGAATTTGGCTAGCTCTTCAGAAGGCTTGTTACCCATGATTGGGGCAAAAGAGTAAACGGCTTCTTTGGCAGCATTGGCCATGATTTCTTGCACTTCCTCGTTGCCCCATCCTAGAGCACCGACGGCAGCACCGGTGACACCGTCTAGGACTCCGCTATGGACTTGGCCGTCTTTTTCGACGTCGATGTACACACCTTTACCACCGACGACTTGGAAACCGGGAGAGTCGACGACACATTGGAACGAGTAGGAGGGTTGGGACACTGGAGAGGTGGGCACGGTCATTGGGATGGTTTGTTGGTAAGAGTTTTTACTGTTTGATGGCAGTGATGAGATGAGAAGAAAAGAGAGAAGCACAACAAGAAGTGAAACTCTCAAACTAATCTTCCATTGTCACCAGTCCTGGGGTCTTATATACTTAGTTTTTGGCAGACCGCTGGGTGCCTCTAGTTCTACTTACTTCTACATACTTCTACAGCTGCTATCTACCGCGCATCTCAGAGCCTATCTACAACTTGTTAGGTTTCCGCCATGAAAGCCCGCTGGGCCTTTATCCCATCGAGAAACTTAATGTTGTACGAACGTACACTGGGTACAGGGACGAGTTCCCTGGATAGGGAACTCGACCCGAGACTACAGGCGTTACGATATCGTACAACATGGCACTGATTCACAGGATCACAGGGCTTACCAGTGGGTAGTAGTAGTGTTGGTCTTTCTTGTTCTACTGATAGTAGTTCTTGGTGCCAGAGATACTGCTACTATATCGGGAAAGTCTAGGTGATAAGAGTGTCTACGTATATAGTGATCTTCGCCGAAAAGACTCATGGGTCCTGTCTAAACTTACAGAATGTACGATAATTAGAGATATGTGAAGGTAGCGATTCGGACATCTAAATCCTATGCCTGTGTCAAGTTGGGAAGAGGAAGGTAGTTGTTTCTGTTTCTATGTGTAGTAGTGATACTGAATTTTTCTTGATCAATTTATAGATCACGTGTGTGGAAAACAGGGCATTTCAACTCATGTGACGTTAGTTTCGGATAAGCGCGGGTTTGGGAGAGGGAAAGACACACATAAGCACATAGGGGATCATTTCCCGAGAGGGGTGGATGGTTTAATTCGCTGGTGGTGATCCGTTTAGGATCCGTTTGGGATCCGTTTGGGATCCGTTTGGGATTTGTAGTGGTAGTGTATGTTTCTAGCCATAAGTAATGGTATCGGATTGGGCATATTACTCATAGTGTAATTTCTTGTGTGGTTTGGATCAATTTTTGAGACCCGCCCAACAACCCGTTTCGTATATAGTTATGATCCGTTTTGATCCGTTTGTGATTTGTTACGTAAGCGGATACGATCCGTTTGTGATCCGTTTGTGATTCGTTTGATATCCGTTTGTGATCTGTCAGCTTTGGATGCCTATATGAGTATGATCCGGTGGTGATCCGGTGGTGATCCGTTGGTGATTGGTTTTGATCCGTTTGTGATCCGTTTTCATCCGATTTCATCCGTTCGTCATCCGCTTGAAATATATCAACCTCTAATGAACAGTGGGGTGTCCTTAACATCTTTCTCCCAGCTGTCGTTCCTTCCACGAATATTGTCTCATTACCATACCTAAAAGCTTGTATACCTTGTTGTACGTAACGTTCCTGTAAGAACCGATCGATCCGACCATTCTCATTGTCTCAATCAGATGACCGCGGTCCATATCTTCTCAGCCATGTTTTTAGGAACCGGGTAGATATAGTTGCGTTCTTCTTCTTCAGCACGTTCGATCTTGGGCAAAATGTCTTCCTTGACCTCTTCCATGTCTCTGAACCTGAACTCGCGGTAGTAAATCGTGCTGCCGACGTACAGGACGGCAACAAAGCCGATTGTCACGTAGGAGGCGAAGAAGTCGCTAGTGTTCCAGTTGCCATTGATAAAAACGGCGTACCCGTTTGTCAAGGCTAGAACCGTGAAGAAAATACCACCGGCCCACGCAAATTGGTATTGGAATCTTGGTGTGAACGGCAGTCTGTCAGCGATGTTCATGTACTTCACAATGTGGCGGAATCTGATGTACGTAACCGAAACAAACACCCAACTCACAAACCCTGAAATCGTGGCAATGTTCGACAACCAGGTGAATACAACGGAAGCCGAATCCGAGCAATTGAGGTACGCCAAAAAGCAGAACAAACTGGCCAATCCGGTCGAGTAGTAAGGAACACCCATACGGTTCACTCTACCGAAAATCTTGGGGGCATCGCCTCTGATAGCCATCGAGTGCAACACACGCGAGGCTCCGTATAGTTCGGCAGTACCAGCAGAGTAGGCACTGGTCAAGATACAGGCATTGATGATGTGAGGCAAAACCCTGATACCTGCGTCCTTAATACCAATTACAAACGGAGAAGCAGCGGCATCGCTGGCACCGCTGGCCAAAGCGTTTAGCAAACGTGTATTGTTGGATCCCACAACAACACCAATAACAAGAACACCGCAAATGTAGAAAAAGGCCAAACGGTACACAAATCTCTTGCAAGCCTTTGGCATGTTAACACGAGGGTTAACAGATTCAGCAGAACAAGACGTAACCAGTTCAGGCATCAAAACAAACGAAAACCCACTCTTAATAATGGCAGTCCAGACCGCCAAAAACTTACCGGTGTTCCCGGGAACCAAATGTTCTTGGAACGCACCAGGGTGCTTCCAGTAGTGGAAACCAAGGACATGGTGCTGGGCAGGCCCGCCGCCGAAGAAAATCACCAGTCCTACAATAATCAAGCCCGAAATGGTCAGAAGCTTGATGGTTGATACCCAAAATTCACTTTCTCCAAAAACACGCACCGGAAGCATGGTAACGGCAATGGTGATGACGACAAAAATCGATACAAAAATGGCAGAGTTCGCATCGGTCCAGTACTTGATCAATAGAGCACATGCGGTGATTTCAGCGGGTGCAATCATGGCCATAGCGTAGAACAAGTTCCAGCCGCACATAAACGAAAGCGGCTTGCTCACATAAGTACGGGTCATCGCGTACATGGACGCTTCACCGGAAAGTGGGATCAAGGCCACCATTTCCGTGAGCTGGTTCATTAGACACCACACGAAAAACGACATGATCAAGTAAGAGATCAACAGTGGGGCCGGCCCACAGGTCGCCAGCGCACCACCGGACCCAACAAATAAACCTGTACCGATGGCACCACCTAGGGCGATAAGCTGGATGTGTCTGGACTTCAGGCCACGGTGCACTTCGGTGGGGGAGCCTTCGTACTGTTTTTCCTCGTCAAGGTCCGTTACGGAACCCAGGCCCACATCGATGATATCTTGCACAGCCGTTTCTTTGTTGTGTTTGAGCTGGGCCGACAAAAACGGCGACGGCGACACATTCGAGGTCAAATCTAGCATTTGCGACATGGTGGCAGATTGGGAAATGAATTAGAGGTTGCTACCACAAAGCTTAGAGCCAGTGATGCTGGTTGGAGAGCAGTTGCTTGAGTAAAAAGGAAGAATAAGGGAATCATATATTCATCCTAAACTTCAATTCCAAACCCCAATTTCAGAACTCCGTTACTCTATTTTTATAGCACAGCTTTTACCAAAACTCGCGAGATGTGAGAGTGTGTATCGATTATCGGAGCATGTTTACGATGGTGAGCCCCGATCATTATCATAATCTATCACAATCACAGACATTGTTCGAGTGTTACCATCCTCTCTAATCAGTAATTGTCCAAGGATATCACCGAACAAAGTCCTGTAGTGACAATTGGCTTCTACCTGCCCCGATCTCTCCGGCTAGTGTTAATGTTCTGTTCGTCTTGACATTTCACCAATACACGGCGCTTGGAATGGTAAGAAGAGGCTCCTAAGTGCGGAGTGTTGATTCCGGCGATAGCTGAGTTACACAGTTTGTGATAACACGGTACAAACAAGTTGCCCAAACCGTCGGATTCATCTCAAGGGCTTACACGATAAGAGCGAGAACTGCTATGTGAGGAAGGTCACTAGAGATAAGCTTGGAAAGAGAGGGGCAAGACAGAAGTGGGAAGAGGAAGACGACATCTGAAATAAGCAGGAAACAAGAGATCAAGAGTGCTTAATTGACAAGGACGAGCCTGGGAGAGCGGGTAGAATCTCATCTTTCTTCGAAGCATAGATCTTGATGATGATAGTATATCGATATCTACTATCGGGTGAAGATAAAGATTAAGTTGGATAAGTGTGTCAGTTTTGGAAATAGTGATCTGGTGTTAGGACGTACTTCAGATGTTGATCACGTGATCACGAAACGGGAACTACCATAACCCGTTTCAAAATGATCGTGAACTTCAATTGGTTGAGTATATTTCCTGTGAAATTGATTTGAGTTCTGCGATGGCTACAAATAATACCATTTCACTTGATTTTCACCTCTCTCGGCGATATTTTGGTCATTGATTTAAATTGTGTCAAAGAAATCATGAAGCAGAAGCTGTCGGCTGATAGGATATTTAGTTGTGGGAAATCTGATATCTGTGGTATAGGCCTTGGCCCCACTCGGAAGATGGACCTCAGGTCTTTTCTGGCGAATTTGTCGAAGTCTTACATAGCACGAAGAAAGACTGTCGATTTCTCTATCACGTGACACGTACTTTAAACTTTTATAGCTTTCTTTTGCTGACGCCAGAACCTTGCAAGAGGAAATTCCTTCCGCGATCCTTCCGCGACTAACGGACACATTCTAAACGTTCCTTATTTGCATTGAAAGCGGGTCGTTATCAATTGGACCATTCTCCCAGCCGGTATTGCCACTATATAGGCATAAGCTGTGCGCTTTTATCATGTCTGACGAAGATGGACTCGGACAGGACTCTTGAACAACTTAACAGCGCGACACAGGCTCTAACGAGCTTCACGGTCGAGGAGACATCAAGATCAATGCTGCTTCTTTAGCTTCGAGGGCAGGTATCTCCTATACCACTCACGCCCAAGAAAATAAGCAAAATGTTTTTATAGTAAACCTTGCTATTTACAACTAATGTAACACTCGGTCGTTCAACTGTGCTAGTAGCCATCTGTACTTTCACGAACGCTTTCAATTGCCCTACAAAGTCTCTGGTCGTCTTTCATATTCTCATCAAAACTTGGACATACATAGATTTTATCCTCCTTACTTTACTATTGGTCAATGACACTCTCCCACCCAGTCGGGGGTTCTCGCAACACCACCACTTACGCAAAAGCCTCGAAAGATCCCCACTTTGGATCAACGTAGCGATGAGTGCCAACCTTCTTGTGGAGATCGGAAATGGCTTGGATATCCTCGGGACTCAATTTGATGGCCTTGAAGTTTGATTCGATCCGCTTCGGGTTCACAGACTTGGGTAGAACGCTGTAGCCGCGTGCCACACCCCAATTGATAAGAACCTGAGCGGGCTCAACACTGTATTTTGAGGCGATTTTTAGCAAATCCGGATCGGACAACAATGTCGACGTTGTGGAGCCCAATGGACAGTATGCCTCTACCACGATGCCATGAGCGTTGCAAAACTCGATCAATTCGTCCTGGGGCAACTGTGGATGCACCTCAATTTGGTTGGCAGCGGGTACCACGAATTTCAGCTCAGGCTTCAAAATCGCCTTCAGGTTGTTGATCGAGAAATTCGACACACCCACTGCCTTCGTTTTCCCGGTTTCTACAAGTTTCTGGACTAGTTCCCATGTTTTTACATAGTCCCAGCCTTCGAGGTCCACGTCACGGTTACCATCGTCCTTAACAGGAATTGTCAGAAGGTCACCGTCCTTGAGGTTGTTCGTCTTCAAAGCCACAGGCCAGTGGACCAAGTATAAATCCACATAGTCGAGTCCCAAACGCTGCAGAGAAGCGTCAAGAGCCTTTTCAGGCTCACGGTGCTGTGTTCCCCACAGCTTGGTTGTCACGAAGATTTCACTACGTGGGATACCGGAATCTCTGATAGCTTTCCCTACTGGAACTTCGTTGCGGTAAATGGCAGCACCGTCAATGTGTCTGTAGCCGAGTTTCAAAGCAGTAGCCACAGCGTTGTAAGCCTCTTGGTCGGGCGATTGCCATGTTCCGAGGCCAACTGCGGGCAACTTAGCCCCGGTGTTCAACGTCAAAGTAGGAAAAGTGGACATTTTGATAGTTTTAGAGAGATCAACAGATGATGCCAAATTGATTAATCTTGAAGCTGATAGTACCACTATATTTGACCAATTCCTTATACGATCTTGTTTCTGGGGTCTTTATATACTTCCTGGAGTCAATTGGTCTTCGCTTTTCAACGCTTTCCAATAAAGGTTGTGTCCTGCCAAACACGGTAAGAGCCTTGAAGTGATTTGTGAGGTCATTTTGGCTCACGGTTTTCCGCCTTTCCGGGTTACACGGCCCACTCCAAATGCGTTGACATTGTCTACAAACGCACAAACACCAACTGAACACGTATCGTCGACTTTTATCTCACTTACCTGCCTAGACAGTTAAGCTTATCGTTTAGAGCTAATCAGGACTTTTGGACGATAGCAGCCAACGTCACTCAGACTCTGAGAAGCATGGCTGGCCACTTCAATAATACGTGGAACAAATTGACGTCGAATGTAGACCAAGCTGCTGGAAATGATTCTGGAAGCCGGTGCGAATACCATTGACAAGAGAACTGACTATCACCGAGTTGTGGAAAATACACTTGTTTCGTTTCGGAGAACTACGGTGGGCACAGTACAAGAAAGACAATTTACTGAAAGCATGGTCAAATAGGAGAAGCTGGGCTCGAGCAATTTCGAAGAGGTGACCAAATCTGTTGTTGAAGCGCTTTGAAAGTGCGTTGGCAAAGCTTGTCAACGCTTGGCCCATTACCTATTATTCTTGACAATTTTAAGTCTTGATTATTCGTATATAGTGATTAGATCGATATCATTTTGACTTTTTCCTGGCGCCTAGTGGCTCTCCAGTTCCAGTTGTTGGAAAGGTAGATGTAGGCATATAATCCAGTTTATCCATCAGTTTTGAAATTGGGCATCAAATGTGGCATTATATGCGACTGCTCTATTCTCGAGTGTTTGGTTTTCGATGTCTATCACTGAATGTTCAATGTTTTGCCTAAAACATTATAAATACACATGGTGGAGCAAACAACATAACTGTTCAAAGCCAGGTTTGCTGTATAAACGGACTCTCTCATCTTCTAATAAGCTCTGCGTTGTATTTCTAATGTACATAATTAGTGTAGTAGGATTAAGTTTGTATGCGGGACTATATTAGTTGGACCTTATTCTCCAGTATCAGTTCTCGCACCACATTGTAGCGCATCACGTAGATCCCGCCAATAGCCAACTCTGCTTCTTCTTGAAGCTCTTGTATTGTTACCGGGTAGAATTGTTGGCCTGTCGTTTCGCTGACAAGCAAGCGTGGATCTGGTACCTGCTCTTTTTTAGGGTCAGGCCCACTCACAAAGACAAATACAAATCTAGTCCACTCCGGTTCCTCCACCATTTTCACAGAGCCGTCGTTGTCGTCGACCGCCTGTAGTTCAGGTGGCAGATGACGTAAAATCGAGTTGTTCAAAAGCTTCAGCAGTATGGCGAAATGACGCTCGTGGTATTCCAGCTCCTGCCGCGACAACAGCTCGTCCAAGGACACCGCAGCACCTTCCTCGTTGAACTGGCGCAGGTACAAATTGTATTTGTCGATTTTTGCCAGTCTGCAGCGCAAAAAACTCCGCAATACGAATCTCAGCCGTTCCAGATCGGCTTCCATGCCCAAAAGTGGCAGTTTGCTCAGCAATGTCGCATTTCTACTATCTGAAGCATCTGCAGATCCTCCTGTATCGTCCAAATACCCCATGGACAGTACTTCGATATGCTCAACCTGCTCTTGGACCCTGCGTAGCGTTCGCTGCATCAACAAATGCGGGAATGGGAGCAACTCGGGACTCATCCGTTCGTTTCTCCAATGCGTTATGAGTGTTTCAAAGTCTTCTACCGGTGATACATTCGTGATGTGCCGGAGTTTGTCGGTTTCAGCTCCATCGCTTCCCAGAATCGTTGTATCGTTATGCGTTTGCGAGATCAGTGAAGAATCCACAGCGGTCGTGTCTCTGTCCAGGTCCGCCAAGATATCATCAATGTCTATATTCATGTGGGGATAAGAGCTAGCTGTTATATAGCACTCAGGGTACGTTCCTTTGGACTGTTTTCAACTTTGGTGCCTAAGATATCAACTCAATTCTTCGAGTCCCATAAGTATTAGAGAAGCTTTAACTCGAGATTCGTAACTTTCCGATGAGATAGAAAAGGCCTTCAAACCTATGGATACGCTTGAAGAGAAGCGCAGAAAGCTACGAGAGCTTAGAGAGCGGCGAAAATTGAACCATGTACCCTTTTCAGCAGGCCCAAATGATGATTTGGCGTCCCATCTGTTAAACACAGAGCATTTGCATTTGACGAAGCAGATTGAAATGGTGAATATCAGCACACAAACGGAAGAGCCTGTTGAGTTGGAGGTAGAATCCAGGAGTATAGAATGTTTTCCAGCTATTTTAACCTATGAACAGGCTGTACAGACCGATCCAGTCCATTTTCCACAGGAAACAGATGTCCATGTGCTTGAAGTTTCGAGCGGTAGTGATGAAGAAGACGGTAACTCAGAGATTGAACTCGAATCACCGCAATTGGACTCTGCTGACACTTTGGTCAGATCTGTGGAGTCCCACGTCATCGAAAACCAAGCTTTGACCGTAGGTGTCAAGTCGTTTTCTTTGCTAGAGGCTCTAGACAAAACAAAAGCAGCACTCACTCAAAAACAGTTACAGAATACAGAGCATTACCGCATTTCGCATCGTTTGGGCCCCGAAAATGATGATCTCGGCGAGGATATCGAAACGAAGTGCGTGTGGGTCGATTACTACTCGGAGTTGGTGCTCGTTGTGTGCCAAGACAGCTACAAATCTTCGCAGGAACCCTCCATTTGTTCCAGCAGGGTTTCTATTTACAAGTTCAGTACTGGAGAACTGGTCGATACGGTAGTGTTCAGAGGCCAGGCCATCTTGCGCGGTAAATTTGTGCGTCGGAAAAGATCTACCGTGACATCTGCAATTTTGACCTCCTACAATGGCAAGACGATTCTGTATGAGACACGAGGAACAACCGATTCGAATGGCTCTTTGTTAATCGACAGGAACCTCATAGTTCGGAACTTCCATCACTATCCGGCTTTTGCGCTGTGGCAACACCACATTGACCCTCCGAGAGCGCTTGTAGGTAGTACAGACGGCACTATCAGCGATTTGGATGTCTTGAAAATGGAAGTGTACCAAAATGCTGATGTAGGTACCCAATTCAAAATTTTGCCTGTCTCATCTTCATCACTACTTTTATCTGATGACGACGCTCCACATCAGCTTTCCGGTTTTCGATTACAGCTCGACAAGCAATCTCGTTACGATGAGACTGCTGTAAAATCTCTGGTCACAATGCCACAGGATCCCACTATCATTTACGCTGGCTGTGAAGACGGTGGGATATACAAGATCAACACCAATTCTGTGAGTTCTGGAGTCCTTAGGATTGACACGAATAATAATGGGTTCACCCCCAAAACCGCTGGCGATACAGAGGATATTTTTCATTCTCTCCCGATCACGGGCCTTTGTCGATGCGCAGGCGCACCAAACCTTCTACTGTCATATGGTATGGATTGGGAATGTAAACTCTGGGATGTTTTGAACAACGAGTTACTTGCAACTATCGAGGTGGACTATCCGGTGATCAATAGTGAGTGGTTAAGTGAGGAAGATAACTACTTTGTTTTTATTTTAACTCCTGTGGCGCTTACTGTCTACAATCCCATGGTTACACTCGAGCCTTCGGAATCTGGGGTGCTTTACTGGCGGACAAATGAGAGACCTAAGGAGATTTTCAGCGTCGAGGTGTCGCATTTCGAGGAATTCACATACTTCACTAGCGTCACGGTGCTCAAAGAAAATGAGAGATGCTATGCCCTACTTGGTGGGGATAACATTCGTCAAGCGTGTGTTCTGATGAACACACAGATATGACGATAAATGCAGGGAGCCAGCGATTTTGCAAACGGTGTAGATAGAAGGTATACCGGGGCTAATGAATAATGAATAATAGACAACTAACCGAGGTAGTGGTCCTTCATCGATGAGGACATGACGTGGGTTATCACTTTGCACTATTATGTCGCAAGGTGTCCGCTCTTTTCTCAGTAGTTGAATGATCTAAGAAGAGCCCCACAATTCTGCTACCTGATGGGAGCGGGTAGAGATCACCTCAGTCGACATCAGTTCCGAACTAAAAGTTTATGCTGACGCTAGGGCAATATTTGAAGTAAATCTCTTTATATGAAAGTCATTGAGAACAAACACACTCAGCAGGCGCAAGACGAGACAGACAAAGAGCTACGGATCAAAACAATGGATCTGTTAATAACCCTAAGGCTCACTTGAAATTGCGGCAACAAAAATATTACAATAGAAAGTAAATTATTTTATACTGTCACCGGTTGACCAGCGTTTCACCATCGAGCCTTACAGCTCGACTAAAAAGATTCGATAGCTTCAAGAGTGATGGTCAAGACAGTCTGTAACGTCAAATTCAACGTTCAAGCTCCGGGCCAGCTTCATTTTCTCCAATTTGCAAAAAAATAAGTTCCTTCCCCGCCAGGACTCGAACCTGGAATCTCCTGGTTTCAGAAGTGGATACAATCGTAGCCAGACGCCGTGACCATTGGGCCACGAGGAATAAGAAACTTTGTGATGACAGAAGCGTTTTTAGCAGCCTATATCTGACAAAAATGATGGATTGAACCGGAAACCTTTGGGAGACATAAGATAGTGCGTAGTGAGAGGCAGAAGGTTTATGGTTGGATCGCAGAGAGTACATTGGAGGATAGGAAACCCTTTCAATCGAAAACGTGGATTTGGAACCTAGCGAACAGTCTTCTCAAGTCTCAGATTGGCTAAAATGGAAGGACTTCCCGCGTTTTAACGACACGAAAACCGAGAACAAGAGTTTACGCCCAATTAAAGCTCTTCAAGAACTTGGAAACATCTATCGTCTTTCGTTTTTTAAATCTTATGTCACGATCAACACAACCTTTCAAAGTAGACAAATGACTACGGAGAGTTCGAATTTTTAGACCATTCGAACTGTGTTCGAACCAGCTTCAAGCCAGCTTCAGCATCGAGAGTTGTGAAAACTACAAACAGCTCTAACAGCTCTGGTTTACTAACTTGTTAGTCATGTTGGTCCGGAATTAAGTTCGGATTTGTAAGTAAGTCATATAATATATATGCATAATGAAAAATGAAATCACCGATGCCTTTTAAACGACAGGACTTTGAAGATACTGGTTCCCATTGACTTGATCTCCATTACTTCCATCCAGCGCTAGATTCGAAATCATTATTTAGTTAGCAGTGTCTTTGTATTCAAGTATCTTTACATAATGTCCGGCGATTCTACCCATTTCACGCCAATTGAGCAGGCCTTAGAAGCGTTCAAGAACAACAAGTTTCTGATGGTTCTGGACAATGAAGATCGGGAAAATGAGGCAGACTTGATTTGCGCCGCTGAAGGTATCACACAGGAGCAAATGGCGTTTTTGGTACGCTACTCTTCCGGATACGTATGTGCTCCCATGAGTAACAGCGTAGCAGATCGCATCGATCTGCCTCTAATGCGTGAAATGAACGTTAAGTCGTCCAGAGATGACCGTCACGGTACAGCATACACAATTACGTGCGATTTTGCGGACGGAACCACAACGGGCATTTCAGCTCATGATCGGGCGCTCACTTGCCGGAAACTCGCAGACATTTCTACCAAACCATCAGATTTCCTAAAACCGGGTCATATCGTACCTCTTAGAGCTGTTGACAACGGTGTTTTACAAAGAGACGGCCACACAGAGGCGGCTGTGGATTTATGTAAGCTCACGGGCAAAGCTCCCGTTGGCGTTATCTGCGAGCTGGTAAGGGACGAGGACGGACTAATGATGAGACTAGACGACTGCATCAAGATGAAGCAAAAATTCGGTATCGACATCATCACAATTGAATCTCTCAAGAGTTATTTGTCAAAGTGAAGAAAATTAAGGACTTCATAGAAACCATTACATCTATCACAAGAGCTTTATAAAAAGTAGATCGAAAAAGAAAACTGTATATATTTAGTATCGTATGCTTTACTTTCTCATCATTCACTTCTTCTCCTTGGGCTTTATGGGAACAAGTCTCTCCTTTTGACCCCAAACCAGCTTGTGGGGCTTCATGAATTGCTCCACAATTTGATCGTTGACCTTCGATTTACGTTCTTGAAATTCACGCACAAAGTCTTGCAACACATCAATACACAGCTTCTTCATCTCACCAGATAAGAGCTCGCCTGATCTGTATTTGTCGCTAACATCTTTCAAAAATTCGTCGTCATCTTTGAAAAAGCTCAAGTACTGGAAGGCAACGTCTACATCAGGATTACCTCCTAGCTTTCTATGATCTTCTATTGATACTTGTCCGCCTGAAAAAGCATATTTGTTAATCTTCTTCTGGATCTGCTTGGGTGTATCCGTCATGAAGATCGCACTTGTATCATCAGAAGCGCTCATCTTGGTAGTAGATCCTTGAAGAGCGGGGAAAAATTTGGCATGCAACAAAGAGGGTTTGCTGAACTTGAGCTTTTCTGCCACATCTCTACAGACTCTGAAATATGGGTCCTGGTCAATAGCACAGGGAATCAAACATGGGGTCTTGTTGGGGAGCCCTAACACGTCAGGATAGGACGATGGAAACGCAGAGGCAATTTGGATAGAGGCGAAATGAAACTTACCAATACAATCCGAGTCTGAAAATCCAAAAACAGCTTTGGCAGTTGACCCGGTGATCTGTCTGGAGGCTCTTACTACGGTTTCGTAGAATCCACCACCCATGTATTGTAGATCGGAGAAAATGAAGGTGTTTTCCGGATTGAACCCAACGGAGATGATGTCGCTGGCGTTCTGACGGGCAAACCCTTTGACGTCATCGATGGTTAATTTCTGCTTGAACAGAAACTTTTCGTCGTCCGTCATTTCGATGACTAGAGGAACATCAAACACATCCTGCAGCCATTTTGTGAACAGAAAGGGAACCATATGTCCTAAGTGCATCGAATCTGAAGAAGGCCCTCTACCGGTGTATAGAAAAAACGGCTTACCTTGTTCGTACAAATCCAAAATCTTTGAAAAGTCTCTTTCGCTGAAGAAAAGACCTTTACGAAGAAAATGATGAGGTTTGTGACCAGTGACCTGTTCAAATCTCTGCAGCGTTTCGTCTGAAATTCCCTTAGTACCGAATTGCTTGATCAACTTGTCATAGTCAATGTCTTGGGATTTGCCGTTTTCATCAACCGCACCTTCAACATCCCAGGGTGTAATGTTCTGCTCTTTCACAGAAAGTTTCTGAAGATCCTCACCAGTTTGAGCAACAGACATGACTGTGATAGGTCCAGTCTGCCAATAATTTCAGCGTTAATTGGCTATGTCTATGGATATCTTCGACCGAGGTAGTCATCGAAATTTTTCAGTGATATTAATACGACTATGACAGAAAGATAAAGTTTGATCAGAACGGGGGTTTCGAAGACAAACGGATGGTCAGAGAGGATATTATTATTGCCAAAGGAGCTTAAATAGACTGAAATACCACGGGAAGCTACCAACTTTTTTCCCGGAAGTTTTCCGAGCTCTGGGCAAGTTGATGTCAGGGTTTGAAAAAGAGGTGAGATTTCGCCGATGAATTTGCGATGGGTGTGCATTGAGCTTAGACGTAGAAAGCTTCATCAAACACACTGGGATATTTTTTCTGTGCTTTTTCGCACCCTGCTTCTTGGCCATATCTGTTGAGCTTGTCAAATCTGAGCGACAGGCGACCAATTGGCGCCTAACATCCCTAGACAAGATCTACACTGTTCAAGACAACACACACATATATACGCTGGAATCGTAGTAAGCTTATCTCATGGCTCATCGCAGACCGTCTTTGGTCCCTAACCTTCTGAAAAATGCTCCTTTTCGATTGGGGGAAAAATGACCACAATCTTCATAACAATAAAAATGGCTTTTAATCCTTGCAATTCACCTTTAACTGCATCTTCTTGCCCTTTCTCGTCTTTCTTCGAGATGCCATCGCTTTAATCCCACATACTTACTATATGAAATACCATAAAATATAGATATATCGTATTACACCACGACAACTCACTTCAACTTTTTGATCTTCACGCCTCGCTCAACAGGTTTTGAACGCTATGAATCGTATATTTGGATATGGTGGTCGTAAGACCCACGACCAGCTTTTACAGGACTCCAATAAGGCCATGAACGAAGCACAACAGTCGATGCAAGAACGAATTTCCGGTCTAGACACTCAAATATCACAATTGAACGCTCAGCTACAAACCATCCAACGCAAAATATCAGGGATAAGCTCTGCAAGTGGCCAGAGGCCATTGCGTCAGCGTGCTTTGAAGCTTCTTAACAAGCGGAAACAACTAGAGTCTATGAGGGACTCACTAGATGCCCAATCGTGGTCGATGAACCAGGCTCAAATGACAAGTGATAACCTCAGAAACACCATGGTGACGGTTAACGCACTGAAACAAACGAATAAGGCCCTTAAGGCACAATACGGCAAGATTAACGTCGATAAACTGCAAGACATGCAGGACGAAATGCTGGATTTGGTAGAGCAAGGAGAAGAACTGCAACAAGTACTTGCAATGGGCAGTGGGGCTCAAGATATCGATGACATCAGCGAAACGGAGCTCGATGCAGAACTGGAAGCCCTGGGCGAAGACCCCATGTTCCAGAATGATCTGGCAGGCTTGGAAAGCGAAAATGGAGGTGAGGTTCCGTCTTACCTTACCGGTACAATTCCTCATTTTGTAGATGAGGAACCCGCCAAAGAACTGCCTGGAAATTTGGAGACTGCCACGTAGATCGTGGGTCTTTGGATGAAATTGGTATTTGTTGTAAATAAGGTAGCCTTGATTTTCGAAAAGTCTCTATCCTGTATAAAAGAAGTATACTTAGGCTGTTTTCTTGATGGCCATGAAATAGTTACCTACTCCAGAGTGATCGTGTTCTATCCAACCGTTTAGCGGCACGTACATTACGCCCTTGCAATTCAATATTTGGTGTTGACCCTTGCATTCATCTTGGAACCATTCGATGATTTCCTCGGAGTTTATGTATTTGGAAGCGTGGTGCGTGCCACGAGGCACCAGTTTAAGGACCTGTTCAGCCATGAAGATGGTTGTGAACCAAGACACAGGATCCCTATTGATTGTGCTCACCATGAGGATGCCACCAACTTTCAGCTTTTTCCACGCGTGTCGTAGGATTTCGCCTGGATGATCCACATGCTCTAGCATCTCAAGACACGTTACCAGATCGTACACACCTTCCACCTCTTCTAGTGCTTGTACTTCGTAGCTTAGTTTCCCATTTAAAATAGGGTCTTTGGAGGCATGCGATTGCGCAATTTCAATGCATTCTGGCGTCAAATCGATACCTTTCACATTGGCGACGAATGGCAGACGAGCCAGACATTCAGCTAGAATCCCTCCACCGCAACCTACATCTAGCACCTGCAGCTTTTGACTATGCAGTTGACCCCGTATATCCTGTTCTAATTCCTGTTCAATAGCCGTGGAAACCTGTTTTGGTAGAAACGCCTGGTGATTGAATCCAGGTACATACGTTCCTGAACCCGCTTGGTACTCTTTTTGAAGAGTTTTTTGTATGAAATCCATCCGTTTGAGGTTCATTTTATGCAGAATTCTTTGCGGACCCCAAAAGTCCCACCAGGAGGGTGCCAGTTCACCAAAGTGCTTCATTTCGTCCTGCGAAGCTGAAGTCGACATTGGCTGTCTTTCACGACAGTTCTTCCTACCAAAACTTGTCAAAAGCTGGGGAACCCGAACAGCATTTTTCAAGGGACTCGGTGTAACAGTTCTGAGCATGCCGGGAGAGTTCGTGGCTAGGCGGTGAGTGTTGGACGAGATTGATGGTCGATGCTGTGTAGATGAGTTATAACTTTGACCTTTACTTCGATTTCTTAAATTCGATGAGATCAGCGACACGAAAGTACAAAGTGATATTTCAGTATATCAATTATTGAAATCAAGACTTGAAGTACAGCTAGCTCATCGCACCGCTTCTCGGAAACATATTAAAGTCAAGCCTAAAAGGACCATACAAGAGCCATGTCAGACTCTGAGGAGCTGCTCATGAGCAGCAGGGCGCGGCGTTCGAATGCTGGTAACAAGATGCAGAAACTTATCGCTCAAGAACGTGAAGAAATGCGAGAAAAGACTGCAAACTTGGACGACGATGAGATCAACCTTTTGTTCCAGGAAGATGATGATGACGAGGAGTTCAGGGCAGATGCAAAACGCAGTAAAGACGAAGATGAGCGGCTGTCGGAGTCGGAGAGCGAAAGTGAAGGTGAAGAAGACGAAGAAGCTGGAGAACGGGAGCTGGAACAACAAGAACGTAAGAAACGTAAGCAAGCTCGCAAATTTAGTGCGCCAGTGGTGAGAAAACGCGTTAAAGTAGACGAGGAAGTACCGAAACCGCAATATGAACAGCCAAAAGCTGATAGTTTGCTTCAGGACAATCGTAGAACGTCCAAGAGATCATCAGTTGTGGCGAATAAGCTACAAATATATGAAAAACTGGCATTAGCAGAGAAAAAGCGTGAGAAGATTCAGAATCGACTACGGCAGACCAAAGCCAAGATGGCTCATGTCGAGCTTACTCAGGAAGACAGGCTTCTTCAGGCCGAGGAAACAGAATTGATTAACACGCAAAGTCTCACAAAGTTTAGAGAAGAAGAAATCTTCAAAAAGGAGACACGAAATGCGATGAATTTACGAAAGAAAGCCAAGTTTCATGCTGGTGAGTTGATGATTCGGGTAGACACCATGGCGTCAACAGTTACTCCCATCATGGAAATCGAAGATCGTCAGTTCTGGGAGCAACAACTGGGAAAACGACATAAGAAGAAGAAAAAATACACCAGGAGGAAGAAGCAGAAAGACGAAGAGACCAATACAAAAAGCGCTGAAGTTGGGAACTCAGGTGTTGCGGACACTTCCCAGAATTCAGTCGACAAGACGCAGGATTCGTCCACTGCAATCACCCAACAAAATGAATCAGAAGCTGTGAAAGGTGAGCTCGCAGGTGAAGACCAAGAGAGCCTTTCATCAACACCGGTAGATAAAGAAACTTCATTGACATTGCCGTGTGATAGCGCAGAGGTAAAGCAGGAAGATATAAATGGGCAAGTTGGGGCAAATATCCCAATAGATGCGCAGAACGATTTACACCCTGGTGATGTAAACAACTCGACGGAAGAAAGCTCTACTTTGGAGAAATCATCCGACAAGACGGTTGAGGCGAAAGATTCAAAGACTGGTGGTGATGAAGAGTCGAAGTCACAAATGCAACTCGATGGTAAGACCAGTTTAGAAGTCGTATCACACTGCAAACAGGTCTCCTTTGCAGCAGATGCTGATTTGAGTACTTTCGATCAATCTCTACCTCCAAATACGCCGATGTCCAAGGAACAGTTGGCGGATACGGAATCTTCCCGTCAAAACTCCGAAGAGTTGTTTGATGACGCGGAAGAAGATACTGAAGCTTCTGAAGTTTATGAAGGCCCTGAGCAACTAGTCGGCCGCAATTATGTCACCATTTACTCCTATCCAGAAGATAACTCAAAAGTTCACGACATAAGGCCTTTTCTCTTTGGATCTCAATGGGCCCAGCCGCTGAATTCTCGATCTGACAACGTCGAAACCATTGCCAAAATTTACAATGAGCAAAACGAGGATGAGTGGATGGGTGTTAGCTCGTCGCTAATCCCAGACACGTCTGTTTTTGAGAGCTTTCCCAATTTCGGCGAATACGATAAAAAGCTGTCTACGGAAGTCGCAGAGGAAACTGACACTAAATTGAAACTCGAGATCAAGACCCCGGCTCCTGCTGGTGTCATCCTACCCAACGGTGTTCGAAAGAAGTGTTTGATCACCAACCGGGACTGCCAGTATTTTGATCCTAAGAATGGTGTTCCTTATGCCGATGTCGAAGCCTATAAAATCGTGCAAGAACTTCAGGACCCTATTGGTGAAGGTAATTCCGAGGAAGAACCATCGCCACAGTTTAAGTGGTATGGATTTGCGCGCGGTGGTATATTTTTAGATGTCAAGCAGCCGGCTGCGAAAGGGGTACCCGAGGGCTTCAGAGCCTAAGGAAACTGAGATTACCTCAATACATATTTTAATGAATGTGATGCACGTACAGAAAAGGTACAGAGAGTTCTGGAGGGCGAGGCCAGGCCATATTTTTTCGTCAATAACCGGAAACTGTTATGACCTTTGATTTGATTCATAGCGTAAGGTCTCTTGAGATCTGAATTGTAATAATGCCATACCTGCCTGTCCCATGGTTTGACTTCGCAACATGATGATAATGACGGCAGACGCTCGTTAAATATGTTGCTCAGATACAGTATATTGCGGGCTCTGGTGATACCCACGTAAAGTGCGTTCTTCTCTATCGAAAAAGCCGAAGTTGAGCTTCCCAGCAAAAACACAATGGGAAACTCGAGGCCTTTCGAGGAGTGTATGGTTGAGAGCTTGACTGCTCCTAAATCTTGATCCTTAAGCGGATTCTGGCTTGCATTGGACGAGTGGTTTTGATCGAACTGCGTTTCTGAAAACCACTCTATCGAGGAAACGTTGTCTGGTTTGGTTTCTGAACACCTTTTAAGTGCTGTGAGCCATTCTGCGATATGTTTTTTGAAAATGGCAGCAGCTTCCAAACTTTCCATACCGTCGGCACAATAACCAAGCTTGAATGCGGCCTCGGCCACTGTTGTTATCAATGAAATAGGTTCCGGATTTGGGTTGGCCTTCAGTTGGTCCATGAGCATCTCTATATTTTTGACGTAGTTGCGAATCTTTTTCTTGTTCGTTGCTGATACCGCAGTTGTTCTTCCGTCTGCAATTACGCTCCATAAAGACGTGTTGGATTCTCTTGCTTCAGTAAAAAGCGCTTGCAGGACCTGATTGCTAATTCCCTTAGAGGCGCTTAATGTAATAATTACACTAAAATCACTTTTAAAAGTTGTGGTCTGATCCGCATCATCAGCAGACCTTTTTTCTTTGTCAACGAGCACGCATAGCTTAACCAAATCAGTCAAGTACTTAATACCTTTATCATTGATCCAATCTGGCTGAGCAGTAAGCTTCTCATAGGGTATCCCGTATGCTTTCAAAAAGTTCGCGACAGTGCTTACCTGTACATTAGTTCGAGTTAGAATGGCAATATCTGAAAGCTTGGCAGAATTAGTAACCAGGCGCGAAATTTCTCTGACCACAATTTCGAGTTCCTCGTTAGGATCCAAAGTTGTGATTGCTTGAGGTTGCAGACCCATCGGAGGCTTTGAATAAGATATCTCTTGAGCAGCTGGAATATCCCGAGAAATCAGAGAAGATGAAAACTGCGATATCTCAGGTGTACTGCGAAAATTATCACGTAAGTAATATGTGCTGAAACCTTGAGAAGGTCGACACCCCTCCAGCGATCGCATCAGTGCTTTGTTGTTACCTAGAAACCCGTATATGCTTTGATGAGGGTCCCCAAATAAAATGAGCTGCTTATCGCGAGAAATGCTTTCGAGAAGTGGGAAAAGAGACGGAAAAAGATCCTGGAACTCATCAACCACTATTACTTTATATTTGTTGAGTAGATCTTGAGTGAACGTGGTTGAAGGTTTCACAGTTGATGTACTACTAGCTTCGTCCAGATGTTTCGCTGCGAGCACAATCAATTCATCGTTTGTGACCACTTTAGAACCCCGCATGATACTGATTATGCGCTCCATAACAGCGTCTTTGATTTTGGATTTGCCTTCGATCTGATAGTCACGAAAGAGCCGTTCAAACATCCTGGGTGTCAATGCGGCACCTGAGTTGCTGGGACCTAGTTTCCGCAAGATCTCAGGAGGTATGAGCTTCAGCAAGCTTCTCCACCCATTCTCTTCGATAATGTTGATCAAACCCTCGTTTTCGACCACCACCCTATTGGCAAGGCCATGAAGAGTAGAAATATTAATCTGCGAGACAATTTCAGCAACAGAACAATCTGGTCCGTTTGATGTGTCGATTTCCTGGAAGACCTGTAGCAGCTTCTCCGTTGCGTTATCTACGGCCTTGTTGGTCAATGATAAAATGAGAACTTCGTCAGGTTGCACAACTCCTTCTAAAACCATGGCCCTCACCTTCAGCATAAGAGTCAATGTCTTACCAGATCCTGGACCAGCTACCACCTTGATAGTAGAACCTGGTTCATACTTGCTTTTAATAACCTCCTGCTGAGATGGAGTAGGTTTGATCATCACAGATGTACTCTGTATGGTGAAGATATCGAGAATTCAAGTGCCATTGAATCTTGGGAAAGACGATTAGGCAACAAATCGTCACTGGTCAAGTCAGCGGGTGGAGTTTGACTCTTGTCTTAGGAGTCCGAGTAAGAAAGACATCGGCACCATCATATCATCTCAATATGAAAACTATTTCACGTGATTGTGCTGAAGGCCTTCACAAGCTCCTCCAGATGGCTTTTGGTCTCTTGGAAGATCAAAGAGGGTGGGTAACCTTCCTGTTCTCTCTTTTCCTGACTCAGTGAGTTTTTCTGCAGTGCGTTTAGTAAGTATGTGTAGTTCAGGGCCAAGAATCGCTCTGGAAATTTAGTCTTCTTACTACACTTGGTCATGATGGTTTCAAAATCATTCCTGATCCGTATGATCGAGTTGTACAACGGCTCAGATCTCTCGTCAACACTCTCTTTGTGTTCCAGAGAAAGCAGAAGTATGCTGGTCAGGAATTTGGAGAATTGAACGGTTAGTTCGTGCGTGGTAGCGGAGGGATCAGATTCTTCCTTCCTGCCCGCAAAGCTTTTGCCTGTGACTGAAATGGGGAAGCTGCGTAGGTTTTCGCATTGAAAGTCTACAAGTTGCTGGAATTTTGGCCACAGTAACATCAATTGTCCGTTCAGAAAATCGTCAAATACCGGAACTAGCCGTTTTTGAGATTCAAATTGTAAATGGTGGGATATCCATATGCTTATGAGTACTCCAAACATATCGTAACTGGGTGAAATTAGACGTTTAGTGTATTCCATGGCTTCATCGAAGGTGGGCTGGAAGATCTGTTCCAAGATACCCCGCAAGTCTTCTGTGCTGTCGCTTGTTTGAAAAAACTCAGTGATGAATGAAAACTCAACCGAGCAGTTATCTAGGAGCGCCAGGTTGAGATTCTTGAAGCCTACTTCGAGATAATTGGGGACGTTATTATTCTCTGCGATTTGAGATACCATCACAGTGTTGTCCTCCTGCGTCAACACTGAGAGCCGTTTTTCAATCTGGAAGTAATCGTTTATCATCTGATTGGTTGGCGCTGACGCTCTGTAGCTTCCACTGAAATAGTTCGCAAATCTGTCTGTAGTCGAAATTGGCGTCGTCGAGAGTCCACGGCCCAACGCGTAATTCGAGTCAATTACCAAGAATTGCAAAATCGTTAGAGACCGCATGTAACGACCGAAAAACTGCTTATAGTACCACCTCATGGTATATGCGTACGCCTGTCTAAGCTCTAGAGCCAGGGAGTAATTTTTTTGCCCCAGAAACTGGAAAATTTCCCTGACATCGAGTAATTGTCTCTGGATCTTTTGTGAAGGGACGGTACGCTGGTCGCGAAGAAGCTTTATTTTGCTGACGATAAAACGCTTACTCCTCTCAACTATAATTGATTCCAAAATATCCAGCAGATGCTTCAGTTCTGCAAAGTCAGAAGGAACCTCTTGGTCCGTCTCCATGTATTTCGAATAAATCTCTTGTTTGTCCCGCACATAAGCGATATTTTCCACCCACGCATCGTTTATTTTACCCTGCGAGATCTGCGTGATGATTTCTGGAGAGATTACAAGGTCATTGACAAGCGGTGATATTTCTCCTAGGTCCTCAGCGTTTTTCGTCAACATCTTGTTGAGCTCTAATGATTTTCCTCTTACCAAGTTCAAATCGTGCGTCAGGGCTTTAAACTTGTCATTCAAATCTGCAAAATACGTCTGCAATGGAGGAATTGACGTTTCAATCGCACTTTTGATCAATTCGGATTGGTCTTCGAGCTCTTGTAGCGCTTGAGTGGATGATCGGTCAACCCGAAATCTAAGATCCTTGGCATGTTCCACAAAGTCCTCATATAGGTCTACAGATACGTCCGACTCATGAGATGGAATCTCAGTGCCAACGATGGTTCGTAAGGCCTCCATAAGGTTAGATATCGGTGCTTTTGAGAGAGTTGAAATAAGTTCTCATCGCTTCCTTTAATATAAGTCAATTCATCAAGAACATATACATATTTTATGCATGATAGAGGACGATTCAAAGAAACAAAATATAAAGTCAAGCCTTTCGGCTAACTAGATGTAAAATTTCTTGTCAGCATCTTTTTAACCACTTCTAACTTTACGTATTCTCGCCAACATGCCCGCAAGTTGCAAGTAAGTGCCCACACCTTCCAGAATGCGCATATGCGCAAACCCAATTTCACGAATCATTTCGAGCCTTATACCCTCTTTGACCTCTTCTAGGTTCTTAGTGACGCGGAAACACGTTGTGACCATGTCCACAGCGGAGTAGCCCTTCTTCCACAGTTCCTGGAGCAAATCTAGCGAGGCATCGAGTGTTTCCGCGAGTAGCATTTTCTTGACGATCAACGGATGGGGCGAGTCGACGATCTTGAACACATTTTCACCGTTGACGAGGCCATATCCGGCTACAGTGCTTTGGAGGTTATTCAGAGCTTGACGCATGTCTCCCTCTGCGGTGAATATGATGGCTTCGAGTCCGTCATTGGTGTACTGCACGTTTTCAGCCTCGATCACCTCCAAAAGACGTTTAAGCACCTGGTTGTCCTGCAGTTTGGAGTATCGCAAAATAGCACAACGACTCTGTAACGGTTCGATGATCTTGTTGGACTGGTTGCATGCAAACGCAAAACGTGTCGTGTTGGAATACAGCTCCATGGTGCGTCTCAGAGCCTGTTGGGCACCTGCGGTCATCGAGTCTGCTTCATCCAAAATAACAATCTTGTGACGTCCTGGTGGAAGACTACACTTTTTTTGGGCGAACTGTTTGATTTGGTTTCTCACCACATCGATACCTCTATCGTCAGAGGCGTTGAGTTCCAGCACCGCTTGTGAATATGCGTCTCCCAGCAGTTCATGGGCCAAACAGCTCACAGAAGTAGTTTTACCTATTCCGGGAAGTCCGCTGATGATTACATGTGGCATGTTACCGTCTTGCGCAATCTGCTGCAGTCGCAGAACTGTCTCTTCATTGCCCACGATATCTTTCAACAGTTGTGGTCTATATTTCTCCACCCATGGCAGTTCCAGCTTCAATGGCTCTGTCGACATAACTTTCAAATGCGCTCTCTCTGAATATAGAGGTTATAGATGCCAAAATTCGCTACTCAGTTCGTAACTATGGTTTAAAGTTTCTTCGAGATGGTTGATCTTCATACCTAGTAGTGTTTCTGTCAGTAATCTTGAAAAATTTTGGAACTTTTGAGCGATGAGATGAGATGAGATGAGCTAAAGCAAGACATCTTTTAAGCCTACTGGAGACGCCCAATATCATTTGCAATGAGTAGCGACACTTCTGATAAGAACGCCTCGGATAATGAGTCCAGCCAGTCGCTACAAGGCCAAGAAATAGCCAAGAAATATACACCTCATCCGCTACCTCCAGTGCCGGAGGGAATGTCAAAATCTCAGTGGAAGAAAGTGTGGAGAAGGAAAAGATGGGAAGAAACCAAGGAAGAATTCTCGCAGAAAAGACGAGAGAAGAAGGTACGAGCCAAATTGAGCAGACGCGCTAAAATTCAGGAATACAAAGATCGTGGTGAGGAAATTCCGGAGGAACTGTGTCGCAAACCTCGCAAAAACACGACCCAGCTCGATTCAGGTATCAAAATAGTCATCGATTGCGCTTTTGATGACCTTATGAATGAAAAAGAGGTGATAAGTCTCAGCAACCAGATTACGCGTGCGTACAGCTTCAACAAGCGTGAGAACCACCACGCACACGTGACTGTTACCAGTTTCGACAAGCGACTCAAAGAGAGGTTCGAACGAGATCTCAAGGACTCGCGGTTTTATGATTGGAAGAATTTTGAGTTTACGGGCGATTCACAGCTTCCAGTGGAAAACACTGTTTATTTGACGGCAGATACCGACGAAACTCTGGAAAGTTTGGAGCCTGGTACAACTTATATTGTTGGAGGCATAGTCGACAAGAATAGACACAAGCTGCTGTGTTATAATAAGGCCCGCGAACTCGGGATCCCGACACGGAAACTGCCTTTGGCACAGTACATAAATTTGACGGGTCGAGAAGTGCTTACATCAACGCACGTGATCCAACTCATGCTTCGGTATTTTGACAACCGGGACTGGAAGGAAGCGTTCGAGGCCATTCTTCCACCCCGAAAGCTGGAGGAGGTGGCCAAGAGCCTGGAAGTGGGGGTGGAAGACTCAGCAGCCGACGGTACGTCGAAAAGTACTAGTGAAAATGCTTGTGACCTCGAAGATAGCATTGATGCCACGTCCGCGATCGAAGCTGTGGTCGACGTTCCTAAAAAGTGAAAGTCCTGAGTACTGCTGGTGTTTATGGATCGCGACCTGGAGCTAGAAATTCATCGCGATTAGATCTTTCAAAAGTCAGGAGTCGATGAAATAATTTTTAATAGAACAAAATATTATTTTGACCGATGTTGGGGCATCAATGCCAACTATCTTACTCACTCTACAATGAATTAAGCATCATCTTCTATGTCCCGGGCTTACTCTCATCAGCAAAACGAATCGTGTTGTAATTTAAATATCAAAGAAAGACTGTCATCTGACACCTCAAGAGGCAGTAAAGTTCACTACATGTCCCATTTCTTGAAGACGTATTTTTATTTATAGTTCTCATACCTCTCAGAGCTCTCAACCTGTCCCATCGTTGGCAGATGGTTCATTCTGCCTTTCACTAGTGTGGCCAACTACTCGATCATCTATCCGATTTTCTAGTCGAGCAGCTCAAAAAAGTGACTATAAAATTTTCACCACTTGATGAAATGACTGATACTCCGAATGTAGTCTTACTACACTTTAAGACAACGTAAAAGGATCGAAAGTATTCGATACTAGCTCTAAACCTTGTTAGGACAGGTCTCAGATTATTCAATTTTTTTTGGGCTTCAAGTTCGTATAGCCTTTGTATCCTGAGCCCAGATTTAAGTTGGGTTTCACCGTCGGTTTCCAACAGCCAAAATGGTACCAATTGTATTGAATTCACAGTCTGTTAGCGGGATAACAGGTTCCATCTCTATTGCATGTTGGATCATTGTTTTCGTACCGCAAATTTATGAGAACTTTTATCGCAGTTCAGCAGATAGTCTCTCTCTACTATTCGTGGTTCTCTGGCTATTGGGCGACGTTTTTAATGTCCTTGGTGCAGTAATGCAGAATCTGCTGCCAACTATGATTATTTTGGCAGCATACTATACTCTGGCAGATGTTGTGCTTTTGGTGCAGTGTTTGTTTTACGGAAACGGAGAAAAGGTGGACGCAGTGCATTTGTCGCCAGCAAATCCGATCAACGAAAGGGTCCTCGAGGACGTATTCCATGAGCACCAACCTCTTTTGAGAGACGCCAAAAAGAATCACCACCATGATGCCACAGTCCAAGCCTCTTCTACTGGTGCTTCTTCATCTTCCGTAACTGGTCAATCTGAGGACGCCAATGGTAGCGTCACTGAAAATCGCAACAGAACATACGTCACTAACGCACTGCTGATAAGCGCGGTTTTCTTGGGTGGCTTCTTGTCCTGGTACATTTCGTATTTGAAGGACCCAGATGCCACACCTGCAGAGCCGGATTTGCACATGAACTGGCTCGCTCAATTTTTCGGTTACTTGAGTGCTGTACTATACCTGGCTTCTCGTGTCCCCCAGATTCTACTCAACTTTCAACGCAAATCCTGCGATGGCATTTCTTTCCTGTTTTTCCTGTTTGCCTGCATTGGAAACATTACCTTTATTATATCTGTTTTGAGCATTTCTGTCGCTCCACGCTATTTGTTGGTCAATGCATCATGGCTAATTGGTAGTACTGGTACACTTCTCATGGATTTTGTCATTTTCCTACAGTTTTTCTATTTCAAGAATGACGGTACCATCTCTACAGGAGTTGTCGTGTAATTAACGTCATGAAATTTTACAACATATCCAGGTCGACAGCCCGTTCATGACGTCCGGTCATGCATATTGGGCCACTTTGGTAAGGACAGTATGCAAAGTCCCTAATGAGCCTTAATTATGTTCCGTCATATGAATCATGTCTGGGTCAAGTAAAGCGTCGCGTCAACGTCACGAAAATAACTGGGAACCTGTAAGGCATAAAAAAGATCAGTAAGAGTATAATTAGTATCCACAAACTTGGCTGTCTGCTTTCGAACACCTAGCACTTCATTTTATCACAACAAGTCGTTATTGTTCTTTGATTTTTATTGCGCTCCAACATTTCCAGCGACTTGAAAAACCGTTGACTGCAATAATGCCACTTCTGAATAACAGGACGTATCGTTCAAATGATGTGAAAGTCTCGCTCGTGGACAAAACTGATCCGTACAATTTGCAGAACTACCATATTCGCGATGACAGTGAAATAACGTCGTCTGATGGAAGTGAGATCGATGACTTGAGCGATGATATTGCTGAGAGAACCTGCTTTCTTTCTGAAAGACCTCAGAGTGCAAATGTTTCCTACACACAAGTTACAGAACCTAAGAAGAGCCACAAAGGTGAATCGCCCTTTAAAAGAGGAATAAGCTCTTTATTTCGAAGACATGACACACATTTGGGTAGCCAAGGTGAAGCAGCCGCTACTCATGAGCGCTCTACATTGGAAGCTCCTGAATTTCCTGATCTTTCGGACGGCTCCGAAACTACGGGAAGTCGTCCATCCAGTGCCACGAGCTCTAGCAAGTTTTGGAGGTCTTGGAGATCGCGTCAGCATAGAAGAAATGCAGGTAGATTCAAAGAAACTAATTCGGAAGGTGTATCGAATGGAACGCACATAACTGACATAAACCCCGAAAGCACTGCTACAAGACTGACTAAAGACGCAAGCGAAAGCGAAGTGGTCGGAAGGGCCATGGGAGAAACACTGAAAGACCTAGAGGCTTTAGCTGACACAAAAAGTTTGATTGGTTTTAGTGACACAGAAGCTGATGCCTATGGAAGAAGCAAACTGTTCAAAAAGAAAGTTGAATCAGATCACTGCGAGAGCGAGACATCGGAGGAGGGGTCTGACGAACTTGGACTTGTAAAGCATTCAAACGCGGATGGAGGAAGTGATCCCTTACCACATGCCCCATCGCCGTTAACTCCCGTCGACGAGGTCTCTGCATTTACGAAAAGCTTATCGAAGAAGATGAACTCGCAATACAGGGATGTTTACCGAACTTCTGAGGACTACGTCACCTTGGAAGAACAATTCGATGGTTTACAGGTCAACAAGAACTCAAAAACATACTTTAACTTGTTGAACACGATTCGCTTATTAAACGGACCCTCTCAGAGTTCTGCTAATTTGAACACATTAGAAGAGTATACAAGAGCGGTTTTTGCATTGGTGGAAAACTCAACAGGTAATTCACAACACGGGAATTTCGGAAGTCCTGCGGCGGTTGATCCCAATATCGAGGAAGACGGCACAGGAAAAGCAGCCGAAATGGCTGATCAAATTCTCGAACTTGAATCAGAGCTATCTTTACTCCGCGAAAAGTATGAGGATAGTATCAGCGATCTTTATAACTGCCGGAAAGACTTAAAACTTGCAAATGCAGATTTGGCTGATGCTCGCAATGAAAGCACTGAAAGTACCAAAGAACTGAACATGTTCAAAGCTGAGCTTGATGCTAAGCATGAAACAGTTATTGAGCTCGAGGACACCAAGAAGCTTCAAACGGTCGACGAAGAGAAGCTACGTCAAACTGAAGAAAGCAGGATACAAGAGTTGAAAGACGATTACGAAAGGTTACAATCCGAGCACGCTCAATTGCAGGATACCTTTCAGCATTCTGTTCAGCAAGGCGATGCATCCAGAGACAAAATTCACGAGCTTATTGGAATTATTTCTGAGAATGACCTCAAAGCACGTAAACTCCAGCAATCTCACGATCGTCTCGAGAAAAGTCTTGAAGACAGCGGCCGTCTTGCCAAGAAGGCTACCACGGCCAATAAGAAGCTTGGATCTGATTGCCGTCGAGAACATCTCAAATTGGTAGATTGTCGCCGAGAGCTTGAATTGACGCAGGGCCAAGTGGAGCTTATGAATTGCCACAAAACGGAGTCATTGCAATTTATGGCTCAGCTGATGATGTCCTTCAGAGATGCGCTTTGCGAAGAAACTTTGCAGCAGTGCGATGCGTATTTGGAATCCATCAGCTCGAACCAACTCTTTACTTGCGCCCTTTTGCAAGCCGGGACTGAAACTAACAAAGACCAATGGAAACAGCAGGCTATTTGCGAGCGAGAACAAGTGGCTAATTTCTATCGTCATTTTGCCAAGACCAACCTTCTCGACCAGATTTTTGCCAAATATGTGTCCTACATGCGATCAAACAGATTTTTGTCGCAGCAGCTGAGAGGGCTGCGGCAAAAGGAAAACGACCACGAGGAGTACATAGCAAGATTACTACAAGATTGCAAATCTCAGCGGATTTTAATTGCAAAACAGGATCGTCGAATTGAAATTTTGAAAAAGGACTCCAAGGCACACACCGTGGTGGAAGCGACCAACGGCGCAAGACGTTGAATGACGACCAAGAATAGTGATGATAAAAAAAACAGAACAAACAAGCGTCATTTTACGGCCACTCTTATTTTACGTTCGGACACATTTATATACATTTTCTTCCGGTTTACTTTCCTTCAAATCCAAACTTCAAGTTGTTGATGCAGGTTGTCGAACCTTCTTGTCTTTCGGTTGTACAAGTGTGTCGTTCTCAGTCGATGCCCTGTCACCTGCGTGTCAGATAAGTACATAGTGATATATGCATTTTCTTTGATCAGCTACTTTGCAACAGAGTCAATAGAAGTATGTCACATTGAGTGGGTCTGTCGCATACGTTAGCGAAATCTCGTTCTGGGCAAATATAGGGTTCCATTCCCTACTCAAAAGCAGAAGTGACACAGTAAATCGCCAAATTCAAAAATATATTAATGAAATGAGATCTACGAACAAAGCACATTATTAAAAGCTTCGAGAACTGACTCAACTCACAGTGTTCTTGAAATCTCGGTCTATAGATTCGTAACGTCAGTAAAATATCACCATTTGATATCACGTCACACGGACACGCGTAATCAAGAATTTACCTATATTATGACATTGTCAAATTTACGCGTTTGTCGAGCTGATGATCTCACTAAACAGTTCTTTAAACCTACAGTTGCTGTTAATCGAATAAGATTACGGATACCAAACTCTTTGGCAAGCAGCAATGTCCTCCACTCGTCCGGAGTTAAAGTTCTCAGATGCATCGGAGGAAAGAGGCTTTTATAAACGGTTCTCCACGCTACCGGAAAAGCCATCTCAAACTGTAAGAGTCGTCGATAAAGGTGAATACTACACCGTGGTTGGAAATGACGCTATCTTTGTAGCTGAAAACATTTATCACACCAGTTCGGTTTTGAAAGACTGCAGAATCGACCCTGGAACCGCGAAATCCATTCACGAGCCTCTCAAGTACGTTACGATCTCATCTCAGGTTCTTTCAGGCCTTTTAAAATTCTGCTTATTGGAACATGGAATGAAAGTAGAGATCTATGACAAATCGTGGAAGCCGCTCAGAAGCGGCTCGCCGGGAAACATCGAACAAGTGGACGATCTTATGAATATCTCATTTGATTCCGCAATTGTTCTTGCAAGTATCAAGATTCAACCTAACGCTCAGGAAGGAAATTGTGTCTTAGGAGTGTCCTTCATAGACAGCGGGTCTTACAAATTGGGCATGCTAGATATTGTTGATAATGAAGTGTTCTCAAATTTGGAAAGTTTCCTAATTCAAATGGGTGTTAAAGAGTGTCTTCTCCCTGATCAAAGAACAAATGAAACAATCTCTAACGAGCTAAAAAAAATGGTTGGGGTCTTAGACCGTTGTGGCTGCGTCTCCACTTTCGTGAAAAACTCAGAATTTACGCATAAAGATGTTGAACAAGACCTTGTCAAGCTAGTTGGGGACGAACTTTCAATGTCGCTGATGAAATTTTCCAACTTGGCACTTGGGTCATGTAATGCTTTGCTGGGATACTTGCAAATCATGGCCGATGAATCGCAGATGGGAAAATTTGAACTGGTTCAGCATTCGCTCACTGAATTTATGAAATTAGATGCATCCGCGCTTAAAGCACTTAACGTCTTTTCTTTGAACGGCCAAGCATCGAATGGCATACCAGTGAGTCATGGGACGCTTGGAAGCGGACCCAGAATCAGCAGTCTTTTCCAGCTATTGAATAAGTGCAAGACCAATGCTGGAGTAAGGTTATTGAATGAATGGCTCAAGCAGCCTCTTACCGACGTTGAAGAAATTGAAAAGAGACATGATTTGGTCGACTTCTTGAGCGACCAGCTTGAGCTTAGACAAGTGTTACAAACCGAGTACCTTCCATTAGTTCCAGACGTGAGAAGGTTAACAAAAAAACTGATAAGAAACGGCAATCTCGAGGATGTCCTTAAAATCTATCAATTTGCCAGGAAGGTTCCTGAAATATCACAGGTATTGGACGAGTATTTGAAGGACGTCACTGATGATTCTTCGATAAAACTTCTAGTTTTGAATACCTGGCAAAAGCCCTTAACTGAACATCTGGCTCCTCTCGACAAATTTCAGGAGATGGTGGAAGCAACTGTTGATTTGGACGCTTACGAGTCTACAAACGAATTCATGATTAAGGTTGACTTCAATGAAGACTTAGCTAAGATTCGTGGTGATTTGGACAGTTTGAAAGATAAAATAAAGACCATTCATCTTGACGCTGCCGAGGAATTGGGATTTGACCCCGAAAAGAAGCTTAAGTTGGAAAATCATCATACTCATGGCTGGTGTATGAGGCTGACAAGAAACGATGGAAAAGAACTTCGCCAACATAAGAAATTCCTGGAGCTGACAACGGTGAAAGCAGGTATTTACTTCAGCACCAAAGAGCTCAAGCAGATATCAGAACAAACGGCCCTTCTACAAAAAGAATACGACCGATTGCAGTTCGATCTCGTGAAAGAGATAGTGCAAATAACATTAACTTACACGCCTGTTCTGGAAAAACTGTCGATCGTGCTAGCTAAATTGGATGTTCTGAGCTCATTCGCCCATGTATCATCGTATGCCCCAATTCCGTACGTCAGGCCCACGATGCATGGACTTGGCACGCAACGAAAGACTGAACTCATTGCATCACGGCACCCAGTTCTTGAAGTTCAGGACGATGTGGCCTTTATTTCGAATGACGTTCGCCTAGAGAGTGGTAAGAACGAATTTCTCATAATCACAGGACCCAATATGGGCGGTAAATCTACCTACATCCGCCAAGTGGGAGTTATTTCGCTGATGGCGCAAATAGGATGCTTTGTACCTTGTGACACAGCGGAAATTGCGGTCGTAGACGCTGTTTTGTGTCGTGTGGGAGCCGGGGACTCGCAATTGAAAGGTGTTTCGACCTTTATGGTAGAAATGCTGGAAACAGCATCAATTCTCAAGAACGCTACGGAAAACTCGCTGATTATTGCCGACGAACTGGGGAGAGGAACAAGCACGTATGACGGGTTTGGACTTGCATGGGCGATATCTGAACACATTGCTACCAAAATCAAATGTTTTGCATTATTTGCAACCCATTTCCACGAGCTCACATTATTGGCCAACGAAGTCCACACGGTTCAAAACATGCATGTCATTGCCCATATAGAAGACGTGAATGCAGGTTCTCACTCTGAGGACGACATTACATTACTCTACAAAGTCGAGCCAGGTATTTCCGACCAGTCTTTCGGTATTCATGTGGCTGAAGTTGTACAGTTCCCCACCAAAATCGTCTCCATGGCAAAGCGAAAAGCTGCTGAGCTTGAAAACCTCAAACAGGACTCTCAAATGCTGAAAAAGCAAAAGTGCACGTCTGACGAGATCGCAGAGGGCACTCAAGTTCTGAAAACCCTACTTAAAGGATGGGTGAAAGAAGTTCGCGACGAAGGTTTCGAGGATTCCATCACCGAAGAACAAAGCCAAGAGAAGATACTACAGCTGCTCAGAAAGGTAACAACGACATCTGCTCATTCCGACAACAAATTCATCAAAGAGATATCCCAGCTTTTGATGTGAAAATACAACCAGTGATTAGACAATAGACCGTGAATGCCAATAGCAACACAGACCTGTCCGTTCTATCATTTAATGCGACAAGCATCGTGCTTTAATGTGTCAAGCATGAAAAATGTGCACGAGATTGCGTCTTCCGGAAACTTTTTCATTCTTCGACGGATTCTATCTGAACGAACGTTATTCAAGTTTCTAAAATGACTATAGCAAAGTGTCGATTACGAAGTCAGAAACCCGCGAACTGCATAACCTGGGGAATCGTTGTCATTTTGAAGATCCCGACAGTGAAGATACCGACAGTGTAATTGTGACAATACCCTTCTCCGGAAAGGAAGGAGTCTCGACGAAAAAATCTCACAGTCCAACGTTAATTGCGGTTAGTGCAAAGTGAGTCCCATGACTTAATCAAAGGTCTTGTTGACACATAAGGGTAGCGCAAAGTATGCCTTTGCAGCTCGCTGCTGGTGAAGCAACATTGTTTTGCGATTGGTTCCGGTAATGTTATAAAAGAATCAAGGCAGTGCAGGCAGATGGCCGTATCATAAATAAAGTGTGGAACGCACCACGATCAGCCAACTAGAACCCTACAAAAGACTAAAGGACATATAATTGATTAACAATGCTACACCCTAAGAACACGGAAATTTATTTCGAGCTGAACACCAAAGCAAAGATCCCAGCTTTGGGTCTTGGAACGGCTAATGAACCCGAACAAATTCCACAAACAAAACAAGCCATCAAGGCTGCAATCAAAGCGGGTTACAGACTTATTGACACAGCATGGGCTTATCAATGTGAAGATCGTATTGGTGAAGCTTTGAGAGAAATTTTTGATGAAGGTGTGCTCAAGAGAGAAGACATCTTCATTACGACGAAGGTATGGCCAACCCACTGGGACATTGCCTCCGAATCCATCGACCGTTCTTTGAAGAATCTGGGGGTGGACTATGTCGACCTTGTGCTTCAACATTGGCCTTTGTGCTTCAACAGAGTTGAGGACAAGAACGGCGTGGACGGGATTGTGAGGAACCCCACGCACGAGGATGGCAGTCCCAATATCAACACAGAGGGTGACTATTTGTCCACCTACAAGCAATTAGAAAAAATGTACTTGAACAAGGACCCTCGTTTCAAAGCCATCGGTGTGTCCAACTACCCTGTAGAGTATCTGCAAAGGCTGCTTAAGGAGTGCACCGTTGTTCCAGCTCTGAACCAGGTGGAAATTCATCCCCAACTGCCACAGGTGGAATTACGCGAATTTTGCCAAACGCACAAAATTGTTCTGGAATCCTACTCACCCTTCGGTGCAACTGGTTCACCTTTGAACCAGAATCAAAGGTTCCAAGCGCTTGCTGAAAAGTATTCCTGTACCCCTAACGATATCCTTTTAGCCTACAACATCAGACAAGGGCAAGTTGTAGTTCCCCGCTCGGTCAATCCAAAGAACATTGTGTCCAACATCGAATTTGTGCCTTTGGCCAAGGAAGATATTACTTTCTTGACCCAATACGGTCTTGAAAACCCAATGCGTTTCAGAGATGAACCATTTGCGGAATCTATACCTGGTTTCCGCGAGAACAAGAATTAGGCTCATTGAGCTGGCCTCGACTGAGTGCCCCTCGAATGACAGACCAAGGATATAACGAGAGTATCTAGTAACGAACTGTCCGCGTCTATAATTTTACATAAACGATAAGAAGCATGACGACGACTCATAAACCAAAGTTCCACATACAATTTTTACATCATGGCTGGGAAAGCAAAATCTCTTTCGAAGAACAAATTGTCTAAGGCATTTTCAAACTCTGTCTGATCACTTGAAAATGTGGTTCCTGGAACTTCATTTACATCGTTAGGACTGAAATTCACACCGAAAGATCCTTCGAAGCCATTAAGCAGTTCGCTCCCAACTGCGGAAGCTTCCTGGCCAGGGTTTACCAATGAACTTTTGACTTCTAAATCCTGCTCTCCACTAGATGGTGCAAAATTGTCCCTAGACACAATTTGGATGGGAAGTGACGATAAAAGACACTTGAAATCGTTAACATTAACCTCACTGAAAAGGTGGAATGCCCTGGGAAAATCCGATTCTTTACGCATTCTTTCCAACGCTACTTCATCGTTTTCGGCGCCATCAGGTAAGCCGGCAGCGGGTGCAAAGATATTCAAGTGTTCGCGCAGCTGGTTTACAGCGACAACTTTGTTCTGCTCACACCGATCCATCCAAAAAGCAAACTTGTTACTGATGGAGTCGGAAGTGAAATTGTAGTTGCCTGCCTGGGGACACAAGCTATTAAAAGATTGGATTGCAAGCATCAGAAGGAAGGTATAAATAAACATGGAAACATTCCATTTGATGTTGTCTTCCAAAAGTTTTGAGTCACCCTCATTGCATAGGTACGTGTAAGCATTGCATAAAGCAGCAATGTATTTGGCCGTCTCTTCTTCATGAGCGGACGCAATCGACGTTAGAAGCAACCCGTAAGCACCCACGCTTAAGATGTAAAACATTCTCTGCAACATGTGAGGAACGAACTTAATTTGAGGCCATACTGATATAAGTTGCATAGCGGAAAAACGCAGATCTTGAAGCGTGCTTTCATGCAGGAGCTCGACATTGAAAGTAGAACGCGAGTGTATTTCAGTGTTGTCATTGATAAAGGAAGACATCATTTGACTTACCAGCATCGTCAGATACAAGCGTTCAAAATGAAAGGATAGAACACTTACTGAAAGTATTTCGGAGTGAATGTTTGTAACCTCTGTCTCAGTTTTGTTATGAAGATTTTCAATGTGCTTTTCGTAGTGCTCAATCGACAGTTCTTTAGGTAATGTCTCATCCCATTCTCTCAAATCACTGAGAATCGAAAGAGCGCACCGAATAACCTCGTCGAATGTTGTTCTGTACATAACGTCGGGCCCCAAGAGATCTCTGTAAATTCTACCCGAAATTTCGCTCAGTTGCATCCCGTAGTAACATCCTGCAAGAAGAAGAGTATCGGGGCTGGTTAAAAGAAGCGAGATCGAGTGTTCGAGACTATCATCGTTTGAGAGTTCTTGTTCGGAAGTCAATTTGCGGCCAAGATCGTGATTCTTGATGAATTCGGCATAGAAATCCTCTGTGAAGACATCAGTCTCATCAATGTTTATCAAAGGAGCCTTACAAAATGCCAAAGATAAATGTGCATCAATTGTGACACACAGATACCACATCTTGAGTCTTAACCACGAGTCCTCAAAACTAAGACCTTCATAAGACTTACGCTTATGAAGCCCCGCGTCTTGTGCATACCTCTGGGCCACGCAAAAGATGCTATAAGCAACGTTTGCGCTAATTTTAGTTTGAACGTATTGGTATAACAGGAGAAGGGCTTGCACAGACCGGAACCCTTCGCTTATCAAAGATACCTTATGGTACTGATACATGGAGTTGAGAAGCATGTGGCTTTCACGTATGTGCATTTCTGAAGTTGGTTGCTTTAAGTAGTAGTCATCTGTTCCACTGACATCATAAACTGTACAGACGCAAATCCAGATATCAATTAGTAGATATTCAGAATAGGAAAGTTTCTCTCCAGCATAACATCGGTCAACTATTGCAGCCAGCTCACTGTAGCCCACTATACTAAAAGCACCTTTAAAAATGCGATATTCGCACATTTGCATCATTTTTTGGACAACATGCTTTGGTGGTAGTGGATAGAGTTGTGGTCCAGTAACGGGAACAAATGGGTTAGAGTAATCAATCAGTTTCTTTACCTCTGCCACGTACCATTTGGATGATACTACAAACACGTCCATGAGAGGGGCAAAGGAGGTTACTACTGGCACCTCAGCATCTGCATTGGAGTTGGTCTGATTTTGTTGCCCGTAACACAGCTTGGCCTGCTTGCGAAGCCATGCGATACGTCGCTTGGTGATCAAAGAAGATTTGTAGCGTTTTGGTTTCGGATGTGGAGACACATCAATCAAACCCGGTATCTTAACAGTCTGGCCTTGTCGTAGCCTTGAGCCCTTGAGGGCCATTGCTTGATGTTGAGGTTTGGAAAAGCTTTGAGGGGCGCTTTTCTTCGACAGAAGCCCGAGTAGCACATTTATTTGTGATTCCAGGACCTCCAGCTTGTTTTCAAGCGCATGTAAGGGCGAATCCGAGCGGGTGGTCTCTGCCAGGGCATTCAAATCGGTTTTTGACAGCGACATGCTACTTTTCCGGGCGTTTTTCGCTCCGCCGCCAGAGACTCGTGGTTTTTCAACGTCATATCCTTGAACAAGGCGTTGTCGTTCCATTTCATGGTGGTGCTTGAACGTACAGGGAACTCCGAATTTCACACAGTTGTCGCACATGTCTGTGGTTGGGTTGACCATCCCGCACCGAATTTTCCGCTTGCGACAATGGTCGCAAGCTTTGGGGACCCGTTTTCTAACTTTGGGAGTCAACTGATCCGTGAAGGGATCCATGATGACAGCTTCGGAAAGTAAAAAGCCAAGAGATGTCAAATTTCAACGTATTTGGACCCAGAAAAAAGGGAAGCCAAAATTCCAGAGATAAGCAGACAAATTTATATAGTATCGAGCAGCAATGGGCTAGTTAGAAAGTACAAAATCGTGTCGATTCAATGTATTTCCCGTCTTTCATAAAATGACAGAATAACAAGCTTGGATATCTTCAATTTTGGCCAATTAGTACTAATTAAAGGTTAGTTGTTAGTAATAATGTTGTTACCTTTCCGATGCCGAAACCCACATCATTAACCACGGTTGTGTCACCTGTATCCCGCTCTTAAACCCGAGCAATACCCGCTCAGTCATGTGATATGCGTTTAAAGGCCTGGATAGGATATGCGGTTTGAGGGTCAGAAAAATTATTCGATTACAGAGAATCAAATCGTTATCAACACGTGACCAGGAGATAAGACGGAGTTTATCGGCCGGCCGGACCTGAAAAAAAAATACATAATAATTACCATAATGTTGATTTTACACCATCTATCAAATCTACTAACTAACTATATAACAACTCTATAAAAGCAGAATGTATATATCAGCTTCTGGCTCTTGATGCACCTCTAAATCATCTCTCTTGAACATCCGAAGCCTGTCGATCGAACGTCTTTTGTTACGTATAACAAAGTAAAGCTAAACTCGAACATCGAGCAAATGGGATTGCTGGGGTATTTCAAAGATTCTCAACAGGTTTCCAAACAAGATCTGGAGGCGATCGAGCAGGTCGTCGAGCTCTGTGATCGCCAATGCGGTGATTGCGATGCAGAAGAGGGCGCTGCGGCCATCGAACGAGGTGAAGCCAAATTTGGAAAATTGAAAATCGAGCATAACGCTTCGTTGTACGGGTCTTCCGAGACTGCCAAAATCCATTTTGTGGTACCCACATCGCAAACAGATTGGGCCCGCGACGCTTGTGAAGAAAAAAAGGGCTCTGTGCAATACAAGATCGCCAGATGGATCGACAAACATGGAGCAGATTACCCGCAGGGCACGGGCGACGCTATCAAATGTAGCGTTTCATCGTTGCCCATCGATGCCATGGACATAGATGTGATGCGCGGCATAAAAAACGACGTTCTCGTGCTACCACATTTCTTAAAAATCAAAGCTCTTTCAGCGTCAGATGTAAAGTCTCAGCTCAACAAACTGGTTCCTCTGTTGCTTGCAAACGAGCGGGACCAGCTTTTGGCTCTCGAAAATATCGAAGAAGCCCGTGAAAACTCGTTTGTGTTTCTGTGCTCCCACAAGACCCGCGATAAACGGTGCGGCATCACAGCTCCCATCTTGCAAAAACTGTTTCATCAAGAGCTACAACCACACGGTCTATATCGCGACAACTCCGATTTTCGGCCAGGTGGATGCACAGTAGGTTTCGTGAACCATGTAGGAGGCCATAAATTCGTCGCAAACGTGGTCCTGTATCTGAAATCTTCCCATTCGCTCATCTGGCTGGCCAGAGTAACTCCAAAAAACGTCCCCGCCATTGTCAATCTTATGATAGTTCCCGAAAAACCTCAGCTTCCGTGGCCCGAAAAGGTCAGGTGTGTTGAGCAATACGCGGCGTGGTGAAAGTGTCGTAAAACTCCACCTCTTACAACTCATCACGGTTTTCAGCCTGTCTTGTGTTTTCCAGGGCCCTTAGCAAAGCAATTTTCAATTTGGTGGTTTCCGAATCTTTATTTTCGTCAATCTCCAACGTATTTTCCAGCTTTCTGATCTCTTTCTTTACATCTTTAACCAGCGATAAGTACTTTCTCAATGATATGCAGTCTTCGTCAGGACAACTGCGATCAGATAATATACGCTCGACCTTAGTTTCCTGCTCGGTGCTTTCAATCACTTTCTCCACAAAATTGGTCAAAATGGGCAAATCCCTGCTTCCTTTAAATTCCACCACTCTGTTAAGATCCATATCCCACGTTGCGCTGAAAGCCCGATTTTTGATCGAATTGATAACTCTAGACCACCAAGGTTTCTTAACTGGAGCTTCAAGCTCAACATCCATCTTTTCTGGCTCTGTCAGTGGCTTGATAACCTCAACCATTGGGAATCCCGGTAATCTTCTGCATATTGTAGAAGCGAACACCTCACAATTCACCTCCAGAAAGGTAACATTGGCTGCAGAATTGTCGAACTTTTCACTCAGTTGTTCAAAAACAGGACCAAGTCCCTTGCAATGCGAACACCAAGTCGTAAAATACTTGACCACAGTGTAAGCATCGCGGTTTATAGTGTCATAGAAAAAGTCCAATGACGCCACTTCCTCCACGCGGCAGGCGACTAGAAGAGTTGACATTGCAACCGTAAAGATCTGTAGCAATCTCATTGGGGCGATGTATCTTTTTGAATAAGCGTTTGTAGATCAAAAGGACGATGCTTTTGGTGTTCTCGTGGTACTTAGTCAGGCCTGACATCTCGAGATCTATTACTATAGATGCTATTATGATTCTCAGCTCTATCATTTTGTACGCGTGTGACGATAGAGCTGCTTTGGCACATTGTCTGTCATCTTGAATACCAACATCAAAACGGGCAAAACCGTGTTGTTATTGCCGATCTTGTTTGAGTGATCTTTATTATTTCAAGCTTTCCTTTAAGGGAATCCAGCTTTTTTATGTGAATGGCTTTTCAGCCATGTCCTCAAAGTGAAAAACTTGGACTCAAGACATTTACTTGAATAGTATTATCGCAATTATATAACATATACTTATCCCATGTGTACAAGTTATCACACAGTTTCTTTCAACGTTCAGATCCACTCGTTATATGATCAAAAAGTCACGGCAAGTTTTGATACTATACTTTTATTTAATTATATACATGTACCGCCTGAGCAGCTTGAGAACGGTATCAAACTATTTACATGGAGATGGATCAGTGAAGGTGTCTCCTATGAGTGAGCTGTTGCAAGCTCTGTATTAAAAGCGCTTTTTACGACGATTTTTTTGTTTTTAGTGCAACATTGACAATCACGCTTGGTCTCCAGCAAGCATGTCAAAATCTGTCAAGAAGTCACCCGCATCCATCTCGATAAGATCTGTAAATCCGTTACTATAACTGTTCCAGACTTCGTCTGCCAACATTTTCACCACTTCTTCCGGTACTTCGTCATTTCCGACCGACGACCAATTGTGAGTCACCTCAACCCGGGTTCTGCTATCGAGACCTACCTCAAAGACTGTACGATTAACACGTTCTAAAGCCATCATGATCACAAAATAATGTGAGTTCCATAGCATGTGTGTCAATCTTGTATGTTCAGGCTTCCAAAGCTCGTCAAAGACTGAACAAAACTTTTCAAAATTGCCGCGAAAACTCGTGAAGATCTTATCATCAGGAACAGAGAGAGAGTCCAACGATGTTTCATCCCCACTGCAGTCTTCCATGGACACTATGAGCCCCTTTTCGAATAACGTAATCTTGAAGAACATCAGACCATACATTTCAGTCAACATTCGAATTGGTAGAGAACCAAGTAGCAAAATGCATAGGTTCAACATAGGAGTCAGAACTTTACTTTGGTGTAACTGCGAAGCCATAAATCGCTCTTCATCTGACTTATAACACCTCAATATTGTATTTACCGAGACTGCTATTCCAACCAGCATGGATTTGACAAATCCATTCTTCGTAGCAATTGTGATGACCTCTTCTGAAACTCTTGTCAGATCGTAAAAGTTGGTCAACATAGACAAAGCCGGGGATAGGATTTGAATGTCGAAGAGATCAATCTGCAAAATTAGCGAAGAATCGGTATAGTACTTCAACGGTTTGAAGTATTTTTGAATAAAATCAGTCATTTTTGAAACCAAGGTCATTAAGGGAGGTCTGTTCACAGGGTCGTATAGTGCTTGCAAGCATTTTCTACCAACGAAAAGGAAATTTCGAAGTAACGGAATGCGACCACTCTCAGGAGTTGGCAATTTAGAGTCATTGTAATGGGCTGCTGCGACAGTCGCGGGAGATCCAATGTCGAACGATACGCACAAATCGACGTAAAGGGTCCAGTACCATAGATTTTGTAGAGAAGTAACTGAGCCCACAACTGAAGTTTTATTCATGTATAGCTTCTCAATGTCTTTGTGTAAACCCAAGCTCATCGATGTGGAACACAGCAGACCTGACAAAGAGACTAAATGAGAACACCCACTTCCACTGATACCGTTATACATTCGGAGCATGCACATCAAAAGCAGAAACTGCGCTCTTTCGACATATACGGATTTAGCAGTTGTGAACCCCGATAAGGAGATGCTCAGTCGCTGGAAAGAAGCAGGAATATTCTTTTTGTAATGAACAAGACTCAGGATCATCAAAACGACACCAATATTAAAAAAATTCTGCTTTCTTTCGGTCAACAGCAGAACAACTGGTCGTCTAGAGATATTATCACTTCCTTTGGTGGCGATGTAGCTTGGCATGAAACAAAGCTCGAAATCTCGAATCACCTTTTCTTTATCCAAAAACTGATAGTAAGTGTGCAGGGGGTCATCGAAAAACTCATGTAATCTGCTCAAAATTGTCTCATAAGGCGGCAAATCTGGTAAAATAGCGTTGATCAAACTTCCTGAGCCGGAGTATTCAAGTGAGCTGTAATCCATAGTGAGCAAGCCGCCATGGACATTTTTCCAAGCATCTAGCTCAGATTTCACTTTACGCCACACCTTGACATATTCGGAAACGAAACGATCGCCTGACGCAGTGATGATAGCCCTTATAGAAGTTGGTCCATAGTGAATGAAACGTCCGTCCTTTTCACGTAGTACGTAGAAATCGTTCAGATCTGTCTTTTGACCTTCCATCATAGGATTTTTGAAGCTTGTTGAGTCCATTTCGGTGTGCAGACTGCCGTCAACGGCCGTTGTCGTCGCTACAGCAGTGACATCGCTTTTCACGGTGCTGCAGTTGCCACCACTACTAACATCACTTATCGACGTTCCTGAACCGGGATCTCGCTCCGAGGTGTTGGTGCTATTTCCGTTGCTGCTGCAGAAGTCTGTTTCCGCGTGTGGATCTTCATCCAGCGTTGATTTGTCCAATGTTTCTTCGAGCTCTTTGATTCGACGAAGAAGTGCCACGTTCGGCTGCTTGCTGAACAGTTCGTCAGAGGTCAGCTGGAAGTTGAAGCCGTCCGTGTATATACATTCGGGCAGTTTTCTAGCCTGGCAAGCTCCACACATAGGTTTTTTTTGGTCACATTTCAGCTTCCGTTGTCGACAGAAAGTACAGGACTTGATAGTCTTACGTCTTCTTCTTCTTTGGTCCATGGATGGTCGTTCTGGCATGTTTACAAGGGGGCTGATTACGGTTTTTGACAATAAATCGCGGGTTTCACGCTCCGAAGTTTCTAGTAGGGGTTTCGTCGAGCTTACAACACGCTCACCATAAAAAAAGTTATGGGCCAAATGGCTTCTTTTGGGTCTTGTGTGAGTCCTTGAGATTCAAATCAAGGAGAAACACATCGTATTTGTCCAGTCGAGAACTCGACTGCAGGTAGTGGCGATGAGATGCACCTCATATATATATATATATGTACATATCAGTTTCAATATATATTTTTACGGCGGACATGGCCCAGAAGTCCGGCTTACAGCCGAGAAATGAGAGGACCCCTGCGGGTCACGTGCCACAATGTCTTTGCAGACTATGGCCACTTGAAGGGAGACTTCTCAAACTTGATAGTAGATGCTTACAATTTCTGTTCCAATTGATGCTTTCTGAATACGCGCTCGGAAGTGCAGTTTAGCGCTGTTTTCCAAAACTGTTCATCATCATGTACGGAACTAACGAAAAAGGTGTGTGAGTGGGCAAGGGGTAATCCTCCCATCAGTGAGGGCCCGTAAGGTTGTTTTCCCACACAGATAGCTCTCCGTTTTGGTTCTTCACCTTTCACTGTGTATTCGTGATCACGTTGCGCAGAAGACTGTTTCAATTTAATTTCGAAAAGTAAAGTTGAGCCCATATCCGACAAACCCCGTTTCGGGCGTCTCTTCTCCGAGACGGAAAAAAAAACCATTTCGTGTAAAGCGATCTCATTCGGAGTTCGTCACATGGGCAAGTGATATGCACGATGAGCCACTCTTGTAACACCATACACCATAATTTCTAGAGCCTACGGTGAAGAAAGATGATTTATTAGTACACACCGGAGATTGAGGCATATACTTTTCGAACAGACAAGAGACATATCAGGGATTGTAAACCGAGCCAGGACGTCTTAGAAGGAGACGACCAGCGCGGTGTAGGGTGAGTCACTGTCATTGTCATACCACTGACACAGGGCCGCAACATTATTTTGGTGAATGTGTAATCGTTCACGAGCTGAATTCTTGGCGCGCGGCAATCTCCGCGGATCAAAGAAGGAACGAAGGCACGTGACCAACAGGGTGTAGCTGACGTCAGCATATAATCTCCGTACATACCCGAAAGGCTTTCGAGTATTAAAGCAGAGCGATATCCAGCCAAGACCAGACATGCAGATGCCAGAGAACAAGACAGCTTACGAGAACGATACAAGACGTTGTTGAAAAGGTGAACTAGAGACACTCTGCACCAACTCCAAATTGCCCGTCTGCCAATCAAAACGACACACTACACCGTGGGATTCCAGCTTTCTTCCAATTGAGCACGTTACTACCGCTGTACTGTCAAATTCTTTCGCGTGAGAGACGTTTTCCTTTGTTCCAAACAAACACTCGCCAGACGTTTAAGGCTTCCTTTTTTTCCTCTTCTTCTTTCGTCCGTCCTATATCCGGCTTGGCATAAAAAAGAAATCCTCGAGAAAAGGGTCTGACGCATCTCTCCTGCATTATTACATAAACACGCATCAGAAGGCACGCGCAGCAACAACCACAATCATCATGAACGAGAAACTAGTGCTGGGCATGTGTCTGGGCTCACTGGCCCTAACGCTGTTTTTGGCAGCCCTGGACATCGTCATCGTCATTACCTTGTATGACGTTATTTCCGAGAAGTTTAACGCTTACGGCGAGATTGGATGGCTGGTTACAGGCTATTCGCTTCCCAACGCACTCTTCACCCTACTGTGGGGCCGTTTGTCCGCCCTTTACGGGCTCAAAACGTGTCTCTCGGCGTCGATTATAATTTTCGAAATCGGATCCCTGGTCGTAGCGCTTGCTAACTCCATGTCCATGCTCATCGGCGGTCGTGTCATCGCAGGTATCGGCGGTAGCGGGATCCAGTCGCTGGTATTTGTCGTGGGTACCTCGCTGGTCGAAGAGCGCAACAGAGGCATGGTAATCACCGTTCTGGGAATGGCTTTCATGGTCTCCAACGCCGTGGGGCCGGTTCTTGGCGGAGCTTTCAGCCAACACGTCAGTTGGCGTTGGTGTTTCTACATCAATTTGCCCATTGGAGGTCTGGCATATGCCATGTTGCAGATTTTTTACAACCCTGCAAAAGTCACATTTCGTGAAACCGTTGGCGACAAGGTGTCAGCTGTCAAAAGCTATCGCTATTCCAATATGCTAACGGCCAAATTTTGGGGCTACCTGTGGCGTTTCTTCATTTACAAGCTCGATTTCGTCGGATTCGCCTTGAGTTCCGCCGGATTTGTTCTGTTCCTGCTCGGACTCACTTTCGGAGGCGAAAAATACAGTTGGAGTTCAGGCACCATAATTGCGTACCTCACTGTGGGACTTGTCCTACTTGTGCTATGGTGTGTATATGATTTCATCGTCCTGCCGTATCTGGGTAAGTTCCTACCTGAAAACGAGCGTGCTGAGCCCTTGTTGCCTTGGGCTTCGGTGAAAATCATTGGTGCCCTTGCCGGAACAATTTCCAACTTCTTCGTGTGCTTTGGCATGAACATGGCAATGATTTATCTCATCCAGTTTTACCAGCTGGTAAGAAATGAAAGCGCAACTGCGTCAAGTATGCATATGTGGGGATTTCTTGTTCCAGCCATTGTGTTCATTGTTGTACAAGGTAATATCAGTAAAAGATTCGGAATCATCAAGCCTGTTGCTGTGGTAGGTTCTGCTTTGGGCACCGTCGGTGCTGGTCTCTTGACCATGCAAAATGGTTCGACTCCACTGGGGCATTCTATTGGCTACTCCATTCTTCCCGGTATCGGTTTCGCCGCTATCATGCAATCGACAATGCTCAGTGCGCAGATTCAAGTTGAAAAAACCGATCCTGATTTCCGTCAAAAATTCATTGAGTTGACGGCTCTCAATACGTTTGGTAAAGCGATGGGAATGGCTTTCGGTGGTATCGTCGCCACACTCATCTTTTCCTCCACGGTGAAAGATCGTTTAAAACACGCGGATTTCTCGATTCCCAATATGCAAAGCTCTGCAGATATTGTGAGCTACCGTGAACGTCACTACGACGGCGCAGAATCTCCATTAGCAAAGGTGCTGACCAAGGGCGTGCAAAACGTTTTTTATGTGTCGGTAGGATGTTATGCTTTGAGTTTCTTATTCAGTATATTCATGTCCAACAAGCGTTTGTTCGTGGGGCCCAAACCAGAAACACAGGATATGAGCAAGGATTTAGAGCACGACTCGACATCTCTCCACGATTCCAAGGGAGAGAAAAAATTTCTCGACACCGCATCCTCTGGTCCTTCTAGTTCTGAGGTCGGTTCCAACGCGCAAGCACAGCAAGTCAGGGACGCCTGAAAAGGGGGGGCAATTTTATTTCACAATGGGCGCGTACACTCACGCTACTTTCTAATAATTCTGTAGATAGCTTAGTAACAAAATTCCGTAAGTCACAACAACAGAACGGTGTGTACGTGCGCGAGCAGGCAGATCGTCTAATCCATGAATGTGAAAAATGTGTGTGCCTGTTAGAATGCATTGACGAATCATGGACGCTGTTAACACATGTCAGTTTTGTTTAGACTAACCAGTAGTATGGTAAGCTGCATTGTGCATTGTCCGAACGTATGGTCAATTATGACAGGTTTCTTCATCACTTTGTACTAATCTGTCATCAGCTGAAAACCTGTTCTTTCTCCCCTACTCTCGGTCCCATTCAGGCTTTGAGAGTTTAAAGAAAGAGTTCAACGGAAATGGAGAGCTAACTTACAAACTACTTTCACATTCCGCGATTTTCCGATCGCGCTCATTGACCTTTTGAATTTCTACCCACCAGACGTAAATGGACGATTTACAATCAGAAAAAGGTCTTGAACAGGAAGCAAAGTTTTTTAGCATTGCCGCCTCGTTTATTTTAAGCGCTATACTTACGATGAGCAGTGCTTTACGACTCAACGCCGCTTTTAACGCGAGTTTCTCTAGATTCTTTGATGGTCACCTGACAGGACCCTACAATCTAGTGTCAGTAATTTAACCTCAAGGATTCAACTGGACCAAGGATCATCGCTGCTCCCCGCAAATAATATTCAAACAAAAGCAGGATACCTGTCAGGTTTTTGTACTTTTATAGCTTTTAAATATATTTGAGGTTGAAGAGATGTTGGCAATCAATTTTCCTCTCGTCTTCACACTTTTTTCGCTAACCCTAACGCTTTTCTTAGCCGCTCTCGATATTGTCATTGTTATTACGCTGTATGAGACGATCGGTAGAAAATACAATGACTACGCAAGTATTGGATGGTTGGTTACCGGCTACTCGCTGCCCAGTGCCCTGTTCACGCTATTGTGGGGTCGTGTTGCTGCCATCGTGGGACTAAAAACAAGCTTGACGGCTTCTATCATTATATTTGAAATAGGATCTCTGATAGTGGCCGTTTCAAACTCGATGGGAATGCTTATTGGAGGTCGGGTAGTTGCTGGCTGTGGTGGTAGCGGTATCCAGTCGTTGGTGTTTGTCGTTGCTACGTCTCTGGTACAGGAAAGAAACAGAGGCCTTGTAATTATGATTTTGGGATTTGCTTTTGCCGTGGCTTTTGCAATCGGACCCGTACTAGGAGGTGCATTTACAGAGAATGTAACATGGAGATGGTGTTTTTTCATAAACTTGCCTATTGGTGGTCTGGCCTTGTTTTTACTGGTTCTCAGCTATAACCCAGATGACACATTTTGGTACGACTCTTTGAAAGCGCATTGCCAAGCAATCAAAAAACTTCCGTATAAGAACCTGACCACAAAAAAGACGTGGTATCGAGCTTTCCGATTTGTTGCTTTCGAACTAGATTTTATTGGTTTCGCTTTGTCGTCCTCCGGATTTGTGCTCTTTCTACTTGGAGTCACATTCGGCGGAAACGAGAACCCACGGCATTCGGGAACTATTATTGCGTACTTGACAGTAGGTGGATTTCTAATACTTTTCTGGGTATTGTTTGATTGTGTGATTCTATACTACTGGGCTTCCCTTCACCACGTTACGCAGCCCGTTCCATTGCTGAGAAAAAAGTTGTTTTTCCTCCCTGGGATCGCCACGAGTGCCCTTGTGGTGTTTTTCGGCTGCTTAGCATTCAACATGCAGTCCGTTTACGTTGTACAGTTTTATCAGTTGGTGCACAATAATGGGCCCACATCCGCTAGCATGCATTTGTGGGCATTTTTAGTGGCCACCTTGATTAGCATTGTTGCTATAGGAAAGGCTTCGTCGACATTTGGACGTATTAAACCAGTCATCGTTGCAGGTGTAACGCTGGGTCTCATAGGGTCCGGACTTTTGACTCTATTAAATACCACAAGTACGCTTGGAGACACAATAGGCTACTGTATTTTGCCGGGCGCTGCTTTTGGATGTATTCTGCAGGGAACATTGCTCAGCACCCAGCTGCAAATTGACAGAGACGCGATCGACTTCCACACTTTATTTATCGAGGCCACAGCAGTGAATGCGTTTTTCAAGTCTTTGGGAATGGCTTTCGGCGGTATCATGGCGACAATGATATTCACGAATTCGGTCAAAAACGACCTGAAGCATTCTGGAGCCGGATTACCACCTTTCACCAATATTGAAGCTTTGATTGCTTACCGTGCCCAAAACTACGATGGTTTAAACTCTGTTCTCTCCAAAATATTCGCCAAGGGTGTTCAAAATGTGATGTATGCTGCGTTGGGTTCCTATGCTATAGCCTTCATCTCGGGTCTTTTCACGTCCAATAAGAGGCTTGTCTCACCGTCGAAAGGAGACGATTTAGAGCATTCTTCGGCAGAAAACACCGTGCAAGAAAAAACGAGCAGCACTCTACACCCAAAAGACAGTCATCCAGTGGCAGATGAGAGATCAAAGTTACCTTTGCGGGAAAAGTTACTGACGGCCCTGAGATCAAAAAGAAGTTCCTCAACTTCATACAGTGACCAGTGAATAGTTGAGGACCTTGCTGTGAAGGGTAAATTCAATAAATTCAAAGGATCGACGCTGCAAATTGCATGAAAGCTCAACGCTGTCATCTGCTTTTTGTGCCGCAGCTCTTTAGCTATTGTCCCTAAAAGCTTCCGGAAGCAATTATGATTTACAGAATAACCTCTTGCAATGTAACTGAGCTCCCTAGAAGTGCCGAATTTGGCGTCAGAATTAGTTGTCGATATCGAACTAAACATTGCATGTTCTTCGATCAGCAGTCAGTCACATTATTAGCATGAAATTGGAAAAGCGAGATCCTTCAGTACGTACGTGCGATGGCAGCTTCTAGACCGAAAATGAAGACTTACCAGCTGGATCAGTTGACGAACACGAGCTGCTGCGCTGAGTAGACCCAGAACTTTCCACTGTAGTATTCCAGTTGGTGGGTGTTGATTTATTTGAAGTCATTTCACCAACAGACCTCATGGGAAGCTCCCCTAAGATGCCTGAATTCGACAAGAGCGATGTAGCTCGGATTGGGCGTAAAAATCAAGTATACTCTTCAATCACTGGCGCAAGAATTGTTGCAGGATGTATATGTCTTGATGAGTCCAAGACAAGTGTTTTAATGATCCAATCATCTGCCCACAAGAAAAAGTGGGTTCTTCCGAAAGGCGGAGTTGAGACCGATGAACCCGACTTCAAAACCACTGCAATGCGGGAAACATGGGAAGAAGCGGGCGTTTTAGGCCGAGTGGTTCAAGAATTGGGCATAATTGAAGATATGAGACCTCCTAAGGACTGGAACTTTGATATCAAGGCTTTTGTCGAGGCTCCGGACGACGCAGAAGTGAACAAACATCCTCCAAGGTCCGAATTCCATTTTTTCGAAATGGCTGTTGAGACTCTCGCAGCTGAATATCCAGAAGCTCATAAACGCAACAGGAAATGGTTCACATATCAAGATGCCATTGAACAGCTGCAAATTGCGAAACGGCCAGAACTAATTGAAGCTCTTAATCGCTCTAGTATAAGAAAGAATTGAAAAATTGCCGAGTAAGTTTATCGTGCTGATGTTAGTAAAGTTGGGACCTTTTCATGCTGTCCCCATTTTCAGATCACCTTACGACTCATTTCTCTCCTAAACGAACACAAACAAGGAGACACTGCCAGTGACGTACTTTATCTATTTACTGCCGAGAAGCCCCGACATTATATCCTGCATGAAGTTAACAGGTTTCTGTATTTTGATACCGAAATATTCCTGGCCCAAATATTCCAGCTGGGACGAATACTGGTCTATCGATCCTGCGTAGTGGCTCTGTAAGTTTCTAAAGAGGTCAACATTCTCCGACTGGCATGTCAAAATAAGTAGTTGCAAAAAATTTAGGTCTGCATAGTCTTCAAAGTACCACATTTCAAAACCGTTCTTATCGATTTTCTCATGAGCTGCAGACGACCATTCGATAAACTTGCTCAGAAAGCTATCCTTAATAGCATACGCATTTTCGATGTTGCCAATGAACAAATAGTTGAATATTGGCCTTGAAAAGAATTCTCCAGCGGCCTTCTTATCGCCACTTTGTAGAAACCATTCCCATAAGAGAGAAACGTACTCTTTTACAGACTCGGTTGTGCCTAATACGAAATATCTTTCTGCCTCATAAACATAGCCACCATCTGCGAGTTTGGGTCCGATCACAGAATGGAGGTAGGGGTCACCATACTTACAGGATCCAAACTTAATAGACCAATTGTTCATACCCGTTACCACGTCTTTCAGATTAGGTTCTTCTGGATCCAAATTCGCTAAGAGTTGCACCAATCTAGCAATTGAGGTGTCATTTACACGGACTTCTGCTGCATCATACACCTCCAACAGATAGAAAATCAAGTCAGTTGCCGATCCACCTTGTTTTGCGGTCAAAAAAGCCTGTGCACCTTCCGAAATTAGATCAATTGCATCGTTGTACTGCTTACTGCGAACATAACGGTTTGCAATGGTACGCAGGGTTTGATGGGCCTCGTAAAAGTCCCCAGCCTCAATACGAGCCTGGAAACGCGCTAACGTTTTTGTCAGTTTGGTATTGGAGCTCATACGATAGTCTCTGCGATTACTTTACTGGTCTGTTCAGTAGTCGACTTCGTTAAACTGATGATGATGATATTATATATTTCAATTGGACATTAACTATGTGAGACGACAGTTTGAAAAGAAAGAAGTGTGAGGTCTCGAGGTTGAGCTAGACACATAATGAATGGCCAGTGTTGAACTGGGATGCTCTGGGATTAAATTTTTTTGTTCCAGGCCTTTTTACTCGAATATTCATCAAGATTGAGAATTTGGTTTAAGAAAAGAAGGACCTGACATCAGGGAGATCATCATGCAAAAAAAGACCAACTGAATGCGCAGTCATAATATTTCCATCATTTCTTCGTGAGAGTTCGCATCAAGAAAACAAGGTATGCATTGTGTCAAGTACACGCCCATTGCACAAACCATCGAAATCGAATATCGTTGACCCATCTAATTGCCACATTACTAGCAAAGCCCTTTACTATGGAAGCGCCATAGTTTGGAGCAAATGTTTCGATAGTAATTTGGGCTCTGAAATGCCTTGTCTTCTACGTTGCGCAACGTTTTTCAATTCCGTCGAGACATTGCGTCACGGAAGGTGTCTTAGACTTCGCACATTGAAAACGCCTCTTCGACAAGCATTTTGAGATTGCACAAAGCAAAAATATTATTGTCAAAAGCCCATATCAACAAGTGCCGATACAGCTCTGATGAATTTTCAAGACGAAGTCGTAATGCAACACGTCGTAACGAAACTCCGAACTGTAAAATGTTTTCATAGAAAGACAAAATATCATCCTGATCACAAAATTCTACATTTCTTCTAGCAGCATTTGCCGAGTTTCGCGAGAAACTGCATATCCCCGCCTTCTATTCGCTGTGCTGTCCTAAATACTCTGCTGCGATTTCCAGGCATTCCTCTATGCGATCCTCTACCCGTTTATCGACTCGCTCCGTCATGTCGTTTATTATATTATAACTGTAGATACACAGAATTTACCAACTTAACAAACTTGATCAACCTTTTTTGAATAGAGTCAAACAGGACCCATCTCAACTCTCCAACTATCAATGGGGTCCTCTAATTTTGCTATCCAGCTTATTGATGAGGCCAAGGAATTCAATCCTAGTGTGCGAGACTTTTTCAACAAGTGCGTTGAAAGTCGCAATGTGGGAATGGACTATCATGTAATTTCGGTCTTTGGTTCCCAGTCCAGCGGAAAGTCAACACTTTTGAACGCTTTGTTCGAGACCCAGTTTGATACTATGAACGCGAAGGAAAAACGCCAACAAACAACAAAAGGAATTTGGCTGGGACACACCAATGACGTTGCCGTTGCAGTTGATAAAAGAGAACGTACTAAGGATCTTTTCGTCTTGGACGTGGAAGGTTCTGATGGCGCAGAGCGTGGTGAAGACCAGGATTTTGAACGCAAAGCTGCGCTTTTTGCAATTGCGGTATCTGAAATCCTGATAGTGAACATGTGGGAACAACAAGTGGGACTCTACCAGGGTAATAACATGGCTTTGCTGAAAACCGTTTTCGAAGTCAATCTGTCACTTTTCGGTCCCAAATCTGACCACAAAGTTTTGTTACTCTTTGTAATTAGGGATCATGTTGGTGTCACCCCGCTTGAGAGTCTCCAACAAACGTTGGAGACTGAACTGAACGATATTTGGGCCGGTTTGACAAAACCTGATGGCTGTGCAGAAAGTTCTCTCCACGATTTTTTCGATCTTAAGTTCACAACGCTTGCTCATAAAGTCCTACAACCTGACGTTTTCGCGGAAAACGTTGGGACCCTGGGAACTCGATTCCAGGACCTTGAGAATCCCGAACACAGTTATTTCAAACCAAAATACCACCACAACTTACCTCTGGATGGCTGGACGCTTTACGCAGGCAACTGCTGGAATCAAATTGAGACAAACAAAGATTTGGATTTGCCCACGCAACAAATTTTGGTAGCTAAATTCAAAACAGAAGAAATCGCACAGCAGGCCTTTGTGGCGTTTTCTGATAACTACCCAACAGAAATTTTCAAGGCCAATGAACTTGAACAGCTTGTTGAAAGTTTACATGGCCTAAAGTCCCAATGCATTGAAGAATATGACACTTATGCATCGCGATACGCCAAGCCAGTTTACATGCAAACCAGAGGTGGCTTAACGAACGATGTTGAGACCAAGCTCAAAGAAACGATATCCAAATTTCTTTTGAGTCTCACCGAAAGTCTGGTAACAAATTTCGAAAAGGATATTGCAGCAAGGCCCAAAAATGTGCCATTCAGCGAGAGAGCTAAACAGGTGCGCTCAGAAATTGAGAAAAGGTTTCAATCTGCTACAAATGAACTTGTAGAACGTGGACTGGTATCTACTCTACAGGATGAAGAACAGCTCTTCACTTCAACTTTGGAGCAGGCGAGTGCAGCTCAAAGCCAGAAGGAGTTGAAACAAATTTTATTCCGCTTGAACAAACTTATCACAGCTGGTATCAAGGAAGATATCATTTTTCTCTTGACCCACCCGGAAAAAGACTTGTGGGATCGGGTTATCGAGAGCTTTGAATCTATTATAGCAAAAGCAGTTCGGTCATTTGCCTGTGAAGACAAAACTTTCGATTTTCAAGTCGGCCTGTTGCCTGAGGAAAACGCAACAGTCTACAGGCAGATTCGGTCAAACGCATGGGCCACTCTTCATGAAATTATAAACGACTACCTCACTGAGGACAACGTCGTATCGATATTGAGGGACCGTTTTGAGAATAAGTTCAGGTTCGATGAAAACGATTCTCCTCGGTTGTGGAAACATGAGGAAGAAATAGACACCGTTTACAGAGTCGCCAAGGAGTACGCAACAGATGTATTGGACGTGTTGTCGCTTGCAGCAACGTCGAACCACGTGGAGATCATACCCGATGTTCCCCTCAAACCTCTGAATGAGCTTGTTGAAGACGTGGACCTTGAAATGGAGTTTACAGACGAATCGGGTATTTACCATCAAAAGAGTTTCGCTCATATCCTGACTGCACCTCAGAAGGAGAAAATACTTAAGGGTTTCAAACGCCAGATCAACACAGCGGTCATCGAGGCCAAGAGATCGATTATACGCACAACAACGCATATTCCAATTTACGTATACGCTCTCATTGCGGTACTGGGATGGAACGAGTTCCTCATTGTTATCAGAAATCCACTATTTGTGACTCTTCTACTCATCTTTGCCGTCGCGTTCTATTTTGTTCACAAGCTGAATCTGTGGAATCCGCTCTTGACTCTTGCCAACTCGGTTGTCAGCGAAACCAAAACTCTAGCGAAGGAAAAGATAAAAGGTTTCTTGGATGAGAAACCTACTGCTGCTGCGGCTCAGTATTCAGTCCCAAATGGTCCCGGGCATCAAAAAATGAAGGTCCCAGCGGAGGAGTTCGAACTGCAAGATTTGCCAAAAGAATCATCATTGAATGACAATGACGAGGACTAGATAGTATACAAAGCTGTACATAAAGAATGCTGTCAAACTTTCTACTGTCGTCTAGGTTTCCTTACTCTAAAAGCTCATGTGATATATGGTTCGTATTAATGACATATTTGTAGCTGCCGCTAGGCGATGAGCAAGGTTGTTGAGCTAAGGGGAGGGATGAGACAGAAGGTGCGCTGGACTCAATGAGCCATTGCGAATTTTCAGAATGGAGAATCTATAACGTAGATGAAAAAAAGTATTATGGATCAGTTGGTAGCTCAAACAATCTCGATTCCTTCAAATTCTGTCTTTCAGCGAATTTCGAACCACCTTTAGTTGCAGAATTCAAATCAGAGGATGTGAATAAACAAGCATTGGATCAAGGAATTGTTGTCAAAACAGACAGTGACGTTTTTGCTACAGTCTGGCAACTTTTCAAGAGCCCCACGTCTCTTCTCCGGCTTTCCTTGGCCGACAATAAAATAATTGTGGACTGTTTACTCTTTGGCAACGTAGCATCTAGGCTAACTTCAGAAACTATAATCATTGATAGTTCAAGTTCATTGGCAATTACACAAGCTATTGTTAAATCATTGTCGTGTGCTTTGGGTGTGCAAACAGGTATTGTAGACCACCTACACAGAACCGTAATGCAGAAAGATCATGCACTCGCTTTTTTGGCCGCAAGTATTCGCGATCTAGGCTTCGACGATGTCATCCGACGGTGGGCACCTATGAATTCGTTGAATGAAAAGACTTTAGACAGTTTTGACTTCGAGAAGTGGTTGACCGAATGGGCTTCGACTCCAGATGACTCAAGCAAAATTTCATCGCCAACTGGAAGTAAGGTCGATATAGAAGACCTGATGCTGAGAAAAGTAAATGTTAATAAGGAGCGTCGAAGACATTTGCCTGAAAATACCGCTAGCACCTCGTTTGTCGCCGATGATTTCGGTTCTTTCAATTCAGAGACACAAAACAGCGGTTTGTCTGAGATATATCCTGCAGAACTTACAAAGGACCTTGATGAAGCAGTTAAAATAGAAGATTCAAGACTGAAGTCGCCCGTTAGTGGTCTTGAAAATATCTCGGAAGCCGAAAAAGACCAAAATGTAAAACGTCAACAGACTCCATCTAGTGACGTTGCCAAATCTTCTTCGCCCGAAACCGTCGTTGATCGTTCTCCAAATAAGAAGAAGCGTAAATTTGGTAGAGTGCGCGTGGATTAGAATGCAGAATGCCCACTCAAATGCTCTCAAGGTTTTTTCGAAGAGCACGCATTGCTCCATCTCATCGCCAATATGTTTAATGCATTTTTCTGGTCCTTCTCGCGGTCTTTATAGAGACACTGAAGTGAGGCAACCCAAAACTCAACAAAGTATTCTAATTCCGTGAAGCTCGACGGTATTTTGATGAGGAACGATTTCGGACTTTTCCAGGCTTCTTTTCGAATACCGGTACTCTTGAAATAGATGCTGAAAACTGATATCCAAAATTTCGCGACACAGCGGCAACAATCCAGAAGGTTGTTGACATGGGTGCTTTCATAATCGGTTAATTCTAGCTCATCTCCGTACTCAACATGCAGAATGTGGTCAATGGCGGACGGAACAATTCCTTCAACTTCTTTAAACACTGACGCCGCGATTTCTGGGAAGCCAGCTTCGTACAGAGATGGGGGTTGACCTATGGTCAGAGGTGCTGGACTCGGGTTCTCTTTACGCTCTGGACGCACGCTTATTTCACCGTCAAAGTTAGCAAAAGATACTCTTTCTTGATAAACTCTCTCAGCAATCAGCTTAGCTGACATGCCTTTACGGTGCGAAACTGTGAGTACTTTTTCGGTGAGCGCCTTAAGACACAGGTTTTTGTCGTTCGACATCAAAACTACGAAAAGGTGCTTTTTGGCTATGAAATACAAGCAGCAATCAAGAATTGCATCGTCCTTTTCACTGGTATAGTCGAGTTTCTCATTGAGGCGCTGGCCGACAACAGCAGAGTCCAGATTCGAGAAATGCGTGTATATCCAGTCATTGGCTTTGCGTGCAAGAGCGCCAATGGTACAAGAACCATAGCCGATTGATTGAGAACTTTCTACTCTATCGGTGGCATTTTTCAAACCATCCAGCTCCTGGACCACGGTTCGAGGAATTACTATCTTGTGCCGGTATTCCACACTTAGTGCACGTAGGTCTTCCAAAATGCCCAAATGGGAGATGATAAAATTAGTGTCAACGACAAAAGCCGTTGGAGCATCCAATGTGGTCATTTCGACCCTATCCATTTCCATCACATCTTCGACGTTCGTGGCCTGCTCTTTTGTTAGAGTTGGGTCGTGTTCCCGGTGCTCTCCTACGATGTGCGATATATTTTCCACTTGTAAGTCCTCAGAGACATCCATCATAGCGCTATCTTCACTTGCGTCAATTTTCCCAGCAATTTGTGGCTTATCCGGACCTTCTGGATCTGCTATTACTATTTCTTCCGTTGCATCTTGATGGGCTAAAAATTCCCGTTCTATGTCTTCAAGAGTGTATTTTTTCGCCTTTTCTCGAATTCCATGCTTAGAGAAGTGTGCATTCTTGTTTTGAGCACTACTTGGTCGGCCTTTCGACATCAAAGGAGCCTTAAACCGTTGCGCAATGAGGTATCTTGATGTTTCTCGATCCAGCTGAACTTATGCTCTTCGTATGAAACAACATTCAATTTCATGAATTCAATATATTCACTGACGTCGAAAAGGAAGTGACAACAGACCAGCATTTGATCAGCTTTGGGGGCTTGAGGATAATTCCATTCGTATTTGCTTGAAATTTTGGCTTCTAACAGTCTTAACATGGGATTTTTTGGAAGAGATTTGATGTTCACAGCGACGTTGTGACAGATCTTGGGTCGTAGGAATTAAAAGATGAGAGGAAAGTGATTAATGCCTTGTAAAGAGTTTGTCGGCTGATTGTCGTATTTTGAAGGCAGATATCAGCAAAGATTAGGCATTGAACCGTTGAAGAGCGAATATTGAAAGTGTGTGTTTTAAATGTCTATGTAGTATAAAGTGATCTGAACCAACATTCAATGTGAATGTCACCATCGCTTCTCAACAAGATGTGTTAAACATCTATGTAGCAGAATGACACTAGCACTGTAGCGAGAATGGGTAAGCTTTTCACAGGGCTTGTACAGTGGGAAGAAGCGGACGAGCCTTGCTTCACTTTTTACTCAATGATATTTTTAAAAGATAGCACTTATATAAGAAAGATATGATGGTAATGCAAAAATATGTGATAGGAAAGGAAGACTTGGAATTGCAGCTAGTGATAGACCGACCTCTGTGTTCTTGTTGATTCGTGTCCATAAAAAAAGCGCCAACTCAACTTCAGCAAAAAAATGCACAAGTATGGCAGGAATGGGAGAGCTCAAAGGCATTCCACAGTTTGCGAAGGAAGGTTAATAGACGGTCAATGGCCCAGCTCGCGAAAATAAGTAAACTGGTGATCGCAATTGGACGGAAAGCCGTTTCGCAGCAACCAGTAGAAACAATAGACTTCGGTCCGTCGTTTCGTTGCCGAGAAATTGTGGAGTGCTTTCGTTTCCAGCGCTTCCATCAGTCGTGGCAACTGAAATTGCACAGCTGGCGCGGAACAAGCCTAAAGCTCCTCCGCCCGCCTCAGAACCTTTAACCATCGCAAATAAAACCTCTGTCTCTCGCCGTCATCCCCGAACGACAACCATGCTGACTTTTGTTTGCAGTGCCGAAGCACGCAAAAAAATCTGACGTCCATTGCGAATTGTCACTTTTTTTATAATTTGATCTGGACAGAAAAGAGAAGACACTGTTCAAAAGTATCGGTTTGATGAGCACATGCCTTAAATCAATCCGGTCTTGCTCTTTTTCACCACTTTCTCCTTGGTGTCACCATCATCATGTCTTGCTTAGTTGAGTGTGGATTTTATGTGATTAATAGTAGTGTGAAGATAAAAAAATGAGCACGCAGCAGCAAATGTAGCAGCGCAGCTTCTTTATCTCAAACGACGAGCCTCACGTTCAGATTCCATCAACACCAAGATGTCGTTTTCTCTGACTGGACCCTTCACGTTTCTCACAATGGTACGGGAAGTATCGTCCAAGAATTCAACACGGACTTGAGTGACACCACCACGGGAGCCGGTACGGCCCAAAACTTTGATAACCTTGGCTAGAGTAACTGGGGTCTTAGTGTCCATTTTGAATCTGTTCTCGCTGGTTTTTCAAGCAAAAAAGTGGCACTAACGATGAGTAGTCAGGTTAATTTGACCAAGCTTTTTTTCAATACAGAACCTCTGGAAAAATTTTTCAGAATCGGAAAGAAGTGAAAAATCAAAGATGGACAGCGATGTGCGTGGTCATAGAGAACGGTGCGTGTGGGGGTAACCTCACGGCAGGTGACGTAGGTGTCAAGCATTCTCGCCCATCCCAGCTTTAGCACTTGGATGTGATACTTGAAGGTAAACAGACGGAATGTTCAAGACGAGTGAAGATCCGTCACTGTTTGTCTTCTTCAGGATTCTGTTGTGGCTGTTGCCGTTGTTGGCTCTCAATGGCATGGATTAGCTGGTCTTCCGGCATGTGCAACATATCCTTGACGCCGTTCAAGTATTGGGACATTTGAGCCATGTCCCGTTCGAAACTTTCCTGTAGTTGCGAGAAAAGAAGCTGATATTTTTGAGATAGCTCAATGCTAATTCTCCGATTAACCTCCTGGTTGATGATCTTCATCTTCCGTGCAAATTCATCCGTGAACTGACGGATGGAACAAAATATTTGATCCTGCAACTGGTTGGTGAAAGATGCCCCCAGTGGCCCATCTTTCGTACCAGGAAAGGTTGTCGTCAAGGTCGTGACATCAAGACTCGTCGATTCTGCGATGGCAGTGGTTGGGGGTTTTGATGTCATTGTTAAGCTATCGTGATTTGGCAATTCCATCGAGGCATCCGCTATATTTTTTATGGGTATTTCCGAAGCTTCACTCGGTTTAGTCGCTCGAGTCTCAGTTGCCAGAGATTCATCGGCATTTCTTTTCCTTCGCGTAGATGGATTCTTTCCTAGCTTGTCTTTCTGTCTTCCATTAGGTCCCAAGGAGTTAAAAATACTATCCAGTTGTAGAATCTCTTTCTTTGAAATTCCACTGCTTGACTTCACCTTTTCTCGTTGCTGATCGCAGGTAAACTTGGATATCTTAGCCTTTGTGAGATTCGTTGACCCATTTTGGTGGCGATGCTGTTGAGAAGGTTCCGCCAATGTCATCTTCGCAGGTGCCTTGGCCAAGACAAGCTCTTTTCCTCTTCGTCCTGCCCGCTCTTCTCTCCGTTTCTGCGCCATCACAAGAGGCGATTGATCAGAAGATGGTTCCCTGTCGCGGCTAAGGTTCGCTTGGGCGGCCACAGTAGGCGATTCTGGCACACCTACTTGTTCGTTTTCGGTGTCATTAGAAGACTCGAAATCCCATCTTTTCTCCATGTGGGAATTTTTTGGCTTGTGAGGCATCTTATGGACCTTCCAACTGGGAAAAACCAACTTCAGCGGCTTTGGCTTGGGCTTTCGCACGACAGTCAGTGGTACCTTCGGCCTTGGCATCATAACACTCCTTGGAGACCTTTGTGCCTCCGATGATTCCCTTTCTGGAGTTGGGAGAGCTAACGGTGCACACTCTTGAGAGTCCTCTGCATCTTCCTGACGAGAAAGATCAAACTGAAGAGATATAAACGACTGAGATTCGCTAATCTTATGCCTGCGGCATTGTTTGATGATATTCTGGCTAAGGGTTTTGTCGGTAAACTCAACAGAAAAGCTCCGAGCCATGAGGCACTCATTATCACGGACAGGATCTAAGGCACGGATTGCTGACGCTACCGATCCCACTCGGTTTATCAGAAGTACTCCTTTTTCGGTGGCAGAAATAACAAAAGATTGCAGCTCAAATTCGTATAAAGCACCCAATGATGTCCAGGCATAGATTGCTTGTCGGGTGAATTGGATGCATCTGATGTCAAATTTTATTCTCTCAGCACCTCTTGAATAAAAAGCGGCAGATACAATCCCCATATTCGAGAAATCACCCATGTTTTTGAGAACAAAGTCGCAAACACATGCATTCTTATCGTTTACCAATGCCAGAAATTCACTGTTGCCAAAGAATTTTCTGTTTCTGCTTGGTTCATCCCACAGTTCAAGTATTAGGTTTTTTTGCCATTTAGAAGAGGCTGAAGTGCCGTTGATGGTCAAATAAATGAGCAGTTTAACCAGATTTACAGCCAGCTGGAAATCTTGAGTCTGATCCAAAATTTGTGCCATACTCCTCCCATATTTTCCTTGTGATAATGAAATTAAAACCGGAATACAAACGGCTCTATAACGCTTGGCTATGTCTAGAAGAAGGGCAATCCCTCTCCATGCATCCGTAGCTTTTCCATTCACCGAGAAGCTCAAAAGTGTCTCCAGAATATGCAAATCGAAGCTTTTCGAATCTTCCCAAATTGTGGAGTTCTGGTACTAAAAATGTTAGAAAACAGACAAATGATCAAATGAGAGAAAAAAAAAACAATAGGGGTAGTAAGGGTGTCTTTGTAGGCATGGTTGTGCACACCACATTTTCAGCTGCATACCATGAGCTTATCCCAAATGGAAGTTTTATCGGGGAGCCAGCCTTGAAATTGAACGCTGCTCAAATTCTGTATTACCACATCGGCCACACTCCATTTGTACTGTATCGCGCTGCATTCTGTAGCATTCAACAGATCTAAAACCAATATCTGCGGTAACAACGGTCCGTTCCCATCACTTTCTTCCTGCTTTTGTTCCTGTAGCTCTCTCAAAAACTGTGGCCTTTCCCTGTTTCCGCCATCCTGAACAGCGCGTTTGAGCTGTTCAAACACCTCTCTGCGCTCAACCATGGAATATCTTGTGCGCGGACCTTCGATTTGTCAAGAAAGACTAGTTTCACTACTAAAACTAGCCTTTAGAACACTTTACGCCCTGTATTTATGTTAGCCGCCGAGCCTTTCGAAGTAAGGGAAACAGAAATGGCGATCCATTATTCTGTCTGAGTGTTTATACTCTCCCCTAAAAAATTAGTGAATTTCGTACAAAGCGACCAGTTGCTCTTTTGAGAGATTGGAATGAAAATTTCGCTACAATTGTAAGACTTCATAAGAGCGAGTCAGCTTAGTTCAAGCATCTGTTCTGATACTCAAGAAACTACCTATCTGTTACTACTTCCTTCTTTATTTTCTCTATGTTACGCTCGTTATCTTCATATTTAAGCATACTACAGTTTACTAGGGCATAATTTATTAATGGGATATCGAAAAATTTGAAGTGTGATGAAATAGTCATCGGCTAGAATAAATCAGTAAAGTTCGAGGATATTCAAACACCAAATAGGCCCAATTGAAGCATCATATAGCGGTAGCAATGAGCTCTGTGGATGAATTGACGGTATTGCTTGAAAACACCGGGTTCGAAGAGCCCAAGGTCAAGGAAATTGTAAAGAACAAAAAGGTTGCGGGATCGTTGGAAATTCTGATCAAAGATGCCCCTGAGGATCAAGAATGGGATAAACCACGCAGAACTTTGATCCATAATCTTGCTCAGCTTGCCAAAGGAGCAGATCTGCCCAACTCGAAGCTGGTGGTGCACGAAATTGTGAACGGCGACCTCAAAACCCCATTGCAAGTCGAGGCGGCGTACAAGTACGTTAAAGAGGCCAAAAACACAGCAACGGTGGATCAGCTCAAACAAGAATGCGGGGTTGGTGTGGTGGTAACCGACGTGCAGGTCAGAGAACGTGTGGTAAAGTATATTGCCGACAACAACGCAACCATAGTTACAGAGCGTTATAAGCTCGTTCCTGGCATTCTAGCGGCCGTGAAGGGCCTACCTGAGCTCAAATGGGCGGAGCCACGCTTGTTCAAGCCTATAATCGATGAGGAGATTCTCAAAGTTTTGGGTCCAAAGGATGAGAGAGACGTGGTCAAGAAAGAGAAGAAGAAGAAGGCTAAAGATGTCAACAGCGCCTCAAATGGTGCCAAAAATGGTGCTACAAATGATTCGAGCGAACCCAAGAGAACCATGTTTGAAGAAGGATTCCTAGGCGACCTCCACAAAGTTGGTGAAAACCCGCAGGCTTATCCAGAGCTGATGCAAGAACATCTTAAGGTCACAGGCGGAAAAGTGCGCACCAGATTCCCACCTGAACCTAACGGGTATTTGCACATTGGTCACTCGAAAGCCATTATGGTCAACTTCGGTTACGCAAAACACAACGACGGTGTGTGCTACTTGAGATTTGACGATACAAATCCTGAAGCTGAGGCTCCTGAGTATTTCGAGTCCATAAAAAGGATGGTATCATGGTTGGGCTTCGAACCATGGAAGATCACGTACTCTTCGGACTACTTTGACCAGCTCTACGAATTGGCCGAAAGATTAATTTTGAACGGCAAAGCCTACGTGGACCATAGCACACCTGAAGAAATTAGACGCGGTCGTGGTATCAAGGAAGACGGAACACCTGGTGGTGAACGCTTTGGTGGCAAATGGCGGGAAAGATCTCCAGAGGTTAATCTGGAGGAGTTCAGAAAGATGAGAGACGGATTCTACAAGCCTGGAGAAGCTACTCTGAGAATGAAACAGGACTTCAACTCTCCTTCTCCACAAATGTGGGATCTCATTGCTTACAGAGTTTTAAATGCGCCACATCCAAGAACCGGTTCCAAGTGGAGAATTTACCCAACTTACGATTTCACTCACTGTTTGGTCGATTCATTCGAAAACATTACCCATTCGCTCTGTACTACCGAATTTTATTTGTCAAGAGAAAGTTATGAATGGCTATGTGATCAATTGCATGTCTTCAGACCTGCTCAGAGAGAATACGGAAGATTGAACATAACAGGTTCCGTTTTATCTAAAAGAAAAATTGCCCAGTTGGTAAACGAGCACCATGTCAGAGGATGGGATGACCCTCGTCTGTTTACGCTAGAAGCCATTCGTAGGCGTGGTGTTCCTCCCGGTGCTATTTTGTCTTTCATCAACACCCTGGGCGTTACCACTAGTACTACAAACATCCAGGTTGTGCGTTTTGAGTCTGCCATCAGGAAATATCTAGAGGACAACACGCCAAGACTAATGATGGTTTTGGACCCTATCGAAGTCGTCGTTGACAATTTGCCTGACGACTATGAAGAATTGGTGACAATTCCGTACAGACCCGGTACCGCTGAATTCGGCGACAGAAAAGTGCCGTTCACGAACCGTTTGTACATCGAGAGGTCTGATTTCTCAGAATCTGTGGATGACAAAGAGTTTTTCAGATTGACACCTAACCAATCAGTCGGTTTGATCAAGGTTCCTTACACTGTATCTTTCAAATCTTTGGAAAAAGATGCTGATGGCAAGATCACTAAAATTCATGTCAAGTACGACAACGAGGATGCCAAACCCAAGAAACCCAAGACCTACATCCAATGGGTGCCTGTATCTGCCAACTACAACTCACCTCAACGCGTTTGCGAGACCAGAATCTACAACCAATTGTTTAAATCTGAAAACCCATTGGCAAACCCAGCCGGCTATCTCGAGGACATCAACCCTGATAGCGAAGTCGTTTATTCCAAATCAGTCGTTGAACACAATTTCAACCATGTCATTGAGAAATCTCCTTGGGTCGTTGAAGGCTCCAAGAAGTCTGAATTTTATGTTGGAGAAGAACACGGACGTAAAGAGGTGTGTCGATTCCAGGCAATGCGTGTTGGGTACTTTACTCTCGACAAAGACAGCGAAAACGACCGTATTGTTCTGAACAGAATTGTAAGTTTGAAAGACGGTAGTAAATAAATTGAGTGAAGACTTTTTGAAGGGACCTAAAGAAATCGTATCGTGCTTTCTAGTACCAAAGTACCGTGTCCAAGTTCAGAACCCTGCCAGTTTTCTATACTTACGACTGAATGAAGGTTTTAATAAATTTCAAATTCATCCAAATAATGCCTTGAAATACGGTGCCACCTATACGGGATTTTTATAGAGCGATTTCAGCTATTCAAAGGCCCGTAGTGTAACCTATTAGAACGACTATCCTACTGTCACCAGTGTTCTTATTCAGATACTTCTGACGTTACGCTCAATCTCGTGCACCACGATCTCGTCTGCGGCGAGCCAAATAATTTTCAAGCTTAAATATCACTGATATTATATGTTCAGCTGTGATGCCCACCTCGACAAAACGTTGAACTTCGAGTCCATCACATTCTCAACTATTCAATCGCGCAATGTCTGGTCGTCAAGGTGGTAAGTTGAAGCCTCTAAAGAGCAAGAAAAAGTCTCAGGCGGATTTGGATCCTGAAGAAGCTGCTTTCAAAGAGAAGCAAAGAGCTGACCAGGCCGCAAAGAAGGCCTTGTTGGAGAACATGAAGGGTGGTAAGAACTTGGTTAGTGGAGGAATCAAGAAATCCGGTAAGAAATGAATTGTTCGGGGCGTGTTGCGAGTCCGGGTTAAAGAACTTTCGAGGACTCGTCGTAACCTCTCGTGTGGCTTTCTGGAGTTCGCAATTTTAGCTAATTTCTGGCGTGTATACTTATTAAACCATACGAATTTTTGTTTGAACTGCAGGCCAATGATTTAAGTGAGTGTAGTACTGCTATACGTGTTGCGGAGAACCTGTTTCCCAGAAAGATAAATTCGTGAATGTACATAAATTCTAAGGGTTTTGCCGTGAGCCTTGATTCGTACAGGGTGGATCGGATCTTTTTAGAATACTTTTATACCGATCCGATCTGTACTTCCACGTCTTGTATTGCCGAATTCCTTCAGCGACATAATAGTACAAAGTGATCTGGGAGCTGACGGAATTCTGACCTCATTCTCATGAACCTTGCCGAGGTTCCGAGCAGCTCAAGATGGAACGATCGAGCCCATTGCATTTTCTACTCCGTGAAGCGTTCCCAGAAGTGAGTAAAAAAGAAATTCGGCAAGACAACAGCCAATTCCGAACGCCATCACAAACGACACAAATTCTATTCCACATCCGAACTAAATTCTAACCCTCTAGACGCTCAAAACAAGCAGGACAATGCTACTTATTACTTAAAGGTTTGACTCTATTGTTTTATCACATGTAACGAGTGTGACATTCAGATTGATATCACTCAGTACGCAAGAGGTCCTCTAAATCTTCAAGATGAGCTAACTCATCCAAAGTCCAGATCTCTGTTCTCAAGCGACGGAACAACATCGTGTTGGTAGATAAGCACTCGCAGACACACACTTTTCACTCTTTTATAACGTCAACATGAGTGGAAGTCGAACGGGAAAATCCTTGACAAAGTATAAGATAGTTTTCTTGGGTGAACAAGGTGTGGGAAAAACTTCGCTCATCACACGGTTCATGTATGACACATTCGATGACCATTACCAGGCAACCATAGGCATAGATTTTCTATCTAAAACCATGTATTTGGACGACAAAACCATAAGACTGCAATTGTGGGATACTGCTGGCCAGGAACGGTTCAGATCGCTCATTCCATCATACATACGGGACTCGCATGTAGCGATTGTGGTTTACGACGTTACGAGCAAAAAATCATTCGAATACATTGACAAATGGGTGGAAGACGTGAAATCAGAGCGTGGAGAGGAGAACGTGGTGCTGTGCATTGTGGGCAACAAAAACGATTTATCTGACGAACGTCAGGTTTCTACAGAAGAAGGTGAAAGAAAGGCGCAGGTTTTGAACGCCAAAATTTTCATCGAAACGTCTACTAAAGTAGGCTTCAACGTCAAGAATCTGTTTAGAAAGATCGCTAAGACCTTGCCGGAGTTTCAGAAATCGGACAATGTGCCCATTGACGATAGCACGTCCAAAAGGAAGCCGGACGTGATCGATATCACAACTAATAAGGAAGAACAGGATCAAACAGGCTGTCAGTGTTAGCGTGTCCGTGTAATGTATTAATATTAACTACGATCCAACCATTTTTTTTTCAGATGTTCTGGACTTTGTTTACTGTAGGATGCCCATTTTTGCGTCTTAAAAGAAGCGTACAAAACAAAAACCAAAACTCAATTCCTTTCATTTGTCTTTTATTACTTAAACTGTGTATACCATTATCTATATAAGTGTGTTCCATGCCACGACCTTGCTACCGAGCTTCTCTTTTGTCAAGAGCAGCACATTTTCTGCTTTCTTGAAGCTACATCGAATCAAAGTCCGTTTCGATATATGATCCGTTGTATGTTAATGTCTTGCACAATCCAGGCAATACTTCAACTTGTAAAGGTTCATATGGAAATGATTCGCCGTCAATTGATATTACGCTTTGTTTTAATTTTGGAATGAGCCGATAGGCAGTAACTTTGGAATGTACAACTTCAGGTTGCAGAACATGATGACCTTTGTCAAGTGAAAGTAGGATTGGAGCCATTCTCGTAATGGAAGTTCTAGAATCAGTCAAGACGAGGTCAAAACAGCCATCGTTCGGTAAAGCTGCAGGAAAAAACTTGGTGTTTGGTGCAATGTAGGGCATTTTTCCCGCGTAAAATATCCCAAGATTAGCAGTAATATCGGGGTCAACAAGCTCCCAATCGTCCGGCACAGGATCAGATAAACCATAACTGAGTTGGAAATCTGATTCTTGAATATCTTGTTGATTTGGCAACTCTGAGGAAGAGTCGTCACTGTCAGACTCTTGCTTTTTCTTGTGTAGACTGTAATGTTCCCGTAGATCATTTTTAGATTTGGCACAATACTTGACGTAAAGATCGCATGGGTATTTTTTTCGCTGTAGGACATTTACCAGAACGCCTAACTCAAATCGCGATGGCCCCATCCATCTGATGAATTCTGTATTAATGTCAGATTCGGCTATGACGCCGAATGTTTGGCTCAAGAAAGACAGTCGATGCTCATTCTTGTAAGAAGCTTGCGTGCAGCACATTAAATCAATTCTTACCTCAGAGGCCTTTACAACGCTCAACGCAGCATAGGTGGGATTGGCCGTCCCGTGGCACGATAGACTCATCGCATTTCCTGAACCACATGGAAGCTGTGTTACCGCCAGCTTGTTGAAAGCGGCCGCACGGTCTTCTCTTCTGAACAGACCATTGAGCACCTCATGGGGTATCCCATCTCCGGAGGCACATGCAATCACGTCGTACATGTCAATGTCAAGATTCTCCGCCACCTCAGCGGCATGGCCTCGGTACCTAGTCTCGAGAACTTGCACTATACAGTTACTGGCAGCCAAGATGGGTTTCACTTTGGACATGAAGAGTTTCTTCGCCTGGCCTTTACCGCCATGTGGATTTATAATAACGAGGATCGATCTCTCACGCTTGGCATTCCTATAACTTCTTTGCATCAGCACTTCTGCGATGTCTTCCTCCGGAATCATGGTTTCAAAACTCAACAGAATCTTTTTGGGTGCCAGATTATGACGTCTGGGTTTAGCAAAAGTGACTTCGACCAGTACAGATGGAAGCTCAGAGCCGGGAGCGGTGGGGTCTGTGGTTTCAATTTCGTTTACTTCATCTCGATATGCAGCGAACCCGCCATTTACAACACAGATGTTTTTGGCGTACAGTATTTTCGCATAAGGAATCAGTGTGTTTTCTGGAAGCGAACGGCCGCCATTTTCTTCGTCTTCGTAGCTGTGGTCACTCAAGCAGGTCACACAGCTGATGAGGGAGGTGCTTTCAGCGCTGGTGCGAGCACTAGCCGCGTCCTCTGTCCCTTTTATGAACGGATTAACCACAGACTCATTTTCGCTGAAAGGGACGGAAGCATCCGGGAAAAACGAGTGTTGACTCTTAATAATGACGCCCGTGTCAGTGAGAATGGCTCGACTGCAGCCGCTCATATAGGATTTTAATTTTTTCATTATGAACTCCTTTGCCCTTAATGGATTCCTCAACGCGATATCTTTGTGTGTCTTTTTCGCTTAAGCGTCGTTACTCTCACCTACGGAAGGAATCTGGGAGCTTGAAATCACTAAAATCACTGTTATTACCGGAAAAAAACTGAAGGAAGAGCGCTTTCCAGGTTTATCGTATTTGCAAAAGTAACGGTCAGTCAGTCACTTATTGGAAATTGACGGAACGGTAGGGAGGTTTCAAGTCTTGAATATGGGATTTATTCCGTAATTACCTGTTCCACTCAGTATATCGATGGGAGAATTAGATCTTCGAATGGGGTTTCCGGTAAGAGAGGGTGAATAACCTCGCGGAGTTTTTTGTACTTCAATGCTGAGATCTAAATATACTGAATACGATGATTGATCCTGATTGATGTGATCTTAAAACCTTATCTCTCTGAAGTACAAAGCTTATTGTCTATTGAATGCTTGAATATTCAACGGTTTTAATTGAGATGTGGCCTTGGTCACATGTGGAGCAAAGCAAGTAGCACAGTAGTTTCCATATCCAATGAGTAGTCACACGGTTCTGCTTCGTGAGGCAACTGACTCGGAGAGTTTAGGTTCACTGATCATCGGTTTTGTTTTTTTGGTAATTGGGCACCTATCGGACAGTAGAATTGTTGTGTGAATGGTGTGTGCGAAAAGTGATTAATATACAAAGAACCCGGGACCGTCAAGCATTAGGAGCTTGTTGACAGATAAAATTTAATGTATTTGCTTAGTTAATTGTCACTCTGGGAGGCTGGCTTGTATAACTGAACGTGCTAAAACTGTTCAAGATTATCAATGTATTTACTGACACTTAACAAAACGTGGCTTAGAATGGCCGAAATGGCAAATATAGCACGCTAATATTGATTAAAGCTTATGATAGTACCGATTAAATTGCAGTATGGCCCTCTTTCGCTACTCTCACTACCGTTTCTACTGCATGACAGTTTGACTTTGGTAGGTTTGCAGTATATTAATGGTATAATTGTCGCTATTAAGAAATTGTAATGATCAAACGACATATAGGTATAAAATGATGATGAGCGCCTGAAGGTTCAGAGCTATTTCAAATACGACGCTCGATATTGAAGTATACCAGCTACCACCCGCACCTCTTATCTTTTTGCAACTTGTTTCATTCCGGCGGTTATGTCACAAGAGTAAAAAAAGGCAATAGCCACGGTAAACAAAATTGTGTTTGGAACGTATGGTAATCGCGAATTGCCAGTGCGATTCGTTATAGCAGCGATTATCAGAGGTTCCGTCCACCCCGTCAACAGTCCTAGCATTATTTCTAAGCCAAAAAATTGATTTTCCTTTCCCTTTGGCAACATGCTACTGTAAACTACTCGATGTATCGATCTTAGCGCGCTGCTTGTACTCATGAAAAACACAAGACCCACCCAAAACTCCCATCGGTGCTTGAAACCAACTGGACAGTCAGGATTGGCGCCAAGCGCTCCCCAAAAATTCGCAAACCAGCCAAACAACAAAAGGATGCATAGCGACTGCTTGATAAGACTCACGTTCCGAGCGTCAGAAAAACGGCGGCACTGCCAATTGTATATTATCATCCATACTAATGATCCCAGTAAAGCCATAACATTTCCCATCAATTGCCACACAGTATACTCGGCACTGGAGTTGTTCAGTCCAAGCGTAGACCGAAACATGAGAGCATTGACGGATAGGAAATTGGAAAAAGAGATGTTCCAGAGGACCCATGCGATCAAATACTTCAGAACCTCTCTGTGATTCCGCACATCATGCGTAACCTCTTTAAGCTTGTCAAATGGCAGTTTCAAAATAGTTCTAACTTTTGACCCTGACGCATCGAGCTTTAAAACTCGACCCTGCAGATTGGGTATAAAAGGTATTGAAATCAAGCCGACAGTCACTGTCATTAGCCCTGCAATAGTGATTGCAATCATAAAATTTCGAGGCCCGGATAGGTTTGAAGGACCACTGACATGAGTGATCACCACGCCGATGATGAGCGCTATAATACCGCCCAAGTTGCCCATTATTAATCCAAGTGCGCTTACTCTTGATCCGCGCCTCAAAGCTTTGCCACTTGGCTCCTCAGCAGTGACGTCCCGGCCTGGTGAATGACCTGCGGCAATCATGAAAACGGGGATGTAAGAACCCTCGATTATCTGGTACACCGTCTCCACTATCAGCATCAAGCAGTACAATACAGACACTGAGATGAGGGAGGCAGTCGTTTCCTTGTAAAGCGCCGCAAATGGGCATGCAAGCAGTCCAAAAGCAAGCACAGATATCGCCAACATAGTTCTGCGATAGTTACTGTAATCAGCACAAGTCATGACTAGAATGGCTACAAGTCCTTCCAATGCGGTGTAAAGGGCTTTAAGATACAGCACGTAAGAAGTATATTGCACATCAAAGCCGCCAAACGTCACATAACAATTATCTCCACGCGCAGCGCACTGGTTCTGAGAGTTTTTCTGATGACCGAGCGCGTGCGCAAAAGACTGAACCGCTGCGGGCACATAAACTTTGCTCATTGAGGAAGTTGGACCTGTTGAAAAGCAAAGGGACAGCCATGCGAAAAACACTTTATTTTTATTCCATCTGCTTGAATCAACTTCTTCGAGGAGCACGTCGTTTTCAATACCGCTGACGACTTCTATTTGAACAGCCGAACTGTTGTTTTTTTGCTTACCAATTTGCGGATCGTCAAGTTGGCAATGACGGCTGTCTTGATCTTCGAGCCTCGTATACGGGGCATTTAAATCCATGAGCGAAGCGTTGAGTTTGTAAAGTCCCTGGTCGAAATGTTTTCTCGGAAAACCCGGGCCTTATTATACCTTCAAAAGTTTCTGCACGGTCCCATTTCTTGAATAAGTTTCACTTTCCTGGCTTTTGTCAAAAAGTTTAAAACTTGTTGCTGATTTGGGATTTGAGCCGTTGCAGACATTTATGGGGTGTGGTGTATCCGTATCGAGTCGAACCCTGCCTAAGGTCCTGAAACGACGCGATTGGTCTCGGTTTATAAAAGCTGAATTTTCCCATCGGATAGTTTCAAAGACATGAACATTGAAGTAAATACCCACCCCAAATGAGCTCTACAGCGAGCTTTTCTAATGTAAATCGATCGGCGTCAGCACCTCTCGAAATTTAATGGCTAGGTATTTAGTCCCGATGACACGAAATTCATACTGCGTCATACCATAAAATAGCAGAAAATTAGCGAGACAAAAATCAGTGAAGAACCAGTTTCCAAACTTCAAAAAAAGTTCCGAGCTTGTTCATTAGCAGCTGCGTCAAAGCACAGAGTTCTACAACATCGCAGATACACCTGAGGTAGGATTAGCTGGACCCGAAAAAAAAATATTCAAAAACATGCCAGAATTTCCAAAGCTTTTGAACTCCAAAGTCCACACCAAAACCAGTGGCCTTGTACCACGGTTGGACCCAATCGCACAACTATCACGTCCTAAGAAGTAGTCACATCGCTGTATGTCGATCAACTATTATCATATATCACTTTGTACTATTCTGTCACAGAGTCGTAAGAATAGTTTTAGAAATGAAATTTAACGATTTTTAGACGTGGAAAAAAGCACTAGATCCGAAATTTTCTCGCGATGGCAAATTCACAGTCATTGAATGAATTAAGAACCTCTAATGCCTTCACTTCTCCTTCTCATCGCCAGTCAAATATCATTGTTAGCACGCTAGTCTAATAAAACCGGAACTTTCTGGAGAAAACTTTTACCCCGGGTAACAGAAAAGTTGTCGATACTATATAAAGGCCAAGCTCTTCCCCTGACCCCATCGGCCACGCCTTTCGATGCACAAGGCGAGACATCCCGGTAGATTCGTTGACGTAAATCCACCAATTGTACTATATATCAATCGGTTACTGCTTAGGAAAGATGTTGAGAGCCACCAGAGGATCTTTCAGCAAACGCATGGCGTCTGCTGTCCGCCGTAACTATTCTTCTCACAAGGAATTGAAATTTGGTGTTGAGGGCAGAGCCGCTCTTTTGAAAGGTGTAGAAACCCTAGCTGAAGCAGTTTCTGCAACTTTGGGCCCCAAGGGTAGAAACGTGCTGATCGAGCAGCCATTTGGAGCGCCAAAGATCACCAAGGATGGTGTAACAGTGGCCAAAGCCATTGTATTGGAGGATAAGTTCGAGAACATGGGTGCGAAATTGCTGCAAGAGGTTGCTTCCAAGACCAACGAAGCTGCCGGTGACGGTACTACCTCCGCCACAGTTTTGGGACGTGCCATTTTCACGGAATCCGTCAAAAATGTCGCAGCTGGCTGTAACCCAATGGATCTCAGAAGAGGTACCCAAGCTGCTGTGGAAAAAGTCATCCGTTTCTTGAGTGAAAACAAAAAAGAGATCACCACGTCTGCGGAAATTGCCCAAGTTGCAACCATTTCTGCCAACGGTGACGCTCACGTCGGTAAGTTGTTGGCTTCCGCCATGGAAAAGGTGGGCAAAGAAGGTGTCATCACCATTAAGGAGGGAAGAACTTTGGAAGACGAACTAGAAGTCACAGAAGGTATGAGATTCGACCGTGGTTTTATTTCTCCTTACTTCATCACCGATGCAAAGTCCAACAAGGTCGAATTTGAAAAGCCATTGATGTTGCTAAGTGAAAAGAAGATTTCTTCAATCCAAGACATCTTGCCTGCTTTAGAACTCTCTAACCAGACCAGAAGGCCCCTTTTGATCATTGCTGAGGACATTGATGGCGAAGCTTTGGCCGCTTGTATTTTGAACAAGCTCAGAGGCCAAGTCAAGGTCTGCGCCGTCAAGGCTCCTGGATTCGGTGACAACAGAAAAAATACTTTGGGTGACATAGCCATTCTATCTGGTGGTACCGTCTTCACGGAAGAGCTAGATTTGAAGCCCGAAAACTGCACATTGCAACATCTAGGTTCCTGTGACGCCATTACTATCACTAAGGAAGATACCGTTATCTTGAACGGCAATGGCAGCAAAGACAACATAACTGCCAGAGTGGAGCAGATCAAGAACTCGATCGACTTGACCACTACGAACTCGTATGAAAAGGAAAAGCTGCAGGAACGTCTTGCTAAGCTTTCTGGCGGTGTTGCTGTTGTGAGAGTTGGTGGTGCTTCTGAAGTTGAAGTCAGCGAGAAGAAAGACCGTTACGACGACGCTTTAAACGCCACAAGAGCCGCTGTTGAGGAAGGTATTCTTCCAGGTGGAGGTACTGCTTTGTTGAAGGCATGCAAGGTTCTAGAAGAAGTTGAAACTGAAAACTTTGACCAAAAATTGGGTGTTGACATCATCAGAAAGGCTATCACCAGACCTGCTAGAAAAATCATCGAAAACGCAGGCGAAGAAGGCTCAGTCATCGTTGGTAAGATTATCGACGAATATGGAAATGACTTCACAAAGGGATACAATGCTGCCAAGAGCGAGTACACCGACATGCTTGCTGCCGGTATCATTGATCCTTTTAAGGTTGTGAGATCTGGGTTGCTCGACGCCTCCGGTGTTGCCTCCTTGTTAGCTACAACTGAGGTGGCCATTGTGGACGCTCCTCAACCACCAAGTGCTGGACCTCCTGGAGGCATGCCAGGTATGCCCGGTATGATGTAAGCTTCACGATAACAATTACCACCAGTCATCCGGGGTATATGTAGCGACGTTTTTACTTGTAAATATTTGTGATGGTCCAATAGAGACTCTTTGGTACCCCCATTACTCATTAGAAAGTTTGGCAGCTGTGCTGTTTTCGCAATCTTACTCGCACACTACCACAATAACTAGCGTCAGGAACTAAAAGCATTGTAAATAGTTAAAGAACAATAAATATTAAATAAATAATCCCCTCTTGGAATCAAAGTTGGCAGTTTGGAATTGTTAGTGCTCCGAGCTGTGTCTATAAATAAAGAACTCATCCATTATGATTTCTTCTCGTCGTTTTCCTCTTCCTCTTCCTCTTCCTCATCAACGTCAGCAAATGTCATCCAATCTTCGAAACCATCGTCCCAGATCTTGGTACATTCTTGGTCGATCTCTAGAGCGTTGCTGCCCTTCGTGGTCTTTTGATATAATTCGAACTCTTTGTCGTCCAACAAACAGGCATCCAATTCCTTGGTTATAGCTTTGACGTTAAGGCCAATTCCAATGAAAACCAATTCGTTACGACGATCACCGTAAGGCTTTTCAAAGTCTTTCTTGATAAGTTCAATAGCTTCTGGTGGGACGTCATCCAAACCCGAAAAATCGAACCAAGGTAGTCCACCTTTCACTGTGAGCACGGGTCCTGCACTAGACCATTCACCTCTGACGATAAATCTAGTTGCAAGCCAGATAAATCCCTTAGAACGGAGGACAGATCCAAAAGAGGAATTGGCTCTGTTAGCATTGATTTGTGCCTCACTGAGCTCTTCACCGTCTTCACCATCCTCTTCGTCTTCTTCTTCCTCCTCGTCGTCGTCGTTACCTTCATCCTCCTCATCGTCGTCTTCCTCTTCTTCGTCTCCGTCTTCGCCTTGTCCAGGAAATCCTTCACCACCGGCATGTTCGATGACCATGAATTTACTACTTAGAGCTTCATACAGCCTTTGTGGATGGAATGGTCTTCGTTGGCGGTAAACAAAGTTGTTCACGTTGTATTCTACAGTCTCCGGTGTGGGGGACAGGATTTTCCGCTTTTTGTCACCAAACCCTTCGACCACGGTCATTTCGTTGATACTCTGCAACCAACCGGCGGCAGTAGACGCCTTTTCGAAATCGTAGAGACCGGTGTTGAGCACAGACTTGAGTGGGATATCGCAATAGTCTGTCGTCACAATTTTACAAAGCGGGTTCAAGACATGGATCATCTTTTTGATCTTCTGCAGCTTCTTTTTGCCCACCAAACTCTTCTTGTTAAGGATGACGAGGTTACTGAACTCAATCTGGTCGACCATGAGGTCGGTGATGGTACGTTCAGACTCACCCTGACCAGAATCACCCCATCTGTCTGCTAGGAACTTGGTAGTGTTGATGTTGGATAAAAAGTTCAAGGCGTCAACGACCGTGACACAGGTGTCAATCTTGGCAAGGGCTTGAAGTCCTCCCATTTGTGACACTTTTTTCAAGATGGCTTCTTCTTCTTCGGCAATGCCACCGGGCATGTTCAAAAGGATGTCTGAAAACTCCTGGGCAAATGTCTCGGCCACCTGCATGGGTTCTGCAATACCGGTCGATTCGATAATAATGTAGTTGATGTCCCCCATTTCGCATACACGAACAAGTTCTTCTAGCAAGTCACCACGCAGAGTGCAGCAGATGCAGCCATTTTGCAGCTGGATCAATTTTTCCTCCTTTTGGCAAACCCTGTTGTTTTGGATCAAAGCAGAATCGATGTTGATCTCAGACATGTCATTGATGATTACAGCGACTTTATAACCATGGTCTGCCGTTAAGATTTTTTGCAAAAGCGTTGTCTTACCGGATCCAAGAAAACCTGAAAGTAGTGTAATTGGGATCGGAGTCGTTCTTTTACTGGTAGTCATCGTTGTGCGAGGTGGTGAGATGAAAAAGCTTGGCGATTTTACTATACTACACACCGTCTCAATCTTGCGTTCTTATAGCCTGTTGATAACGGGCATCGCATTGAAAGCTGTAACCCTGCAAGTCAAGATTCGTTTGAAAAACTGTCCAACTAAAGGCTTCATCAAACTTGTTAATCGCTACGCATCTAACCATTAGGGTACCGCTGTAGAAGTAAAATTCTTGTAAAAAAAAGTAAAGACCGGAAAAGGTTGATTTTAAGACTTTATCGATGGTCAGTGTGGATTTTGAAGCTACAAATTATTACGAGTTAGACCCCGGTAGCTTGTATTGTGTGTGCGCATACCTTTTAACTTGTTATTCCCTTTCTTCTTGTTCTTGGCACCGACACCGGTTGGTATTAACTACCGATCAATTCAACATCTATGATATTGGGTAGCTAAAAAATTAAAATGGGGCGAGCTGGGAATTGAACCCAGGGCCTCTCGCATGCTTGTGATAAATGGAGTCCGAGTTAAGACTCGAACTTCGCCCAAAGCGAGAATCATACCACTAGACCACACGCCCAATTGTTGAAAATTGGAATGTTTGGAGGGTACCCATAGGAAGAGGAAGATCAGATGACCTGCTAGAGGTAAATTAGTATAGCATACTAAAACCGTACAAGAAGGGATAGTGGCAAAAAGGACTTCTTTAGACTCAGAACTCGCTATATCTGAACTGAATACTCGAGTCTATTATCCAGGGCTATCTTCCGAAACGAGCTTTTGGATTCCGATGAAAACAATGATTTGATGTTTACACGTGATGCTGATCGTTTTGTACGAGTATCATCGAAAATTTGTAGTATACCAATAAAAACAGTAGCTCATCGCATCTCATCTCATCGCATCGCATCCAAAAATCAAGTGCTTGCGTCTCGAAAAACCTCACTGGCTTTATTTCAACCGCTTGCTCTAGCTAAAAGCGCCATAGTCCTCATTATAAATCTCCTTCCACGCTCATGAACTGGATGCTTCCCTGTTGATTCACAGATCAATCTCCATGTTTGAATTACCAACAGTGCAAAACAGCAAGCGAATACGAGCTACGCGCAAACTTCGATACCAATACGTCAATGCACTGCACAGAGAGCATGCCAAACTCCAGGGCCATCTAAACCCCGGAGTGGCTTTACCAACTCCGGAGAATTCGGCTGCAGAAGAAAGCTGCGATGCGGACCCTCAAAGAGCTTCCAGTATCGTGCGCAAAAGGCGTAAAAGAAGACTTCTTGGAGTCTTGGGCTGTGCTGACTCCGACAGCGAGCTTTCCGATGTTGAGCTTCAAAACCATGACGACAATTCTCATCATCACGATAGCGAAAAGGAGTTTTATTCACGGCACGAGAAGCCACAAGAAAGCTTTGAGGTGTGGAAAACCGACCAGCGTTTAGCCGTTCCAATGGCCTCCAGGACAGTCTCGTACGCTGACTGCAGGCAGATTGAGAAAAACGCACACAGAAGGACCATGGCAAAAAACACACACATCCCTAGAACGGCACACTTTCAGTACTCGGCTATGCGAAATGGTCTGGAGGTTAGTATGCCGCCTTCTCCCGCATATCATCATGTCCACTACCGGCAACTGAGCGAACTACTACAAATCAGCATACTGCACAAAAAATGGGAAAACGCCTACAGATGTTTCACCATACTTATTCGTCTGCCCGGCGTTGATATTAGAAGCTTGTGGGGTGCGGGTGCAGCCATACTGGATGCTTTGTCTCAATCAACTAAGGACATTGGTACCACAACTGAATTTTTAGGTTGGCTAAGCAGCATCTACACTTCCAAAAGCAATTTCAATCATAGCATGAACCTTACGTTAGATCCGGTATTCAGATCGGGATCCAAGACGCATAGCGCCAAATTTGTTATCTCTTGGCTATGGGAATCCTTATTCGACGCCTGTTCGGATCGTAACTCTGGCTCCAATAATTTATACGATAACTTCGATAGCCGGCTGCCGAAGCTGATGGAAAAAATCTCGGAAATGGTCTTGTCGCCTCCGTACATGGAGGATCCTGAAATTTGGTTTATTTATGCCCTTTGTCATCTGATATGTGCGGACAAACTCTCTGCTCGGTTCAGTAACCAAAATGAAACATTCAGTGGGCTGGAAAAGGACATAGCAAGAAATCAGGTAACTCAGAGTATCACCAACGCTCATAACTGTTTGAAGAACTGTTTGGACAAAGGCGAGCATTACAAATTTCCCCATCGTTTCATACAAGAGCAACTGTCAGCTTTTGAAAAAAGGCTCTACCAAATCACGAAAGAAAGAAGACCTCAGGAAGGGCTCAAGAGTTCTGAAAATGATTCATCTGAACCCTCGTCTTCAGATCTAGACACTCAGGAACTTCCCGCGCAGGGTCTCTCTCCTATTGTCGATGAAGAGGATGAGGATTTTTTTGGAAGGAGCGGAAGGGTTCATTTTGGATTCGACTCAGATGAAAGCAGTAGTTAAACGGGATTTCTTCACATAAACATAAGACATAACAACGTCACTGTAATAAGCATTTTAATTTTAATACAAAATCAACTAATTTCATGAGAACTATTCTATTTTCGTAACATTCATATCCTAACTACCCGCTCCAAGTTGTGTCACTCCACATCCAAGACCTCCTAGAGCTTTCCTTTGGCAGCATCATTCAGTCCGTGCCCTTTTTTTAAGCTCACCCACTTTCCCTTCCAGGTCCGAGATTCTTCTTTTCAATTTTTCAATCTCCGAGCTGCTGCTCTCAATGGTATCACTAATCACCACCTTTTCATTGGCATGGCTTGTGTCCTCCTGTATTTGATATTCGGGTCTTGATACATGCGTAATCGTCATGGTCTTTTGAGCCCCGGTGACGTCAAAAATCTTTATGGCTGTCCCGTTACAATCCTGCATATCCACCGTGGGAAAAGCATACCATCTGTGTGATCCTGTCGCAGTGCTTGAGGGTGTTGGTAGAAGCGCGCTAGCAGCATTTCTTTGCAAATGCGTATCATCGGCATGCGCAGGATCTGGTGCATTTGGTTCGGTCTCCTGCCGCGACTGTCCTTGAGCAGTTGAAGAGCTCACACTTGGAGCAACGTTTCCATTATCGTCAAAGACCGCAACCCTACATATGGGACATGTTTGAGATCTCTCCATCCAACTTTTTAAGCAGCCCAGATGTAGCGTATGATTGCAAGGAAGCCTCTTGGGCTTCAATCTGGGATGAGAGACCTCATCAGCTGGTAGCATATCATCCATGCAAACAATACACATCTTTTCGTCTGCGGATTCCAGTTCCGAACGAGAAACCGTAGGCAATTTCTCGTCTATTTGCTTATTGCTCCTTAAGGTTTTCCATATCAGACGAGACGTTTGAAATATGGCTAGTGAGTCCCATACAAGGTCCTTCATGACCATGACGGGCATGGAGAGCGAAAAGAGAAGAATTGAGTGTAGACCGACTTTGACACAGCGACAAAGGAGCTCTGAAACCATCTCGTAAATAAATTTACCCTCCAGGCCTGCACCTTCATCTTCATTGTGCGCCTGTGCTCTGCGTATTTGACGCAACTCCACCGCAACAATCAAAGTTTTCAATGCCACCTCTAGCACGTCTACGAAAAGCATTGCAAACTCGGTACCGAAAAGGAGTGTTTCTGTAGACCCATCCAGCATTTTCTTGCCTTTGAGAGTTGCACTTCGATAGAAGTACGAGACTACGGCATAGTCCACCCAAGCCAAAAAACATATGTTGAAGACAAACTTGGAAAAGAGGAGTCTGATGAGTGGCGTATTTTCATCGGTATTTTGGATCACATACTCTAGTCTGTCTCTCAGGACCCAGTGGAACACTTTTACGAAAATTAGCGCTCCTTCAAGAAGAAGCATTCCCAATAGTTCATCGCCGGAGTACATCGAAGTCACAAAGAAGCTACTCACTAAGGTGAATGACAATCTTTCAAAAATGTGTTCGTATTCCAAAAGACGCAATTCTCCGAAGAGCAACTTGGACAGGCCCTTCCACAACAAAATGGTATTGATGATCACGAAATTCCCCTGGATAATCAAATTGATGCCCTGGCATAGTTTCAGCGTCGCTTCCAAATATGAAAGACTAGATTGCAAGCAATTGAACAACGACCAGAGAGCTCCCACGTATGTAGCCAGCGTATACGCTGCAAATTGACTTCTTCTGACACCCGGAATCATGTCAAAGAAGGGCCAAAGACAAATTTAGAAGCTGAGTTTTCCACGCTCTTAACTTTTCAGCACACAATCACACACAATCACAGCTCGAAAGGCCCTTAATCCCAAATTTTCCTGGTCTTGAAACCTTAAACTCCCTTAAGTTCTAGTAACTTGCGCTATAGAAGCTCAAAAATTCAGATTTTTTGGCCGCTTGAAAAGCCTGAACCAGCTACTTCGAACTAACCACTCGGTTCTGCTTCTCTAAATGGTAAAAAATCTTAAAACAACGGCTCTTTCAAGTCCTTTTTGGGTCTTTTTACTGCTCTGAAAGTTGTTGAAGCTATCATCATCAACTTGATAAATTATATTGGCATCTCTCTTACTACTTATATATATACCCGTGTACAAGTTAAAGCCAGAGTGGACAAAAGAGATAAAACAGAGAACTATATTCACCGCATTGGCTTAAGCTTTTCATATTTAACTCTAGGAGAGAACAAGTGAGTAATTGTTGCAAGTTTCCCGATCACAATGAGTGCTTTGGCTGTGAAATTGGGAACTTTGCTGATCAGACAGGTTACTCGTCCGGTAGCGAACGTGCTAAAAGCGCAGGCCAAACAACACGACAAGTTCAAAGAATTGTGCGTTGGTTTAGCCCAGAGAATGCATCGGCTGGATGCCAGAATGAGGTCCCGGCTCAGTAAAGCCGATAATGAAATCAAAGTACGGCCGTTGAACGACGCTCGAGCCGTGGAAAACGGTGCAACGCTTCTGAGTGAAGCGTTTGTATTCGGGGTCACTGGCAGCGTGGTGGTGTGGGAAACTTTGAGACAACGTACAAAGGAGCTGAACAGACGGGACCAAGTGGCCAAAGATATCCGGTTTTTGCAAGATGAGATCGAAGAACTGAGAGCGGCGGTGAGCCGTCCAGTCACCCAACAACTACCGCACACGAACGGGGACAACCAGAAAATTTCCCAGAAATAATACATTCCCTCTTCTCAATCATACACAGTAAAAGGACTAGATATGGTACACACAGGCAGAGACACTCATAAAACTCAGTTTTTCGCGCCCTTGCGCTCCACCTTCAGCAACAACGCCTTGTTGATGTGGGGCAAAACACCTCCCGACGCGATCGTGGCCCGCACCAGCGTATCCAGCTCGTCGTCGCCACGGATCGCCAATTGCAAATGACGCGGTGTGATACGCTTGACTTTCAAGTCTTTGGCTGCGTTTCCGGCCAGCTCCAACACTTCAGCCGTGAGATATTCCAGCACCGCAGTCATGTAAATCGCCGATTTCGACCCGACCCTAGTTCTCCCGGCCGCATTCCGCTTCAAGTACCTCTTGATTCTTCCCACTGGGAATTGTAGTCCTGCGCGGGCTGAATGCGTTGTTGATCTCAAATTAGACCCTGTTTTCGCGCCCGATTTGCCCTTTCCGCCGTGCGCTTTTCCAGACATATCTATTACTGGCTTTCAAGCTTGTGTTTCTGGTTTAACCACGCCCGTTTGAAGAGTATCTTCCAGTTATTTGGTGGTCAAGTTGGTAGTGAAATGGGTAGTTCAAAGCGTTTGTTTATTTCTTATAGATGAGAGAGCTCATTATGATCTTAAGAAACACACGCGATTGTGGAGCGGGTAACGGCTGGAGGCTGGATGATTGACTAGAGATATGACTAGATTATTGAGTCTTGGAAGGACTCGAGGAAAGAGTCGAGAACCGACTCGATATATGACTCTATAACCGACTCGATTATTGAGCCTCTCCTCGACTCGAGATAAGATGTCACTGGTGTCACTGGTGACAGTGGAAACCATAAAACATGCGCCAACCCCAAAGCTTGGTTTCCGATAACCACTACTTTAGCTTACCGGCTTTCATCATTTTAGATAGTCCTATTCTTGAACATTCTGTAAATACATACTAATACCCATAAAACTGGGATACACACCTATGATACCCAAGACAGTGGTGTCACTTCAATTCATCTGGTATTCGCCGCCAAAATGAGGAGCATTGAGAATTATACCATTGAGGATACCAGCGATCAACCCAGCAATCGGCAATGTCAGAAACCACCCCGAGTAGCACCATGCCACCATTCTCCAATTCACGGACTTCACGTCTTTGTTGCATAGACCTACGGCAACAATACCTCCCACGGCAATCTGTGTGGTTGATGTGGGGATCGCCAGCTGCGTGGCCATGACGGTAGTGATGGCAGCGGCCAGTTCGATCGAAAAGCCTCTGGAAGGAGACTGTAGAATGATTTTGTTACCGAGATTTTTGATGATATTGTAGCCGTATGTCCAGCATCCGAGAACTAAAGCGGCAGCACAGTATGCCAAAATCCAAACCGGTACATCGGACTTGGATCCGGTCCGGTTTGTTTGCCAGATCTCGTACACGGCAGACAAAGGCCCACTGGCGTTTGCCACATCGTTGGCACCATGCGCGAACGACATGGTGGCCGCAGTGATTGCCTGCAGCACCGAGTACACGTATTCAACACGGTTGTCGTAGAAATGAGATCTTTTGTACATGTCCTGAAGATCACCAGATAGCATGTCTTTATCGTTCACCTGGGCGCTGAGAACATCTTGGGTCCATCCATGAGAAACCATGAGCCACAGTAACCGAGGCCATGCTTTTGGACCCTTGGTTAGCATGCTCCACCACAATTGTTTGGTGGACATTTCGGGAGTTTTCTCGTCTGCAGACACGGTCTTGGTGGATTCGCGGTCCACATCAGTCTTGGATTGGCACACAACTTTGTTCTCTTCATCTTCCGTACTCACGCTCGATTCCTCAGGTACACGTCTTCCCTTGTAGTAGTCGATAGTGAGTTCGTGGCCCTCCGGCATGGGAGTGATATCGCTGGTAGATTTGAAGTAAAACGACGGCCCTTTAAAAATGTCAAGAAGCGTCAAGCTCCAGTCCTGATGTAGCAGTTTTCTGCGGTAAAATGGATACAGGAAAATAAAGTAGAAAGTGGAGGCTACTAATCCGGTGAGAACGATAGACAAAGCTGTGGTTTGACCTGACAAATCGTCCAAGTGCAAATTGGGAGATCCTTTCCATACGATAAGCATGGTCAAGATGGAGAAAGTGACAAAGACTAGAAAGCCAACCAAAAGTAGCGCATTCTTAATGGATCTTTCGATGGGTTTGATGCGTAAAACAGTTACGTTTGATATTAGGAAAACAACGGCGGTGATGGCGCCTGCAAGCACAGGAGCGATAAACCACGAAGCAATAATCTGGGAAACACCGTTCCAGCCCCAATGGACACCTTTGGCACCACCTGCGGCGATACCGGCACCAATGGTGCCTCCAACGATGGAGTGTGTTGTGGACACTGGAAGTCCGATGGCGGTTGCGATGGTGAGCCAGGTTGACGATCCAATCAACGCACAAGCCATGGTGAGCATCAACACTGCAGGGTCCTTCTTGTAGACGGCGGCATCGATGATATTGTTTTTGATAGTACTGGAGACTCTAGCACCGGCCAGGACGGCTCCCAGGAACTCACACAGCCCTGCCAGCACCATGGCCTGCGGATAGGTCAGGGACCGCGACGAAATCGACGAAGCGAACGAGTTTGCCACGTCGTTGGCGCCGATATTGAAGGCGTCCAAGAACCCAAACACCATGGCGATGCCAAAGATGTAGTCAAATTGATGTAGCACCATTGTAGTTGTTTTTGACACTTATTGCGGTTGGATGATTGGTGAACAAAGAGAGGGAATAACTTCTCTCAATATTCACACTACCGCCAGAAAACTAAGCTTTAAATACCCAAAAACCATCTATTGCACTAAGCGTGTAATAAATCAACACACGACGTGAGGGAAAGGGTCCACGAGCCCAATTTCATTTACATCACCACATCGTGGACCCTTTCCTTCCACTGCTGGTTCTTCAAGCCTGGTGGTGATTGACCGGTAATAATCTATGTAAAGTGGATCGACGTGGTTACCGTAGCAACGACGTTAATTTATATGCAGGGTCCAGTTCTCGAGGGAAAAAAGAAGTAGAAACGAAAAAAAGAGGCGCACAGGAGGAACGGTGCATTTATTGTGTGTTCAACGTCAATAGACGTGTTCGTAGCAGGATGGTCGAAAACGTGGGGCGTAGGAGAGAGGGAGGGTGAGGGGAGAAGTAGTTATTGGTACGAACGAGGCGGAGCCTGAGGGAAGCAAGTGTGCGTGGTGGGGGGTATATAGAAAGTGTTTATATTGATTGAACGTGTACATGCTCATGGAGATGGTATGTACTCTTGAGGGTTTACGTGCGTAAAGCTTGCAACGGAATCGACTACATCTGGAGCATTTTTGTCCGTTGTTTGCCATATCCATGGATAGATCACCTGACTTGTCACGTACAGAATGCTTTACTTCTGTCACATGATCGGAAGTCCAATACACTCCCCTCACTTCATACGAGACTCGGAGATTTTTATTTTTAGAAGGCAGGCGCAAGCGAGATGATGAATAATAATATTAACAAATTATTATTACTTCGAGAGATGTGAAAAGAATATAGAAAGCATCAACTGGTGTTGTAGTCCCGGAGTTTGCACTAGAATAGCCCTTAAAAAGCTCAATTAAAGCATCGTAGGTTCGTATCCAAACCTGTAAATCGAATCTAAAAAGATTGGCTCGAATTCTGGCTTTCCAAGCGTCTTTCTAGCTTCCGTTTAGCACACTTTTTGACGCCTATATAGAAAGACACATCCGAAATTCCGAAATTCCGAAAAAATAAAAGAGATAGCCTTTAGCTGTCATAAAAACTCATCATCATGCATTGGCAAATAGCGTTTGTTACCGCGGTCGTCCTGGACACTGCGTTCGCCTGGTCGCCAAGTAATAGTTACGCTCCTGCCAACGTCAGTTGCGCCAACGACATTTCCCTGGTTCGTGAAGCTTCTGGGCTTTCCAATAACGAAACGGAATGGTTGAAAAAACGAGACGCGTACACCAAAGATGCCCTCAGATCGTTTTTGGATCGCGCTACCCAGAACTTCACAAATTCGTCGTTGGTCGAGTCGCTCTGGAATTCTGACAAAGTGCCCAAATTGGGTGTCGGTTGCTCTGGTGGTGGATACAGAGCAATGCTCAGCGGAGCAGGTATGCTTTCCGCAATGGACAACAGAACCGTGGGAGCCAACAAACACGGTCTGGGAGGACTTCTGCAAAGTGCCACGTACCTGGCAGGGCTTTCCGGTGGTAATTGGCTCGTGGGGTCGCTTGCGTGGAACAACTGGACCTCGGTGCAAGACGTCATCGACAGTCGTGGCCAAAGTGACGAACTGTGGGATATAAGCAACTCGATTTTGAACCCTGGCGGGATCAATATCCTAAGCAGTGCGTCGCAATGGGATCACATCTCGGACGCCGTCGAGGCCAAGCAAGATGCTGGCTTCAACACTTCCCTCACAGACGTGTGGGGCCGTGCGTTGTCCTATAACTTTTTCCCCACACTTTACCGCGGCGGAGAGGCCTACACATGGTCCACTTTGAGAGATTCTGACGTTTTCAAAAACGCTGAAATGCCTTTTCCCATCTCAGTGGCTGACGGAAGATATCCTGGAACCGAGATTGTAGACTTGAATTCGACTTTGTTTGAGTTCAATCCATTCGAAATGGGTTCGTGGGACCCATCTTTAAACGCTTTCTCTGACGTCATGTACCTAGGTACCAACGTTTCTAATGGTACACCAGTCACCCAGGGCAAGTGTGTGGCGGGCTTTGATAATGCAGGCTTCATAATGGGCACATCATCAACCCTTTTCAATCAATTTTTGCTACAATTGAACACAACCTCATTGAGCTCGTTTATAAAAGGAATCGTTGGTGATTTCTTAAAGGACTTGTCAGGCGACTACGACGACATTGCCATTTACAATCCCAACCCTTTCAAGGATATCCCATACGTTGCATCCAACTACAGTCAGAGTATTGTGGAGTCTGAAAATTTGTTTTTGGTTGATGGTGGTGAGGATGGAGAGAATATTCCATTGGTCCCCATGCTACAACAAGACAGAGATTTGGATGTGATCTTTGCCTTGGACAACAGTGCTGACACTAACGAATACTGGCCAGCTGGGCTTTCCTTGATATCAACTTACGAACGTCAATTCGGTCCTCAAGGAAGGGGCCTGGCTTTTCCTTATGTCCCAGATTTTGACACGTTTGTCAACAGTGGCTTGAACTCTAGACCAACCTTTTTCGGTTGCGACGCATCGAACTTGACAGATTTGTCACACACTCCTCCATTGATCGTCTACATGCCTAACAATCGCCAGTCTTACAACTCCAATACCAGTACTTTCAAGATGTCGTACAGTTCAAGTCAGCGTATGAGTATGTTCCAGAATGGATTCGAGGCCGTCACTCGCAACAATTTGACTGATGATTCTGGATTTGCAGGTTGTGTTGCGTGCGCCATTATGAGAAGGAAGCAGGAATCTTTGAACGCTACTTTACCACAGGAATGTACAAAGTGCTTCCAAGACTACTGCTGGAATGGGAAACTTTCAAATGCGGACTCTAATGTCACTAGCCAAGGAGCCTACACTGGTTCGATTTCTTTCCAGACTGATTCCGCAACGTCAGCAGGTTCCTCATCCACCTCAGCTTCCAGCAAGAAGAAAAATGCTGCGCCATCAATGGCTGAATCTTACAATTCTGGCTGGATAATTGCATTCTCAACTTTGTTAGGCACCATACTGGGACTACTTTGAATTAGCGATCGAAGCCCTACACTCATGAATACATACATATTATAACTACAGATGTTCAAGACACAGACGCATTTCTGCTGATGAAGAGCTTATGACTATCGAATGATTAAGAAACTCAGCATTCTATAAACAAATTGAGGTTATCGATGGATCAAGGAATCGAATGACAGTGATCACCATCAAAACAAGAAAATATTAAAAACGGGAAAAGTTTAGAAAGCACCCGGTCTAAGAGAGATGATGGGAGCTAGAACAATAAGAACTCAATGCTTTGGTGGATATCTATCTGTTACTCGAATCAATTATGAATCCTTTTCGCTGACGCCTTGAAATGCGTGCTAGTTATCACCAACAGGGGAACTGACACACTCAGAAATAGTTTTTCGTCTTACAAGGTCTCTAACAAGAGCATATAATTCGATGAAATAACGAGGGAACCAAGCTCAAACAGATAGAAGCAGTTGTCCTCCAAAGAGCGTTTTTAGACCAACTTAAGGAACATGTTGATAACGAACTATTTTGACACTCATAAATGGTTTCGTGGTCTAGTCGGTTATGGCATCTGCTTAACACGCAGAACGTCCCCAGTTCGATCCTGGGCGAAATCATTTTTTGCTGGTTTTTTTCGAAGTTTACACAGTATCTGCTTTGATGTTCACCACGGACACCAACGCTGCCATGTTGATTTCCATTGAACTTCCCACTTCCCGATCTTTCTTTAAATCATAGGCAAAACAGATGACCAAACACCTGAACATGACTAAATTCTTTATTTACCGTACTTCCTATTCAGTCTCTTATTCTTGCGTAGCCCTTCGGGATCACTGTATTTACACCAACTCTTCTGTTCTCCAAAGCGTTCAGTAGATCTCTCATAACAATCCCCGGTTCTTCCCTAGCTTCGCGGTATCGAATGCCGATTTCACCACGAGCAGCAACGTCTGACGATACTTTACCCAAAACCTTGACAGAATTATTGTTAGCTTTCGGACCAGCGTTCAGCCAGCTGTACTTCTTCTTGCCACCTGTCATCATATTAGCAGTGGCGTTGGAGGCCCTATGCAACGTCTCTTCGGTCTCAACTTTAGCCTCTGCGGTCTCTTTTTCCAGCCCCATAGAAATTCTTCTCTTGACTCGTTTCTCTTCCTGTTCTTTTTGCTGAATGGCGATATCTCGCAGAGCGCGCGACACGTCGCTTCGACGGTTGGAGTTCAACCTTATCGAGCGACGTCGGTGTCTGGAAAGAACGAGAGAATTGGTTATTATGTCCCTCATAAATGCCTCGCAAGCTGATGACATTAAACTTAGCACGTCGTGAGCTTTGGAAAAATCCTGATTGAAGTTTTGTTCCGTGCCAACTTTCTTCATGAAGTCTGCAACTTGGGACGGATGCAAAAGTGGAACTTGCGGCGGCAGTGTGTTGTTGAGGGCCGTATCTGAGTACTGTGCGCTGTTTTTGGTGATGTTCATGGACGAGTTTAGCAACGCCTCTTCTTCACGGATATCAACACCTGCAGAAAAAAGAGCATCACTCAACTTGTCAGGATCTGTTTGCATTTTAGAGGATGCCGCCTGATTTGGGTTTGCAGCTGCATTACCTGAGCCATTAGTGGTCCCACTACCATTGCCCGAAGGGTTTGATCCGCCAGCTTGCACTGATTGTTGCATTTTTTTGGTAGTTTGCTGCATCCCCTTCGGTTTGATCTTTTTCTTATCCTGTGTGGTGGCATTCGTGGAGTTCACAAGGTTCGTTGTAGGGGTTTTACTTTCTGGAAGAACAACCCCGGATGATGTTGGTCTATCGACCATACTATCGAAGGGAGTGGGCATATCCGATCCAAAATCTGTAGTCCCAGGCTCCAAACTTTCACTAGCCGTGCCGCTTCCTATCTCAAACGCCGGTTCTTCGTCTTCCAACAGAGTGTCATTATTATCTTCCCTTTTGGCTTTTTTCAGACTCGAATTTTCAGGTCCCTGGCTACCTGGTCTCTTTGGTGACTTGGCCATTATCGAGTAGACTGACAGAAGTGCTCGTAGAGGTACTTCAGACTTGTTCCCAGGGCTTTAAAGTCTGGTTTTTGACAGAAGAAACGGTTTGTTGTGTCGACTTTGTCTACTTTGATCTTTCAAGATGACCTTAGAAATTTACCAGTACTCGTACGGAGGTATATGGAACCCAAGCTGTCACATGATTTCCAAGAAGTATCCATCCACGTATCTTCAATGAAGCTATAAGAATGTGAAGTGAGAACATATCATTATGCCTTCAGCAATGAGATTTATTTGAATTCTTGATATGGTCTTAGAAGTCTCTGAAGCACACTTTTTTTGGCGAGAAAAAAGCTTCTAAATTAGAGGAATTCGTGCGCAATCGGGGACGAATGCCATGCAGAGTTTGTGCGAAATTGGGTGTGTGTTGTCTGGAGATGTTCGACAGTGCTGGCAATGCGGAGTATGCGAAAATAGCTAAAATTCAAATATCTATTTTTTGTCAGATATTGTATTCATGTAATGGCTAATTTATCTCACACCCGAGAGTTAGAAAAAATCAGCATTATGAGGAAGCGCATTTGCGCTTTTTCCACACTTAAATCTCGCACCATCTAGGTGCTGTCGCTATGCTCTTGTTCAAGAACTAGTTGTTGGTCATCACCTTATACTCAACCTGTCATCTGTCACATTGGTCACGTGTGATATAAGCCAATTGTCAATATCCAATATGACACTAACACCCAGTGCTGTTGGGGACCCCAAGGCCGGCTCAACCAACGGTTTCAAGCTATGTTCATCAGTAGAGATTGCCATTCTTCTAGAATCTTGATGCTTAAGGTAGCTGATCTATGCATTTCTGAAGACGCATTTTCTACCACCAGATAAAATCCCCCACCAGGTCGCCTGCTGTTCTTTTTGTACCTTCTCATCAGTTTTGAATTATCCAATTGGAGTTTCTTGAATTCTTACTACTCTCGATTATCATAATGTTTTATTTTCCTGAAACTGGAAAAACAGGTAGGAAACAAAATCAAGACGTGTTTATACTCCTGTTGAGTCTCTATCCTTGGGGTGCTGTTGCACGCTGAACGTTCCATACCTTCGGTGAATGTTTCTGTTGCCGAAAAGTGTGGAACATCGTTCCATGGAGTTTAAGATTATCTCTCCGTGTGTATTTAACATAAAACGAGATGAGCCTGTAGGCTGAAGAAGACGTCCCTGGCGAATGTTCGAAGTTCAATTACTCCGGGTGCGATAACGTCAGTAGATAACTACGTAGGCTCTACCATCAGCGCAAGTGCCGCCACTTGGGACAACTGAGGTCTTTCCTGTTGGATCAGTACTTTGTTCTAGATTTTCATCAATTCTGTCGCTGTCATTATGTCACGTGTATCTGATCACTTTGCCATTGATCTGACGCAAGGCAGACGGAGGTTCCGACACTGTTGGAATCGCTCATTTTCTAGAAACTGAGACCTCGATAAGCACAATTCACTTGTATTCGTACTTTATCAAGCACAGATTCCATGTCTCGATCATCTCGGCAGATCTAGCTCAAATTAAATGGTTGAGCGTTTTTTAAAGAAAGCGTGCTTTTGCACCCCGATTGGAGAGTGCTCGCATACCACCGCTTTAACATCTAGAAACTCGAACAACCCTCATGTTCAGCTTCAGTCACTCCGTTGGAAAATCGTTGTTGAGATAGCTGAAGCTCTGTCGTCGAGTACTCGTACTCATGAAGACCGTTCAAGTTGAAAATTGAGATGCATTACTACCATCAACTCCGAACATCTCTTCCAAGCGTCAATTGCTCTTCATGGACTATAGGGACACCAAAGAGCAATTGATCGAGACCAAAGAAGGTACTCCAGACTACAAGCTAGACTATGGACCGCTACCACGAGATACTTTCATAAGTAAACTATCGTGGAGACTAGAAGTTGGAAAGTGGACCTATGCGACTGTTTTGTTGACACTAATAGCATATGGTACGCTCGTTATGTTTGGCTTCTGGATCGACATAGGTGCAGGAATGGTCGTTTCAATTGTGGGCTCTGTTCCCACACTTGTGCTAATAGCACATATCATTGAATCATCTGAAAAAGGGTGGAACGACAGAAGCGTACGTAGCTGGATGGTGGAGATAATAAATATCAACCCGGGAGAGGATTTGAACAAGTGGGATTTAATTGCTGCCAAACTGAACATTATTCTTCACGAAAATGGCGAAACGGCCACCAGGTATTATTTCTACGACGGGAGACACTGTCTGTTCAGATTTACCGACAAATATGCCACATCAAATTCGGAAAACTTTGGAGAGCGGTCTCGCTTGGCCGTGCCCTTCATCAAAGCTGCCGTGGATCAATACATGGAGCATATCGACGAGCAGTTCCGGCAAGTGACACTGGGTAGTTCCTCTGGTAGAGTCAAGGATGCCCTTCAAGATGTTGATAAGAAAGCAAAATGATGGCTTGCACAGTTGTGATGGCAAGCTCTGTTTATACCCGTGTCGGAACTCTGTGTCTGGAGTGTCGTTGCATGATGAACTTGGTGGAGTTAGCTCTCCGGTGTGTTTAGGATAAACGAGATGAGCTTGTAGGCTGAACAAAACATCACGGACAGATGTAAAAATTCAAGTTCTCCAGAATCAATCACTTCAATGCGTTACCGCTAACGCATGTCTTGTTAATCGATGTTGAATAGTAGTTATTCTAGGTTCTTTGAGTATTTAGTCAATTTCTGTCATCTGTCATCTGTCACGTGCTCATGAACATTTTATCAAAAATCAGTTGCTAGACCCACTGAGGTTTCGACAAGACGACACTAGAAACACCTTGACGGCTCCAAAAACCACGACTTCCAGTCATCAATCCCAAATGTTTGAAATGTAGTGTCTCTGAATTCTTTAAACTGTCATCTTAGTTTTCGTCAGATCACATGATACGTTGAGTACTACTCCCAATAGTGTGGAAGATTTTTCAATTTAAAGCTCATCGCCCATCGGATGCTCATCGCAGGACCAACTGACAAGACAAAACCGGGTTCGTTCACCACTGTCAAAGGTTCTTTAAAGGTAACTGTAAATTTTGGGAACATGTCTACGTCCAGATATGTTACTTTCCAGAGCTGTCGAAACTTCAGGATGCTGATAGTTTTGGCAACGCTTTCTGGACATCCCATTAGAATTGAAAAAATCAGGTCAGAAGATCTGAACCCAGGTCTGCGAGACCATGAGGTCTCGTTTTTACGTCTGATAGAGGCTCTGACTAACGGCAGCTCGATCGAAATCTCATATACCGGTACAACGGTCAATTACAGACCGGGCATCATAACAGGCGGCTCTTACACGCATCAGTGTCCGCCTGGGAAACCAGTGGGATACTACGTCGAGCCAATGCTATATCTAGCACCTTTCTCCAAGAAGAAGTTCTCAGTGATCTTTAGAGGTGTGACAGCCTCACATCAGGATGCAGGTCTGGAAGCCATCAAATGGGGTCTCATGCCAGTTATGGAGAAATTCGGCGTTCGTGAGTGCGCTTTGCACACTTTGAAGCGTGGATCTCCACCTTTGGGAGGCGGTGAAGTACATCTGGTTGTCGATTCCCTAATCTCACAGCCCATAACCATGCATGCTCTAGAAACACCTCAAATATCATCCATCAGAGGTGTTGCATACTCTACCAGAGTCAGTCCCTCAATGGTTAATCGGATGATTGACGGCGCTAGAAAAGTGCTGAAAGGCGTGGGATGTGAAGTCGATATAACTGCTGACGCTTGGAGAGGAGAAAACTCCGGTAAAAGTCCCGGATGGGGTATAACGCTAGTGGCAGAAAGTAAGAAGGGCTGGAAATATTTTTCTGAAGGTATTGGCGATGCCGGCGAAGTCCCCGAGGATCTTGGCTCTCAGATCGCCTACGAGCTCTTGGAGGAAATCTCAGCGAGCGCCGTTGTTGGACGAAACCAACTGGCGCTTGCAATCGTCTACATGGTAATTGGTAAAGAAGATATTGGTCGACTCAGGATCACCAAATCACAAGTAGATGAAAAATTCATTTGGTTATTGAGACATATCAAACAAATCTTCGGAACAGAAGTGTTCTTGAGGCCAGTAAACGAGGCCGATAGCGACGACCTCATAGCGACAATCAAAGGCGTGGGATTCATCAACTCTAACAAAAAAATAGCATGATGTGCATATAGTAAATAATACAATAACTATCACAAGAAGTATTGGTTCAAGGTCATGACACCTCATCACAGCTGCATTCTTGACTAAATTTACATGCCCATTGAAAAAAGGACAACTCAAAAGAGCTTTATCTCGAGGTTGGCATTGTTTCAACAGCACTCAACAGTTTTTCCCACTCATTGGAGTTTAATTCCATGTAGTTCATATTGAGCTTCGCCCATCTTTGAAAACTGTCCGAAATCAAAAATTGAGTCTCTTGGAAATAAACATACTCCTCCAGGATACATTCCCTTATGAGCCAGCTTTTATTCATCTGTTGTGCGATGCTTCTCCGGTCTCTTTGAATGCTTTGTTTTACCTTATCGTACTCTGCACCTTTCAAATCAGGCTTATCCTTCATCTGGTCCAAACGTTCGGTATTGAGTTCAATGCGTCTTTGAAGCTGTGGGACAGTATTACCTGCCATAATTTTGTATCTTTCGAACAGCCCTTTGAGTGCGAGAAGAATATCTATAAAGGTCCTAAAGTGCGGCGACAATTCTCTTTTCGTGTCCTCGCTTTCGGAAATGGCAATCTTGTTGCAGGCTCCCAGGTGTTTGGACACCATCCCCAAATGATCGTTTATTTCCTGTACAGTGTTGCTGGTTTCGGAAGAGAAGATGCACGTTGTTTTGCCAGCAAAATCATCAATGATTGATGCAAGTAAAGCCCTGTCTTGACTGATAAACTTCATTCTTTTCTCATATCGCTCTACCAGGATTGTAATTTTTGCCCACAGATCCAAAAGTGTATCAATCGAGGCATCTGCTTCATTCCACCGATCTGCCATCTCTTTTTGCCACATCTTTATGAAGGAAGAACTGATTTTCTTGTCGGTGAACTCATCTGTCGTATCGTAGCTAGCGTTTTTCCTCCAGCCAAGCAGATCTGTAGGAACGGTCAGAAAAGTTAGAAGTAAGTCATCCGTCTTAAGAACCGGGTGCTTTATGAGCAGATTGATGAATCTTGACAACCCGTTGAGTCTCTTGATAAGAAAAACAGGGTCTGCATTGTGTGAGCCGATCTTTTTCGGTGGAAGGTCAGGAATCATGCGGAAAGGGTATTTCTTCAGCAAAACCTCTTGCAGCCACACGAAATCCGAATACCGCCTTACCACGCTCTTGTCACTAGCTGCCTCTGTATCTGGCAGCTCCACCAAGTGTCGCACAAGGTAGTTTGTATGTTTGAATAAAAGGCCCTCCCTTTCCGGTAATTCTTCTACCAGGATAATGTCAGGAGCCAGAGGATTATATGTCTTTCTGACCTCATGCAGCCAGTTATCGTAGTCTTCCTTTACATGGGGCTCACTCGATTGATCTGTAGATTCTGCAAATGGTGTTTCTGTAAGCATATCGCCTTTCAAGAGGCCTCTAGACACTTGGTTGTTGACGTCTCCTAAAGTATCGCCCCATCCAGCCACTGTAGCAGTCCTATCACCACCCTGTTGTCCCATTAGCAGACTAGACGTATCAAATTGCACATCTGGAGCATTGGATTCCCTACTTCTGTGGCCTAAAAATGGTTCAACCTTTGAAGTTGATGCTGGTCCAGCCTCTGCCTGCAGTATGCCAGAAGACGTTAGTGGATCAGTATTCAAACTTGCCCATTCGTTTTGCGTGGCAGGTGAGCCTGAAATTTGACCAGACTTCCAAGGATCCTCTAAGTTACCAAATAGATTCATGATCCGCTGTCTTGATGATCCAGATGTCTTGGATGTGTTGTTTGATGTGAAGTTTGCCTAAGATTGTCTTAACTGTACGACTATTTATTATGGTGATGATGATAGCTTCAAGAACTTTGAGAACTACAAGAACTTCAGGAACTTGAAGGGCATCTGGATCAAGAGTAGCTGGTTCAAGAAGCTTTTGTTAGTAGTCTAAGAATCGGCTATTTAGTGGACAACCGCTGAAGGTTGAAGCATACCAAGAAATGCTTAGCATGAAAGCTGTTTCTAACTAAAAAGTTATAAACTTGGTGGACCTCTTTCAAGATGCACTGCTTGATGAGTTTATTGTAGCTTAAATCGTTGTGGAAAAGTTATGGTTTTGTTGTTTTTTCTTGACTCTTGAAACAGAAAGCCAGAATGAGAACTTTTTGAGTTCCGGTGGTTTCTACCAAAAACGCAGGTGGAATTAGCTTCTCCGTGTATGGTTCGCGACTTTCAGTGAAACAATTCGCTTGTTGCGTACAGTGCATGTAGATTCGTGTGTGCTTATGATTAATTCTGCTGGATGCCTTCGATGTAGACCATAAATCTCGCTGGCTGTGATATTTAGTGAAATCGGCTTCTCAAAATTTCAAAGACCGTTGAGATAAGCACATCTGCGATGGGTTGACAGGTTGCCAACCACTAGTCTCAGTCTACTCCTCCTGATCGCTATCGTCCTCGTTGAAGTCCAAATTGATCCAGCTAGGCCATGCCGCTTCGACCTTCACAATAGTTTTGAAAACTTCTAGTAAAAACTGTTCAAGTTTGCCCACGCTTCGCAGCACAGAACCTTCCACATCGTTTTGTTCACCTATTTCGCTTTCGATCTTGATGCTGCGGATCAGCGAGATTCTCTCAAGTGATTTTTTGCCCAAAAACGCTGAGCTTCCAGAATCGGTTATAGACTCTCTTGCATCCAAGACAGGATCCGCCACATCGCACAAGAAGCTGATAAACAGCTGTTTCGACAGATAGGCTACCAAACACAGTACATGGACGCCCAGATCCGTGATCGACAATTTCACAGGAAGACTCATGAAAGACGGGCTGGGATAGTTGAGTGCTAGTTCTGCATTGACCTCTATCGTCATATCGCCCTTGTAGTCCACTTCTACCAAAAACTGCATATCGCTTGGATTGCTAGTGGGTTTCGGTTCAGGTTCAAAACCGTCTTTTCCTGCGTTCAATGCTTCTTCTTCTTCATCATCATCTACTTGGTCTTGGCCGTCACTACCGTCAGTTGAATGCTTCCTCAAATGCTCTTTTGGCTTCGTTCCTTCACTTTCACTAGCAATGTGCTCGTAGAACTCGCTCAAAGGGTCTGTGATCTCCCGAAGAGTGATTTTTGGTGGTATATGTCCAAGGCGAAAGTTGGTGACCTGCAAACTATTGACATAACTGGGCAGGGCGATAGCTTGCAATTGAGAATTGAGAAATGCCTTGATGGAATTGTTGATAACGGGATCTTCCCCGACGTCTTCCCAGTTGATTTCAAACGACATCTCAAATCTCAAGCCCTCAATTCACACATGGAGTGTTGTTAAATTTATCAAGTTGGATCTTGAAGTTTGAATATATATGCAAAGGTAGCATAGATGTAAAGTCTTGAAAGAAAGCGAATACCTAGATCAAAAGCAAACTCCAACTACTGATGATAAAAAGCACCAGCAGAATCTTTAGTTTGTCAATTCAAAGAAGTCTCCAGCTTCACAATCCAAGAGCGTTCACAAATGCGGCCAGAAACTTGTCAGAACAGCAGAGATTCTTGCTAGCCAGAACCATAAATGCACCAGCTGCCGATGTCTACGACGTTGTTTCTAACATATCAGATTATAAAAAGTTCATGAAATACTGCACGGAATCGGTCGTTACCAAAAAAGATGAAGCAACAGGAAGGCCGACTCAGGCTGGGTTGACGGTCGGATTTCTGCACTACGATGAGAGCCTCGAGTGTGAAGTCCAATGTGTGCAGGAAAAAAACGGCAATTACACTGTGGTGGCCAATTCATTGACCCATAGCTTGTTCAACGCATTGCAAACACATTGGTGCATCAAACCGCACCCGTTGAGGCCCAGTGCTACAGAGGCAGTACTGTGCCTCGAGTTTCAATTCAAAAGCAGTCTGTACAACAATGTGGCATCCATTTTCGGGAAAAGCGCCGCGGAACATGTCATGAAGTCGTTCGAAAAACGAATCTTCAGCTTGAAGCGACAGAATGCCAAAAACAAAGCTGGTGATACTGCGGAAAGAGCAACCCTCAAAAATTGAACTGCGTTAGAGTGTTTTACGTACCTAAGTTGATTTTTTTCTTCGATTCTGTTGATGATTTTCCTACCGGATGAAGTAAACTGCTTTTGTTCCTTCATCATGATCCAAACAAATTCCTTTTAGTGCTCACGATCGCCCTTTTTGGACCAGAGCTTGAGCGACCACCACCCTGCCACGAGTCCCGCCACGCTTAGGAGAAAAGTCTTGTCTCTGGACTCCAATGAGTCCGATTCCTTCGATGGGTCGCTTTTGTTCGTTGCGTCTGCATCATTGTTCTTGGCGGTCTCATACTCCTCATTTACGATGTCGAGACTGTCTTCTGGGGCGTCCGCTTGGAAAATCACCTTGTCGTGGTCTGTGGTCGAGACTTGAGGTGTTTTGTCCAACGGGCTGTTTTCCGTGGCAAGAAGCTCTTTTTCCAGCATCGTGACTGGTTTCTGGTCTGCACTTTCAGAAAGTGGTGTTATGTGCACAATGTACTCCTTGTCAAGCGACTGCAACGCATCTTCGGTAGCTGCAACGTCAGGAAGCTTTACGTCGTCCACGGGTCTGGAATCTCCTTTCTGGCCAACAGCTCTCGAAAAATGCAGCTGACGCACAGAGCTGGCTATGCTGGATGTTCCAGGTAGTGATTTTGAGTTTTCAAACGCCAAAATACGGTCTACAAGTTCTCCCTTTCTGCCTGAAATCTTCAGCCCTCGATTGCGACACTCATTCTTGAGGGCTTTCAAACTCAGCACATTAAAGCTAGCGAGCTTGTCGTTGCTTAAAAGGGTCGTGTGGTCTTTGCGGAGCGTACTATGCACCAATCGTCTGGCTGAAAGTTGCAAAATTCCAGACCAACTTCCGATGCCTGCTGTATGAAGAGTACCAGTGCTAGCGTTATGTTTTGCGACCCGAGAGAAAAGGATTTGCAGGGTCTTCATGTTATGTGTGTGATTAGGATGGTTCCAGCCTGAACTATTCAGCTGATTCGGTCAGATCGGAGGTGATTTCGTATGTGGGATGGATCTTACGGGGTGTTATAGTTTCAGGAAGAAGAAGATGATGATGTTTATTTACTAATTTTGAAAGGGGAGGTCGAGTACAGAATTCGTGAGTACTTTCCTTGACAGTGATGAAGTTGCCATGCGAAATTATAGAGAATATGATGATATTGGATGTCAATGAATTCCGGTTTCATCAGACAGTGACTTTAAAATCACTTTGATAGGTGAAGCTGCTATGGATTCATGTAGCTGGCCTTACACTTTTAGAATTTGGTGACTCCGGGAAAGGTACCTTTACACGAGTGTGTCGCTGGTGCTATTCAATTCTCCAGCTCATTTCACAATTATAATCAAGATACCCCATCACTTCTTCACGTGGAAAAATACTAACCGGGATGCTTGATCTGATTCGTAGACTCTTGGAACGATTGTGCTATTACTGGCTGGGAACTCGAAGTCGTTGAGCCGGAAGTGATACGTATACGGTGATCCCAACAAGAGATATGTCACGAATTTCATTTACAGAAGAATGAAAAGGTTTCGAGCAACAAGAGTGGGAGCAGCTATTAGCATATACGTCCAATGGCTTCTGTTGCAATGGGTGTCGTTTAAATATAACGCTACATTCCGAGCTTGACTCGTATACCATAACGTAGATTACAGACCATCATCACTATCGACGACTATACCAATGAATAGCGATGCCCTCCCATCGACACTGAATAAGGTTGCCGTTGCTCAATAGAGCCCTTAGCGTTTTCTCCTTGTAACAACTATTCCACATTTTAATCCCAGATTGGCGCGTCCACTCCCGATTGTTCACAATCCTGACATTCGTTTTTTCAACCTGCTTTGACTATTTACACTTTACAATGTAACAGGTTCATGCGAATCTGTGTTTTGGACCCAGATTGTTCATTAATCTTGAGGTCCAGCAATACATACATATATGTATCAAAAGAATATGGAAATGGGTCTCGGTGATTGAAAGCGTTGACCTCCGCTTAATCCACCGTTCAAGACCCCTGAAGCGCACCCCGTCTGTCTTAGAGCGCCATCATCATCAGAACGACAATTTTTAGTACTGACGAGCAGCTTCTTGACACGCCTTTAGCTGCTGCAGATAAAAATCGCAAATTTGCATGTTTCCGCTGTTTTCCTCCAAACATCTAGTGAAGGTTCTGGCGTCGACGTCACAGCCTCTAGCCTGTTCCTGGGCAAAAGTCTGCTGTTGAGCTGGATTGGACACCATCTGCTGTTGTTGTTCGGCAGCTGGAGCACTGGAAGACCCGGAAAACATTCCGGTGAGACCAGCACCCAAAGTATGACCCACAGCACTACCAACTGCCACACCGGCAGCGGTAGAAGCCATTTGCGAAAAAAGACCTGGCTGACGAGTCTGGGCACCCGCCTGTGGGTGTGAATAAGCATTAGACTGATGAGTTGATGCTGGAGTGTGCTGTTGTTGATGGGGCTGGGCAGCCATGGTGGAAGCCGAACGGGTCTGAGCTGGAGCTGGTCTGGATCTAACGCCGCCTCTAGAACGTGCCATTATTGTTGTTGAGTGAGTTGATATGGGTTTGGTACTTTAAAAGAGTATATGCTCTTAAATTTGGATGCTTCTATCTCTTATTCAAAGTTCTCATCGCCATAATGCTTCTTCTTTATATACTACTACATTTACAATATATCTCGGGAATTATTAAATTTTTCGCCACTGATCTATAGAGGCGTGACTTGTGCGTGATATACACGTGGTGTAAAAATCATGTGAAAGTCATGTGGTTATCACATGATCTATGTTAGCTTTTACCGCTTTCTAACTTCTCCCATCGAACAGTCTCAGTTTAACTTCAACTCGTCTTCCCAGGTTCAGCATTATCTTCTGCCTTTCCCCTCACTTGGCACTGTACCGCCTCCTCACAGCTCTTCGTCAAACATTTTCTCTAAATGGATACTTGGAGGCCTTACAGAGCGTGGCTCACCATATGCGAATTGATACAGAGGATCAGAATGCTCTAAGACCTGTGCAGCTTGTACCGGTCCTGAAAACTCCGAGAACTCCGACTGTGGTGTTCCTTGAGACGGCAGACCGTTGCCGTTAGCCGTATTTTTCATGATTTCCGTAGGTGATATGAACATCGATTGACGTTCAGCTTGTGAAATGGTGTTGGTAGTGAACGCTCCGTTTTGTAATAGATCTATCGTGGACTGGGAGTTAAAAGTGCTCAAAACTGGTCGTTTAGAGCTTCTGGTCTTCAAAACCTTCTCCGATATGTCGCTGTGGGAAGAACCGTCCGAGTAATCGGTGTCTGAATCTCGAGAGTGGAACATAAAAGGATCCGATTGGAACCGGGCTTCAACGGACCGTTCCCGGTACTCACGACGTGCACTCAACCACCCCCGTAGTGCGAAGATCGCCCAGATCGACGAAAAAACGACCCCAAAAAATCCGATTATGGCCCCAACAATAACGAAAACTGTACCACTGGGATACGCCGTTCGGTAAATCTCTTTGCTTCCAGCGGTATCCGGCACCACTGGCGTGAAGGTCGCGCTGTAGGAAGAAGAGATGGTTGATGTAGCTGTGGCACCAGTGCTTGCACTTGAAGAGTTTGAGCTTGCCGTCAAAGTGGGCAACTCACGCTGTATCAGAGGCGGGTTTGCTGAAGTAGAGGACATTCCGCGTTTGATAAGCATCTGGAAAGTTCTATCAAAGTCTCGATTGGCAGACGCAGTTAGCATTAAAGTACAAAACGTACAATATACCGTTCCTAACTTCATTACAGTTCTGTTCAAAAGCGTGTCTACAAAAACCCCGGTTTCCGTTGGACTGAAAACAACCTAGCTATGAGAAAGTCTATACAAATGCTACATAGGATCTTATATATGCTCCCGTTCATGGGTCAATTGCATCTTTCGTAGTTGGCCCTTGCGTCGTCCTGTGCCGATCAAGACGCGATTTTTCACCCGGTACGCGAAAAATCCCATGTTGGCCTTTAAGCACGAAAAAATATGCAGAACCAAAGCGTATACTTTACATTAGCGCATGAACTACGTATACACATTCGGTTAACGGAACCGTGTTCAGTGGATCAGAACCGCCAGTTCTCGTCAGCGGACTCCACAGCCCATTTGAACTTGTCTCGTAGCGACTTTGTAAAAACTTTCTCCAAGGGAACACCGTATTTCTTGCAAAACACCACTGATAATCTGGGGTCGATATAGTTGATCTTGGAAGTGCCCAGGGAAACCTGGGAGTTGTCCTCCTTGTCCTTCAGCTGAGTGGTGTAGTTTTCAATTCTTTGCTCGAGTTTTTCAACCTGCGATTTGAGTTTTTCCACGTCGCTGTTCGTTATTTGTACTTTGCCGGTCTTGAGCTCCTCCGCATAAGCCTTCTCCGTCTCATCCACTTTTTGCATCCACTCCTGAAGCTGAGACTCCGGCAGGGGTTCCTCATTGTCGAATTTGCGTTTCTCGTTGTCGCGAGCAAACTTTTTGACGAATTTTTCCCGCTCCTTCTCAATGACCCGTTTGTGAATGGCGGCTTCCTGTTCCTTGACAAGATCGTTGACCTCAGCAAAATACTTGGGGTTCTTCTTGACCTCAGACTTGTCCAGCTGCATGATCGATTTTTTCAGTCTAACTTTCTGCCATTCCATTTCTTCGATCCTTGCGGTGGCCTTTTCCACCGATGCAGCATGACCCTTTGTCACGGTCCTTTGATGGTTACACAGGATGGCAACTGTTCTGTTGGCGGCATTGTATTTCAAAAGCTTTTCCGCGACTGTTCCTTCATTCGGAATCAGGTCCAATTGATCCTGCATTGTCTTGGAAGCGTTGTAGGTACGGAACACTTTAGCTGTCAAGCCGGGCATGTAGTTTTGAAGGTGCTTGTTCAATAGTGATGGGTCCAGTCTATCAAACAAGTCGTGGCCGGGCTTCTTTGGTGGTTTCTTGAACAATGTAAGGTTCTTGAAAACTTGCTTTTCTACCTCAACTTCCTGGTAAAATCTGATAGAGTCCTTACCAAGAAAGTCGAATATGACCGTTGTGGGAGGCTTCAACGTAACATGCTCGTATCTCAAAGAACAGCAGCCCACAGTGTCTGCTTCGTCGTCTGCCTTCTCCCCGCCTGCTCTTAGCGCAAACACATCGATAAAATAACATGCAACTGCAATCTGTCTTTCCAGCATGACCTTACTTTTGAGATTCTTGGTGTAATCTCTCCTGACCGCTTCAATGTAGTCCTTCAATTGGCGGGCCTTTTCGAATTTTTTGAAGTCACTCATACCTTTCAAAGATGAGTTAGCGGCAAATCGCACGTACTTGAACGAATTCGAGATATTTTCTCGCCACATAGCTAGCCATTGCACGGTATTGTCGTGCCTTATTTCACCCCAATTGTGACCTTCTGGCGCTTTTGGAATTTCAGCATCTTTATCGAGATTGAGCACCACATCTTCGGGATAAACTCGTCTTTTCAGCTTGCCTGTCTTTGGGTGCGCACCACGACCACGAAATAGCCCTGGGGGCTCAATTCTGAAATTCCCGACCTGTTCTTTGCGCTCATCAAGAAAACAGTATTTGTAAGGTTCTTCCAACTCCTCCTTTTCCTCTTTTAATTTCTTCTTTTCCTGTGAGCTGAGCTGCTTTTTCTGCTCTTTTTGCAGCTGGTAGTAGTCGAAAATCTTGGAGAAATCGCATAATTCGAATTCCTTGATCTCAACACCATTGCGGGTCCCACCGCTCTCTTTGAGCACCTCTAGAAAGTCTTCAAAGAAGTTTTTCTGGAAGACCGGATTCTTGGCATGGTCCGATTCCAGCAAAGCTGCGAAAAAGCCCACAACCTCTTCTGCCTGGGGCGGGAGATCAACGGGTTTCCCAGCATAGTAGAGCCTGACGTGCGAAGGCAAAGGCTCGTACGTGGGAGGAAAAATAACACCGTTGTGCTTTAGGGTGGTCCATTTGACGGTTTCGTCGTCGTTTTCCTTTTCCCACCACTTGAACTCATCGGCACTTTCGCTGGTCTCTTTAATGCTGTCTTCCGGGTCTGCATTCTGCTGCTCGACGGAATGTTCTCGTTTGGGGATTTTTTTAGGTGATTTGGTGGTTTTCGCCGGTGGTGTCGCCTTTTTGGCCCTTGGCTTTTTCGCCTTGACACTACTACTACCACCATCGCTTTTTTGCATGGTTTTCTTAGCCTTTTTCACAGTTTTTCGAGAATTTGCAACTTTCGAAAGCGCTGCATCACTGTCAGCGGACTCAATGTCCTCATCCTTGATTTTGGAGCTACCATTTTCCTCATCTGAATCTTCGATTTTTCGCTTATTACGCTGAAAGGCTGCTGAGAGAGGTGCATCTTCTTCGTCAGAAGAGGTGTCTTCCTTTAGTTTTACAGTCATTGGTTTGGCAATTTTACTGAAGTTAGCGTCGAGATCTAGTACAGCAAATCCGGAGTCACAGAGATCAAGTCAAGACGAGTTGAGGGTCTGCTATATATAACAGATTTTTTTTCAAAAATCTGTCTACTACATATACATCAATTTAAACCATCGTCTTAATAGAGGATAGTGAAAGAATGAAGTTAATGGAATTTGACATGTATATAAGGCATCAAGTGAGTGAGCGGCCGAGGGAAACTATTGAGCTTCTAGTCGAGCATCACAGAACTTCATGCTAGTTGAGATTGGGTCGCTTGTAGTCTCTACATGGTTTGTTTCGTAGAAAACCCATCATCAACCAGGCTGTTCTTCAATCCGACTTCGTAGACCACCGTACCTCCTAAAACAGGACATTTCTCCTATCAGGAGTCTGGCAGTATGATAGCAGTCATGCACAGACCTACTAAACTGAGGTTTCCTTATTTGCACATATCTATACTTTAGTTACGTTAATTTGGCATAGCTCTACAAACAGAGATGAATAGGACGTCACACGCAGGAATAAGACATTTCAAACTAGAAGATACTACCTAGCAGCCCAAGTGCTATCCTTTTCTCGGCTAAGGATTCAAGTTTACTGTCCAAGGACTCAAGTTTATCGAAAACAAGCCGTAGTCAGAAACGACGCGATAGGTTGCACCCTCTGCTTTAAAACTGCGTTAAAACTACATGCAGACTACGTGGAGACTACGTAAAACCACGCACATCTACATAGGAACTCCGTCTTTGCCCTTTTCGAACTACAAAGCTACAAACTCACACTGCTCTTACGCCGTCTTGGAGTTTCTTTCTGTATTGACGTTTTCCTGTTTTGGTCCCCAGACATAACATTCAAATTCAATTGTTTACTTATCGAAAAACTTCAACATCACTTTAGGTCTAGACAACGAAAACATTCAAAAAACATACAATAAGCTTGACTTGTAGGGCATAGTGCCAGGTATCTATCGTCAAAGGTCTACTTGTTTTGTGCCAGTACGATTGTCTCGAGTTTGGTGTTTTGCAAACGGTTCAAACCTGACCTTTCCCGAGAAATTGACCATAAACCGTGGATTATCATTCTCACTGGAAAGAGTTGAGATTTTAAAAGTGAAGAGTGTTAAAATCGTTCCCACAGTTAGCGGCAGCGTGCTAGGAGAGACTGAAAGAGTGAGTGTCTAGCTTTGGATTCTGAATTCTTGAAATTTGACACAGCGCTTGAAATTTCTGCCACAAAAGTGTATATTCCGGTGACTACACACATACTTTGACCAATATCGGAGCAGTTGTTGTATCAATTGCCACCGTTACAATGTCCGCAGCCCCACTGCAGATCGTTAATGAACGACAACTGAACACAAGGACAAACAATGTTTACACCCCAACAAAATACACCGTTGGAAAGGAAAATCTGCAGCATACCAGCAATAAGCGTCCAGACCATCATCATGACCAACACAAGCAGCCGGCCCCCAAAAAGAAGAAGGAAAAGCTTTCTGCTCTGTGCAAAACGCCCCCGTCTCTAATCAAGACTCGCGGTAGGGATTATCGGAGAGGCCATTTTCTTGGAGAGGGAGGCTTCGCAAGGTGTTTCCAGATCAAAGACGACTCGGGCAAAATTTTTGCCGCCAAGACGGTGGCCAAGATCTCGATCAAATCGGAAAAAACTCGTAAAAAGCTTCTGTCTGAAATTCAAATCCACAAAAGCATGCGACATTTCAATATCGTCCAATTTGTTGATTGTTTCGAAGACGATACCAACGTGTACATCCTGCTCGAGATCTGTCCCAACGGTTCGCTCATGGATCTTCTCAAAGCCAGGAGAGTACTCACAGAGCCGGAAGTGCGGTTCTTCACTACCCAGATCATAGGTGCCGTGAAATATATGCATAGCAGAAGAGTTATCCACCGAGACTTGAAACTCGGGAACATATTCTTCGACAGCAACTACAATTTGAAGATCGGAGATTTCGGACTAGCTGCCGTGTTGGCTAACGATAGAGAACGTAAATTCACTGTGTGCGGTACGCCTAACTACATAGCGCCAGAAGTCCTTACGGGCAAGCATACAGGCCATTCGTATGAGGTTGACATTTGGTCTTGCGGCGTAATGATATACGCTTTGCTAGTGGGTAAACCACCTTTCCAAGCAAAGGAAGTCAACATCATCTATGAGCGTATCAAGGCCGGAGACTACGCTTTTCCAAAGGACAAAAGCATTTCTCCCGACGCCATGGTTTTGATCGAAGACATACTTTCCATAGATCCTCTGGAGAGACCATCTTTAGATGAAATCATGGATTATGTTTGGTTCCGGGGCTTATTTCCGCCCAGAATAGACCCACAAACGTTAAGTTCTGGACCAAATTACGATTATCTGGATATGGCTCAATCTCAGGCGAACTTTAAAGCTTGTATGACGCGATCTGGGTTAACATCAGCTTCATCATCTTCTACCAAAGATCCTATCAAACTTGTGAAGAACGACCTCGAACAAGAACGAAGTAGAACAATTTTACCACAGTCGTTATCGCCAGGTGGAACTAAAAACAAGTACCAGGAAGTTGTTGATCTCGATGCTCAAAAGAAGCTTAATGATCTGGCTCGTGAAGCAAGAATTAGAAGAGCACAACAGGCCACTCTCAAACGAGACCTCGTTGCCACTTCAACTAATGCTATTAAGTCTGAAATTTCGTTACGAATCTTGGCAAGTGAATGCCATTTGACGCTCAATGGTATCTTGGAAGCAGAAGCTCAAAAACGTATGGGTGGACTTCCTAAATCAAGACTGCCGAAGCTCAAGAATCCTATCGTAGTGACGAAATGGGTGGATTATTCTAACAAACATGGCTTTTCATATCAATTGTCGACAGATGACATTGGTGTACTTTTTAATAATGGTACCACGGTACTGAGGCTTGCTGACGCAGAAGAGTTTTGGTATATCAGCTATGACGATAGAGAAGGGTGGGTTGCGAGTCATTACAACTTGACTGACAAACCACAAGAATTGGCAAGACATCTGGAGGTGGTGGACTTTTTTTCGAAATATATGAAGGCGAATTTGAGCAGGATCTCGACTTTCGTTCGCGAAGAATATCACAAGGACGATGTTTTTCTTCGAAGATACACGCGCTATAAACAATACGTGATGTTTGAGCTGAGCGACGGCACGTTCCAGTTCAATTTCAAAGACCATCACAAGTTTGCCATATCTGAAGGTGGTTCGTTGATCACTTACATCTCGCCCGATCGCGAAAGCTCTACATATCCAACCGTCGAGTTGCTCAAGGCTGGCGAGCTGCCCGAGCATCCGGACATCGACCTTTCTGACAAGATATTCATGATGAAGGAGGGTCTCAAACAGAAAGCCGCGATTGTGTCTACCGCGCAGCCACAGATATAGCCTGGGTGTTTGTGAGAATAATATTTGATGTGTATGAATACAGGGATAGCTTGATAAAAGTAGGAGAGAGAGAGAGGGAGAGAGACAGATGGAGAGCCTCAGTAATTTAAAGGAAACAGCTTGTAATTTCTTGATTCGTCAAACTAAATACTATAATACAGGGGGATGGCGGGTGCTTGTGTTATTGCTTGTGTTATTGCTTGTGTTTGTTGGTATGCGTGCGCCTGTTTGTATGCGTGCGCCTGTTTGTATGCGTGCGCCTGTTTGTATGCGTGCGCCTGTTTGTATGTGTACGTCCGTGAACTGCCTGCCCGCTACATCGCATAGTTGTCTTCCGACGCCAGCGTTTGCAGGTTCCATTCCGTTTCAAAATTCGATTGCAACTGGCCCAGTTTCGAGATGATCCCGTTACACGCGTTTTTGAGCGCTTCTTTCGGGTCGTAGCCCTCCACCGTTTGGATTCTCATTTTGAACTGTGCGAACAACGGATGTTCCACCTTGTACGCAGCAAACAGAACTTTTGCGTCTTCCAAAAGCTCTCCGCGTATCAGGTTTGCGAGTGTGTGGTCTTCTTTCTCGAACGTGACAATCACCGCATTCGGGGCCTTGGTATCTGGGTCCACTTTGAGTTTGGCTTCTCCCTCGGGCAGTAGAAACAGTTCGAATCTGTCTGGTGCGTTCATTGTGGGTCCTAGGAGTGTCGTACCTCGTTGAAACCGCCGTGACTGGTAATTTCTGTCTCGCTGATTTATCTAGCAGTCAATTCAACCACTAATCGCCTCTTGACCTCTTCAAATCTTGCTTTCCAAACCTGTGTTAACACCATCAGTCTAGTTTCCTGTGCTATAGATTTTATTATAATTCTTGAAATTTAAAGATCATTGAGAACGAGAAAACATTCATGGCGTCTTTTATGTTTTCGAAATATTCGATAACCGCCCCCCCCTTTGAAGAAAAAAAATTTGTCCCTAGCTAAACTATACAACACACAAATTAAAGTTGATCAAACGTGGAAAACTGAGGACTTTAAGGCGAAATAGGGCATTCCCGGAGACTATAGGACTGCAGAAGACTAGCAGAAGGGAAAGTACGAGTTCAGAGGTATACGTGGGTTTTTTTACGGAGTTTCTAGGATGTCTCAGAGCTCAGATAATCTTCAATCTGTGCCAAGCCAGGGCCCGGTGCAACAACAACTGCAGCAGTTCGTTCTTCCGTCGATCAGCGGGCTGGAAAACAACGGACACCACGCCGGGGAGCAGCAGCAACAGCAGCAGCAACAGCAACAGCCGCAGCAGCGATTGCCGTTTGTGGGACGTTCCAAGGGCTTTTCCGTGGCGAGTTTGGACAACCCATTGCCTGCAGAACAACAACAGCAGCTGCCGAATGTGCCGGCAGAACACATCCCGGACGGCTCGTTCAAACCGCTCAACTTCAAAGACGCGTTGTCGTATCTGGAACAGGTCAAATTTCAGTTCAACAGTCGGCCAGACGTGTACAACCATTTTTTGGATATCATGAAAGACTACAAGTCGCAGGCCATAGACACACTGGGGGTCATCGAGCGGATCTCGACCTTGTTCAAGGGCTATCCCGTGCTCATCCAGGGTCTGAACACGTTTTTGCCTCAGGGCTACAGAATAGAGTGTGCTCAGGACGCCAACGACCCAAACTTTATCTCGGTCACGACGCCCTTCGACGGCCACCCACATCGTCCAACGCGGCTGGACCAGCATGAGATGGCTCTTAACGCCCCGGGAGTCGGCGCTCCATCACTATCAAACCCTTTGAGCGAAACCTCCACACCTCAGGGCACTGCAACTGCAACTGCAACTACTGCCACAGACCGTGGATCCAGCATTGTCGAGACCGGTCAACCTACATTACCAGGGCCTCAAGCCATATTCCCAGCCAAAAGTCTGCAACAGCAACAGCAACAGCAGCCGCAGCAGCAAATGGAACAACCTGATCAGTCACCCTCAAGTCTTCAGGCTCAACAACAGCCGCTCCAGACCGCCCAGCCGTATCTGGCAGCCAGAAGCACTGGAGATGTGGAGTTTAGCCATGCTATCAGTTATGTCAACAAAATCAAAACCAGATTTGCAGATCAGCCCGACATTTACAAGCATTTCTTGGAGATTCTTCAGACTTATCAAAGGGAACAAAAGCCTATTCATGAGGTTTACGCCCAGGTAACCACGTTGTTTCAAAATGCGCCGGATTTACTAGACGATTTCAAAAAGTTTTTACCCGATGCCACTGCCGCTCACGAACAACAAATGCAGCAAATACAACAGCAGCAACAACAGCATTTGCAACACTTGCAACAACTACAGCAGCATCAACAACTCCAAATACAGCAAATGAATCAAGGCGCCTTGCTACCGGGACATGTTCAACCAGATCAACACCTGGACCAATCTCAATTACGTCAACGCCAAGAGATGGAGCAGCATAGACAAAACCTGCAGCAGTCTTATAATGGTGGACCCGCTTTTTTCCCAGGACAACAACCTAGGGCCCAAAATCTACCCCCCTTGGGAAGTTTTTCTCCTCCCATCAACGGACGCGACAATGAACCACCTATAAGCCTTCCAGCTGTTCAAAGTGGGGCTCCAAGCATCCCATCACGGGCTTCACAGCCACCGGCTCAGCTCCCTGCTCAGGGAATGGCTAACAAAACTTTGCCACTGTCTGAAGTGCGTGGTCCCATTGATGGCGGCTTTGCTCCACCTTCATTGCATTACCAGGACATTCAGTATATGGAACCAACGTCGAGGCCGGAGATAGACTTAGACCCCAGCCTTGTACCTGTTATTCCTGAACCGATTAGACCTCTTGAAAGTGATATAACCTTGATCGAAGAAACATCGTTTTTCGACAGAGCTAAGAAGTACATGGGAAATAAACAGATTTACATGGAATTTCTCAAAATCTTGAACCTTTACTCTCAAGATTTGATCGATACAGATGAACTTGTGGATAAAATTGAACACTACCTGGGAGGCAATATAGAGCTATTCGATTGGTTCAAAAGTTTCGTCAACTACGTTGAGAAACCTAAATGCATTGAAAATGTCATGCATGAAAAGCATAGACTGGATCTCGACATGTGTGAGGCCTGTTGTCCCAGTTACAAAAAGCTGCCTAAGACAGACACCTTTATGCCCTGCTCCGGCAGAGACGCTATGTGCTGGGAGGTCTTGAACGATGAGTGGGTCGGACATCCAGTATGGGCTTCCGAAGACTCCGGTTTCATTGCTCATCGCAAGAATCAATACGAGGAGACGTTGTTCAAAATAGAAGAAGAGCGACATGAGTACGATTTTTACATTGAGGCGAACTTGAGAACTATTCAGACACTCGAGACAATAGCCAATAAGATCGCCAGTATGACGCCCGAAGAAAAGCAAACATTCAAACTACCACCTGGATTGGGTCACACATCATTGACAATTTACAAAAAAGTCATCAGGAAAATTTATGATAAGGACAGGGGTTTCGAAATCATTGATGCCCTCCATGAGAATCCCTCTGTTTCTGTCCCCATAGTTTTGAAAAGACTGAAACAAAAAGATGAGGAATGGAGGCGGGCTCAGAGGGAGTGGAACAAGGTGTGGAGAGAGCTTGAGCAGAAGGTATTTTACAAGTCCTTGGACCACTTAGGTTTAACGTTTAAACAGGCTGATAAGAAGCTGCTCACTGCAAAACAGCTAATATCCGAGATTAGCAGCATCAAGGTGGACCAGACAAATAAGCGAATTTATCCGTTCACGCCAAAGCCAGAAAGTCAATTGGAGTATGATTTGGTAGACAAGGGAGTTCTATTCGACATTTTGGAACTGGTTTCCGTTTTCATAAATCACAGCACCACTTACTCGAGTGGTGACAAAGAAAGACTCTTAGAGTTCTTCAAAGGCTTCCTGTCAGTATTCTTTGCTATCCCGCATGATAAGTTTGACAATGTTGGACAGCAGGAGTCTCATTCACCATCTGACGACGAGAGGGGATCAGCACTGGCAACGCCGTCACGTAAAAGAAAAAGACAGGATGATCATATTTTGAGAGATATGCTCAAAGGCAAGAGCAAGCACACAAGGAAGGGTGATGGTACACATGATGAAGGTGCATCATCGGATGATCAAGATTTACCCGACAGCGATGCACATGTCAATGGCGATGAAGAGATCATCACAGAAGAAGCCAAAAAACCTTGGCTTCTCGGAAGTGTGATTGAGGAAGCGAACGACCACGGCTATGTTCCAAATAGAAGCACGTATAACTTGTTTGCAAATGCAAACATATATGTGTTTTTCCGCCATTTGACTACCTTATACCAGCGTCTGCATGAGGTCAAGAGTATAAACCAAGCTGTTACTGCAGAGATAAAAAGTAGAAAAATTTCCGAGTTCGCAAAGGACTTGAATCTGCTATCAAACCAGCTAAGTGATATGGGTTTGGACTTCAAAGAATCGGACGCCTATGAGCAATTACTCAATCTCTGCAAGCGCTTGATTGAAAATGACATCGAACACCAATGGTTCGAGGAGAGTTTGCGTCAAGCATACAAGAATAAGGCTTTTAAACTTTATACAGTCGATAAAGTCGTGCAATGGTTGGTCAAACATATGCACACTATCATAGCTGATGCGAAGACCTCAGAAATTGCAGTTTTATTCGAGAAGGATAGGACTTCAGCCAGCACTAGTAGGCGGGACCAAATTCTGTACCGACTGCAGGTTAGATCACACATGGGTCTCTCAGATAACATGTTCCGGATTGAATATAATCAGCAGACTAGCCACGTCTGTATACAATTTGTTGCAGTGGATGACCTCACATTAAAAGAGCCTGAATCTCTCAAAGATCGGTGGCAGTATTATCTGACCTCATATGCTCTTTCGCATCCTACTGAAGGGGTCTCGCATGAAGAGATCAAGGTTCCGTTCCTCGTTAAAAACTTGAGAGAAGATGAGCAGGGTAGCGATGATGAGAGGGCTTCTCCTTTAGGTCAATCTGTCTCCTCGCTTCGCATTCAAGTTAACCCCGAGAACTATGAACTACAGATTGAACCAAACTCCAAAGATCTCTTTACCAGATCCGCCACCAACAAGTTCCCAATCAAAATGGCGTCTCTCAATAGCCAGGAAAAAGACTCAAAGAAAAAACAAGTTGACGAATTTTTAAATAGCGAGCACGGTTGGAAGAAAGGCCTCAGCGAGAAAAGTGTTACAAATGCAGAAGGTTCACTTAACTACGTGAGGGATCACGGGAAGGTAAAACCCGCTATTACGACAGATGCCGCGGTCCCAGCAACCGAACCTGCGGAGGTTGAGGCTGCAGCGGACAAGACTGGTGACGACACAGATATCAGAGGTGATGATACCACAACGGAGGAAATATAATTAATGAAGTAGGTGTTTTGATTCGCCGATATGTAACGATATATTGCCTGTTTCAAGTAGCGGTGATAACTAGTAGATTTTTCTCAGGATTCTGCATCCACGTCAACTCCGAAATCAGCCAGTGATTCTCCCCATTCGTTTTGCCAGTTCTTTCTACTTGAGCTTGGTGTAGCGTCCGGTATCCTTTTCTTCAAGACTGTCTCGCCTCTGCTATTGTGTATTGGAACGCCCAAGCTTTTGTCGCTGGAATCAGTACGACCTTGGCGACCGCCATCTGGAGGCCAAGGCAATGCCATCAATTTATCTTCAAGAGCAGCATCCGCTTCATAAACAGTCAATTCATTAACCTCGAAACTACATCCTGATCCCCCAGGAACTCCCCATGGAAGCATCCATGTCTTGAGCGGACCCAAATATGCCCTGAAGTTCGCCAAGAGCCCGAGGTCATAAGGAAAATTGACCACTTCTTCCAATCGCAGACGTTTATTCGACATTAAGTTCTGGACAGAGGCATCGGTACAAGAGTCTTGCCCGAACGTCTTTTCTAAAATGTCAATCATCTGTGGTAGCAAACGTTTTCGATAAAAGAGGTTTTCTATGCGTTCCATTTCCCAGCTCTCGATTTGAGTCATACCATCCAACAGTTGGTTTTGCGTGCATCTAGCAAACAGCATTGTTATGCTCAAACATATAAAGGCGTTCAATACCAGGTTTACAACAAGAAACCACAATTCGGATGTATGAACAAAGATGCGCTGGTTTCTCATCTGCCAGAGATGGAATATGCGTTTAACGAACAGAAACTCCAAGAAGAATGCGGTGATGATTACCCAAACCAGAAATCTCATAAAATGAGGGAAATTGCGATACCCTACGCAATTCATAGTCCATGGACAATGATGATCCATCATTAAAATGCATTTCCCACAAGTTTTACAATGATGGCTTCTCTCTGGCTTGTAGTTATTGCATATCTTGCAAAAATGAGCCCATTGCTGTTTTTTGGGAGCAAGTTCCCTGGGCGGATTTCCTGGACTGGTGTATATCGCCAAAACGTACGCTATCCACACCATTGACAATGCGAACTGGAATGACAATTGCTGCTGAAGGCTAGCAAAATTGGATAAGATAAAGTAGTGAGATGTGTATCCGATGTGGCCTATCAAGAAGCACGGTATCGCGATCCCAAGCCATGGCCATTTGAGCTTTATAGGCATAATTTTCTGGACAAAGTTTAGGAATTCAACTCTTGGACATTACTCGGATAACACTTGTGCTCTTTTCCTGACAGTAAAAGAACGCAAATCGACCTGAAAACCGCGTCAAAAGACTCTCTTATGATCTCGGGAAGTGGAACCTCTGAAGATAGCCTAGAACCAGTGGATACAGGTATCAATTGGGATAGAATGTTCGAAAATGTTATGTTTCTTTCAAGAAAGTTGATGAACAATGAATGAGATGAGTATTAATTCAATCACCTGAACCTTAGAGAACTTGAGGAACAGTGACCGAGATGAACCAGAACTGTTGATATCTAGAGGAATAATGAACATTTCTATAGAATTGGTAGGCTCTGATCGTTGATGGGATTGGATTGGGTCGATTGAGAGAGTTACTCGTTTTTGATCAGTCCGCCACGCAGTGGAACAGATCTTATGCGAAATTTGACCTGAGTTAAGAACCTGATGGGCGAGACAGTTCGAATTTGAGCTATGTTAACTGATAGTGTGGTAAATCTTACAACACACTTATACTCATGGTTAAGAAAGCTGCACAACTTTCTGAATTGATGATCCGAAATTCAACTGAGGGTATTACAGTGCTTGGTATAGAAAAATGTCGGTAGATTGCGGTACTTGGTATAAAAGGCATGAATAGGTTTGGTCGATTTGTTTGTTCCAATTGAAAGCTAAATCAACGCACAGTTTGAGATTTCGATTGCAGGACATAGACATGGTTTTTCGGTTGCATTTCACAATAGGCAACAAGCAACACTACCAAGATTCCACGAGGGAAAAATCTCTGAAGAGCATGTCTTTAGCTGCGAAATGAATGCTACAAGCATCAAATGTCCGGACCTTGAAACCTAAAATCTTACGGGAGCACGACAGACACAGCACTGTACTTCCCATCTGATTTGGTGTACCAGGTATGGGCGCAACGTTAGATCCTCTAATTCATCAAATTACAAGCTTCTATGGCCAAGTTGGTAAGGCGCCACACTAGTAATGTGGAGATCATCAGTTCAAATCTGGTTGGAAGCATAACTTTTTAGAATGCCAAAAATTCAATTGTTCAATGGACACTCCTGGGCCATCCACACTCAATACCCGTGTGCTCTAGTCTTCGGCCATGGGGTTTCATTATTTTCATGTAACCATACCCTACACATTTGATGTTTATTCACTACGTTTCTCAAAAACTGTGCGTTCCTAACCCGGTCGAATGAACCAGCTCATAAGTGCGAAGAAGCGCTTTCAAATGACACAAGGCAGCCACTACAACCAGAACGTGAAATATCTGATGAGAATTGCCCCATATGTCAAAAATACCTGGTGAGAGACATTCGGGAAATCGAGTTCCGTATAGGACTGCGCCTGTGATGTAAAAAATCCCTTCCAAGACAATCCATTTGAGTTGTATTCTTGCGCATGTTTCCTCAAATCCATAACGTATGAGGCCAGCAATGACGGGAAGCAGCGCAGAAAGCCCGAAAGCCACAAATAGTGCTGCTCTGTAAGCTCGCCATTCTCTTGAACGGAAACGCTCTTTTAGAGATGCCACGGTGCAACAGGCTCCAAACAGGACTGTTAGGCCAGAAAATGTAAAAAAGTAGGGCTTATTATCATGGAAACCATAATATAAGAGACTCACCATCGATGAGACTACTAGAGCCACGATCCCCAGATAGTCAAGCTTGTTGCCAAAAGTAGCAACTTCAATCGAATGGCATTTGAGGCAGTGGAAGAGACTACTCATCATCAAACAGGTAAAGCCGCCCAGGAAAAAAAAGTCTATCATCGCATAATCGATCCAGGTCGTTGTATCGTATTTCTTTATGGCATAATTATCGAACAGGACCACGCCAAGAAAGCAAAGTCCGGGCAAAAAATGTGTGTAGATATTCACAGATTCATTGTGCAGATAGAACAGGCTACAAAAGCATTCTTTGAGGCTTTTGGTCTCGCTGACGTACCCGCTTCGAATGTGTTCATTGTCGCGCTGCCATTCCGGAATCTCATCCCACGTATAGAGTCGTCTCTTAGTCTTTGTCTTGATTCCTGTCGAAGTACTAATTAAGGTTGTGTCTTCTGTCATAAGTCCTTCCTTTGTAGCCACGCTTTTGCTACGTTGCGTTACTTCCGTTTCGTCCATCCTTTCCGCCAGGAGACTATGTTGAGCCGAGTCGTACTTAAGACCGTAAGAAAGAAAGATGTTTAAAAGGTCAGAACTTAAAGTTTACAATTCTACGGTGCTTTCAACTAATTCAAAAGCCAACAGTGGCAGTAGGACGTCACACAACTAACTTGTTGGGAGATTTCCAGGTGGGTCCCGATTTTTCGAGCCCATCGTTAATCAACTATCTTCCATCGTTTAGTGATAAACTGACGTCGATGGGCAAACGACACCATAAACAGAGGGAAGCGTCGCGAATCTGATTTCTATAGGACGAAGAAGGCAGTAACGTTAGAAAATTTGACTCTTGGTCCTATATAATGCCGGCTGTGCGATGGAGATCTATCAGCCCCAAGAGAATGTAACCTTTCGGAGCGCATTTATCTTTTGAATGACTTCTGTAATCCTCTAGTTTTCTTTCTCCTCTTGACACCTTCCGGACCTTTATGCTCTGACGAATAAGGATCAAATCTCTTCTTGAAGTTCTTGGTGGAGGTGCTTGTTGGTGCAGCCAGCACTTTATTAGCTGTCTTGAAGTCCAAAACCTCTTTATCGGAAGACGTAGCTTGGTCAAGTGGCTCTTTCCGCGCTTTAGGAACATTTCTTTTCCTTCTCAAAACAATTATATCGTCTTTGCTTTCTCCTGCAATTGGCTCTGTCTCTTTCAACACAGGTTTTTCAACTTCGGGTCCTTGCTCGTTGATATGCGTAATTTCTGGTCTCTCGAAAGCCACGGTTTCGACTGGTTCGCCAAGCTTTGTTTGATCTGCGATCTTGGACTTTCGCAATCTGAGGTCTGAAGAGCTCACCGTTCCAAATTCTGTCCCGCGGTAGTCTACGAATGACTCATTCGGTATTGGCTTTCCTGCAAACAAAATCGAACCGCCATCCAACTTTTGTTTATCTTCATGCGGACTCGTGAAGGCCTGGACTAATGAGATGTAGCGGGAATAGTTTTTCTCAATCTCACTAACGCTTGTTTTATGTGACAGCTTCTCGTCTTCAGGACTGTAGTCCCCGAGTTTTTCAACAATAGCAGAAGTGGATGCACGCTTGATAAGCTGACCAAGGGCTTTGGCATTGGATCTTACGTGATCTGTTAGAAAACTTCCCATCGATAAAACTGCCCAGGCATCTGTGGGTGCGCTCATGGAAAGCGACACAAGTAGCTGGTTAGGCGCAACATACCTCGGGCTTTCATCATCTCTTCTTGCAATGAAGTCTCGCCATTCGTAAAGTCTTTTGACAAGAGTCGCCTTTTCAGGTGGAACATTGTATTGAAACATTAGCGATCTCCATGGTTCTTCCTTCTCGACGGGAGAGTAAACCGCTGAGCTGATTACCTTTGGCCTGAAGGATGTGTATTCGTATCGGCGCTTGGCTACATTTCTAGAGTCGTGTAACGCTTGAGGTAACTTATCCTTCTCAAGCAGGGCATTCTTCAGTTGGTCATAAATGTTAAGCAGAAAATGTGTGTCAGCTCTGGCGTAAGCCAAAAGAGGCCTTGGAAGAGGCCTAACTCTCCAGTCCGATAATTGGTACTTCTTCGAGGTTTTGAACCGAGCATAATGCTCCAAAAGATATGCTAGACTGTGTTTTGGAGACCCAAGCAGCCTCGAAGCATGGTAAGTATCGAAGAGACTGACCATATACAGTCCTAAGTCTCGCTGGAGCCATATTATGTCCATAAACGCACCATGTAACACCTTGGTAATCTTTGGGTCAGTGAAAACTTCGTTCAATATCGAAAGTTCGTCTCTCAAAGCTATTGTGTCCACTAGCCAGTCCTGGTCTCTTGTGCTGATCTGCATCAAGCATGTGATTCCGTAGTATGTTCTGTAGTCGTGATGTTCCAGATCGACGGCCAACTCTTTGGATTTTTTCAAGACTTGAAGCATAGCGTCAAGTGTGCTCTTATTGTCCACCCATGTTGCTTCCGACGCTTCCCATGACAACGATGGGATAGGTGTGCTCTTGGTGAGTACTGAATCGTTGTACTCCTGATGCTCGATTTCGTACTCGTATGGTTGAGGGTAATGTGCAGGAATGTCGTCTTCTTCCGGCACCAAACGTAGAGATTCCTTTAACGGTTTCAGAGCGTTGGGCTTCGTTTTCAGAAGCGGCTTGAAGGGATGGGTTTCCGTGTTATCGACAGGTGTGGTGAAATTTAACTGCGGCTTCGAAATACGTTTTTGGGAGCCTTCTCCTATGGCAGTGGAATCATCCAGGTACTGAATGGAGTCGTTATTGTTGTGTGAAGAGGCATTTTTCTTCACCTTATTCAGGGAAGTCTCTGATTTCTCAAATAACAGATCCATCACCTCTCCGATGTCCCTCCAAGCGTTATCAAGGCCTTCGTCGCCGGCTTCGATCGTGTCATTGTTTTCGTCGATAGACAGGAGGACATCGTTGATCGATTTGAGCAAAGTTGCAGACGTTTCGCTCAAAGACTCAGATATAGAACGGTCTAAACTCTTATAAAAATCTACATCTTGAGCAGAAAGTGCTGCACAGGCCCTAATGGTACCGATCACCTCGGTAAGAATGTTGTCTTGTTTGATTTCAGAAGGTTCTTGGCTCATTGTTGACACATTCATAAGTAGAGCTTGTGGCTAAAGGAAGCGAAGCGAAGCGATGCGATGAGATGAGCGTCAAATTTCAAGTTTTGATGTGCTAATTTTGTCAAATTACGTCTAAAAATTTGAGTATTTCTACAGGCTGGGTAATAGAATCGAGATCTATAAGAACCACTGGCAAGAAAGACAAAAGATCTTTGAGAACCAGGACTGTTCGGGGGTGGCTTCAACAGTTTTGTGGAAACAACAGTCTTGATATAAGCCCCGTGTCTTGCTTTGAAAATAAACACTTAGCGCAAAGGACCGCAAGCACTTGTTAGTTCTCAATAGCAGATGCTCTGCTTCTCAACAGAGGGCAAACGTCTTGTTTTCTCAGTAGATTGCAAATGCCCTGATATCTCCGCACTAGTCCATGTTCTTCCACAACTCTGGACGTCATTGGAAGGCTCCATAATGAACAATTGTCAATAGGACGCCGTCAAAGGGCTTTCCTACGAATGCAGTTTTATCGGACAGCACAGCCATTCGTTGTGTTGCTCCATAAATGCTGGGTCGTTGGTAAATTAAGCTTTGAGATCGGCATCCGGAGCCCTGTATCTTTATTAATGCTGGTTTTATTGGTAGTATTATCCTTGAGATCGGCATCTGGCGTCCTGTGTCTCTCCTTTCACGATGGTTTCTTGGTACAATTAGCTTTGAAATCGGCATCCGGTCCTTCCCAACCACGCTTCTTCTGCTGCGTTTGTGAGGAGGACTTAGTGTCAGGTTTGGTATGTGGAGCTTCCATAGAATAATGTGCCTTTTTGGTTTTGTCGGGAGACGAATCATAGCTGCCGACTATTTCGATTATTTTGCGGTAGTAGGTATCGAGAACGTTAAATCCATTGTTTGGACCTCTAACGTGTCCTTCCGCATAATGAGCTGTGACAAAAATGTCTTCTTGACGCTCAATTTTGCAGTTCATGATATTATCGTCTCGCGGCAAAATTCGATACTTCACACGTTTCAAAAAATCGTTTTCAAGAACGTGTAGCTCACTACACTGCACACCTCCGACTCTGGCGTAATGTGTATTGGTACAGAAAGAATCGCAAAGTCCTTTGCTGGCCACAGCAGTTGCAGTAAGCAAGAAACGATGCACAGTGAGCGAATTGAGCGAAAATGCAGGGTATACGGCAGAGAAAAGATCGATATAGTAAACCGACGCTATCAACACAGCCGGCTCAAGCGCCGAATATCGTGTCATCCGCATCAAATAGTCGTAAACTGAAATCTGCGGAGGTACCCTGGAATGGAACCGTGTCAGTTCGTACTGCTCTGTCCTGGAAGCTGAATCGTTGATGTGTATCAAGAAGGAGAGCATTCTTGAAATCAGAATCACCAGATCACTCCGTGGACATTTGCTGAAGTTAGACGGGAGTACGACATCTGGGACAGCTTCTTCTAGTTCTTCGTCGTCGTCATCTTCGTCATCATCATCTTCTTCTTCCCCACTCAAACCATTCAGAGACTGCGATAACACCGATTCTTTCTTGGACCCTTTAGACTGTGCAAGCTCATCGTTATTATCATTATTATGGGCGCCTACGTCTTCCGTCTCTTGCACAGACATGAAGCTCCCATTTATTTTCGTCTAGGCCCTGCTTCTTGTCAAATGAATACAAACTGTCCACGGCAACGGCCTATCCAACTAAATCACTGGTTGAAGGTGAGAAGTTCAAAAGAGGGGTAATAGGGAGCAGATCAAATTATTTAGGAACGAGAGGTTGACTTGGTGGTCTGATTGTTTTGTTTGGATGTCTATTTCGGTAGTCAGTTTGTGAGTTCGATGGTAGTATTTCGGTTTTTCTTTCAGCACGTGCTAGAGAATTCGTATTATTGTCACACGAATAACACGTGACAGTATTTACACGTGCTTTCAAACGAGTATAGAGTTTTAGTAAAAGGTTACCGACGGCCTCCCTCTCATTTGATAATGGATTCATCACTTATCTCAGCTCAATGTACCGTAACTAGACGGAGGAAGATGAAATGGATTACTGCTTCAGTCGTTTTTTGTTTTTTTTTTGCTTCTTTTTCTTTACCTAGTATGTTACATTTTTTAGAGTATTATAGTCAGATCGTAGACCATTATTTCAGCAACTACACGAGCTTGGCTCGCCATCGAGCTGGATGTTGACGGCGTCATTGAAATCGTCTTCGAAAGCGTCAGCGTCAGCCTGGCTCTGCTGCAGTGCGTTACGGGCGATTTCCTCGAACGCTGTGTCGACATTGATGGAGCCCTTGGCACTGGTCAGGAAAAGAGGGATATTTCCCAGAGACTTGGCCATATCCTGAGCAGCCCGGTTGCTCACGACTTTTTTCGATTCCTCCACATCCAATTTGTTGCCCAAAATCACGAACGGGAACGTTTCCGGCGACGATACGTTAGCATGTACCAGAAACTCGTCGCGCCACGACTTGAGGTTCTCAAACGACTTGGCGTTTGTCACGTCGTACACCAGCACACAGCAGTCTGCACCTCTGTAGAAAGCCACGCCAAGCGACTGGAACCGTTCTTGGCCTGCCGTGTCCCACACCTGCATGGTAGCCACTTTGTCACCATCTGTGGTCACCTCTTTTGTCAGAAAATCGGCCCCAATGGTAGCCTTGTATTGCTGGGAAAACTTATCGCTAACATATCGGTGCATCAATGACGTTTTTCCGACTCCAGAGTCTCCCAATATGATAACTTTTAGGATATTCTTCTTTCTGCTTGACATTTTATTTTAAGATCAACCCAAAACGCTCGGTCTCAAACGCTCTAAGGGTTCAATAGCCTCGTTGTTTGGAAGGGGATGCCATCATCAAGATGGTTCTTATGAGATTAGTATACTGAATATGATAAATTAGAGTGTCATAGTGTACGTAACTGACAGACACAGCTATAAAACGCCAAGAACTTTCAATGACTCTTAAGTACCATCAATACATTATTCTCATGAGTGCTGCAATAAATCTATTATCTACGATCTCGTCTTTATGTTTCTATTGTTTTTTCAGATTTTCATTCATGCTATACGTGTTTATGCGGCGTTCGACGCTACCCTTCAACAGGAGTACGATTCTGTTAAAAATCAGGTCCTCGCAAGCATGAATGCGACATATCCGGTAGAAATGTCTCTAGACGAGCATGGTCAACTCTACGTCAGCCCATTGGTGACGCCAAGTAATTCAACTGACTATTGGATGGAGGTAGAGAGATGTATAGTGCCCCTTACTAAAGATTACACGATAGCTTTTGGACATTGTGCAGAGGAGCTTGGTGAGCTCGAAGAAGGCTATTCAGGCGTGATAAGTTATCTCGGGTTCAGAGGGCTGGCCACGGTTGGCATATTTCCAACTTTCAGCAGGCCCAGGAAAGCTATTCGTAAGAATCACGGGGCATAAAACGAATAAATAAGTTTGAAACCACGAAACATGACGTTAAATATTCAATCTGAGTATAACTGGTGGGCACTCTTATGCACTCATCTGGTGGGAATCTGGATCATTCACACAAGACATCATTTAACACGACACTATGATTTCGCGAAATTGATCTCTCTCTCTCTCTCTCTCTCTCTCTCTCGCTCAAGTCAATCAACTCCATCATGCTGAGCCTCTTGCTGTACGTTTCAAAAACCCGAATCTAAGCACTGGACCTTAAAGCCATTCGGTACGTATCAGTTTCCCTAAAGTACCATCAAACATTATGCACGAAATGGATATAATACCCTAATAATAATAATAATAATAATAATAATACATTACTCAACGGTGAGTAAGGAATAGACGAACTGGACCAAATCTTGTAGTAAGTTCTGAGACCGTAGCCGTGATCAATCGTGGTGTATAGTCTCGAGTACTCTTGAAAGCTTGAAAGCTGTTCCAGATAATTCTGGATATAGGCTTTCGCCAGTAACATGACATTTTTTTCAGTAACGTAATTATATATATGTCAGTCGTAAGCATCACTAATGTTTGACTAAAGACGCTTCGATGGTGTCTATCTTAAAAACTATAAAAGCGACCTGTTTCGCAGAAGTACTGCTGGAATGGTTGTAAAAAGAATATACTAAACCATTATCATAAGATATCGACAACTCATCCCATCTCATCTCATCTCATATCATCGCAGAAGACAACCATTAAGCAACCCATGAATAAAGCACGCACGATACTCAAATATTTCGCTTCCGTTGAGCAAAGCGAGGGCGTGGGCGCCAAAGTAAGACGTTCCATCGGGACACTAAAACTACGCCATTTCACGCCGTTCCTCATGTTGGACCATTTCAGTGTGGCACCGCCAGCAGGATTCCCAGATCACCCTCACCATGGCCAGGAAACCATAACCTACATCTTGGGCGGAATGGTGGCTCACGAGGATTTCACGGGCTCACAAGGCGTTCTAAAAGAAGGCGATTTGCAGTTTATGACCGCTGGCAAAGGCATTGTGCACTCGGAAATACCAGTAAAACTCGATTCCAACGAACCAGCCGTCGGCTTGCAGTTGTGGGTGGATTTGCCTGAGAAATTGAAAAACTGTGAACCACGCTACCGGGACCTGCGCAAAGACGAGACGCCCATCGCCAAGCCCCACGAGGGCTTGGAGGTAAGGGTCATTAGCGGAGAATCATATGGGGTCAATTCGCTCAGCGAGCTGGCGTACACCCCGGTTAGCTTCTACCACTTTATCGCATCTAAAGCAGACGTCTCGTTCAAACAGGCCTTTCCAGGAGATTTCAACGTCTTTCTGTACGTCCTCAAGGGTGCTGTGACGATCAATGGCCAGCAATTCCCTCAACATTCATCTGTTTTTTTCAAAAACAATGGAGAGCACGTAGAAGGTGTGAGTTCATCCGACAACGCGGAATTCGTCATCATTGGCGGTCAGATCTTGGATCAGCCGGTGGTGCAGCACGGGCCGTTTGTGGAAACCTCGAGAGACCGTATGCTTGAGGTATTCGACAACTATCAATCAGGTACCAACGGGTTTGAAAAAGCGCACGGATGGAGCTCTTCGATCGCCAACGGTATTGCCGAACATCAGTTAGATGCCTTTCAAGGGTCCTCAAAGGCCTAAGCTCTGATTCAAAACCGTAGCGTGTGGTCTACCCAATATTTATATTCGAATTAAGCTAAGGTGCATGTTCAAAAAGAAGATAGCTTAACGGCATTGGGCCGTACATACCTCTTTTCTTTATTAAATACAGGTTTCTAGTTGTAAGTTTGTTCAACGAATCACGCAGGCTAGCTTGTGCTACAGGCTGTTCCAGAAAATAAAAAATCACACTAAAAGTAGCCCTTTTTGTCAAGAATCATCTCATCCTCGGCCACAATTCAAAATTAAGACCCACAGGCTGAATTGTTCAGATCTTTACTCGCGATCGTTCCTCAATTCTGACAATTCTAGTTGATGATTGACTGAGGTGAGATCAATTATATGTTAAAGGTTTCGTAAGAAGGTATCTACCGATCGAGTGTTTGTAGAGAAGTAACCCATTAACGAACTATTTAAAAAGAGAGGTAGTGAATTTAAGATAAAGGTCCATTTTACATTCTGTAAGTCCTTGATTTGAAGCTTTCACAGGCATTGGAGCTGTTTGAAATGACTGCTGTCAAGAAGGTCTCAAAAAAATCCTTTTTTGCCTCACCTTTGTACGACTTTTTGTCGCCTTTCAGGCCCGTTGGAAACCAATACTATGCGGAGTACGTGATTGTCATTTTTGCACTGGTGATACGGTGCGCTGTGGGATTGGGCTCCTTTTCTGGGGAAAGCACTGGTCCAATTCGTGGGGATTTTGAGGCTCAAAGACACTGGATGGAAATCACCACCAGTATTCCAGTCTCCCAATGGTACTGGTACGATCTGCAATATTGGGGCTTGGACTACCCTCCTCTCACTGCATACCATTCTTATTTCTTTGGAAAGCTGGGATCGCTTCTGGACCCCCATTGGTTTGCCCTAGGTACGTCCCGCGGTCTAGAAACTCCAGATCTCAAGTCGTATATGAGATTCACCGTGATTTTGAGCGAAGTGGCTCTTTATATTCCCGGAGTTATTTATTTTACCAAGTGGTTTGGCATTAAAAGAAAACAATCGCCAATTGGCACCTACATTGCTGCCGCGGCCATACTGTTCCAACCATCGCTGATTCTGATCGATCACGGCCATTTCCAATATAACTCTGTTATGCTGGGGCTCACTGTTTACGCCATCAACAACCTGTTGGACGGGTTTTACGGACCTGCCGCTATGTGTTTCGTGCTATCCATATGTTTCAAACAGATGGCGCTTTACTATTCCCCCATATTTTTCGCATACTTACTAAGCAAGTCGCTTTTTTCACCCTCCTTCAACATTCCTAGGTTTATCTCCGTGGCCTTGTCTACTGTGATTGCTTTCTCTGTTTTATTTGCTCCTCTCTATGTGTTTGGAGGGGTCAAAAATGTCCTCCAATCGGTTCACAGGATATTCCCTTTTGCCAGAGGAATATTCGAGGATAAGGTCGCCAATTTCTGGTGTGTGTCGAACGTCTTTTTCAAATACGCTGAAAACTTTACGCAAGCGGAGCTCCAAAAGTTTTCAATGTATGCCACCGCGGCCGGATTTATACCTTCTTTCACAGTTATGTTCTTCTACCCAAAGAAACACTTACTTCCTTTCACTTTAGGAGCATGCTCTATGGCGTTTTTCCTGTTCAGTTTCCAGGTTCACGAAAAATCGATCTTAGTGCCACTTCTTCCAATTACGCTACTGTACTGCTCTTCGGACTGGAATGTTCTGTCAATGGTGAGCTGGATCAATAACGTGGCCTTATTTACGCTGTGGCCGCTTTTAAAGAAAGATGGTCTTTCCTTGCAATACGGAGTGATGATGATCTTGAGCAATTGGCTGATAGGGAACTTCAGTTTCTGCACGCCACGCTTTCTGCCCCGTTTTCTCACACCTGGGCCCTCCGTGAGTGATGTTTCGGAGTCCTATAGAAGAAGAAGTCTTCTGCCGAACAGCATTTTGTGGAAGCTGATCATCGTTGCATCCTACGTGGCCATGGCCATCATACATGTGCTGGACATGTTTGTGGAGGCGCCACAACGTTTGCCCGACCTATGGGTGCTCATGAACTGCGGCCTAGGGTTTTCCTGTTTCGGTCTTTTTTGGCTGTGGAATAACTACAAACTGTTGACCATGAGAAATACCTCGTTCGCCGACTTCTAGCTGGCGATGGTACGTCACTCAAGATGTGTAGCATAGTGTATAAATAGAATAACAATGGGTGACAAGCTGAACTACAGAGAACCTCAATTAGACCTGCCAAGAGATACGTGCTGTGTCACTTGTGTGCTACGTCGCAAACTAATTCAAAAATGACATATATAAAGAACGTTTGAAGTACCAACTAGGAACCACATCTCGGGCAAAAACAAGAGACCAGGAGGATGCTGAAGTAAGAATGCAGCTTTCAAGCACAACTGATGCTTGAACAAAATACCTCCGTGATGTTGTTTCCTCTACTAAAGCCATTGTATCGTGCTGTTACCAATGCATTATAATGCAAAAAGACAACAACATACTTCAAGAAATCTTATTCCTCGTGGCCCAATGGTCACGGCGTCTGGCTACGATTGTATCCACTTCTGAAACCAGGAGATTCCAGGTTCGAGTCCTGGCGGGGAAGATTTCAATTTTATTTTTTGGCAAAATAATGCCCAAAACTCAAGGATCCAGACGTCATTGTTGGACCAAGCGAAAACCAACGTTCTACGCTATAGTTCATCGACCAACCGTCACTCTCTCGGGCTTTGATAACCTCAAACTTCTATCTCTGTCGCATTTCTGGAATATTCTCTTTGTTAAGGCTGAAAAATATTAAATTCATGGAACTCTATTACAAGATGAGATGTCTTACTCACCAGATTTGAAAAAGCTAAGCAAGAAGGACAAGAAACTAGCTCTTGAGCCTCTAACGACCTACTGAAACATTTATACTATGTCGCCATCAAAAAAGGAACTTGCAAGCTTGATTGTAGACTACCTTTCTCGCGTTTCAGAAACTTCCCAGGTTCGTGAAGAGTATTTGGACTCGTTAAACGTGGCAGTCGACTGTATCACGGAAGCATTCGAGTTAGAACAAGAAACAGTCGCTCAAACTATCCAGAAAAGCTTCAATGGTCAGGGACTAGAAGAAATTGCTGCTACAGCAGCTAAAAGCCGTTCTGGTACGGAGCCTTCTGGTGCTCCAGAAAGCGTTAAAGTTAACATCCCTATTGACGATGCTGAGACCAAGGCTAAAGCCGAGACCCTCAAACTGGAGGGAAACAAGGCTATGGCTGGTAAGGATTTCGGATTGGCGATCCAAAAATATACGGATGCCATCGAAATCTTGCCTTCCAACGCCGTGTACTACGCCAACAGAGCAGCTGCTCATTCGTCGTTGAAGGAATATTCTGAAGCGGTGCAGGACGCCGAACTAGCCATCAAAGTCAACCCTGCGTACTCCAAGGGGTACTCTAGACTTGGATTTGCCCAGTACGCTTTGGGCAACTCCGAAAAGGCCCTAGAGGCGTACAAAACCGTTCTTGACATCGAAGGTGAGAAAGCTACCGATGCTATGAAGAGAGATTATGATACCGCTATGAAGAAGGTGGAGCAGTCTCTAAACTTGGAGAGGTCTTCGCCTAATGCTGCTGCTGCCTCAGAGGACGACGCTTCGCCAGCTGCAGGCAACGGTGGAGGTGGTTTCCCAGATTTGGCTTCCATGCTAGGTGGTGGTGGCGGCGGTCTTGGCGGTCTGGGGGGCCTTTTGAACAATCCTCAGCTCATGCAAGCTGCCCAGCAGTTCATGCAGAACCCCAATGCCATGAATGATATGATGAGCAACCCTGCTGTGAAGCAAATGGCTGAAAAGTTCCAGTCTGGCCAGGGCGCTCCAAGCATGGCAGACATGATGAAGGACCCTGCTTTGATGGACATGGCCAAGAACTTCCTGGGCGGAAACAAGAAATAATGCTAAAGGTATTTTATTTTTTCGATTGCTTCACAACTCTAGTGTCTCGTATGTAAAGTATGCACAGGTTCATCAATGAACTGATCAGTATAGTTGTGGAGCGATTGTTCCAAACACACTAGCTGCTCCCGTAGTAATTTGATGTTCAGTTCTGCGTATTCAGCTAATGTTAAATTAGTCCAAAACTCATTCTTGAAAGTGATGAATTTGCTGAACTCAACTGCAAGCCGTTCATTTTCTTCTTTGATTATCCTACCAGCCGTCAGAAGGGTTTTGCGACTTTGCTTGATTTTGTTCGAGATGTTTATCTCGAGTTTTGATCTTTTTGTTTCAATGTAGGACGAGAATAGTCCTGTGCTTGCAGCAGCATTAGGTCTGGCAGTACCAGGAAAATTCTTCTGGTATTCATGATTAGAAGAGACCAATTCACCATATGTTCGCCACCAATTTGGAATGTTCACGTTAGAAATCTTGTCAATATTCGAAATGAGCATATCTGTACAAGTTTGTAAGAAATTGGCACTGTTAGCGATTGTGCCACAACCAGGTCTTGTTCTCAATGGCGTCAAATCCGGAAACATTTCCTTATTAAAATCGAGTGATTCAAGAAAGAAGTTCCCTCTTTTCGCCAACATCTGGTAAGACTTAGAGAGATCATCCTGCTTCGAGTTTCCAGAAGCTGAAAGCTTCTTAATTACATGGAGTTTTGTCCTCAACCTCATTATCTCTGATCGATTGAACTTCAGAACCCGTTGGATGCTCCTCATCTCCTCTGGCTCAATCAATCCATATTGATCGTTAGTTTGTTGCTTGGTTCCTTCTTCTAATATCTGCGGATCGATGTTCAAGTTAGAATTGTAAAATGCATCTGCAAACGGCCTATCTTGTAAGATGAAACTGAGAACAATTGAGGCCTTTTGCAAAAACTTGTGAACTTCAAGTCTATGGAGAACCAAGATAGTCATGGCACAAAGCTCACGTAGCTCTTCTACCGTTTCTTCTATCGGCAGAAAAGTGCCAGGGTATGCCTTCCAGAATAGGAGAATGAAGTTCTGTATGAATCTTAACGGTCGCATAACCACACTTACAGACGACTTCCTACGACTGGTCATCCATAAAACCCATTCGCTATTTTCAGATTTTATGCTTCGAGCATGAATGGTCCTGAGGAGCAACTCTGCTGTTCTCGTAGGTCGCTTCCCCATTTCTTTCAATACTGCTGGGTTTTTGAAATAGTCGAAACAATCAAGGTATGTACGCCGCTGATATTTTTCGAGAATGAGTCGCGTATCCTTGACGATCGATTGAACATTTAGGATTCGGTTGTACTTGGCGTAAACCATAAGAGGCGTCAAGCCTTTAATGTTTGTTGCGTTGACATCAACAAGAGGGTCGTTGAGAAGAATAGAGGCATTCGACTTCGCGACATGCAGAAGAGAATTGCCTTTTGTGTCCGTATGCATCGAAGACCTAAACTGTTTTCCTTGTGACTCGCACCATTTTGTGGCTTCACTGTATGCTTCAGTGATCATAGAATCGTAGCCTGGTTGATCATAGGCTCTAATGACCGCAAATAATGGTGTTTGACCATTACTGTCCTTTTTCTCCCAGTTGAGTAAGGCTCCCATTTTCGTTATAAGATGGGGAGCATGCATGAGATAATGAGCGGATGTTCTACCGTAGCGATTCGGTTTATTGAAATAAAGTCTCAACTCCGTTTTAGTGCAGCTCAGACACAGCATATCGACAAAATCATCCGCGAGCTCGTAGCAGCCAGCGTCGAGCATTTGTATTAGTAAATTCGAGCCTTCAACATCCTCGTCATTAAGTAAGTCTTCGAGGGGAAATAACATCTCGTATTCGATTGCTAACTCTTTGAATTTGTTAACACTTTTTTCCTGTATGCAAAAGCTCAATGCTGATTGTCCTGTGGAGGTTCTGACGCGAAGCATGCTCCTGACATCCAGTATACCATCTGTAGCCACTTTGCCATTGTCATTTGAAAGCCACGACCAAAGCTTCACGTTATGGCTACAGTTGGCCTGTACGGATTGTATTTTTGCAGGAATTTCAAAGTAGCCGAGAACCGCCTCCAAAGTGGATATGCCGTATGCCAGAATGCCGAATGTTATTTGTGATGCGCTTTTTGCGAACTCCTGCAGGTAAAATAGATGACTTTTTAGATCTTTAACCCCTGCACGACATACAGTCACAACGAGGAGACTCACCAATGTATCGGCGTCGATAGGGATCACTCTTTTGTCAACAGTAATGCTTTTTGAAAGAGTTTGTAAGCACTCGACAATTATCTTCGATTTGGCGGAATGGCAATTTGTCAAAACGAGTTTTTTGAAGCATACAACGGCATCCGCCAGGTTCTTTTCAACTTGTGTAACGTATTGAAGGTTGAACTTAGCATTGTTCACAGGATAGAGAAATGAAGGGACTTGAGAAATGGCGATATGTTTCAATAAGCTGTAGTCACCGAGGCTCTCAATCTCTGTAGGTCTCATTGAATTGGTAAGCTGGGCCCAAAAATCGTCGTAAAGGCTCAATTCCACATATTCATGAACATGCAATTCGATGTTTGGCATATGTTGGAAGTTTGGGTCTTTGTTGATGACTTCAAAAGCTTTCTTGCATGTTTCTGAGAAATGAGAAGCCAAAGAACCGGCGTTGTATTGTGAGCTGGCGAGTAAGTGCCGCTGAGCCTCGAAAATTTCACCTAGCTTATTTGCATGAACCGGGTTGATTCGCAGCATTTGTTCCAAGGATAGTGTTTCTTTTGGAGGCGAACTAAATTTGTCCAAATCCTCATCCAAATTCTGTCCTTGGACAGATTTTGGGTTGGGATTTTTAAAGACTTGCCATTCATCTCTTCTCGAAAGCCTTCCCGTAAAAGGAAAGTCAACGTGTATTACCGGGTATGTGGATGATGCTGTTAGATAATCGTTAAAGTTGGTCATGAGCTCTGCTTCCAGAATTCGACATCGCCTGCGAGTGTCAAATCCAGCTCCTGTGAGTAAAGTTCCCTGCTGATTGCGCACTAATACTGACTTCCCACTGAGTGTCTTGAACTCGTCCGTTGGTAGGCCCTCCCGCAAATCTAGCACTATGATGTGATCTGATACAAACTCAGGCGTGTAGCAGAGCTCGTTCAGAAGCTGTCCCGATTCGAGGTCCTCATATTCGGTTAAGACGTCGGTAGCTGGTGCTACGAGTAGAAATCTGCGTTCTCCTATTTGCGAGAAAACTTTCCTCAGTGATGACGTGTGAGGCGTGGGACAATTGAACACGGCATTGAGTAGCGGATTCAACAGAACTGGTAAGTGAAAAGGCATCACCAGCTCTGTCAATGACGTCCAACTTGGAGAGCGTCAATTGTGAATCCATCTATGAAATCACTTTGGTCTTGAAGATGAGCTTCGTACAAGGTGTTCAATGTTTTTCAAAATATGAGAGAGTTCAACCAGTTCTAAGAGACAGCGATACCCAAGGTTTCAAATTAATGTACCGTTTTAGCGGCGCTGAGATTGTTGTGGCTGTTGGATCTGATGTGGTTGGGTTGGTACTTTTTCATGAGTCCGAAACAGTCGAGAGAACTTTAGATCAAGAATTTTGCCTACCTGATGATTACTGTATTGTTGATATATTTCAATAGAAAAGGGTTGACCAGGTCTGAGCTTCGAAAAGCTGGGATTTGTCCGGTAATGCTCGAGCCTTGTCCATGATGTCTTGAATAACAGTGAATAAGTAGAAATCACTATTGACGAACAGGTAATATAGATTAATCTGTCATCTGTCATCTGTCATTTGGCCTAAGGTACAGTATGATCCTTATGAAGCGGAAAGGCCTCTGTTGTAGGGAGAGAAAAAAATTGCCGGCTGTTTTTCAGCAAACCCCACGGGCTCATCAATCCATCTTTCTTGACTACCTTCAACTCAGACCTTTCCTTTTTTCTTTTCCACTTACTACTCACATATGAAACACGTGACTTGATTTTTTTTTGGTAAAAACGTTGACGGCGTCTATGAAATGTTCATATAATATAGAGAGAGTTGTGGACCCAAGAGGTCAAAAAAGAACGACGAACAAACAAGTACTTTCATCATTCTTCTCTGAATTCAGAAGTATTCCTGTGAGTAAGAATCGAAATCCGAAACTACTGGCGAATAACTTTCTTTCTCTCTTTTTTGCTTCTTGTTTTGTTACTGAGCCTTTAATTTGGGTCGAATCCATCATACTTTTCTTCGATGAGCAGAAGCGAAAAGGGCAAAGGGAACTCTAGATCTGGCGGAAATGCCAAACCAACCTCTGGCGGCCATGCGAGCCGCCATAAACATGCGGAGTCAAAACACGGCCCCAACCGGGGCGGTAAAAACTTTCCGGTGAAATTGGCAATGTGGGACTTTGACCAATGCGATCCAAAGCGCTGTAGTGGTAAAAAATTAGAAAGACTCGGTCTTATCAAATCGCTACGGGTTGGTCAGAAATTCCAAGGTATCGTGGTTTCTCCGAACGGAAAGGGTGTGGTATGTCCCAACGACTTACAAACTGTCGAAGAAAACGGCGCTGCAGTAGTAGAGTGTTCGTGGGCTAGACTGGACGAAATTCCCTTCAACAAAATTGGTGGCAAGCATGAGAGACTACTACCGTATTTGGTAGCGGCCAATCAGGTCAATTATGGCCGTCCGTGGAGACTCAACTGCGTTGAAGCTCTGGCCGCGTGTTTCGCCATTGTTGGTCGCTTGGACTTGGCCACCGAGCTTCTATCGCATTTTTCGTGGGGATTGGGATTTCTGGAGCTCAATAAGGAGCTACTAGAAACTTATCAAAAATGCACGGATTCTGAATCTGTCAAGGCCGCGGAAAACGCATGGCTTGAAAAGATCGAAAGAGAAGCCCAAGAGCGCAAGAAACGTAGCGAGGACGACGATATATGGATGACGGGCAACGTCAATAGGGGCAATGCAGGCGAGAAATCCGATACAGAAGACAACAACAGTGACAGTGAAGAGAACCCTACAGATTCAGAAGCCCTTCACAGCAGCAAGCCTGTCACGTACGACAGTTTAGGAAATGCAATCTACGGCGAGGAAGAAGAAGAAGAGGACGAGGATGAGGAGAGCGACTCTGATGATGCACAGGATCAATTTCTGAATCCATCTGATAAAATCAGTAACCCTGAGTTGATTTCTGACGTACGAGGACGCTTAAATGAACTTTCTATAGAGTAGAGCTTTTGAAGAGGGGGTTTCAGCAGCTTGAACAGAGTTTAAAAGCTCTCAAAAGCTTGGTCAAATAGGTTAGAATAGCGTGTAAATGTAGCTTTGGCTCTTGGGATAAGTGTCTTCAAAACGTATTGAGCGACCGGGCCTTTCTTATATTAACCAGGCCCTAGGGTATCTCATCGACATCACCAAATCCTGCTAGAGCTAGCGATGAATTGTCTCACACATGGACGATTCTACTGGTCCGTTGTCTAACAACTCTTCTCAACCCAGTGATAGTTTAAAGCCCGAAAATTTCGCTCCTTCCCCAGACTTTCGATGGCTATGCCTTGAATTATTCGCTAGGCTCGACGATATCAACATCAATCGAGTCAAGTATGGTAAAGCTGCCTCTGTTAAGTATATAGAGGTCATTATTCACTTCATCAAACTCTGGCGTACCACTGTGGGCGATGACTTTTTCCCTGTACTTCGATTGATTCTGCCCTACAGAGACATACGAACTTACAACATCAAGGACTTTACTCTGATCAAGGCGATTTGCAAATCGCTAAACTTGCCAAGAGACTCTCTCACTGAGAAAAAGCTGATCAATTGGAAGCAGTATGCGGCGCGTGGCACTAACTTGTCTTCGTTTTGCGTGGAGGAAGTAGCCAAAAGAAGGAAGGAACCCGAGGTCATAACTCCTATGTCTATCCATAAGCTAATTGAGGTCTTGGATGAGCTATCTAAGGAGGCATCTACAAAAAAATGGGGCTTTACAGGTCTCTCAGATTCGGCTTCCTTCAAGTATTGCTTGCAGAACATGACATTCCTAGAGATGAGATATTTCTTCGATATAATCCTCAAGGTTAGAGTCATTGGCGGTTTGGAGCACAAGTTTCTGAACTGCTGGCATCCGGATGCGCAAGATTACTTGAGTGTGGTATCAGATTTGAAGGTTCTCGCTTACAAGCTCTGGGATCCTTCGATGAGGTTAGGGCGCAAAGAGCTTTCCATTAACATTGGCCACGCTTTTGCTCCTCATTTTGCGAAACGACTGCATATCTCCTATGAGAAGACGTGCGCTAAGCTCAAAAGCGACTTCTATATTGAAGAGAAATTGGACGGGGAGCGAATCCAACTTCATTATATGAATGGCGGTGCTCGTCTGCGTTTCTTAAGCAGGCGGGGCACAGATTACACGCACTTGTATGGAGAAAGTACAGAGCGTGGGGTAATCTCGCAGTTCCTCAAGCTCCGTGAGGAAGTGCATGATTGTGTTTTGGACGGAGAAATGGTAAGTTTCGATAAGGAGAGAAAAGTTGTACTTCCCTTCGGAATTGTGAAATCAGCTGCGGTGGAGGAATTAATAAATTCGAGCTCTAGTATCGAAAGTGAAGGTTATCGTCCTCTCTACATGATTTTTGATCTTGTGTATCTCAATGGTGTGTCACTTACGAGACTTCCACTGTATACTCGTAAAGATTATCTCAAGCAGGTAATCACACCTGTACCGAATGCTGTGGAAGTTGTGTCTGCCCTTGAGTGCACCCACCATCATGCTATCGAAACGTCATTGCATAAAGCTATTGAAATGGGGTCCGAGGGACTTATTCTCAAACAGAGGTCTTCAACGTACGATATTGGTGCTCGAAATGATCAGTGGCTCAAGATAAAGCCCGAATACTTCGAAGACCTCGGCGAGAACATGGATCTTATCATCATTGGGAGAGATCCGGGAAAAAAGGATTCACTCATGTGCGGTCTCGTTACAGAGACTGAGCTCAATGGTCAAACTGATGAGCTTAAGACGTCAACTTCAGAGAATTTGGAAACTTCCTCCCAAATGAAAGTACTTTCTTTTTGTAATGTAGCCAATGGTGTATCTGACGCCGAATTCAAAGAGATCGAACGAAAAACTCGAGGATGCTGGAGATCTTTCGCATTGCATCCTCCTCCTAACAACTTACTACAATTTGGTTCCAAGACTCCTGTCGAATGGATTGATCCTCGTGTGTCACTTGTTTTGGAAGTGAAGGCAAGATCTGTCGACAACAATCAGCTCTCCGGCAAGAAATATAAGGCTGGCAGCACTTTACATGGTGCGTATTGCCGTAAGATCCGAGACGATAAAGATTGGTCAACTTGTGCTACTTTGACTCAGTACCTTCAGGCCAAGATCGCACATAACTATTACTCCTATAAGAAGCGAGCTCATCAATTGTCACCGCGAAAGAAGAAACCCAGAAGGGTTACTAGGTTAGATGACTTTGAAAGTGACACTGCAAGGGAATGTTTGAAGGAAAGCAATCTATTCGATGGCATGCGTTTTTACATCTTGGGCGACTACGTGGATCCTTTCGGACACCGGTACGACAAAAGCACGATAGTTAGCCAAATAATCAAACATGGTGGGACTGCGCTGCACAACATGACGTTAAAGCCGGAGGACCTCTCGAGCTTGTGGGTCATTGGAGGCAAGTCTACAATTGAATGCGCATCTCTGCTCGACAGAGGATATGACGTCATCGACCCCAGCTGGATTTTTGATAGCATAGCTGCCGGAATGCATCTGAAGCTTGAGCCTAAGCATTGCTTTTACGTTTCTAATCGATTGCTCGAAAACAGCAAGAAAAGGGTCGATACCTGTGGCGACAGTTTTTGCAGACCCCTCAGCTTTTCCGAGTACGACCAGTTGCTTGTGAAATGGCCGCGAGTTAAAGAGGAAAGTGTCAAGTGTTCGTCTGTGGCTCCAGAGCTCGAAGCTGCTCCATTGTTTATGTTTCGGCGGTACAAGGTATTCGTCGCCTCAAGCGAAAAAGCCGCTGCTACATTTACTTACAGAGAGACAATCGAAAGATACGGCGGCTCCACGACTGAAAACCTATCGGACTGCAACCTTGTGCTTGTCCACAACTCACCGATCGACAGCCCGCAATTTTTGCAAGACCTAAGAAACGAGGTTGTTGCCGAGTTTCTGCATAGGGGCACTGAAAATCGCATCCCAAGACTGGTCAACAGTAAGTGGCTAAATGCATGTTTGAGTGAGCAATGTTTAGTTCCTGAGGAAGACTATCCTTGTGTGTAAGGAGCGCTGCTTTGAAAAAAGTGCGCTTGATTTTCTTACTACTAGAGACATTTGTGGATTAAGCTTAGTGAGCTACGTTACAACGCCGTTGCAGATCAACTGGTAGATTGACTCCGTTCAATTAAAAGTCAGTAGAAGCAACACATTTTAGAATTATCGTAATGCTTACTAGCTGGAGCCAAACTAGCACTCCAAGCGTATGGGCGTTGAATTAGAACCTCTAAATTCTGATAAACGTCGTCAAATCTGTAGCAAAAGATTCAAAGAGTACTCTGAACGTGGCAAAAATATTCTCTTCCGTGTCTTGAGTGTCAAAGTGGGACAGCATCCCGACCCACTAAGCGATGAAGAACTGTTACGAGATTGGTCACATTTCCGGGTTTTCCAGTTCAAATCCCAGGATTTAGAGCTTAGTGGGGCCCAGCTGTTCATTGGAAAGTCTCAAGATCCTTGAGGATTTGAAGCAGCGGCCTGATCCACTTGTCGTGAACGAAGAAGTCCAGCAGTGTCAGTATACCCTTCTCTCTCTGTGTGTGACGCATCGATCACCAATCACGTGCGTCGACGACAGCGACAGGACTCGTCAAGAAACTCGAAGAACTACGGATCATTGGCCATCAAAGCACCCAAAAACACAGCAACAAGCTATGCACACTCGTGCAACTCTGCTTTCAATTCCATTTCACGACCTGACAACGACGGTCATTTTCAAAGCATTGCCAATGGCGTAGGATGTCGACCGTGAAACAGGACTGCAGAGCCCAGATTCACAATTAGGGTGCTGAAGCTGCGTGATAGTCGTTACCGTCGGAAGTCTTCACGCACTCGCTAAATGCACAGGCTGCTCACACGTTGGTAGCGGAAGTTATGCTCTTCAGATCTCCCCTCGTACTCAATTACATTTGGTGTTCCTTGACCCAGGTGAAAATCCTCTCATCGACCAAAAAATCATCGAGGCAGCGCATAGATGTTCACCTCAAGGAATTATCCAATAATCGAAAACACGTGACTTTTTCGTCATCAATTTTCCTCTATCCACAGTCGTTCGTCTTTACAGGGTCTCTTTAGAATCATAATGACTGGTGAGCTTGATCTCTGAATGAACCATTGAGCTGCCAATGCCCAACAGTTGGGGTGAGTTTGCTCCTGCAACTGGTGTATTTTACAGTGTTTTCCACCCAACAGAGGGCACCAAGGTCAAGTACGAGTTTCCTCCCGGCTGCCTGGCGGACAGCGATATAAATTTCAGCACGATCAAAAACTATGTGATTCCCAAACCACAACTTTGCAACAAATTGCTGACGTTCAAATGTGGTACGTCGAGACTGGTGTGCTATCCAGTGAACGTTGCAGCGCCTTACTACGCTAGAAATTCGTTCAGCTTTGATTTTGTTTTTATCTTTCCATATGACTGCGTCACATCGCCTTATGAGCCTTCGATCGAAAGACTAGGTAAGATGTTCACCGTGCTGGAAGAACAGTCACAAATCCTGTCGAAAGCTGAAAATAGTAGCGTTTTTTTCCAGTTGAAAGCCGGCGAAGCACTTCAGCGATCAAAACAGGAACCTGCGACTGGAACAACAGAAAAGTCTAGCGTATTGGGAATGGGGGTTGATGGAAATGAGCCGCGCGATCAAGATTACGCGTTCGAAAAGTATCAAGAAATCTTGAAAGATTTGGATGGACCCGGCAAACGCCTTGCAGTCGACGATTTGATAACGAAAATATTTCAAGATTTAAACAATTATTCAGAATGCTTGATACCAATTGATTCTGGGAACGCCGTTGACATAAAGCTGTTTCCACTACTGGCTCCGCCTACGTCTAACTTGTCGTTTGAAGACGTACCAATTTCGACTGTTAACTTGGCGAGACTAATCGATGCCAGCTGGGATCCCACTATGCTAAGAATCGTCCCCTACATAAATGGGATCAATAGCATTTCCAAAATCAGTCGATTGAGCGATAGTGACGTTGGCCTTGTCACGGAGTGCATCAAACATTTCATTTACTATAACTGCGTCATTTTAGCGGATATTTTTCAATTCAGCAACATTTACGCTCCAACGAGTACCTTGGGCAGCTTTTTAACCGATCCATCTTTGGCAACTGCTTGTCAATCTTATGTCACGTTCAAAGATAATTCGCATATTCCACATCTCCCTTTCGGTAGGAGGGCAGCACGTCTTAGCAGCAGCAATTCGAGAAGTAACAATGCAAGCGAAACATTCGAAAATCTCCGCAAAGGGCGCCTCTATACTTCAAAAAGTGAATCAGTCTCTTCGGCTATCGACTTTTCTGTCAATGCTCATCATAGTACGCCGCCTTCACACGACTCTTCTGTACCATACCCAAGCGGCGATGCACTCCATTCGTATCCTATAAACAAAAGTTTGAAAGAAAATGATGTTCTATTTCCGTCAAAATCGTTTCTCTTTGACCTCTATAGGTCATTAATCCAGGGTCAAAGCATCAGTGAGTGGTACAAAATACACTCCGAAAAGATTCGTGCTGCTAGAATTGACGTCAGAAGATTTATAACTTTTGGAACTGTTCATGGTTTGCTATATCGGTGCAGTTCCTTTCCAATCATGAGAAATGCCGGGTTTTTCGATGCTCTTGGACCTCTGGACCAACGTCTGGGCACGAACCTTGCTTCCAGTGACTGGCTACCGCTAAAGGGTGGACTAAACAATCTACTCTCTGCCGCCGATATAAAAGTGGGCCTAAGCAACGATACTCCAAGGAAGACTCGCAACCGTTTCGCGAATACCGACGCAGCTGAAGAAGCATTGAACGATGTCTATCGTAAACTTGCTATAAAGGACACTTCAGAACCTTCAGTTAAGAATCCCATGAGCACCTTTTGCTTCGGAGAACGCAGTAGATCGTCTTTAGATAAGTCAACCAAAGGAAGCTTTAGCCCAGCGGGTTCGGACACTCTAAGCAGGGATGCATCAGAAATCAGAAGGCCTGCCACACCTGCTTCATATGACGAAAGGAAGAGAAACGACATGTACCAGTCAATCGTTGCCAGGAGAAATGAAGAGTTAATTCTACTCAAGGCGGTTCGTGACGTCGACAGTTTCGATAAATTATGCTCGCGATTGGAAAAGGGGCGTGAAGAGATTGAGGAAATGCTTCGAGACCTAGGGCCTTACAATGTTGTCAATACATAAAGAATTTCAAGATAACCTGGTGTGAGTGACCTGCTGGCGGGGCATTAATGATGACATCAAATTTAAGTAAATAAGTTACATAATTCATTCTATCTCTTTGGCCTTTAATGAGATGTCGTCTTCTAATAGTCTTCGCTTGAGTGGAGAAGGAGCTCGTCTGTTTCCATCTATTTCCTTGATGGGCGAAGTCGAACATGACCTCTTCATTGACGGTTGTTGTACCACGTCAGATGTTCGACCTACCTGATAAGCTATCCTCATAGGAGTCTTCCCCGAAGGACCCAAAGGTCTCAGCGGTCTGTCATTTAGTTGTTCCAAAAGGTTTCCTATCCGCTCTTCATTATTCAGCTGCGGAGAAGTCTGCGTGCTCAACAAATCTTGAATCGATTGATCGATTTCACCAAATTTTTGCGTGGCAGCTTGCATGTAATCTGCACTGTTTTGTACCTGCACTTTCAGAAGTTCGTGCTTCCGCTTGATACCTTCAACGTTATTTTGTATGAGGCTATTATCGCGAAAGTTCGCAGAAACATCCTTGAGCTGTCCCAAGTCGTTTTCGATTTCAACCAGTGCTGCGTTCGACGAGCCTGCTGCGTTGTCTATCCTACCATACACCTCTTTCACTGCTGAGCGCATATCATTCTCAAATTTATTATTCAGCTTATCACAATCGTTGATATTTTCTAGTGACTTCTCCCATGCCGTTTTGACCGGGTCCAACAGCCCCATTTCCTTTTCGACAACCTCCGCCGCAGCACTCTTCAAACTTTGTATCATGGAAATTTTATTATTCTCCAAGTGCTCGTTCATTATTTCCCTCAGACTCATGAACACCGAATTGGCAGATAATTTCAACTGATGGTAGGTGCGCTCAACATGAACATCCAATGCTTCTTGAAAATTGTTTTTAAAGAACTGTTCATTAAGATAATCCTTCAAATTGTTATACTCCTCGCTGATACTGCTAAGATGCGTTATTAGGCTTGAAGAATATGCTTCCACAACTGAAGTGATATTTTCTACCTGACTGTGAATCTCTTGGAAGTGTTTTGGACTGTCTCGTAAAATACCTTGAACAAATTTCTGACTTATTTCATTGCTGGATGAGTTCAGGCGGTCGAAAATCCTCGAAAGCTCTTGACTGACCAGCTTTATGTTCCCGTCAACATCGATGCTATCTTCGTCTATGTTATCTTTCAGCTTTTCGATCTCATTAATCAGTGACTTTTTGAAAGAACCAACGTTTTCGTAAAGTACTTTTTCCATTTCAGTTTGAAATCTCTGACCTTGATCCTCATAAAGTTGAAGAGACTGGCGCATGACATGAAGGGCGCGCATAAGTTCCTGCACGACATTCGAGAGCTCTTGCTCATTCTTGTGTTGTCTGTCAATCTTGTCATACAGGTATTCGATGTTGTCTCCCAGATTTCGTACTTTCGCCTTTTGGGATTCGTTAAGTTCGTTGGAAATTTTCCGTTCTTTCAGTAAAATGGCATTTTGGGTGTTCACTCTTTCGATTGATCGTTGACATTCCTGAACCTCGGTTTTATAATTCTCCAACTCATTCGTAAGCTCCTTATAGTTTTCCTGACTCATGTAAACACCGTCTTTGGATTTAGTAGATAAGAGGTCCGATTTTATCTTGACCAATTCCGCTGTGATACTCTTTACTAGGACATCTTTCATAATAAAACTTCCTACCTGAGGTTTGTTTTTGATGTTTTTAGCTTTAGAGGCGTACTCTAATGTACTTGATGTTTCTTCAGAGTTTATTTTGGCTGGTGAGATTGTGGCAATCAATGCCGTCTTGGTGTTCCCCCCAAGAGAATCTTGTAGTAGCCTTGTCAGCTTTGACTCGCGGAATGGAATATGGGCATTTTTGTCTGCTAGTGAATTTATTACTCTACCGAGGGTTAGAAGACTCTGGTTGATAGAACCAGCTTCTTTTGCTCGCTGATTTTGTGCACCAGACCTGTTGATGTTCTCGGAGCCAGCGAGATCTACCAGATTCATTTTGGATACTCGAAAATTTTCATCATCGCATTTTTTGTATAGCATGATTGTGAAAACAGTGTGCGAGCGACTTGAGAAATCATTCATTTTAGTCGATGCGACTTGTCGCTGTTTCAGTCCTCTTTGTAAAAGCCGTATGCCTTCTTTTGCACTCATGATATGGAACTCTTGTAAGTTTTGAATGTGAATTGCCGATGAATTCTCTGCATTAGAGCTGGATTTCGGTAGTGCTGTTCTCGCACTTTTGGGCAACATAGTTGGACCCATGCGCATTCTGCGTCGTGAAGCGTAGTTTGAAGCCATTGAAGATGCATATTGACTTTCTGCAATTTTTGGTGAATTAGTTCTCGAATTTGTTCGACTACCGCTGTTACCATTGTTTGTGTTACCAGGTGAATCGAATATTCGCAGTTTTTTCGGTACATTATTGTTAGAGTCGTGAGCTTCATCAAGTAAGTCCTTCAGTTCTTCGTTGTACAACTCAACAAAAGAGCACTTGATCATGTAATCGTCGCTATTAGCGTCTTCCAAAGCATCGAATACTTTGAAAAGAACCCTTGGAATTATACCGGCAGCTTGGCTCAATTCTCCATCATACAACCTCTCGTCTCCTGTCATAGTGTATGTTTTGCCCGTGGAAGTCATCCCGTACACCAAAACCGTGCAATTGTAGCCCTTCAGGAAATCTCGAAATAACGGTTCTGCAATGCTCTTAAACACCAGATGCTGATCTGCGCTTGGACCAAACACTTTGTCCACTGTATACGTTTTCGAATTTAGATGTGCTGCTATACCAGTCTCGCCACTCGTGTTTATGGATACCTCGTTTTCCCCAGTGACATCTGGTACCCTCACAACCACAGAACTACGTGCTTCCACTTCCTTCTGATTTCGTCCTCGACACCGAACCGCCACGGTAATGTTGAGCTCTTCGATATCGGACATCTTGTAAAACAAAGGACGCTGAATAAAATGCACTCAAGGTAAGACACGACAGAATGGTAAAAGGATCAATGGCTGTACTTGAAGTTCTTGATGTTGTTGTTTTGATTGTTGATGAGTTGAATTTGTTTACAATAATATTAACGCGTAATCGTATCGTGAAGAGTGATATGGATGGATCAGATACTTCATTAGATGACAGTTTGGAAAACAGTGATTTAAATGGTAACGTCAGTGACACAGCCGTTGAAAAGAACCTGGATAGTTGTAGCTCCAAGTCTTCTCAATGTCATGAAAGAAGGGCAAGCTCTGAGAGCTTGTTTATCTACCAATAGATCTCAGCTCCTAGGCAGAAATCACGATGGAGTGTGAGGTTTTCCTAAAATTTGTGTCCTAAGGTGTAGGCCAATACTGCTCCTTTCTATCTCTGGTCGAGATATTTGTATTCACTATCTATAACTTATTAGAATATTCCAAGCACGCACCTTCGACAACTGTGCAATGATAGAGTTTGAATTACGAACCAGCACGACGTTGTTGCTCTCCTTGCAATCCAGAAAGGTGCCGAAAACCCAATAGCTAACGAACACCGTAGAGTGTCCTAGAGTTCGGTTTCATTGACACCTGAAAAATGCCACTGCTGCCACTGTAAAGCCTTCATTGTACGTCCAGCCTGTCACCGGATTTGTTCACTTCTTTTCTTGACTAGTCTCGCCGTCCGACTGTTCGTCACCAATTTCTCTCTGACGGGAACTTGCCGACTTATGAGAGCGTTTCCGACGGCGCGAGGTGGAACCATTAGTTATCGTCTCTGTCGCCGTTGTCGTCGTTGTCGTCGTTGTCGTCGTAGGGTCTGACTTAACTTTATTTTTAGCCTCATCTGGCGTATCGTTTTCCTTCTTCTTTTTCATGCTCAATGGATTGGGCCCCTTGGGTCCCTTGCGCTTCTTACTGCCAGGAGCAGGTGCGTTTTCTTCCGATACCTTCTCAGGAGCCGGTTTTCCAGCCAAAGACGGGTCATTGAGGCCCTTGAAAAGCTTCTGTTTTTCTTGATACCGACTAAGCTTCTCACTCGACCTACTGAGTGGTTCCATGACCATAACAGAACGATTCATGAACACCATAGGCACACCTGGCACCTTGCGCAACGTATTGCGGATTTCTAAATCCTGGCTCGCCACCACGTATCTATGCTTGTTGACTCCGTTGACACTAACAACGCTTTCAAGACACTCCAAAGGAGGTTTAGCCTCCTTTGGTGGATGATTGCACCGTCTTCTTTCAAAGGTCTTCGCCAAATCAATAGCATCCTGGTCTTTCGTGTCGTAAATAGCTTGGATGCAGCACTGGGTGATCATGGGCTTAACCTCGGCCTGTAAAGTCCGCTGTAGACCCTTCACCAAATCAAAGGATGCTTTATGTGTGTCACAAACTATCTTGTCGTCTACAAGAACCTGGTACGGCTCTCTGAATTTGAAGTTGTGATGATAAACCAGCATCTGTTTTCTGTAGGACTTGGCTCTTTTTTGTCGCATTGTGAGTGGATAGGGTGATAATTTGAGATTTTTAACGCAAAACTCTAGACAAGTTGTTGATGTTTCGGAAGACTGTTAGATCTTTTTCAGTCCATCTCATCTCCTCTCTTCTCATCTCATCTCATCGCAGATGGCACTAATAATTGGAAAATTTTAGAGCAGCAGGTCACGTGAGCTGGATTTAAGTCGGAAACACGCACCGACGACACGACTAACATATTCCATTCGGGCTTGAAGAGCATTTTGAGCGTTAGGTACCATGAAATTCACTTCAGCCCTGTGTTCTGTTTCACAGCCTCAATGAGTTGGCCCGTTAGAGAGCTAAAAATCAAGATGACAGTGACAAGAATGAAAACAAAAAAGACACGGCTTGAGGTATCATGAGCGAGAACAGGGCTTGATTCTGAATTATTCTCAATCGTATGAACGGAAAGAGTTCTGTGAGTGGTCTCTACACGCCGCTCGTATCTCCAATTGGGGACGAAAGGCACAAAACGCGAGCTGGTCTGTCCAGTTTGAATTGAGTCCACTTTACGGGTGCGATTTGTCACTATCTTGTCACCGGTATCTATAAGAGTCAAATTGTCGGGAATGACAGGCGAAGAAGCCCGAATCTGAGGCTGTGGATTTAGCTCCCTTGAAAGAACTGGTTGCTGCTCTTTGGAAATTGATGAAATGATCCAGTTTCTCTTGCCGGATGTTTTTTTCCCCTGTCTCATGTTTGGAGCAATTTTGCGGCGTGGAACCAGTTTTTTCTCACAATGGCGCTGTCCGATGACTTCCCTACTGTCGGACAAAAATGGTTCATCTTCGTCCTGTAATGGGTAAGGGATAGTGAGACGCATCAGTTTGTGGAATTCAGTATCATGTCAGAGTGCAACAAGAATATGAACGTTGAATTGTCTCGAACTTAACTGTTCTAACTCTATACAGTTTGTTGTCAAATGCTATTCAAAGTTCCCAATTCCTTGGCGATCTTTAAAGGCATCTCTAATTTATGACAAAAAAGATAGTGTCATACGAAGCTCTCTCGTTGATGCACCAGTGGTCCTAGTAAGTCTCTATCATAAGTTTCTAAGATCCAAAGATCCAACGTTTTGAACAAGGTGCTGTTCAAAATGTAAAACGATTTTATTACGTATGTATTTAACACATGGAACAAATAATTGTGTGATGGAGAGGCCCAACTCAGATATCCTGCTGAGTTCAACCGTAAGTGGAACAAAAAGCTGCAAACGCGTCTCTGAGAGATCGTGGCGTCAAATGCCTATCAATATCTTCTATCCTTAATAGCTAGATTATTGCAAGGAAAACAATCGAATACTGACTGCGTGGCTTACAGTAGACCGGTCAACTTGTCAAAGACATCTCTGATTTCTTCGTTGATGTGATCTGTCTTTTCAGTCAACCCTTCGATGAAACCCTCAAACTCAGCAGCAACAGTGCTCTTAGAAAGTTCCGGTTCACTTGCAGTGTCCAACGCATAGTCAGTCCAGAACTCCTTGAGGTCGTGTCCAGCACCGTTGTAGATGAGATAGTTCACAGTGTCCTCTGGCAAGTCTCCCAAAACATTCTTGGTGCTGTAAGCAATCAACTTCTTCTTTAATTGTGCAGGGGTGACACCACCGGCAGCATGGAAGAACTCGCTGTCAGAGTCGGGCTGCAAAGACAAAAAGTATGTCAAAAGCCCAGCAACATGGGGAGATGCCATCGAGGTACCAGACAAGGTAGCAGTGGCGGTCTCAGAACCGATGTAAGTAGACAAGACATTTAGACCTGGGGCGAAAATGTCGACACACTTACCCCAGTTGGAAAAGTAAGCTCTGTCGTCAGCCAAAGTCGACGCACCAACGGTGATGGCGTTTTCAGCAGATGCAGGAGAAGTGTTACAGGCGTCCTGGTTTTCGTTACCAGCAGCTACGGCGAAATGCAAACCGGCTTTGACAGCGGCGTTGACAGCCAAGTCAAGAGCAGGAGACTTTCCACCACCCAAAGACATGTTTGCGGTAGAGCCCTTGAAACCCTTCTTGTTGCTCTTGACGGCCTCCTGGTGAGATTTGGCAGCAAATTCAACACCCTTCACAACGTCAGACATCGAACCAGAACCGTTGGATCTCAATACCTTCACGGCCACAACCTCGGCGTTTTTGGCAACACCGTAGTGCTTGGAAGCGATGGTACCAGCGCAGTGAGTACCATGGCCATTACCATCTTGGTCGAGGTCGTTAGTAGGGATTGTCTTACCCCACACAGCTCTACCGTCAAAATCGTTGTGATCAACGTTGATACCGGTGTCGATGACGTAGGACGTGACACCTTTTCCGGCAGCATCGTCGTACAAGTACTTGTTGAAAGAGCCCAAGTTTAGCTTTTCACGATGCGAGATACGCGATAGACCCCATGGAGCACCGTTTTGGGTGTCAAACTCTTGAGAGAACACCATAGAGTCCTGCTCTACCAACTCGACAAGAGGGTTCATGCGGAGGAAATCGACAACTTCCTGTGTGAAATACCCGATGTAACCGTGCAGCAGGCCGACCAGGTCAAAGGAGTCCTGGATACCACCTTCGATGGTCTTGGCACTACCCAAAACCTTGAATTCTCCGTATTCGTCTTCTTCGCCAGGATAGCCACCGGTTGCTGCAAAGAACGAATCTGTAAGCGGAATCTTTGCCAACGATTGCAGATGAGCCTGGGAAACGACTTCACGGTGGTATTCGGCCTCCTGGGGCGAAACGTGGCCCTTGAATACCACAATGTAGCGGTGGGGAATCGCAGTGTATTGGACGTCATTGTGAGAGAAGAATGGGGCGAGCCTGACGGATTCGCCCTTCTCAGCAGCATTTTTGGTGATTTCTTTGGCAAACGAAGACACAACGGATTCGCCGGCATGCAACGCACCAGTGATACGTTCAGCAACGTCATGGGACGATTTTTCAAGGTCTGGCAAAACCAAGGCAGAGCCTACAGCTGCAGCAAAAGCCACGGGAAGTGCGGTTTCAATCTTCATGATATGATTTTAGGTTTAAAAATTATACGTATCTTCTGGTCTCAGTGTCTACCTTTATTGAGATAAACACTTACGATACGATAGCGTATGATGAATTTATGAAAGGTATGTGCAGTGGACAAGTTTCAACCCTGAGAAACCTTGCTCCTTATATAGTCGTCCAAGAAATTTTGAAATTTGAGGCTATTAAAGGAACTAGAAGGGCCGCCCCCCAAAAAACGAGGGGCATCCTTTTGTACGGCGATACCAAAAAAGGGGCAGGGGTGTCACGTGAAAAGATAAGACATTCTAAGTCACGTGCAGAGAGGAAAGGAGGATTACATAAGCATTTGGACTTCGTGGCTGGGTAGTCACGGGGGTATTTACGTGAATAGTGACAAGATTCCTCGGCGTCGGGTAGCCCAATGAGCTCCCTTACTATTAACGTTTCAGCACAGATTTTGAGAGGGTGATCAAGCGTGGATTAGGATCGTGTTTAGATATAGCGATAGGAGTCGTTCTTATTGTGTGCGTATCACAGGCGTGTTGGTCCTACCCTTTGTCACGTGACAGGAAAAGAGCGAGGGTGCATATCAGTATATACGTAGCTGGGGTACACACACATTACAAGTCTAGAACTACATGGTGTAGGCGTTGTTGACTCATAATAGCCAAGAAGAGCGACAAACCGTAAGGTCCTAATGCGTTACGATCGTTGTGATATGTGCTTGTTCGTGAGCCGTACGTTGGCTGCCGTTTAGAGTGAAGAGCAAAAGCGGTGACTTACAGTGATGATAGTTTCACAGGGTTCTCTACATTCGCTTATGCGGGTCAGACGAGCGGTTTGGAGAGCTGCTATGTATGTGTTGAATCCAGGTCTGGTGACAAATTATGTCGTGTTTTACGACTTTTAACACGAATACATCACTGTATACGTATACATAGTGGTAGCCTCAAGCCTGGGGGTTCCATTGTAACGAAAACTGTTGAACGCTGATTCATACCTCTTTAACGTGTTTGATAGCGTAACAGGGTTCTGTTACTCGATGGCTTCTCATTTCCTTCAAGTACCAGCTGTTTTCAACCTCACTTTTCTGGCCGGATGTCTGTTCTCCCTTATACCTGATTTTGACAGTGCTTCTGGAACAAATCCCAATTCAAGAGCCTTGTTGAGACTCTCCAGCCAACTTGGATGTGTGCCATAATTTTAACGCGGATTCGTGGACCGGATTCGTGATTCATCATCAGTCCTGGTTGAAGCTTTAGAATAAATATCATTCCGAACGAATGTGTCGTCGGCGTCCGTCCCATCTCGTCAAACTTACTAGGCAAGAGTACTCCAGCATTCAGGTGAGTTAGTAATAGTGTTCGAGATTATTGATCGCCACGTCCCATCTTTCAACGCGTAAGAGCCAGGACTACTTCATAGACGATATTTTCTAGCTTTCGCACGGCGTGTCATTTCTTTGCATACTCATGTCGATGCGGTGGTGGTAATTCTTCCAAGATTCTGCTGGTCTTGTTTCCGTTCCAAACATTCTAGTGCGTTTATCGATGGCCGAGGTTTTCAAAACTCTCAAAAAACTCGCAATATGTTTGATGCGACATATTTGCACCATAGTCCATACTATTAGCCCAAATGTAGCATTTCTTTCCACAATGCACCCCATGGAGTGTTTTCCCGGCTCTCACTGATTCCTTGTGATCTCGATTTTCCGGAGTTTCACTAAAATTTGTCCTGAAAGACGAGTCGAAGACATTGCGTCCTATGTCATATCTGTGGATCCATATTTCTCTAGATTGACAGCCTCAAACGCTATCGTCCAGACATATGTCAGAATATTAATTTCTTGCACAGCTCTACTATGTGCTTCGAGTCTTTCACAGTCCTTCTCCATCCGAAATAAGACCATTAGCTGCCTGATAGCTCTTTAAATGTATTTTCGAGCGCTTCTTGGATCGACCATATTTTCGAACTTGAATTGTGGCAATACCAATCGTGTGAGTTCAATAATCGAAACATTTCACCCGAAACTCCATGCATGGACTTTAATTGCTCATTGAGACCTAAAGATTGGGATCGCATAGCGCGATATGCTATATCGCAAGAACTATACCCAATGCTATCTCCCTATCTTTCTTGATTTCATCTCAAGGCATTCCATCAAAAACCACAATGGAACGCTAGCAATCCTTAGTTGGCCTTTCACAGCAGCGAAATTACAGTGCAATTTCAGAAAAGTTCGACCTCCAGCGGCTTTGAGCATCAGCCTACTGAGAAAAATGGTTGACCTTCGATTCGCTTGGAGACCAGTAGATTATTTGAAATAGCTGGCCATATCACATTTCCGTCATTACGTCTTGCTCGTCAACTATAAGGCACCTACAGTCAAGCGGGTTACTGCACTAGAAACCTCTAATATCGGTGTCAATGGGTCCCGGACAACTCTTTTTTTTCTTGAGAAGGACCTTTCAGAACGGCTCGAGTGTCGTTGAAGTGCATTAATGATTAGCTATTAAACTCATCAGAAAAAGATCGCAAAACTACCGGTTTGAACCTCGTCTTTTGGGCGCTGCCTCCCACAAATTAGGACTGCAGTGCCTCAGACGTTTGCCGCACTCAATTGAGTCCTTCAACAGGTTTCAATGCTCATCTTTGACAGCTCTGGCTTTAGTTCTTTTCGGGCTTAATTTAAACATTTCAATGAATCTGGAAAAGTTGCCAACATGTCTTTAACATTTCTTCGAGGAAACAGACGAGATCTGTTTGTAAGACTGTCGTTACATCTGGTATCATGCTGTCTGGTAAGGAATTGTACCACCATTGAGCAAAATCTGGATGTCGGTGATTATTTGAATGCAGAATAACAACCATTTCAATGAGGTTGGATGAACCATCTAATTTCCAAGATTCTTGCTCGCTGTGTTGCTTCAATGGAACTTGGTAGCCGATATCATTGTATTGCGATTAAATCTACGATGCTCTGTAGTAGGATTGATTTTGATGCGCAATACGGCCAAACTGCATGCTTTTACCCACTTCAATGTGGCCATTAAGCGAATTGACAGCTGGGACGAAGATATTTCGAAACCACTGATTATCGGTGTGGAGACGATGCTTTTGTGGGGGGGGGGGGGGGGGG